TTTAGCTTCATATTACTATCTAGATCTTATATAGTTTCAATCTAAACAATGTAGTTCTAAAAGTCTTTTAATAATATAAGATTATAGATTAAATTGTTATAGTTACTATAGATAATATATTAAATAATAATATGATAGTCATAAATATTTAAAAGTTACTATAGTTATTAACGCTAAATAGTAGTTTCATAATTAAATAGATTTTTTATATTATCTATATTATCTATATTATCTAATTCAGCTCAAATAATCTTTTAAAAAAGATGAAGATAATATTAAAGAATAAGAGTATAGAGATTAATAAATTAGATAATTATATTTAAATCCTTTATATAAGATAATAAAAAGGAGAAATTATGAATATATTTAATAAGATATATAGTCTAAAGATATATTTTTATATATAAAAAAATAACTTTTTAACTTTCTCTTTAATCTTTATATTCTACTCCTTATATTTTAAGAGATAGATTTTAAGAGATAGATTTTTATAAAAATCTATTTCTTTATCTTTCTCTTTTTATCTATCTTCTATATTATTAATTTAGATATTATCTAATAGCTTAAGAATTTAGGACTTAAGTACTTTTCATAGAGATTAATAATATTCTTATATATCTTTTCTATTAATCTATCTAACTTTTCTATTATAATTTAGATCTAAAATCTTATAGTCTATAGTAATATTAATGTATGATAAAAGTCTTTTCATAATCTTTAGACTAAAAAGCTAAAGCTTATTCTAATGTAAGATATATATATTGAAACTTATTTCTTTTATATTTTAATATTTTTAATAGCCTTAATTAGTCTTTAGTAAATTTTATTCTTAATATAATCAGGATTATTTTATTTTAAATATAGAAGAGTAGAGATAGATTAATTATCTATTTAATATTATCTAGTCTTTTTTTGGAATTTACTATCTTTCTAAGATTAAAAATATAAGTATTTATCTAGTTTTAAATTCTATAATAAGCTTTTTAAATATCTTAAAAGATAAAGAGTATCTTAAAAAGAAAAAAAGATAATGTAAAAATAGCTTATATTTCTTTTTCTAAAAATAATAAAGAAACAGCTTTTATATTATTCTAGTATACTTATGAAGATCAATAATAATCCTTATACTATTAATGTTATTTTCTTATTATAATAAAAGTTTAATTTCTTTAAAGATAAGAATTAAGATAATCTAGATATTAATTACTATATAAAATATAATAAAAATCCAAAAGACTATTTTTAATCTTATAAATAATACTATTTATAGATATAATTTTTATTTAAAATCTACCTTTTTCTAGTTATTAGTATTTTAGAGCTTAAGATAGAATATAGAATAGAAAAATACTATTCTTCATTAATTAGTAAATATAATAAGATTAAAAAGTATCTAAGTAGTAGTAAATTATACTGTCTACATATAATCTATATTATTTAATTATACTAAAATAGATTATATTATAAAAATTATATATATTTATATATATATATATATATATATTTAAGAGACTATTAATATTAGTTTATTACTTTTATAAATCTTATATAAGATATTCTTCTAATATTAGCTATAGATATAGATATTAAATAGCTTTTTAACTCTATTTAAGATATTTATTATTATTAATATAGCTTTTTAAAGCTATTAACTATTTAGGATCTTATAATATTTATATATATATTAAGATTTAAGATTTAAGATAGCCATTAAGCCTTAATTAATAGATATCTTTTATTTAAAAAGAGATAGATAAATTAGATAAAGAAGAATATATCTATCTAATAATTTAAGCCTATTCATAATAATATCAAAGATAATAATTATATATCTTTACTAAGAATCTAAGTTCTTAGCCTAGCCTAGTATCTAATAAGAATTAAATAGAGCTAGTAGACTCTAATATAGAATAAAACTATTAGTAAGTATAGCTTATCTAATATATAGTATTACTTAGAGAGGGTTTAGTAACGCTTAATATTTCTTAATAGATATAAAACTAAGGGTTAGAAGTACTAGAAAACTTTAAACTAGTTATATATCTAGTAGCTATAAATACTACTTGTAAATTACTTATCTTACTTATCTTATTTATCTTTTTTATCAATCTATAAGAAAATATTACTACTCTAGTTAATATTAGTAAAAGTCATATAAAATAAATACCCAAAGATATAACTAAAAAATATATAATATATACAAGTATACATCTTTAAAAGTATATATACTATTTATTCTATTTATTAGCCCTTAAAAAGCCTATAGGTAGCCCTTATAAGAGCTAGTAAAAGATATCTATAGATAGGCTAGACCAGCCCTCTACCTACCTATAGATAGGTCTATAGGCCGCTCTCTAAAGGCTACCTATAGGTAGATATAAGGTCTAATTATAGACTTTAAAACAATACTTTTTTAGTATATAGTAAATAACTAATAATATATCTAAGTTAAAATCAGATTTAATTAAACTATAGATATAAGATACTTAATTTACTATCTACTAATAGATATCTAAGCTACTATAGCTATAGAGCGCCTTTTATATAAAATACTCACTATTTTTTTAATCTTTATACTTTCCCTATCTTAGCTGTTATATTTTTATAATACTTATTAGACTTTTTTTATATTTTAGACCATTCCTATAATAGATAAGATTTAAGTAGTTTATATATTTTTTCTATCAGATCTTAAGATTTAATTCCTAAATCTAGTAAATAAAATATAATTTCTTAGAATCTTTATCTAATTTAATAATATTTTCTTTAATGATCTCTTTCAAATCTTAATAAGATCTTTTTAAAATTATCTTAATCTTTTTTTTAAAATATATATCATTATATTTAAGATAGAATTATTATTATAGGCCTTTTTAGAGTTTCCTTTTAGTATATAATTATAGATTCTTATCTTAGTTTAGATAATATTTTAATAGTAATTTATTCCTATAACTATATTTCTAAGAGTTTTAGATAACTAGTCCATTTAGTGATAAAGAATTATATTTTAAGATTCTATTAAAGCTATAAATAGTAAACCTAAATATAAGATAATTTAAAAGACTTTTTTAAGAAATACTTCAAATTTAATAGATATTAATAGAATTTATAAGATATCCAAATCACTCTTTGTTTTACTTTTTAAGTTAATCTTAATAATTAATAATTTTAACATACATATTAATATTAAGCTTATCTATCTATTTTTTAAAATATATTCTTATATTAATAGTATATTAAATTTTATTCTTATTAAATTCTTTTATATATATAAATTCCTTATATTAATAATCCTTATTTATATTAAAGAAAATTATACTAATCTTAATATTCTTAAAAAAATCTTTTATTGGGTAATTTAGCTTATAGTGATAGTAAGAATAATTCAAGAATTATAGAAAATATTCTATATTACTCTATATTTATTTTAAGTCTAAAAGCTTTAGATTCTTTTTATAGATATATCTATTTCAACATAAGTCTAAATTAGTTCTTTCTCAAAAGTATTTTAAAGCCTATTTTCTAATTTATTACTCTAGCTCTTTAATTTACTTAAGAAAATAGGGAAAATAGATAATTATAAATATATTCTTCTCTTTCTCTCTAGGTCCTCTCATTATAGGGTTACTTAGGGGTTTATTTATAGAATTAAGTAGTTTAAGATCTAAATTATTATTATCTTAAGATAGTTCTATAGTAGGGTTAATTAGTATTAGATCTATAGTTAGCGCTAGCTCTACTAGATAAAGATCATAGATTTTTATAAGTAGTATATACTATCTTTTCTTCTCTATTATATTAAAGAAGAATTATAATTATTAGGATTTATAGATAAGATAGAGAGAGAATAGATAGATTATAAAATAGTAGTAATTAGATTATAATATTCTCTCTCTATCTTATCTATAAATCCTAATAATTATAATTCTTCTTTAATATAATTAAGACTGATTCTTAAAGGAATTATTTGTAAGTACTAAGAGATAGGCTTTATACCCTATACTCTCTTAATAAAGATTAGCTAAGGTTATATAAGAGAACTTTAAGATACTCCTTATTAGTTTTATAATAGTAAGTCCTATAGATAGATCTATATACTCCTATCCTTCGGCTCTTATAGTATAGTCCTTTAGTAGACATTAGGTTAATCTTCCTCTAGGGTCTATCTATAGTAGGGCCTATATATAGAAGTAGATATATATCTATATACTCCTACCCTTATGCCCTTCTAGTATAGTCCTTTAGTAGATATATTATAATAAATATAGCTTTATATATTTTTGATTTTTCTCTTATCTTTTCTGATTAAAATAAATTAAAGTTAAACTTTTATATAGAAGATCTTTGAAAAAATATAAAGTATGATAATTTCATATATTTACTATAATCTAATATAGGCTAATTATAATCTAATAGAGGCTCAGTCTAATTTTTTTTAAATTCAATATCTATTATATTTCTATATACCTGGTTGAAATAACATAATGAATAAAGTATTTTTTTAAATAGTTAATTTAATAAAAATAGTTTTGTAATATTTTCATATATTTAAATTATTTAATGCTTTATTTGTAACATAATATTCTATTATGTAATGATTTTTGATTTTCTATTCATAGTAAATAATATTTTTTAATAGCAAATAAATCATTATCAACTGTTCTGTAGAAATTTAAAAATCATTTAGAACTGTAGTACAAGATAAATAAATATTTGAAGATTGAAATCATTGGTAGAATAATAGGTAATAAGATAATTTGTTTTAGGTATATACTTAACTAATGTTAATTAATTTCGTAATTTCGTTAATAAACTAAATCTGACCCAAGTTCCAACTAAGATATTCTTTATCTAATTTTTGAACCTAAAAAGCCCTACATATTGTTATTTATAATTTACTTCTTACTTTAGACTTATAAGATCTATTGGTACTATTAATGTATGAATTATATCTTAAAGATTCATAATAGCCCCTATAGTTAACTATCATTAGGTAGTAGCTAATCATCTGGATATTCATCCTGCATATTACTAATAAAGGCACAGGTATTTTCATCCCAACGTTTAAAATGTTTACCCGCGATTGTTGTTAGACTTTGTGGCAGTTCTATCAGTTGGGATAGTATAAGCTCAATATTCTCTTCCGCAACATATCGCACACTTCGATCCTCAACACTAGAATCAGATGGTCAGTGGTAATCCTGGAATATGGGACCATGGGGAATAGCCAACTTACAGCACATGGTAGAAGCTTTGATGTCGACCCGCTTGTAAGCGATCAATGCCCATACGTCGCATCCATTGCTCTCCAGCACCACACTCTGAATCCCATCCAGTGATTATGGCCCGGTAGTGGTAACGGCGGTGTTGGAAAACCTGGCCTACCTTGTATCGGATGTTTTTGTTTTCGTTGGACCTCCGCCGGACCTGCTTTGGAATCTCATCTACCGCTCGCATGACATGAAGACTCTCCAAGATATGCTCGTGCTCAAAGAGCCCATCAAAAAGGGGTACGATGTGCTGTTCCACCAGAAAGATGTCGGATGGAAAGTCGGTAGCGAACAACTCCATCAACCAGGGTAGTTGGTGCCTCAGGTCCATGGGCTGAGAGTCCCCTGAAAGAAGCATTGATGCCCACAGGGCGGCATATTTGGCACTCACCACATCTATCGAGGTGGTTGCAGTGTCGAGGGTATGGGATGCAGAGTGAATGGAGTTCAGGATGTTTTTGCTGCACCGTAAGACAACCTGCGAGGGCAGTGATCCACCCAAAAAATCGGCCTGGTCTGCTTCTGTGGCACCAAGAAACATTAATTGATCACGTAGATCGGAGACCGGGGTCTCCCGCGCCCCTCTAAAAGGGTCTAGATACATGGGGGCACCGGGATCTTCGTCAACCAAGACATTTCCATTCATGTCAAACCCAGGCGGCGGAGAAATGATGACATGGACATGAAATGGGAATCCGCAAGGGCGGGCGTCCATCCCCAGTTGCTGTGCCGCATAAGAATAGATCACAGCGGAGATCAATGGTAGAGAATTGTGACCTGGGCTTGTCAGAGCTAGACCTAGAAAATTATGCTCCAAGGAATGATATGGCCGCCCTGGCTCAATTCCGGTGAGGCCTTCGTGCTGGAACCAGGAAGCGAGCAAAAGAGCCTTCTCCCGGGGCTGGAGGCCAGCAATATCAGGATGAGAAATTGCAAAACGGGCGACAATATCATCCAATGTACCCCGAACCTGAAGATCATCAGCGCTAGTCGGGTGCAGGCCAGGAAGAGGTCCTACCTGATCCAAGTCTCCAAACCCACTCTCTGGGATGAAAAGATCAAACGCAGCAAGAGCACGCTCAAGCGTGACAGGGTCACCACGTCGGAGCTTGGCCCATTCGGGCACTGCAATACTTCGATGAAGGCAGGTCAAAAGCGCCCGTGCGTAGTACCTTTTTATATTTGAAATCCCAGTCAACCTTACCCGCTCACAAGAGAAGGGAAATGGAGGAGAATATAGGCTCTCACCTTCTAGCTAAGTGATCTTCCCCATCTTCCACCCTGCTATGATGAATAAGAGTATCTTGAGCATCGAATCCGAAATCAATGACCGCACGGAATTTATCGATACGCCCTGTTTGGCTAGCCAGAATACTATCCAGAAGTTGACAGACAGAGCGGTCGATATTGAATCTTAATATAAACAAGGCTTTCCAGTCGACCGATGACACAGGCCCAGCCAGCTTCTGAGAGATTCCATGTCTTTTATCCCAGGAGTTGAAATGGGTCCGGCAGTAATGACGCCATAATAAAGGCTCCCTGGTCACGTCCCTAAATCGATGGCTGGTTTGTTCCAAGGCAGCGGCATATCTAGGCGGTAATGCGCATAGAATCGAATGAAGGATCTCTTCTGGGAGGTGATTCAGAGATCGAACCATCCCTGTGTATGAACAAAGATCCTGGACTTGAATGAGGGATTCCGTTGCCGAAGTTTTCGGGGGAACAAAAGGAGTAGAGGGTATAGTTGATAGTTCAAATGATATCACTATCAGTGTAGAGCGCGAAGTCAACGCCAGCGTTGGACCTTTGGTCGCAAAGATGAGAGGGCATATGGGAGAGCATGATATGGGAAGATTAGACAGAATGCGGAGGATACGTGCCAAGCCCGAGGGAACTTTTGCCTATTGTTTTCCCGCCAGATCTACTTTGAAGTCCCACCCCTCCTCCTCCCCCTCCTCCCCCACCTTCATATTTTGACCCTAATTTGTTTGAATGGGTCAATCTCAATCTACGGGCTCCAGGGCCTCTGAGCCACAGGGTAAATCTGGCCAAAAGACCGATTATTATGAACTATTAGGAGTGACTCAAACGGCAACGGATGATGAGTGAGTGATTATTAACCGTTAGAATTATATATACATAGACTAATATGACTCTTATTCTCGCAGGGTTAAAAAGGCATACCGTAAAAAGGCTTTGGAGCTACATCCTGATCGAAACTATGGAAATGTCGAGGAGACTACCCGGCTATTCGCCGAAATCCAATCCGCGTATGAAGTCCTTGCCGATCCGCAGGAGCGTGCTTGGTATGATTCTCACAGCGGCGCGTTCCTAGGGACTGAGGGAGGCTCTGATGGAGGTCCACAGTCCTATACGACAGCGGATGAGGTCCTTAAGATTTTTTCGAAATTCAGCCCACGAATGGATTTCTCTGACGTATCAACCGGATTTTTTGGTGGTCTTCGAGAGCAATTTACCCAGCTGGCACTGGAGGAGCGACTGGCATGCCAGTTGGATGGTCTAGATATGGTGGAGTATCCATCATTTGGAGGCCGCGATGATAGCTTTGAGACTGTCGTGCGTCCGTTCTACGCTGCTTGGGCCGGATTCTCTACCCGTAAATCGTTTGCTTGGAAGGACACCTATCGTTACTCCGAGGCACCAGATCGTCGAGTGCGACGCTTAATGGAAAAGGAGAATCGGCAGCTTCGAGAGGAAGGAATTCGCGAGTTCAATGACGCGGTTAGGTCGTTGGTGGCATTTGTTAAGAAACGAGACCCGCGATACAAGGCGAATGCGCAAAGTGAAGCTCAACGCCAAGAGACTCTCCGTCAATCAGCAGCCGCCCAGGCAGCCCGGTCTCGAGCAATCAATCAAGCCAGGATGCGTGACCATGTTGTTCCAGAGTGGGCTCGGTCTGAAGAGCCCGAGATCGATGAAGAGGAGAGTGAGGAAAGTGAGATTGAAAACTTTGAGTGTGTGGCGTGCAACAAGACTTTCAAGAGTCAGAATCAGTTCGAGGCTCACGAACGGAGCAAAAAACACGTCAAGGCTGTCAAACAGCTGTGTCGCGAAATACGAGCGCAGGACAAATACCTGGATCTGGAACCAATCATCCATTCCAGCACAGCCCCTACCACAACAGTCCCAAGTGAGAGCGATGACCTTGTTACAGCAAATGAGCAGTCGGAAGGCTTTGCCATTATTGAGACTGAAGGCAGTCCACTAATGGAACCCGTGACGCTGTCTCCATCTGATTCAGACAATAATGATCACGAGGACCCTGAAACGATCTCTTCAATCACTCCTGGAGACGATGACGACAATGACGATGACAACTACGCTTCGAGGGAATCTGTTCAAACGAGACTTCATTTAGACGTTGATTCATCGAAAGATGATTCTATGACCCCATTGGCTGAGCAACTATCCTCCTCTGTGATTGATGACCGACCAGCCGCTGTCTTTCGAATGGGAAAGGCCAAGCAAAAGCGGGCCAAGAAAGCTGCCCAGAATGATGAACAAGCTACGGGTATTCTATGCGCAAATTGCCATGCCACTTTTACTTCGAGGACGAAGTTATTCACTCACATCAAAGAAAACCCGAGCCATGCACAGCCATTGAAAGCTACCAAAAATAAAAAACGATGAGGCCGATAGGCCTTCTTGAGCAGGGTTGTCTCGGGGTTAGAGGAGGTCCAGCCAGCCCTGCGCAGAAAGGCCAGTTTCTATTGATGTAGATCTCTATTTATGGTGTATGACATGATTTGGAAAAAAAAAAAAAAAAAAAAAGGCATGAAGAAGAAAGAACCCGAGGATCTTAGCCTAAACCTGCCCGTGAGTTCTTGACCACCTGAGCAACAGGCAGTAGGATTCCCTTGTTATTGGAGGCTCCAAGGGCAGTACCGCTGCTCCACCCCATCTTCTCCAGCATTGCACGTCCTCGATTTCCCACACCAATCTCTGGCGCAGACGCTCCAACCACATCGCCATCCATATAAGACACAGTACCACCAGCACCGCCCCTCTTGGCTTTGGTTGGCCTGGACGCGTCCGGACCCCATGACTGATAAAGTCGACGGTTCAACTTTCTTCCTGACAGAAGATTGTCGAACTGAGGAATGGTCTTGCGAGTATATTTGGGGGTGCGGGATGTTTTGAGAAGAATGGGAAAGCGAGTTATCCCATTGCCACGGGATTGCGATTTCAAATTCACTTTGTTTGCCAGTTCATGAATGGTCTTTCGGCGGTGTTTCGTCATGGGTGGAAGTGCAAGACTATTTTCTCATAGTTAGGATAATGTAGATAAAATGAGGGAGGGGGAAGGCCAGGTACTGGGTACACACCTATTCATTGGGGATAGGAGGAACGTCCGAATCTCAGAGATCAAGTCCTCTAGGTTCATCCCCTTAGCATACTTAACCTTTAGGTCGGGATCTGCGGATTTCCTGCCTAACAAGCCCTTTGCACGAAGCTCCTCTCGCTCCTGCTTTTTAGCCTTCTTTTTCTTGCGGTCCGTTTCCCAGGCCTCCTGGAGGATCTCTAGATCGCTGTTGTCTAGATCACTGTCGGACAACATAAGCTCTTCGAACAAGGGTGCTTTCTTGCCCTTCGGTCTTTTCTGTAGGCTTGGCCGATCAAAATCCATGATGTCGAGACCATAGTAAGGGTCTGCATCCAGCGCATCTGCGAATGCTGTGGCTGATAGGAAAGTATATTTTCCGCGACCACCCTTCTTCCCAGCGGAGTAACTGGTGGCCAGTTCTTCTAGCAAGCCCTCGTCATCCATATCATCCAGATCTTCATCGGATTCGTTGGATGAATCTAGGTCTACGTCGTCATCTTCTGAGTTGGATGACGAGTCCGGTTCAGCGTCAAGGTACATCTTCGAAAGCACTGTGGTCTGCGTGTCAACATTGGTTGCTTCAGAATGTTCCGATTGATGGGTGGAAGGAGTCATACCATGAATTGACCCTAGGACTTCAGCGTCATCAACCAGCTGACCCCTGGAAGCAGGCTGCTCTGTCTGTCTATCTGACATTGGAGCATGGGCATGTTGAGAACCTTGGGCGGCCAAATCTAATTCCGAGATGGCTCTGCTCACTCCGGTCCCGCCTTCAGCTTCCCCGTGCGTTTGGATGCCTTCATGGTTGAATTTGACGGTACCAGCTACCTGGGGTAATTCGTTTTGTCCCTGCTGTGTCCGTGGTGTGATATTGGTTTCGGAGACAATTGTCTGTTGAAAGAATTGCGCGTCTCCCGGGCTGAACAATGCCTGCGGCCCCGTATCCTGGGAAGTTTGCAGATACGCTCGAAGCTCCGCCTCGTCCGTTTCAATCACTATGGGCTTTCGACGTCCCGTGAACACAACTTCATCTTCACTGCCTTCTGTGTCGGGGAAATCGGAGTGTAGTATTGGGTCTGGAAGGCCCGTATGCACAACCTCTTCCGCTGTAGCGTCGATAAAAAATAAATTGTCGCTTTCATCTTCCTTCGATTCTGGCTGTTGTTGTGGTTTCGGCTCTTCCACCTCTGAGTGTATCTCTGACTGGCTGTCTGTTTCTTCCTCGATGTCCTGTTCGGTTCGCTGTAATTGTCCTGCGCTCACAAATTGAACCGCTTTATAACGGAGGTTATTATGTGACCAGTTCCTGGTGTGTGTCTCGGTGTTCCGGGCCTCTTGCTGCATCGTAAACCGAGGTGGCGATGGTTCTTTTACATCGTGAGTCTCGAGGGGTTCGTAGGGGCGCAGGGGCGCAGGGATATCTAACTTACTGGCCATTGCAGGAGCCCGTTTCATGCGAGCCTTTGACTTGCCATGGCGAGCCATGCTGAATTGTGGGTTGATGGAAGAGAGTAAGAGGGGACGGAGAAAATCGTTCGAGGTGGAAAAGGACGCGATCAGGTGGGGAGGGCGGTGGGGAGGGATCTGGACCACTCATCCTACCACGGATTACGGAGTAACTAGGCAGTACTCCGTACTGGTTATAATACACAAAATCTAGTATTCAAGTTTGTACATAAGTAACATGTACAAGTTTATCTGGTATTTGGGGGGCAAGGGGGATTAATGAAGGTTATGTATCACGAATATGAAGTTTCAAGTTATTTTTCAAGTGGTATACCTATCATGCTTACATCTATACACAGTGACGTCAAGAGTGATGCCTGTTGTCCTTTTATCTTATAGTGAACAAAAATATACTGAAAGAAATCATAACCTACCTATCTTGTGATCTTATTATATTTAAGTCGTCTATGGAAACTTTTACCTGCTTTTGCATTTCACTGTTGGTTTGACTTGATCCATGTAACTTGAAACTTATCACCTGAACACTGGATGATCGTCCGAATATATATATCGGTGGAGCCCTTCTCCTCCCCGCGACTATCCCTCCCCCCCAAAGTTCCCTTTCTCTACACCACGCAACCCTGATAAACTTACCCCGGAAGATAAACATACCATCAAAATGGCAGGGGTGGATCTGGAAAAATGCAAGCGTATAGTACAATATTTCTGGGATCCTGAACCCAAGAATGACACTGCCCCAGAAGCATCAATCTGGTGTCTAGGTCAACAGTATACCTCCCGATACCCAGAAGAACTACACAAGGACAGCACCACAGGTATGTCATGCTTTGGTTCTTACAAGTCATTTTGATTATACTCCACTCCGAAGGTCTTTACTGAGTTCCGAATAGATAGGGACCACAGCACCGGGCAGGCGGCCGAGATGCTACACGATATGACCGGCGGCGCATGGCCTAACGCCTTTTTGACGGACTTTGAGTCACGGATATGGATGACATACCGGTCCAACTTTGCTCCCATCCCACGCAGTCACTCACCCGAAGCGACATCCTTAATGACATTGGGTGTGCGCATACGGACTCAGCTAATGGACTCACAAGGCTTCACATCTGATACAGGGTGGGGCTGCATGATTCGATCAGGACAAAGCCTGCTGGCAAATACACTCTGCATTCTGCTACTTGGTAGAGGTGGGATCCAGCTTCAATTCACTACCAGGGCTAACGCAGCTAACATGCCTATCCAGACTGGCGAAAAGGTGACCGGCCCAATGAAGAATCGAAGCTATTAGCGATGTTTGCCGACCAACCCGAGGCTCCATTTTCAATACATCGGTTTGTTAAATGTGGTGCCGACTCGTGTGGGAAATACCCGGGGGAATGGTTTGGTCCGTCAGCGACTGCCCGGTGCATCCAGTATGTACACAGAATCAAGATAACAAGGCTCTACTGATCACAGCCTGGCAGAATCCTGTCGACCGAGTGCAACGCTCCTAAGCTCGAGGTCTACGTGACAAATGATACCTCCGACGTCTACGAAGAGCAATTCCTTCGGCTCGCACACAGTAAAACAGGGCAATTTCAACCGACCCTTATTCTCCTTGGGCTACGGCTGGGGATTGAGCAAGTCACCTCAGTATACTGGGATGGACTACGAGCGGCTTTAAAATACCCCCAGTCCGTAGGAATTGCAGGGTAAGTTTCCAACCATCCGACATCAGACCAACGCTGACAATAAGCGATATCAGTGGACGCCCCTCCGCATCACACTACTTTGTGGGGGTTCAGGATTCCCACCTGTTCTTCCTTGATCCCCACACCACACGCCCCACGCTACCGCATCACCAGCTCGACGAGCCATACACCGCTGAGGAACGGGGGAGTTACCATACTCGCCGCCTGCGACGAATCCACCTTAAAGACATGGATCCAAGCATGCTGATTGGGTTTTTGATCAAAGATGAGGCTGACTGGACCGACTGGAAGCAACGAGTGAAATCCAGCCCCGGGAAGCCGATCATCCATATTTTGACAGGAGAAACACAATTGGACAAGGAATATCAAGGGCCTGGTCGGAAAGCTGCGGTGGACGAGGTGGAGGCTCTTGACGATTCTGATGAGATGGAGTAAACAAATCTGTAAATCAAAGTAGCTGAATTCAAACAAACCGAGTGCAAGGGAACATCATGACGGTCAACCCAAATAAAGAGCAGAAAAACACAACGAGTGAGAGGAGAAGTGGAAGAAAAAAAAATTTGAATGCAATTAAGCATTTGGAATTTCGCGTTCTAGTAAGGGGGAGGTTAAACCGTGTAACCGGCCCCAGACCCGAGTTATGTTACACCGCGCATCGAGCAGTAACCATCAGAAAAAGTCGCCCATTGGGGAAAAGAAAATCGAGACCATCCCATGACACATTAGAAAACCCGCAAAACACCCATAACCGACCGCCTCAAAACCCAAGAAAAGATAAGGAGGCAGTAAAAACAAAAGCAATCCCGCAAGAAACGAAAAACCCAAAGTCCGCTTATTTGGCAGACGAAGAGTACTTGGTAACGGCCTTGGTACCCTCAGAGACGGCGTGCTTGGCCAGCTCACCGGGGAGGATGAGGCGGACGGAGGTCTGGATCTCTCGGCTGGAGATGGTGGACTTCTTGTTGTAGGCAGCAAGCTTGGAGGCCTCAGTGGCAACGCGCTCGAAGATGTCTGCAAATTCCGAAGTCAGAAAAAAGAAATTTGATGGAAAGGAAATATAAATGGGAGAATGCATACCGTTGACGAAGGAGTTCAGGATAGACATGGCACGGGTGGAGATACCAGTGTCGGGGTGAACCTGCTTAAGGACTAGCAACAAACAAAACATTAGCAACAAGGACGCGTTTCTGTATCCAAAACTATCGACTTGACTCACCCTTGTAGATGTAGGAGGAGTAGGTCTCCTTGCGGGTCTTGCCGCGCTTCTTCTTCTCACCAGTGCCAGCGGCAGTCTTCTTGCCAGCTTCCTTCTTCTCAGCGGGGGCCTTGCCACCAACGGGAGCCTTGCCGGCGGTGGAGGGCTTCTTCTCAGCAGCCTTGGGGGGAGCCATTTTTGATGGAGAGAGAAAGGTTGAAGTTGAAAAAGTTGAAAAGGTTGGAAAAAGTGGATGGATGGATGGGGGAGAACGGAGATGGAATAAGGAAAAAATAAGAGGAACGCGGTGACGGAGGGGAACGCGGTCTTTATACTCGACCGCCAACGGGCGGTTGATCCTGGGAGTGCAGAAAAGGAGGGCGAATTTCAATACCGTATGGGATCTGTATGATCTGTATGATTAAACTGGGACCAGACGCGTTTTTTGCCGGGAACGGGTGGGGATATTGGTCTGCAGATCACGCGGGTCCATGGTATGGCATTGTAACATAGTTATATTACCACACTAATCCACATCTGGTATGTTCGCAATCACTTGATCTTAATGCTGATTGGTCGATTCTTCTAAGCGAGTGCGTGATCTAGTGAGTGTCGTTGATACCAGTGCCAACGTCACCCTCACCGCGTCCTTATAAAGTCCATCCGCTTCCTCCACGCCCCCTCTTCTTGGAAACCTTTTACCATCTCACGCTTCATCTCCAACCTTTCAACCACTTTTATACCAACCCTTTTTTCAACAACCCTTTCAAATCTACATTCATCAAAATGACTGGCGGAAAGTCTGGTGGCAAGGCTAGCGGCAGCAAGAACGCTCAGTCGTAAGTTCATGCCTTGTGGGCTGTTTTGATTTTCATTCATTCTACGCGTCTGAACGCGAAACCAAAACACCACTCCCATCTCCAAAACCAACACCCACTCTAACATTCATTCCTCCGTCTAGCCGTTCTTCTAAGGCTGGTCTGGCCTTCCCCGTTGGTCGTGTCCACCGTTTGCTCCGCAAGGGCAACTACGCTCAGCGTGTCGGTGCTGGTGCTCCCGTCTACCTCGCCGCCGTCCTTGAGTACCTCGCTGCTGAGATCCTCGAGTTGGCTGGTAACGCCGCCCGTGACAACAAGAAGACCCGTATCATCCCCCGTCACTTGCAGCTTGCCATCCGCAACGATGAGGAGCTGAACAAGCTCCTGGGACACGTCACCATTGCCCAGGGTGGTGTTCTGCCCAACATCCACCAGAGTAAGTGCTTCTCTAACTGCCCTGTGGGTTTCACTTTCAGAACATCGCATGCTAATGAATCACAACAGACCTTCTCCCCAAGAAGACCCCCAAGGCCGCCAAGGGTAGCCAGGAGCTGTAAACGGTTCCTTTTGTTTTGCGGGTTTGATTTGTTTGTTTTCCGGCGTGGGTTGGTTCATTCACGATAATGGGGTTATGGGACGGGCACGTTATGGCTCTGCGTTTTCTTTCTTCAGTTTCCTGGTTGTACATTATGCCTGCGGGCATGGAATGATACCGACGAACTCGAGCTAGTTCGATGGGATTTTCAGCTTTTATCTCGGATAGCCCAGGGGCGAAGCCCGAATCAATGAAAAGATTCTAGGTCCATCTGATACTTTACTTTTTCCCCCACCCTTCCCCTTGTTTAATTGTAACAAATCTCATGCGACATCTCTCACATTTCATTTCCGCAAGTTCGACACTACATGATGCAGATTGCACTTGATGTGTAAAAGGGTTCATTGTATTGTACAGATGCCCATGATTCAATTAAAACATGCTGTTTTTGTTCAAAACAGACAATAACAAACATATCAAACTACCTGATCGCACGGTTCATCCATCAGTGGGCGGCCGGGGGTGCCGCATCTGCGCTAGATCAGTATGCCAAATTCGGGACTTCCAGTGAGGGAACACATACAAGGTAGAATGGGAGCAGGCAAGTTTCGCTCCCATTTGTTTCCTGTGGCCGAGGTCAGTACTGTGCGCGTCCCATAATTGATATATTGGGGACATACCTCCAGGGGCGGTCGGTGGGCGATAGGGATCCGGGTGTTTCCATTCCTGCAATAGTTTTTCTGTCTCGCGTAGCAGAACCTGAATGTTCACGTGAGCCGATCAAGTCGTATCCAGTGGAGGATTTGTGAAGTGTACCTGTTGCTGGCGAGGATCACGAACGTCCTTGTTGGCCTCAAACAGCGAGCGGATGTAGACAGCCTGTCCACGCCATACCCGACGGTCAACAGCCCAGTCCAGAGACTGTTTCAAAGACCGCCGATAGAGGGACCTACAATTGGTTAGCCATGGAGAGAACGTAGTTGCGGTGGTCGCGGGAAACTCACAAAGCGGCAGAAGCGGACATGATGTACACCCTTGTCTATCAAGTCAAAATTCGAAAGGTCTCAAATGGGTAGACAGATTGGTAAGAATAGGAATTGATAGAGTCGCAAATCACCCGGACAAAGCTCCGCGGTCGAATCAGAAATCGGAGGGTATTTGATGATGCGGTGGGTTGACTATTCTGATGGAGCTCATTCGTTACAAAAGTGCACATTATATCACTATGCGCTACCGGAGACCGTAAGAACATTACTCCGCTTCCCATCTTCCGCATCTCGGCATTCGGGAGGCTTTGGCTTCGGCTACGTAACAGCATCAGGGCGTGCGCTTTTTTTTCTCCTTCTCCCTTCCCCTCTTCCTCCACATCTTCCTCTTTGGTTCTTGTGATATTCTTCATCAAAGCCTTGCTCTTAAGTCACGGGTTTTTATACACAATGCCTGCTCGACTTCCTCTTGCGCGCCTTTCGGCTCAGCGCTTAACAGCTTTGACCCGGGCCACTCGCGGTCCCAGCCGGCTTCGCGGCGCCCAGAGTCTATCTACCCTGACCCGATCCAATGCTACCGGTAGAGCTTCTGGTCTGCTGCAGGCTTCCTCGGGGTAAACATAACCTTACTTCTCCTCGCGAAGTTGGCGCAATAGCTGATGTAAAAGAATAATAGGATCAATGTCTCGCGCAACCTTGCTCCCTTCGTGGGTTCCCAGATTCGTACTTATGGTGAGTTCTAGTCTTCACAGCTTTCTACTAGCTTATGCACCGCACTAAATATTTTTTTATCAGCCGACAAGGTCGTTCAGGTTCCCCAGATGGCCGAATCGATCACAGAGGGTACACTGAAGCAATTTTCGAAACGTATGAAATTCGCTCCTTCGCCCGCATATTTATCCCGTGGATATTGACCTGGACTATAGAAATTGGCGACTTTGTGGAACGCGATGAGGAAATTGCCACTATTGAGACTGACAAGGTAAAGTCTCTTGACACGCTCGTTCGTGCATCCCTCTAACGTCATTTCTTGCGTAACAGATCGACATCTCGGTGAATGCCCCGGAAGCCGGTACTATCAAGGAATTCCTCGTGAGCGAGGAGGATACCGTCACCGTTGGACAGGACCTGATTAGGTTGGAGCTGGGCGACGCCCCTGCGGGTGGCAAGAAGGAGGTTGCCTCCGAGAAGCCCCAGGAGCCTGCTGCTGAAAAGCCCAAGGAATCTGCTCCTGAGCCTGTGACGCCTAAGGAGACCCAGGCCCCTAAGCCTGCAGCCCCGCAGACTTCAAAGGAGACCCCCAAAGCCGAGACCTCCAAGCCTTCTCTGGGCAACCGTGAGGAGCGTCGGGTACGTGTTGCAAACGCATTGGGTGAAGATTTGAAGCTTGAGACTGATAATTTATGATATCTATATAGGTTAAGATGAACCGGATGCGTCTCCGTATCGCTGAACGCCTCAAGCAATCTCAGAACACTGCTGCTTCTCTCACCACCTTCAACGAGGTTGATATGTCCTCCCTGATGGAGCTCCGCAAGCTTTACAAGGATGACGTACTCAAGAAGACCGGCGTGAAGCTGGGTTTCATGAGCGCCTTCTCCCGCGCCTGTGTTCTGGCCATGAAGGAAATCCCCGCCGTCAACGCCTCCATCGAGGGCCCTAACGGCGGTGACACTATTGTCTACCGTGATTACGTCGATATCAGTGTGGCTGTTGCTACTGAGAAGGGTCTGGTTACCCCCGTTGTCCGCAACACTGAGACCATGGATCTTGTTGGTATTGAGCAGTCTATCGCCGATCTTGGCAAGAAGGTATGCACTGCATGGGAATTTAATAACACTGTGTGTAGCACTGACGAATGATACATAGGCTCGTGACAACAAGCTTACCATTGAAGATATGGCTGGCGGTACCTTCACTATCAGCAACGTAAGTATTTGAATTCCATCTCTCTCTCTTTCAAAGAGTGAATTGGCCTGAAAAAAATCACTAATTTTGATCAGGGTGGTGTGTTCGGTTCTTTGATGGGTACCCCCATCATCAACGCGCCTCAGACTGGTGAGTCTTTCCGTGCCTTTTTTCCCCGGACCTCATTCTAACAATATATCCCCAGCCGTGTTGGGCCTTCACGCCATCAAGGACAAGCCAGTCGCCGTGAACGGCAAGGTCGAAATCCGCCCGGTAATTTTTCCCGCGTTTCCCACGCTTCTGAAGACCAAACTAACAATTTCTTGTCGATAGATGATGTATCTGGCTCTCACTTACGACCACCGCCTCCTGGATGGTCGCGAGGCCGTCACTTTCCTCGTCAAGGTATATTGTTTGTCCTCCCTGCTTGGAACCCTTACTAATTCCATTGTAGGTCAAGGAGTACATCGAGGACCCTCGGCGCATGCTGCTTGGGTAAATGATGTTTTTGTTACCCTGTTGGCTGTATGTGTTTGTTGTGCCTAGAGCAGCCATTTGGCACACTGTGTAGATTATCGGATTTTCAAATATAACTGCCATTTCAATCCAGGCCTTCGCTGCTCGGAGGGGATTGGCTCGTGGAATTCTGTGTTTTCTGCGTAGTTTCAAGATATGGACCAGTTGGTGATTTGTCTGCAACGAATACCAATCTTGCCCCACATCGGCTTTGATGTCAAGATTCTCGGGTTTTGTGACGGAAATGTGGGTGTGCTATGGTTGACAGTTTCAGCGCAACCCCACTCGGGCCTTTAGGCGTTGCGTTTCCTCGGGGCTTAGACCACTGAGCTGACCTCGCTCTAATTGGATGATGATCGGGGGATCCAGTGTCGTCATTAGGTCACGGAGGAATGTCATCACGATGGATTTAAACTCCGATAGTGGATACTTTTGAGTCACTGACTGCCCTCTATGATGTTCGATTGCGTCCGGTAATGCGCTGGCATACCTCTGCCGGACGTTCACCCATTTCGAACCCAGTGCAGGATCATTGGGGGACCACGAGCAGAGCTTCGACATATCTTCGGATGGTAGACGCCCTTCGCGTTGATCTTCAAGTACCGCCTGGACCATGAAGCGTGCACCAGTGTCAAACCATCGCGTTACCGATACCTTCGCAGCTGCTGTAGTGCAGAGGTCCATGAACGCCACCCCGATAGCTGGCAGTCGTGGGCAGTCTTCCTGGGTTTGGTGTGACTGTGCTCCATAATGCCGAAGTCCATCTGCCACGGCAAGAAGTTGCAGTTTAATGTGTAGGTCTTGAGGTAACGGTATCTCGGGGTGAGTTGACGCCACCAAGCTCCGAAATCCTGTCATCGTCAGTGTGGCTTCCGCGCGAAATTCTCTGCTATCACTTTACCTTCCAGTGACTCAACTTGCCAGTCCAGATCATCCTCCTGTGTACCTATGTCCTGGGTTTGTCTTCTGCTTGCCAGGATGATGCTATTAATTGCGAGACAGGCAAGATAGTCCATGATCATGAAATCCACATCCACATGGATGTCCGAGTGAGCATCCACTTGGGCAGGGGACCGAGCATTGGTCTGAGGCCAAACTGGTGGCTTCATACTGAGAGTTATAGAAACATGGTACTGATTTGAAAAGCGAATGTGAAGGGTTTTGAATCGGTTGGTTGGGTTGGTTGGGTTTTGTGGAGAAGAATAAGAGCGGGATCACTCGCCCCGCATTGGCCGTTTTGGTTGTTTGGTCTCTCGGATATCAATTGAATTGAACGTTAATTAAAGGCAGAATTTCTAGCTTGAATGTTTGTCGGGCTTGTCCTGATTGATATATACTATTATTGACTTTTTCAAGTACTGTGAGACTATGCCTTGTGGATTTGGTTTATGTATATAATCGCTCTATTGGCAATTGGGTGGGATATATATGTATCCCTACTTATATGGTTACCCTGGTGCATCATGTATACAGTGCTCATATTCATATTAGGTAAATTATTCAACGGTTGGGTAAACTCGAAACAAATAGACACTTGGCATATAGAATTCATCCAAGAGGAATAGATACAGTCACGTGGAGGGATGAGGAGAGCATGTCGTCACGATTTCACCGGTCGTTCCCACTCTACCTTCTTACTTCTCTTACATGTTCAGACGACTGACTAGCATCTTCTACCCCCCAAGACAAGCAAGGGTCCTGACAATGGCATGGTACTGCTCTGCGTCTACCAACACCGAGTTGGTTGAGAACTTGTCTCGGGTCGATCTGATCAAGAGTGAACGCGTCAAGGAAGCCATGTTAGGTGTAAGTTGCGAGGACCCCCTTTAAAAGGATCATAACAACCTGATACAATGCTAAAGGTCGACCGGGCTCACTATGCTCCATCGCGGCCGTATTCGGACTCACCCCAGTCCATCGGACATGGGGCAACGATATCAGCACCGCACATGCACGCTCACGCATGTGAATATCTCATTGAATACCTCAAACCTGGAGCCCATGTCCTAGATATTGGATCTGGATCGGGGTATCTCACTCACGTCTTGGCCAATCTAGTGACCAGTTTACCTGGATCATCGGAAGAGCAGGGTCAAGTCATTGGGATCGATCATATCTCCAACCTAGTGGATCTGGCCCGATCGAACATGAACAAATCCGCACAGGGTCGGGAATTGCTGAACTCAGGACAAGTAAAATTTATCACAGCAGATGGACGCCTGGGGTGGAAAGAAGGTGCCCCGTATGACGCCATCCATGTTGGTGCAGCCGCGGAGACACTGCATCCAGTCCTGATTGAACAGCTGCGAGCCCCCGGCAGACTATTCATCCCAGTAGAGTCGGAGAGTGGAAGCGGTTTTAGCGGTGGACAATACATCTGGATTGTCGATAAGCGAGCGGATGGATCGGTCCGCAAGGAGAAAGTCTTCCAAGTCAGCTATGTGCCTCTCACCAACGCACCTCGATCATGATAATGATCATGATTGCTCGGATCAAACTCATGCCTAGGTGTCTACAAGAACTAAAACAAAACCTGCTCGTAGAAAATTGCACTCATGTCAAGAATATCCAGCTCGTAAACCGGATTCTCCATTTCCTTATTATATGAAACCCAAGTTATGCCCGTCAAAAAGACCCGGCAAATGATACTCCTAGAAACACCATATGTGCTACAATGGGAAGTGAAGCGAAAAGCAAGTAAAAAATTCACCGGAATGGGAAACCACCAGAGAACTTGAACTGCGATCCACCCTGCTGGAAGAAGAACTGTTGTTGACCACCTTGACCGAAGGGGTTGCCTTGCTGTTGGAAGGGATGGCCTCGCTGGGATTCGGGATCGTTTGGATCGTCCCCGTTGTCATACCGAGTTCGAAGTTCAGAATCAGATAGAACCTCATAGGCCTCGTTGATAGATGCCATCTTCTTCTCTGCTACCTCCTTAGAGATACCCTGCGAGGCAGCCTTGTCTGGATGGTTGACCTTAGTTAACTGACGATAAGCCCGTTTGATGGTTCGCTCATCTGCATCGCGACTCACACCCAAAACCTTGTAATAGTCCTTCTGCTTGGAGCGCTTCAGAAGAGCATGCGCTTTCTGCAGAAGAGAATGAATGTCTTGGGAGTGAGGGTGATGTTCCTTAGCCATGTTGAGCGTTCGCACTGCGTCCTCAAACTGATCCTCATCCAGCGCAGATTGGGCTTGGTATAATAGACCATGAAGAGAGGATGGAACCAACTGTAGGGATTCGGTGCAATAAGGACCAGCCTTTTTAGCCATATTCATCTAAATATGAAGCATTAGCCTTCATACCAACCGCTGACAGGGGGAGGATTTACGTACCGCACGGTAAGCCTCACAAGTTTTCTCAACAAGGAAAATATAAAGATTATTTGAGGCGGCTTGATGAATATGACCGGCCTCCCTCGCCTCCGCAACGTCTCTTTTTATGTCTTCAACCAAGCCAGTTTCATCGCCACTCCCGACCAAGAGGTTAACAACGTTACTCCACTTGTGTGCCTCTAACGCGCTATGAACCTTTCCAAGTAATTTTGATAATTGTTTCTCTCGCCGATAGAGACGATTGCACGGCTTCGAGTCAGGATCTGTGTGAAGGCATCGGCGAATCTGAGTTAATCCTCGATCGCTGTCCCCAAGTGCGTAGAACAGCATGGCGGACATCTGCAAATGAGGCTCTACCAAGGTAGGGGAGATTTGCAGGACATGTGCGAGGTCACTGACGCCTTCTTCCACCTCACCTCTCTCGAAACGACAGTGTGCCCGGGTCTGTCGAAGGGTCAGGTCTGTATTTGCTTTCAAAATCGCCACTCCAGCCTGCATGATACAGGCCTCCCAGTCCCCCTTATGCTCGGCAGTCACAGCCAATCCTGCCGCATCTCGCGCCTCTTCGAGTTCCGTGTACTCAGCCGATGATTTCTTCCCCGCACGCTCAAGATCCTGAAGAGCCTCTTTCCAGTGAGCATTTCGTGCCCTTAGGCGGGATCGTTGCAGCAGGGCACCCTCAAAATCGGGCTTGAGTTCCAACACGCGATTGAAGTCCTCAGATGCCTGTGGGTTCTTCCCAATAGATAGGTAAGCCGCACCCCGCTGAAAGATTGTAATATAGTTTGTCGGATCGCGCACGATAGCTTCATCAAAGTATACCAAGGCATCACGGGGTGAGCCCTTGGCGAGATGTGATTTGGCAGAGGTGATCAATTCGGAGAGCGGCGTGTCTGGGGGAATCTGTAAGGCATTGCCAGTCGATAGACAGGCTAGAGCCGCCGTAAGTGTTTCAAATGAAATGCGCATAATTTTTTTATTTTTAGTTTCAAGTTTCAAGTTTCAAGAAAAGAATGAACATGGTCGATAAAGTGAGGGTGTGAGGAAGAGAGAATGGAGAATGCGAATAGAATGACATTCATTGCTTCGAACCCCGTGGACGCCGTGGCCTTTACGCGTAATTTACATAAAATACAACTTATCGTTTTTCAACGATTTTGAATCCTTTTCACTTTCCTTTCTTCCTCAAGAATGCTACGATGCGGTCGAATTTTAAGGCCACGATTTGGTCCAAGTCAATCATTAAGAAGAGCGCATTCTGGCATGTCTTTGCCTTTTCCCTGACCTGTGACTTGAAACGCTAACATGCCTCAAAACAGACTCCGGTTTGTCTCCAGTATTGCTAACTCGAGCCCGATTACTGGCCTCCGAACATGCGAAACTCACGGATCGACTGGTGGAGTCATTTGATGCAAAAGTCGCGAAGCGAGCTGGGGAGCTGGCACCAGTTGCCTCCGTCTTGAAAGAATGGGACAATGCCAACGATGTAGGTGATACAAACCCCTTCCACTATTCCTACCACCAATTAACCGCGGGGGAGATAAATAGTCCATTCTTGAATTGAAATCCCTACTAGAGGATCGTCAAACAGATGAGGAATTGCGCTCCCTCGCGACGGAGGATCTGGATATCACCAATGATGCTTTGCCTGCCATATCAGACCGATTGAAGAAGTCACTGATTCCTCGTCATCCATTTGCAGCACTTCCGTGCCTGATTGAGATCCGGCCTGGTGCGGGAGGCGATGAAGCAGGTCTTTTCGCGTATGAGATGCTACGCATGTATCTTTCTTTCTGTTCCCGTCGAGGGCTCCGGCCCACGATCCTAAAACAGGACGTGGAGGATGGCCCATCAGAGGATCGGCTGACCGAGGCAGTCATTGAAATTGAAGCCGAAGGCGCATACGATATTCTGCGAACGGAATCCGGGGTCCATCGCGTGCAAAGAGTACCAGCCACAGAGACCAAAGGCCGTACTCATACCAGTGCTGTTAGCGTCATGGTTTTGCCGAGTTTCCCAGAAACTGGGAGTAGCATAGACAATGCTTTGAACTTTGAAGACCCGACCAGCGATTACTATATTGATCCTCAGGAAGTGCGCATAGAGAAAATGCGAGCTGGAGGTGCAGGTGGACAACATGTTAATAAGACCGAATCGGCGATCCGGCTGACCCATTTCCCCACGGGTACCGTGGTCTCCATGCAAGATGAGCGGTCTCAACAGGCCAACCGACGGAAAGCCTGGCAGGTCCTGCGGGCCAAGATCGCCGAAGCCCGTCAAGAGGCCCGAGAGCAGGAGCTGGTTGAGCTTCGACGAGGTGTTTTGGGTGGAGTGGCTCGGATGGGCCGAGGCGACAAGATCCGGACCTACAATTTTGGCCAGAGCCGCTGTACAGATCATCGTTGTGGTACGACTATTCACAACCTGGATTCTGTTTTGGATGGAGGCGATGGCTTGGAAACAGTCATGGAGAACGTGCGTACTTGGATGGCAGACCGTGAAGTCGAGGCGATGGTGGCAGAAGATCTGGCCAAAAACAAGGAAAAAGAGAAGAAATAGAGAGATCTATTCATTGTACAATAACCATATGTATATACCACGTTCTAATGTAAATCGCAAAAGAATAACAAGCAAACTCCTGTTGATTTATCCGTTCAGATATACTTTCGATCAGGGTCAACGAGATCCATCATCTCTATGGACTTTTCATACCTGTTAAGATGGGATTAGTATGACGTTCGAATCAAGTTGATAGGGACGTACATGGTAAACACAATACCACCGCTCAGAATCAATCGCGCCAGTCGAGGGACAGCGCCAGACCAGAGGGTGAAGAAGCCTTCATTTTTGAAGATGCTGGCAGCACAAGCGAAGCTATTCTTGTAATTCTTACTAGCCTCGATTGACTGCATTCTTGTCTTGACGGTATCCAGAGGTTGAGTTACGTAACTGGCACAGGCTGTTAGGAGAGAAAGTGGTAGATGGAAATGGGAGATTAATACGTACACAGTGATAATACCGGCAATGCCTCCAATTGCAAAGGTACTCAGGGTTCCTAACTTCTCCCCCGGAGCCACGTAGCCCTCTGCAAATTGCTTCAAAGTGGTATAGGCCGTGAATCGTGTCGCCGAGTTGGCAGCTTGCCGTGCTGTAGTAGGCACAAAGCCTTGGAAGAAGCCCCGAATACCTCTTTCTTGCCAAATGATCCGGCTTCCGTGGAGAAAGCCACGCATGCGGGGCTTTGCCGCCTTTCGATCGTCAATCCTAAAGAACCACACACATCAGTCATCGGGTCTATTTGTGGTCGCGCCACGAAAGAGAGAAGGAAATACCCACAACTGTGTCTTGATACTCTCAAATGGAGTGACCGCCAGAAGGGACTCGGTGAAGCCTGCACCAAAACCAGCCACAACCGTTCGTGGTCCCGAAATCTTGCCATTTTCATCCTGAAGGGTCGCCTTGATGGCGTCGAATGCAACGAAACCTGCCAGTTACCAATTGTCAGAGAGGGGGAGTAGTTGAGGAAACCTGGAACGTACGGATTCCAGCCTTCAGAGAATTGCCGATAATGAGAGTGGTGCACCCGGCGTACCACTGCGAGCCGAATTTCGGCCAGGGCAATTTCTGGCCATCGGGGAGGCGGCGGTTGAGCTGGGTGCGGGTCTTTGCAACTGAGGTTTAATTAGCTTTGAAGGGAGAGAAGGGACACGGATCTATACACTCAGCTGGATATGTGATTGCTGCAAAAAGTTAATTTTCGTTTTGTGACACATGAGGGTGGAATTCCATACCGATCTCCACGGCTCCAGCCGTGGAGCCCGCAAGGATGGAGCGCAGGACGCTAGGCTATGGACGTCATTAGTATTCGAATTTTGGTCAAGAATAGAAAGATAGGACAAACCTTGGCCTTTGTATCCTTAGTCGCTGTAGCCATTGCGGGTGGAAGTGGATTGAAGGTTGGGGATCTGGGTGGTGGTATGTACTACGTTCGACCCGTAGATGTCATACGGTATCCCGCAGCCCCACTATACGCAATTTAGTCCGACTACGGAGTACGAGATACAAGTTATATTGGACAAAACGCTCAGAGGGATTTGTTTATCATTTTCACTAGATGCTCAAGAGTATCCGTCATCTAATTCACCTCTGATACTTTTTTTTTTTTAGTTTTTGTTTGGTTTTTTTCCCTTTTCATTTCGATATACCTTTAGTCGACACTTGGTGGGAAACTCAACCACCCAAAGTCCATATGCTATATGGATCAGATATGATATCGAGGTTAAAACCTGTAGTTTGCGAAGCCAATGTGTCTAGGCAGATCAAAGGAGAGAGGGCGAGAGAAAAATACACATATTTGAGGAGCGAGGTGGTGTGCGTTGCGTTGCTGTGTCGTGTAGTAGAGTAGAAAATGTGGTTTTCGACAGTCGAGATAGTCGAGACAGGGTAGTAAAAAGAGCATCAGTCCGGGGAAAGTCGTGCACCTCCATCAAACCCAGAACGCCAAATTCGATCGAAAGATCATGGAGAACGCCGATCGTGCAAAACCCATCGAAAACAAAACCATGGCGGTCGAGCGTAGTATGTACACTTTCACCGCAGAAAGTCAGGGCTATCAAGAATCGCCGGGACCGGAAAATGCACTCTCAGACTCAACTCAATTCAACCACAAGGCGATGAATTCAGGTAGAAGCGTAAGAACTGAGCGAGGGATTTATGATACAAAAGTCGCACCAGTATCGTATCGTCGTGACGAAGGAACACAAGTTCTGTGACGGCGAGGGAGGAAGAAGTGGCCCGAGGACAAAAACAGAAATCCGTTGGGAACGCGAGAAAAGGGGAACAGAATAACAGAGACGAGGTAGCGAAGGTGGGCAAATAAGGAGGGGGAGGGAGGAGATATCATGCAAGTGACCCGAGTTCAAGGCGGGGCAGAATTTCAGGAGACAGGGGCTTGCGGGTTAGTTCCAACCTGCCCAGGGGTGAGAATTGCCTTGTTGGCATCATTGGGGCCACGTCGTGGACCCTGTCCACGACCACCGCCACGGTAAGAGCCCCGACCACGGTTATAGTACTGCCCACCATTCGGGTGTTGATGGTGATGGTTCTGGCGACGAGGTTGGCGATCCCCATTGCCGGGATGCGATCCCGCAATTGGGGGCTGAGGGGGGCCCGAAATGGGCCGAGGAATGTTCTCCGGCGAGTCATAGACATAAAGCTTCTTGTCGATATTCTGAGGAATAGGTTGGATCTCGGTGCCTAGTTCCTGCTCGATCTTGTATAGATTGAATCGATCCTCCCAATTGATGAGATTGATTGCGAGACCCAAATGACCAAAGCGACCAGAACGGCCGATACGGTGCAGATATGTCTCTGCATTCTTCGGGAAGTCGAAGTTGATCACAACATTGACGGCTTGGATGTCAATACCACGGGTCAGAAGATCCGAACAGACTAGGTTACGACACACGCCATTGCGGAAATCATGGAAGACCCGATTACGGTGTTGCTGAAGCATGCGAGCATGTGAATAAAAGCAGGAGTAACCCAACTCGGTAATCTTCTTTGCTAAGAGCTCCACACGGTTGGTTGAGTTGCAGAAGATGATAGACTGATTGATCTGGAGTTTTGAAAACAGAGTGTTCAGGCAGTGTACTTTTTGCTTTTCCTCAACAAAAGCGTAATACTGCGTAATACCTCGCAGGGTGAGCTCATCCATGAGATTGATCTCGTAAGGGTTGCGCATATGCTTGTCCTTGAATGCCTTGACGATGAGCGGGAAAGTGGCACTGAAGAGCATGACCTGACGATCCTTGGGATGGAAGGACATAAGTTGCTCAATAACTGGCGTAAACTCAGGAGAAAGGAGCTTGTCTGCTTCATCCATCACGAAGGTTGGACATTCAGACAAATCGGCCACGCCTTTGCTGGCCAGGTCTAGCACTCTGCCGGGAGTACCAACCAAGATGTGAACAGGGTCATTGAGTCGAATAATATCATCCATAAGACCTGTTCCACCAGTGGTTACCATAACGTTAATCCCAAGGTGTTTGCCCAGTGTCTTGCAGACCTGAGAGGTTTGAAGCGCCAGCTCTCGTGTGGGGACTAGAATCAAGGCTTGGGTTTTAGTGCTCTTGGGGTTGATGCGTTCAAGAGTGGGGATAACGAAGGCGGCTGTTTTTCCCGTGCCGTTCTTGGCTCGCGCCAAAATGTCTCGGCCAGTGAGAGCGACTGGAATAGTTTCTTCTTGAATGGGAGAGGGCTTTTCAAACCCAGCTTCAAAGATTCCCATCATAAGCTCCCGCTTAATGTAAAAGTCCTCGAATTCGAGGCCCTTGGTTTTAGTGACATCCTGGAGGGCAAGTTAGTGCTGATCTAGATCCTGGAGCAAACAGGGATGAACAAACCTCTGTCTGTGGCCGAGTATCCTTAGGTGGAAGTTTCAGTGAATCCTGGAGTCTCGCTTCTGTGTTTCCATCACTGGCGGCAAAGTTAGAATGGCGCGAGAAAACAATGAAGAAAAATTCGAAAGGATTCTTCGTTCACCTGAGCTTGGTATTGTGAAGTTGGGAGGCAAGGGCGTCGGCCATGGTGGTAAATGGGTATCAAGGTAAATGATGAAACGGCCGTCGAAAGATCAAATAGAAGGCCAACAGACGGCAAGAAACAAGTAGAAGCAAGTTTCAATAATTTCCGTGATGCGACTGAAGCTTAGGTGTTGGCGTGGGTAGAATCTTGTCGCTTCCCGTTGTTGGTGTGAAAATGGGAGTTTGTCAACCCAAATCAAAGATTCCAGAAAAGTGATGGACGTTTCCTTGTTCGAGATTTTCTAAGAACCCAACTGAAAAAGAGGTCGAAGTGAGTTCAGATGTGGGGGTTGGAGGTCCCGCGGACAATCAGAGAGGGGGATTTAGAGATGAGGAAAAGTCAAATCGGATGCCCAATGGGTGGTGGTGAAAGATTAGATCAAATGGTGACCTTTCGGGCAGAAAATGTGACAGGAGTAAGTGTATCGAGGGGATGGGAGTGCAGCAAATGAAAGGGATTGGAGACGGAAGAAGTTGAAGTTAAGTGGGAAAGACAACGGCCTGGTCCCGCAGAGCCACGTGACTATCAAATTTGTAGCTAAACAATGTTAAGTAGAATATGCTACAAGAAACACGTTATGCAGATACTTGACTCGAAGCCATGAAATTACTATCAATACATACAAGGTTTTTAAAATAGGCCAAAAGCAAAAGAGGAAGAAAACGCAAAAGCCAAAATAAATTCAAATGAGATTTAGGGGTATCAGAAAGCAGGAACAAAACAAAATAGGAGATAGTCCCTCAAAATGACTTGTTTCCCTTAGAAGGACAGTGTGGTTTGGCCACGCTCCGGTTCAGCGAGCTCTTTCACCCGAACATCAGGGGCGATGGTGATATCCGTTTTACTTCCCGGGGTGATCAGGATAAACTGTCGCCCAACTGAACGCCGGGCAGCCATCATCTAGTCGGGAGGTTAGTACACGGCTCAGGCAAAAACAAGGGACCAGAAAAAGGGAACATACGAGCATGTCGATGGACATTTTGCGGTTGACGTGATCCATATACACGTCACTGTTGAATAGGGGTAAGTAAACATACGTAGCATGAACATAGAAAGGGTGACAAACAATTCATCCAGGCAGCGGATCGGGGATCCCATGGCTTCCCAGAGGGCGAGCAGCAGACAGACTTGTGAGAAAGATTTCTCACCACCAGAGAGAGTCTTGGCACCGCGGCCGGTGCTATCATCCTTCGTGATGTCGGGCTCAACCTGGAGAAATGAATTAGCTTCAGAATACCATGCGTAAGTATTAGATACGCACTTGAAGATCCAAACTCTTCTTGTCATGGAAAGTAAGTAGTCGACCCCGGAAGCTTCTTTCGCTCAACAGATAGGTAAACTGGGCCTTTGCCCGAGAGGTGATATGGGCGCGGAACAGCTCCCATCGGTTCTTCCGATGGTGGAGGGTGCTCTTCAATTGCTAGGAACCGGTCAGTAATGACTTTCCAAATATGATGGGACGTCGGCCTGTACTTCTGCTAGTGTGATATGCTCTTCAACTTGTTTCATTGCGTGTACATAAGCAGCTTCGGCGCGAGCAGCTTCTGCTGCGATTTCATCCCGCGAGCCACCCAGGCTGACAACGATTAGCAAACGAAAAAAGAACAGATAGAAAAGACGCACTGTTGATGGTAGCGTTGCAGATCGTTCTGCAGCTTGTGGAGCTTTTGATCAAGACTGTCGGCGGTTTCGCCTTCGCCGACCGAAACCCTCGTGGATACCAAGCTAGCCTTCTCAATGTAGGAGAGTACTCGCTCCACAAGCTCTTCCCGCTTCTGATAGATTTTATCTCTATCTTCTTTGAACCTTTCGATGGTTTCGATGGCAGTACTTTTCTCACGAAGAATATCTGTCCGACGGTCCATCACACGCTTCCGCTCACTTTCCGCAACGTTGCGCTCCTTCTCCAGATTATTGATCACGGTTTTCTGAGCCGATAGTTCTCGTCGGATCGCCTTGAGGTTTTGCATTAAAGCTTCCATGGCCTTCTTGCTGTCATCGAAAGACCCTTCATTGACTTGTTTGTCATTTTTCGCATCCTGCAGATTAGTCCGTAGGGTATCTATGCGCCCACCATCTTCCTCAATGTTCGCTTGATCCAGAGCACCTTTGAGAGCCTCATACTCATCTTCCATCCTTTGCATGGTCAAGTTCAATTCGACCTTCATTGTCTTGTGTCGATCAAGTGCTTGTTTGCAGGTCTGGACATAGGAACTAGCTGAATCGAGATCTTGCTTCAGATCATTCAACTGACGCTTAATATCCTGTACGACTTCTTCTTGGGCCCTGGTATACGACAACTGAAATTTAGCCAAAAGGACATTTGATAGGGCCAAGGAAGAGGTGTGTACCTGATTCGCAAGGCCGCGTCTGATTTCATCCGGGGGCTACCAGAGAACATCGCAACTGGAGCCTGGTTAGGATCGCCCGATCGATTGTATGAAAGATGGAGCCCTCTGCGTCTATCCCTTGCATCGATGCAGTAACATCTTTTGACATTTCTTGGTCTTTCTCCGTCAAAAAGCACAGTGGATGCCTCTTCCAGGCTTTCAATCAATAGCATTTGCTCTACCGCATGATTAATGATGAGCTGTCGCCGGACCATTGGGTGTTCAATCTATGCGAATATGTTATCAACTCATCACAGACAGCACTTTCCGCTACAAGGATGCTTCTTACCTCCAGTGACCTCAGAGCTGTGTCGTATTGAGGGTCAGGCTCAAGAGCAGACGTGTCGATATCAGCCCCACTTCCAATCAAAATTGGACACTGGCTAAACGAGTGTCAAAGTCAATGCAACGGCACAGAGCGTAGAGACCATTGCGACTCACCACTTCACTTTTTCCATGATCTCAGACAGCTTTTTCTGATCACTTTTCGATGACACAATGAAACTGTTGAGAGTATTGGTTAAGGCAGTCTCCAGGATGGACGACCATTTGGGCTTGAGCAAGGTGACATAATCGCCGGCGGGACCGATGGGAGGTGTGGTCCATGAGCTCTCTGTACGTATGGCCTGTATGAGAGCCGGCATTTTTTCATGGAACCGATTCCGTACTTGGCCATTCTCTTTGCGGAGATTCTGCAAGCGATCGTTTGCTTCGTTGTGATCTTTTTCTTTGGCCTCATAGGCCTCCTTTGCCACTTCATGCTTATTTTCAGCCAGCCGACGTTCTTCTAGCAAGCCCCGTTCAGCTTCAACGTGGGCTTCGAGTTCCAGGCGAGCAGTAGTTGCACGAGCCGCAGCCTGCTCACACTCTTCCTGCTTACGAGCATACCCTCCATTGCTCGCCTCAGCCAAGCGTTGGCTTTCGGCATCGATTTCCTTCTGCGCCTTGGCAATTCTATTTTCTGCTCCTTGAATGTAATCTCTGATCACTCCTTGTTGGATCTGCTAGGAGTTAGAAAGGTTGGAATTTTGATACAGAGGGTTGAGATAAATTGGTAACAAGTTGCATACCTGAAGGTCCGATCGATCCTTCATTTCGTCAGCAAGCCTTTTCTCGATGTTCTCTCCTTGATCCCGTGCCGCCTGGAATGCTCTGTCGGCTTGTAACGCATGATCTGCAGCGTTGTCATGTTCAGCGTCAACTTCTTGAAACCTGTCATCATAGCTCCTGAGATTGGCATTTGCACTAGCGATTTGCTCGTCCCATTTGGCGAGCTCATCGCTCAGAGAGTCTCGAGTCTGCTGCATGTTAAACAATGACAAAGGCAACGAAAAAGATGACAGCACACTCACCCGTTCTTGTTCCTCGACCTGAGCCCAGGCCATCTGGTTGCGCAGATGTCTGATACGTTCCCGCAGGGAATCGTGCTGGTCCGATAGCTCTAACTTCTTCCTTGCGGCATCCCTGCGGTCTTCCAACATCTTAATATCTTCGCTTGTACTCCGGATTTTCTCTTCCATCTGGTCGACAGACTCTTCAATCAAACGGTAATCATTGTCCAACTGCTCCAGCTGCACGCCTTTAACGAAGAATTTGTATTTCTCTGTTGCGCTAGACGTGCTCAGAAACTGGCGAGCCAAGTCTTGAGATAGCACATTCATAGGATTGTCGATCTGTAGAGAAAAGTAGTCGGTGATTGAATCAAGCTCTGCTTTTTTAGTCGAAATGATATGGCCGTTTTCAGCTTTGATTTTGAATCCACTGGATCCGCTCCTGTTGAAATGGCGTTCGACAATGATGGACTTTCCAAAAACCTCAGGTCGGTATGCGCCATCGCCCTGGTTTTTGATCCGCACGATAATATTGGCATTATCCTTGCCTGCCTTGATGAAAGTCTTGAGGCTCTGCCCGCGGTTGGTTGCGGACGCTTTGCCACCCAAGCAGAGCGTCAGTGCCGTTAAGATTGCACTTTTACCGCTGCCATTCTTGCCGACAATAAAATTGATAAGTGGACCCAAGTCCACCGAAAAGTGATTGTGACACATGAAATTGTAGCAATCGACACGTTCCAGAATTCCGTGCTCCGACGGTATGTTTTCTTCATTGAGAATTTTGGCATACTTCTGCTGGATGATCTGGGTCTGGTGAAGTTCTAACTCTTCGTCATTCATCATCGCATCCTCGGCCAGAGAGGAAGAGCGGGAGGAATGGGGACTCGTTTCTGGATCGCTCTCGTCATTTCGCTCGGGTGGTGTGTTCGATGTGCGAGGTCGTTTTCTCTGCCCTTTTTGTTAGTGCGGCCAATCATTGCAACTGACGGCCAAACACTTACTGAATGAGAGGGAGAGGCCGATCCAGCACTTTCCAATCCGCTATCACTCTGATCTTCATCCGAGTCCAAAGACTCCTGCGCACGTTTGATGGAAGGCATTGTAAGGGAGAAGAAATTTGTAGCTAGGGGAATTTGATTGGAAGAGTATTAGGATATGGAGTAAAAATGGCGATTTCTCGCAACAGTGGTGGGCGCATAAAGAGCCAAACAGTCAAAGAAATGGCTAAATCAAAGAAACCCGCGTCACGCGCTCTTTCGCGTTCACGGAGCTGAGTCAGCGGGTGTATCCCCGTTAAGTTTTAACTAAGTTGCGCAATCGTAAACTACTAGTTACTAAGTACTTTAACTACAAATGCATACTTGACTATTTGTATAACTGTTTAAGAGACGATTTTAAATTAATTGAATAAAGGATTCAGCTACCGCTATTGATTAGACATATCTACCGTGTTGCGTAAATCATTTGGGATTTCCATTTATCCACTTTCGACATCGGCATCAAAATCATTTATGCCTTGACAGGCTCCTCTGCCACGTAGTGCAAGTAAGCACCCAGCAGCTTGGTTCCCTCGATGTAGTTACGACGGTCCAGCTTCTCATTGATCGAGTGGGCAGCATCGGTCGAGCTTCCCATGGGCAGAAGCAGCACATTCTTTCCAGTGGCCTGCTCAAAGGTCAAGGTCACGGGAATGCTGTCAAGTAAAAATTCAAGTCAGTTTCATTTTGTAGATTTGGGACCATATTTGGGGATCTGAAATTGACGTACCTTCCACCTTCACGAGTCATATCCGGTGCAACTCCAAAGACCTGCTCCACGGCCTTGCTGGCGGCGCTGAAGTTCCAGTGCTTCGGGCTGGCAACCCACCACTTGCCGTCGTGCTGCAGCCACACATCCATCTTATTCTTGCTATTGAGCTTGGCAAACTCCGCTTTGATGTGGTCGAAGACCAGCTTGTTGACGTCGGCGCTTTCCATGTTCGGCACGGTCCGAATGGAGAACTTGCCAATCACCTTGGCAGGGATGACGGTCTTCGCCCCTGGGGCGGAATAAGCGCCCTCGATACCGTGGATGGACAGGGAAGGGAACCTCCAACGGGCCATCAGGGTTCGTTCCTTGGTCGGATGAATGCCAGTCTCACTTCCCAGCGATTCGTGGAGGTTGTCCATAGTGTAGCTAATGTTCCCGTACAGCGAATTCTCCTCCTCGGTTACGGGCGCCACCAGATCCATGAGTCCGGGAATGAGAATGTTGCCTTGCGCATCCACCAGCTTCGACAAAACGTTCACCATGTCGGTCATGGGCTCGTGAGCAGAGCCACCGAAAACACCACTGTGAAGATCTTGAGCAGGGCCCGAGATGCTGACAGAGTAGTAATTGCATCCGCGCAGACCATATGTCAGACAGGGCTTTTCGGTACCCAGCCAGTAGTTATCGGAGATACAGACCGCATCAGTATCCTTGAAGAATTGTTTGGCCTCGGCTTGAATGAAGTCATCCAGACCTTCGGAGCCGTACTCCTCCATACCCTCGAAGCAGCAGAGCAGGTTGACAGGTAGCTCTACGCCGGCCTTACGGTGAGCCTCAATGACGTTGAGCCAGCCGAGTACCGGACCCTTGTCATCTGTGGAACCACGACCATACATCCGACCCTTATCATCGATGGTCAGCTCGAAAGGCTCAGTGGCCCAGCCATCCTCCTTCAGCGCGGGTTGCACATCATAGTGGCCATAGACAAGAATGGTACGCTTGTTCTTGTCGTTACCGTACCGCGCAATGACGACAGGAGGAAGGTCGAGATGCTCTTTGCCAGGCTGCTTGCCCAGTGGCCGTTGGTGAACCTCGGCACCCAAGGCCTCTAGCTCGGTAGCCAAAAATTGGGCCATCTTCGATACCGATCAGTTCATGTAGAATTACCAAGTGAGGGGGGCTATAACCAACTCACCCGAAACACATCCTTTCGGTTCTCATCTTGAGCCGAAACCGAGGGGATTGCAACAGCCTTCCGCAGACCTGTCGGGATCGTTAGTCATACAATTTATCAACACCTGATGCTGTGACAAAGGAGGAGAAAAAATCACCCTCCCAGCCACGAAGCATGAATGATCCAACTACGCACGATCAATGAAGCTCTCTGCCGAAGCGTCAACCCTAATGAGGACGAGTACGTTAAAATCTGGCGTTCCTTTTCATGGGAGACCTTTGAGAAGCAGAAAACATACTGCTTAAAGAAGGGCTCCAACTGTGGTGCCATTTTGGAGTCACTGATGTATCCGTAGAAGAAGCGACGAAAGGTGGGAGTAGGTTTAGAAAACCGTGAGAGAAATTGCCCAGGTTTGACGAGTGATGGAATTCGATGGAGGGGAAAGAGGGGCATTGCAGAGAAGAAAGCCGTTGTATCTTATCACGTAATAAGCCCTGTAGCACCCGCGGACCTTGGGTTTTTTGCGTGCCGGCTGTAGCCGCCTTTCACAGTTGTGGTGATTAATTCTAGTCCCATGGGATGTAGGGCTTATCTACCGACCGTGCGGTCCTCTGGATTTACGTACACAGAAAAGGGACCTACTATAACTATAAGACATCGAATACCAAATACTAACGATAAATGGTAAAGATTAGATAATGATAAATCATTTGTTTGCCCATAGAGGTAGTTTTTGGCAGTTGATTCACTATTCCTCCCCTGAAGATCTAGGTCTAATAATGGTCATGTGTTTTTATCTTATTTGATAACAATACATTGTTGGAAATATGAATATGAAAATATATCGAAACAAATGCTAGAATACATAGGCGTTTTTACACAGAGGTCCGCATGGATAGCGTCCACACATACACACACACACCATCATCATCACCACCACCTTGTGGCCTGATTCCAGGCAGGGAAACCCCAAGTCCGGATCAAAGTATAATAAAATGAGATATCACGTAGACCAACAACGAAGAAAATGAGTCAAATCACTCATCACGGCCCCATGCCTCCCGGCGGAGCTGTCGGTCCTCCCTGGCCATGCGTCGCTTCGGCCCCCATCGTGATTGCACCGCTTCTAGTACTTGCTTCTGGATCTGCTTCTTCTCGGGACTGGCTTCACAGACAATGGCAATAAAGAGTGGCGAGCACTCAAACCGCTTGGCCAACTTGTGTCGGCTCCACGTCATCGGGTCACTCAATCGGAGTTTGCGGATTTCTTCAATGTCGGAGGGGGTCAGATGGTACTTGGCCTCATCATTGATTTTGTGCACGTTGGGGAGATCGCTAGCATTGACATTTGCAGGGCTTTCAGGGCGCATCGTTCTCCGGGCATCATTGAGAGGTAGAAATTTGTTGGGAGTATGATAAACCGAGGGAGCACTAGAAGGTGGATTGTAGATGATTTGATCGTGGCTCTGGTGTGAAGGGCCAAAGGAAGCATCCGGCTTGACACGAAGACGTTGCTTGGTACGGCGGTAAGAAGACTGATGGCGCCGGGACCCTAAAGCGAGAGCATCTGTCCAGGAAGGGAGCAGGAATGGCAGGGTGACAAATGGCCGCTTGGGGGCCACAATGGAGGTTGCCATCACAAAATCCAAAGAGCCTTGATTTTTAAGGAAACAAGGTTGACAATGGACAATTTATGGGGGAAGATGGCGATAGAGTAGGGATTGGAGAATTTGGGGGTCGCATGGAGCTGAGCGGCCTGAGACGTGTTTTCCCATTCCCGAACTTTTTTTTGATGGTCTCGTGACTAGTGGTTTTAAATAGTAATATGGCTCGGGTATTTGGATTACAAAGTATTACGATACAACCAACCTTAGCTAAATTACATTTTCGAAATCTGTATACATCCATACACTTTACGCCGTACTCCGTAAAGTAGGTGGCGCCCAGTGCATGTATTCTATACATTTTCCAGTATATAAAAATACATCCAATAAAATGTACTCGGTACTTACTTACCCCGTCACAACATCCCGTTGATCACCTGGCACAGAATGTCATCATCTCTCCTGGGCGAAAAAAGGTGAGATGATAAACCACGGCCCCCCCCTTTTCTTGACTTCTTATAAACTGCTCTCCCATACGAGTGTGCCTCCTTGAATAATACTGAGTCCCCTTGAAGCGTCTGCAGACGGTTCCTGGGCCATGGCCGACAATTTCTAGAACCTTTTGTCCTCGCGGTTTGTTCTCGACAACTTCATTCCGCTTAAGCAGTCCTGACCCTGCCTCTTGCTCACCATGTCGGATCATCTGGCTCCGTTATCTGGTGCAATGGATACCCACTCACACAATCCTCGATCAGTACCTTTGCAGCTAGATAATGAGTCTCAAAGTCCTGCTGATAAGAGCTCTACCATACCTGGGCAGGTCGAGTCGACCTTACGCCCCAGGCCACCACATTTGACTTGGAGCCACCGATGGGAAGTCGGCAAAGATCAATCTCCAGAAGACCTTATTATAGGAACCGGCTTCTCAAGCAGTGGTCCTGTATCGCCCGTATCACCCATTAGCTCCGAAGTATCGCGAACACCAAATGTCTCGGACCGACCGAGGTACTCGTATAAGCATCCTTCAACCCCCGGAGCAACCTCGCCATTACATAACCGTCTCCATTCTCCTGCCTCTCAAATATTTGAACGAGACGTGCAGGAGGATATATTGCCAACACAGTCCTCACCGTCGATCCCCGCGCACATTCGCACGGAGAACTATATCCCACCGGTACTCGAAGCCTCCTCCGCCGCGATCACGGACGAACAATTGAATCCGGACTCAGTCGAGATTGTCACTCACAGTCTCCATCAACCTGCGGCTGTGGGGGTCACTGGTCTATCCACCGCGGAACGGTCTTTGGCATCCTCTGGCATCGTTGATCATGATGGAATACACGCTACCGATACTGACGAAGTTTCATCGTCCTATGGTGCTTTGGATACTCATGATGTGCGACGTTTAAGCTTCATATCCTTTGCGGATGTAGTAAATGCCGAACATGCGGAGTCGGGGGAATCTAGTATGTATTGTCGAGAGCTCTCCCAGGGTACTGCTGTGAGCGGGAGTTCCTTTGCAGCTGGGTTGCAGAACCGCTCTCCATCTCCACTGCGCTCCCCTGCCTCCTCACATGGACCTGGAACGTCCCCTCCAACCAGTATCGCCACTTCAGTCAAAGGACTAGAGATGTCACCTAGCCAAGGCCCTCGAGCTCCAGCTAGTCCATTGGCAATGGCCCAGAGTCTCGTTTCTCCTAGCTTTGGTGGGGAGCTCAACGTGGAAACCATGCGTCAGGCATTGCGAAGAACGACCAGTGGAGATCTTGGCGGTATAGCAAACCAGATCTTTGGAAATGAAGAACCCCTGGATCAGTCGTTCTAGCTTAGCGTGACGAGTGCTCTCTCTCTCTCCCTCTATTCCCTTTTTTTTTTATCTTTTTTTTTTTTTTTTGATTGGCATTACACGTGCTGAAAGGAATTTTGCGCGGCCCAACAAAGTGCCCACGTCTTTGACCAGATACTTCTTTTCTGATACTGTATCAGACCTAGGTGGGATAGCGTGGTGATGTTGTTTGGTCGATACATATATCAATGGAGCTGGATATCCTTGATGCCGTCTTCACATTTGATCGAATTTGATGCTGCGGTACGGAGCATATACCCATCAATATGGTTTTGCTATTTTCTCGCTGTTCACTGGTGTAGTGCTTACCAAACTTGGAATTTTGTTCTTCACACGGCCACTTCAATCCTCTAATATTGAACTCGGCGCACGGTTGCTTTATGTATAAAATCATGTATCATGATCAATTTCATTCCGTGTACATGCTAAGACGATGCCAGGTGGAATATTTGTCTATTGTAGGTGGGGCTATGTATGTACTTATTTGGCGAAGCTTTGCATGTATGGCCAGGGAATACATGGCTAAAAGGCAGTCACGCTCATCACGCTCAACGTAATCATTCCTTGACTACCACTCCGTGAAGCCTTACAAGACATTCGAATCTGTCGAACTGTTCAATTTGGGACTTTATACACCTTGAGATCTCACTTTTTCAACTGCATCGAGAGCTCGCTGGAATCTGGAGCGTAGGTCGGGCAAGTCTTCCAGCCCAACACTGATTCTGACAAGGTCAGGATCAACATTGAAAGACCGCGCCTGGCAAATACGTGGAATTAGTCTCAAGTAATAATGAATTCGGACAGACAAAATATTACTTACCCAGTCTAATTCACCATAGTGAGCCAAGAGAACATATGGAGAGCTATAATAATGCGGCATGTCAGTATTGTTCTCGGTCGAAAGTATACCAGAGCAGTCGAATTTTACCAGAGAGTAAAGTTGGTGCCGAGACTAGGGCCCTTCAAGACCTCTAACGTGTCATAAAATGCAATGGCCTCCGCGTTCGAGTGGAAAGTAACGGAGAAAAGACCACCATAGCCACCGTTGGGGTTCCGAAGGCTATCGTACAGTGGCCTTGTGGCGCTGTATTTGGGATAGTAAACTTCCTTGACTAGAAAAGGATCAGCATAACATATCACTGTGGCTAAGAGTTGAATGAGTTCTTCTTACCCAGAGGAGACGATTTCAACATGGCTGAAACCTTCTCGGATGTCGAGTTAATCTTGTCAATTCTTGACACAAAATCACGGCTGTTCCGCTCCAAGAAGACAGCATCCTCTGCCCAATAGGTATCCTCATAATGCTGCGCGTAAGTTTCTTTCAATTTTTGGTAGTACTTCCCGTGAGGGTTCAGGATTACACTTCCTCCCATAACATTGCTATCGCCACTGAAGATCTTCGTCAGACTACTTGCGACAATGTCTGCATACGGAAGGACGTTGATGTTGAGGAAATTGCTAATGGTCTCATCAACCACTACCGCAAAGTCATATTTATCGGCTAGGGCTCGTATGCGCACCAGATCTGGGGTCTTGAGCAGAGGGTTGCCGGGGGCTTCGGTGAAGAGCCCCAGGAACCGCTCACCGTTCTTCAGCCGGGTTTCGAGGTCATCCAGGTCTTCCGACGAGCCATGCCCGTAGAATAAACAGCCTGGCCCCCATTTCTGCAGAATCTTCAACGTATCGGTGTATGGAAATCCGAAACAGATACTTTGCATAGAGCCCCGTGCATTCAGAAGGGTCTGATGCGCGTTGAAGATGGCGCTCATTCCAGAGGGGTAGAGAAGAACATCCTCCTCTGAAATATCATCGACGCGACCCCCCGACGAAGCCGTTTCCAGAGCCTCGGATAACTCGACATCGGCAGTTAGAACACCGGCAAGGCGCTTTCGAACCGCCATCTTAGCCTGGGCGGCGTACACGGCACTAAGATTGCGACCAAAGCGTTCTTCAATGAACTGAGCGTAGTCTCGGCCATCCTCAACGCTACTAGTCGCGGCGGGAGCGGGTGATGGTGCATTGGGGGTCGAAGTACCCCAGGCAGCTCCGCTCAGGGAGCCTCGTCCTTGATATCTTCGAGGACCTTTACAGGGTCGCTGAGAAAGGGACTCAGCTGTCGCTGAGTCCTTCTCCTCCACCAGAAATCCGTCTTGTAGGGCACGGAGACAGAACTCACCCCGTCGACTCGAGATCCCATTGCCAGAATGCTGCCACACCTGCTTTGCGATGGAGGCAAATTCCTTGGGATAGATCACACCCACTAAGGAGGATGTGATCGAGGTTGATCCAGCTTCAGTATGCGGAGAGGGAACAAAGTTCACGATTCGGACCTTTTGCGATTGTTCATCGGAAACTTTGGATGTAATAAAAGAATGACAGATACGAGCAGTTTTGAGGGATGCAAAGAGAGTAGCTGTCTCTGTCTCCTGATCTCCCACACGTTGAATGATTTCTTTCACAAGCTTCTGGATGCTAGGGTGCACGAAGAAACGAGGATATCCGCATTGCATCTTGCTAATAACCCAGTCTTCTCCCTCTTCATAAGCGACATTGGCTCTCCATGTTGGCAAGGATACACTAACGGCCTTTCAAGAATGTCAGTTACTCATTCAGTGTTAAGAAATATTTAGGGTGTTTGCCAATAGAGGGGCACATGGCGGGGGGTTTTGCACAGTACATACATGGTCAGTGTTTGGGGGCACAGAGCCTCCTATTGCTTGAAGCATGACCAATGAAAATGGGAAAGGAACAAGTAAGATATAGAGAGAAGATATAGGGTAAAAGGAGGAGTGAAAACGAGAAAAGAGGAACAAGTAAAGGAAGATGGCGGAGTCACTGATTCAAAAAGTATGCGATTTCGGCGATGGCGTATTGCGGCCCTCTGAGTCAGCACCCTCTTATCCCCGTTATCGCCCCATAAAAAAATTTCGGGATTATCAAAAGCTTCAAAGACTCCATTCTTTCCCTTCTGCCACCACTTCCGCCTGAGCCGCCTTCAAGGATGTCGGCCCATGCAGTCAAACGGAGAAGGCTTAGCCCTTCACCCATGCAACCCAATCCCCAATCCCAGTCGAAATCCTCAAATACGACTCCGATTAACTCGAAAGAAGACCCCCCAAAAACAGTTCAATCTGCTGCGCGCAAGGATGATCACCAGGGGCGTAAGGGAAAAAATGATGGATCTGCAGAGCTGGCAATGGCCAGTGGTTTCTACAAGTCTAGCTTTTTCAAATTGCAAATGGACGAGCTACTGACCGGGTTGCGACCAAACTACGAAAAGCAAATCTCAAAGCTCCAGGACACCCTGCACAAATTAAAGGATGCTATTGAAAGCATACCTAATAGTGAATCGAAATCTGTACCCGAAGCCGAGAAGGAACTACGCACTGTCTCCGAGATCGTGATTCCGTGGCCTGAACCTCGACCCGCCAAGGATGCCAAATACACCATGTCGTACGCGAAACCCGCAAACATCAATGTGGTGGGTAGCGTTATCTTGAAAACTGGGGCCAAGACAACCGAATCTCGACCGGTTGATCTGGCAGTAACAATTCCCAGTTCTATCTTCCAGGAGAAAGACTATGTCAACTATCGCTATTTCCACAAGAGGGCATACTATGTTGCTTGCCTCGCCGCCGGTATACAGAAGCCAATGGATGAGGTCGGACTCGATGTCAAGTTTGGATTTCAGGACGGCGACAGTCTTCGTCCCATTATTCTATTGGAACCTCGTTCGACCTCGAAAAGCGACCTGACCCCTCAACCGCAGGTCCGAATCCTGACTGCAATTGAACCGACTCTGTTCCCCATTTCCCGGACACTCCCGATAAGGAGCAACGTTCGCCCAGGCTCAAAGGACCAGTCAGAAGCTGGTGAACCCACTCCATATTACAATGCTAGCCTGCGCTCGGAGGCTACCGTCTCTCTATACCACAAACACCTGCATTCAACCGCCCAGAAATGCGAATCGTTCCGTGACGCTTGTATTTTGGGGCGCACTTGGCTACAGCAACGTGGCTTGCATACATCCTTCCAAAAAGGCGGATTTGGGGGGTTTGAATGGGCGGCCCTCGTCTCTCTCTTGTTTGAGGGTGGCGGCCCAAGTGGCCAACCGATTCTTTTGCGGTCTTACAGTAGCTATCAGATCTTCAAGGCTACTATGCAATTCTTGGCTGGTAGAGACTTGATCACGCCCTTGTTTCTTTTCGCCAACAATATTTCCGTTCCTGATGGGGGCCCTGTCTTATACGATGGACGGAGAGGCTTGAATATTCTGTACAAGATGACTCCTTGGTCTTACGCAGCACTTCGGCACGAAGCGTCAATCACCCTTACGATGCTCAATGAGTCTCGTGAGGACAACTTTGACCGAGTCTTCATTGTTAAAGTCGATGAACCAGCTTTGCGGTTCGATCGCCTCATTTTCTTCCCGAAGGCTTTCAGCGGTGATACCATCCGTGCACTTCGCGAGCAGAACACTCTTTACACTACAATCTCCAAGGCTCTTGGAGATCGTGTGAAGCTCATCTCTTTTGCGAGCCAAAACGCCGGGTCTTGGTCCATCCGGGCAAAGGCCCTGAGTAAGAAAGCGAGCCATGGTCTATCCGTGGGCCTTCTACTGGATGCTGATAATGTCAGTCGGGTGGTGGACCACGGTCCAGCCGCAGAGGAGAAGGAGGAGGTAGCCTCGTTCCGGGAATTTTGGGGTGATAAGTCGGAACTTCGACGTTTCAAGGATGGCAGCATTTTGGAGAGTCTCGTCTGGTCTGATCAGCCATCAGAGGACTCCATTGTGCTTCAGATCCTAGCTTACGTATTCCAAAGACACTTTCAGATTACTGAAGACGACTTTTCTTTTACTGGAGATGAGTATGATGATCTGCTGTTTGACGAAGGCGATGGTATCCTGGCGTATTCTAGCCCCCCATTCCAATCCATCAAAGAAGCATTCAACGATCTTGAACGATCGATTGGAACTATGGAAGAAGTCCCTCTGACCATTCGACACCTGGCCCCGGCTAGCCCATTGCTCCGGTACACTGCGCTTCGAGTGCAGACTCCAGGTGGAGCCCAGGAACCGGCAGATATTGTCCTTCAGTTTGAAAGCTCTTCACGATGGCCTGACGACTTCGCAGCAATTCAGATGACCAAAGCTGCTTTCTTGCTGAAGATTGGGGACTCTTTGGAATCATCGGGGGCCGCTTCATCCTGCCGTGTCGGCCTGGAAAACGAATCCAGCAAGGTGTTGAACAATGTGTACCTGGATATTTCTCACACTTCCGGCTTCCTCTTCCGTCTCAGGATCCACCATGAGCGCGAACAAACACTTCTTGAGCGTCAATTGAAAGATAAGAGTATCAATCCCAGGGAACGAGAAGAGATTGCGTTTGCTCTTTTCCAGTATAAAAGACTCTTTGTGCAGGCTCCACGTCTGACTCAAGCACTGCGAAGTCTCTGCACACGCTTCCCCTTGCTGTCACCTACAGTCCGCCTGGTTAAATATTGGTTTAGCTCTCACCTATTCTCGGCTCAGATTTGCGATGAATTGATCGAGCTCCTGACGGTCCGCACCTTTATGCAGCCTTACCCTTGGGAATGTCCTTCAAGTGTCATGGCTGGTTTCCTGCGCACGCTACACTTCCTCTCCCGCTGGGACTGGCAACAAGAACCCTTCATCGTTAACTTGAGCGGTGATCTGAGCCCGCAGATTACTGAGATTATTCGCACCCGATTTACTGCCTGGCGCAATATTGACCCTGCAATGAATACCGTTGCCTTATTCGTCGCATCAGACCTCGATACTGATGGTGTGACCTGGACCCAATATGAGATGCCCTCGAAGGTCGTAGCTGGTCGAATGTCCGCCCTGGCGAAAGCAGCTGTCAGCTTGCTCCGAAAGGAAAGCCACAATCTTGATGTGGTGGATCTTTTCCAGACATCGCTTGCCCCCTACGACTTTGTCATCAATCTACGCTCCAAATTTTCAGGTGATCGTTCCGCTTCTGTTTCCAAGTATAAGAATCTGGTTGAGGGGACCTCGAACCAACCAGGCGCGAAGGCGATTGTGAAGCCATTTGTGCATGAAGTTCAGGCATGCTATGGCCAAAATCTCCTGCTCTTCCACGGAGATGAGCGATGCGGTGTAATTGCTGGTCTCTGGAACCCGCAAACGTTGAAGTCACGGAATTGGAACTTGAAGACGGCTTACTCGACTGCTCCAGCTGACTCGGAGAGCTCCGACCGTGTTACAATCAATCAGCTGGCAATCTTGAATGAGATTGCTCGACTGGGCGAAGGGCTTATTGATACCATCGACGCAGGTGATTTGAAGGCATAGTCTTGCATAAGAAAATCAGGAGAGAATAATGATAGATTCTTATTTGCCCCCTCGTCCAATCTCAATTCGAAAATCTAAATGCATCTATTAATACGTATACATATATATGTGTGTACTGCTACACGGTGGAAGTAGTTCACTTATTTGGAGAGTACTTCTAGTGACTAGCATATATCAGAAAATTAGAATTTTATCACACTGGCGAATGTACATTACCTGCTAGCGCCGCTGCAATGCAAAACTATCCAAAAACAAATAACCCAGTATGAGAGCATCAATCAACAAAAGTAACCACAAAATTCAAATCATTGTACAATCATGAAGAACCCCGGCCCGACTTGCCCGTCGGCACCTGCGAAGAGAAAGAACAGAACTTATCCTTGATAGCCACAACTTCGTAGGTACCTTCGTCAGAGGTAGTGACGGTCTTACGATGCTCGTAAGAGATGTCATGCTTGATATCGAGCACCTCGGACTTCTTGCCCTTGCGGGCATTGGAGCTTCGGATGTATCTGTGAAAAAAAAAATCAGTATCAGTGATAAAAAAGGAACGAGGAACAGGACTCGCAACTTACGTGAACTCAAACGGCGGTGTGCCCCAAAAGTCAAAGTGAAGTTCAGCTTCCCCACCTTCGTGGATATCGACCACAGATACTTGGCCATTGCTAATCCGCACGCTAGGCATCTCGTGGATGACCTTAGTGATATCCTTGTGTGCCTTGCATTTCCCACTGGCCCCGTCACCGACAGCCGTGATGGTGAATTCTCCAGGACGCTCGGCAATGCGACGGAAATTCGTGTTCTGCGACGTGGCCTTTCGTTGAGCTCCATCAAATGTGTAGAAAACCTCAAACGGAGCATGTCCCGAAAGAGAGAATGACAATCGTTCACCCACGCAATAGTCGACCTTGGATTCAAGAGGAATGATAGTGGGGACGTCGGAGACAGACACCCGGACCGAGGAAGAATCGTATTCGGTAGCTCTCTGGCAGCCACGGGAGTCACGCACCTTGTGGATGCTGACCACATGTTGACCGAGGTCCAGATGACGCCGAGGAATAGGCAAGTTGTGGTGGTTCGAGTTGATCTTAGGGATGGAAACAATCTCCGGTTTAGCATTCGAGTGATGCTTGATACTGATTTCCAAGGAGAAAGGGGGAACACCTTCCAGAGTGATCGGAATGGTTTCCTCGCCACTGGCATCCTCTTTGCAAAAGCCGTAGATGTGACCGGGAGAATCAAAGCGAGCAGTTGGAAGTGAGTTGACCCTCTGCGTCACAACCAAAGCACTGCTTTTTGGGTCATGGTCGTAGAGATTATCACCAACGTTAGTGAATCTGTAAGTGTAGTGACCAGGCTCAGAGGTGTCCATCTCGGTTGACAGCACGTTAAGCGCAGTCCGCAAATTTTTGGTGCGAACGGAAGAGGTACCACGGTCTGTCTTCCGCCGTTGCTCATACTGAAGAGCAAACGGAGGATTGCCAGACAGACGGAGTTCAAGGCTGTCGTCGTCACCCTGACAGACTTCTGGCTTCACATAATTGCCAGTTGACCCGACGGGTGACCCGTCCACGGCTGTGACTTGGGGGCGAGGGATCCAAGAAACCTCAAACTCTTTTGCAACTTGGTCCACAGACCCTGGGCATGAGTTGTCAGACACCTCAAGAAGCTCGTAAAGGCCTGCTTGATCCACAATCAGAAGACTGTTCTCATCATAGAATGTTTTCTGAAGAGGTGACTTGTTGGCATCCACGTTCTTGTATTTCACTGTCCATGGTTTCTCGCCACTAAGCCTCAACGGAATCTCGATCTTTGAGCCTTGCAAGGCAGATAGACTCCTCTTCTTGTCGATCTGACCAAAGGAAACGTGAGGTGGCTTTGGCCGCGCATCGATCTTCACCGTTTCTTTTAGTGTCCGTTTGCAATTAGACTTATCTTTGATACTGGTGAGCGCGAGGGTATACTCGCCCCCGCTGACCAATTTGTCCGTAGTGATAGTCGCCATTTCGGAATCCGATTGGAGGACATGCTTGGTTCTTTTTCCATTGTGAAGGAGTTCGTATTGCAAGGTCCACGGAGCCTCTCCCAGAAAAGCCAAGTCGACCGAGATAGACTCCCCAAAGCAGGCTTTGCGCACCGTCCTGGGTCCAATGAAGTGAGCGGAAGCTGGTGGCTTAACATCCTGTTCCAGTGGAGCCACTTTGTCCTTCAAGGATCGTGGAGAGTATACGGAGTCCTCGATATCAAGAAAGCGGTAGCGGTAAAATCCAGCCTCCGACGGTGTAAAGTCTAATTGTGTTCGTGGTCCATCGATCTTTTGCGTCTTCGTGATAGTTCCTTTGGAGTTCTCGATGCTATACCGGAGATGGAATGGCGGAGACCCTGTCAGGTCCAGATCGACAAGCAAACCAACTGCATTGTTGGCACACCGATCAAATATCTTCTCAGCCTTAATAGACACTTCCGGCTCGGGTGGGTTGTGCAGGTAGCAAGATGCGGGTTCTAAGATATCACCTGGGCAAAACTGGCTCGAAACAGATGCCAAAGAGTACCAGCCCGGTTCTTTGATGGGCGATTTCTGATCCACTGATCTCAAGATGAGAGTGGTCTCTTTAGAACCCGTACCCTTCTGTGCATCTGAGCCATCGTTGTACGTGTAGACCACCGAGAAGGGACCATCATCGGCGTATCCCGTTCCGACCGCCTGGAAGTTGATGGGAAGATCAACACTATCTCCCCGGGCGACCTCCAGCGGGTGTTGATCGTTGCATCCAGATAAGGATATGCGCGGGCTTTCATGAACTGAGAATTGGTGCCACTGTGATAATGACTTGGTCGACGGCCGCTCTGCATCCTCGAAAATGGTGGAGTAGTTGGCAACATTGCCGCAAGCATCGTGGACTTCTTCGATGGCGTAGAGCCATTCTCCACCAACATTTAAGGATTCATTCAACGGGACGTCAATTTTTTGGCTTTGTGCCCATGAGATGTCAGGCTGGTTGATGCTGAAGAGAGCACCGCCTGGCTTTTGACTCAGGAGAGGTGAACGCAGGTTATCAGGTTGGATATTTTGGAACGAAAAACCACGATCATGGTGGTTTACCTGCCGACTATACTTAATCTTCAATGGGGGTGTGCCCTCGACCTCAAGAACCAGGTTCGACAGTTCTCCTTTACATTTATTGATATGCGAGTTTTTTATCAGCGCCCGTGGGCATGTCACCACCAGAGCATCAGACGTGCGCGTGCGCACGTCGAGCTGAGATTCATCCACCACACGTTGGAGACGATAGATACCCGTCTTCTTCACAGGAAAATGAAGATCTCGGTAAGGAACAGGACTCAAGGTCGCATGTCTCTTGTCCGCTTGTTTCTTGAGTTGTTTTAACTGTTTGGACGGAATGGTCAATGTTTCGTTTTCGCCCGTATTCAGGTCCAGGCGCAACACTTCAATTAGAATAGGATCGGTCTGGTTCACGCGGATGGGAAGGTTCACGATGTTTCTCTGAGAGTCAAGACAGAGCGCCTCTCGCTCGGGGTTGAGAACGGCAGAGCTAGAATCTCCAAGTTAGAAAAGAAAAGCCAAGATGGATTCCGCACCTTCGGGTGGACTAATGAACTTACCCTTCCGGAAGAATATGCACGATTTGTTTTCCCAAAATCAACGAGGCATTGTGAATGATGTCTCCCGGTTTGACTTTGCGCTCTGAGATAGACAGCTCACGATCATAAGCAACCTTCACCAACCCAGCAAGCCAGGCGCTCAGAGGGATCTAATGCTGTTAGCAAAACAAAAATTGTCACGTCACTAGAGGATACGGAAACCGACGGGAATTCGAAACATGAGGAAAGCGTTGCCGACCACATGCAACAATAATAGCGCCAGTGTGGTCGGGAATGCCCACTCCAACCATGGTATGCGCAGCGCCTGCAGACCGAACAAAAAGACACCGTCCACCGACACGAATTTTAGAAACAACCAAGTCGAGTCGAGCTCGTCAGAGGCTGTCCAAGATTCGTATATGCGCCACGCATTGAGGGCCAGGTAGAAAGCCACCACATAGAGTCGTTGTGAGGGCGCATCAATCAAGTTAACAGAAACGAGAGGCGTGTTGGTGTTCTGGGGCACCTTGGGTGTTTTCGCCGGGGATTTGGGACGCTGTTTTCTTTCTCGTACATCGCGGGATCCAGACCTGGGGGTTTCGAAAAGCTTTCTTCTCGCTGTCCCTGGAATTGTCTTGGGCGTCTGAGGAAAGGCAGACGGAAGGAGGGGAGTACCGTTCATGGCATGCTGTGGTCGCCAGAGTCTTCGGTGGGGCTCCCACAATAGAAAGTTAGAGGTTGAGAGAGAGCGAGAGAGAGAGAAGTCTGCGGATCGGGTTCCCTCGAAGCTGTGATAAGTAACAAGCGATCCAATTCACTGTTGAGGATCGCGAGGAAGTTTTGAGTTTGGGAAGAGAAAGAAAGCAAAAAAGCATGAAGTTGCCGAGACGCAGGAAGCGCGTCAAAGCTCGGTCCACCACATCAGACATGCCATACTACGTACAAACATTGTACATTATTCTTACTCTATTTTAATTCACCTTAACAACAATCTCAATTCCCCCCAAAGCTGAAGAAGAAGCAGCTTCTTTTCTATAATATCAGGTTGAAAGCAATTTTAAACAAGCAACATGGCTCCACGCACCAAAAGACGACGTCTGACCGATCTTTCGGAGGACCACAGTGATGAGATCTGCCAGCCAGCTACTCAGCCACAGAAAGAGAGATGGAACGGATTTTGCGAGATTGAATCAGAGCCTGTGAGTTATCTTACTTTGATATATTCTGATCCTTGGAACTAATGCAGATATCTAGGCATTATTCAATGTGATGCTCCGAGATTTCGGGGTGAAGGGGGTCAAGATTCAAGAGGTTGTGTCTCTCGACGAGGAGATGATGGCATTTCTAAAGTATGAGCCTGGGTGGAAGTGTATATTCTGTATCTAATTTTGACTTTGAACATTTCACTAACCTTGGGATAGTAACCCGATTTACGGTTTGATCTTCCTGTTCCGCTGGCGAGAAGATGATACGGACCAGCAGGAACCTAGCTGCCCCGATGGGCTCTGGTTTGCAAACCAGGTGAGTTAAGAAAATTTGAAGTGAAAGAGGAAGATATAGACATCAGTACTGAACCCTTATCAGACAGCAAGTAATGCTTGCGCCAGCGTGGCCCTGCTAAATATCGTCAACAATATCCCAGATATTGATCTCGGGGAAAACCTCCAGCATTTCAAGGAATTCACCAAGACCTTTACTCCCGCTCTGCGAGGCGATGCTATCAATAACTTTGAATTTGTGAAGAGAGTACATAATTCCTTTGCCCGGTATGCTTTTTACCCCTGTCATAAAAAGGTTGAGGCTGATTGCTTTTAGTAAAATGGACATATTGAATGCCGATCTACAGCTGAAATCTGAGGCCACTGCCAAGAAACGGTATAGGGGGCAAGATAACACCGACTCCGATGCTACTTTCCATTTCATTGCATTCATGCCGGTCATGGGTCAAGTGTGGAAATTCGACGGACTTGAACGGCAACCACAATCTCTGGGTCCGTGTGCATCTGATTCTCCCTCCAAATACCTTTGATATTGACTTGTCCTAGGTGAATGCTCCGAGGATGACTGGTTGGAGCTGGCCCGACCCAACATCGTTGACCGAATGGCGGCATACGAAGAAGACCAGATTGAATTCTCTATTTTGGGGGTGGTTCGGGATCCCCTGCCTGACCTAGTCCAGCAACTTGCAGTCAACGTACGAAGTTTGGAGATGTTGAATGCACGACTGACGTCCTCCGCAACCCCATTACTTTCCGACGCGACATTATTCGAGCTCCAAGAAACGGTACTTGGTCCTGATCCTACTTATGGTTTGAGCCGCGCAAACATTGATGCGGCCGTGGTTTCCGAGGTCGCGTACCCAGAATTAGCCCCGGAACTGCAACGACTTCGGGAGGCACAGTGCGAGCTACGAGCCCGGATTCGAGAGGAGCAACAGTCCCAACGGGCTGACGAGGACCATGCGACGGGACGACGATATGACTATGGACCAGCAGTGCGAACGTGGTTGCGTTTTCTTGCACGCAAGCAAAAGTTGGCAGAATTATTGTGAAGCAAATGAAGAACTGGATCCAGACCCTCGTGGCGTATTGATTGGCCCACATCTGGTACCCTTTTCCACACCTTAAAATAATAAAATACAGAAAGATTACAATACAGAGTACAACTACTTAAGTTAACTACTTCTAGTTAGTTGTTCATAGCTCTCAGTAATTTCCCCTCATTCAAATGTTTATGTTTCAGTTGAGAAGAATATACCTTACTTTCGAGAGAGAGACAACTATATATATACAATATTGAACTTGCTTATAAAATATATCACTCATACTACCTACTAGTACAAGTATTATAGGTCTTTTTCAGATAGGGTTTTGTTACTCCCTCACCTACAGTTCCCTCACCTACAGTATGTATAGATAACCCCTTTCCCTGGAATGGTGTTATTAAGCCCCACTTTCACCGGGGCAAAAAGGCAAAAAATAAGTGATTTCCACCTGGGCACGTCACTGCCTTTCCCCCCCAATACTGTCACTTGAATCTCCCCTATACTTACTCCTTTGATTGCTGCCTTTGAACTTATACTGTTACAAAATCTGCGCATCGCATTCTTCTCCAGCAGCTTTTGGAAGACCACCACTCCGCATCATGTCTGCTGCCGTGCCAGAGAAGGCCCCCGATGATTCTTCCAAGCTGAAAACCTTTCTCTCCATCTTGCGCAAGTATGTTAATTCCCGAGATTTCAAAACAGACAGGATACCCAAAAAAGCATGATCATACCAGAAACCCTACTAATACAACGGTCATCCAGGTTCGTGGGTGTGACAGACATCGCTTCGGTTCGTTTTTCCTTGCCAGCTCAGCTACTGGAGCCGCGACCGAATCTGGGTAGGTTCGCAGGTTGGGAAACATGTGTGTGACGTATGTGAGGAACTGACGTGGAACTCAGAATATTGGAACTACTTGGACCGACCGGAGACCTTTGCCAGGTCAGCACCCGTGGCCCATCGATACCAGTCGCTCATGTGCTGACTCTAGAGCTACAGTATTGGCACGTCAGATGATGAATTAGGTCGCATGCTGGAGGTGTTGAAGTTCTGGTTTACGAAAGATCTGGTATTTATTGACTTGCGGTCTACCAGTGGCGTGAGGGGTGCTGAACTATTCCAAACAGAAATACATCAAGGGCAAACCATGCAAGCCGTATAACTCGACCTTGGGCGAATTCTTTCGAGTAAGTGGAATGGAGCAGATCCCCCCTCAGAGTGGCTACGGTGACAGTGAATGATGGACGTTGACGGGTATGGCAACCTAGTGCAGCTGGGATGTGCAAGATATCGCCCCCTTGGAAACCAACCTTCCCGGGGTCGATGCAAGTGCTAATGGCACTATCGTCAAGGATGGCAATGAAAAGGTCAAGGTGTGCTATTTGACCGAACAGACTTCCCACCACCCACCCGTCTCAGCATTCTACATCGACTGCCCTGAGCGGGGTGTCTCCGCGCGAGGATTTGACCAGCTCAGCGCCAAGTTCACCGGCACGAGTATCCGAGTGAGCCCCGGGCAACACAATCTGGGAATTTTTGTCAATCTTGAGAAGAGGGACAACGAGGAGTATCAGTTAACGCATCCTCATGCACACCTGGGAGGGTTGCTGCGAGGTGCTCTGGCAATCACAGTGTCGGACGCTTGCTACATCACTTGTCCCAAAACAGGCATGAAGGCTATATTGCAATACCTGGAGGAAGGATGGCTTGGCCGCACCCAGAATCGGATGGAGGGCGTGGTTTTCCGTTACAACCCCGATAAGGATACCATCACAAGGTTGAAGGATGTACCGGAGAGTGATACGATCGCGCGAATCAGCGGATCCTGGCACGGCAAGATATATTACACTCCGGTGGGCTCCAAAGAGCCCATTCTGCTTATCGACATTGAGCCTCTCTATCCAGTTTCGAAGAACCTTCCGCCCGACGAACAGCAGTTGTCCAATGAATCCTTGAAATTCTGGGGCGAGGTCACGGATGCCATCGTCGGTAAACAGTTTACCCAGGCGACCAAGCTCAAGCAGGAAATCGAGGAACGCCAGCGCCAACGAGCGGCCGAGCGTAAGGAGCAAAATGTCGAATGGAGTCCGCGCTTCTTCACCGGTGCAGTCACTCCGCTGGGAAAGCCTGAACTGACTGATGAGGGTCAGAAGGTTTTGCAGGGTATTCGGGATGGGAAATACGCCTTGGAGGAAAGTACAATACAAGGTGCTTAGCTTCTTTTGGTTGATCCCAAGGATATCAAGGATACCAAGGGTCTACTCTGTGTTCTTGAATGATACAGAATTCGTGGCGTATCTGGCATGCGCGACCATTTCCACTTTGGCGTATATTTCCCTGTTCCATTTGGCCTGCCTTTTCTCACATAATTTAGAATTTTGCCTTTTTTCATTGTTGCAATAGGGGCTCGTTTCTTGTCTTTTCCCCTTTCCTGTTCTTATGTATAGTCACTTGCGGGCGAATAAGAACTTGTGCTTTGTCGAGGGAGCAGCAATCTCACTCCCTTGCGTGCTCAGAATGAAGATAAATTCGTTCTCAACGATTGGTTTACTGTAGTTCTTACTTGTCTATCACTCCGTATATCATATATCGTATCATAACTACACGGAAGAAAATGTGGAAGAAAAAAAACGTATTCAACATTCAAAACATCCATGAATCAGCCCGAACCAATCCAGTGACCACTTAACACCCCCAACACCGAAACAATAGTTACAGTCGTCAAAACGTCAATGCATGAAAACAATTCAAGACCGCTCATACTAGGCTGAGGCACTGACGACCTTCGTGAAGCCAGCAGTCACGGTCTTGGCGATATCTTCATTCTTGTGTGGGAGCAGAGACAAGGCGTAGGCGACATCGTTCCATTGCCGCTCAGTCTCGCAACGAGGTAGTCGGGCGGCCAGCTTGTCCGCCAGCTGACGAGCATGTTTCTCCTGCGTATGCAGCATCAGTATTCAACAACTTACAAAAGAAAAAACTTGAAAGATTGAAACTTACCTTCTCCACGAAACCGATTAGGAACTTAACAATACGTCGAAGGGATACCTCTTCCAGATTCCGCTCTGCACTCAACAGACTGAACATGTCCACAAAGTGGTTGTAAACAGCATTGTCCTTGGTAGCCAACTCTGTAAAGAACATACGGGCCAGATCGGCGATCTTCTTGTCATCATCTTCCAAGCACTTGGCCATCTCACCAAGTTGACCCTTGACCTTGACCTGGCCGGCCAAAATGAGGAATGTTAGGGTCATGAGGCAAGTGCGCTTGACGGATGCCTCATCATCATTGAGACGACGGTAAAGGAAATCCGTATTCTCGTCAATGAGATGATTAAAGCAGACGGCCATATCGCCTAGTGCGATAACAGCGTTGCTGCGCACGATCGGATCCTCGGATCGTTCCATGATTGTGATCAGGAGTGGAAGATTCTTCTCACAATACTCAGCAGAAACACACATCAACTTGGCCAAACACAATGTTGCCGATGCCTGTAGATCACGATCTGGGTAGGTGTTGTTGTTGGCGCAAATCTCCGCAACCATTGGACCAAACTTCGCAAGAAGTGAGTTCTCGCCATAGAGGAGCTCACGCTCGCGAATATGAGCCATGGCGTCTTGGAAATCGTCCTCGGTGGTACCTCCGATCAAGTCGAGTTCGTCTTCATCCGCGTTTTCGGCAGTCTTTTGAGCGGTAGCATCCGCCGTTTTATTCTTCTCTTGTTCAGCCTTTCGTCGCTTGAAGTCAAGCTCACACAGCTCCAGATGTACAATCTGTTTGATCGCAATATGTCCGACTACATATAGCAGTTGTGAGAGAGCTGCTGACGAAGGCCTGGGTTTTGAGCCTTGTTCATTACTAGATGCAGTGCCAGGGCGTTGGTCCTCCCCATCAGCAGTATCATGCGAGGAAGAGGGACGTTGGATGTAAGGCTGAAACACAAATCGAGTCTTTCTGCGAAGAATGTCGGAGCAAAGAACGTCCGGGTGCTTAGACAGAGTGTAGATGGCGCTGATGGCTTGTTCCGCAACACCATACCACTCTTTGCTATTAGAGACGATTTCGAGCATAGCAGCAAGCTTGGTCAAAACCGAATGATCGTTGGCAAGCTTGGGAATACCAATTTCCTTAGATTTGGCCTGCCGCCCAGGCACCATGCGCCGGAGAGCAATGCACGTATATTTTGCAAGCACAAGGTCGGAACGCCCCAGACCACCGAGACCAATGCGCAGCATAGCCTCAATCTCCTTGACGACAACTTCTGGGTCGGCCAACGCGAGCATTCCAAGAACGATAATCGAACCACGGCGCTGAGTTTTCGAGATCTCTTTTTTCTGAACACTGTACACTTGCCAGAGCTTAGCGATGACTGTTTCCGAGACATGTCCCGCTTTCATCATGGTGCTAAGCAGTTGCTCGAGACAAGTGAGTTCGGCTGGCGTTGACCCGAAGGTCAAACTGATCATATTGCGAGCGATGTAGTTGGCGGCATCGTTCGGACTGAAAGAGTCGGGTGCATCAAAGAAGAGTCCCTTGTAGCAGTCGATCAGATGAGTCTGAACACCTTTGCCCTCATCGCTGTTGCCTTTAGTCCAGATCAGACGGAGCATACGGCGGATACCACTTCGAGCCGTCTCAACCTTGTAGGCGTCTAGAACCACGAAGAAATCCATAGCCTCGATTACCTCACTCTTGTTCCGAGATGAGAGCAGCTGAGAAACCACGGTGGATCCCGAATGGAGAACCTCAACGAAACGCAAAGCTTCATTGTAGTACTTTCTTGTTAACTGTAACCGAGTCAGCAATTCGGAAGTCGCCGCCTGTTCCGCTGCTTTTTGTACAGCAACTTCCTTCTCCTCTTCTGTCATCCTAGGCGCCTTCGAAGGCGAGTCGTCCGGCATCTGAGTTGCCTCATCTAACAGCTCAGGATCGACGCCCTGAGTAGCGTCCGCATCGAAGCCTGGTGTCTCTGGGGGGCGCAGAGCATTCAGCTCCGCATCAACCCCATCCAAGCGCTCAGTCCACTCCTTGTGCGAAAGTTGACCGCCATGCATCACACTAAAGGGGTGTGTGGCGACCAGCTTAGACAGCAGCTTGATCGCATTCCGTCGCACATTGCTACTCTTATCCTCCAGGCTTCTCGCGGCCAGCTCAGCTGCACGTTGACGTCTTTTGGGGAATTTCTGCTCCAAATCACAGATTCGCATGAAGACCTGAATAGCTCTGCAGCGGCAGTAGGGGTTGATGTCCAGAAATCTCTCTTCCAATACGTCAAAAAAGGCGTTGATCTGCGTCTTGTAGTTTTCGCTGGGTTCTTCTTGTCGGCTCAAATCGGAGATGAGGTTGCCACAGACCTCGATGACTGCACATCGTAGTGCGTATGCCTTTATAAAGGGTTAGTTCAGGGCATATTCAAAAGTTTTAGGGATTCGGATACCTCGCTATCGAGCTGCTTGGCCAATAGAGTCATCTGCTTAATGATCAATCTTGGGGCAAGATCGGACAGCTTGATGATAAATGCAGAGACAGACTTTGGCCCCCGGGTGTCGTTTGAATTGAATTCCTTATTTCCAAGTTCCCTGATTCCTATTAGCAAAAGATTTCTTTTGGCCACTCGGTTCAAATTATTACTTCAGAATCTCATCTGAGAGTTGAGGGTAGTCGTATTGTTCCGCAAGAATATGGAGAAATTCGGCCATGGGTTCCGACAGATGCTCAAAGTATGTCAAGCTCTGCACGATCGATGTTTGCGCGCCTGTTGTATGAATTAGCTCTAGCAACTAAAGTAGCTGTCCGCCCGCAGACGCATACCAAATGCATGGCCATGGTGCTTTACCGCAATGCATAGCACCTTAAAGGCATGCATTCGGATAACCATGCTTTTCACTCTCTGTTCGCTCTCCAGGATCAGATAAATAGTGCGGGTGAACAAATTAATGAAAGTGTCGCGATCCGAGGTGGTCAGAAATATGCGGCCTAGTTTGAGTTTCATCACCTTGCACATAGTCTCCATGGAGATCTGGATCTGTGGAGTCCAATCCCAGTGGCCATCCTTGGCGGATTTCTTAGATTTGGGACCTCCTCTCCGCGCAGGGGCGGACTCTGCAGGTTTCTCGGCCGCTTTGACCTCTACCGCAGATAGAGCCCACTGGAGCAGGAATCCGTACATTTCCAGGAGTTGTTTGTGTTGTTGGATGGCATCCTGCTCGTCAGATTCCAAGTCGCCATGGATAATATCTGCCTCGACAGATAGTCCGGATACAATCAAGTCGAGGAGTTTGCTGAGTGATTTCACAGGGACGAAGGAGGTATATCTGTAAGGGTTCAAAAGTTCAGAGTCGATTCCTGGTGGGCGAAAGCCTCCATTGGGTAATTGGGAAGGGACCGGGGCGCACTTTAATAGATATTGTAGGGAATCAAAGACCGAAGATCTTATTAGCGCCTCTGGATTCTCCGCCACGGCATCCACAATTGGGTTTAGAACATTGTCAATTAGCGCAAGCGACAACTGATCCGGGTCAGATTCGCTGTCGAGGAGCTCCGGGTCCGCCTCCGGGGTCGGAAGTGAAGAAGGATCACTCAAATAATATTTGAGTGATTCATTAATATCGAACTGTATTCTGTCCTCCATGGCGTTGTAGTTAACCACGGAGGGGGGGGGAGGTGGTGGGTTGGTTATCGTTCCAAAGGGTGGCAGAGGAGGGGAAACAAACACTGTTGACGATATCCGTGTTTGGCTTTTACTCTTTTGGTCGCGCGGCACCACACCAACTGCTCACCGCCCGTAATATTACCTGTATTTCTATGGTTTTCGGAGAAAAACAAATGATACGCATGTAATGCGCTCTGCGCTTGAACCCTTCTCTCTTCCATCCCCGCGCAATTTGCCCAACAACAAGATTGAGGATTCTCAGGCGGCTTTCAAATTTCTCTGATTCCTATTCTATTCTCTTCATTTAATCTGAGTCCTGTGTCATGTCGGCTCTTCGAGCTGCCCATACGGGAGTCTTTGAACTCCAGCGGAGCAGTTATTTTCGGGGACTTCAGCCCGCAACGCATAAAAACGCGTCCGAAGAAAGTAACGAGAAGGAAACCCACAGCGAAATGCCACAGGGAGTGAGCGACTACGAAGAGGAAGAAGAGGAGGTAGATGAGTCAGTTCGAGAGGACATGACCAAGCTGGAGGATACATTCCCTGGTATCTCGGACCGATTTCGACTAGTCAATCGAATTGGAGAAGGTATGTGATGGATCTCACCTGCTCTATACACCAACTTGAGTTTGACCGAGAACCAAACAGGAACCTTTTCGACGGTTTACAAAGCGGAAGATTTACTCTATGACCACTATCATAACGACTGGGATATCTTCGGGGAAGCACAAGAACAAGAATCCTGGGCCAGTCCTCCCTCCAAACGACGTCGAGTTGAAGGCGAGAATACCAGACACAAGAAAGTCCGATATGTGGCGTTGAAGAAGATCTACGTCACTAGCAGCCCAATTCGAATCCAGAACGAGCTGGAACTTCTCCATGATCTCCGTGGCTGTCGATCCGTGTGCCCTCTGATCACGGCATTCCGATTCCAAGATCAAGTTGTGGCCGTCCTACCATATTTCCCTCATACCGACTTTCGAATTCAATACCGTACATTTATGGTCGCAGATATGCGACATTATCTACGATCCCTCCTAACTGCATTAAAATCGGTCCATGAACATGACATTCTCCATCGCGACATCAAACCAACGTACGTACCCCTTATACTGCCTAGGGGTTTTGGACTGCACGCTGAGATAACATTTGGCAGCAATTTTCTCTACAATCCGGATCTGAAAGAAGGTGTGCTAGTCGACTTTGGTCTTGCCGAGGTTGGTTTCGACTTAGCTGTGTGAGTATATAACGTGCTTGACGCTGACCCGTTCTCTTTAATTTCACACAGCGACAAGGTTCCGAATTCACCGGTGCCTGTCTCTGCACCCATCAGTCATATGTTCGCCGAAGTCGGATACTTTCCAGCTATTATTCTAAGAATCCACCATCAGGGGGGCTGTCGACAGGTTACCCCAAGAATGACTCTCGGTCATCAAGGCGAGCTAATCGGGCTGGAACTCGAGGGTTCCGCGCGCCAGAAGTGTTATTCAAGTGTACATCACAGACAACGAAGATTGATATGTGGTCCGTCGGTGTCATTCTCTTAACCTTGCTGGGCCGTCGGTTCCCCTTCTTCAATTCTGCAGATGATATTGATGCCATGATTGAAATGTCAAGTATCTTTGGCACCCGGCGAATGAAGACTGCGGCAGCCATGCACGGGCAGATCTTCGAAACCAATGTTCCTACCATCGGCGAAAAGGGCTATAGCTGGGAGAAACTGGTGAAGTGGTCGAGCTGCGTGGAGGATTTGACTGAAAGTGAACAACAAGCAACCAGTCTTCTTGCGGGCTTGATGGAGCTGGATCAAACGAAGCGGCTCAGTGCCGAGGAAGCTTTGCAACACGACTTTTTTACAAACCCGGTGCACCATGATGTGGAGTGGGGAGGCAACCCCGAAGAGAGTGCAGAGTCAGCCGAAGATGATGAGGCAGGAGATGAAGAAGCCGATGAAGTCGCCATGCTATGAATTAAGATCTGTACGATATATTATGGAGTTCGATGTTGCTACGTGATACATTTTAATTTGAATGCTTTGCCCCCTATAATCACGAGCGTTGAACCCAATTTCTATGTATCTCCATTAACACTCCGCCGAAAGCACCATATATTCTAGTGCCTTCAGAGGGTACACGCTATCCATGTTCAGAAGCTGCCTAATTAGCCTCCCCAAAGTCATAGTGTCCAGTCTCTGAGGCATGCTTAGTCGCTCCCTTCTCCCCGGTGAAGGTGCCCCCGCACGTGTTACAACGGACAGAGAACCCAGCGGTATCGGTGTAGTAATGCTTGCTTTGTAAAACGCGGCACAACTCTTTCGCCTTCTCCAACACGACTGGGTCGATAGATTCAAAGATTTTGGTGTCGCCGTGTGCAAATGGATTGGCACGAGTATATGGTGGGTCAGAGGGAGAGAGTGCTAGAACGTCGTAGTGAATCCCCGAGTAGACCACGATGCAACGAGTCGGAGCACCTTCGTTGAATTGAAATATATGCAGAGTTTTCACGTCGATGGAACAGATTTCGATATTGAAATATTCGCTCAAGATCTTGAGCTCGATGGCGCCACCCCACGAGTCATCATTCTGGATCCACTGACAATATTCATCCGGCTTCTTGCCTAAGATTGCTGCCGAGTACTCTGAGGGATTTGATTGAATAGCTCCCGCGATGATCGATCGTAGTTCGACCATTGTATCCATGTCACCCATGACCGCCGCGCCTACTGCTCGGAAGAGACACGAGTTATCATCGGGCATGACTCGGAGCACAAATGTACCAGCATGTTCGGGGGAAGCAATCTCAGGAGGGTCATCGGCAGTTGACCGCGGATATTGTGACGATGAAAGTCGTTGCGATGAGTGTGGGATGGCAGGACTGGGTTGCTTTAGGGATGGTGGATCACTGGGTCGGGCAGCTTCCTCTCGGTGTGCGACAATCAGTTGTTCTCCATTCAGATTGACCCCAAGATCGGTTATCTTTTGATCAGATTGAAACTGATCGAGGTCCAGGGGTTTGAGATTTGGGTATCCATATTTCACCTCGAAGGAGACCAGACCAGTGCTTTCTGCAATTTGCGTCCGAAGGTCGTGAACGGTGGCAGACTCATCTAGAGACACTGCTGACTGACCCGAGGGCCCTCGTACACGCATTCGCATCGTGTAATGAAAGACACAAGAGCGCGAAGATAGTTATAAAAAAAAATTATGGATATGAAGTTCGGAGACCAGGGATGGGTCCCGCATTGATCCAGTGAGGGGGACGATGACGATGGTTTTTTTTTGGGTCCAGGATCCATGTGGGGTAAAAGGTAAAAGGTAGAGAGCTTGGGAAGCTGTTGAGGATTGTTGGCGCATCTTCATATATATATATATATATATAAGTACATAAATGCAGACTCAAATGAATCTAATGATGAATCTGTCCAATAATTATTTATTGTCTTATGAATCTTATTTCTCTAGCAAGTACAAGGTTTTTGTCTTTGATTTTTTGTATGCGGCGATCTTGACTGCACCCCCACTCCGTGTATGGCCGTTACATCATTTCCAGGCCCACCAAATTCTCATATTCAATCATTTATACATACTGAAGCCTAGGGAATCTTATAGAATCCCTTAGACTAAATTAAATGCCGGTGACGCTACAGTGGGAAGGTTGAAATCCCGTGATTTCTGGTTTGTAGCCTGGATAAATAGGCATATATAATAAATTACGTGTATCTAAATTGTAACGATAACAGATGACTCAGCAGAGCGTAACTTAAACCATCCTTGAGTGCTTCTCTCTCCCTTTACGACGAAACCAGCTCTGTCACGATTCCGCTTCTTGATCCCCCACGTGTCACTCTGGTGGTACATCATGGATCAAGTAGAACAAGAGGATTCACATCCTCAGCCTCGGACGGAGGAGCTTGTTACATCTATCGAAGAGGATGGCGTTATCACCGATGACAAATGGAAGGCTATGATGGATGTTACAATGGCGATATATGATTTTCGTGAGCCAGAGTAAGTAATTCGGTCGCATGAAAGGACAAAAAGAAGCTGAGAGACTGATTGCCTTGTAGTGGTCACGATCCATCACGACTTTTCCACCGCAGTGTCAACAAGCGCCTTGTCCCAGACTACCAGGATATTATTAAGGAGCCGGTAGCTCTTAGTATTCTGAAGCAGAGAATCAACAAGCGTGAATACAAGCAGTTCTCTGATTTTGTGCGCGATTGCGCCTTGGTAAGTGATTCAAGCTCTTCTTTTAATCGACAGTGCTGACTCCTTTACCAACCTTTAGATTTCCCACAACGCGCAAACTTACAACAGACCCAAGTCGCAAGCCTATGAAGATGCTCTCGTGATAAAGGTACGGATTGTAGCAACAAAAACTAACCTCTCCGAGGTTGTCCGAATATATCGTGTGCCCGTGGCTGACCCGTTCTCGCGCGCAGGAGGTTTTCCACGATCAATTCAAGAAGCTTGTTACCAACGGCATAATCACTCCCGAGGAAGCCAAATATCCTGACCTAGGAGAGATTCCTGAGGCGGATCCTTTGCCCGATGACGACGAGGAAGAAGAGGAGGAAGATGAAGATGACGAAGAAGATTCTGAAGACGAGGGACGCCGCCGAAAGAAACCTGGCCCAAAACCTGGCTTCAAGCGTGGCACGAAGGAATCGCAGAAACAGGAGCCGGATCTTCGCAAAAAACGAGGTCGGCCTCCTCGCGTGGATACTCCGATGGAAACTCGCATTAAAACCATTCTTAAGGGAATCCGGAAGTTCAAGGGACCCGGTGGCCATTTGAAAATCGCTCACTTCGAGCGTCTTCCAGATAAGGCTGCTTATCCGGATTACTACATGGAGATTAAGGAACCGATTGCCATCGACATCATCAAGCGCAAGGCCAAGCGCAAGAAGTACAACTCCGTCGACCATTTCATGCGGGATCTCGACCTCATGTTCGATAACGCTAAGGCCTACAACCAATCGGAAAGTCAAATTTACCGAGACGCTGCTGATTTGCAAGTGGATGCCCGGAAATTGGCTGAGCAGGAGAAGAAGAAACCCGACAGCGAATACTTGATGGAAGACGGTAGATTCCCGTTGCCAAATGGTATTCTACATCGAGGCGAGCTGTGGAAGGTTGGAGACTGGGTTCACATTCAAAACCCTAATGATGTGACGAAGCCCATTGTGGCGCAGATCTATCGGACATGGCAAGATTCCGAGAATGAACAATGGATCAATGCATGCTGGTATTATCGCCCTGAACAAACAGTTCACCACTTTGAGAAACATTTTTATCCCAACGAGGTGGTGAAGACCGGTCAATACCGAGATCATCGCGTCGATGAAATCGTTGACCGTTGTTTTGTCATGTTCTTCACTCGTTATAGCCGGGGACGCCCACGGGACTTGGCACCCGACAAGGAGATCTATGTTTGCGAAGCTCGATACAACGAAGAGAAGCACAAGCTCAACAAGATCAAGACATGGGCGAGCTGCCTGCCAGATGAGGTGCGCGAGAAGGACTACGAAATGGACCTCTTTGATTTGCCTCGGAAGATCAAGAAGATCCCCAGTCCAATTAAGCATTTGCTGAAGGAGGATGCCAAAGAAACGGATGATCTTCCCCGACCAACCTGGGGAGCAGACAATGCGCCGCCTGTCGTTGGTGCTGTTCACCGTCGCCCTCGTGACGAGAATGTAGGTCTACTTGTGCCTTTGCTTTTTGTACAGGCCTATTTGACAAAATCTGACTAAAGTCATTAGGAATCTCCACCACCAGAGCCAACCCCATCTCCACCACCTACTCTACCTCCATCCGCCATGGCATCTGTCACCCCCGGTCAATCTATGAGCCAGCCCCTCTTAGGTGCTACCATGGGCTCGAGCCATATCGCGGCTCCACTTCAGACACCTATACCGACACCTGCTGTAGCTCAGACGTCACCAGCACCTATTCCCCAAGCGACATTCCAGCCTCCAATGAACCCGCAGATGTACCAAGGTTCCAGCCAACGTCGCCCGAGTAGCTTCGTGCCTCAAACGCCAACTGGCGTTTATCAAGCATCACCGGCAGCGCATCAATATTCGGCAGCACAGCCAACGCCATATGCGGCCCCCTACTCCACCAACCGTGCTCATGCCGCGGCACCTGTGTACAATCCCAATGCTCCCCGTGCAGTGGAAGTCTTCCACCTTGGGGATGCGGCCAACGCAGCCATTCCCGCCGACATTCGACAGCAATTTCATTGCGACGAGAGAGGCCATGTCTTATTCTTCACGGCCCCTCCTCTAGATATCATCACACCAGCTCAGCCGGAGTTGACACACTCTCTCAAATATCTTGCTACCAAAGAGGAGCGTCAGAAGCACGTCGCAGAAAGGAAGCGCAAGCGAGAGGAAGAAGAGAAACAACGAGTGGATGATGAAAAGCGACAGCGTGCCAATGAAGAGACTGACATTACAGTCCGGCTCGAGGCACTGGGCCCGAGGGCCATTGGATGCATGATGAAACAAGTCGTCGCCGGCACGGAGGAGCTATACAAGCTACTTTATCAAGATCAAGCCGACAACGCCCGTGCTGCAGACTTGAAATCTCGCGAAATTAGAATTCTAGCTGATCGTTTGGCTCGTCAAAAGACAAGCCACATCCAGCAACAGTCCAGGAAGAACTGAACAGTGAATCCCAATGGCAGCGTCATGTTATATGGGTAACATGCCAATCTGCGAAATCAAGGGGAGGAAAATACGAGCATACGAGGGATCAATTTCATTTTCATTTTCAGTTCCAGTGATGTTCTGATTACACATCCGTATCACTATTCCTTTCGACTTGGGTGGCGGCGTCATATATTTCTGGGTTCGGGCAGGACAAGGGGCGTTTCCAAGATGTATGATTAGATCGAAGGAGTGAAACCTTGAAATGTATCTAATATCGCCTAGAATGGATAGATAATTCAAGCAAGAACGGAATCTACTGTATCAATTATGAAACGTGTAAAGAATTTCTGCCTTGGAATTTATTTGCACATCTTCCATTTGTACATTACACGGTCAGGGGAAGGGAAGGTAGTGAAATATAGAAGCGCAGCCAAGACGAAAAACACCAGAGACCAAAGGTCATTGACTCATGAATCAAGTACCAAAAATCAATGGGACACTAGACCAAAAAGCCTCGATATCCCCCAGACCCCATAAGATCACACAGAAGACAAAGAGATTAATACAGGAGATGGCCAGGGGCAAGAGTCCAGTCTCGGAGAAGAAGTCATGCGATGGGTCTAAATGATCCAGGAACAAAAAGTGTAGAACAAATACTCGAACCATCTGAAACCATATGAAAATCGAAAAGAGAAACACACATTCAGGTATAACATGAACAAAAAACAAGGCAAGTCAATCTATGGGATTCGGTTGGGGAGTCTTTGTATGTCACCGAATCACGATGCCAACGGAGGACAGATTAACCTGTGGAAGGGAGGAAGGGGAGGTAGGGGGGGGGGGCGGGCTTTGAGAAAGAGAAGGAATACACTTTTGAGAGTTTCTTCTGTTTCTTCGATCTTGATTGTTTTCTGGCGCTTCGTGATGCTGCTGTGTGCCCAAGTAAGACTCCAATGACCTCTTTTTTGATATGAGCATGTCCAATATGAAAAGCTTAGACGCCGTTTGGTCCGTGTCGTCGTGAGAGTAGTAAAAGTATAATTAGGCGTCAGTAGAGCTCTCTTTGGTTTCGTCGGAGTTCCAGGAGGAGCTGTTACGCTTGTTGCCCTCCTCCTCCTCCATGGAGAAGACAAGGTCATTTTGTTCCTCTTCCTCTTCAATCTTGCTAGTGGTGCCAGAGGAAATCGTGCGGTCGAGGCGGCCTGGGGCCACAGAGGAGTGGCGAGCAGATCCCGGGTAAAGGGACATGCCGCTGAGCTGCTCGGAAATCATGGACATGGACGATTGTCTTCCCGGGCTAGAGACGAATGGCGAGCCATCGTGAGAGGCTCGGCTCCCGATTGGGCCTAGGCTGGGGCTAGCCATAGGGTTCAACGCGGACTCACGGAGGGGAGAGCCGATGTGAGAGAAGGAGGACGCAACACCGTCATCATCCTTCCTTTGGCGCTGCTTAGCAAACAATGCACCAAACCGGGACGGGCTTGACGCGAGAGGCGATCCATTCTTGGAAAAGCTGCTGCTCATGCCGAGCCCGCTGATATCATGGTCGGTCCGGGACAGCCGGCGCAGCTTTTCCTGTGGTGTAAGCACATCATCGTGTAGGTTCATTGGTAGGTAGTCTTCTTCCATGGGAAAGTTTTCATCCCAATCATCGAGCGCAGTAGGCCGAGGGACACTCGCAGACAGCATGCGTGGCTTGACAGGACGGGAGGAGTGTAGGAATCGAGGCCCCACGGTGTCCTCAGGCGCCGGAGGCGAAGACCCAATATTGGAGAATGGCCTGCGACGGTCAGAGCTGAAGCCAATGTCACGCAGGTTTCGGAAAGCATCCGAGGGCCCAGGCCTCTGCGCAGGCGGAGACGATAATTCCAGACCAAACTTCGAGGGCATTGAAGCAGCCACTGGGCCATATCGGGCCACATGAGAGATACCTTGGCTATCGAACGAGGCAGGAAGCGCTGCATCAAGAGCAGTCAGGTGGTGATGATTGGGTGACATGGGGAAGCGCACGTCTTCGGCAGGAGAGCCATACTTCGAGCCGGCATCGGAGGCCAACCCTGCGTCGATTGTTGGAATCGAATCATACGGCGGTACTTGCTGCCCATGCACAGTGGGGAAGTCCTCTGGCTGTGGGGCATATCGCGTTTCATGGTCGTTCATACGTTGCTGCGAAAGGACCGAGTTTGTCAAGGCCGAGTCCTGGTTCACATACGCCTGCGGGTTGACCCGGCCACCCAAGTTGAGGTGGCTACCCCCAATTCCCATACCAGCACCTCCACCCCCTCCACCGCCGCCTCCAGTTGGCCGATTCACCCTCCGTCCATCCGGAAGAATGTGAGCTAGTGCACACTTTGCGCCGAACTTGCAATTTCCCTGGCAAGGAAAAGAGGGAACCTGTCAGCGCCCGGCTAGTGTGGGGGTTCGTACGATGACGATTGATACATTGGACAGGAATGCCGAATTGTGCCTTACCTTGGAAAAGTATTTGCAGGGAGCATAATCGATCGCCGAGTCGGTTGAGTGCAGGAATGGACAAGCGGGGCCTGCCTGACAAGCACCTTGACGGAAGAATTTGCAGGGGACATGCTTGGTATCTGCGGGACGATCGGAGACCCAAAATTAGCTTACATACGAGACACAGAAACCGACGCCATGGAAGCTAAAGGAGAGGTGCATACTCTTATTACTCGGGTTGGGTGGACTGCGAGCCATGTCGAGACTTGAGGGATTGCGGGTATGACCATTTTGAAGCCCAGAGGGCACTTGCAGTGGCGTACGACCTCTCATATCGAGGCGATTGGGAGTAGATGATTGAGGGCGAGAGGCCGATAGCATCGCCAAAGTTGCGGAGGAGGGGTTTATTTCGGGGGATCGGAGAGAGGGGGAAAGAGTTCCCGAGTGCGGGTGCGGGTAAGTTTAGGTAAGACAAAATCTATGACAGCAGATCTATATAGAGTATAGAGTAGAGAAGGAACAAGAGTCGTAAAAGTAGATCGAAGTAAGAGTAAAAAGAAAGGGAAAAAATAAAACAAGGAAGACAAGAGGACATGACATGGAAGTTTATCTCCACAAGTTCTCTCGTTGGTTAAGTTAGGTAGAGAGGTGCTTGGTTCGCCTCATGGTTGCCTCCATTCCGATACATAAATCTTACTACACGATAAAACCTGGTCCTTATCATAATCCTTTTGAAGAGCAGATCGCGCCACAAACAAAATAATAGTGTAATCAAAAAACCTTCCCACGCTCAGACCGAGCCGCAAATCACAAATGTGACTAAAGTGGAGACGAAAGTGATCATCAACATAGCGTCAATACCCGACCTCTCCTCATTGGAGGGTCCCTTCAAGCCCCAGCGTCTCCTGCAAGCCATATCAGCAAACACAGGTGATTCCAACTCGTATGGACATGGCTTAGTAGCGCACCCAAAGCTCTTGCGATGTCATCTTCTCAGGTAAAACCTCGGTGCACTTCCCCCATAGTTCCCGACAGATGCGACGACGGCCGATGGCATAACGTTGCCATTGTTTCCACTCTTGTTCAAGTTTCTCTCGCTCATCCGGGGGAAGTGTCACAGCATCATCGCCGTGATGGCTTGTCAGACGCGCCTGAATCGCACTTCGTTCTTCCTCAAGCCTTTGGATGTCTTGTCGAATATCGGAAAGTCGCGGCTTGCCCTCGAAGGTTGACAATGCGGCTCGGATCTTTTTCTCCTTGGCTTTAATAGTGGCTAGCTCATCCTGAAGCTTCTCTATATCCCGCTTCCGCGTAGCGATGTCTTCGGGGGTCATGCTCTGTGATGCATCCTGTAATGCATGGTAAACAACCTGTTTTCCTGGACATTCCCGGTCTTCATGTTAGTAAAGAAACATCTTCACGCACTGCATCGGCTTGAGATATACCGGCTGATCGTCCTTCAATGTCGCCATTTTGCTGCAATTCTCGTAGTAACTTGGCAGCTTGCGTTTGTATTCCAGTCCCTGTCAGCTACACCGAAGATGTGGAGATGAACCTCCCTCACTTTTGGAAACTTTGTTGTGCAGGTTCGCAGAAATCTCGATTGCCTATCCAAGTCTCTGTAAGAAGATTCTCGGAATAAAAGAATGGGGGATTGTCGCAAACCGAATATGGTCGACTGGGTAAGTCCACGTTAGCGCTACCGTCACTCGAGGCACTAGTGGACATCCATATCGGACTTTTGTTCTCCTATACACTTCAGCTCAGATCTCTTTTTTTTTTAGAAAAAAAAAAAATTCATTCAAATTTCAAAAGAATCCTCACGTAGATAATCGAGGATAATGGTAGAATCTTGCTTTTGTTAGTCGGCATCATTGCGGTTACCATCAGTGCCCCCTGTGTCACCTGTGATACCTTTATCACCTTTGATTTTGCGAGCCATGACGAATTTGGGATTTCAAGTTCAAACAAGATGCAAAGATACAAAAGGGAGAGGGAGAGGGAGAGGGAGAGGGAGAAGAAGAGGAAGAAGCAGAGGGGGGAAAACTCCTCCACGTGGATCTACAGCACCAGAAAAAACACTAGTACTTCAAATGCTATAGATTTCATTACTGGTAACGCCTCGTATCTAACAAAACAACAGAGAGATTGAAACCAACCATATGTCCAACGGCCCCAGGCAGCCATGATAGCACCAGCGTAAATGCAAAATGTTTGGGACAGAATAAAAAAAACAGTACCTGGAAGGCGAGTAATTTTTTCTTCGAACAAAATAAATCTTCCAGGATTATAAAAGAACATAAGGGGGAAATGAGGGAAAATATGAAGATCATTGGGGCAAGTCCAAGATGGCGTTCAGGGTATCACATCACCAGCTGAATCTAATTAGCTTCGAAACCAGAGATCCATGGAATGGAACACTTACACAATCACTGTCAGTTTTGGCACTTGGAACTCCCATTTCTTCAAAAGTCTTGGGGCCCTTGCTGGGCGGCGGGGCGCTAGGTTTCGGCGGCTGTGCAGCGGGCATCTGTGCCGAAGAGGAGCTGGACGGTGGCTGGGGAGTAGAGGATGCCGAGCCCCGAGATGGCTGTCGGGACTCCATGCGAGGAGGGAATGTGCCAGAGGAGGGAGAGCCAATTGTGCGAGGAGATGCTGGACCGCGAGGCGATGGCAATGACCCGGGGTGACCACTCACCGGGGTTCGCACTGGTTTCCTATCAGGAGGAGGCATTCCATCGAGCCGTGTAGGTGGAGGGCGTCGTCGATCGCCCGGTGGCGGAATTGGAGCGGAGTAACCGACATCAATTCGGGGCGTTCCACCAGGACTTATCATGTTCGCAGCTTGGGGGCTTACAGGGCCCGCTGGTGCGCTAACTGGTGTACCAGGACCAGGCTGGCGATAGCCCATGGAGCCAGAAGCAGGGCCGGGGCCATAGGCCGGGTTTCGAGGGCCTGGAGAACCACCGTAACCTGGAGCCCCATTTGTACGCAGGTTCGGATTGACCCCAAACGCAGAGCTTGGCCGAGGATCGGGCATTTGATAGCTTGGCTGGCCCGGCCGAGGGCGGGGGGTAGAGCGATCAGGGTAAGGAGCTGCGGCTGAGGGGGGGTCGGAGAGAGTCATACGCGAAGGATCAGGCATCTCAATGTTCTCCGGGGTTGGGTCCAAAGAGTTGACACGCTGGTGCGCATGACGGGTTGACTTGATCCGAGAGATAGCTACCTTCTCGTGATCCCTCCGGGAGAGAGTCTTGGAACGAGAAATACTGTCGATGCGGCCAGTTGCATCCTTGTTGCCGCTGGCGGCGGCCTTGGCGTACCAGCTTCGAGCTTCTTTGATGTCAACGGGAACGAAAATTCCGACTTCATAAAAGTAACCCAAGGCGAATTCAGCGGTGGGAAGACCACTCTGAGCCGCCCGTTGCGCATATGTAAATGCCAGTTCGTCGTTCTTCTCGAATACACCTTCATGTCCACAGAGGAACCATTTACTGATCGCCATCTCCGCTTCAGGTTCACCCTGGCGCGCTGCTAGAGCATTGTAGTGCAGGGACAGGGCTGGGTTGAAGTCACACTCTAGCTGGCATAGCTCATATGAGGCACCCATCTTTACCTGAGCTTTGGCAAATCCATGATACGCGGCCTTCTCAATGTTCACGCGCGAGGTGTTGAGGTCCATAGGAAGGAAGGCTTCAGGCACGCTCACTTGAGGAAGTTCCCGAGCTAGAAGCATCCCATATACCTGTTGAGAACATTAGCAACCGAAACATCAAACCTGTTCAAGTCCAATTAAACTCACATAGGCTCCCTGTGGGGCATTTTGGTCGCATGATTGCGCGGCCAACCGGATATACTCCAGGCCCCTTTGGAAGTCCTGGCGTTGACCGTGCTGGCCGAGGAGAATCATCATTCCCAGGCGCTAGAACGGAGGTTAATGTCGATTCCATAGTAGCGAAGGGGTAGAAGAAGACGTACGTAGTATGAGGCAGAATCCGCCATGGCAACACCCCGCTCATAGTGCTTGGTCGCCTTCTCGGGCTCCCCCGAGCTTTCAAATTGCATTCCGATCCGGTATTCGGCGCGCGCATACCCCTTCTCCGCCGCTCTAGAATAGCATCGAAACGCTCCTTTGCGGTCCACTCGATAACCGAACTTGCCAAATTCGAGCCACATACCCTTGATAAACTCAGCCTTGGGGTGGTGCTGTTCCGCTAGGAAAGTAACGATGTTCAAGGCATCAGTCTTTAATTGGCGCTCCCCCTGGGGAGTGTGTGGCCGCGGGGGCTGTGTTACTGCCAAGCGAGCCTCATTTTGCGCGGCCACCTCCACGTAGGCCAGCGCGTCCTGGGCCCATGCCAATTGCATCTCCGGGTCCGTAGTCGACAAGACAGCCATCCGGGCTCGCTCTAGATTCGCCTCCCGCTGTTCGTCCGTGGGCGGCACGTTGGGGGGTGGGTTCCGCAATACGGGGAAGGGTGAGAAGTTGGGATGATCCATGCTATCATAGGTTGCGGATTGCGCGTAGGCGCCATGATCATGGACCTGTGATTGTTGTTGCAGCTGGCCCTGAACAGCAGAGGAAGTGCGCTCCGGGAACTGGCTGCGGTACTGGCCGGGCGGCGGTTGCTGGTATTGTTGTTGTTGTTGTTGTTGTTGTTGTTGTTGCTGCTGCTGCTGCGCGCGGCGGGGGTCACGAGCGTGATGTTCCAGTTGTGCGATGTTATCCTGCATGTTTTCGGGGACTTCAGGCATGACCCTGATGGGATGAATTAGTACTCGTACCCGAGGCATCTTCGTGGGGTTGCATGTGGAAATATAAGGGTTAAGCACCTGCGACTGAAACGTACCTTTGGGGAGAGGGGGAGATGACCTCTGGCATGTAAAAATCATCCTGGCCCCCTGGATACCAAGTCGCACCCACCCGTGGCTGACCACGGCCTTGCGGCGGTCTGTTCATCCGTAATGTGATTTAGATCTTAGAGGAACTCCGCGTCCTGCTGGGGGGCGCTCAGTACCATCAGCTTCTTTTAAGAGGTGGATAAAGAGAAGTAATAAGAAAAAAGAATCGGGGGAAAGTTGTAAAGTCGCCAAGCGGAGCAAGTGAACCACAGCCCACTTTTTTTCCCTTGAGGGTCAACTGTGTCCACCCCGCAGGTACTTTTTGTATTCAATTCTATGTAGTGAGAATAATAAATAAGAATGACGAGGGCAATATTTGAATACAGTATATAAATAGATTATCATATTGTTCTTTCCTGTACTACACAGCCCCATCATCTACACGGGAACATAAAATACATTTCTAAGTAGTAGAACCTCGGCATTTAGGCATATAGGTAATGGTTAATGTCTGACCCGCACTTGACTACTTACAGTACTACTTACGGCCCTTACGGAGTCCTTCGTACTGGTTTGTTACTTGCCCCTGAAAATACTCCGTACTTACTAGTTACTACTAAGTAAGTAGTACACTAGTGGAATCTCTCTCTTTCCGGATCCACTTTTAACGGTTTATTTTTATCTTTTCCTCTTTCATTCTTTCCAATCATCACAATGGATCGGGATTTTCATCATCCATTTGTTCCATATGATATTCAACTTCAATTTATGCACAATCTATATGGTTGCCTGGAAGATGGAAAAATAGCTGTCTTTGAATCCCCTACTGGTTTGTGTTTTCCCCCTCCTTGATGGATCTGACTGACAAGACAAAATCCCACAGGTACCGTACGTGCTCCACATCGCAAATTATAGCCCCGGGGATTCGGATCATGCGCCACAATCCGGCTGTATTGTCCAAAGAGCTGATATTGATCTAGGGTAAATCTTTGAGTTTGATTTGCGGTTCATTGACTTGGCTGCGAGATCACAAGCGCAAAGCCTTTGAACAAACGTTGGACCAGGTAGCTTGTATGCTTTCCAGTTCTTCACCGGAGAATCTATTTCTCTATTTCTCTATTTCTCCTTTTTTTGCCCTCTTCAAATTGATAACCTCATTCTCCTAGGTGACGATGACGACCCAGAATGGATGGTCGAATTCGCCAAACGTGACTCGCGACGGGCCATAACGGAGAAGAGACAAGAGTTTGAAACCAGACTCGCAAAAGTCAAACAAGAGGAAGACCGTCTGAAACAGGCCCAGGGAAGTCAGGAACGACCTCGGAAAAAACAGGTAGACGCGAGATACCTTCTATCGCAAATTGAGAATCTATTCCAACTGACCTCGATATAGCGAGTGGCTGAGCCAGAGTCGCTGGGGGAGCTCGATGACGACAGTCAATTTGTTCTCGATGATTATGATAGCGAAACGGACCAAAAGAAGAAGCCGAGTGACTCAGGCGGGGTTGATGGCTTGTCTGCCAGCACGCTAGCTTTATTAGAGCGATTCAAGGGAAAGTTCTCCTCTCAGGGGCAGGAAGATGAGGAAGATGACTCAGTCAAGATCTTCTACTGCTCTAGAACGCACTCGCAGTTGAGCCAATTTGCTGGTGAGCTGCGGCGGGTTGCATTTCCATCGAGTATACCCAACGTGCCCGATTCGGACCAAGACGGTCTGTCCAAGCTGGAAGAGCGGATCAAACACCTTTCGCTGGGATCTCGAAAGAATTTGTGTGTAAATCCCAAGGTCCAAGCACTGGATAACAGCACTGCAATCAATGAGCGGTGTTTAGAGCTGCAGCAGTCCGGTGTTGCTGCAGACAAGAAATGTACCTATCTCCCCAAGGATGATGACGCCTTGAAACTTCAGTTCCGAGACCATGTATTGGCGACAGTCAAAGACATCGAAGATATTGGCAAAGTGGGAAAGGAGATTGGCATTTGCCCGTACTATGCATCTCGCGAGGTCATTAAACACAGCGAGGTTCGTTGCAGCTTGTTGCTAGATATCTCTCGCTAACAACTCCTCTCGCTAATTACTCTCATAGATTGTGACACTGCCATACCCTTTGCTGCTTCAAAGGTCTGCTCGCGAAGCCCTCAACCTGTCCGTGAAGGGCCATGTGGTTATCATAGACGAGGCTCACAACCTCATGGATGCAATCGCTGGCATTCACTCGGTGACAGTCTCTTTGTGCCAATTACAAACCGCAATCTCGCAATTGACCATATATGCGCGCAAATTTAAGACTCGCCTGAAAGGCAAAAACCGGAGTTATGTTGCTCAGGTGATCCGGCTGGTCAGTTCCATTGCTAGTCATCTCCGATCAGTTTCTGAGCGAAATGGCCCGTCAGAGGGTTCTGTTCAGTTTTCGGATCTCATGGCAGGCAAAGGAGTTGATCAGATCAACCCTTACAAGCTGTCTCGATACTTGCAAGAGAGCAAGTTGGCTCGCAAGGTAGATGGGTATGTCGAATCTTCAGAGAAATCTCTACCAAGCCAGAAAAGCAAAACGACCACGCCCGTCCTCTTCCATATTCAGAGTTTTCTACTACCTTTAATGAACCCCTCAGAAGAGGGTAGGCTTTTTTATCAGAAGAATCACGATGATCTAGTGTTGAAATACATGCTTCTTGACCCTACAAATCATTTCAGAGAGATTGTTGAAGATGCTCGAGCAGTCATACTTGCAGGTGGAACAATGTCTCCGGTGAGACTTACGTTTCAGCTCCCTCGCACTAGGGTCCACTAACGTATTTGACAGATGTCAGACTATGCAAACCATTTGTTCTCATACGTCGCACCCGAGCGACTTGATACGTTCACTTATGGTCACGTCATTCCGAATACCAACTTGGTGGCGCAATCACTAACCCGGGGGATCCTGGGCTCGGATTTTGACTTCACATACGAGGCGCGTGGATCTGAAAAGATGGTCAGATCTCTCCATGCCTCAATAACTTAACACGGGGTGTTTTTTTTTTTAAAAAAAAAAAATAAAATAAAATCTTGCTGACTCTTATCGTAGATCACAGACCTGGGACGAACTATAGCCACACTATGTCAAGCTATTCCTGATGGAGTCGTCGCATTTTTCCCGAGTTACGACTACCTCAGCCAGGTCTTGAGCGTTTGGCAAAAGCCGATTGCCAATGGCAATGGCCAAACGACCCTTAGCCTGATCGAGCGGAAGAAGAAGATTCTTTACGAATCCCGTGAAGCAGTAAAAACCACTGATACATTGCTACAGGAGTACACCGAAGCTGTTGAATCGGGATCCGGAGCGTTGTTATTATCAGTGGTTGGTGGAAAGTTGTCAGAGGGTATCAATTTTTCTGACCGACTGGGACGAGCTGTGTTGATTATTGGTTTACCTTTTCCCAATATCCGCAGTGCAGTCTGGCAAGCAAAGATCAAGTACATTGAGGAGAAGACCTATAAACATGGCTCGGGGTCGGAATCCGAAAAGAAGGCCAACGCCTTGGCCGCGGGTAGAGACTTTTATGAAAATTCCTGCATGCGGGCCGTCAATCAATGCATTGGACGAGCAATTAGACATGTAAATGACTATGCAGCCATTATCATGCTTGATCAACGGTATGATACGCCACGTATTCAAAAGAAGCTGCCAGGCTGGATCCAGGGAAGTCTGGTAGCCTCTTCATCCGCACGACCAGCCCAAGTGACAGTGCAGCGACTGTCCAAGTTTTTTGCAGAAAAGTCATAGTTCATACTTGAGTCATGAGCAAACAAAATAATAATAAAAAAAAAAAATTAATACCCAAAAATGTATTCCTCAAAGGTCTACGGAGTGAAGATCCTCGTATATAGTTGATGGGCCATTTAGCTGTTACGAATACAGAAGGCGGTATGACAAAGTCATGATGGATCATCACATGACTTTATCAGCCCCAAGCAAGGGTTTGACCCTATCACGGGACAAGCGAAGTTAGCGCACACTCTAGCAGGCGCGAGCGTGGATTTCAACATCAGAGCCGGAAGTATTCACGTCCCTTCCCCCCTTCAACGCCTAAATCTCGAACCGGTCTTGTCGAGAACACCACCGCCGACAAGATGCCTACCCGTTTTTCGAACACCCGGAAGCAGTGAGTCGCCCTCCTGTCCTCGTCCCTCGATCATTTTTGGAGGATTCATGATCGGCGCAATTTCAAGATTGCTGTATCGCGAAACATCTTCACCTGCAATCGACCTCTATCAGCAATATACTAACCTTCATTTCTTCCACAGCCGTGGCCATGTGTCCGCCGGTTACGGTCGTGTCGGCAAGCACCGCAAGAGCCCCGGTGGTCGTGGTATGGCCGGTGGTCAACACCACCACCGTACCAACATTGACAAGTACCACCCCGGTTACTTCGGTAAGGTCGGTATGCGCTACTTCCACAAGACCAAGCAGCAGTTCTGGAAGCCTACCATCAACCTCGACAAGGTACGTGACCAACCGAATGAAATTGATCCTTTTGAAGACAAAACCCAGGGAGGCGAAAATTTTGCGTATTCGGGAACGGAGGCAAAGATAGAACATACTTTGGGTTTTCGCCATATCTGAGAGGGTCGATTTGGAGATTCTTGTGCAACGATTTGGCTAACTTTTTTTTCTTTCTTTTTACAGCTTTGGTCCCTCGTCCCCGCTGAGCAGCGTGACGCCTACGTGAGCGGCCAGAAGACCGACACCGCCCCCGTCATTGACCTCCTCCCCCTCGGTTACTCCAAGGTCCTCGGAAAGGGCCGTCTCCCCCAGATCCCCGTCGTCGTCCGTGCCCGTTACTTCAGCCGTGACGCCGAGCAGAAGATCAAGGAGGCCGGTGGTGTCTGTGAGCTGGTCGCATAAGCGTTGATTCGGTGTTTATTTTGAGATGGCGGGTGAATCGGGGCAATCGCAGCCCTAGCTGCATTCGGTCTTAAAGTGGAGGATCAAAGTCTTTCTGCCTGAGGAGGACGATCGGAACTCAAAAAAAGAACGCCACGAGCCGGAACGGTTGGCTGAGGTGCTCGAAAAGAAACAGGGTTTTTGTGTATGCAAGCAGCATAGCATGGCCTCCGAATGCCCTTATGATTTCACATTGTGTTAAACAAATACCACAAGGAGGATTTTTTCAAAATTTGCGTGTCCCGGTTTTGACTGGTACTTGATATGGGTTCATGCCCACTGCATATCTGGAACATGTAAAGGTTGGAACCGACGGCTGTCCATCATTGCCATTGTATGTACTATTCCGTACACAGTGGGTGACTATTACAATTGTTCCAAGCCTGGTGTCATTGTATAGTTCCAGTGACTTATGCCATGCTGATTAGAAAGTCTCCGCATGTGTGAGTTGTAAATCTTATCATTTCGGAATAAGGCAAACTCCCAAGTAATCTTTTGCGTCTTATTTTATATTCGTGGCAATGTCTAGATCTTGGATTCCCGCACTGAACCCCTACGGTCCTTGCTGTTCTCATTGACTGCCAATGTTTCACTGATAAACCGGACAGCCTCATCAACCATTTTAGGGGTGACTTCGTGGCCTGCTGCCTGGTCAATGATATCTTCGAACGTGACCGCACCATCCCCAAACCATCCATTGGATGAGATTGCACTCTTGAACCATGTCAAAAAGGCCTCACCACGGTGATACGGCACAAGCTTGTCGATCCCGCCAGACAAGTTCAAGATGCGCTTGCCAGCCAGACACCGGGTCAGCAAAGGCCGAAGCTCCTGCTGTTCCTGTTCTGTTGGCGCAGGTATGGTCTCGTCACGCAGTGGACCAGGTGCACTCTTGACATGACTGAGCATGAGACTTGCAGGATCGTACTGTTTGACGATATCCACAAACGAAGCCGGGAAAGCCTCGGAACCCAGGATCTCTGCTCCTGGCGGGTCGCTTTTTGTCCACGAGGGCAATTTCGATAGTCGTGCACGATCCACCATAAGATTAAGATAATCCGGACAGCCGATGATAACCACACCTGCGCTGACACGAGGCTCGTGCAATAAGCAGCTCCAGGCGGCGTGTCCACCAAGGGAGACGCCCAGAACCAGGTTCTCGGAGATCTTATTCTCCCCATTGGGAAATACGAACGCGGCAAGATAGTCCATCAACAATGAAGTATCCCTTGCGGTTCCCTCTGAGGTATTCCTGCTGGTTAGATATCATCACTTTCAGGATGCGGGGGGTTATGTTCTAGGAAAGCTTACGGAAGATAGAGAACATATCTTGGGCATGGCGCGGATTGCCCTGTCGCCACGCCTCATTGGCCAGCGGATCAACCATTCTGGCACCATGATTGCGCTGATCAAAAGAGACAGCAATGAGACCTTTGGCTGTTGGGGTATCTTTGGTTTTGGTGTTCCAGTCGGTAATGGTTGATGCAGCGATATCAGTCATTCGTTCCTGGGTTGCCAGGCGAGGGTGCAGCAGCCAGAGACAGGCCACTGAAGTGGCTTGCGAATGAAGCTCTCCAAGTCCAAACACTGTCACTGAGATTCCGGCAATGGCGTAGACCTTTCGCGAAATGGCGGTTGGCTTCGGCCGGCCTAAGTCCAAAGTCTTCAATGGGTCGGTCATGTTGGTAGAGGGTTCAAGTGTTATGTTGATTGAAAGAAAATAATCTTGAAGTGAGAACAAATCCGGTGCGATGCTCGGCTGTATGCCACATGTAAAGTGCGAAAGATAACCCAAGAAGGGTGGGGAACAATCGGATTATGTATTCTGCAGGCGTTTCGGGTATATATGTAAGAAGCCGAGGGCCAGAGACTAAACATCGGACTTCCCCACTAGATTACAACTCACTAGTACAAATCCAGTGATACTTTAGTTCGACTAGTTTCTATCTTTCACCTGACTATTCCAACGGAATAAATATTTGAACTATTTATGTCAATTTGACTATTACTTTGTATTACGTATCTAGAGCCACGTGATTACCAAGCCTGAGGCCATAATGAATCTCAATTGGGAAAAAAGCAAACGTACGAGGAACAACAGATGAATCATTGGGTTTCTCTTTTTCTTTATTTCTTCTTCCTCTTCCTTTTCATTTCAATCTCCTTCGGCCTGTTGCACATAAAATATAAATGTGCTTGTGAAACCCTTGTGCGATCGACATTTCACTGTCCTTGAACTTCCCCCTTTATTGTTTCCTACCGCCCGTTACTTGGCTAGCTTGGCGGGTCCTCTCCAGTCGGAGACACTCTGTTACTGGGCCGGAGCTCCACCGCAGTTGCGAACTAATTTAGACGACAAGTGCTCCTTTAAATGCCGACACTCGAGTAAAGTATACTTTCCCACCGAACGTTGAGTCCGGTCTGTTGTTCGGCCCTGGGCATGAAAGTCAGAGCAAGGATCTCGATTTGTACGTCACCCCGGATTTCGACGGCGCCCGCCGAGAGCTGCAAACTGATAATCATCAGCGTAACATGACCGACGCAATGCTAGCCTCTTCTTCAGAGGCAGGCCGCAGCCCCGAAATGGTCCAAACCAAAAAACCAGACCCTATTTCAACTTCGAACACACCGAAGCTGTCATCGCCGTTTCCCTCTCCGACCGAGGCCAAACAGCCTGCCTCTATTAAATTGGCCCCGTCGATAGATATGAACGAAGATGATCAGGAGGGTCCCACTTCACAGCCGTCCAAGAAAGCCTATTCTGCTTCTTCCCAGAGCAAGGAGAACTTCCGTTCTTCTTCAACCCAGCGTTCGCCGAAAGAGAAACCATCCCTGAACACTCGACCACCCAACAACTCCAATGAGGACAATTCGCCCTGCGAGGGCCATCAAAAGCATCAGTCTTCCGTTCCAGGGCTCCCCCCCTCTTCTCGTGCCCCTAGCGTTCAATTCCGAGAAACCGACACCGAAAACGCCGCACTGCCACAGTCCCGGCCTACGTCCTTGTATGGTGACGATGGAGAGCAGTCGGCCAGGGGAAGATCATTCATTACCAAATTGAAGTCATCTTTCACCTCCCACGCGCGTTCGGCTAGCGGAGGTGCAGTTCCGGACTTTCGGCAACCCCCTCCGGAGTTAGCGACCCCCGGCTCTGAACGTGGTGACTTTCGCTTTCCCGAACCATTGCCAGAAGAGGGTAGTGATATCGAGGCGGATGCGGAGGAAAGTGGTGCAGAACAAGCGGATCGTCCCAAAAGAAAGAAGATCCCACGACGCCCTCAAGCAGAGGAAGAGGATGCAGGCAACCGAACGGCACCTACTACGCCTAAAGCTGGCCGTCGACCCTCCTTCCACTTTTCCTCATCCTTTGCGCCGTTCGAGAACTATCGGCAAAACATCTTTCCCCGGAGAAGTAGTACAACTGACTTTACCCCGCAACCACGGGAAGGAGTATCTGAGGATGAGGGTCGTGAGAGGCTCAATCGTCGAAAAAGGAGCGCATGGGCTGGAGCCCGTGGTATGTCTTATATTGGGCGGCAGCCAGACGAAAATCAGGATGAACAGCGGCCAAGTCACCTAAGACGGCTTACTGGTCTGGCGGGTCCTTCGGACAATGCTGATAGCCTTGCGGCCACTTGGAGACGGCACCGGAACGAGCGCGGCACCAGTGCGAGCGCCCAAAGGTGGAAGCAGATCAAAGCCGGATTTAAGCTCATCGGGCAACGGCGCAAGCCTGAGAATACGGTAGACAATAAGAAGTCGGCAGAGTTGCTCGCTGAGTTGGCTTCAGCCGTGCCAGCTGCACTGATCTTGGCCAGTTTTTTCCAAAGAGATGAACACGGAAGCAAACGAATTCCGATTCTCCTGGAACAACTGAAGGTTCGCGTGACGGATAGTCGCATTGACGCCCATTCTGGGGATCGGCACCTTGTCTTCCGCATTGAATTAGAGTATGGCAGTGGAATGACCCGGATGAAGTGGATCATCTTTCGGACCTTGAGAGATTTTGCCAACCTGCACTTGAAGTACAAACTCCATCTTGGGACTCAAAAGTACATTCAGCTACGGACTAGTGAGAACAGCCCAAGTCTTCCTCGTTTCCCCAGGAGTGCATTCCCGTATCTTCGGGGCGTTAGAGGGCTGGAAAGTGAGTTCGAGGATGAAGATGAAGATGGCGGCTATGAGACTGGACCGGAGCCAATGAGTGGGACTGAGCGGACAGGGAAAAAGAAGAAGCAGACCCAGCAACATCAACGCCGGTTGTCCGGTGCCCTCACCCGTCGAAAGTCTAGCATTACGAATCCTCAGGAAGGGGAATCGGCTGTGGCCCCTTCATCTACACAGGAAGGAGCCCAGGGGGGTAAAAGGGAAACATATCCAGAGAGACAACGCAAGAAGCTTGAGATTTACTTGCAGAAAATGATCCGTTTTTTGATATTCCGGGCTGGCAGCAATCGACTATGCAAGTTCCTGGAGCTATCTGCTCTTGGAGTTCGCCTCGCTGCCGAAGGTAGTTATCATGGTAAGGAAGGCTTTTTGATCATCCAGTCATCAAAGGGGTTGGACTTCCGGAGAGCCTTGAATCCATCTCTCATCAAGAAACGACACTGGCCAAAGTGGTTCCTTGTTCGACACAGCTACGTAGTTTGTGTGGATTCCCCCGAGGAGATGAACATTTATGATGTTTTTCTTGTGGACTCGCATTTCAAAATAACAACCCCGAAGATCAGTCTCCGCAATCAAAAAGCGAAGGACCTGGCCAAATCTGCAAAGCAATCCGCGAGACACCCACAACATCATACGCTAAGACTCGAGAACTCTGAGCGCAAACTGAAACTGCTTGCACGGAATGAACGCCAACTCCAGCAGTTCGAAGACTCCATTCGATTCATGGCTCAAAATACGCCTTGGATGCGTCCTAATCGATTCGACAGCTTTGCGCCTGTGCGGCAGAAATGCTTTGCGCAGTGGCTTGTCGATGCTCGAGACCACATGTGGGTCGTTTCGAGGGCAATAAATCAGGCCAAGGATGTGATTTACATCCATGATTGGTGGCTGAGCCCAGAGTTGTACATGCGACGACCGGCTGCTATCAGTCAGAAGTGGCGTTTGGATCGTCTTCTGCAGCAAAAGGCCCGTGAGGGCGTCAAAATCTTTGTCATAATGTACCGAAACATCAACTCCGCCATCCCCATTGACTCTGAATACTCGAAGTTTTCTCTCCTTGAATTGCACCCCAACATCTTTGTCCAGAGGTCTCCGAATCAATTCCGACAGAACACATTCTTCTGGGCCCACCATGAAAAACTGTGTCTTATTGATCATACCTTGGCTTTCGTTGGAGGCATTGACCTGTGCTTCGGGCGTTGGGACACGCCTCAACACAAATTGACTGATGATAAACCCACCGGCTTTGAGACTGCAGACATGCACAAAGATGCAGACAACTGCCAACTATGGCCCGGCAAGGATTATTCCAACCCGCGAATTCAGGACTTTTATGATCTAGATAAACCATACGAAGAAATGTATGATCGAAACGTCGTACCCCGGATGCCTTGGCACGATATCTCGATGCATGTGGTTGGCCAGCCTGCTCGTGATCTTACCCGGCATTTCGTTCAGCGCTGGAATTATATCCTCCGCCAGCGGAAACCAACGCGACCTACACCGTTCCTTCTGCCTCCTCCAGATTTCAACCCGGCTGATTTGGAGGCTCTGGGTCTAGATGGAACCTGTGAAGTACAGATCTTACGATCCAGCAGCATGTGGTCCACTGGTACTCCGGACGTCACCGAGCATAGTATCATGAATGCTTACGTCAAGCTAATCGAAGAATCCGAGCACTTTGTCTACATTGAAAATCAATTCTTTATCAGTACCTGTGAAATCGATGGTCGAAAGATTGAGAACCTGATTGGTGATGCTTTGGTGGAACGAATTGTTCGTGCAGCAAAGAACGAAGAAGCATGGCGCGCTGTTATTGTCATTCCATTGATGCCAGGTTTCCAAAATACCGTGGACAGCGAGGGCGGTACTAGTGTACGTCTGATCATGCAATGTCAGTATCGCAGCATTTGTCGCGGCGAGACATCAATTTTCGGCCGTCTTCGCGCCCTGGGTATCGAGCCAGAAGATTACATTCAATTCTTTAGCTTACGAACTTGGGGCAAAATCGGTCCGCAGAAACAGCTGGTGACTGAACAGCTCTATATCCATGCCAAGTGCATGGTTGTCGATGATCGTGCCGCCATTATTGGATCAGCAAACATTAACGAACGTTCGATGCTGGGCTCTCGTGATTCGGAGGTCGCATCTGTGGTCCGTGATACCGATATGATCATGTCCACTATGAACGGCAAACCATATCTTGTTGGCCGTTTCCCCCATACTCTTCGCATGCGGTTGATGCGAGAACATCTTGGAATTGATGTTGACGAGCTTTTGGAGCACGATTTTGCGACCGAGGAAGAACTACGCAAGATCCAGGACGCTGAGGAGGATACCAGGCCAGCTGGCGAACGGCAGCAACGCGATTCAGAATCGTCAATCATCGAGCGACAAGACGAGCGAGAGATGATCGAACGACGGCACCGTGTTCAAGACGAATTCCTATCCCGCTCCGAGGACATGCACAGCTTCAACCATGATGTCGACTGGGAGCAGGGCAACAACCCGAATCTTAAGAGCAACCGGAGATTGACTGCCGATCCCCGCGTTACAGATAACCCCGAACATCGAAAAGATGTAGACGGTGAAGGATTTGATAATTTGAAAGCTGCTGAGAATGCGGGTCGAGTAGTCGGTCGTGATTCGCAAATCTCACCGGTTGGCAGGGAGTGTCTTGTCTCTCCGATTCTCTCTGAGGGCAAAGGTACCATTGAGCAACCGAAGTCGTCTTCGCCGCCAAAGCCATCTCGGGCCAAATCGACCAGTAAAGATTCCAGACTCGAGCCCCCAACGGACGCTCCTCGTGACTCCGAGGCCAATAACAACTCGGATTCCCAATCCACTGGCCACGGTATGTCCGAAGCATCGAGCCGTGACTCGGAACATGGCCATGGTAATCCGATGATGTCGAAAGACAGCCATGATCATTCTCGATATGGCCATTCTTCCGTTCCAGATCTGAAGCAAATTTTCATTGACAAGGACTGTATGAAAGACCCGGTGAACGATGCATTCTATTTGGACACTTGGCAGGCCGTAGCCGAGAAGAACACGAAGATCTATCGGTCTGTCTTCAGGTGCATGCCTGATAGCGAAGTCAAAAACTGGAAAGAATACAAGGAATATGCTGCTTATGGCGAGCGTTTTGCGGAGATGCAAAGCCAGCCAAGTAAGACTGCTCAGCGACAGACCGGTGCCCCTGGCGGTAGCAGCTCGATTTCTGCGCCACTCGGCTCGCCGATCTCCTTGGTCAGCCCTAAGACTGAAGTGCCTAACATTGAGCCAAAGACCCCACAAAATATCGATGAAAAGATTGGACTGAAGACGACAGACACTTCCCGAAACCAAGGTGAACCGCAGTCTGAAAGGCAAGAAATCCTATCCGCCATTGATGAGAAGTCTCGCCTCAAGACCGCATCCGATCCACCTTTGTTGAGCACCGTGCAGAATGATGATAATCCTACTGCTGGAGAGGATGTTGAGAAGCCCCGCTCTAATTCGGCGCATGTCGACTATTCCGAGGCAGTGAATCTCAATGCCTCTCAATCACGGAGGCGTAGACGACGAGCAGCAACCATTGGCTCCAAGCAGTTCCACGCTACAGATGACGTGATGGACAAGCAGTGCGCAGAGGATCTTTTGAATAACACTCAAGGTCATCTTATTCTTTGGCCGTATGATTGGTATGTTTTTCTGTCCATTTTAGAGAAAGGAACCTCCTTTTAACTAATCAATCTACAGGCTTGAGAAGGAAGAACAGGGTGGTAATTGGCTCTACGCTCTGGATCAAATCTCCCCATTGGAAATTTAGTAAGTTCCATTCATCCATTCATTCCTTTCGTTATAATTTGAATTATGCAACTGACCTCTCCATAGCAATTGATTTCACTTGCAATCGCACCGGCCGGCGTCCTCTAGCTTCTCGCTCAATCCCCATTAATCTTTTAAGCTTATCAATTCTCATATTGCATTCTTGCCTATCCTATTGTGTTATTGAGCGCTGCTGTTCTATATGATGCATTTCTCAGGTGTCTCAGACTTTCAGGAGTGGCCGATTTCTATAGAATTTTGTATGGGTTAGCAACCAGGCGTTCGCACTCTTCTTCAATATAATTAAAGCCAAGCTCGAAATAAAATAATGGAACAATTGCAAATTTCTCCGGAGAAGAGATGGGTATATATGTACAAGGTATCATTGGACCATCGTCGGATCCGTCCCAAATAATTCACATACTAATCAGCCACTACGGCTAGTTCACTGGGTGTATAATGCGCCCTCGAGTTTTATCCAATTGATCAAAATTGGCTCGAAGAGCAGTCGTCAGAATGGAAGTGCCCTTCTCCGATCCTTCCCAAGTATCGCACGCGTGACTTAGCCGCTCATGTGCCGCACTCAAGGCATTCTGCAGTTCAGGTGTGCGAGTACACGAACGACCCAGATCGTTCATGAAATGAGTTGGGTCCTGAATACAGAGCCTTCGATCCATGAGCAAATTTCCTTTGACAGCAGCAGTGCGTTTCGCACTAATCAGCGACCTTTGACCACGACGATACACAGGCTCATCTTCTCCAGTAGAAGGGCGTAGAATTTCAGCTCCGAAAAAGCTGGGGGGTTCAACCGCAACCCCCATAGACTGGAGATTGATGTCGGTGCCGTAGAGCTGTAAAAACCCCAGGAATTGTTCGCCCAGGTGTTGGGACCCGAGATAACGGCCGTGATTCATTTTGAGAAAAGCGATTACCAACATCGCCAAGGCTTCAGGCGCGATACTTGCCTGTGAAGAGCCGAAGAGACCGCCGGACTCTAGCAACACTCGCGCTCCAGTGTATAAGGGTCGGAGGGCAGGATTCTCAAGTAGGTAGTCCCGAATATAGCTTGTTAAGGCTGGAACTCTCTCGCCACAGTGGAAGCGCAGTCGCAGGCCTGTTGGCCGGTGCCGGGCCTCAAGGACGGATCTGCCCTGGGTGGACCAGTGAACCTGACCGGTGAAGACAGGATTACCCTGTAGCATAGATTCCACCTGGCGTAATAGGTTGATATGGGCATCTCGAATCTTTGGCCGTGTGGCGCTTGGCCCTCGTGGGTTGTGTCGAGACCGCGGGAGGTCTTCAAAATATAAAAGGAAGTTAAGGTCCGAATAGGCCAGCGCCAAACCTGTGTGGTGAGAACCGATGATCTGTGATGGTTGCGAACCCACTGGTTCAAGCAGAGATTGAACCTCTGTGCTCACCTGGGTGATCTGACTCTGTTCGTTGACACTTGGAGCCAGATAGCGGTCCAGGGCTTGGATCTCCGCACCCAATTGTGTGACAGTATCAATGACATTGACTGGGGCCAGAAAGCTGAGCCACGGATTCTGTTCCGGAGCGGCGTGGTCTGCGCTTCGAACCGCATTTATTGAGGAATTCTCTGGCCCTCGGGGGTTCGTTTCTGGAATGCGGCTGCGAGCACGCTTTTTGCCGGGCTTCTTGATGTCCGACTCATCTGGCACGGGCTTTGCAGGCTCTGGTGGAAGATATCCTACGCGATTTTTTGGAGGGATCAAAGGGCGAAAAAGTCCGGCGGCCGGGGTACGGGGGTATATTTTGCGGATCAGGCGCGCCCGATTTGAGGAACGATGCGCCTCTAGGGTTTTTTGAAGACTGTTGGGAACAACGTCAACATCCTGGGCGGGAACATGACGGATTCGCCGGGGCACATGGTGGAAAAAACGAGTGGATTGGATGCCGGATAACCGCATCGCCACGAGCGGATCATGGGGAGAGAGAAAAGAGGAATTACCAATCGAGACGGTGTTATCGACAAGATTTGGCCTGAGGCAGCGGTTTGGGCGGTTGGGCGTAAATCATGCATGATGTGTACATAGTAAAGTAGTCTTAAAATCTCTCTTAAATATCATAAAAAAAGGGAAAATTTCAGAAGATAAAATATACAATGTAAATAAAATGTCTGCAAACCATTTTACCTGGATTTTTTGTAAAATTGAAAATCAACTTTCCATGACGTCGAACTGATCTTTGATTACCCACTGTACCTGATTCGGCCGGTGGCTTTTGTTCTCACACCGCTTGCCCCTCCAACCTTTACTTATCTACAAAGTACCTTTTCCCCTCTTCTCATCCTGCGTGAAACGTTGTATCAACAAGAAAGAAAGTCCGGAAAGGAATTGCTATATGGCTGTACGCCCGTAGTTCCTTGAGTCGATCTTTCGCCCCTCGTGGTGCTCCGAGGTAATCATCCTGACTTTTGAACCCTTTACTCCTTCCCCCGCCCCAACGTCAGGGTTCAACTTCGAAGGGGTGGGCATGTGACAATTGCATAGGAACTAAAAAAAAACTAACATCTTACAGTTAATTGCCACCGAACCGTCTGAAAACCACCACATATCTCGATAGATCTACTTCTACACATGTCTAATCCAGAGAGCCCCGCCGCGGTGCCCAACGGCCAGCCGGACCCCGTACTCGTGGGGTCCGGGCTGACGGCCTTGAGACAAGAGGCTTATGTTGATGCCACCAATGCCACCCCGAGCTTGGATGCCGATAAGAAGAGCCAGCTGGAAAGCGATGCACCGTCATACTTTGCCAACCTCCCGGGAACGAGAACCGAGGGACTGGATCCATCGGATCAATCCTCGATCCCAGACTCTCAAGGTAGAGCATCGGGGCAAGAATTATTACGACGCTTAAGTCTAGTGGGAGAATTATCACCTAATTTACCGGAAGTCGATCCGCGAACACAGCATCCTGAATTGAAGCTGAGTGGCCGATTGATCAGTGCCGCCTTTTGTATTCCATACAAGCTTCAATTTCAAGCAGACTCGGACTGGGTATGTTGACGATTCCTATACATCTGAGTTGAGAGAATGGCCAACTGACACGTTGCCCGGGAGAGAACAGTCCCTCAAGTCCCGCTCCGGTTCTTCGGCTCTGTTTGATTCCATTGCCCACCTGGCTTCAGAGGAGACTCCCTGGTCACATACCTTGGTGGGGTGGACCGGAGAGATTGAACCCTTTCACGATGCGAAGGCTCCATTGCAACCCATCCCTGCCAACAAGTTGCCGCCTGGGTCAAAGAATCCGACCACAGTCCCTATCAACAAAGCTGCGGCACCAGTCCCGGTAAATGCGACTCAAAAACCTCCATCCCATCCGTTGGTCGATGGGATCAATGTCGGGCGACAGGATCGAGAGAAGCTGGATAGTCAACTAGCCTCAGGGCGACACGGCCGGATCTTGCCGGTCTGGTTATTTGACCCATCAGAGGAGCCGCAAGACACTATTGTCCTCAAAGATCAGGGGAGATGGCGCAGATATGCCGAAAGGGAGCTCTACCCACTTCTACACTATAAGCAGCATGGCCCCACTGATGGACGGTCTGAGCGACGGTGGTGGGCTGATTATGTCCGACTGAATCAGCTCTTCGCCGACCGCATCGTGCAGGATTACCAAGAGGGTGATGTCGTGTGGGTTCATGACTACCATCTGTTTCTTCTGCCGAGCCTACTTCGACAGCGGATCCCTGATATCTATGTGGGATTCTTTCTTCATTCTCCATTCCCTAGCAGCGAATTTGTGAGGTGTTTGGCGAAGCGCAAGGAGATTTTGACCGGCGTCCTTGGTGCAAACATGATTGGCTTCCAGACATTCTCCTACTCCCGACACTTCTCCTCGTGCTGCACACGGGTTTTGGGTTTTGATTCCAACTCGGCTGGTGTGGATGCCTATGGGGCTCACGTTGCAGTGGATGTGTTTCCCATTGGAATTGATGCGCGTGCGATTCAAAAAGCCGCCTTTGGCGCCCCTGAGATCGAGAAGGCAGTGGCGGGCATCCGCAAACTGTATGCGGGGCGCAAAATAATCGTTGGCCGAGATCGATTGGACAGCGTTCGGGGTGTGGCCCAGAAGCTCCAGGCATTTGAGCTGTTCTTGGAGCGATATCCTGAATGGCGGGAAAAGGTTGTCCTTATTCAGGTGACCAGTCCAACTAGCGTGGAGGAAGAGAAAGAGGACCCAGAAAACAAGATTGCCGGCCAAATCTCCAACCTGGTATCCACAATCAATGGTCGCTTTGGCTCGCTGAGTTTCTCCCCCGTGCAATATTATCCCCAGTATCTATCCCCGCACGAATACTTTGCCTTGTTACGTGTGGCCGATGTCGGACTCATCACCACCGTGCGAGACGGGATGAACACCACCAGCCTGGAGTACATTGTCTGCCAGCAGACGAATCACAGCCCTCTCATCCTCTCTGAATTTTCCGGTACTGCCGGTACTCTTCCTAGCGCAATTCACATCAATCCGTGGGACTTGGTGGGTGTTGCTGGGGCCATCGATCAAGCTCTCAAGATGCCTGCGCCACAGCGGAGAGAACAGCATCTGAAGCTCTATAAACATGTTCTTACCAACACAGTGGGGGCGTGGTCGCGACAGTTCCTTCACCGGTTGTTGACCAACCTTTCGTCTTTCGACCAGTCTGTTGCCACACCAGCCCTGGACCGCGCGAAAGTGGTCAAACAATACCGCAAAGCACGGAAACGCTTGTTTATGTTCGACTACGATGGTACACTGACACCCATTGTGAAGGACCCGCAAGCGGCCATTCCATCCGATCGTGTCCTGCGTACTCTCAAGACTTTATCGGCCGATCCGCGTAATGCGGTTTGGATTATCAGTGGACGAGACCAAGCCTTCTTGGATGAATGGATGGGTCATATTCCCGAGCTGGGGCTTAGCGCCGAGCATGGCTGCTTCATTCGCCAGCCGGGCTCCGACGACTGGCAGAATTTGGCCGATAAGCCTGACATCAAGGAATGGCAAAAGGATGTCTTTGATGTGTTTCAACACTACACCGAACGGACCGGTGGATCATTCATTGAGCGGAAACGAGTCGCATTGACCTGGCATTACCGCCGGTCTGACCCCGAGTACGGAAAATTCCAGGCTCAAGAGTGCCGCAAAGCACTGGAAGATACCGTAGCCAAGAAGTGGGATGTTGAGGTCATGGCAGGCAAAGCCAACCTCGAGGTTCGGCCCACTTTCGTCAACAAGGGGTTCATCGCCACACGGTTGGTAAACGAATATGGCACGGAGCCTGGCAAAGCGCCCGAGTTCATCCTTTGCCTGGGGGATGATTTTACGGATGAAGGTATGCAAGGGCCAATGACCCATTTCAAATCAACTTTGCTAACCCTAACGACTCGTCAGATATGTTCCGTGCACTTAAGAAGTTTGACCTACCGCAAGACCACGTCTATTCGGTGACTGTGGGTGCCAGCTCGAAACAAACGGATGCTAGCTGGCACTTACTGGAACCGGCCGATGTGATCAACACTATTCAGATGCTTAACCACTCCAACCAGGACCATTGATTATCCTAGAATTGGAGATCTAATGTTTTACAACTGCATTACACAATATCGTCTTCTCGTAACAAGAACTCATTCAGATTTGCTGACTCCAGAGGCTCTCTATTTGATTTATTTTCTGGAGTGTGGCGCTTTATGAGCGGTATGACTCTAGCCTTTTGATGTTTTACCTTTTTTTTTTTTTTTTTAAATGATGCCATAGATGCATGAGCCTTGGATTGTCAATATGTTAGATAGCGATTGTCAGTGCAGGGGAATCTCCCGAATGTCATCCGAGTATATAATGAAGAGATGTACATGTATTTGCCCCATTTCTTCAGCTTTGTGAACATGTGGGGAATTGAAATAGTAAAAATCATAAATAGATCGAACAGAGTACGACAGACGTATATAGCGAATCCGAGTCAAGAGAGGGGAGAAACTGATTCGGCATTCTGTGCGAATCCCGAGGTCATTGTGATCGGCACAAATCCCGTTTCTCTTTGAATTTGAGGGTCTATGAGTCAACTGTAAATCATTTTCATAATCTCCCTCCATTTTTACAGCGACATGACAAGCAATCCCGAAATTTCAACGGACATTTGAATCAATCTCGCCATTAATACCGAATATGGTCAACGAGAAGGATCCAAATGCCGAACGCAACGACTTTTTCCCTCGAAGTCCATCGTCCGACGAGGAATCCACTATTGGGGACGAACTTCACAATGATCTAACGCATGTCCCTACCAACTCTAGTGCAGTAGCTCGCACATTATCAGTCGTACGGACTCGCGAATCCGGGAAAGACCCAGGCCCACCACCAGATGGGGGCTTTCAGGCATGGTTACAGGTTGCTCTGGGACATATGATCATCTTCAACACATGGGGTTACATCAACAGCTTTGGCGTATTTCAAACTTACTACACCACCTCGTTAGATCGGTCCCCATCGGATATTTCGTGGGTGGGAAGCATCCAAATCTTCCTGCTGTTTTTCATCGGGACTTTCTCCGGTCGAGCCACCGATGCAGGCTACTTCCGATTCACGTTGACCGTCGGGGCCACACTGGAGGTTTTCTGTATCTTTATGACATCGCTCTGCACAGAGTACTGGCAACTCTTCCTGGCGCAGGGACTTGGCCAAGGGATTGGTTGCGGGCTGATGTTCTGCCCTACATTAGCTCTGATCTCAACCTACTTTGACAAGCGTCGGGGAATTGCAATCGGTATCACGGCATCGGGCTCGGCCACCGGTGGACTCGTGTTCCCAGCTGTGGTATTGCGTCTGCTGCCACAGATTGGGTATGGGTGGACCATGCGTGTCCTAGGGTTCATCACCCTGGCGACCTTGGCGCCCTGTGTGTTGCTCTTCAAGCAGCGACTACCCCCACGCACCAGCGGGCCACTTGTGGAGTGGGCGGCGTTCAAGGAGCTCCCATATCTGCTGTTCGCGGCGGGGATGTTCTTGAACTTCTGGGGGCTCTATGTTGCCTTCTTCTATATCGGTAGTTTCAGCACCAACATCATCGGTGCTTCGGATACAACATCCGTCTATCTGTTAATGGTGATGAATGGAGTGGGATTGATTGGACGATTGGTCCCTAACTTCATGGCCGATCAATTCACCGGGCCATTGAACCTGTTAATTCCTTTTAGCTGTTCCACTGCTCTGGTGGCATACTGCTGGGCTGCTGTCAAGAACATGAACGGACTGTGGGCATTTGCCGCATTCTATGGTTTGAGTGCAGCTGGGATCCAGTCATTGTTCCCTGCTACCTTGAGCACACTCACAACTGACATGAAGAAGATCGGAGTTCGAATGGGCATGGTGCTTAGTGTAGTGGCGGTTGCTGCCCTGATCGGATCACCTATTGCTGGTGCTCTTGTGTCTAGTGATGATGGGGAATATATGTACGCACAGATGTTCATGGGCAGTGCTATTATTGCAGGCACCTTGACGCTGATCGGGGCTCGAGTGTGCAAGGTGGGCACGGGCATCACTCGTGTATAAAATGGTTAGATATTATTATCCCTTACATGAACCAAATCCAAGTAAATATAAATGATCGAAAGGAAGTTTTTTGTTTCTCTTCCAGTTCGAGTCAAGTTTAAGTGTTAAGGTTGAAAGTGGAAGAAACCCCACATTGAATGATTAATGCGCCCGCCGTGACTCGTTGGGTTTTTGAATTTCTTCCTACTTTTGCTTCTTTACAACTGCTTTGCAAATTGACACACATACAGTGAGTTGTCTATGTCTAATCCCTTTGTCATCGATCTTGCATAGTCTTTTTCGCTTTGCCCGAAATGGATTTTGAATTGGGCCCTATGACTCGTATGCACTAACTCGCTCAACGCAGATACCTCCGACACTCCACGTCGAGTCCTATTCAAGTTCCCCACCTATTTTGAGTCACGTTTAATACCCCGATTTCGATTTTACATCATGGCGCGCGGTGGTGCTCGTGGTGGAAAGTTCAAGCCCTCGCGAGGAGGTATGGTCGCATGCACAAATACCCGAATCTTTTGAAACGCTGACTTATTCTCAATAGGAGGTAAACACTTCAGTCGCGATCTCCAGCCTCTCGATAAGGACGGTAATGCCGTTGGTCTTTGGCGCGTATGTCCAATTTTTCTCCCCTCCCCCCACTAACCCCTCACTCGACTCATTCCAATGTGATTCCCCGTAAAGATGACTAACATCATCTACTAGGAACCTGCCGATGAAGTCCCGTCCTCCGGTGACGAGGAATCATCCTCCGAAGAGAGCTCGGACGAGAGCGATGCCGAGGGCGCCGGACCCAGCACTACCACAGTCAACTCCGCAGAATTGACCCGTGAGGAACGCCGCAACCAAGCTAAAGCCAAGAAGCAAGCTGCCCTGGCCCGACGCAACAAGACCGCCGCCCAGGTGGGAGATCTACCTCCCTCGGACTCAGATGAGTCAGAGGACGAGGCGCTGCCCGCCAACCCGAATCACACTGCTCAGTCGCGGAAGCAACTGGTGAAGGAAGACGAGGAGGATGCACCCAAGCCCAAGAAGGTTGTCAAGGATGTTTCTCAGCTTTCGCGACGAGAGCGCGAGGCCCTCCAGGCGCAACAGGCTCGTGAGCGGTACCTGAAGCTTCATGCCGAGGGTAAAACTGATGAGGCGCGGAGTGATCTGGCGCGGTTGGCAATCATTCGGGAGCAGCGTGCGGCGGAGCGCGCTCGCAAGGAGGCTGAGAAAGAGGAACGAGATGAGCAGGCTAAAGAGCGGAATGCGGCTATTCTAGAACGTGAGGAGAAGTTGAGAGCTGCGGCTATGGGCAAACCGTTGAAGAAGGGTGGAAAGAAGAAATAGACCTGTTTCCAATGTCCTTTATGGAGGATTTATCAAGAACTATGACCAAATCAACCTAAATCTTGCAGGCCTAGAATTCCAATAGGTCAAAAAAAGACCCAATATCTTGGGATTCTATCGAAAGATGATTGCAAAGCTATGGCGATGCCCTTTGATATATGAAACAAAAAGCGCAATGTACACCGACGCCCCAAGCAGTTAACCACAGGAATTATTATTCCGATGCATAGCCAAGCGAGTCATCAGAAGATAAAAGGGAAAGAAATGGAAGTTTCATACACAGGGTGTCGGCTAGACAGCCCTAGAGGTGACCCCATGGTCACAAAGTAGTATGTAGGTCTTGATTCATGCCTTACACGCCCCAGAATAGCCCCACGACACTGCGGCCTTGCATAACAACGCCCCAACCAGCAATCAGACTAATGAGCCACATAATGGCAAAGACCAGAATTGGGATGAGCAAGAGCTCTGTGTTGTGCAGGAACGGTAGGGCATTGTAGCCCAAGAAGGTGATATATGTGTAGTAGATGAGGGCGGAGAGGTAGAGGGTATTGCCCAGGAAGGTAGCCAGGAAGTTGCTTGGGCTGCGAGTGAGGAGCGGGAGGAGTAGGAATTGCACCACGTAAAGGTGGAGGTACAAGGGAAAGAAGGCACGGTTCGAAACCTAGAGGAAGTATTAGTTTAGAAAAAGACTTTGCACAGATCGAGGAGAGGTAAAAGCTTACATCAAAACAGTAACCAAACTCCAATTGATCCTTCTCCCCCGGCTGTACAAAGAGACCCTGTGCCGCACCTCGTCGTCGGCCCCGAGAACCACGGAAACCGGCGAGGGATGCGGCCGCTCCATTGGGACCGAATAGTCGGCCAATGATGAAATAGCCAATTGTCGAGACCAGGAGAGAGGAACCGATGAAGTGGAAGAAGATAAAGAGGATAGAGAGCTTCACAATAGCACCGAAGGAGTGGGTGTAGGCCAGGCCCCATGCCAAGGCTGTGAGGAGGAGGAAGAAGGAGAGGAGATATGCAAAGGACGGGTCCGGTCGGTGCCAGGTGTTTTTTGTTTCTATTGAGAGTTCAGTACTAGAATCAATGGGATCGTAGGTGTTGAAGTGATAGGACTCACGTTTCTATGACAGGTTAGCTTTCATGCCAGCAAGCCACAAGTCTGGACTCAACTTACATGGTAATAGATGGATTTGAAGACCTTTTTAGGTGCGATCAACAAGGAGGTCATCTCCCAGATGGCCATCTCGAAGTCCATCTGGGGAAATTTGAACAGCCTATTAAAGTGTGCGGGTTAATCTCCGTGTTCCTGTTCCTGGATTAGTCTTCCCCCCTCTTACCTCTTGAAGAAGCGTGGCATGCGCACACTTGAGCCACGGCGGGGCGTAGAGCCAAAAGTGGCCGGACCAGCATGTTGGCGGGGAACTGAAATGTGCGGGTTCATGGTCGAAGGCCCGTACTGGTCAAGAGCCGGGGATCATTGGAGACTCGACATGCGATCGAGTAGACCGGCGACGTGTCGGAGACGTTATGTCATCGTCACGTGATTATAGCGTGGGTTTACCGGGAAACCAAAACTCTACAAATGCCTCTGATACATATGAGGATAAGAATATATCACATCAGACCAGGTATCAAGGATCTAAACTACATATCACCATTTGAATTGGATTCTTCAAGGCTGGCAAATTGATTTCACATAAGTACATGAGTATTATACAATTATAGTTGACAGCCTTTGTCATCGATAGACGATTGATATACATATTAGCTTTTTCGGTCTATGCCATCTGCAAGGGGGCTTACACTATGTGCAGGTCATGTGGGTTCATTATGATCAAGCGTAGTTATAGGCTCTTATCAATCATTGAACCCTGTGGCCCACCCTACAAATCCTATGTATCAAACGTAAGATTTACTGCCTCCTCTATTTAAAGTTTAACTTCCCTCAAGAGCAATTCTGTATCATTTCTCTACTATCTGTGTGGAGATCATATACCTATGGAGTATAAATGCCACTGAAAATGACCGGAGATATTTAGTATGCTTTTCTTGATACCGAGATCCCCACTTTAGAGATGGGGGGGGGGATCCACCATCAAATGCGGACCCAGGAGAGATGAAAGGATGAAAGGATGAAAGGGTGAAAGGATGAAAGAGAAAGACATCGGGATCAGTCAGAACATTGTAAAAATCCAACCTTGGAAGTAATTTACTATATGTATATTTGAAGATATACAGAGGATATAGAAATTCAACTCTTAACTACATGTATATATAGTAAGATAGGTAAAACCCCTGAAATTGGAACATGAGTTTACACTTACATCTAAACTATTGATAAATATACTATGATACAGTACTCGAACTACAGTTTCCAAATTGCCCCCCCTGTTTCATCAAGACGTCAATTAAAAGATTGATTGATAAATCAGTTCAAGTTCAAGGACGGATTAGATCAGGCTATTGATTTTAATTGTATGTAAATTTTACATTCCTCTCGCACGGTTCCACTGGAACTGCCGCCCAAGCCAAACTTTCCCCCCCGTTTTTTGAATTTCTCAGGAGTTCGTCCCACCGGCTCTTTTCAGGCCTATTACCGACTCTCCATTCTTTCCTTAGGTTTGGTTTTATTTCCCCTGCACGAAGTCGTCAACTGCTTTACATCCCTTACTTGGACATGCGATGACCGTCTGAAATCCCAACCTCAATTCAATTCCCGGACCCGCTGCCAGCTCCGCAAGGTCTCTGTCGGGACGCAATTTGGGTCACGAAAGCTCACCAGCGCCTTGGGCATTGCCGGTACGTGGCAGTTCCTTGATCAAACATTTCTTTGAGATCCACAACCTGGGTTTAATAAACCCGTGAGCGCTGGACCCCCCCCTCCCCCCCCCCAAAAAGCATTCAATGGATGAATATATGTGCAATCCAAACTGACCTCTCAAGCCGCCAGCCATGACAATGTCCCAACGAGATCTTTACGCAAACAGTTCCCCTCCACGCACACCTCCTTCTCAGACCGCAAAGTACCGCCCCAAACAAAAGCACCAGAATCGGCCCTCCATTCGAGATGCTTTCCCGGATGCAATGGAGAATGCGCGGGTCAGCGAGTCCACCGACGAGCGTGACCCCCATGACCTCTCGCTCTCCCCCCAGCACGCTGCCCGCACTTCTATAGTAGACAACATGCTACTTTCACTTGATCAGTTTGGGGCCCCTGACTCGTCCTTCATGGATGACTACCGGCTGTTCAATTCGGCATTTGACACCGACTCTCATGGCCGCTTTCGAGGTCATACTTTCTCCTCCTCTATGTCCTCCGATGCGGATTACGGTTACGACGATGGAATTAGTCGCTACGCCACAATAGCCGCCAAAGGACGCCGGAGCAACAGTAGCACCAATTTCCAGTCAGTCCCCAGGAGAATGGACAGTGCTCACAGCCGAGATGCCGGCTCTCGTAGTGGAACTTTGCCAAGAGCAAATGACGCTCGAAAAGGAAGCAAGGGTAGCTCTTCAACAACGGATTACGCTTATGGAATGCCCAGGGGACGAGCGGACTCGGATATCCTGGATCGGCGCTCGGCCAGCTTTGACTGCGGCCCCAAGAAATACCTCCCGTACGCCGATACGGGCATTGGACAGGAAACACTACTATATGATGAGGATGCTGCACCAACGCCGAGTGTGCCAGCTGGGCCACGCAATTTCGCTGAGTACAAGACCCAAGCCGGGCCGGCGTCACGGACACCAGTGGCATCCCGACGCAATAGTATCAAATCCGCCCAGGCTCCGCATCTCCGCAAGACTCGTCCGGAGAATATTGGTACAGGGACCCTCAAAGTGCGAGACAATGAATTCGATATATCGAATGACCCAAGTCTTGATATTCCCCCGGTGTATCCGTTGGATCCTCCTGCGCCCAGTCCAACAATATCTTACAATAAGCCGGCTTTCCCTCCCCCTTCAGCCCTGGAACCAGCAGCCGTTACTACAACCACCACGATCACCACTAACCACAACACCCCAATCAATGCCAAGGAACGCCCTGGGTTCTTCCGGCGTGTCTTTGGCTCCTCCAGGAATGCACCACCGAACCTCGCAGACTTTCCTGGTTCAAATGTTAGTGACCTGTCTTATCTCCAGGAAAATGAAAACAAGGATTCCACCGGGACGACGGTCAATATGAAAGGAGGAAGACTGCAGACACCCAAGATCCCAGTAGCGGCACCCCCTACCCCAACTCGCCAGGGGCCTCATCAAGTGGTGAACAAAAAGTCTTCATTCTTTCGCCGGCGAAAGAAGTCTGTGGCCGATCATGTTCCGCCCCCCATCGTCTTACCTCAAGACTTGGCACCTCACAATCTGGATTCCATGAAGCCGGAACCCAGTCCAGTGAGCAGTCTGCGGAAGGTCATGAATCAATACCTGGACGAAGTACCTGGAAAGCAAGATATCAAGGGCAAAGTCCCAGCAGACCTGCAGTCACAGAAGCCCAGAGAGATCGTTTCAGCTCCTGACGGTAACTCGAAGAGTACTGACACCCTCCAGCCTCCCACATCTTCCCGCGGTCAAGATCGTTCGCCGCTAGCAGAAACCTGCGTCACCGATGATCAATCCTCGGGAAGTGAAGTGACTGAGTCTACTATATTTGCAGATCCCCCCTTGCAGGAGAAGGGGTCAATCATTGCGGCCACCACGCTCTCACCGGTCGTTGAGGATTTCTCGGGTAACAGCATTAAAGTGACAACAACTAAATCTACCACCTCTTATGAAGCATCCCAGGACAATCCAGTGGCAGTCAGCAAGCTAGTACTCCCGTCAGACAGCAATATTCCCGAGTCTCCTGCCGTCTCTGAAGCTTCACACTACCAAACTGCCTCTACTACACCGGTGATTCAATCTGAAGAGCCAAAGATTGACCAAGGCCCCGACGACAGCATCCACGACAGCATGGATGGACCAGGTGAGGCCATTGAGGATGGACCTACCGCAACTGATCAGGAGCAGGCCCAGAAGCTCTTCGATAGCCAAGACCAAGTGGTAGGCAATGAGCCTGCTGCTGCTTGGCTTGGCGATCCTGATCGCGCCACAGTTCGGGAAGCTTACATGCGACTCTATAACTGGTCGAATTTGAATATTCTGGCTGCATTGCGCAGTCTGTGTGAACGACTCGTGCTTAAAGGAGAGACCCAACAAGTGGATCGGGTGTTGGATGCTTTCTCGAACCGGTGGTGTGATTGCAATCCGAGTCATGGCTTCAAAGCGACTGGTAAGACCCCCCGTCAACCCACAGTTTTCATTTGGTGGGTGTTTACTAATGAGATAACAGACGTTGTCCACACAATTTGTTATTCCATTCTTCTGTTAAATACAGATCTTCACTTGGCCGACATAGACCAGAAGATGACTAAAACACAGTTCGTGCGAAATACTATGCCCACAATTCATCGAGTTGCCATGGACGCAGCCCCAGAGGGATTTGAAACGCTACGTCCGATCAACCGCTCCAAGACGGGTGCGGACGTGGGACACTCAGCGCCTTCGTCTGCTCGTTCTCCAACTTTTCCACCAGATGTTGCCCGTAGCTCCTTGGATGGGGATAATACGGACCGAACCCCCAACGACGGTAAGAATGAAGCAGGTCCGTTGGTAAACAACCCGTTCACAGGGACTGTGAGGGCTTGGGAGCAGCAAGTAGAGGCAGTTTTGAAGGATTTCTACTCCTCTATTCAAAAAGAGAAACTCCCCCTTCATGGCGCTCCGCCAGCGCGAGAGGTGTCTCGCATGTCTTCCAACAACTTTTTGGGCCCCTCCACAAGCACACTTCGTCGGAGTCCCAGCACAATCAGCAAAAGTGGCTCGGACATCTTCCCCCGCGGCCGGTCCGCCGATTCTCGACACGCAGCGGCGCGGTGGTCCTCCAAGCCCCGGTCTCGAGCGGGAAGATTATACCCTCCGTCCATGATGGGCTCCAGTCGAACTAGCCTGGACGACCAATCCTCTGTTTGGAGTCCAACTACGTCGAGCACATGGAGCAAGTATTCACTTGGCAAATTTAACACCGCTTCGGTGGATTCTTTTGGCTCGGAATACCCCCGAGGCGAGTACCAGCAGTCTATTGGTTTTGCCAACGCCCTGAGCCAGGCCATTATTCGTGAAGATTCCGCCACCTCGGTCTACAGCTATGAAGAATCAGAGCGAACGACTCCCCTCCTCGAAGACGAGACATTGGCTTTGGCCGGTGCCCCATGGGCCAAGGAGGGCAGTGTCAAACATAAGCATCATCTGGATGCCGTGGACAAGCGCGCCAAGGATCGCAACTGGGGCGATTGTTTCGCTGTCATTCAGCAGGGCTGGATGCGACTTTTCTCATTCACCAACACAACCAAATCCATGCGGCAGAAGGCGAAGCAGCGCGGTGGTGTTGTGGTCGGTGGTGGAAACTGGACAGAGAATGCGGAAGAACTCTGGAAGTTTATGCTCCGGCAAACCATTGCGAGTGCTCTTCCCTCTCCTGGGTACTCAAAGTCCCGCCCTCATGTCTGGGCTTTAAGCCTGCCCACTGGAGCAGTTCATCTCTTTCAAGCTGGTACACCCGAGATCGTGCGAGAATTCGTCTCCACAGCTAATTACTGGAGTGCACGATTGTCCAAACAACCTCTGGTGGGAGGTATCAGTAACATTGAATATGGCTGGAGCGACGCTGTAATCAACAGCGCTCTGGTCAATACCGGTGAAGACCGGTCCCCACCACCATCTTCAGGAGCTCATCGCGCCAGCATTCAAAGTTCAATCCGCAGCTCAATCGACCATCAGGGTGTACGACCCAGGCTGCCTGCGGATCGTGTTCACATCAGTGACTGGAGTCCTCCTCAGCAAAGCATGGTGGCCTCGAACTTTACTGAAGAAGAGCAGCTGAAGGCGCTGCAGGCGTACGTGAAGAATGTTGAAGACGATCTCCAGAGACACAATGAGTTGCGTGCGGCCATGCATCTGGCCTTCTCCCCGCGGCACCCCAACTCCGCGAAGGCGATGGCCAACTGGGAACGCAAATCATCATATCTACTACGCGAAATTGTCAAGTTCCGAACCTATATTGATTCCCTTTGCAATGCCATCAAGCAGAAGGAAAAGATCTACGCTTCTTCTAACAACTATTATACTGAGACCGAAACTGTGGAACCAGCTGGGGAGGTCACGACCTCAACCTGAGTTGATATGTCCCTTTGCCCTTCTGTTTCGCTTTTCTTATTTTCGTCTTCTATCTCCCTTTCGCAGTTTATGAACCTCTTCGACTCTGGCGCTCACCGATGTAAATACCCTCCTGGTTGAGGGATTTCGGCGTATACATCACATATCTTCAAAAGTGACATGGCGGCTGTCTTCTCTTCTCCACCCTTCCCACCCTTTTTGTACATCTTTTCCCTTGTTTCCTTGGGATTCTCTTGGTTTGGTATAATCTTTCTACTTGATGTGGGTTGGACTATGTATCTTGATTTTAATGCTTGGGACTACGAAGCGACTGACGCTATGGATAACATGATTATTTATTTTTTTATTGAATCTTCCTATATGATGTTGATGTGATCTGTTTGATTTTAATGTGTAGATGTATCAAATACGTCGGTTCACACCAGAGAATCCATGCGTGGCGATAGCTAATACGTGGTGCCTGAATGTTGTTGTTGATTCATTGTTATTGAGTCGAGTCGCGCCTGCTTGTCTCAGCCTCAGCCTTGTAACTTAACATTTCGGATTTCATGTTGATGATTTCTACTTATATTGTCAAATTTATAATCCTTACCTTATCTCCAATATTGAATCCCACTGATTTACCCAGGGGGGGCTTAAGTGGGTAAAAAGCACTGGTGGAGACCCCCAAACAACGCCCAGAACTGCCGGTCACCATGTCGACCAAAGCCCCAAATACAACTTCGATCGTCACTCAAGGTCCGCCCTCGGTGCGCATCCCCTCTCAAGACTCTGGCGCATTCCATACCCCAGAAGACCTTTCACCCCTAGATGCCGATTTAGAAAGTACGGATTTCTTCATGGCCGAAGACGCGCGGGGGGTAACCCCCCCGACTACCGTCGACGACTCAACAACACAGAGCGGGACCCACGACGCGCAAGAGAAAGCAATCCCTACATCCACTGAGACAGGCACCGAAGCGCTCGAGAACGCAGCAAAAACGGCTGTATCAGATACCGACGACATTAGTATCCTTCCTCCCCTGACCGATCGCGACGACAGTAGCTTGTTCCCCTTAAGCGAAAATGGTGACCATGAGCGAGGGAACAACCAGACCCTCATTGAGGAGCGCGAAATGCGTCAGAAATTGATGGACATGGAGTCGAGCTTTCTACCGGAACCCTCAACCATTGATGTCGCCGCGACCGGTCCGAGGGCCGGCGCAGACGATACCTATCTGGTTGGCATCGATGGTGGTTACGATCCTGACATGACCCAGCAAACCGAATCATCACAATTCTCTTTCATTCCCCCGTCAGACACGAACCCGGACTATGGCCACTACCAAGAAGAATCCCATGAGACCAAAGACCATGATGATGCTGAGCCCACGACGGCCGTCCATGGTGAAGACCTCGTCGGCAACGAGAGCACGCTAGACTCGCTGGCTTCGTCCCCTTCAGCTGCCGCCATGTTTCGAAATATGCGCCGCAATCACTCTATGCTGTCTGAAGACAATCCTGATAACAGCCAATTTTCTCAAGACGAGCGGCCTTTCAGATCTCGAATTTCCCAGTCTGATGAATCACAGCTGACACCCTCCAAGCTTCGAAATTCATCCCGCAGTCTGTCTCCTGCCCAATCAAGGCTGTTCAGTGACCAGAGCTTCAGTGCTGGAGGTAGCCGACGCAGTGGAAGTCGGCCTAAGTATTTGACTTCCCGTCAATCTGCCAATCGCCTTTCGCACTCCTCTATTGCAAGCAATAATACAACCAACACGGACGGTACACACAGTGATGCGACGCTAGGAGCAGACTATGCGCTCCAATCTGGAGGAGCAACGTCTGACAACTGGGGCGGTTTGCACCCAGGATCGCGCGGCCACATGACCCGAACAACCAGCCTGGGAAGTATGGCGTCTGGAGTCTCAGTATATAGCGAAGAGAATTCCCTTGAGAGACGGCCTCTTGCTGGGCAAGTTGACGGGAGTCTGCATACTTTGGCAGAGGAGAGCTCACCACAGTCCTCCCGACATCAAGCTGGATTCGACGATGCATCGGCACCTGCAACGCCCAAGGCCAAGCCTCAAGACAAACCTTTTCCGACTGATACAGCGATTGCAGAGCGTGTCAAGGGAATCCAAGTCCCGACAACTTTTGCGCAACGGTTCCGAGAAGACTATGGAAACATGGGACCGTCTCCTGAAAAGCGCGCCGGTGCTTCAACTCCAGCGCTTGGGCGAAGTGGCCTTGGTCGCAACATGACTCTGAAAGAGCAAAGCAGCACCATTGATCGCCTTTCGAAGGAAAATTTCGACCTCAAAATGCGCATTCATTTTCTCAATGAAGCACTAAACAAGCGCTCAGAAGAAGGAATCAAGGAAATGATATCAGAGAATGTTGAACTCAAGTCAGACAAACTAAAGATCCAGAAAGATAGCCAAGGTTTAAAGCGCAAGATTCGTGAGCTGGAGAAACAGTTGAAAGATCAGCAATCAGACAAGGAATCTATGCTCAACCACGATCCAGATGCCTCAGATGAAGGAGATCGAGAATCCGCAAATGAGACCGAGATCACTTATTTACGGGAGCGAATCGAAACTTACGAGCTTGAAGTTGAACGTTTGAGGTCTGAAAGCATTGTGAGGGAGAGTGAGAAACGACGCCTTGCTGAGATTGTGAAATCACTAAGCGACAACCGCTCCGGGGTGTCGGAAACAGGAGCAAGAGAGGAACGGGTGAGTCCAGCTGATTTTCCTGCATGTTCATATACTTACTTGCCCTGCACAGGACATGTGGAAAGATATGCTAGATGCAGAAGCAGCAGCTCGCGAGCAGGCGGAAGATGAGAACCGCCGGCTACGAGATGAGACCATTCGTCTTCGAAGTGAGCTTTACACTTCAGCCGGTGTTGGTCCAAGATTACCCTCGCGGGCTAGAGGTGGCTCGAATGTTTCGTATAACTCGGTGTCGGACAGAGAGGCCAACCGCGGCGCTACTGCAATAAGTGCCTCCAATAGCACACTTCTGGTGGAGCTTGAACTCTTGAAGCAAGAGAATGCCGAACTGAGAAAGGAGGTCAGCGCTCAAACCTCCATGCTCACGTCCCGCAACCGGGAAAAGGAGCGCCTTTACCAAGAAATCGAAGAATTGAAGCTTGGCCAGGGTCGCCATGCCGGCCGGTCTGTGGCTGGAGACAGTATATTTGACCGTTCAGTGTCGCGGGCGCAAGCAAGACCAGGTTCTGAGCCCAGCGATGGCGGCGTATCACGCAGTGATATGGATCGTGAGGAGCTCGATGCTCGGAATGGGCAGCTCCGTGACCAAGTGTCGACCCTCAAACTTGAGAACCAGGCGATTCGCAGCCAGCTGGATGAATACGTCAGGGAACTGGAGGCTCTTGATGCAGCATATCAGGCTGATGTGGATCAAGCTGAAGAGGAAATGACGAATTTGCAGCAGGAGCGAGACCAGGTTCTTCGAGAGCGAGACCAAGTCCTTCAAGAGCGAGACCAGGCCCTTCAGATGGCCGATGAGCGCGATGCTGCCTTTCAAGATCTCAGAGCCGAAGCTCAGGAGGAACTGGATGCCCTAGGCGAAGAGCTTGATCAGAAGATTGTTGAATGTCAGCGCATGGGTGAAGAATTGAGGAACCAAGATGAGAGCCTAAGGGTGCTGCAGGCAGAGATGCGCTCGGCTAGCGAGGGGATTATTCGACTCGAAGAAGATGCGCAGAACAATCTAGAGCGGTATAAGGCTGTTCAGCAAGAGCTTGAAGAAACCCATGGCGAGATGGAGTCTCTGGAGAAGAGCCTGTTTGAGGCCAACACCAAGGTACAGAGGCTGACGGTGCAAATCGAGTCCAGCCAGAACGAGATTGCATTCCTTCGAGAAGAGCAAGATGGCGACAAGATTCGCATCGGGGACTTGGAATCAGAGTTGAAGACGTACCACATGAGTCTGGTCAGCGAGAAAGAAAAGACAAGAGAGCTTGAGCAACGACTCGCGGATGAGCGACACCAGCGTGAAGTGGTTGGAAGCAAGGAGAAGCAGGAAGTTCAGCGAATCATGAACGAGCTGAACCGCGAAGCTTCATCAGCCAAGGAAGAGGTGCGACGACTAAAGAAGAGCCTATCGACTCAGGAGATTGAGACAACGACCTGGAGGGAGCGGCTGTTGGATCTTGAGAACAACCTTCGGGAAACCCTCGGAGACCTGAGCGGCAGCCGGTCTAGCATGATCTCCAACATCATGAAGCTTCAGAAGGAGCTGGAATCCACCGCTCTTGAGCTGGAGAGCGTCCGATCGCAACTGGATGAGAAGGAATCTCTACTTCGAAACCGCGATGCTCTTTTAGAGAGTCATGGGCTTGAGTCTCGGAAACTCTCAGAGCTTCTAGAGCGCGAGCGTCAGGGCCGCCGGGCTGACAAGCAGTCTTTCGAACAGGCACTCAAGTCTCACCAGCAGGCTTCTCGGACCATCACCCAAAGCAACTCTCGGATCACAGACCTGGAGAACGCTCGCAACCAAGACCGCAAGCGCTTCACGTCGCTTGAGCAACAGTTCAAGGACCAGCTTAGCGAACGCAACACGATGTTCTTGGCTATTTGGAAACGACTCTCATCGATCTGTGGTCCTGATTGGGCGCATTCAAACAGTCTCATAAATGGCAATCTTCCCAGTCAGGAAGTCATCGGTAATATCTTGTTTTGGCCAGGCTTCAGTCGCAATTTGATGCTCGCAATTAAAACGGTGGAGGGTGTTGTCGCCCAATTCAAGGGCCGTATCAGGGCCGTGGAGTTTGACCTCAATAAGCAATACCAAAATCTTGAACATTCCTTTGCTCAGCGTGTCCGACGACTTGATCGGGTGGAGGAAGCCGTCAAGAATATGCGTGCCGGAGGAGGTCACTCGCGCTCCAACTCATCTTCCGAGGTGTCCAAGTTGCGTGGGGAAAATCGTTTGTTAAAGGCCGAGATCAATCTGCTGCAATCCAATACGCGAGGCCATGGCGCGGCCTCGTCAGCAGCGGCAGCAGTGATGGTCTCAGGTCCACGATCCCCATCGGTCACATCAGCGGCAGACCCAGAGCGACAGTTGGCCCGTCACAATTCGGCATCAGGTAGCAGCGAGAAACCACGCTCCCTCACCCGCAGTTCCTCGGGTCTGCCGCAGCCAACCTACTCGTCTTCAGGTACCACATTAGTCAACACAAACACATCAGGGGCAACGATATACCGGCCACGCAGTGGACAACAGAGCAACTGGGAAGGTGGAGACGACAAGTGGATTCACCGACTGCATGAGCTGGAGAAGCGACTCAAGGCGGAACGAGAAGGGCGTCTTCTTGACCGTAGCGGTGCACGAAAACGATTAGAGGAGCGTGACCATGAGAACCAGAAACTTCGTGATCAGCTTCAACGCGAGCGCACCCGCAAACCTTTGGGGGCCATTGAAGATGGACGTAATCGAGCCCCCGTCTCAGACGAGAATCCAAGCTCCAGTGAAGGGGAGGGCCTCATCTTAGATATCGAGGTCTAAGGTGAAGACGCAGTCTGTTTCCTTTTGTGTACTATATACCACCCTTCCGTCCTGTTTTTGTTTGCGGCTCGGGCTTTCCAAGCCATGTTGACTTACTGTACACCATGTATGCGATGAACAAGAGGACCATGATGATTATGATGGTCATGAAGGCGTTGAATTGGAAATCTGGGCGACTTTATTGTTTCTTTCGTCTTCTCTTGTATCCTATTCCATAATTCATTTATTGATTTTTATGGTTTCCCTAATACAATTAAAACATGTATAAATGTCTACCGCAGCGAGACTTTGAGGGAGAAGTCGACGATGCTGGTACCTTGATGAATCGAGCTGGTGGACAGGATGTCCACATCGGGACATGTGTACGCCGCAGCATTCTCCTCGGTCAAGCCACCACTGACCTCGATCAAGAACGAACGCTGCTTCCCAGCCCACTCCTGCTTCAGCTGTCGCGCGGCCTCTCGCACCCCCTCTGCAGTGAAATTATCCAACATGATGATATCCGCCCCAGCGCCAATCGCTGCATTCGCCTCCTCCACACTCCGACACTCAACCTCCACCTTAGTCGCAAACCCACCAGCCGCCTTGGCAGCCTGCACCGCCCTCGGAATAGCCGCCGCAATCGACACAATATCCTTTGGATTCGCAACACCTCCATCTGCCGCAGCGCGGTTGTTCGCGCACGCCCAGACATGATTATCCTTGAGCATGGTCATATGGCTCAGATCGTGGCGGTGGGGGTCCGCACCACCGATCAGAATACCGTATTTCTCCACCACGCGGAACCCAGGTGTCGTCTTCCTGGTTCCAGCGAGAATTCCTTGCCAGCCCTGGGCGCGTAGGGCGGCGAGCATGGAAGCGCTTTTGGTGGCGATACCAGAGCAGCGGGCGAGGATGTTGAGAGCGACGCGCTCACCGAGGAGGATCTTGCGGATTGGGCCACGGACGGTGGCGCAGTGCTGTACGGGGTTGAGGTTGAGGGATTCGCCTTCTTTGATGTGCCATTCAATGCTATGCGGGGTTTTAGCGATTGATCGCGGGGTAGGAATGAGTTGAGTATATGAGGTCCGACGATACGTACGTGCATCCAAGTTGCGAGAAGACCTCATCGACGAAGGGAGCGCCTGCAATGATACCCTATCGTGTTGATATTAGTACAGATCATACGTTTTCGATCGATTTGTTGGATTCACCTTGCTCTTTCCCAATAACCGAGCCTCACCCTCTGATTCGCCGACGACAAAACCACCATAGTCCAAACTAGGACAGTCCTCCTCTAGCCAATCGGCAATAAGGCGCTTATAATTACCAGGCAGCAGATGCCGCACATCACCGTATGTTGAGGCCATTGTGTTAGTGGTAGGTGGGGGAAGATCTACGGGATTTGGATGTTGCTTGCTTCTCCCCGCGGGGATCGGATTGGATCGGAGGGTCACGTGAAAGGCCTATCCTAGCCTACTGGTCATGGATGTATGTATGGTTATTATTGATGTTTAGGAATTATCCAAACGACGGTGGCAGAAATCAGTTGTCTCGCTATAAAGATTTCAATTCATATGTATAAGATATATGTATACATATATACTATATATGCGCATGAACAGAACGTCATAGTACATATGTATATGTGAAAATACGTCACAATGTGCTAGTTCAAGCCATCAGCCTTGGAATTTGAAGAAGCTTGGAACTAGGTCTAGTTAGTACATAGATACCTATACTTTATGAACTAATCACCAATGGACTATGCAGATCGCATCTACTCCACAAAGCACAGAGCAAAACCAATAATTGATCGATTTCCACTTTTAAATGATCAGTAGATTTCCCAAGCTAAACCACCGTTAACCCGTCCACTAGTAAATCTTCCGCAACTCGGCACATTGACCGGATATAGCCCGGAAACACGGCACGGACCCGGTAATCATCCATATTTATTGGTTTAGGCTGGAGCTGGTAACTCTACGGAATATAGTAGACTCCACATTACCCAGTCAAGCAATCATTGGATTTTTCTGGAAGGACAAGTATTTGATCTCCGCTAGACCATTTGTAAATTGGGTTCGAGCGGCACGATGAAACGGGATGTGATACTGGATTAGATCCTTGTCATTGGTTCGAAGATCCAAAGCTTCGAGATTGATTAAAAATATTTTTATTTCATTTCCATTTTCGGAGTCAATCGCCGAATCGGAGGTTTTAAGGCATGCCGAGTCAAGGAACCGCAAGATCGGCATGAGTATAAATCGGCTCGGCACCGCGGGATTTCCATATTTGCTACCGAGGCTGAAGTTTGAATTCCGCTGACAAAAAAAAAGTGGGATCCACTGATTGCCTCGGCCTTCTAGAACAGGTATACGGATTATGCCAGAGATAATCGGAGAAAGTTCGGCTTTAAATCCAAGCCTTATACACATTCTTACATCCGAAAGTTTGTCCTTTCTTCAGCAACACCATGGATCGCCACGCGGGCTCATTGATGGCGTTCACGTATCGACTAGGCTCAACACAGAATCCGGCTCCCTCGGTGTGGGCGGGGGCACCATCGATAGATGGGACATTGACGTATTTGCCCGTGTAGAATTGGAATGCAGGCTCGGTGCTGTGCACCTCTAGATGAATGCCAGTAGTGGGGTTGCTGAACTGAGCAAGGCGGCGAACGGGCAAGCCACGGGTATCCAGAGGGATCTTGGTGGGGTCGGTCTCCAGAACGAAGACATCGTCGATATGGGGACCGGTTGCCTCGAGCTCAAAGGGTTTGGTAACGTTGCGGGGGAACTTGGCCATCCCACCCTCTGGAATTCCAGTGGAGTCGAGGGGCAGGTAGTCGTCAGTATCCAGCTGGGCGATGGTCCCAGTGATAGTGGCCCCATCACCAATGTTGAAGTAGCTAGTTCGGAGGTTAGGTTTTATTTTTTATTTTTTATTTCTTTTTTATTGATGTTGGAGGGTCGTTCTTACCTGTGGTTGGTGATGTTGACGATAGTCTCCTCACACTCATCCCCCACAAACTCCACCTCATACTCGGCTGTCAGGACAGTCTTGTCCTCCTCCTTGCTAGCAGTATACCAGACTCGTACCTCGACAGTACCAGGATACCCCTCCTCCGCATCTTGGCAGAGGTACTTGAAGAGCAAGGCATCGCGACCATGACGATTGACGGTATGTGGGCCATCAAAGATGCGCTTCCCCCACCCCTTCTCGCCGCCGTGAAGGGCATTTGGACCATTGTTTTTCACCAGCTGGTAGTCCCGACCGTTCAGATTGTTAATGAGACCATCCTTAATCCGGTTGGCGACCCGGCCGATAGTGGCACCATAGTGCGGGGTGTTGTGCTTGATATAGTGATCCTGCGTGGGGAAGCCCAGGACGATGTTCTTCCCGCCAATACGGAACTCCTGGATAATGGCACCGAGAGGAAGGAAGGTGAATGCAGCTTGTTCAGGGGCAGACATGATGGATTGATTTAGATGAATGTCAAGGTGGGATTCAAGGGTCTCAAGTACATGACGTTGGAACCCCGCAGTAGGCGGAATCATCCACCGGGATAAATCGATTGAAGATGTTCACCAGGGTTTAGCCTAAATAGGAAGCCATCTATTTTATATATTATACGGAGTAATTATATACAACTCTGAGAGGGAGTATGTATCACGAGAATGAAACTGTTCAATTGGAATTGAATTAATTACTAACGGAAAAACTCCGGATAGACTGTAAGTCAGCCATGAAACCGGGTTTTAGCAAGTTAACCATCCGAGACGGACGAAACGGGGTTCCGAGCCCGAAGGAATTACCCCAGACTTACATATTATGGATTAACCCCTTTAACAGGGTTTAACAGGTGCAACAAGTTGTAAGCGGGATTTTCAACTTCCGCCTTAGTCATCGTATTCGTTGAAGACGGCAACTCGGCATTTCGGATATTTCCCGTCTCGGACTTGTACATATGTGGAGTCAAAAGGAAAAGAAGAAAAAAAAAATGAAGAAGACAAATGAAAAATGAAAAATCATTGACCCACCTGAGATGCTGACTCAATGCTTTCGATTATTGATCAGAATGAGCTTCAGGGTCTAGTTCTGGTCCAAATTCCAATCTAAGTCCTTGTCTCGTATAACATGGAGTTAACTTATTTCCGTGCTGACATTTCAAAAAGGATGGATTAGTCAAAAAGTGGAGAATAATCGTCATAACCGGTTTGCTTCGATCTAGAAAAACAAGTGGATTGTGGAAAAGAAAGAGAAAACCCCCCTATAGAACGCCATGAACCTATTGAACCAAACGCCAAGCCCAAACCCAGAAACCCAACTGTACATGAATAACCAGGGGATAATAGCCCCGATGAATAAAGAATGTAGAAGAGATAGAAGAAAAAAAAGGGAAAAACATGTATAGTATACATGCATCACGTCATACGGCATTAAGAAAAAAAAGGGAAGTGATGAGAAAGAATCCTTAGATCGACGTGATCTCCGTGGGATTCGGATTGAGAAACTGGTTGAAATCCTCATAGTCTGTCGACGAAACACAGTTCATCGGCATCTGACGACTGAACATAGGCGAAGGAATTTGGTCATCGAAAGACAGAGTTGAGTAATCCGCCGAAGACATCATCTCCATATCATCAAACGAGCCGAATCCATTAGCCGACCATTGCTGTGGGCTTTCCAGTGCGAGTGGGTTGACGACACCCTGCATGGACATAAAAGGCTGATTGGACATGGGGTTTTCTTGCTTGATCGAGGCGCGCACCGGACTTTGATGATATGTTGGTGGTGTTGGGGGTAAGATCTGGCTCTGGGACTGAGACTGAGACTGAGACTGGGACTGGGACTGGGATTGGGAGAAAGTATCGGAAGAGAGACGAGTGCGGGCAATAGGGGACTGAGCTTCGGAGCTGCCGTCCGATGAATCCTGACGCTGCATGCCGTGACGCCAGAGACCTTGCTGCATGGATTCGGGGTTCTCCTGGAAGTGTTCGCCCTTGAGGGGTTCGAGAGCGCCCAAGCGGGTCAAAAGGTCGTGTGTCAATGGGTGACCGTTGGATTCGACCTTCAATTGATCGCCGGGCCAACCTTCGCCTGTTATGCTGCGACGGTAGAGCTCCTGGAGTCCGTGAACGAGCCAGGTTTGTTGTTGTTCGAGCATCTCGACATACCTATGCACGAAATTGCGTTAGTGACGAAGGTAAGTAGATAAGATGTGATGCTTACCCCTTCGGATACACTTTATCGTGGGCCTTTTTTCGCTCTCCGAAGACGCATACTGCGTTGTCTGCTCGACAACGCGTACACGGGCTTGATCCATCACACTGGCGATATGATCAGTCGCTGGATCAGATATGGCATCTCACGCTGATGACATACCTTGGATTTCTTCAAGCGACAACGATCGCAAGCCTTGCATACACGTTTGCGCACATTATCCGAGTGCGAGTGATCGGAATTTGGTGATGATTGACGTGCTGCCATGATGTGTGGGATGGGAAGCTGTTGTAAAATCGGAGATCGAGAACAAGATTCCAGTAGCAGGCGAGAAGGCGAGAAAGTTGAGGATTGGAAGAGGAAACTTCCTTTTGGGACAGCTATACTTCCAAATCCGGCCGATGAGGAGAATGATCGACGTCAACCAGTCAATGATCTAATGACGATGTCGAAGGAATGGTACCATTCAACCACGAGAGAAATTGACTTTTAAGTAAGAAAGTAGGGTTTTTTGAGGATCGGATTGCAGTGTCATATATCAGTACACTTTCCAAGGAGGGGGGGGAATGGGGCCCTTTTTGAGTTCCTTGAAGAGGGATTTAAAAGCATGAATTTACTTTGAAATCCTTAATGGAACAAAATCGATCGGATCGAATCATAAGTCTTATTACAGGTATCCACTGAACTTTTTGGTGATCACAGGGCCGGTTTTCCTTCTTTTTTTCTTTTTTCTATTTCTTTTTTCTTTTTTCGATTTTTTACTTAATTTTCCATGATTTTTACCAGAAGTGGAGATATGGTAAACTCGGCATTTCGCCCTTAACACAGAGTTTCACTAGCGGAGAACGGAGCTTCGGGTTCGGAGACATTGACGTATATCCGGAAGGATTGTACTTCCGATCCACACAATTATTTGTATAGAACAAAAGAAGAATAGGACGTCAGAATCTCTTGTCGAACCCCTTTAAAAACTTACGGAGAAGTCTGTAGTTCAGTTAGTAAGTGAGTGAGTGAGTTAGCCGACCTGGTCAAGTTCATAAATGTATGAATTGAATCGGCATAATTGTGCCGTTTCATATAACGGGACACCATACCTATTTAGGTAGATTATTCATCCATAACATGGTTTATGCCACAATTGAAATCATAAATTGAAATCATAATTTTGTCATGTAAAGAGAACGGGACGGGTTGGCTTTCTTCATTTTCATTTTCATTTTCATTTTTGATTACTCGTGATTCATGAGTATCACCCCCCTGGACATGGTGTCCAATGATTTAACGAAGGATACGGTGGTTTGACTATGGTTCCATGCAACCTTCGAGTCCATGACGTGGACCATCGGGAAGAAGCTGCTCGATCGGGATTCCGTCTAGAAATGTCAGAACACGAGAATACAGTCAGAAGCTGTGGCGCCCCTGGTCCTTCCAAATACTGGGGATTTCCAAAATGCTATGATTCCTACGGAGTTTATTCTATAAAATGATCTACTTCCCCATACATATGTACAAAGTAGTACTCCGTATATAGAATGGAGCTATTCCATGCAAATGACCTCATTCGATGTCCCGGTCCTACCCAATGCCAAATGCCGCCGTTCCTGACCCCTGTTTGGGGTTATCGCTGGTTCACGGAGCTTTATCCCGTACCTGGATTTGTTAAAGATGAATGGATATGGAATTACAATCCTTACTCTCTACCTAGGTAGCTTGGGATCCAAAACCAGTCAACCATATTTTCAATTAAAAGTACACGGAGTTACAGGAACACCAATCAGGGGTATATACAAATTAACAGGCACAGAACAACCGCCGGAACAAACATCCTTCTCCCTCTCCCTTCTCCGTCATTTCGATCGGTCTTCGGCCTCTACCAATTCCGAGTCGACGCGACCGCGTCTGCCGCTTACTAGCATCAGTGGTGGTCTGGGGCAGTGCAGTTGTATGAACGGACTGGCCAGTTCGAGATGGAGGCCGATCTGGGCCCTGCGCATGAACTCGACGGGCTTCCACAGTGCGACGGACCAAGTCTGAGTTTCTGTCAGCATATCTTGCATCGCCTTCATTTCCCCCATTTTCCTTACGAGCAAATGTCTCCTCAATGTTGACCATCTCCCGAGCACTTGTCTCCATAAATCCACACCCATTTCGCCTCGCATACTCCAGCCCGTCTCGAGAACTGACGGCGCGACTATCTTTCAGGTCGCATTTGTTCCCAGCAACGATCCTGACGGGCGGCGGCATGCCTACCCCGGGTCCCGCGGCGGGACCGAGTTTCTTGCGCAATCGCTGGTTGTCCTCCACCCGTTGTTCTGCCTCCATGTTGATCAACACCATGAAGTGATCCAACGTTTCGAGACTGGAGGGATTCGTAATATCATAGACCAGCAGAAAGGCATCGGACTTAAGGCTGGCGGCGGTCCATAGTCCGCGATATTCTTCTTGACCGGCGGTGTCGGTGATGGATAGGAAGTAGGGGAGACCATCGACCATACGGGTCACTGAGTAGGAATCCTCTAGAGGGCCAGATAGTTTAGTACCGATCGCGCGATCGCATGACGATTGGAAACAATACCGATTGTTGGGTCATATCTAATAACGGCAAGTTAGCGACCGGTACCTGAGGGGGAATAAGGGGAGATTTACTCATGTACCCATTGACTACGGACCAGCCGTAGCGTGATGGAAGATTTTCCTACCCCGATCTGATCAGATCTCGATCGCGATAAAATTCCCACCACAATGGTCACCAAATCAAAGTGGGGAATCAAGGTCCCAGGAGAAAGAAGGTTATAGGGACGTACCGCATCCACCGTCGCCGCAGATGGTTATTGAGATATTGTCTGCTATGGCCATGCCAGGCGACTTGAGATGAAATACGGTAGTGACTCTGATCCGTAGTATGAGGTATTTTATATATTACCGTAATGACCAGGTAAAGAAAACAAAGAAACCAAAACAAAGGAGTTGGAGAAGAGAAAGGGAGATAGCAAGATGGAGAAGTAAAATGATAAGGAAACCCCTAACATTTGAACAACACCAAGTCTCAAGTTCTTAAAGATCTAGAGATCTAGAGATAGAATTTATAAATTACAAATTACAATCTACAATCTACAATTCACAATTTATAAATTATAATTTACAATTTACAACTCATCAACTCATGATTCTATAACATTTTGAAAAGGTATATTTAAATGTGATAGATCCACTTCAAGTCTCCGAGTCGTATCACTCGTATAGATTACTTCAATACAGGAGTTGGTTTTAGTTGAATATGGAAATCTATTCAAAGGGAATATAGAGAAGTGATATGAAATATAATATTAAATGTGGTTTATTCATCTACATACGGGCATAGATATAGCTATACGTCATTCCAAGATGAAGCACTATCGTATTCGGTGGGTCCACACATCACTTTTGTACTTTTGAGGAGGAAAAAAGAGGAGAAAAGCGACTCCTCAACCATTCAATTTCCCCTTCTTCCATCATCGAAAGAACATCTGAAAACCCTTTCTAATCTCACCCAGTGACAACATTCCGGAATTTATACTAGAAGCCTATTCAGTTCGATCTATGATAGGTGGAGTCTCTTGTCTAACGTGACTGGATTCCATCCCGCTGGTCCCTCTTTCCCGAGAGTTTGGATCATTGTCTGAGCTTTGCATTTCCAGACTCCATGCAAGGCCGAGGCCTATATCATCCTTCCTTCTCCTATGGTTATTCTCCCATGGATCAATTCAACTTGACTTACACCCCTCGCGATGACTCTCAGGAGGACGGGGGTGTCTCCCTCCCCCAATCTCTGTCCCATGACCCCTTGATGGTCTTCCCCAACACTGGGAGCTATGCCTATCCTATGTTGTCGCAGGACGCCAACATGGACATGATCCCGTTTGATCGTCCACCTCCTCAGGGGGACCTCGAGGGTCGCCTCTCCAATGTTATGCTGGCCTATGATACCAACAACCCGGCCATGCAGATGGGCATCGATCCTAACGCCTACTACGTGCCCACCTCCTACCCCGCCACCCCCATGACCCTCGCACCGATGGACCAGCCGCAACTCCATCCCTCCTTTTCATCCTTTCAAAACTTGGCACCGCACGCGCAATATCTTCAACAACCGCAGCTGCAAATACAACCGCCACCGCAGCCGCAACACCATCAACACCACCAACGCCAACATCAACATCAACATCAACATCAACAGGCCCAGAGTATATCCACACAGAACGAACCTTATAGTACGGCCGGCAACAACTCCTCAGGGAGTTTTGAATCTGACTTCTCCCGGCCAAGTGATCATACTCAGACCCAGACCATCCAGACCGCCCAGGCCGTTCAAGAGCCCCCGCGACAGCCACCGTATCCTCCACCAACCATACAGCGACCTCTTCAGCCTCTCCCAATCCAGGCTGTCCCAATTCAACCCGTCGCAATCCAGCCCAAGAAACCAGCGCAGCCTAAACGTGAGTAACACCCGGCTCCGGCTCGTATACACAGACGACTGACGGAATGTGTAGGCCAGTCCCCTGGATTGAATACTCCTGATGCGGGCAAGACCGAGCACACGGGTATCTACTCCAACAGTGGCTTTGATGTTCTGGGAGTCTTGGTAAGTGATGTGATAGGAATGGAATGACTTGGTCTAATTCTCTATAGAGCCGAGTGGCAGGTCGTCCGAATCCCAAAATCAACATAGGTGCCGTCGACTTATCCTGTGCCTTTGTTCTTTGCGATATGCACCGGGAAGATAGTCCGATTGTGTATGTGTCAGAAGCCTTTGAGAGGCTGACTGGCTACGTCAAAGAGGAGATTGTCGACCGAAACTGTCGCTTCCTGCAGGATCCAAACGGCAATGTTCAACCTGGCATGAAGCGAACTTTTGTGGATGGACAGACCGTCTACCGCCTCCGTTCAACGATTCAGGATCGGAGTGAGATCCAGGCGAGTATTATTAACTACCGCAAGGGCGGCCAGCCCTTCATGAACCTCATCACCATGATTCCTATTCAGTGGAACTCGGACGATTATCGTTTTTATGTTGGATTTCAGGTCGATCTGGTAGAGAAACCGGATGCGATCACTAGGAGAAACCCCGATGGCACCTACAGTATCAACTATCAACGGGATCAGCTACCGCAATACATGGTGCCAACGCCAGACATTTACCGCATGCGCCCTGATCTTGCGACCCAGTTTGGCCATGACGAGGTGACATCCATCCTCAATGTCGTGGGTGTCCCAGGCTCTGGCCTATCACGAAGCTATTTGGATCGGATCTTGGTTGAGAACACCGATGATCTGATCCACGTGCTGTCCTTTAATGGCGAGTTCTTATACCTATCCCCGTCCTGTAAGCGGGTCCTCGAATACGACTCTATTGAGCTGGTGGGGAAGACATTATCGACGGTCTGCCATCCTAGCGATATTGGCCCCGTGATTCGTGATCTGCGGGCGAGCACAACTCCAGCTGCAATCAGCGTCGTGTATCGTATCCGCAAAAAGTACCAAGGGTACATTTGGTTTGAAAGCCATGGTGCCTGGCATATTGACCCTCACCAAGGCCGCAAATATCTCGTGATGACTGGCCGCCCACGACCTGTGTACGCGGTAGATCAAATCGCCCGTCTGGGCTCCTCAGCGGCGCTGGCTGAAAACGATGTGTGGGCCAAGATCTCCCTGTCGGGTGTCATCTTGTACGTGACGAGCAAGTCCAAACCTGTGCTGGGACGCACCCCCGATGATTTGGTTGGTAAGAGCTTCCACGACCTGATGGAGCCTGAGGATGGCCCTGAGTCCATCTCAGAGGCCCTGGATTTGGCTATCTTGCTCTTTGAGGAGCACAATAGCAGCGATAGCAAAAAGGAACCACCATCGTTCCGACACCAGATGCGTCACAAAAAAGGCCACTCGCTTTCTGCCCACACCACTATTTACCCCGGAGACTCGATGGATGGGCTCAGGCCGTCATTCCTCGTCGCTCAGATTCGATTCGCGCGAGCATTCCCTCCGACCGCCGCTGCAACAGCTGCTGCAGACGACTCTGCCATGGCTGATGTTCCCGGCACAAGCAAGGGAACTACTCTCACCACCTCTGACCCTAACCCTCCTCGCCAGTACGGCGCTCTAGGGCAACGTATGCCCGATATCTCCACCGTCGTCGGCCTGAACGGTCTACCCACTGGAAACCGCGCCATTTCCCCATCCGACGTGCCCGCCACCCTTTTCATCGAACTGAACCCCACTCGCGGGTCCAGCTGGCAGATCGAATTGCGTGAACTGGAAAAGCAAAATCGCATGTTATCCGATGAGTTACAACGCCTGGTTACCCGACGCAAGAAACGAAAGCGCAAGCAGACAGCCATTTCGGTGGAGAAATCGTGTTCGATGTGCAACACCAAGAACACCCCGGAATGGCGACGTGGTCCGAGCGGGAATCGAGACCTGTGTAACAGCTGTGGGTTACGATGGGCGAAACAGATGCGAAATCAAAATCAAAATCAACTAGCATCGTTACCGGCCAAGGTTATAGCTTGAGGGGATTTTGAATTTTGATCTTGATGTTAACTGGTTTGTTGGTTTTGATACCCCCGATTTGAGCTTTGAGATTTGAGCTTTGAGATTTGAGATTTGAGATTTGAGATTTGAAGCTGGTACGCATCAAATTGATCTTGTACACGATCTATCTATTCTCCAGATTGCATTTATGTATCTATTCTGTTGGCGTTTATATACCTGAATTTGATCCCATATTCATATTACATAATTGTACGTACGGGGTCACCTGTACAAAGGACCTGGTCTAGTTGCGTTACTGTGGCTTCTCCCTCAGCTTTAACCATTTACTCAACCAGTCTCTCTCGAAAGATTCGGCTTCTTTAGCTGATCTTTGTCGAATAGCGTCACCCACATCCACAGCACCACGCTCATCCAGCGCAATCCGCACTTCAGCATAGCTCATCTTTTTGACTCCTCCACCGCCCCGAATCATCGCATCATCAATAGCAAGATACTCCAGATATTGCGACAAACGACGTCGATAGATCAAGCCAGTCAAGGCAGCCCCAGCAAAGCGATCATGCTTCTTGACAAGCCCAAATACGGCACACGCCTGCAAGACAGATGCTGGACTGGCAGTCACAACCCAAGCCGGATTAGCCAACTCTAGCAAAAGCTCGAATGACTCGTCACTCTCCGGCTTCGGGGCAACACCTGCATCTGCACCCACCCAGGCCTGCACAGCCAAAGCCTTCCGTTTCGAAGCCGTCTCACGCTCCTTCGCAATCTGCCCGGGAACCCGACACGTCGCCGGTGTAATCGACGACCCAATAATAGGAACAATCAACGGCGTAAACTCGCCGCAGATAATCAAGATCAAAGTAAACGGAATCATCCGTCTCACATCTCTTGCCGATCGCCTCACAAGCTGGAACTGACCTCTTCCCAGTGCGAGATTGCGTAGATCATATGTATTCCTCGATGGCGCAGGCCCGCCATTCACCCCTTCCAACGGGATGGGATTTGAAACCTTGCGCGGTGGCGAAATGGGGAAATAGGCGGGTAAACCAAGTTCTCGTCGTAATGGGAGCGAGGCACGGTAATTTCGGAAGACGTTCTTCAGACCTGTTTTGTAAAAGGTGAGGTATGCTCGGCCGAGGGCGACAATACGCTGGATTTTGGCTGGGGCACCTGCATATGAGGGGAGGGTTTCTGGAAGATCGAGATCGGCGGGGAGAGTGCTTAATGGTGCATTGATTTCGAGTGCATCTGGCGCGACTACTGTGCCTGTGCTGGCTTTGTTATTGCTCGGTCGTGATTGTAGTGTGGATGTTGTTGAGAAGAGTTTGTGAGATGTATGGAGAACTGCATATTGATTCCGGCAGGACTGAAGGACAATATGGCCTCGTTTAAGAGACGACATGGTGGGAAGGGGTTGAGGTTGAGTGATGGTGATCTTTTACTTGCGGAGATGAGATGATGGAAAATATAGACACCTGAGGCACCAAATAATCGATAAAGACGAGCCGAGGTACAATTGGACTGCAGAACCTTATCTCATACAAATATGGTATAGAACGAAACGAATGAAGCTTTCATTACAGCTCAACTTGTACAGCCACCATAGAATCCGACAAAAATCCAGTCAAAAACAACCATGCCTTCTTTTTGCCATTTTCGGGCTCAAGAGGGACGAGAACAGCCGAACTGGCGGTACGAATCCGTGATCCATCATCCTCGAAGAGCAGTCTTTTTTCCCATGTTCCAGCCCGGGGTCGAGCATACCAGACCTGTACCGGGTCAAGACCATTCGGGTCCTTTGCAGTCTTGACAAGCTTGAGGTGCTCTGAGATACCAGCAACCACAAAACCACTTGCATCATCCGAGTCGGTGCGATAAGGATCAGAGTAGTAGCTAGGATTGTCCGTAACCGTATCGAAAGGGATTGTGGTATGTATGGAAAGTGTGTGGTTGGTGTGCCGATCGGCCAGATAGAGCTCGCCACCCACAGCACTGGAGATGACGACTTCGTTCTTGGTGCGACCATGGCCGAGACCATTGTTGTTCCAAAGCCCAGAATGGGCAACCGAAGCCTCAATGCCGACTGTTGCATCTTTTGTCTTCAGAGTGGCCAATTGGACATGGATTATTGTTGACCATTTGGCGCGTGGGTACAGATCTTCTATAAGACGCATGGTGCCATCCCGGTAGAAGTGGTCGTTAGTCACGTAGAAAGAGTCCGGGCTGACGGCGTAGAGATCATTGGGGGTATTCACGAGCGGGTGAAGAATAGAACGGACATGCTGCACGGAATCCGATTGCAAGACATGGCGGAATAGTTCGATTTGAGAGCGTGCCTTGGGAGTCTTCTCTGGAGGTTCGCTTGTGTCGAAATATTTGGGATTAGGCAAATGGTTGACGGCAAAGATATACACCGCGTCCTGCTGCTTGGGGTCTTCAATCACGTCGATTCCATGCGTCACAAATGAACCCTCGAAATTTGTAAAGGCCAATCTCTTGGACTTGAACGTCTAAGAAAATGTAAGTGTCTGATCAATCTCACATGTAGATCAAGTTATTACCTTCGGATCAATAACATGGATTGATCCACGAGCTGGTGGATGGGGCGTTAGATGGCCCAGGCCAGGGAACCAGTCAAAACGGGTATCCTTGATATCTTCGCACGCAGCGAACAATAAGTTAGCTGGGCGATAGTGATGCACATCTTCACAATGGATGGTATCCTCGATGCGGATAGGGCCTTGATCTTCTCCCAGTATTGTCGGTGTTGGAGTTTGAAATGCACCCCCGATTTTCAAAAAATGGATAATCATAGGAAGCCAAAAAGCCGCCAAGCCGACCAAGCCAAGGCCGAATATTGATCGAAAACCCATAACATCAATTGATGGGTTGTGTTCGGTAAATCAAGGGAGTAAAAGGAAACAGTTACTGCGTAAGGGAAAGAACATTTGAACCTCGGATGTTGTTCCCCCACTCAATGATCGTCATAGCCTCTAACGGAAAGAAGCCCGAACATACATATGTTGGAAATATAGAGCAAATGCATTTGACTATCCTAAGCAATGTGTTTCTTTCTTTATCTGTTTTTTTGAAGTCGTTTAGTAAGTTTTGCTTCTGAAGAGATAAAAAAGAAAAACATCAAAATCAAATAGAAACGTAAACAGAAACCATTATCAAGGTCATGACAGAAGTGACCGGCACTGGGCAAGTTAGTCCGAAAAGATATCCCACATTTCAAATTCCCATACTCATTTCCCTTTCATTTCCCTATTATGATGGTAGCCGACTGTCTACGGCAAGGACTGCTTCGCCTCCAGAAACTCATGGTCGCTAGCATCAAGAACATCGTACTCTTCATCGGTGAGGAAGCCGCCATCAGTATCGGTCTCATCCAAAGTGAGACTTTCGACATCCTCGAGAATATCTCCCTCGGAAGCCGTCGAAACAGTTGGAGGACGAACAGCAGTGACGGCCTCGTGAGTACTGGTCTCGGGAGACTCCTTCTCCAACTTGGGGAAGATCATACGACTGCCGGTCATCTCGGTATCATCAGTCGGGGTTTCGGACTCCTCAGACTTAGCAACGACGGGCTCAGCAGTTTCCTGGACTTGAATGTCGCACCAGAGACGGTGGCCAATAGGGGTACCATTGGGCAACTTTAGACGCCAGTAAGAGATGGCAGTGCCTTCGCGCTGTGAGCTTCGAAGGTTCACAGTAAAGTCAGCGGTGCTGCCAGGCTCCACAGGAGCAGTCAAGCTGTTACTCTTCATCGCCAAGTGAATGGATTCGACACCCGATGGGTGATCAGAGTCAACGTTAAACATGGCGTCTCCACCAGAGAAGCGTACGTCACTACCCACCGGCCAAGCGTTGGGTCCAGGATTATAAAGGGTCCATGTCTGACGGAAGCATGTGTCGGGTAGTAGCTTGGTACCGTCGGCAATGGTATCACGCATGAAATAAGCCTGGTAGTCGGCCAATTTGGCAGAGCAGGGGGCCTCAGGCTTGGTCGCATCAACCTCAACGGGGGCCTGCTCCACAATTGGCTGCTTCTCTCCGGAAACCTCGATGGTACAGTCGGAGACCGGAGATTCAACAGATGGGGATGCAACAGCACAATTTTGGTCGCCCAATGTGATGTCGTCAGTGACAGTGCTTACGGTCACGGTGCGAACGGGAGTCTTGAACTTCACCAATGGGTGGGTTCGGTTGTGGGTGTGAGTGGGAAGAGCCTCGCAGCTGGCGCAAAAATCTATGTCATCACAGACAGCACACTTGTAGCGAACACCTTTGATGTAGCTCTGGGCAGGCTTGTCTTTGCACAGGGGTCCATCACAGAAGATACCGAAATGGACCTCCGGAAGAGGCTGTTGCTCGGCAAGAGCTTCATAGACTGGGGCAAACCGGTGCCTCGGGTGAGTTTGGGAAGCATCCACGATGCATTCAGGGCAGTAATCCCAGTCCGGGCAATCGAGACACTTGTGGCGGGTGCCAACAATGTTCTGGATCCAAGTCAGTAAGTTCACTTCCAAGTTATCCAGGGGGAAAGGAGGGGAGTGGGATACCTTCTCACAGCCATCACAGATAGCTGCATGCTGGAACCGACGACCAGGAAGGCAGCGAGACAAGATCAAATTCTTCAAGCAGAAGTTGCGATCCGATCCAAGCGAGAATGAATGAGCAGGGTGGTGACCATGCTTGTTCCTCAGGAGGCAACGAAGGCATAGGTCATAATCTTCGCATTGGTTGCAACGCACCAGGTTGCTCTCCTCGGTTTCTGTTAAGGTTAACCGGTTATGATGATCCACTGTTACTGGAAATAAGAAAAACATACCACGACAACATCCGTTGCATATAGGCTTTTCCTCTTGACTGGCCTCATCCTTTTGAAGCACAGCAGCCGGGGCCGGGGCAGGAGCGGGAGTATGAGCAGGAACGGATGCCACTGTCTCAGCGATAGGTCCCTGTGCTGGGCTTGGGTCCAGCGGTTTGATCTCCTGGACCTGCGGTTGTTGAGGGGCGATGGTTTCGGTTGTGCTGTTGGTCACAATGCCGTTCTCAACCGATCGCTTAATAAGCCAGTGACCTTCCCCACGGCACGAAGCACCATTCGTGACACACGCGGGACACAGGTCGTAATCGCCATTCTCGCAGATACCGCAATGGTAATGGTCGTTGGCAATGGAGCGACCGCAGTTATTGCAATCAATGCAGAACATCCCACTGGGGGAGCTGTGAGAGATAACTGGGAAGCGAAGTGTGTCCTTTTCCATCTCGAAATCGCGGTAGTGAGGCTGGCTGATATTTGAGAGTTCCTTTCTTCCGTACACTCCGGTCGGCAAGGTGTCAATGGAAGCAGTAGGAGGAGGGGGGACAGGGGAAGTAATGGTGGCAGGAATATTTTCACTGGAACCGACAAGAATAGGGGAGCTCAAGACAGTTTCCAGATAGCTATGTCTCGGAGGGTTCTGAATTATGGACTCAACCGGTGCTGTAGTAGCTGTAGATGCAGGCACCGATAAATTGACTGTGCTAGCCTTGATACGAAGCTTAGATTTAGCTTTACCTGCCCGGTAAAGCTGTTTGTAGACTCCTTGGTTGTCGCTGTCAAGGTGAATGTAGCAACCGGCGCTGTCGGAATAGCGTTCGAGGATGACGTTAACATCCGCCGGAACACCGAGCAAAGTGCGGAGCTAGACCAAACGAATTAGTCAGTCAACAAGCAACCAAATTCGGGTATTTTGGTGTTGATGTCCAGATGAGAATGATAAGCCATCGTGGCCATCCAGCAAAGGGATGACACTGATTGTTATCACGATAAGAAATGTGGGCGGACTGGATGTCCGGAGCTAGAGTGGAGACGCTCTTACCTTCTGCGGGAACACTTGAGCCCGAAGATCTCTCAACGGAAGCTTGAATCGACGATTACTCTCATTAAAGAGCACTTTGACAGTAATAAGTTGATCTTGACCCGGGGGCGATGGAAGAGCCGGGGTAGCCATGATGAAAACCACCGGGGGAAAGCGGATGACAGAGTATGTTGGGGGGGGGGGGGGGAAAGGAAAGCTAAGAGAGATAAGGTCACAAGGTGACGGGTGTACTAGGGAAGGAAGATGGGGTTGGAGAGAACCCAAGATTAAGTTTTGACAATACAGATGAAGTGCAGGAAGAAGAGCAGATGACAGATGATGGAGTGAATACAGAAAGGATGAAGGAGGGGGGAGAGAATCAGGAAAGTAGAGAAGCCTAGAGAGCAATCGTTGTACGAATCGGTCACTGGGTCAGCTGGTGTGGGCGGTGTACACACGATTATGTAATGAGACCCGGACAGATAACTAACTATACGTAAGTTGTACCAGGTAGTAGAAGGTACGTAGAAGGTACAGAGCAAGCGGGGGTTTTTAGTACACTGAATGTATATTTCCGTATGAATTACCATGAGAAGTGACTATGTAGTTACTTATGAGATATTATTTACCTTGATAAGAATCAAGTTTGGTACTTTTGGTGGTATTTCGTAACCCCGTTAAGCGGAAAACCAAAAGAGAACATGAGGTCATGCAAAAAGGCCTAGATCATGCAAAGTGATCAAAAGTATGTCGTCGCCTCGCGGGGATCATGGGTGAAACGCTCAAATGCAGTCGAGTCCAAATCTAACAGTGCAACCAAGTAAGGCTGGTTTGAAAAGAAAGTAGGCAAAGAGAAATGGTGATAATTAAGGGATGTCAAGGCAAAGAGAAAGAAATAAAAAAAAAGAAAAGAAAAGAAAGAAAGGGAAAAAAGAAGAAGAAAAAAAAGGAAAGGGGAGGGGAAAAGAAAGAGAGCGATAGAGATAACTCAAGAAAAGAAAAGATGATCGAATGAAAGCGTGATCACTGGTTGTAATATGCCCCAGGCGGTTGGGGGTAGTAGTACCCTGTGCCAGGCGGCGTCATCATACCTCCCATCCCCACCACCCCAGAGCCGGGTCCAGGTCCGGGCGCCCCATAATTGGGATACATTTGATTCGCATCATAGAAATAAACGGTACCACCAGACTCATGAGCAACTGTCCCCGGTTGAGATGCTGGCTCAAGAGATGGGCCTGGAGCTTGTGGAATACTTTGCTGACCATGAGGGAAGTTTGGAACCGATGCACCAGGTCCCATCGGCCCATTATAGGTAGGGTAGTCAGAAGCAGAGCTAGGATAGTACATCCCACCGCCATAGTAATTTGGACCTGAATAGTAGCCTGGCTGGGGATACGAGGGGTACGGTTGAAATGCTGGTGCGTGGATTGCTCTCTCGGGGATTTGAGAGAGCGGAGTAGCAGAGGATTGACTGGGTGGGCCACGAGAGACCACATCCTGACCAGGAGCACCGACGGGAATGGGGACTTGATGATGGAATGGTTGCTCATGCTGAGGTTGTGGAGGATTGAATGGGAAGTTGTCCGGACTTTCAATATCTGCCACAGACACCGTCTTCTTAGGGCGAGGTTGATGCATGGGAATTGGAGCGGGCCGACTTTCACGGTAGACAGGATGTGGAAGTGACATGGGAGGCATGGGGCCTGGGGGACCTATAGGCATCCCACCAGGTGCCATGGGCAAACCGATCGGGACTATAGGACGCGATGGGGGTAGACGAACAATAGGTTTGCCGCCATCAGGTGGCATCATAATCGGGCGCGAGTAGCCTGACCCGGCGGGTGAGGGATAGCTGTCCTGCGATGACATGCCAAGCGAGGTTCGACGGCTCGGAGGAATGCTAGGGGCATAACTGGAGTAGAAACTTGAGCGTCGTGGGTAGAATCCTCCTCCTCGGCCCCGACCACGATATGTGTGCTGGTTGGGGCGCATCGCGCGAGGGATGAAGACGAATGAACGTTCCTCCGATGGAAATATGTAGCGAGGAGCTTGATTGGGGAGAGAGATCCGCACCGGCTTGTCACGGCGCAAGGGAGGGCGATGTTGAGGCAGTCGAGTGTGCTGTTTTTTAGCCATCGTTGTGATTTTCGGCTGGGTCATTCCCGGCAGAAAGACTACGACCGGTACATTGCCCAATAAAATGGTGTTAGAGAATGTTCTATTCGGAGAGGAGGACTTGGGTGCGGTGGGAACAAGCGGCGCAGCTTGACGTGTAGTAGAAGGAACTGAATGTTTGGGCGCCGGCGGCTCATCTCCAGCTACCGTATCGTGGAGGTCGTGAGCCCACTGCCCACCACTTGCATCAGCCTTGGAAGAGTCCCTGGAGATTGAAAATGTGAGCCAGATGCAATAATATGGGTGAGAGGATGCAAGTATACCTTTGAGTATTGCCATCTACAATGAGACCGTACGGCCGAGACTTGCCCTTGCTGGCGGGACGATGATTGCTGGATTTCAACTCCGTTGTCCGTTTGTCGTGCAAGAAGAAACTTCCTCGCGTGGGAACGAAGGCCGGATTTTGGTCCCTTTCCTTGACGTACTTGTCATGCTCGCGGCGCTTTCGAGCAGCCAGTGTTTCCCGTTTCGGTTCCGTAGGAGGTGCCGACGGCGCTCGACCAAGCTGGAGCTCTCGATCTTCGTTCATCTGATTGCACTGAACATCTTCTGAGTCATCGGAGAGTTTCAGCCCATTCAGCATCGCCTCCGTATCGGATACTGTTGTTTTAAGTCCCGGCTTGGAGGCTGATACAGAACCATACCGTGGTTCTCGTCCGTTGGTCCTCCCACCATTCACCTTGTCTGTTCTCGTTCCCATCGATGCCTCGTCCTCCGTGTCACTGCCTTCCACATCGGCATCCTCGTCTTCTGGATGACTATGGACTGAACCCTCACTCAAAGAGTCGTCTTCAAGGTCGCCCGCAAGAGAACCCTCATCTTCACCATCGTCGTCTCTGCGTTGTCTGCGGCTTGCCCCGATATGATTTCGCTGAGGAGCCATGGGTTTGGGAAAGAGGACAGGGTTGGAAGATTCAAGAGATATCACTTGAAGGTATAAAGTTTGGGTTGTCAACTAAAACCGGTTCGGGGTGGCGATGGGAGGCAGCGGGTGAAGCAGGCGAGCGTGGAAACAAGGACGGTGAATCCGAAGTAGGAAACAAGCAAATGCTAAAGAGGCATAAATGAGAAAGAAAGAAATAATAGACACCTTAGACAAGGTAATGGAGGATGAAGAAGAGAAAAAAAGAGCAAGGGGCAGAAGAAGTAGAAGAGGGAATAGAGTGAATGAGCATCCTACCGCAACAAGCATGACATCGCAAATAGACGTCACCCCCGATCGGGTCTAGTGGGGCGGTGAATTGATTCTGCCCAGCGTCTAGATTGCTTAAATTCCTGATTACATAACTAGACCTTAATTTATCGAACTATAAACGGAATCTAAGATGATAGTTAGATTCAGATTATGCTCGGCTATCACTCAGCTAGGACCGTTTGACGGACTTCGGGCAATATGGTCATGCTGATCAATCTGCAATAGGGATGCAGGGAGCGTCTGCTACTGGGTGCATGGGACCACCCTTGATTGATAACGCCCAACCCACTCGACTATCACCACTCACCACGAAGTACTACGTACATATACACATGTGCAGGCAAATTACCTAGTAGATCTCAAAAATATCCAAATGTTTGAAGTCGGATTCCTTTTAATGCACATGTGTACACGTGGGCAGATTACTTGAATGACTGTTCATATAAACATATATAAACATTCTCTTTCTAGGCAATGAATTATCGCATTGTGGGTTGAACATGTAACAAAATCAACCCCTTTCTGGAACAGCAGACCCCGTTGGACCCAGAAGGAATCATTATTCTCTTGGAAATTGGGCGTATTTGTTTTCATGGCCACGTCAATGCCATTGCAGCTCGCAGAGATCATTACTAAAATGGCGGCCCAAATCTCGCCCCAAAAACGCCTGTGGATTGGCTGCATTGAACCCACCAAAACATTTAAAATAAATAGACAGGAGAAAAGTTAATGAAGCCCGATCAGAGGAAATGCATTTGTTGGAGCGACAAAATGATCAGAGTCAACGATCTCAGTCAAACGTGATTTTGGAGCCTTGACCCTCAACAATTGCACCGCTGAGCCGCTGCACGGTCTCCTTGGAGTATCGAGAGTCATCAATTTCCGGCTTCTTCGGCTTGAAGGTTCGAGGACGTTCAGATCCACTGGTCTCGCTAGATTCCGAATCGTTCTTCCGACCCTCGCCATCCTTACCAAAGCGTTTCTTGTAGCGAGTGGTGGCATCCTCCGCGAACTCCAACTTCATGCGGCGGCCGAGAAGCTGGTTCACCCACACTTTACGCTTCGTGCTCTTCAGCTTTTTCTTTGGCTTTTCAGATTCGGTATCTGAGCTGTCGGATGAATCCTCATCCTCACCAACCATCATGAAACCTCTGACCGCTGTTTCCGCTGAAGTAATATCTTCAAACTCCACCCAACCATATCCCTTGCATTTTCCTGAGTCTTGGAAAGTCGCCAGATGCACATTAGCTAGTGTACCGCATTGGCTGAAGTGCCCCTCCATGATTTCCTTGGTGACATCGAATCCCAAGTTGCCGACGAAGATGCGGCGGGATGGAGGGTGTCCAGGCTTGATGGTTGCGTTTTCCTGATCGCGAGATTTCTCGGGCCGACCCTCGAAGCTCTTTGCATTCTTGATCAATACTCGGCGACCCGTCACAAGCTGCTCGCTTAAACCCAATGCCTCCTCTAGAGCCTTCGGGGTAGAGAAGTCGACATAGGCAAAGCCCTTGTTCTGGACCTTTCCAAATTTTTCTTGTCCCTTGGGCATGTGGATTCGAGTAATCGTATCATCGTTAAAGGAACAGTTGCTGGTAAAGAATTGGCGAAGGTCATCTCTGGTCACAGTGAAAGCCAGGTTGCCGATCCAAACTCCATAGTCGGAGCGTTTAGCTGGTGTCTCCTCTGTTCCTGCCTTGGGGGGTTGAAGCTTCTTCTTTTCATTCTTTTCAGAACCCTCGGCAGTGGGCTCTGACTTCTGCTTTTTCGCTTTGCGCAGGGCTTTTTTAGACTGCGGCTCCGGTGCAGAGACATCAATCTCGAGTTCGGGACCGTCCTGCAGCTTGCGCTTCTTGTGGGCAACATCGGGTGATTCAGACATGATGAAAATGGAATTACTCCTGGAAAGTTCCTGGGGAGTTCCGAAAATGAAATAGAAAATTCACTGAATATGGAAAAAGTTGAATTTCTCCAGATTCACATTCCACGCTAATGATTTTTTTACGGCGAGCCAGATCCACCTATCGTGCAGCCCGAGCTTGGCACCGCGCCGGACTTCTTTCATAACTCTAACCCTTGTCTCTCTCTCTTCCCATCGATTTCATCCATCTTCGTCATTTTATCATCTCATAATGGCTCAAGATATCAAAGAACCTGGAGTGACTGACTCACTTCCCGATGCTCAAGCCCCGGCCCCGATAAAGCATTCGGTGCGGTCTTTCAAGTACGACAACCCTTGAAAGCCAGCAAAGAAGCAATAGCTAATGGTTACTATAGGAAGAAATATGCAAAGACGAAACAAAAATTTGAGTTGGGGATTCGAGAAAATGAAAACTTGATCCGCGAGGAGCTCCGGATTGAGGACTTGTCCAAGCGAATCCAGGAACAGAACGAGTATGCGCCCCCCGAGGACCACTGAAAGAAATACTTCTAATCCATCACTAGTCAACTACTCGAAGTCCTCATGGAGTTCAATGAAAGCGTTCATGTCTCCCCATCCATGCGATACGGCTTGACCCTGCTTAGCGACGCCCCTTTCCTTCCAACCCCAGAGCATGAGATTACACCTCTAGTCAACGACGCGACCCTCGCGCGGACGGCATTGAAAGAAGCCAAAGCTGGACTCGCTAGCGGAAGCTTTTCTCCTAGCGCTTACCGCCAAGTGGAAGAAAGTATCAAGCGAAACAAGGAATTTGCACCGGCTTTGCAGTTCAGCGATCTGATCAAAGTGCCGCATACCGAAGGGATCCTCCCAGGAGATGGAGTGAAAGATACCGGATCTGTAGATCGCAAGCTCGGGTATTTCACCCCAGAGCATGAGACCGAACACTACCTCGCGCTGGACGCGAAGCTCGGAGACCAGGCTGCTATCTTGCAATTAGCGCGTATCCCAGACCCGCCAACATTTGCTGAACGGGAGAAAGAGGCCTCAATGCGGAACCCAGCCTCGGTTTTCAATTGGCTGCGACGCAATCAACCTCAGACATTACAAGATCACGAGGTTACCTCGGAAAAGTCTGCATCACGACCCTCTAATGCCCGGACATCAAAACGGGCTCCTGTACAGCGCAAGGAAGAGGAGACCATCGATGAAGATGGCATTGATGTGGAGCCGACTCCGAAGGGTAAACGCAAGCGAGATGAGGATACTGGATACCGACCCAAAGGTGGCAACAGCCGGTCAAAAAAGAAGAAGGATGATTCAACTCCTAACCGCAGCTCTAAGAAGGCTTAGGGAGCATCCATTTCGATACTCATTTTCGTTTCTTTTCTTTTCATTTAATGTATCACTACTGCATTTTCATGGTTGTTATGCTAGCTCACAGAACGATATGATTTCCGAAATATGACTGTTCTCTATAGAAGGACATTGGTCGGCATATTCTTTGGGAAGTTTTCCAACTACATTACGGATATGATATTGTATGAATACCTTCCCTTTCAACATGCTTCATTACTCGTACGCCGTAGCAGGATGTACCCATAGATCAACGTTTGTAAGACAATTATTGTAGGAAACCAATGGCCCTTTTCTTGTGTTGAATCGGGGTTAAGCTTAGAAGTACGAAGTACTAAATAGTTACTAGCACTGGTGTGATGGTGGAAGTGGAGCCTGGAGATCAAGTGGATACGGTCACGTGGATCAAAAAGTCTCAGACCACGCATGTCGGAGCTTCATTCTCCAACCAATACCATCGTCATCAACTCTGATCGGTCCGTTAATCCTACATGGCTATCACAATTTTACCTCCCATAGTGGAGGACCTTGGTCCCTACCAATCCTCCGACGAGTCCGAGTCCGGTTCAGATTCCGATGTTGAAATGAGCGGCGTCTCCCGACCAAACAAGCGTGCCCGCCTACAGAATAAGAAAAATGACAAAGCAATCTTCACACCAGGTGAAGTCGTCACTAATGACCCTCAATGGATGAGGTGAGTTCCCAAATATCCTCTCAACCCCGCACAATGGACCGAGAGGGCGGGGTATGGGTTCTATATCGATGCGAACTTGAGCTAATCTGCTCCTCCCCTCAGAGGTCATGGTACATTCACAAATCCCCTCTCAACATCTATTATTGCGACTGTTGCGGGTTATCAACAAACCACCAACAAATTGATCTCGGTCCACCCAATGCGAGCCCGATACACACCTGAAATCGGCGATCTAGTCATTGGTCGCATTGTCGAGGTACAATCGAAACGCTGGAAGGTTGATGTCGCCGCCCCGCTCCTTGCACAACTCCCTCTGTCCGCAATCAACCTTCCCGGCGGTATCCTTCGACGACGAACAAGCGCCGACGAGCTTCAGATTCGAACCTACTTCTGCGAAGGCGACCTGGTAGTAGCCGAGGTGCAGAGCGTGCACCAGGATGGAGCGGCTTCCTTGCACACACGATCTCTGAAATACGGGAAATTACGAAATGGCGTTTTCCTAGCGGTGGCCGGTACTGGAGGTGTCGGAACAAGGATCTCGAGCATGAAGAGCGGTGCTGGAGATGCGACTGATACTGATGGAACCAAGAAATCACGACAACGGGTATGGACAATGGAAACACAAAACGGTGGTGGTCTGGTGGATGTGTATCTCGGGGTGAATGGCTATATCTACATCGCAAAGCATCCGAACGGTGCTCCCCTGATTAACTCGGCTTTGGAGAGCGTTGCACTTAGTCGCATGGAGGAGGTGGTGTCGGGATCGACTTACTCTAGTCAGAATGATGAGATCGCCCCCCAAACTCGGCGAGAGATTACCCGCTTGTCACAGAGCATCCAGGTGCTAGTGCAAGGCGGTGTGTACGTGGATGAAGTCTCCGTGATGAAAGCCTATGAAGTCAGTAATCAAGTTGATATGGAGATCGGTGATGATGACGTGGACAACGAGGGCCGGGAGTATCTGGAGGGCGCGAAAGCTGAGCGAATTCTCGAGGCAGTGATGCGGCAGGCGCAGAGGAATTAGATCATGCTCTACTTTTAACTAAGCATATTCTAATGTACGATACAGGGCGGATCGGTGATAGTGATACCCCGTGCAAGAATGAATCCCCCGTTGTCTATGATGATGATTCCCTGATCAAATTGCATAAATCTTGGAATATACAGTGGTATGCAGTCTCATATGAAACCTAAAACCAAATATGTATATCGAGTCTGTAATTACAATTAGGCAGACTGGTCAAGCGTCTTATCTCGCTCGCATCAAGGATTCTGAAAAGTCACCAAGATCTATAATTTTTCTCTTCCAAAAATCCGAAAAGATGCATATAGTGGAGAAAAGAAACAAAGGCCAAAAAGGGAGAAATAAGGGGGGAATAGAACGAACGTAACTTTCTAGGCATCAAGATCATTTCAAGGGCTATGAATCAAGTTTCAAACACCGGAATAACACCTGTCCAATTGCCTCGTGCACGTTCATCCCAGTACCCATCCTTGCCGCCCTTGAGACGCCAGACCACCTCTCCATCGGAGTCCTCGTTGACGGGCGTAAACCAGCGCGGAGTCCAGCTCTCACCGGCGGCTTCCATCTCACGTCTACGGGCACGTTGGCCCTCTTCCAGCTGGACTTTGACTTCTTCAGCGCGGTCCAGATCCCCTTCCTCAAGAGCACGCTGGTCAGGTCGGAGACGAGAGTCAGTGGGTGGAAGGTGCGAGTCTTCAATGGATGTGATCTCGTTGAGTGTAGCCGCGAAGGATGTCAGACCGTAGTGTTTGGGAGCATTAGGGACGAGTGGACCGGCTTTCCAGATAGGATCACCAGACGGCGAACCGTCACGGGTCAGCGTCACGGATGAAGGCCAGGTACCTGTCAGACCAAGCGACACTGTTTTGTTGTAGGAGTCAACGGTACGAGTGGAAACTTCCTCACTGCGGCCGGAAAACATGCCACCAGCCTTGAAAGTTGAGATGGAGCGGTGTCCTGTGGACTCGTTGTAGACGGTCAGCTCGCCGACAGGCTCGACATACTTCTCGCCAGCGATGATATTGCGCAGGAAGGAGGTGGCGGGGACCCAGCTGAAGTGTTCACCGGTAGCATGCAGGGTAATGCGCACGCGGCCTTCAGTAGTGATTTCAGCAGACTTGCCCCAAAACTTCTGGCTAGGCATGGGGGATTGAGCGAGACTCCATTCACGGCTGTCGGCCTGGTAGGCCAGCTGCACAGGCCGGTGAGAAACTTTCTCAGCAATGAAACGAAATCCTTGGTCTTCGCGGACAAGTTCATATGTTTCACCAAGCATGGGATTGAAGGGTTTGCGAATGGATCGTTCCCGCACTCGGACACTGGAGATGGAGGAGATGGCAAATGCGGTTACATACATCAGCCGCTCGACAGCATCTGATATCTGAGAGGCTTTGTCCAAAAGCGAAGAGTATTCCAGAATCTCCGCCGCACGTTGCAGTAATGACATCGGTTCATTGGCGGATACAGGCATTGAGATTTGAGACAAGTCCTTGCCAACGTTCTTGCGCAGGAACCCGATCAAACTCGGCGGCATTACGGTTGGTGCCGTAATGTTTTGGCGCCGAGATACAGCATCTAGAGGCAATGGGACCAGAGATTTCGCGCGAGATGGGAAGAGTGGCGAGGCACTGGTGCCATCATGGGGAGTGGACTCGGGTTCATCATCGCTGTCCGAGGGTGCATCGTCCTCAACATCCTCAGCAGCTGGGGCAGGTCGATTCTCGGTTGAGTCTTCTTCATCGTCGCTGTCTTGAATGGTCAAAAGTGGAGACGAAGCACCCCCATCCGGAGCATCAAAGAATTCCTGCGACATATCTGACTCCATACTGCGCCGAGGCACCATAGAGAATCGGGGCGGGTTTCGACGTTGCTTACTAGCCGAAATCAGGGTCGAGAATTCCGATACCACATTATCAAGATCGCGTAGAACAGCCATCAAATTATCATGCATATCACCCATCCCATCCGTATGGCTAATGATACTGGCAGGCTTGCCAGAGCCAGCCGGCACTACCAGCTGGGAGATATTAGTACTAGGTTGCTTGCCACTAGATGTAGAGTTTCCGCTCGTCTTGCGTTTCCAGAAAAGGCGCCTTCCATCCCCCTGAGAGTCAGTCCCGGGAGGATGGGGGCTCGGAGACCGACCCCGGCTCCGAGGCTCCCTAGGAGACGGGAGCGGCGACGTCACAAGATATTTAGGATCAGTATCCTTGGCAAGCCGGCGCACCGCATCGCGGGTGCCAGAGACCTTGCTCACCAGACTCTCGACCCGGGTCCATTCCCGTTCTTCCTCCGGAGAAGCGGACGGTGGCATGGTCAACCGTAGCTCTGGGGGGCCAATAGTAAGCGACCCATTGTTTTGTGATGCATCCTTGGAGGAAGCCCTCTCCAGAGCCTGCTTCCATATGGCAAACTCTTGCTCGTTGCTGGCACGGAGATGCCAGATCTCGGCGCCCGAATCAATTGAGATCTCGCGGGACTTCTCGTGGGTTGCCACGGCCGCCAGCGAGAGCGGAATCGCACCGCGCAAAGCGGACGAGTTGGGATCGTGGTAATAAGAGAGAGTAGATGAGATAAAATCCAAGGAGAAATACCGACGTGCCCAGCCCTGGTGTCGCTTTCTCCGTCGCTTCTGCAATATCCCGCAATGTATATTCGATGGGGTCGACAAGTCGGATCGTTGCGCGTGCAGGGTAGCCCGGCTATTGCCTCGTCGACGACCAACGGGCTGTGGTAATGATTCCGTAGAAGCTCCTTGTTGAGACTGTGCTATGGGAGCCACAGAAGCATGGGGTTGCAAGCCGGTGGGGTAGGTAAGCAGAACAAGGGTGACTGTTTTTGAGACTTGTTTGGAAAAGGTGTTGTCGAATACAAGCGCGTAATTCCCGGCCTCACTAGCTGGTACATCGTGTGTTCCCTTGGAAATCTTGTCGGCTTCACATTTCCCAATCCATTTGATCGGTTTGAGACCAATGGCCGTCAGCTTCTCGACGACGGTGGACTGCTGATTGCGGGAACCGGGGTTCGCCGTGGCGGGGAGGTTCTCATTGGAATCGGTACTTTGGGAATCGGAAGCGGGCAAATGAGAGGCTAGTGACGATTGTCCAGGATGCTTGAAGATTCCAAAGTTCACGGATTTCTTATGCGGTTGGATACTCCATGAAATGGTGTGGCCGGCGCTGACATTGATCCAGCGTACGAAATAGGACTATTCATAAGAGAAACATAGCTGATTAGATTTGGCAGAAGTCCCTGAATATCGCTGAGCTTACCTTGCTATGGATTTGCAGCTCCTCCATGGCCGCCATTGTTGCGCAATGGAGAGTTTGGAGGGGAAAGAAGGCCCGCAAGTGTACAAGCTGTTACGGGTGCGGCTGAAGGGGCGAAAACAGGAACAAGGCGGAACACAGCTATAAATAACCATGAATATGAATAATCTCGAGTATGGAAATTCTCAGATCTTTCTTTTTCTCTTTCTTTTCATTTTCCAAGCCTATCACATATTAAACTTAATAGGACGATCTAATGGCGGGGGGTAAACAGCGCAAATGACCCGAGGCCATCATGCATTTCACATGTACCAAATCTCGGGATCATCAGCCTAGGTACTACAATTGGAAAGTTTAAGTCAATTCGAATGTTATGTACCATTTCTGCTAGGGGAATTTAAAAAAATATGCCGAATGGCTGTTCATTGTGTTGTGGTTACAGGACCCCCCTTAATATCAAAATCGGTGTATCAAATTAAGGCGAAACAGAAATTGGAGAATGAATCGGGGGGGCTAAGAAGATCGAATGCATATGATCATCGTTTTTGGTTTTGGTCTGCTTTTCCTGCAGAAATCAGAAGCCTCGCGATGATAGAAAAAAAAGGAAGAAAAGAAAAGAAAATAGTACACTATACAGATCATCCATTTACCGACGACTGGATTTCATGTTGGTAAACATCAACTTGAAGCCATTGCACAAGGCCTGCATATCCGGGTATGGGTTCTTTTGCAGCTCAAATCCTTGGGGAATGACCTTCACCGGCCAGTTTTGCAGTCGAGAGTGCTCACCGGCCTTGAAGCAAAGGTGCCAGTAACCAGGGTGTTTAGGGTTGATACAGAATGCATAAGCTGAGCGACGAGGGTTGGCCTTGGTGTAGGTCTCCAGCCATTGATCTGCCATGTTGGTTAGAAGGGGAAAATATAAAGGAACTATGAAGTCTAAACATACCAGTTTCGGCCTTGCTGCCATCTTGGTGTTTTTCATTGATAATCATTTCATCAACCTTCTTGGCCATTGCCTTGACGTGGTTGACAATCAGATCGTCCAGATCACTGTAAGTGTACTTGCCACCGACCTTGAGCACGCGCCCAACGGAGAATTCATTCTCCTTGTCCAACTCAAGAACATCGATGTGTTGGTAGACACCCTGCGCTACCTTCCAGGTCACTGCTAGGTGATCGTGGCCCCGAGACGATGGGCGAATGACCACATCACCACGACTCCGAGAGCCCAGATACTCCTCAGCTTGAACAGAGTTGAATGGTCGAAAGAGTGGATGTTTGATGACACGCATTGCCTGACCGCTACTCTGGGTACTCTCCTGCTGGGACTCCTTATCCTTGCGCTCTTGCACCTCGTCCCAGTCGCCGGCGCCAAGATCCGGAGTTTGACGGATCGGATTACTGACCTGATCCTCTCGCAGTGACACATTGCAGCTAAACGTCTTCTTGTTCAGATACAAGATCTTGGCAGGCACGGTTTGGTGTTGCTGGAAGACGTTGCGTACAGAGAGCTCGTAGGGTACCCCCAATTCGGTTTCTGCGACCAGCGCTTCGACCCCACAGTCCAATCTGGCATCGATATGATCCTCAAACACCCGCTTGATGGCAATTGGTACCACCATGCCAACCTTCAAAGAATCGGGTGTCTCACCCGTTAACATGGTGAAGATGTCCTCGGTGCCGAGGAAGACGAAGTGCTTGCGCAATTCCTCATATGGTTGTTGTAGCTCTGCACGGATGGTTTCCAAAGTGGCACGTTTGCGCTGGTTAAGGTTCTTCTCCAGCTGCTCAGCATACTCCTCCAGAATCAGGTCGTTGACACGATCTTGCTGCTCCTCACGGAAAAGTTTGCGGACGATCGCCCCAGAGCCATTCTCATCGGTCTCGGCCTTGATATCCTCCTCATCCAGCTCGAGCGCATCAGCAGCCATCTTACGTGCAATATCGTAATCTTCAGGGTGCACACGGGTGTTGTCCAGTGGATCCGCATCTGCATCAGCGTTCTCGTAATCAATGTAAACAAAGCTGGCGCAATTGTTCCACACTTTAACGCCCATAGCTGGGTACTGAGCGTTGACACCCAGCAACTCCACACGGTTATCCACATTTCCGCCGTTCAAATTGACAATCTTGAGCAGGTGGGCTGCTTTGCGCGGACCAAGTCCACAAACATAAGGGAGAAGATTCGCCGTCATTGAATCATGGACTGCCTCGTTCAGATCCACACCTACAAGATTGACCATGTCAACCAGGGCGGTTTCAAGTTGCTTGAGCAACAAATCCTGGGACACCAGTTGTTGACCGGGTTTGAACTGAATGGAAACGATATCCCGGCCGAGGGAAGCGTATTCTTTCAAAGGACTTTGCAAGTATCGGCCCAAAGCCACACAATAGTGAGTTAGTGGACTGAAGCCTGGATTGTCCTGGCGGGCACGAGGAGAATTGTGGTAAAGTCGGGCAACCTCATCATTTACAATGACAACTTCAAGACGGTCAGTGATCTCCTCGTCATGGTCATTGGTGTAGGTCTGAGTGCGGATATCTTTCTCTTCGATGAGCTCGTTCAAAAGTTTGTAGAGACGGCGGGTCTCCGGCGTCATACCAGAGACTCCGAGCACATCAGGTTTGCGTCGCTTGATCAAGTTCATAAAAGCAGAAACGTGGGCACCATCGTCAAAGCCCCGGGATGAATCTCCACATGACAAGTCCTGGAACTTTCCATTTTCTAGCACACGACCATCCTCTTCAATATAAGCCCAGTGAATGGGATCCCGGCCCACAACACCGTTTCCAGTGGAGAGAGCAATGACCCGAGGCACTGTACCCAAGATCATTCCCTTGGGCTTGCAAGGTGCCTGATCCAGTCGCTGCGAAAACATTTCACGGCACTCCTTGGCCACATGGTTCTCGCATTCCTGCCGAATGTTTTCTTTCACGCTGCGATTCATGACACGTTCCAGCTTGCCAAGGGCCATATCTAAAACTTCACGACGAAGGCGGTTCCATGCGTCGGCGATTTCAGAGTAGTTGTCCGATTCAATATCGGCGTACAGACGGGAACGGAACTGATCAAAGTTCTCGAAGCGTACCCGAACGTCAACCAAACCTTCCTCTTCGGCCTTCAGCATACGCAAGAACATCTCTGGGCGACGGGCAATGTCACTCAGTTGCTGGTTACGTAGGTACTTGAATTCGTAGTATGGATGCTGGTCGTCGATTCGACGCAAGCCCTTTTCAGTTCGATAACAGTCGACAACTCCATTCATGTAGTAAGCTTGGCGAATGACTTTGCGCATCTTGGGGCTTAGTGCGAGCTCTTCAGCAAACATGGACTTCGCAGCCTTGAGAACATGTGTTGAGTTGGAAAAGTCGGTGTCAACAAATTGATCTGCCAGGTCTTCTGGAAGCTGGGTAGGGTCCTCAGTGTATTGCCGGCGGCCTTCTTTAGAGGCATTCTGTGCAAAAGAATCGGCGGTGATACCAAACGCCCGAACTAGGCTGTAGGCTTTGCCGTTTCGCACTCGCTCGAAGAACGATTTATTAGTCGCTTTGCGCCGTTGTGTCTCCCTGTTCGCCTCCCCATTGACTGCAGTTGTGTCTCGCAACTGAGAAGCATATTGGAAATGAATATAGTCTTGCACATCTTGAAGCTCGTCCATCGTCGCAGCAGCAGCCAAAAGATCCTCCACGTTGGCATCATCGACATTGAAAAGGCTTTTAATGCCGTCATAAGCCTTCTGAATGGTGTTGCGCTTATCGACCAGGGCACGGAATTTGAGATCGTAATCGAAGATATCCCAGAGGTCTGTCATATTCAAGAGTTTCTCGGCACGAATGCTGTATTGCGCGGACTCATTCGCAGGATCGGCGCCATTGATTGGCTCTTTGACGGCGTGAATCATGTAATCCTTGCGGTGTTGGAAAATGAAGGGAACCTCCCAGTCGTCTGTAATCAAGAACTCCAACATTTTGGCCACGGAGCGCTGGAACGGCTCACGCAGGTCTGGCTGGAGGCGTTTCTTGAGCAACATGAGATTCGAGATCCAAACCGCCTCCTCGCGAAACTGATCCTCTGTCAGGACAACATGTTTGTAAGGCTTCCGAGCAACCTGGTGGCGCTCAGGCTCGTCAAGTAGACGAATCTCATTGTCATCCTCCGTCAGCATACGCTCTGCCAGCTCTGATGGCTCGAAGACATCCTTGAGATCAAGATGTCTTTCCTCAACCTCCTTCTCTTCATCCTCCTGTTCTTCAATATCCAGGGCGAACCTGTATTCTGTGCCATCACCGAACGCAGCGCGCATATCTTCGAGGGCGTTTTCATCCAAACCCGCCGCCTCAGTAGCCCCAAGACCAGGCATAGAAGGCCGGACTGGTGGTGCAACCTCGAGATCATCTCTCTCCCGTTGTCCCTCTTCATCTGAAAAGGTGTCTTCTTCAATAAAGTCGTCGAATTCATCCTGGCCGCCGCGGTGGCCTGTGCGAGTGTATTGAGGAGCCTCATCCTCCTCGTCCGAGTTGAAGATGTCGTCGATGCCTTGGGCTTGCTGCCGAGAGTCACGATCTTTGCCTCGCTTCAGACGCTTGAACTTGGACTGTATTTGAAAAAGGATCGGTGTTAGCAAAGCCTCCGCCATCCAATCATTATCCACAAAATCGGTCCTCCATCGAGATGATAGCGAGATAAACATACCTCTGACGCAGACCCACGGCTGAGTCCAGGGACATGTTCACCGATCAGCTCTAAGTCCTCTTCGTCAAGGTGCTCCTCGCGAGGACGGGATCGTTTCTTCTCGCGGCGGCGTTTGGCGCGCTCTTCGATCTCTTCATCCTCGTCATCGATAAACCCTTCGCGAACCTATACCGTGATTTTATGTCAGTGCGCAAGTCTCATTGGCGTAGATGTTCGCACTTACGGCGCGAGCAGCATCTTCATCGTCATCTTCGTCCTCGTCCTCTTCACTTGAGTCTTGGTAATGATTCGCGCGGCCTGTTCCCTCCTGGACTTCACCGTCGGAGTTTTCGGCCACGTCCGCGTCGTTCTCATCATCATCCAGGGCCTCACCATCAACCAAGTCCCGCAGACTCATGGTGGCTGGTCGGAAGAGGTCTCTCTTTACTGCGGAATTGAATGAGAGCGGGAAAAGATGAAGATTTCGACTCGAGTATTTCGCTCCACAGTCCGACTCGTAAAAATGATAGAGAAGGAGAGTGGCGTGAGAAGAAAGAAAAGTGAAAGCTAAAGCTGGGAGAGGAAGACTACGAGGGCGAAGACGGAGTGTGGCGGTGATTGGCTGGAAGGGAGTTTTTGTGGCTTGTGCTGTATTGTCCCAAAGTAGATGGTTGTGGCTGGTGATCTATCACGTGATATAACCTGGCTACAGTATACAAACATAAACATGAATAGAATTATGAAGACATTATTTTAGAAATAAAATCTTCCTATAAATAAGTTTTCAGACTTAATGGAGTTCAACCCATGTATCAATACATTAAAAATATTCCATCACTTGAGGTCGAGGGATTCTCCCCAAAAAACCTGATCGTATGGGGTAATGGGAGGTGGAGCAACCAGGAACGTGTTGTTTCAGTAAAAGTAGAACAATGGAACCCATCAGCCTAAGTATTTTGAATTTTCCCCCTGAGCAACATTACTGCTCCAAAAACCCTGTTTAGCGCCGACTGATCATTCTACCAGTACAGTTGGTCCAGTCGACGCGCCCGCGAGGCCCAATCAGCGCCGCCAAGACCATCAGTGATATCGGGTTCCCCGCCGCTAGCTCGCGACTCCAAACCTAACCTCCCTCCCACTACAGTGGTCGTTGGCCTAGCGCTATCGTTCCCTGGTCGCTCGCTTGTTAATACTCTGTTTACGGTCTTCTTTCCATTCCCCCCCCTTCAAATTCCGGATTCCTGCTGTGTAGAGATACTCTCCCCCCTCGGGCGCCATGGCGGACCAGTTCAAACCCCGGACGATGAAACGCAAGAACGTCAAAGGTCTTGCGCTCAATGCAGCCCCGAAACCCGCCGCGAATTCCTCTGATGGGGACGCACAGGCTCCTGGAGCGATTGGAAATAGCGAAAGCAACCGCACGGATACTCTTGAAATCGGGCTGGAGTTTCGACTAGATCTCCGCAGCGAGGACTTGGTGACTTTGAAAGAGTTGGGCGCTGGAAATGGAGGCACAGTCTCGAAAGTGATGCATGCGTCGACCAAGGTCGTTATGGCTCGAAAGGTGAGGTAGCGGGAGTTTTGCAGTGTTCCGACGCGGGCTCTAAAAGCTGACTGCCATACTACTAGATTATTCGAGTCGAGGCCAAAGAGAATGTGCGGAAGCAGATCCTACGAGAACTCCGGGTCGGACATGACTGCAACTGTCCTAATATTGTGACCTTCTACGGCGCGTTCCAGAACGAGGCAAGAGATATCGTTCTGTGTATGGAATATATGGATTGCGGGTAACGTCACCAAAATCGAAGCGAATGAGGCATCTGGCTGACATGGGATATTAGATCCCTCGACCGTATTTCGAAAGACTTTGGTCCCGTTAGGGTTGATGTACTGGGTAAGATTACTGAGTCCGTACTGGCTGGTCTTGTCTACCTGTACGAAGTGCACCGCATTATGCACCGAGATATCAAACCATCCAACGTCCTCGTCAACTCTCGCGGAAACATCAAGCTTTGTGATTTTGGTGTCGCCACAGAGACAGTTAATTCGATTGCCGACACTTTCGTCGGAACCTCAACATATATGGCGCCGGAGCGAATCCAGGGAGGCGCTTACACCGTTCGGTCTGATGTTTGGAGTGTGGGCTTGACGGTCATGGAATTGGCTGTAGGAAAGTTCCCATTCGACCACTCCGATCCAGCTGCAGGCAATCGCGCCAGTTCAGGGCCGATGGGTATCCTTGACCTGCTCCAACAGATCGTTCACGAATCTGCCCCCAAATTGCCCAAGAGCGATGCCTTCCCACCCATTCTGCATGACTTTGTCGCAAAGTGTCTGATGAAAAAGTCCGAAGAACGACCCACTCCTCGAGAGCTCTACGTGCGTGATATTGACCCTGTGCCTCTTCGTGCTCATTGTAAGCGACTAACACCAAGTATAGGACAAGGACGCCTTCTTGCAAGCGGCCAAGCGCACACCTGTTGACCTACAAGAGTGGGCCATCAGCATGATGGAAAGGCATAATCGTAAATCATATCTGGCACCACCAGCGCCCAAGTCCCTTAAAGAGGGCACTACACCTACAGCAAGCACCCCTTCCGCTGCAATGTCGACCCCCATAGCTTCAGCACAAACCCCGAAGCCCGCCCCCATCAGCAAACCAGCCCGTCCACCTCAACCCCAACAGCCTTCCTACCACCAGACACCCACATCGGGGAGCATGCCTCACAACGTTGCCAGTGATGCCAATCGTCATTATGGTGAAAGCCAGCAGAGCCACAATTATTCTTCGTCGCGCTCTGCGCGTTCCCCGCCGCCTCTGTCTCTGGAACACCTATCGCTAGAAACCAGGATTGACGATGATCGCTCCAACCGACGCCCGACCCGTCATGTCGGCGATCCGCTATCTGCTGTTGATGCTCCTTCCAGACCCTTTATGAGCCCGCGCTCTATCAGCTCAAACAACAACAAATCTCAAGCCAACTTGATCCCCGGATCACTGCCACTCCGCCCTGCACCCCCTAGCGGGCCCCCTCCACCTGCCCCTGTCTCTACCGGGAATTGGCGCGGTTATCCCAGTCATTTGCCGGGAGCAAATTCTTAAAGCCCGATACGGATGCCGATTTGATTGAAACGATGGTAATCTGGTCAAAGTTCTTTCATCTATACATGGTGGTTGCGCCTTTGGGCCCATCGACCTTGCATTTCTAACATCATATTGTCGAGTCCGTTTGTTTTATTTGATTTATAAGATTCCCGCTATTATTTACGTGTTGTTCTTGTCTGACTTGGCGGTCTGCCCGTTTCCCTTCCCTGGTGTGGATAAGACGAAAGAGTGACTAGGGTTGAGTACATTTCTCTCTTGTTCCGCCTTTTGCCACCCTTCATCTCTACTATTACCATTGTCAATCATCGGGATATTTCACTTCTCCATATCTTCTCGCCGCCTGTGCACATTTCCCTCGTTTTCATTCTCTTCTTTTTTCATTGTCAATGACTTGATTCCTGCCAACTACCACGACAACGATGCCAACGATCTTGGCATTTTCACCCATCTCATCTCTTTCTGGCTTTGCTCAGATACGTTTCTGCATGATACGGCGTACATTAGTGCAGGCTCTTGATGATACTACAAATTTCATTTCCCATTCTCAACGTAATGTGGCAGATTTCTAATAATTCTCACTGAGGTATAAGGTGTACAGATACTAGTTTGTAATGGGATGACCCTGATTGACAACGCCGAGACTATGAAACAAAGCTACATTTACAGGTAACATGACAGGCTGTTTCATAGAGCTGAAGTTCATATGACAACATAATCAAATATAGATACAGAGCAAAGGCTCGATGAAAATTCCGAGCAGCTAATCAGATGCGAATGCCAAAGACCACAAAAAAGAATAAATAACATGGCACATCTGCACCAACCCGATAGAACCCTGTCCAAGAACACCCGAAACTTGCAGATCGAAATACGCACACAACGTGAACAACATGTTTATTTCATGACCAGCTCTGGTCCAGCTACAGAACTCAGCCCAGGAGTAGGGTTAAGATTCGTAGTGGAATTGGAAAGAGGTGATGATACCATGTCCATCATGCTCATCATCGAGCTTGATTTGCCACCCCGAGTGCTGGCAGAACTCCCCCCACGGCTAGATCCTGCAGCACCTCCTGCACGGCCACTGCGGCCTTCCTGTGACGCAGAAGCAGTTGTGCCGTTGCGGTCAGGGGTGCCTTTGTCGGCCAGATCGGCCTTCTTAGCTCCACGTGGCTTGCGCGAGGTACCTCCTCTGGAACCGGGCCCACGCAGAGGTAGACCGGTGTCTTGGGAAATGGGCACGGCGGCGGCGATAGCGATGTGAGGTTGAGAAGCCAATGCTCTGCTACGACCCGTACCTCGGCCACGGCCTCTGCCACGCTTGATGGTACCATCCGCACTGCCAGCTTTGTTAGCGGGTTGCTCGATTTTTGAGTATCGGAGATGAAAGAAACTAACCGTTCCACCTGGATTTTCTCGCCCTCTGGAACTAATGGACCACTGTACACAAAGAATCCATCTTTACTAGCAGCAGCCTGTTCCTGCCATGCCATCTCTGTGTCATCGACAAAGGGATCATCACGGTCATACTCCTCGACCTTCTTACGTCTCTTCTTCTTTCCGTCCCCGGCGTCTGAAGTCACGCCATTGGTGCCAGTTCCTGCACCACTCATGGTGACATCTCCATCCACATCACTGTCACGCTCTACTTCGAGGCTTAGATCCTCTTCCGCACTTTCGGTCAGTCCCTTCTCATTTCGCTCCAGAGCAGCACCGGCGGCAGCTACACGAGCGAGACGATCTTTGTGGGCCGCCAAACGAGGATGCAAGGCAGCAAAGCCGTACTGCTCCTCTGCGAGCTGCGCGAAATTCACGATCTGGTTCCCCTTGGACAGGGGAATGTGCACTACGATATTTGGTGTATTGCGCGAATCGGGTGACTTGGATGAATCGTCGCCTCCCATCCCGAACAGAGCATTGGTGATTAAGCCTGATCCTTGAGGGAGCTGTGGGGGTTCCTTGGCTGCGCGCGCCGGCTTGGGAGATGTAGCCTTCGATGACGGACCGGTTGCACCCTTTTCTTTCTTTGCGCTCGGCACCACCTCCTTTTGCGGTTTCGAGTCAACCTCCACTATATCAGTTTGCGAAGTTGACCGTTGCAGAGTAGACTTCTGCGCTGGGGTTTGCGGCTGCTGGGGCTGCGCCTGAAACTGGAGTTGGGATTGTAGTTTCTGCTGTGGCTGCAAGGCTGGTGGTGACAGCTCTGATTTAAGAGACTGTGACTGGACCGGACGCTGCTCTGGTGGCGGGTAGGGAGTGCTATAGTGGCTCGAGGATTGCAACGCTGGTGGTACATGGACGGTTCCATGCGATGGCGACGACGATGAGGAAGGTAGCCCTGACGGTCCTAACGATGGGTATGTCGGTGTTGGCACCGGTGAGGACACGGCCGAGACATGGGCTGACGATGAGCGTGGCAGTGGAGTGTATATGCGGGCATTTTGGGCGGGTGGGTCAATGATGCTGGAGATCGCTGGGGACGCGCTAGCACGATAATTAAGCTGTGGCGATTTGGAATGTGGCGGGCTATAGGCTGGTGCTGGAGAAGGGTTATCAAAAGCGGATCGAATTGGGTCAAAGTTTTGACCACTTGTGCGATGCGGGGGAGGTTGAGTCTGTTGTGATGGTGGATATGGCTGTGACAAGGCATAGTTGGGTGGGACCGATACAGTGTGGGGGCTTGTATAAGATGGCACTGGTGCAGGCGCAGCAGGAGTAGGAGCGGGCTGTGGAGGCGTTAAAGCAGGTTGAGATTGGGGTTGAGATTGGGGTTGAGATTGGGGTTGAGATTGGAGTTGAGGTTGGAGCTGAGGTTGAGGTTGAGGTTGTGGTTGTAGTTGGGCTTGTGATTGCGATTGTGAGTGCGATTGCGATTGCGGTGGTGGTTGTGATTGGAGAGGAGCGGTCGTAGGTGCCGCGGGTGTGGCTTCCCCCGGTTGCTCCAACTTGGGTTTCTTTCGAGAGGCAGCGGTAGAGTTAGACTTTTCTCTTGGGCGACGAGGAGCTCGAGCTGCCTTTTCTTTGGGTTCTTTTTTAGGCTTTGGGGGAGTCTCGGTGCTGGCTTCGTCATCCTTCTTTCGACGCGACCGTCTGGCACCAGAAGCACGGCGGTTGTCAGGTTTCTCGTCGATGGCAGGTCCATCCCCCTTGGACACATCCATAGGAGAATCTGTGGACATGACGGAAAGTGGTAAAAATCTGAGGTTTTATAAATATTCAACTGGTTGGGGACCGATGGCGGACCGATGGGGATATTCAACGGTCGGGAGTCCGGTTATCAAGGGTAAACGGAAGGAAAAAGGAAATGAAATGGGAGGGGGGAACGAAGATAAGACAGTTCTGTTACAAGTCAAACATTCACCGGGAACATGAACATGAACAAGAACAATGACACAATGGGGGAGTGAATGGGGGGGAGAGGGGAGGGGGGGAGGAAGAAGAGAAAGAAGGGAATGAGTTGAGAAGGAAGAGAAAAGGAAAAGAAAAAAAAAGGGTCAAGAAAGGGGAAAAAGCGATCAAGGAGTTTTGATGGTTTTCATTTGGGAGAGTTTTCCCGCTTGATAATGTATGTAAATCAGAAATCAAATAAGCAACTTTTCACTTCATAAATTAAATCAAATTGTAAAGAAGTCGGGAGCCTTATTTCATGAATTGATTGAGAATAGTTCTTCAAATACATATAGACCAACTCAATAATTGAAGCTCTGAGACTCTTGAAAGTAAAGTAAATCATACTGAAGACAATTCATACGCGCGGATCTGGCGTCAGTGGGGGCATATAAGTAGTATACCTGACCACACAGACCATGTTTCCCCTCTCTACGTCCGACATTAGGACCATATGATACTTCGGCAATATATTGAACAAATTGAGCAAGATAGTAATAAAGATAGATATTCATGGAGGTTATTCACGGTTTATATATGCCTGCCGGACATCCTTTCCAACACACCGAGCCGACATGGTTATCAATTCTAGCTTCTATATTGAAACCGATGATCCAGGGTGGTATATTCGAATAGAGACGAGGTACAAGAGGGTATATCTACATCATGATCCCTATCCAATACATGCAATGCTACCAGACGGAATGATGTGGTCTATTAGTCTGCTAGAAGTTGACTAGTTTGGATCGAAGCTTCCGAATCTGGCTGCGAAAAGTTACCCTATTGGGACTAGTGTAGTTTCATCGTCCGCTAACCAAATATGGCTAGTGTGATGCATCCACATTTTAGCTTTTTGAGCCGCAGGCCCCGCTGACATAACTTCTTCTTTTACAACTTTGCGCCATGGCTTTCCGAGGTGAGCGTTTTGTCCTAGACATGGACGAGGACGAGATCAGTCCTCCAGAGAATCCACTCCCTTCCCCTTTCTCTCTCATTGGAGAGATTCAGGAGCGTGACCCGGCCCCGGCTGCACCGCCAGCTCCCAATCCCACCGCCTCTTCCACCGGCTTCCCCGCCCACCGACGACGCAACAAGCCCTCCTCCTTCAAGCAACGAAGAGCAGAACAAGCAGCTCAGTCAGCTGAGCCAAATAAATCCGATAACTACGCAGCACCAACTGCCCAAGATGATAAGGCCTCGATCGCGGAGGAGAACAGCAAGCACCTGGCATCCATGTCGGATGCGCAGATTCAGCGCGAGCGCGAAGAACTGATGGCCTCAATAGATCCGGGGCTGCTTGAACGTTTCCTCCGACGGGCAAAAATTGATGAGGATGATCAGTCAAGCAAGGAAGCGCAGAAGCCCACGGTCGAGCCGACGTCAAATGAATCGTCATCAACATCAAAGAAAGACGTTTCCTTCGCTATTCCGGCTCCTGCTATGGAGCCAACAAGCAAGGATCCAGAGCCAACCCCGAAACCACGAATGACCCATCCAAAGCCCCCAACCAACGATGATTTCGCTCCCTCTCAAATCCCACAAGACCTTCACCCTGCATCTGAACGCCCATCCCTAGTAGACCCTGCCATGATCGACACCTTCCACTTCCCCCAGCCAAAGCAACCGATGCCAACACTCGACCCCAACGACCCAAACTTCCTCGCAGACATGCAAACTCACTATTTCCCAGAGATGACCCATGATCCCGCTGCGCTCTCATGGCTCAAGCCGCCTTCGGCCGATGAAGAGGACCCAGACTCCACCTCTCCCTACCATCCTAGCAGCAACGCCATTGCCATCGCTCCCTCTGCCATTAGATTCTCACTGCGTGGAACACTTATCTCACCCAGTACCTCTCTCTCTCTCCCGACTACCCTTGGTCTCCACCATCATGGGGAAGATCCGCACGCAGCGGGATATACTATTCCGGAGCTGGCGATCTTATCGCGCTCAACGTTCCCTGCTCAGCGATGTGTGGCATGGCAAGTTATTGGACGAATTTTGTTCCGTCTTGGACGTGCAGAGTTTGGAGACCGCGGTGGTCAGCTGTCAGAAGGACTGTGGCATGTGATTGAGAAAGAGGGCATTGTGGGAGGGATGTTGGCCGAAGCTGAGGGTGCGTCTGGCCAGTTCCCGGGGATGCAGTCTCGTACCATTAAGGGTCAGGATAAGAAAGATGATCAGGCTGAGGAAGGAAACCTGCCTGTTGCATCGGGAATTGGGCGTCATGCCAGTGCTGCCGCATGGGCTGTTGAGGGTGTGTGGTTGTGGCAAAAGGGTGGTGGTGGTGACCGTGGGTTATTGAAGGAGGGCCAAATCCGGTCTCAGTAGAATCCAAGTTTTTATAATGAGTTTCAATACTCGACCGTTGGTTATATCTTTTATCTTCGGTTTTTTTGCCCTCATGTCCATACTACTAAGATAGATGATGCACAGGTCTCAAACTTTCTACATACTACTACTATTACCCAGAAGCTGCCTGGTACATGTACCAAGATATGACAATACATACATGCAACAGATCCAATTTATACCTTCAATAAACCTTTGGGAATTTATGAGGATACTCTGTTTCACGATAGAAGAGAGCAAAGCTAACTACCTAGCGATACACGCCCGGCTGTGAGGAAAGGTTAGTTACCTTTATATTTGATTACGAGGCTTTCCACCGTGCGAAATACGCGGCGCACAGAATGGCTAATGTTTTTACTCCAAGACCAGCCAGAAGTATTACCCTCTTCACATCTGAAGCCATATCAAGAATGAAATTATACTAATAGCGTGCATTATCATACCATGGATATCATATCATACAAGAATACCCAGCTGCCACGAATCAGAGCAGCAAAAAGGAATATATCAAAGATCACAAACTCATGACGAGCCACCAGCATTGACACCCTGGTCCTCAACCTGGATACCCCAGACCTGCCATCTGGCTTCTTCAACAAAATCTTTTCTTAGCCACAGACCTGATACTGGTGTCTGGAACTGCGATTGCAGGTGATCAGGCCGAGTATCTCCTTCACCACCCTGGGAACGATCAAGCCAATCGAACAGAAGTTGAAGCTGCCAAATGCGGTCACGGACCTCATCGGAATCCGCACCTCGACCACGCGCAGATTGTACAATATTGCGCACGGTGTGTGACAAGGCAAGACGGGCGTCGACGGCAGAAGTACGGAGCCAAGGCGGAGACGCGACTAGCTGGGTGGAGATACGAGGAGAAGGTGCTGGGAATGAAGATGGTAGGACAAGAGAGCGTTCACGGATATCAAGACCTTGGAGGGAGGGAAGGTGGAATACCCAATCCCATGGGCTTTGGGCAGGTGTTGTGGATCCTGACATGCAGCCAGAAATCAGAGCAGTGTGATTATGCAAGATAGAGGGCGGCAGGCCCTTACCCGTATTAGATGAGGGGACAACTGCAGATCCCGGGAGAATGTCTTGGGCTTCGCTTAAGCCAGTGAGGGTGGATGCAAAGACAGAAGTCGAAGCGTCGGAGGGGCTGTAATTGGCTTTGCGGCGCAGGTAGATTGAGGGGTCACCACGACGGAATTTATCTCGAAGAGCATCATCTTGGCTAAAGTCCAGAATAAGTGGCCAGTGATCTGGGCCACGGATTTCGATACGTGTAATCCCGCTGGGGTCCGGTATGATACAGGGAGCGTTGGTGGTACTAGTTGAGCCGGAGTGAGATGTGATTGTGATAGGGATGGAGATCGGGCGTCGAGTATCGAGATCTCGAGGAATCAGGCATCGTGGCTCTGCGGCGAGAACCCAGAGGTGGCGAAACGCTTGAAGATGGCATTTGTTATCAAGGACGGTCGTTGGGAAAATCGGATAGAAGGAGCAGAGAAGCGTGGCCACGGCTAGGTCGGACGTGCCGAGTGTGTAACTACCTCCACCAAGGAACAAAGTTCCTATCGCCATATGAGCTGCCATGTGACTGCCATACGGGGTATCAGCGTCTATTCTTCCATGGAGTGAACGCAGGCGCCGGAACAGAGCCAAGTCGCCCCTGCCGGCCATTACGGCTGCAGCAGACAGTGATACCACATCTTGACAATTGCGAACAGAGTTACGCGCAAGCTTGGAGTCGTAGCTCATAGCTGGAAGCCGCGAAATTCGAATAAACTGATCCAGGTAATACAACAGCAGATCTCTTGCCTGGGTGTCACCAGAGCCAGCAAACCGAAGCCCGAGAGCTAGACAGAGACCAGCGATGATGTTGAAGAAAGGCATATCTTCGCTGCGAAGATGACCCACGGCTGTAAGACGAGATCGTTTTCGGTAAACTCTTGGAAGGCTTTCCTTGATCCACTCGACATTGGGCTTGATGCTGTCCCACATGATAAGATGCCGTGCCAGTGTTCTTAATAGGAAGAGGTCTGGCCGGACGTAGTCAAACCGCACAGTGGTGTCAGGGATGTCAATCTTCTTAGCCAAAACCGCATCATTGGTTTTCATGAAGATAACAGCCAGTGCAACCGTCGCACCTGCGGTAGCGCGATCCAGAACATGTGCGATATCAACATTTTTAGTCCCGACGGCGATTGCGAGCAGGCGCTCAACAATGTGCATATCGCGCATCCCCCTAAGGTCTTTACCCTTGCCCAAGTTGATGAGACCTAGTGCAAATCCAGCGGCCAGACGGTAGCCTTCGTCCCTCAAGTCTTCTTGAGAGGTGGTTTGTTCTTCCTGCTCAACATTCTCAATTTCTGACAGCATAACTTCGCTCATGCGCCGGTGCTGAGAGCCACAATAGAGCAGGCCAATGCCCATGATGCCGGCGGTTTGGGTGAGAGGTGATAGATTGAGCTCGGCCGCTCCAACAGGCAACATTCTCGTAACATGCACGGACAGCAGTCGGGTTATCAGAGTATCCATGGTACCCATGTATGATGCAGAAAGACCGAGCAAAAGACCAATTGATGTCATGGTATGTTTGGGAGTCAGGTACTTGAACGCAACCCACTTGGCTAAGGACTTGAGATGGCCATTCAAGCCGAGCGCTAGCAAGAATCCAGCGTGCCGGTTTGTCAGGTCTTGGGGCTTGTTGAACAGGATCCATGAAGTATCGATTCCCTTAGAGGCCTTGGAGATTGCAAGGCCGGTTGACACACCATTATGGAAGAATGCCCAGCATACTTTCTCCTCAGTGAACGCACTTCTTTCGGCGCTAACAGTGACATTGGATGGCTTCATCACACACTGCAGCGAGAAGGACGGGATTGGGAGCTTTTCTGTCAACAATGGTAGCCGACCACTGAAGGCAAGCATGGCTCGTCCTGCGGGAGTAGACAGTGTGCGGAACGAGACGAGCTGCACCAGTTCCTTCTGCGCCTCGAGAAGATCAGAATCTGTCCAATCAGGCTCGGGAACACAGTCAGCCACTGGTGCTTTGGACTGATTCAGGATACGGGCTGCTTCTAAGAAGCGTTTGTCTTCCCGGAAGACCAGGCGAGTCACTGAAAAGCGATCAGCTTCTGCAGAGGCCTCAAAGGCATTGATAGCGTCAATCTCCAAAGCCGATGTATTTATATAATGATAGTCCCTTAGGGCATCATGAGATACCACAGGTTGTTGAGGTGCGGCAAAAGCATGGGCATGAACTGGATTCATCGACATGTAAAGATCCTCCCGGTCAATCAGCTCTAGAAGACTTGCACTCCACGATGTCGAGGCTTCGATCTGGCATTGCATAACAGCTTCATACAATGGCGCACTCACACCCTCGGGGAACGTGTCAATTATGCCTTTTGTCAAGCCCCATCGATGCAAGAGTTTAACTTTGTCAAAGGGAGTCGAAACATTATGAATGTCAGAGAGGAATCCAGTCAAGGCCAATGTTCTAGGAGTGATGCTGAAGCATTCTTGCCACATTCGGCCCTTTCTGGGTACCCGATCTGATGCAGTGACAATGTCAAGCAGAGTGAGGAATGGACTGGCGGATTGATTCGCCGCGTCAATAAGGAATGAAAATATCGACGGGGGAGGAAATGGCTCGGCAGGAACATTCAGCGAATAGATTTGAGTGTCTTCAAATCGCCAGCGTTCTATGCTAGCCATCTCAGTGCCAAAGTAAGCATCCTCGGTCCATTTCCAAGATCGCCAGCCTAGCCAACCACCAAGCTGCGCTAGGACTGGGGCAAGGAGCCCAAGGGGACGTTGAGATTCTTCCGTGTCGCAGGTGGATAGTTTCTGTTCCTCTCGAAGGAGATGAAGACCAACGAGTATGGTCCCGAGTGCGGTACACCTGGTATTTTCAGGAAAGACGCCGGCAATAGGTAGGTAGCCGTCACGGCCGGATGCTCTAGCTCCTTGTGGGCTTTGGAGGAATTCCCGGCTTAGTGATGCACATCGGTTCAGATAAGAATTCTGACGATATGTTGACCGGCTTGCGCTATGCTGTTCACTCTTTGGCGTACGCGATGGATCTGCCAGGTCTTGAATGGCATCTTGCTCAACGATCCATCCCCAAGAGCTATTCGTCATCCACGGGGCAACAACACCAGAAGATGATGATTCAAGGTCAAGCATAGATTCCCAGCTTTCCAGATCCAAATAAGTCCCGCTGCTCGACCGGAGAAGACCCTTCTTTCGACGTGTTCGCTTGGCAGGAGTTTGTGGCTGTTTGATGAATGGTATAGCCAAGGAAAATAGGACGATGACCATAGCAGTCCACTCCATGTCATTTTCAATATCCTCTTTGCCTCGAAGCCACTTCATTACCTCCCACCAGGCTAATAAGATCCCATCACCTGCCTTTTCCGCATCACGAAGAACAAACTTGCAGACATTGAGGACCTTTTTGACAAGATCATTATGGGGTTCCATTCGGATTTGAATTCTATGTCGACGTTTCTCCGTATCGACTAAATCGACCTTTCCTTTCGAACAAGCATGATCGAATTCCAGAAATATGAGATCGGGATTAGCCATGACCCGGTTCAGGCCACTCTCCCTCGAGCGACCCAGGAATTTGCTAGCAGAAATTCCATGGGGTTCATACAGTTGCAATGGGATTGGCACATCAATTCTGGTCGGGCTACCCCACAGGCTCTGTAAGGACAATTCTCGCTGTCCACTGTCGGACACGCTCAGCGTGAGTATTCTCGAGATCTCACCGTCAGTGACTCTACAGACATCTTCAACATTGGGGACATGCTGAATGCCGGTTGCGTGAACCAGCAATGGGCGTCTCTCAGAGTTCTTGGCCTTCTTGGAGCTCACGGGCACAACTTTTCGATTCTTTGATACTGCCACACGTTCTGCCCGCAAGTTGACAATGGTCATATTTTGGGAATCTTGGTCCACAAGACAAACTGCCACTGAAGTGGCATTTCCGTTCTGCGTACTTCCGAAGTCGGAGGAAGACAATGTGCAGACCTTCAAATGGTGTGATGATGCTTGCTGCATTGAGGTATGGAAGTTTGCGGAGAATCTGGAAGAGAAACTCTCCACCTTAGTAAGTAAAAGCTCCTCGGGTAGACCTGATGCAGATTCACGGAGAGCGATGTTCTCAAACCCTTCAGATAGTATATCATTGTTGATTTCTTCGAGCAGCCTATCCACCGGAGCATCCACAAAGCTGCCTGCGGTGCTATAGACAGATCCTGCTGCAGGGGGCAGTGATCCACGAGGATTGAACCCAAAGCTCCCACGCATGCTACCAGCTCCCATAGATTGCCTGAGCCCACCATGGTGCATGGTGCTGGTTTGACTGCCCGTTGCAAGGTCCGAGAATGTGATGCGGTCCTGACTAGTGGCCAGGTCAGTCCGTGCAAGCAATGAGCTGACTCTCCTAGAAGTTTTCAGAGGTACCCCAACATCACCAAAATCCTGTGCAACTCGCGCAGCCAAATCTTCTTCGCCACCATGTTTGGAGTCAGGTGGTTGGGGCGCGTTCCAGTTCTCAGTCCATGGACCGAAGCTTTCCCTTGGACGTGCCGCGGGCGTAGCGGCTCCAGGGGTCATACCAAAATGTGAGCTTCGTCTATTAGAACGAGCGCCTTCGGTCTGTCGTCGAGTCTTATCTTTTATTGAAGCACTGGTTTCGTCATCCCTATATCGAGCAGTCCAAACGGTATAGAGCCCAGTAGTTGCGTTCATCGTGACAACCAGAATCAAAGGATTTGCTGGAACTTGATTCAAGCCCGAGAGCTCATCGTTTGGGGAGATGTACACAATTTCGTCGGCCGGGTCCAATACATCAAGCCCCGAAGGCCTTCTCCTGGCACTACTCACGCTGCTTTGCAACCAGCGAGAGGACTGCGAGGTGACAACTAGGCCCATTTCTGAATGGGGATCAGTGAGAGAGAATACCCGGGGAAGGTCTGTGCCTGGAATGGAATTTGGCATCGATTTAGAGCTGGTTGGCAGAGTGAAATTTAAAAATGGTCCCTTGTCTTTTGTAGGGGTAGGCAGTGCGCCTGTTTGCGAGGCGCCAGGGTCGAATAGCGAAGTGGTCATAAATGAATTTGGTGGTGCCGGTTGGTGTTGACGATCCGCATTGTCATCTGGGATTTTCCTTTGAAGCAGGAGTCCACGGGGAGTTGCAAAAACAGACTCAACCTCGAATGGAAGAGGAACGGTGTGGCTATTTCCAGTGACGAAGAAGATATGGGCCTGCGACTTGAGGACCACGACTAATGCTCTCTCTAGTTTAATATGGGGCTGCTGGTGAGCAACCACAGCTACTTGAGAGTCGCCATGAATATCCAAGGTTGAGCCTAGGTTGCTAGCTGTTGAGTCCTTTCCATGTCGCTTCGATTGTCCTCCTCGTGTATTTGTTCCCATGCCGGTCGTGTGAGATCGATTGAAACTCGCGTTCCCTGCAGACCTTCGAGCATGACTTGCCGTAAACTGTGTGAATAGAGCATATCGAATCTCCTCTTTCTCTGGATCCATTCGAAATACTCTCTTCACCATCCCCGCGCGAGACCATACCGCGCAGTGTTTCGTCCAAACCAACTCATCGTCCACTGGACCCGTCAGTCCGCTCTCATCGACACATGTTGTCCATTGGTACAGGTCATCTGACGGTTCAGCAGGCAATATACCCTCTGTAACCAAGTATGAGACGGCGGAGGGTTCGTGGAGACCGAGCGAGCGAGTGGAAGCCATGGTAGGCTGTTTGTTCAACTAAAGTAGCGATCGCGGTTCGCCGTCATAAACAATTTGACGGCCCGGATTTCTGCATGGACTGTTTTCCATGGTCGAGAAATAGACGTTTAACTTAAAATGTTCAGCCACTGAGGCATTGTCAAGTGTTGTTGAATGCTGAAATGCTGAAATGCTGAAATGCTGAATGCTGGAGGTGGAGGACGCGCAGGAACGCGGATTGGATCGACTTGCCCAAAAGTTCTTTGCTTTCCGGCCAAAACAACTCTGCTCTTTCCTCACAACCACCACCATCTCTACTTTACACTACACGTTTGCTTCACGATTTAGTTGTGCCTAAATTAGCCCAATATTTGAGCTCAATTCCTGACATTGAGCTCAACGGTTCTTTTAACGGGTGCCCCCAGCGCCTGTGCTCAGTTCCAGTGCCCCGTCAGCACGCAATGCCTTCGTTTCCCTTGACACCGTTGGTTCGGCCAAGAGAAGATGGCTTGCAATTGAGGTAGAAACGAATTCTTGTCCTTCAAATCAGGATCTGGTCACTAACTTGATTGATCAAAACCTTAGCTACCGACTATCGCATCGCATCCACGCCGCTAAAGGATATCCTCTCCGAGCTCCAAATGGCTCTTCGATCATTGTCTATGGTAACGAAACTGGCTTGAAGGTTGTATGGAGAGGGGGAAGACAATTCTCCGAGCTGAAGAAGCCCGAAGCTCCGCGACCCAGCAAGAACGGTGCAAACAACGACGGTGATGCAGTCATGATCATCGACTCCGATGAGGAGGATGCCTCTGAATCGGGCCCGGCCGAAGAAGAACCTACTAGTACTTATGACTTTGCTGCAGAGGAGAGTGAGGTTGACCCTGCCTTTCCATTTGAATCCATTTTGCGACAAGTCGACATTCCCTTGGGCAGCCGCGTGCTGGATCTGGCTATCCCTCGTGTTCTCCCCGAGGAAGCACGCTCGCCTTTGGATCCATTCCCGCCTATTGCGAAAAACACTATCGTGATAGCGGCAATCTGCTCGGACTTCTCAACTCGCGTCGTGACTTTGCCTCTTATTCCTCCTCACCCGACTCAGACTGATCCTCTGAGCTGGCACATCCAATCTCTGACTATCAACGGGGGTGTGACTCACCAAGATATTCCGCGCGGTGTCTCTCTTACGTTCACCTGCCAGGATACCGAAGATGACCAAGATCGCCGAAAGTCACGAAGCCGAGCTGGGGGTTCAGGAAAATGGGATCTCCTTGTCGCTACACACTCCGCCGAGGGGTCTGGTGTGCTTTTGTTACATCGGCTTCCGATTAGGGAGGAGTCCACAGGCTTCTATCATCTCATCGAAGAGGATCTCATCTCTCAACGGCGGCTTTTACCCTCGCCGGCTCAGACCATTGTCTTCAATCCCTCCGCGTATCCATCGGCCCGACACTCTCATCTGTTGGTAGCTTTCCACAGCGGATGCGTCAAGATCTATTCGTGCTTTTCTGTCAAAAGGGCCTCGAAGGCAGCTCGTCAGGTGTCGGGGGCAAACGAAGGTCACGAAACCATTGATACAGAGGGTCGCTGGCTAATCAGTCTGTACTCTGGTTTTGAACAGAGTCCAACAGGACTTCCTCGCCGCAAGACAATCATTGATGCCGATTGGGTTCTGGGCGGCCGTGCTGTCATGGTGCTCCTAGTAGATGGTGAATGGGGAGTCTGGGATATTGAAGGTGCTGGCCCTGGCGCTGCAAAGGGCCCGCTGCACCGCCAAACTACTGTGCAGGGGGTAACTGGAGGGTCCCTGACAGCGTATGCTGTCAGTGGTCGTATTGCAACCTCGCTATCCAACACCCAATCCGAGGTCGAAAACCGGCCACGCTTTGCGCCAATGACACCGTCGACTAAGCGAGTCCGCGAGGACACCCTTCTGAAAGGGTCCATGACTGAACTGACCCCTTCTCTTCGTGGACAAATATCTGTCCTCCGGATGAACTCATTCCAAGAAGCAATTCCGGATGAGTCAATCCTCTTCCGTCACGGTCGTCAGAGTGCGATCATCCCGAGTTTGGCCTCTCTCTGGCGCAACGCGGTTCGAGCCTCCGGCACCCTTGACGCGTCGAACCGATGCCGTGTGACCCCATTCCAGGATGTGAATTTGATGGGTGAGAACTTCCAGGCAATTAGTCACCTTCCGGCACCTGTGCGACGCTCTCGCGCTGCCGAAAGGCAATCTTTCGACGTTCTTGTTGCTGCAGAGCACCAACTGATGATCCTTGCGCCGCGGCTGACTGAATCCGCCGAGGAAAACACACCAACCCATACTGCACAGCAAGAAGCTACCGCTAATGACCAAATGATGCTGCAACGAGGCGAGTTAGACGTGGAGGGAATGGGACGGCTACTTAATGGCATGAACAGCCCTGTCAAACGGACCCGTATCTTCGCTTGATCTCAGGTATCAGATTCGGTTTTAGATGATACCCATGAACGATGTTTAATTTTGCAAGATATTTGTCCCTCCCAGCTTACTCTAGGAACTTCCTTCTTTCCTTTTTTTTTTTTTTTTTTTCGCGCTGCAAGGTGGAGCGCAAGGCGAGATCAATGCCTTGAAATTCCTTCCTCGGAAGGAATAAGCTCTGTATCGGATGCGATATATCAACAACCATCAACCAAGGCTTTTCAAGGCCTAGCTTTACTCTTCTGTGATCGTTGCATACGGCAACGGTCTCGGCGCTCATATTTGTACATGGAGTCACAGTTCTTCTTCTCTGGCTTTGTGGATGCCAATCTGTCCTCGGACAAGCTCCCACATTGGTAGTCACGATGTCCAGAAGAGGAATGCTGTCCAGAACAATTGTGGTGTGTTGGAGAGGCTCCGATGGGACATGTGTAACATGAGATCCAAGTGTTTGAACATGCAGAATGTTCATGTTGAGATGTTCACACTTATCGCCAGATTCATCTAATCGTACTTATAGCCTAGCTAATTTATTTGAGCGACCATTCAATGCAGGTTCAAGTGGATCTCTCGATATGATAAATGATTCGTCACCTAAACGCACCTAATGCTGAACCTAAGTAGGATCATTCTGATGCCACTCATAATCGAAATACAGATGTGCCGCAGTACGTGTGAGCTAAGCTGGTCAAAGTTCACCAATAAAACCCAACCCTTTGGCCTTCGACCTCGGGAATGGTAGGGTCAGGCGCCAGCTAATGATGTGATGTCGTTCTATGCACTTAACAAAGCCTTTCAAAGGTTTCTTGATATTCTGTGTATAAATCCTTTTTCGATGAGATTAGCCCTGTAATTCAGATCGTATTTTGCCCTCCAATTCAGGGGCACACCCTGCCCCGTTCAACTCCATCAGATGTTTCGATCGTGTACTTGTATTCATTCCTTCCATATTCACACTCTGCCGTGAACCAGGTAGCCGGCGCGAGTTCGCGCAATATACCAGTAACGCCGTCGATATCAACAGAGGTACACCCAGCCCAGCACCTAAACCCACGCCAAGAGCAAGTGTAGAGTGGCCAGACGACTCAGTTGCGGCTTTTGTGCATGTGGGATAGATTGTCTGCGTCGAGCTTGAATCCGTCACGTTCGTAGTGCATGACGACTCGCCATTTCGCGCCGTCGTTACATTCCCACCAGAGACGTATGTCCACGAGCCTACAGCATCGATGCCACAGGCCGTTTCCGCATCTCCTCTGCTGCTACATGTCATATTTGTCCATTCAACATTGTCGGGACATTGAAAGAGATTCGCATATGAACTTGGGATTTCTGTATCTAGGTTAGAGAGAACTAAATTTGAGCACTAAGAGACGTACCGGTGTAGCATGCCCGTGGGCAGTCCGCGATGGGCCATGAGCTATCTGAGCAGCTGCCGCGATATATAACACCTAAGTTGGCGCCGAAGCAGAGCCCGTTCGATAGACATGCCTCGCCTTTGCCGCAGCATGACTTGGTGTTAGGGCATACTTCCATGCTAGTCGCGGTCGTGCCGTCTGGAAAGTAGCAAGTTGCTTTGCTTAATGTGGCCCAGCACAGGAGTGCTAGGAATGTGGTTTTTATGGATTGTGATCGAGCATGTCGAGATCTTCGAACTTGTTGGTCCATTGTGCAAGACCGGATTTATACTTTAGAATTTGAGAAAAGGGGGAGATCCTTGGAATGTGTTTATTTGTTTGAGATATGGCCCTTGGGGGCCAAATCACTACGCTAGTGTTGCCGCGCGCGATGCTAATCATAGTGCACATCTGCTAGTTTGGATGTTAAGGGGGCTCGACGCTAGCCAACGCACATAAGCGCTAATGCAGATTTGGTTGTTTCATATTCAGTAAGATTTCCATGGGGCTTAGATATTTGTCCAAACCAGCTAGCTGAGAATATTTGAAAAAGGAGCTTTAAGCTTTATAGGTTTTAGGAGTTACAGTTATAAATGACGATTTAAAGCGCATCTGCGATCTAAAGTGGACCTGGGCGATAGGCTGGGAACGGCAAAACTAACTGGAAGTAGTATGAGAAAGATCAGATGAACTTTTGCGTTCCTGTTCAAGATTTTGAGATAGCTACTAGGACATTATACATATATGCCAGATCATGATTACAGGCCCATTCAACTCAAATCTTTGATATCATTGGCAGTTTGCCTTGTATTTGACAGATAGAACAAAGACATACGGGGATAAATATCCCATATATACGTGGAGTATAACAATCGCACAAGAAAGCTTCAAAACGGCTAAGTCTACCTCGTCCTATCTGCATCATTTGAGAAAATCTAAACAATCACGACATGTGGACTATTCAGTACATGGAGACTGCAGCAAATCGGGGGGATACCTTATTTATCCATTGTATCCAACAGCCTCCAGCTCCTTGCGGACCACATCCTCAGTCTGGATCTTCTTCATCTGAGTGTCTTCCAGCTTCTCACCGCCAGCAAGACGCATCTTTAACTCGTCGATGGCGCGAATCTTCTTCAGCAGGCCGCGGACCTTCTTGTCCTGGGCCGAGGGGTTGACATCCTCGGGCTCCGGGGCGGCGACGGGAGCGGGGGCAGAGGGAGTGGCAGCCTGCTTAGCAGCACCGTTGCCATTGGCAGCGGGGCCGTTCTTGCGGTTGCGGTTGCGGTCTGGGCTGGGGCCAGTAGGGGCGTTGGGGGGAGGCTGGTTGTCGGGGACACCGTCTTCACGGGCCTTCTTGGCGGCTTCGCGCTTCTTCTTATTCTTGGCGGCGGACTTGGACAGCTTCTCATTGTCTCCACCAGGAGGAAGGGGAACACCACCACCAGGGGCGGCACCGGGGGGCAGGTACTCCTCAGTAGCATCGGCACCGGGAACCTCGCGGCGGCGGGGCTTACCGAAGCCGTTCATACTAGCGCCAGGAACACCATCACGAACAAAAGCGGCACCACCTTGGTCCTCACGCTTGAAGGCAAGAGGAGTGAGCTGGCCACGGGCACCCGGGGGGCGGTAAGCACCAGCGGGTTTCACGGGAGCCTTGCGGGTGGCCAGGTAGGCTGTAGCAGAGGGGTGAGGAACAGGCAGCTTGGTGAAAGGGTCACCCAGCGGAATCTGGGCACTGTCTTGAGGACGCCAGTTGATGTCGTACAGCTCAGTCATTTCCTCGTTGTACATGAGGCCACCGCTGACGTGCCACAGACGGACACCGTTGTCAACACGCAGACGCGGGCTGGTGGTGGCAGTCAGGATGTACTGACCATCTGGCGACCAGGAACACACACTAGCGTTGGAGGCCTCGACGGTAGCAATCTTATGGTAGTTCTTATCCAAGTCGTAAAGATCCATCTGACCCGCGAGGTTACCGAAACCGGCAACCAGGACGAAACGTCCGTGGGGAGAGAACAGAATGGTATTACGCGGGCTCAATGGGAAGTTGTGCTTGGGAACACCGCGCATGTTAAAAATGGTGGTCTTAGCGGGCATGTAGCCATAGACGACACCAAATTCCTTGGAGTTAGGGTTCCAACTCACGTCGTGAATAGGACCTTCTTTGTCTGATGGGGGGTTAGTCTATCTGCACGAGTCATTGCACGTATTCACAACACATACCAAGATCAATCCGAGAGTCAAATGCGCCATTGGCACTGAGCAAGTACAAGGTAGTCTCCCCGTAGTAGCTCTTACCGGTGCGGTCCACCTCGGTCTGGGCCAGCACGATCACAGTCGTACCGGAGGCATTCCACTTGAGCTGAACCTTATCACCCTTGAAGAAGCTCTTCTGCGAGACCGGCGCATGAAACTGCGGCACAATGAACACCTTAACTTGGGCGGGCTGGCCCTTTCGCTCAGGAATAAACACAGCAATCGAATGGGTCTGTCCTGGGGAGAGCGCAAAATCCGCCACCCCTTCCACACGCAGCTTATTCCAAACGGTCGACAAGTTGTCACTCTGGTAGAACTGGACCTCATTGGTCACGACGCGAGCGCATAGCTTCTCGTCAGGGGTGTACTGCAGGTTCCAGCCTGTCTGTGACTTCTGGACGTACTGGCCGACGAGGGTGTTCTCATCACCGCTCTCAACCGCGCGCCACACCTTGAGGTTCTTAGAAGCATCTCCGTTGGCGTCCTTGGTTGGCCGTTGCCAGGTGATCAAGTAGGTTCCGAGCGGTGAGAAGCCCAGCTCAAACACGTTCTCGGCGAGGATTGTAGAGACAACGTTACCGGCAAAGGCGTCAACAATCGTGACCCTGTAGACCAAAATCGGTTAGATTCAAAGACAATGTGTTGGGCAGTTACAGCAGCTTGCCTTTCGGGAGACGCCCATGCGTAATAACGGCCACACGGTGAGTATGCACCGCAGCGGAGGTTCCCCTCAGGTCTGTCACAGCCAAGTCAGTAATGGTTTCCAGCTTTAGTTATTTAGTGCAGTATCCTACCTTTCAAAGCCCGACAGAGGCTCATAGGTAGGGGCAGCATCCATGATGCCAATCCCTTTGAGAGTGCGGTCTAAAAGGCAAATTAGCACGTGCCTTTGAAGCGTTTGATCTTGTCACAGGAGAAGGGTAAACCCACAAGCTAGCTGCGTGGAAGCCATCTTGAATTCAAATAGCTGGAGTGAGGTAGCCACGAAAGGAGTTCTTCAAGTATAATCTGGTTCCCTGAGTAATAGGAAGCAGGGTATGTTCTCGATTTCCGATTCCTGGTGGAATTTTATGCACGAGACCAGGGCAAACAAGACACAATCCGACCAATTCAGACGAGTCTATTTATCGCGACTTGGCAAAGCGCGACCGCGATGAATCTCGAAGGCAAGCGGTGGAAAGGAGTTTAATCGAATGCGGTGGGAGCAGCAAGATACTCTTGTCGGAGTCTTCTTAATGTTCTATGCTAGACAAGTCAATGCCAGCAGGGAGGGTAGAGCTGAGGGGGAGGAGTGGTGGAGTTTGGGGGGTGGAGGTGGGGAGGATGAAGAGTTGAAAAGAGAAAATTCGGGTTTTGGCGTAGCGGCCTCTAAGGCGGCATGCCGTCATTTAGGCCCGGGGCCTAACCATGACTATACTAGAACTACTACTCCGTACAATATTGAATACTAAGTATGCAAGATCTTGAATAGAAAAATCCTTTTTAGAGACCGAAGTTCTTTTTCGGGTTGTCCTGCTAGAAAGAATAACTTCAGTGATCTTTCCTTAATAAACGCCACGTGATACTTTGTTACATCCCAGTGATCAAAGAATCAAAAAGAAAATGGTAAGAACATTGATCAACTGCGCTGAAGGGTTGTTAAAATCATTCAAAGTCCATATCCATATCCATATCCATATCTGTCGTCTCCACCATTGGTGGTGTATTTGTTGCCTTTTTTCCAGATTCCGCCTCCGCATAGAAATACAAGGGTCCCGCGTCGAGAACTCGGAGGGCATAAGGGAAATAAGAGATAATAACCAACCCATCAATCTCGAGGAAACATAAAAGAGACGAATGGAAAAAGAAGAGGAAGACCTGTAAAAAGAAGTCCATCCTAAATCTCTTGACCTAGCCAATCCATTGACTCCCTGCATTCTATTCACGGCTTGGGGTCCCAAAGCCACTGGCACCTTGATTGGATGGTGTGACAATCCGTGGCGTACGAGCAGCAGTATCAACCACATCCTGATCAAAGGTCATGCCATCAATCATACGAGCATCTTCCGAGAGAGGCTCAGGGGTACTCGATCCAGCAGGGGAAGGTGACATCATAGGATCACCGGCAGGGATCTGCTGCTGGTGCTGTTGCTGTTGCTGCTGCTGAAGATAAGAAGTAATCGGGTTTGGACGATTGACATTTGAGCTTCCCATGGAAGTCGGGCGGCCGCTGGTGCCACCAGATGACATTCGATTTATGCCAGTAGGACGCGAGGTCGGGCCGCTGATGGTGCTATTGGCACCCTCGCCGAAACCTACCAGGCTAGCATTGCCTTCGTCACTGACATTGCTTATACTGGAAACACCATCGTCGGGGTCCTCGCTCATCTTATCGGCATCGAAAGCTTCACTCCCGCTCGCCCAGGTCGTGTGGCCACCGACACTACCCGTAGCGCTCGCACTGCCCACGGTGCTCCGTTCCTTGAGTGCTGGAAGGCCATCAAAGTAGCCGGGTGTGTGAGACAATGGAAATGCGGCATTGGAGGGCGACTGGCCGCCAGCTCGAGCGGTTGCGACCCGTTCTAGACCAGCCAGACGGGAGATACGATCAGCGCGTTCCGCTTCAAGGGTGTTTGTAGAGGAGGTTGAGGCTGTAGAGGAATGATGAGCGTGTCGGCCGTGCGGAAAGGGATGACCCTGGTGACCATCTTTAATGGCAGTGGTTGACAGTGCGGATAGGGAAGTCGTGCCGGAATTGGGAGTGCCTCTGCCCACCAACAAACCACCCCACCCAAGGTCAGTCATCCATGTTTCACTGTGCCGTATACACATTGAATGATTGAAAGAAAGGAAAGGCTTACGGTCCCATATCTGGAGTGACGGGGTCCGAAGGAGGAGGTGGTAGGTTGATGAGAGTGGGGGTCGACATCGTGTCCAGAACAAGATACAATGTCAGTACAATGGACCAAGGTTGTTTTCAGTAGAGTAGGATTAAGTGGGTAAGTAGAAGTCTGAAGCAAAAGGGAAAGGGAAAGAGAAATCGAAAATAGAGGATGTGAGCAATGAAGTTAAAGTGATATTGAGAAAATTGCGGGGGAGGTACAAATTGGGTGGAACTGTTGGAGCGGAACATTTTATCTTTACAGCGACGTCATACTCCAATCCAATCAATGCGAGATTACAGCCAAAACCAAGGAAGAAAAATTAATGGGATATATTTCGTACATTCATACAGAAGTCATTTCTGCTTACTACCAGGTTGTTCGATTAAGGAATAAAGGAATGAAGGAATGAAATTCTTTCCTTACTCGCTGGTCTTGCGACCCTCATAGTGTCCCCGAAGGTCATCCACCTCTTTTTGTAATCGCGAAAGATCAGCCAATATATCAAGCGCATTAGACGGTTGAGGTGATGGCTCCTCTGCTGTGATCACTTGTGAGACAGGCCTGCCATCGGTGGTGCTACGGGCACCATCTCGCGCCCGTCGAGGGGGAGGCGGCGGCGGTGGTGCCATGGAGGAACCACTGGCTATGTTACCATACGAGGAAGCTCGTCGTCCAGACTGAGATGTTTGTGAGTTAGTGGGTGAAGGCTGGCCAGCTCCAGCCGAGGAGATCGCAGTGCGAAGATCCCCAAGGGACCCTGAAGACGGGGGAGGCATGCTCATGCGATTACGATCTCTGGAGAAAGCTAACGCGGAAGAAACTGACGGTCCAGGACTCGGTGGCTGGGAGCTATCATTGCTTTCTAAGTCCCGTGAGGTCATGGTCAATCGACTGGTACTCGATTTGGACTCGGTGGACTTTGACCGCAATTGGCTTTGCCGTCGGCTGAGGGGTGGTGTTGGCGCCCGTTTCTGCGAGCCACTGCGCGAAAGCGAGTCATTTGAACCTGCTGCCACTTGGCTTTGTGATTGTATAGAGAAATAGTCTGGAACTGGTGGTTGGGCTGAGCTGGCATTTGGGGTGGCTGCTGTTCGGGAAGTCGCCAAGCTCTCTGGAGATGCAGATTGGAATGAAAGCTGGTAATTTGGTCGAGAAGATGTTGACTGAGAAGACGATGGATTGGCCGTAGCACTAATCCGTTTACCATGGTGGCTCTTTGGCGGCGGCGGTGGCCTTTTGTCTCTATTGGTCCGACTAGTCGGACTTGTCCCTTGCTTATATTCAGATTCTGGCCGATTCAAAGAAGAAGGGATATTTTGGTTGGTGCTGGATGTTGTTGAACTAGCTGTCGAGCGCTTGTACTCATTTGTGTTCAATGGACCTTCCGATGGGGGAGTGGACGATCCATCCGTGGATGGAGCTGAGTGTGGAGCAGACCCAAACGAATGTCTGGGGTGATCGCCAGGAGCTGAGCCCTTGGTCTGAATATTATCATCGTCTTCCGTATCGCTAACCGAAGAGTCCGGATTGAAAGGGTCTGCTGTTTGTTCATCGGAGGAGGTCGAGTCATCATCCTCCTCAATCTCCAACGACAAGGACGACTTTCTGGGGAATTCAAGCACCGAAGAGATCGGCTGAACAGAGGTGGAGGATAGGCTCGGGGTCAACTTGTTCGTTTGAGGTGCCGATGCCGTCGCAGTGGTAGCGTCACCTGTTTCACGACACTTCTTAGCTAATGCAAAGCCGTTGAGGTGAGGGGTGCCCGTTGGGCCGTCTTATCGGGATGTGGCGGGTACACACATCAACGAGGCATCATTGGGAAGGCAGAGTCGAGGAGAAGATACTCACCATTCAGATTCCTGCGAAAGGGATTGAAAGCAGACATTATGACGAAAAGGGGTGAGGTCTTTCGTCCTAAAGGATGGAAGAGGGGGAAAGTCCCCGCCGAGCTTCTTGGTCAATCCTTACGCGCCGCTTTCCGATGGAAGCGTCCGGACTCCCCGAGAGGCTGCGGTCGCCAGTCCAATAGACTACAGGACGATTTTCAATGAGGTACTCCGTACAGCAAATAGAGAATTAAGAAGAAATTGCAATCTTTTCGAAGTGACAGAAACGAATGATCTAGATCACATAAAAGAAAGAAAGAGAATGATATATAGTACAATGCATAGGGCATAAGACAGAATCAACAAAGCCTGTCCAGATAAAGAATAAACCATCCCAACCGATCCCCAGATTCCCGGTGCTTGATTAAACATCAAAAACGAATCAAAAATCAAATCAAATCAATAGAAGCCATCCAACCTCTGTTCACTTCATCACCGCTCGTTATAGACATGCCATGTCTGCTCATCTTGAAAGAATTTGGAGGCCAGTCGGTTTCCACTCTCAGTGGGTTGACTGAAGGCAATTTTATCCTTAGAGATCTCCATGCCATATATGTAGTTGCTGACCACGCAGTCCAGCAGGTCGAGCGCAATGCCCTTTCTCCGAGATGCTCCAGAGGTCCAGATGCGAGAGACTCCCACAATCGCCGGGTGCTGCTCATCTTTCACAGACACAGATGAGCTGTTGCCGTTCGGTTCGAGAATCACGGGTTGCGATTCCCAGATCCGCTCTGTCAGGCAGAGTCCCACACATCGACTGTCCTTCATATGCAAGAATACCCGGTATCGATCGACCTTTTCATCATCTTCCTGACCCTTCCGGTGTTCAGGGGGCTCTGTTTGACTCCACAGAACTTCCTCGTCAATCTCTGGAGATGACAACTCCTTATTCACGACCTCGAGCACCTTCTTCGCTTGGCTCTTTGCGCTCGGGGATGCCTTGCGGTCCACGATCACCACATAACCCTCCTCAAATCTTGTTGCTTCATAAACCCAGCGGGAAGCATTTGCGCGCATGAATGCCTTGCCGAGATCGACCCCGGTAGAATTCATCTCATGGAACTTTTTATGCAGCGCCGCATCCTCCGTATTGGATGAGTTATATTCCATGCCACATGTCGCACACGTCTTGCGGACATCGTTGCCTAAGTCGATCTGCATCTGGCGCAACGGTGCCGACTTCTGTGTCTTCTGCTTCGGCGGGTCCACGGAGGAGCGCACGCTATTGGAGTTGACCTCTGTCAAGGGTGATCCGGAAGTCACATCTTTATGTTTTCGCTTGAGGAAGGCAAATGTCGGTTTGCGCGTGTTCGCGGGCGGGGGGGTTAGCCGGGGTGGTGGTGATGAGGGTGGCGTGGTGAGATCGTCAATGTCGTCCACCGTGCCTTCAGATAATACGACCGAGTTCCGGCGCGATGGACTAGACAGGACAGCTGCAGAAGATTCACGGATAGCATACTGTAGATTGGTTTCGGCCTCGCCGGATTCATCTTGGACGCGTCTTTTTTTCGCGGCTCTTTCATCGTCATAGACGCGCCATGTTGGTCTTCCGTATGTTTTCATCAGGCCTCTGGAAGAGGGATGATTAGTAAGAGGCGCGTTGAGCTATTGAGTTGAACGTACCGCTTAAAAGAATTGGTGACTGTCCACGGCATCTCCCTGAAGATGTATGTGAATATGGCGGGGGAGAAGATGTTTATTCTTCAACGGGGGGTTTTTTGCAATTTACAGCGGATCGACCGGTTCCACTGCACGCGTGGCGCTAACTGGTTTAGGTCATATTGTTTAGTGTCAAGGATGATGCACTCACTTTCTATCCCTTACTGAGCAAGTCGGGGTTTTGGCAGTAAAAACTGAGAGGCAAAGATAATTTCTCTTTCTCTTGAAAGGTATGCAAGAATGATAAAGTGTGCCCAGTTGGAATGTGGAGAGCTTCGGGGGTTTAAGTCAAGTTCTCTAAAAAGGAAAGAAAATTGCCACCATGGATGAGATAATCTCTATATAAACAAACGAGACTTTACTGCCTAACATACGTACATACGAAGTAGTTGAATTCCTGAATTCCTGAATGGCTGGTATCCTGGTATCCTGGTATGCCTGGTGGGACGGACTCTTTCTTCCCCCCTCCCCCTTTCTACTTGGGAACTCCATCGGCGACTCATGATTTCCAACAATTATCGAACCAATCAATCATGTTCAAGGCAACAGCGCCCATGAGATTATCTACGGGACAGGATTCCGCCCCAATGCGCTGTAGCCTATACGAGGCTCTTTCCAACCGCTTTAAGAGTGTACTCGAATGAGCACACCCAACCCCCGTTTTCACCCGTTGCAGAAGTGGGATAAAGATTGAGATCCACTGTTCCTTCCCACCTTTTATTTCCACGGAAGATCAGAGAGGTTGGACCAACATAGGAAAGACGTGTCTACCCCCTGATTGGATCATTGTCGTCACGGATTATGAAATGATCAGGAACACTGATTGGCTTCAAGTCGAACAACCCCCAGTTCTCGCGGCTGGTTTTACGAAGTTCAATCTGCAGTCTCATCCAATAGAAATAGGAGATTGATCTACCCCCGGATTTCATGGTGCAGGGCTGGTATCACAAAAGGTCAAAGAACATCGACACGGTGGCAAAGCTTATAGGGACGAAAGCTCACAGGCCAAACTGGATGATCGTCATTTCAAGCTTGACGGCGGATCTTCAAAATCCATAATCGCTCACGCGTCTTACAGTACAGTAAAAAGGAACTTGAATTGTTTCTCGTACCACGGGGTTTTGGCCCCAGGATCGCCCGGGCGCTACTCAAGCCCATGGGTTTCGATCGCATTCGATGCATGACTTGGCCCTAATGTGTCCATAAGCTGCATCTGATTTGAACATCAGATGCAATTTTGATACATCTACGGAGTACGGGGTACTCCGTTACACATTGCCAGGGTTCAGAATCATCACACCTTTGTATACCATCTCTATGTTGGATTACGTTGAGTATCTATACTCTCGGGTATTGTATTGATATACTTCGGAGACGGAGATTCATGTAACATCGTGCAGGATAAGCTCGGGGAACCGGAGTCCGACTAGTTAACTAGTCAGAAGATATGAAGAAACCCCGATGACTCGGTATCATTTATTCAGTACATTGCAGGTTGCTTGCAGGTAGGAAACTCCCCGTGGAGTTATTTAACGAGCATTGATTCCTTTCGAAAAATAACCCCTGCTATTGATTAATCGTCATGTCTTCTTATTCTCCCTCATCTCCAAGAAGAAAATCCAATTAAACATTTGAAGCCTATTTTTGTCCTGGAGTCAACTGTTGGGCTTTTTTTGGTCCCGCTTTTGTCCCGCGGAACCGTTTGGCGGAGAGAAGACTCGGAAGTCTAGTCACTTAAAAATCTCTTCGAACCTTTTATCCTCCAACCAACCCCCAATTATCTTCAACCATGTCTGATAGCTCCCCAGTGGCTGGCAAGCGAAAGCGTGCGAGTATGTATCTCTCCAATGTTTGAGTTTTGTGGTTTTTTTTCTCCCTCTAGTTTGGTGTCATTGGTTTGGACCCTGAGACCTTTTGGCAAGCAAAGTACAAGGTATTTTGCCGATCTGACCGCAGCATTTTTTTGTTTTTACCTTATCCAGTGACGTTGTGTGACTTCCCACTAACATCCTTTTGTCCCTCTTTGCGTTCTCTCATTCGTGCTAAAGCGTCCCCGCAAATAAATTGTTAAATTTCCAGCAATGACTGACCACACGATATTAGGAACCCAATCTTGCCCCCCACCAGAGCTTCCTCAGCTTGTCGCGGAACAGCATGCCCCAATTCCCTCCCATGATAAGGACACCCAACGTTTGATCGTCATCCTCTCCAATGCTAGTCTGGAAACCTACCGGGCCTCGAGTGGTCGGGCTGGAGCCAAGGATGAGAAATACTCGCTCCTCAACAGCGATGAGCACATTGGTATTATGCGCAAGATGAACCGGGATATCAGTGAAGCACGACCGGATATCACTCACCAGGTAAGAGATGATGATCATCTACGTGAATGGAACTTGTAGCTTATTATCTACAGTGTCTGCTCACCCTCTTGGACTCCCCCGTCAACAAAGCTGGTCGCCTGCAAATTTTCATCCACACTGCTAAGGGTGTTCTGATCGAAGTCAATCCCTCCGTCCGCATTCCCCGAACTTTCAAGCGTTTTGCGGGTCTGATGGTCCAGCTGCTCCACCGTCTCTCCATCCGCTCCACCAACTCGCAGGAGAAGCTGTTAAAGGTGATCAAGAACCCCATCACCGACCACTTGCCCCCCAACTGCCGCAAGGTCACTCTCAGTTTCGAGGCCCCCGTCGTACGCACCAAGGACTACCTCGAGTCGATCGGCCCCAAAGAGAGCGTCGCCATCTTTGTCGGTGCCATGGCCAAGGGTCACGACGACTTCGCGGACTCGTTCAAGGATGACACCATCAGTATTAGCAACTACAGTCTTTCCGCTAGTGTGGCCTGTAGCAAGTTCTGTCACGCGGCCGAGGAGGTGTGGGACATTCTGTGAGCGGATCTGGCTGGAATTTCACGTGCGCCTCCTGCGTGCGTGCTTTTCGCCGTCTGCTCGGCAATGCTGTTTGAAGCTTGCCATGAAGCCACGAATTTCTTTGGGGGTTTGGACCGGTCCAAGGTGACGGGATGGTTTCGGATCTCCTGGTTTGGGAACCTTTCGGGGACCTGAAGCTCCGACTTGACTTTCATTATTGTGTTTTTTTGGAGACCTTTTAAAACTGTCGCAGGGGTATCCGACCAGCATCAATGTTCTAATTCTCTCCGGGCCGGATAATTCTTGCGTGGGACGCTGGGATTCTAACCAGACGGACTTTCTCCCTTGGACCAAAGAGACACTCGGACTGGATGGCATTTGGTTCCTTTTCGCCATTCAGTCCTGATCCAGAGCTCTTCCAACCACAGGTCCCCCAGTTTGACTGTGGCGATGAGACCAGAAAAGTGAACAGCATACATATATCAGGAGCCTTTTGCTCCCAAGATCAGGCACATAAGTATCGAATTGAATTCGGTTTATAACTCAGTTTTGTTCCTCATGACCGGATCGTAGGACCACAGGATCACAGGATCAGTGAGAGTTTCCAAGCTTGGGTTTCTCTCGACGTGGCAGACGCCTCACTTTTTGCTGCACGACTAAGCACGACTAAATCAAGTAGCTAATCAGAGTCGTAGATTTAGGTGGAAAATCCCACTTAAAAGCTGCACGCCTGCCCAGACCCACAACTACAATTTTGGGTTCTCTCAATGCCAAAATTAAGATCGCCTTAATAATTGTCATACTCTAAAATACAGTTACATCCTGGTTGTTGGTGAGTCACGAATACAGTAAGGTGGGAATTTCCCTATAACTTTCCTATTGAATGGCGGTCAGTAAAGAACCCAAAGCCCAAAATGGAAAGAATTTCGAAAAGGCCGCATCTCCACCGCCTCACCATTTGTCTTCCGCCACTTGTTAAACTGATCCACACTGGGTCCCCGCGATGACCTGGCCCTCTTGGGATCCGAGCGGCATCGGGAGTGGTTAAGCTCCCTGCGTGTTAATCCACTTCCCTCCATACTTATCCCTCACCGAATCATGTCAGAATTATGATTCGATGGAAGTTCAGGGAAAGCCAATTCCCGTCTCCAAAAGACCCCCTTCTATTGTCGTGCCACGTCCAAACCCAGCGGAGATCGCGGTGTTTCACCCTTTACCGACGTGCAGATCGCTTGAACTTGCAAAATGTCCTTTCCAGTCCCACCAGACTATCGTATCTAACCACGCATCACCAGGATTTTGGATCCAGTCAGGCTGGGTCTTGCGGCTTGCTGGGGCTTGCCTTTCTCGGACGATTGCTGTGGACTGCCGGATGACCGCAAGCTTGGGCAGCTTTTTATTCGCCTTGGGATTGGCTCACACTTGTCTTTGTCCTGTCCTTTTTCGGTCCCTGGCATTATCGGGTCCCCTCCGTGTCATACTTGCTGTAGAAAATCCGGCTTCCTCACCGTATATAATATCCTTTGACCCTTGTACATATTTCCTTTCCCATCTTGACTTTGTGTCTTGAAATCCAACCTTCCTTCAAATATCTTCGATTTACCTGGGACGAACTGGCTCGTTGACTTGGCAATTTTCGATATGCCTGTCTCACACTTGACCTTGACAGTCTCACACCTCCCGACCTCTACCTCATTTTTTTTGTCATGTCTGCAGCCCCTTGGGTACCAATTTATTGGTCGGCACGATGACTATATAGGTTTTGGTCAGAAGCAGGGGGAACCTGCTGATTTCTGGGTCACCGAACGGAAGCCAGGGTATGTGAATCATCGGTATTTAAGAAGCCTAAAGGGTAAAGGCACTGACGCATATACTTAAACAATAGAGGTCCTCCTAGTGCCGTCCATGTGGCATTCCCAGCCCCGTCCAGAGATGCCGTGGGCTCTTTCTTCATCTCCGCCCTGAAGGCCGGTGGAACGATTCATAACGAGCCCAAATGCAGGGATTCTCAGACGGGCTTCTTCAGTGCCGCCGTGATCGACTTGGATGGCAACAGCATCGAAGCAGTGTACCGGACAGGTGGCTCAGTGGTTGCATCGGAGGCTGGACCAACAATTGCCTTGCTGGAGAATGGGTCGGTGGTCTCCAAGGCCTCCAAGAGTAGTAGAGCCACCTCTGTCAGGTCCGAGAGCATTGCAACTCCTAGATCGGAGGCCAAGTCTCGTGCGGTCACTGCGGTGTCCAGAGCGCCTACTAGCGTGGCACCATCTTCCATTGCCCCCACCGCTTATGAGCGTGAGTCCACTTACGAGCGCGAGCGTTATGCGCCATCGGCTGTGTCTCGTCCGTCGCAACCCGCACCACCAACCTACACTGTGCAGACGGTCCAGACGGTCCAGAAGCCGGTTGATGACGGCAGTAAAGCAGCAAAGACGATTATTGGTACTCTCATCGGGGCCGCAGCTGGCGCGGCAATCGCATACGCGATGGTCAAGGGTGACTCTGAGTCCTCTTCCGATGCGAATACCAGCAATCCTTCGCCGCAATATACGCCGGAGCATCACCAGCTGATGGGACCTCCGTCGCAGGTTTCCCAATCGGAAGGACAGAGGTACCGGGCCCTCGAAGGGCCTTCAACGCGCAGTGTCTACACGGCGGCGTCAGCCCCTAGGTCCACACTTAGTCGCAGCCAGACGTCCAAGAATCCACGTGCCAGTACTATCTACGAAGGTACTGAATTCTTCGATGACCATGGCCGCGGCGCCTCGGACGGCAGTGTCTTCAGTATCCCTGAACATGGACCTCTCCGAGCCATTGAGTACCCCGCCTCTCATAACGAATGGCGTGATGAATACAGTCCCAGCACCTTTATCAGTAGCTATGCAGCGGATAAGCCACGCGCTGGCAGCGTGCACTCCGTCTCCACCATCAAAGCCTCCCAAGCCAACGGCCAACGCCGACACAGCCACGACGACAGAGACACATATTCCACCCACAGCAACGGCTCGAAAGCCCACCGCGCAGCCTCCTCCCACGGTCACAGCCACCACTCCACCAAGTCCGTCAAGGACAACGGCAGTGTCGCTTCTTCTATCCGTTCGGCACGCAATATCCCGCTGCCCGCGGGCTCCAAAGCGACATACTATTCTGCTACTCCTAGCGAGCATGGCAAGTCACATCTCTCGGCTCGCAATGTCCCACTTCCTGATAGTGTGATTGACCTTGATGTGAACTCCCATGTCTCGCCGAATGACTCCGTCAGCCAGATTGGTAGTCGTCCTGCTCGGTCCTCCCACTCCCACCACTCTAAACACTCCAAGTCATCGAAACATTCCTCCAAGCCTAAGTTTGAGGATGTGGTGAAGCCGGCTGATAGTGTGAGTCAAGTTTCGCGGACTTCGCAGCGCACTATCAAGGCTGAGGAGAATCGAGCTGCCTCGAGGGTGAGCAGCTGGCGGAGCCAGGTTGTGTGATGGATTTTATCAATCAATTTCATGACTTGTTGATTTTATATGACTTGTTTTTCTTCTTTTTCTTCTTTTTCTTCTTTTTCTTCTTTTTCTTCTTTTTCTTCTTTTTCTTCTTTTTCTTCTTCTTCTTCTTCTTCAACGTCATCAACCAACATCAACATCATCAACATCTTCTTCATTGTCTCCTTTTTGGTTATTCCTTTTTCTTCTTCCATTTTGTTATTTTCTTTTGCATTGCAGGTTTTGGTTCAACAAATTGCATATACGACAAATCAGGTGCTTAGGTGGCGCATTCCTCTTAATTATCATGGATATAAATTTAGAAACAGACATACTAGATACAATACATATTAGCCCGATCAAGAACATACTTATCTATACCCATGGCTTCGAGTTAACTAAGTCATGTTCCCTATAGCCTACACAGGTAGCCTTAAGTGTACCTACTCCAGTACCAACTCCAGTACCGACCCTTTTATCTATAGTATACTATATGAGTATATCGAACAGGGTCAGATGATATTAGATTTTATGGATTTTCTGGATTTTCTTTCACAACATAATATAAAATGGTCAAAGTGGTGATCTCTATTTATATAATAAAAAATGATCTGTCAATCTGGCCGCTACTCGCCCCTTTACCAATCTCTCAGTCTGTCTAAGAAGACTTATAAAGGTCTTGTGCGGACACACGGAGATATCCATTCTAGAAGCCCACCTAGGACTTTGTATGCGAAAATGTCTTAGACAGTTTTGGTCGTAGATTAGTGATATCTCCGTTCGGTTCTCTGATTCCCTTCAACTATCGCGTTCTGAGGTGCGAATCGCAGCATTGGCCTTCAACTCATCAAATCATTAGAAGCGAGAGATTGGAATAACATCGACTCTCTCGTCCAGATACACTGGACGCAAACGACTCTTCTGTTTGGGACGTGAGAAGAACTCGCATTTTCCTATCTTGATTCCACGGCTGATATTTACACTACAGCTCGAGGAAACAGGATCGCAAAGCGTCCATATTGACTACACAAATGAGCAGACCATCAAAGCAGCAGCGGCCGAGCTGCAAGGAAAATATGCAACTCTGAATGTACTTGCCTACTGTGGCGATAGGCTTGCCAATCTTCCAAGGTACAGTGGCCTTTTACTAATTTCCTGCAAAGGTGTCAAAGTCTGTTCAATAGAGTGGGACAATCAAGGACGATGAAAACTTGTCTACGAAGGCCGGAAGCCGACATTCATTCCCATTGATCGTATGTAATTTCAAACATAGGGAAATGTCACCCCATTACACTAGGTATTGGAGTTCACAGAAGCTATGAAATGTGCAACGATCCGCTCCCTATCAACTTCCTCCGATCGGGTCTCTGTAATGCTCATCTTAAGCATCCTTTCCACAATATCACCTTCACATATTTGCATCACCTTCATCAGCTCACGAAACCAAGTCATTCGTCTTTCGTGCCAACCTTCTTTTTCAATATTGCCGAGTCTTGTCCCATCTCGAAAGCATTCGTGTTGCATCCAAAAAGCATATTGGGCCATCTCATTTGTTAAGTAGGTTTCGGCCGATCTAAAGGGATTTGAGCATATAAAAGTCTCCAAGAAACGATCATTTTCATGATCCACTTCCCAGAGTATCTAATTTGTCAGTATATAGTCGTATTTCGCTAAATGATATCTTGTCACTCACTGCGCTCGGCTGTCTTCTGTCATTTCTTTCTTTTTGCTTCTTAATCACCACGTCATGTTTTCTTTTCAGGAGAATGATCCACTGAGATTTGAGATCTAGCAGAGTTTTGTTCGTCAATAGCTGAACATCCACCTCCACCTCAAAAAGCTCATCCTCCTCATCTAATATCTCCATGGCCTTCGTCTTTGTAGGCTTGGCCTGATTGAAAGATCCATAGTTGTGCATTACCACACCTTTCCCTCCGTGGCAGCAGGAATGTTTAATTTCGACGATGTCGGCTTGTGTCCTGCGGACAAATGATATAAGCATCTGTTTTGAAGCTTCATAACCTCGAAATTCTTCGACAATTGTGAGCCACTCCAAAGCCCACACAAATCCAGGTAAATTCCGAATTGTATAGGTTTCGAAGTGGAGAGAAAATATCGAAGACGTATGGCAGCCATGACCGTCAGAACATGGGCAGTCACAATCGTCAGGAAGAAATACATCAGCCCCTGCGGACAAGCACAGCTTGATTGAATCAACGGTATCCCAAAGAAGCCAACTGGAGTCTCTTAGCTGCGCAATGAGATGAGAAAGAACAGTTCGTCCGTGTGAGTCAACATGGTTTACGTTGCTCCCATTATCAAGACAATATTTGAACACTTGGGCATTCGGATACGCCGCAATAGAATATGTTCCAAGTTTTCCATCGCCATTTTGCTGGTTAAATCCCTGAAAGCCATGGCGAACGAGGGCCTGTGCCTCATTTTCATGCCGAACATAATGTAGGAGATTGTTTTGACTTGTACCTGTGAGGTAATGATCGAATGTAAAGTTCACATCCTCACAAAGATCAACTAATGTTGCGAAATATGTCGCTCTTTTCAAGTCATCCATCTGCATCCCCTTTGCTATTAGAGCCATCACGGCATCAATAACAAAATACTGAAAGCTTCTCGAAGTATAGCATGACCGTATTGTGTATAGGGATTCAATGATGAGCTCCCAATGACCATGTGCAGATGCATATGAGATGAAATCTCGATTCAATCGCGTATCTAACATGTCGATGCCCGCACCTTGTAAGATAAGCAGTTTGACAACTTGGCTGTTTCCAATTCCGGCGGCGTACATTAAGGGAGTAATGCCATAATTGTCAGTGACATCCATACGATGCCCAGCTTTGAGAAGAATACGAGATATTTCTATATTCACACTCGCAAGGTGCAATGGTGTCTGACCCAGAAAGTTTCGATCGTCTTCCAGTTTGATTGAAGGAGTGGCCAAACGCCTAACAGTCTCAACTGACTGGAGTAGAACTGTTTCATGGAGTGCCGTGATTCCCGCAAATCCTTGACTTTTGTAAATATTGGCGATCTGAATAAAAGTACATCAAACTCACCAGGGCTAGTCTTTGCAAGCGTGGCAAGGTACTCAATGAAGAATGGATCTGGAGTTCCTTCTTCTGATATCCAACTTGGCGATGATGGCTGGGGCCATCTCTGAAGCACTGGTGAAGCAGTATTGCTGAGATCGAATCCACTTTCGAGGATGGTGTCAAGCAAATCAAGATGGCGTCCCTCTCCTATCCAAGCTACACATTTGATAAAGAAGCTAATCCAAATCACGATCAGTCAGACTGACCTTCCACGGATATGATTGAACAAACCTTGCATCCTGATTCTCAAGTGTCATCCCAAATTCACTGACTAGAAACTCCAGAAGAGAGAATTGTCTACCTTGATTCATCCAAGGCCCATGAATAAGAAGATTCTATGTATAAATAAGCAAGACTGGACTCATATGCCATAAAGAAGACTCACCTGAATATAATCTTCTCCATCTGGGTTCACATGGTTTGTAAGACTACCGGCGGATTTTTTTTATGCGCGAGAACTCGATTTCGCCTTGGCAAGCGAAATCAAACCTTGCTGGCACTTCCAGATTATTTCAAAGCCTCCATATGTATAATTGAATACTCTTTGTACACTGAGCCCCGGTCGAATAGTGTACTTTCCCGTGGCAGACACCAGTTCCAAGCCTAAAACGAATGCACATGGAATTCGGAATTTGTTCAAGGCAAACCGTACTCTCCAAGAAGAAATCCGCACAGCACAGGTTTCATCACTGCACCTTTCAAACAAAGCTGAAAATGGCGTGCATTCAAAGCCCCAGTAGCGCCCCTTGATTCTTTCGGTCAGATGACAAGAGCAGTAGCAGTGTTGTCGACTGCACGATGCTCGTTGAGCTTGGTATGCTCTTCTGGTGACAGAAGCCTCTTCAGCTTGAAATATTGAATAAGGATTTTGCGAGACAGAAGAATCTGGAGAGGATGATTGACTGGAAGCAGGTGTGGCTGTACTCTCCCCTGGTGGACCTGCTACCGTCGGTATCGGCGGCTGAAGGGAGTTTAAAAAAAGTGACCTATACAGTAAATGTAAGTCCAAACATTTTCGTCTGCCTCGGAATTTTGGTACCCACAATGTTAGTATACTATTCATTTTCTCAATTCTGGCGTCGATTCTTTCGATCTCCTTGCGAATATCCCGCGAAAATAGTTGCTTTACTACTTTCAACCCATTGCGTTGTCCAGGTGCCACGAAAGAGACTTTTTCCAAAAGCTCTTCCAGCGCAAAGTCGATAGTGCTGTAAATTGTATTACATTCCACAACTGCTTCCTCTACTGCAGGATGCGTCGCTCGGGTTTGAACGAACTGTAAAATTCGACGAAGAATTTTCAGGTGACTTATCAAAGACTTTACCAAATTTCCAGCCTCGTTGTGATTGTACTTATAAGTAGCGTTTAGATCATCGATCCTCTGAGCTACTTGCGCAACAAAAGTAGCAAGACCAGCAGCAGCAGACACGGTCCCAACGATTTCTGCCATTTCCCGAGTAGGTCTTGAACTTCCTTTTGATGGTAACGTTGAGTAGATTCATTCTAGCCCAGTGGCACAGATCGAGATAAAGTAGGTGAGAATATATCGAGCAATAGAGAGGGACGACGTGGCATTTCATTGGTGCTTTATTCAAATGCACCGCCTCGATTAGGAGGCAGTAAACCGCAAATGACTTGGCAAATTATTGGACTGTAAAAGTTCGGGTTCTAATCATAGGAGCCCAACGCATTGTGCATGCAGGATGACAGCAAAACGCGGCGGTTACATATCACACTTTACGCAAGCGATGCGGGCGCCAACTTGAGCGGATCTTCAACATTTTTACCAACCTTTGGTCATGAGGACCGGGTTCGTAAGGTCCCGCAACCATATTGGGGGCAGACTTGCTTTATCTGAAGCCCGAGAAGGAGAGCTGAGCTAAAGAACGCAGAGTGGAGGACGCTGGAGATTACAAGGCTGAATGAGGTGGCGGAGCTCGGTTATCCAGATTGATTGGTATACTCTAGCGTTCCAGATACCCAGTGTTTCCGGTGCGGTACGGAAGGGTTGATGGGAGGTCACGATGATTCACCCTCGACGACACTAAAGCGATGAGCAATTGCTTGTACTCTAGTATTCTATTTAGGTTTGTAGCTAGTACATACGACCATAGGGTGTGGAGAACAGGGCTTCCCGTCCGCTCAGCCGTACTTAAGCCACACGCCGGTTAGTTAGTAGTATGGTGGGTGACCACATGCGAATCCTGACTGTTGTATGTTTTTTTGTTTATTCTTATACTTGCGATCTTACTCTTCAGCCCTTGACGTGAACGCCCTAAATAACCTGAAAATTATTATTCTGCACTTAAACCAGTCTCAGATGGTGCGAGCTAAACTTAAAAAAAAGACAAACCTGTTGACAGCGTTTGCTATTCGGCCTGCAAGTCGGTAGGGCGTGCTCCCATCGAGCGTTCCTCTCCACACTATGTGACACGGGATACTTAGCGCTGTAAGGATCCAAAGTGTCACCTGACCTTGTCTCCAACCCAATTCCAGATGATTCAGTACTTCCCTCGCTATGAGGACGATATCAATTATTTTGCAACTGGCTACTCAGAGCAGCTAGCAAATGTTAGTATCGACTAGAAACTCCCGCTTCTGCCGTTTCCTGAACAGAGGGAAAAGCAAGAGCAAAAACACGTAGCAAACACAATATGAGCCCCGCCATGAATCCTCCCAGTTTCAAAGATGTCGATATTTTGGACCCGTACTCGAGGTGCATTTGGCGAAAGTCCTCATTACCATAATGTTCACTTCCAATTAAACTTACCAGGCTAACTTTACGCTCTTCACTGTGGATGATTCGACACTGTGTAGATCCACGCATAAAATCACAGAAGTTAAGAACGGATCAAGCTCCTTTCCTCCGAACGAGAGACACTACTATCCAGGTAAGGCTGATAAATTTCCATAGGAGCTGTGTTTTTAGCTCTTATATCTACTCTATCTCAGTCAGAAGACCAGTACTAGTATCAAAGGCAAGCCCAAGAATCTGGATATTCTTTTTGATTAGCGGAGAAGCCCTAATGAGGGCAATATCTTCTCGGATACTGTCCTCAATGCTGGAAAATAGTCAGATTCTATACGAAGCGGATCTTAAAGATTATGCTTGTTAAAGCGAACATGTTTTTTATTTCCCGAACTCGGGAGCCTTGATTAACTCCTGTTCATGGGGCGCAATTTCGAGTAGCGCCTGTTTGATGTCGGCGTTATGAAAATGCGTCAAGCCGCAGTCTAAAGTTGTCAAATTATGCCTTCAGCATAGAAGACCACCAGTCAACTTCAGATCGCAGAGCGTAGCGTACCCGTATGGTGCATAACTATAATGGTACCGGGGGCGCCAATGGTCTGTAACACAGATAAGGTCCGGATAGCGTTAAAAGCCCGACCACCTGCATTTCGCACCATGTTCGCTTCTGTTATTCTGTTGTCAGTTCCAATCGGACTGTTTGTTATGATGATACGAATTCATCATGTCAAGTCTTTGAGAAACGGAAAGGCACTTCAAGAATGAGACTAACTTATGGTTGAATCGATACCCAATATTTGGTAAGGATTAAGGCGAGGGTCGGAACAGGATAACACTATCACTCCGAGTCCAGAAGCTCTTATTGCAGAGGCCATTTGTCTCAGATTAGGCGGTTCTTTATAGTCTTAAGAAAACTTGCTACCAATTGTCAGCGGTAATTAATCTTTATCTTAGACTTTTTGATGATAGATATACAGATTACGTGCTAGCATCTCCTTAATAACTGGTCCGCCACTCATATTTGCGTTTCGATCGAGGTGTGAGTCTGCAATTGTGATAAAATCAGGGAGCAATAGCAAAATCGGGATCGATAAGGGAAATTAAATTGAGATAAACTATTTTATACGCGAAGTGCTTACAAAGAAATACTGCCTGATCACACAAATGATATCATAACTCGACCGAAGATCGACCTAAGCTAAAGATCAAAGTTTAGTAAGGTCAAGGATTATAAGTTTCATTACTACCCGCCGACCGGGAGTAATAGATCCCTGCTCCCCTCTAAAAGTCTTTTTTTCTTGTTCTTTCTTGATTTTCAATAGTTTTTTTTTTTTTTTTTTTTTAGTTTTAGTTTATGCAAATACGTATATTCCTGACGTGAATCTTCAAAGTCTCTGCTACGGCTACGGAGGCGAATATTGGTTTGTTTCAAAGTTCAAACGCTCGTGCAAGCTAAATAATGAACATGCCCAACTGGATGGCAAATGTGTTATACCGTGGGTGATACGTATATACGGGGTCATTAATGACGTGAGATTTCGTGCAGATTTATGTCCATCGAGAATATAGACGTGTTATCATTCAATTCGGCCTAGAACATTAGACTCTCAAATGTCATGCGAATAGTAAATGAGATTCTAAGGATCTACTTAATCAGGATATGACGGTGGAGAGACAGTGATGATCGCCATCGGATAGTCGAAAGAAATTTATTGTTAACTTACCATAGTGCTGTGCGGGAAGCCAAATAGAACACGATGAAGTTATTGAATAATCATAGTGCGGTCAGCACCCGAGAAGTGGAAGCAAGCCACCTAGAAGACTGCTTACAAATTGTGATTATACCCTGCATTCCAGCCCAACAGCCAAGCTAGTAATTAAATCACATCGCATGATGTTAGCTTAAATTAGTGCTGGCTTTAGACAAGACCCAAGTAGACTGAATCTGGGTGAAAACTAGATGATCCATTAATACATACTGCTCCTCTTTCACGAGGCAGCTGACTTGGAATACGATAATATACATATATACCTAGAGGCGGGAAATATTACTTACAAAATCCATAGCTTTGGCATCTGGTTCTGAGTATAAAGTTCAAGTCCTGATCAGGAGTTTCTTATCGTTAGTAGCAAATTACTAAACGCAATTCCCGGGGCGATAATATTTGGGGGGGGGGACTACTCACGAGCGCACCCTTCGAGAGGCATTTAAGGTTGTCTCTTATGCGTTTATCAATAACTATAGCTTTGTAGAAGGCTGATATTTACTCCAAGACAATTTCTGAGAAATATGTTGAAAGCAATATACCTAGAACGACAATTGTATGAAAGCATCGATGGATTTCATCTTTCTTGATGTTCCAAGCATTAGAACCTGTGACTGTGGCCTGGACCAGCGACTCAAACTATTCCAAAAATAAGGGACGAGTTGAAAAAGGGTACAATTGAGAAGCTTCAGATCTCGAGAACTGACAATCTGGATCAAGTTGACGATGTCGACTGAAGCTTTCTATTTAATAAATTGTCTTCTCGCACTTCTAAAAAACCTATCAATAGCGCTAGATTTCGCTCTTTGTTATTATACGAGCAGTAGTGAAAATTTAAACGGTCCCTAAATACGTCAAATTTGATAAAAATGCAAACTCCACACCCTAGAGAGTTATGATACTTGGCATCGTTCATCAAACGCAAGTTAACCACTTGGCTTTGCCGGATATCCTTGCGAATCTCATCTAAATGCAGATTCTGAATGAGATTGATATCTCCTGCATTGGTGGCCAGGTACCCTTAGTACCAAATTCTGGGGCTTGCGTTCGTCGGGGTTATTTGTTAGAGCACATATGTGCTCCGGAGACTTCGGTCTAATGTCTTACCTGGGCAGGTACGGGGACGGTTAAGAGCCAGGCACCCAAAAATACTAATGCTGCATGAACCATACCTGACAAATTATTTGATCTGCTTCTAAAATTCGTGAGTATATTTTCTTACTATCGAAGTAGCATTCTATAGCAAGGGGAGCACTTACGCAGTTCAGGTATTATGAAAACCTACAATTAAGGTATATTACAGCTGGAGCAAGAAAAGAAAAGAGGCGTTTACTTTTTCAAGGACTTGTCCATTCGATTCTCTCGGATCCGATTTCGCCTTTTTTTGTAGCGTTCCGACAGCTTGGGCTCAGTTTCTTCCTCAACACTGGGGCCAGGAGACAGCGAAAATACAAATTAATAAAAATTTCATCACTTCGGCTCTCGGGCACGATGATTTGAATCCTGCAGTTGTACTCAAACAAAAAATCCAAATCTATCATCTGGGAACGCAGGGAAGTGTGAAAGTGCTACAAAGATCTGGGGGCAAGGGTCCCAAGTGTGATTTTTGCCGGAGTTCAGCTCCAGAATGATCAAAATAGGGTTCACTATCTGCTAGTGTCACACAGATCCCTGCAAGAATACTGTGTGCACTACCACTAGTCAGCGGAAGCTAGAAGCGAAGGCAGAAAGTCGTCGAAGATGGAAGGCGCACGATCATATCGTAGCTAATCCCGTGGGAGTACGAATTCTGGGGTTTCCGTGTTGCTACACCTACTGAAGTCTTCCACCATGTGCGAGAAGTCAAGTCGCGTTAACTATCTTCGCCATATTAAAATCTTCTCATCGGAGTCTAAAAGAATTGAGAATGAGAATGAGAAGATGAGAGCGGCGGTGATGAGGAGACCAAGGCGCCATTCTTCGCTCGTCATGCGTGTACTGGGCCATTTTTAGACCTCGCCAAGATCCTTTGAGCAAAGTGTGCAAGCGCGACTTTCAGGTGGCGTTCGGGTGAACAATATACAGGTGGATTGTCACCGGAAGCCACCTATAGCCTCGCCGAACCGTAGGGGCTAGTTGACCGCCACCATACTTGTATTGCCGATAGCCTTGAAGAGCTGATGTGGCCTTCTTTTGTAGGAGTGCTGTTGTAGTCACAGCTCTTTGCCCTGGTCTCGATTTTTTTTTTTTTGCAAAGGCGCAGTGAGAATATTTCCATATAGATCGTGAACTATGGAGTTATTAATATTCGTTCATTTTCCTTCGGTGAGAGTAATATCGATATACCTGGCAATGGGTGTTTTCATTTTTGTCATTCTTCTAAATCGAGGAATAATTTCATAATCGTAAGGCGAGGACAAAAATTCAGCGAGGAGGTTATAGCAGGCATGACTAATCTTGCAAGCATTTATCGCACGACGTCTCGAACCGCGTTAACGAGAAATAAACAGACCACCTTCAAGCTCTAAAGTCAAACCCGACTCACTTTCCGACTCTCAATCCCTTATGTCTCATTGGTATGTATATTACCTTGAAACTTTCACTTTATTGAGTCTTTAGCTTATATAAGACAATATCGAGTCGGTGCCCGAGCAGTCGTGCTCGCACTACATGACATTGGATGCGTTGAACCAGTCAGGGTACCTTTCCAAATCTTAGGCATGCGTTTGTGCAAAATTGTACTTTCCGTTATCATTTAATCTGATATCTTCCAACCCTTGATGAGTGCTGCAGAGTCACCACACTCGCTTTCCACCTTTTCCAACCCACAAATAACTCGCTCGAAAATTTCATTTAGCTTTTTTGAAGAATTTCTCATCTCCTCAGCTGTACATGATGGTGCATCTAGGCACCAGTCAATAATCTCTGCATATGTCTCCGGAATGCTCCTTGTCTGTACCCACTTGTCCATTTGCCTCTTAATGTTCCTACGGATCAGGGTGACGTTTCCATCGTCAAATCGGTCCAGCCTTGGCTCATACATATTCTTATCCCCAGGGAAGTACTTCCATAGTTCATACAGAACAATAGCCAGGCAAAATAACATTACTTCTGTGCTTGGGCTTTGATGCTCAGAACTTTGCCTTGAGGCATGTTCAAGACGAATGCGGAAATGTGGTTTCTTGAGAGGAAATGAATCTTTGGGATCGTCCAGGAAAAGCACTATATTGTCGCTGTTCCAAAAAGTTGTGAACCATGGCGTACTATCAAGCTGGATCACCGCGGTGGCGATTGTCTTTGCAAGATGAAGGATCTCCCCCTCGCTAACGAGGTAGTTCGTCTGCAAAACGGTGTTCATCGTTGTCAAAGTGACTTCTGTCCGAGGCTGCAAGCCAAAAGATAGACAATTCAACTCTGCACCATCATGGGAATGGGGCAAACGTCGAGTCGATTCGCCATGTAAAGCATTTATCTCATATCCCAGCAAACAGCCCAATTCATGTCGAGCACCCAAGCTCTCGATTGTTGAAAATTTGCCCGTTGCTCTGAAGGCCAACCACATTTCACCGGTTTCATGAGGAGTGCCGGTTGCTAAGGTAGCAAATCGAAAATGGACATCAGTCGACACGTTGTCTGTCGGACGTGCTTGAGCTAAGTCAAAGTCGATGATATGTGCCTCGTGCCGTCGACAATGATCGTAGAGAAGAAAGTATAGTATTTTGTACGCATCGTGGGCGCATCTGTAGCCTGCAAGAGCCGCAGCACGATGACGTATACTCTCGCATTCGGCAGACAGTTGTCTGATCTTAGTATAGAGGTCTCTCATATTGTGAGTCAGAGCTTTGACATTATTCAGAGGGCGACCGTGTGGAATAGACTTTCGTTTGATTGGCGAAGTTGGTGTTTGTGATGCATTTGAGGCTAATTTTGCCTGTCTTCTTGGAGAAGTCCGGGTTGCTGTGCCCTTTTCTGATTTTGACTACATGCGTGAGTATGTCAATCTGAAGCATGGTTTAATTTGGATCATACCTGCTTCTTTGGTCGAGGCTCTGCGGACGTGACTAGTAGATACTGGACAGTCTTAATGCTTTCGACGGTAGCCTCGAGAATGCTAGTAAAGTTACCGTGCCCCTGATCCTATCCGTAGATTAGTCAAGCAATGAAAAATTATTAAGCACTTTTTACGCACCTTAATAGCGTCATTTATCTTTTCATCTCGGAAAAAACGCTCTAATCTCATCTTTTCATGTAATGTCTTTTCCCAGATCGATTTCAGCTGTGGTTCATGTTTGTACGGCTCCGAGTATAGAGGATCCGAGATGTCGACCAGGAGTCCCCGAACCAAACAAATTCCATTCATCCTCTTCTCGTATTCGATCAATTCTACAGCAGAAAACTCCGCGGATCTTGTGTGGCTTTCGACGTCATCGGTCCGTTCTCGTCTTTCTCCGGCGACCGTGGGCCTGCTCTGTGACTGGTGATAAGAGTTTACGAGCCCCGAGAGCGAGTTTAAGGGATCTGGGTTGCAAAGGTCAGGTCAGTATTTGTCACCAAGTCTAAACATTCTCAGCTTAAAAATGCGAGGGGATTCAATCTACTTTGTGTAACAGGAAGCGCAGAGTTGAGTGTAGACGTCGTTGCATTCAACAGGTCCAATATACTCTCAGATATGTCACAATGCCTACTGATCTGGTGTACTTTCGAGGTCTTTAGATCATCGGTCCACTGTGGGGCAAATGTGATGTTTATGTTGTGGCTCCCATTCCTCTGCTCAACTCCAATACCGCTCGCGTCATTCCCAATAGTTGAAATCGTTGGAATGGAGGTATTATCATCGTGCATTGGGTTAGAATATCCAACTGGTGCTGAACGTCCCATTTCGAGACTTGGTAGGGTGGATGCAAGTGGGAGAACCTGAAGAAAGAAATTTGAGAACATACAGGTAAAGAGAAATCGTGAAGTGGGATGACGGAACATGCGGCTTATGTCAATGAGGCTGATAATCACGAGGCAAAAGAGCGAACACTGGAAGCCCTACATAAAGAACCCGTCTAAGGAAACAATTCACTTCGGCCAGGATGATGCAAAAACCTGGACACTCCTACACAACGTGCATACTTGATGGCTCTATCTTAGTCGTCATAGGACAGACTCTCTTTTTCGCTTTCTTTGTCAAATAATTGCGTGATAAAATCAACCCCGCATCTTTGAAGAGACAATCCTGTATGGAGTTAAGATGGGACCGCGTCTGCGGCCCGTGCGTGCTGTCGGAAACACCGAAAGGACAATTCGCACAAAATCTCCTCAGATGGGACGCCACGAATGTGCTTAATATGGTTATCTACTATTGAAAGCCAATAAAATTCAATGGCAAAGACACGGCAACCATGCGGGGTGGTGCCCGTGCTCTGGGTATCTGGGCTTGGCAAGAGCACGGGCACTAGGCATGTTGACCATGGTTCTCTAAGCGATTGGTGCTTCCTAGGATACTGACCTTTCCTGGACTAGATTCTGACCCGAATCCCGTGTGTGAGTTCGAAAATCAGTAGTTTGCTTTTCTTTCCCAGCCATACAGATAGGGTTCTCATGATGAGGCATTATAACTAGCGGTTCTGCTCTCTGATTTTATCCCTACTTCGATTTCATGGACATGGATTAAGCACCACCGCAAAGGAGGGTGAGTTAAAATAAGTTCACAACAGATGTCAACACTTTTCGGGTGTTTCAAGAATTTCAGAATCAATTATCAACGCTTTTACTTTTGCCATGATGCCAGGATTTGATTCATCTCATCATTCTATGTACTGAAACGAGGACTTCGTCAGAACTTTCTCGCGTTTTTCAAAGATATAATCAGACTTAGATGATTTGAAACGAAACTGAGGGCTTTAGAAATATTTCACTACCTTGTGATTTGGCAAAGTCTCTAGCAATACGCACTTTGGCGTTGCGCTAAGACTACGCAAAGACCTAATGATTTTAACTTAAACCTCACAATTGTCCTATTTATACCAGTTAGTCAACTAGCACGGGAGATTTATGTCTTCAATGCATGCAACTTCTCACTATGTAGCTTCCGAATTTGGATAAGGACTGTGATTATAAATGCTGCTGTGGCGCTTGGGCCGAAGGTCTTATACCAGATACCTTGAGAAATGCATAATACATCCGGCATGATAGGCAAGTATGTAATTTGATACTTGTTACGCCCGTTTCACTCGCCATAGCCCCGCATCCACCCCATGTATGAGTGCCCGAGGTGTGCAAGTCCAGGAGGCTGAGCTGATAAAGAACATGCAAGACATGTGACTAGAAGGCATCTCAGACTTAACGAGAACACTACCGTTAAGGTGGATAGCCGCTTGGACCTCCTAAGACTCTACATACACTCAGTTCACACGGATATTCGCCTGTTGCGGAACCCTGTAAGCCTAAATTCTGCTGGTCTGTGAGAATTCCGTCACTGGGCAGCCCAATCTAGTACCCAAAGGCCGACTATTTATATCACCAGCATCTCAACAATGAAGTTTTGAATACTTGTCCAACTTCTATATTGAGATCTTACAACCTTTGGGTGCGTTGTTACTACCAAAACGATGACTGTGAGTATGACCCTGTCATCATATGAGCTTAATTAATGGCGACAGGCTCTTTTTGATGTATTAGGCGGCATAAGTGCTGTTGTGCAGATCCTGCAAACAGCTATTGAAATAGCCGATAGGATTAGGCATGCCAAGGACAAAAAAAGTCTTTTCATGATCCTCAATCAAAACCACAAGGAGGTCACTTCGCTTAAGGATATTGTAATGGTTGTCAAGGAAGAGCAGTCTCTCCACACAAAGGACATAATAGCGGAACTTGCAAATATAGCTACTTTGGCTGAAGAGCTCGAGGATATGCTGAGAATCATGGAAGGCAAGGGATTCATTGGTCGATTTATGCATGGGAAGGATCACAAAGCAGAGGTTGGCCGCTTGACGGGCAACATTGCGGGAACCAAGCTTACCTTGACGATGAAAATCCAAAATGCGCATGTTGGCGTAACAGTCTTGGCCAACAGGAAACTGGTGGTTCAGATGGAGAAAATTGAAGCCGTGGATGCAAATTTAAAGAAACTGATCAACGGCTTCGAAGGTTTGTTCATTGCGTTACTCATGAAAGACCGAGAGCTGAACGGTAAGTAAATGCGCTGTGAAAGTGTTATCATATATTAACGTTTGGTGGGTAATGGTAGCCGACGGTACGGTGTCAATCAATGACTCAGACTTCCAGTCACTCGGACTAGAAACGGTTGATGATAGCCCTTACTACGCTGGGTCTCGCCTGATTGAGAACAATTTCGCTTTCGACCAGGCACTTATGATCAATGGGACTATCGGAACTGAAGGGTTTATTGAGCCAAAAGATGTTAAGATATTCAACAACACGGCCAGAAATCAGGCAACGATGATCAATGCTTCTATATCAGAGAAGACGTGGGCGGAAAGCAGAGAGGATCGCCGGGAGATTATTAAACTGATGGCCGCCCAAGGTGCCCTTACTGTGGGACAAAGCAGCGAATCGTTCCAAGGAGACTATAAACCAAAACCCACAGAACCTATTAGAGAAGGGAGATCCGAAAGGTCTGATGGTAAGCATTTCTCTACATATCTTGCACTTGGACAGCTGCTAATCAAATCATTAAGCGCGAAATGCCGTGAAGAATATACGAAGCCATTTACGGTCTTAAACTATCGCATGTTGTATTTACTGAGACTGATCTTTGGGAATCAATTGATTTTTAAAATTTATCCGCCTATTTCTTTTTAACTCACTGAGACTACCAGATTGACAAGAATGAGAATATTCCTCATGTCAAAAAATTTTCAAAATTTACCAGCGCTCCTTGATTGTCCCGGGTTATTGGTAAGGGCCAAAAAGGCCTCAGAATCAGTTTCTGCCGGTTCCTTGACACCAATACTGAAAAGTGGCAATACTTATTTATCATAATTCAACAAGATAAAGGATTAGTATATTTGCTAGTGCTGAGGATATAATCTCATGGTTAATTAATCCTCGGTCGGTCGAACAGCTCTGGATCTACTTTAGACATGGTCTAGCAGCTCATAGATTACCCTAAGAATACACTTTATGAGACCTCGGGAGGGTGAAAATTGCATTTAGAACTGGAAAAAGGGATAAAGAATGGGCCGCACAGCTTACCACACAGGAGAGAATGCATTGAAGCTCGAATCTCATAACACATGGGCAAATAAACATAAGAATTTCGTCCTGGCTCTGGCGCAACATTTTTAGACTCTTCTTTCAAAAAGATCTCGTATCTTCACAGTAACAAAAGCACCCGAGACATCATCTTCTGGCAGCTCTGTGGGAACATTATCCGCTGAAGACAGGAAACATGCAAGAGAAAGAGGACTACTCTTGCGAAAGGAGAAGCAAAGGTCACTCTTATTAGTCTCGGGATTGCAGCTTGAATCCCTTGCGACCAAGGAGGTGTTACATTCAAATGGCGGGGTCTGTTCATCCAAATCGACAATTTCTTGTCCAGTTGCACAGTTGGGGCTTATTTTGGAATCTAAGATTTCGATCTTTTGAATGACTCTCTGGAGCTGAGGCTGGAAGGTCTGGAATTGGCTATCCATTCCTTCATTCAGCACTGAAAGTTGTCGCATACAGGCGCAGAAGATTCGAAGATCGGATTTGACACTGCCAACTTTCTGGCTCTCTTCGAATCGCAACTGAAGAATGTGCAGGAATTCTACTGCACACACAGAAATTTCTTCTAGTAAACTGAAGTAAATCATTGACAGAGCTGACTTTGAATGGTGGGTTTCTCCGGGTCGATTAAAGACTTGCCAATCGGGGAACCCCATCACCAGAGTCAGTATAGATTCCAGACGATACAATGGCTTCGATAGCTCCGGATCTAAGTTTTGAGAAATCGCATGGCCATCTGATTCGGAGCATTGCACTGGTTTCGTTTCGACCTGCGCAAGGTCACATAACTTGTTCGTAATAGCAGCAGGCGAAAACTGTCTGTATACTAAGCTCAGATTTGCCATTCTTTCGCTGAGGAGTGCTGGGTCCTCCAAGTCGATGTTAGAGAGCAACTCAATTGGCACCTCACTACTGAAAATTCTTCTGATCCGTGGTTTCGCTGTTTCAGTGACGGCCGAGGAAGTTGAATTTTTGGTATCATGGCTCGCTTTTTGAAAAGCATCAGGATTATCGGCAATCTTGACAATGATCTTGCTTCCAGGGGATGAGCCTTGATTTGCTGTATTGGGTCTCTTTTCTGCGTGTATTTCTGATATTTGTTCGTTTTCATCAAATGTTGTGAAGGCTTTTTTATCAAGACTCGATGTTTCTTCTGCGTAGGCGTTCACATGCAGACCTTCTAGTGAAAAATGGACTTTTGGTCTCGATTGAGGGTACTCTGTCCTCGCGATTTCCTTACCTTTGATTTCGCTCCGACCGTGTACCTCAATGTTTCCCTTCGGCCGCGTAGGAATCTTGCTTGGCCGACTGTCCGATGACGTGAGATTTGATATTGGATGACCCAGTTGTGTAGATCTTTTTCTCTTCAAAGGGTGCAAAAGATCAAAGAGATGGTTTATTGCCGTCTTTATGATTTCAAGAGGATCATCTCTTTCGTTTTGAGAGACATTCTCAGTTGATGTTGCAGTGCTGCAATCATTTTTTGACAATTGTTCGATGCGATCCACTTTTCTTTTGATGTGCGAATCATCTCTTAACACTACACTAATTTTGTCAGGAAAACTTTAATGGATAATGAGAGGAATTTTAAATGAACACACACATTTGGCTAACGTTTCGCCGATTCTGGAAAATAAAGCCTCGGCTTTCTTTGTGGTCTGGCTATCACACTCGGCCTGAAATTTGAGGTGCTTGCCTTCGTCGTGACGAAAAGCAAAATCCCATTTCAGAAGACGTCGAAGTTCCCGGTCTAACAGACGTCTCTGCCTAGTCCATTCCAAGGAGTTGAAATCCGGCGCGAAAGAAGGACCCATCTCCATCCCATAAGACTCCTGATTTCTCCAAAAATTGTTTTTGAAAAGTGCAGTTAGATCTAGCGCTTCAGCTCGGTCTAAGGATGATGATCTTGAGGATCTTAACGGACTTTCTTTTTGATCTGTGACTAGAACAAATAAGTCCAAGACTTCTTTGCAGATCTGTAATCTGCTAGCTGGTGTCATTTTGAAGTAGTCCTCAGGCTCGGACAGTGTCGATGCCGACCGGCGGGCTGGCAACGCAGATATACTGCGTCGCCTAGACCTCCTATGGGATGGGGGCCGATCAGAAGTTGAATGCGAGCATTGATACTCCGAGGCTGTTCTGTGACGGAAGTGGAATTTGGTTGGGCTTTGAGTCGATGCCGATGACACCACTGCTTCCTCACCTGATACCTTGGGGTCTTTGCTAATAGGAAGTGTGTTGAGAACCGTCTTTGAAGGACTCTTTACTTGGTGAAGGTGTCCCATTTTGCTTTGGGGGAAGGCACTGATAATGCTTGACCTTAGGCAGAGTTAGGTTGATGGTCAAGATCGGGCTTTGTGAAAAAGCATCAACTTGAAACATTTTGGGAGGTTCGGGCGCTGAACGGGCTGCTGATTTAGCGTGGCCCCCAGATCAGCACCCTTATTGGCTGCAAGATGACCAATTTAGCGAAGTACATGCCGCTAGCAAACGTCATGGCTTCACGACCCCTCATTTGGTCACACGTGTCTTCCTATCTAATCCTTCTACATGCAAGAAGTGACGACATAGCAACACCGAGTGAAGGACATATTCAAGCATACCTCCTTATCGGGCCGAACTACTATACGATTGTGCCCAGTAATACCTATCTACCAGATGGAATTGTTGGGCAAGAGAGACGTGGCAAGGAAATTTGTAGAGTAGACCGCATTGTACGAGAAGCAAACGAGGTGCCAAAAGCAGAAATGATGAATCAAAACAAGAGATCATCTAACTTTGAATTATGCGTAGCTCACCCGATTTATTTACTGGCCGACTTTTAGGATCTCTAGGTGACTCTACTATCATCTGGATCTTCCTCTAAATTGAAAAAAAGCTGATAAGGATCAATAAACCACTAGGCTTACCGCCCAGTAGCCTGGTCTTCTTGCCAGCCAATGACTCCCTTGAATAGTCATTTGTTTTTAGACTACCTCGAGAATGTGTTTTCTCTTGCGACTGCTTGAATCCGCTCTTAGTCATTCAATCAAGGTCTCTTATTCTCCCTTCTTGGATCCGCACGATCTCGGTCGAGTAGTGAGAATGGCCGATAGTATCTTATCAAAACTTCACTACCTCTCTTTCGTGTACAGTGGGTAGCGAAATCAGCTTCCGCCACGAGGATTACTTTTCAAGCTTGTATCCCACTGCAAAGACGCCAGAGCAAACAATTCCTTGACAAGCACTAGTCGAAATACTTTTTACTAATTGTATGTCGTTTGAGAGTGTAATATTAGATCTACATTTACTGAAGCTATTTTAATATCACAGTATCTTGCCGTAGGCTGTATTCTGAAGTATTTGACATTATTGGGTATGCTAGCTGTGATTATCACTAGCATGACCCTCAGTATCGTTGGCGCTCGGATACTTTTAAATACAAATTGTCCAAGAGACTTGACATACATTTCTGTAGTAAATGTCTCTCTTTGGAGCTTTAACACGTTTTGTTGAACAGCAAGTTGTCATTAGCGTATTTCACAAGCGAGCGAGCCCACCTAAGTCAGAGAGCCACAGCAAAATACATAGTAAATGCAACAAATAATAGCTCGATACTTCAACAACTATAGGCTCTCTAAGATTCTACTATAGACAGATTTCAATTACACTATCCGAAGTATATGTGTGGGTTTTAGTCAGTATCTATAAGTCATCAATTTGAAGATATATTTGGAGCTCGAGTGGTCTAACCATAGTGTATTTTACGGAATTTTATGGAATTTTTCATTAATTTGTATCAAGCTCTAAATCTAAGCTACAGTCACCATAGAGAGGTAGTATCGAAAAATTGATACGATTTAAATGTATCGTTGCTGACATGTTGAATCGCATTTGCTAGGTATTTTGGGGTGACCCGCTCGCTTGTGAAATACGTTATTCTAATCTAGTATTACGTAAGGTAAATGAATACTGTGTTATAAGTTACTTATAGCCACGCATTAATTTCTCTAGATTTTTCAAAAAATAAAAACAAAAACACATACAACAGTCAGGATTCGCATGTGGTCACCCACCATACTACTAACTAACCGGCGTGTGGCTTAAGTACGGCTGAGCGGACGGGAAGCCCTGTTCTCCACACCCTATGGTCGTATGTAATTTGTTCAGCATAAAGGAGACTTATGTAGTGTGACTTGGTTACAAAGTTGAAATGTTAAGAGCCGCTTTAGCGTCGCGCGACTTGGGTGAGAAAGATGAGTTCGCAGTGGGCAGGGTGAGAAGCGAGCGGGAAGCACCCTCTATCGCGTGATGGTCGCCTAGGTCCTCTCTAGCCGAATCAGGGCACTTGATGATTGGGTTCTCCTGACTCTCTGAAACGGTTGGTCTTTTACCATCTGCACATAGCCACAAAATGCTTCCTAGAAAGATTCTAAGAGAGCGTGAAGAGTACTTGTGCCACCCAGAAGCGAAAAATAGGCAGCTAGGCTGCACCGGGTGCTAATTTATGAATATTTGGCTCATATCAAAGGTCACGTTGATCTGACTATTCATTTGAAGCTCCTAATCTTCATTTCTACCGCACCTAAAGTCAATAATAATTATTAGCGTAGACATGGCTGATCTATTTTCTATGACTGAGAGTGTAGGAGGTTTTATATCACTTGGCTTTACTATTTGTCAAGGACTGCTTACTTATGAAGGGCAATCCAAAGCATTTCATAAGTAAATAGAAGAGGTGATAGATCGAATAGCCGCCCTAGAGAGCATTTTGAAGGCGATGTAGTATATGCTGATTAATGCAAGTATGTCTAATATGTAAGAATCAAATCCGGCTACGCTAGTCGTAATTAATTCTATTCGTGAATAACATAAAAGCTTTGATAAACTGGGAAGGTTGCTTGAAAAATACGATGTGAGGAAATTAGCGCATAGCTTAACTAGTCATAATAAGTAAATCAGTTGGCTTTACATCTCTTTAGACGTTATATACTTACAGTACTTCTGGAAATAGTAAACTGTCTATAGGCTTATCTTACTATTTTACTTTAAAATTTCGAATATCAGAGGCTTTCCACCGCGCTTTTTGCGCGGCACTTACTAAGTTGTTATACTATACCACCTACTATATCTTCTACTTAGTCTCCTACTTGGTATCGTGTGTAGTATTCTACCTTCTTTTGTACAGGATTATTTAAATAGCCAAAGGGCTCTCCAAACTCAAATATGGCAAAATAAAAAAGAAAGAGAAAAAAAGAGACGAGAAAAAAGGCGAAGTGGAGGAGAAGATGGAAGAAACAAGTCTGTGGGGTACCTAAGTAATAGAAAAGTAGATTAGCTTATTTGCCATTAATTATATGATTTTCAAGGTTATGTCCTCATGGCCGCTACTTGCCTCTGCAGGCGGCCTTAACTTTGAACCGGCAGATTCGGAATTAAAACAAAGTAGAGAGTGATCATAGAATTTGATGAGATCCTTCTTAGCTTAACTATATATTTTAATTGTGATGAGGATATTAATGTAAGGAATCATCCTACTAGCTTTAAATCCTTCTTCTGCGGGATGTTAACTAGAAAAATTGCCTTACTAAGTGAGGTGTGTACCTTTTTGATGTAGTAGCAAGATAATGTGATTTCTGAGTTCTAATATATGTATCTCGACCTTAGTAATTATGTAACGGGCATAGGTCCCTTATATTTAGCACGAAATAGGCTCCCAGATCGTCACTTATACGGGATGCCAATGGGAGATGATGCTTGGCCAGTTTCTGAAGGCCCACTCTTACTCTCCATGGTCGACTTTTTTGCACATCTATTGGGTAGGCTGCACTAGTAGAGCTAAGAGAATCGAGAGTTCTGAAGTGGCGCCCCTCGGATGATAAGGAATTGATATCTCGAAGAGCGATCACATTTACGCCAAAAAGGTGAATTTCGTGACATCTGAAAACAGGCTGCTCTGCAGCTATAAAGTAAGTAAAAAGGTCGCTCAGTTTGGCGCTGCGCTTCGTCTACAATTCCACAACGTCCTCTGCAAATGGATCGTTCTCCGTGGCAGGGGATAAGGTGATAAACTTCATGGTCATATCGAGAATTTTGGTATATCTTTCCAACTGTTTTTTTCTCCTATATGCCACTTATACTGTTGTCATGGTAATAATGACGCATGGCCAATGACTATATGGCGGTTCACATCCGTTCCCGACAAATGAAAACATAATACCGTGATACCAAACAAGAAGCCCAAGTCCAGTCTCATCTAAGAATTATTAGTGGAAAGGAACTGTAATATGTACCGTCTTATGATAGAATGATCAATGATTGCGCTTGGTTACGTTTGGTAGACTCCCTTTCGTCCAATAATATGAATGAAAGATACAGCTATGACAATCATCTACCCACAAGCTGATTTAGCCTAGCCTCTGCCTCCAGGAAGGCAATACACTCAAGATTCGAAGCTAAGCAACCGGCTCACGCCTTCTACTGAATGAATCAACATACTTATATTTTCCTGGCTCGGACCTTAAAGTTAAGAAACAAAGAAAAACTGCTATCCAAAGAACATCATGCCCGGAATATCTGGGAGACTTTGTAGTCATCATACGACCGATTTTCATGTGTCCCGAAGGTCTATTTCGCCCTTTACGGAGGAGATGGGGAAATCGACAACATGGGAGAATAGATAGTGATATTTAAAAAAAAAATTTCATTATGCGATCTAACACTATCTCTTATATAACCGCAATTTATAGCCTTAAACCTGCATGATAGGCATAGTATCCAAGCCTCTCGGACCGATATCCGGTCTTACTAGTAGCTCCTTGGCTGAAACCCCACTTTTTAGTCTCTAAATATACTTATCCGGATCAAAATCAACACTAATGGGATTTTCGCTAAAAGCCTTGCTCGTCATATAATGATTGGCCTCTCCCGTGGTATTGAAGCCGTTAACTTATGTTTCAATTTGGTTTCCATCAAGTTCGCGATAATATATGCTCACGCCGAACTAGGATATGTAAGGACGGTCATTACCACACATGTATTTGGTTCTTCGCGTCAACCATACATTGTTACTTGGAACCCACAGTCCAACTAAGCACTTCACTACTCGTTTCGTGGAAGACACAAATCCTACAAGGAGAGGTCTCCTTAGCCTCTAGTCACTCGAATTAGATCGTGAGTATAGCTTGACTTGGCGCACTACCTGGCGCAGCACAACAAGAGTCTACTCTATAGACCCGAGTCCGTATAAGGCCACGCCCTGGCAACGGTACGGTCGTGATTGAGATTTGAGGACGATCATCAGCGTACCTGTACAATATCACACGAGCGATACTCAAGGTGACCAGTTAGCATCGCGTAATAAGTACGTACGATCAAGAAATAATAGGCAACTTTTAACGATAAGCTTATTAGAACGTCTTGGCCCCTATTCACCATCAACTCCACGATTCCTCGCGTAGGGTCGTAGTCTATATTCGCTGTTTCCTTGTGCTATTTGTGGGCGTCTGGGCTCGCAGTCAGTCAGCCTTCGCTTCAAACATATGTCGATCGTTGCCCGAGTGCCCTCGGGGTACTCTCCGTAGTACCTAATCAATAAAGCTCGGGTGTGGCAGTGTGCAGATGCCAAGAGACCGGTGTTTCACAAGCCTATGCTCATACCTAATAATCGATCAGTAATCCCCGACCAGGCGGTCTGTGTGGCGATCACGCCGGCCCGCAGGATTCTCACCCGGTTTTCACCCCAATTCGCACCCTACCTATTGCGCACTCACTCTTCTCACCCCCGGTCGCGCGACGCTAAAGCGGCTCTCACCCATTTCTCACCCCGACAGCACCCACCCAACTACTGGCCGAATTTAAGCCACACGCCGAATGGCCATGCTGGCCAATCATTTGGCCTAGCCCGGTTGGGAAAGACTTGGTCGCCGCTTTGCGGTCGCGCGACCAGGGTGATAAGGGTGAGTGCGTAATGTGGAAAGGGGTGAGATTTAGCTCAGAATCACCTAGTTGCGCGATTGCCCTACTTGTCACTTTAGCCAATGCTCACTAGTTACGCCATGTGATAACGTAATTCACGGGCGAGCGGCTCAGTCCAAAACACCATAGTAGATATGACATACTACACAGATGTTCAAATGACCACTATCTTAACGTGTTTTATTACTTGCTTATAGATATTGGTTATTGTCAAAAAAGGACCGATGAGATTGCGAAGTTAATCTCTAGCCAAAACCAGCGCGGCGTGGGAATAACACTATGTATGGGTGGGGCTCCTAGTATTGTGCTCTACTAATCCAACTTGAGCCTAGCTTAATCCAGGTCGCTTAGTTCAAGACACCTGTTTTAACTGAGTTACTGGTATATCTGATCTTATACCTTGCTATGCGGAATATGGAAACGGCCAGTGATATTGAAATGTGGATTGGAATATTGATCATATCATCCTAGCACCGAGATAATCACGTGTCAACCGTACTATGTAATCTAGTAATATTGATAAAGTTCACACTCCTCAGTATCGTTATCAGATGGGAGAATGTCCAGATCAGGCCACCCAGGCCTCCGCTGCTTCTTCATAATACGCCTGGGAATCGCAGGAATCGTAGTGTTATGTACCTCTATCGCCCTAATCTCGTCGTGTGCCTCCTTAGGCTCAATGCGAGTATGCATAAAACCCCGCAGATCAGGGTGAGGAAGATGCTCCAATAGTTTACAGTAATCTTTCCCGTCTCGTATTTCTTCATATGTAAGTTCCTCATAGTGGTAGTAATACCAGCTGTCGACGAGGACGACTTGTAGGTTCTGGGCGGACTGTTGGTCGATGCAGACGAACGTGTCCCAACCGCCGTGGGATCGGACCATCCGCCACATAATATTCCAGATATACTCCCATGTAGCGTCTTTCTGTCCTGTCCATGGGACGTAGCAGCATTCTTTGACTAACGGGCTGTCATCTTCCATGGCCATCTCCGAGGGTTTTAGCAGCTCGACTTTGATGGCGTCGTCTTGTGCGGGCGTGAGCTTATTGGTGAGATACCATACTGAGATTTGTTCTTTTCCTTCGGAATACTGTGACGCGTAGTCCCCTGGCCACTGTGATGCGTCGAAATAGAAAGGTTGGCCCGGGTTCATCAAGGTTTCGAGACCATGTTCATGAGCCGTGTCGGAAAGGAGGGCTGGAGTTTCGCGGTAGAGGTATTCGTGTGTCCATTCCACAATGACATCGAAAGATGTTCGAGATATTACTGTAAGACCATGTTGGTCGCCGCTTACTGTAGCAAAGGGGGCAATCTCGATGTTTTGTTCCGGGCAACTGAGCAGAAAATATAAAGGAGGTTGATTGTCTTCTTCGATACTCCTTCCGCGGAATTTTTCATGTAAAGTGATCAAGTCACGGCGAGAGCGGATACTATGATGCTCTTGGGGAATCACCTTCACTTCCCGAGAATTCCTATTTGTGTTCTTTGTGGCGTCCTTTATATTAGACTGAATTTTCTCAACTTCTTCGGGGGAGGTCTTGAAGAGTAGAAAGATCACCAGATCATCTTCGTTCTGATGCTCCTACTGGGATAAATGTGCCGTGCTCTCCGGATATTGAGAATCCACCACATCAATCGCAAGAGGCAGGTTATTAGGATCGTATAACCACATCCCCATTTTATGCGGAAATTTATTCCTCGACCAGTATAGTAATTGGCGGTACAGGTAGATAGTGGAGAGGCTGTGTATATAAGGCTCTTTATTCGACTTGTGGGACAATTGACCAAACAGGCTAAGAAGATTGACACGTCTCGCCGTTATGAATAGCTCCGTCCCTGCACCGAAACCAAGTTTCCGACTCCGATACTTAGATGACACATCGACCGAATGTGGATCTCTTGGTTCCCAGCCTTGGGTAAATGTTATTAAAATTAATGATAGAAGATTCGTCTCCCCTCGATGAACGCTGTCAGTTATGTATCGTTTCGTACTCTCATCTGCCACGAGTAAGTCGGACTACCCAGCGCGGTGGAGGAGGATTATAATGGCGAAAAGGTTTGCTTGGCTGTCGCGGTGCTGGCCTTGCTTAGTGGTGTTTTCAAGCAGTGCTTTGCTTGGTGTCCAGGTTTGAATGGGAAGGAATTTCAGGATATTTCCTTTAGTTTGTTTTTCTTCTTTGTCGTCTTCTTCGTGGATGTTGTCTTCCTCTTTAGCGTTATTATCGTTGCCTTGACTCTATTGTCTGTCTCGTGGACATCTTCTATCTTGTCCTAGTCATCGTCTACCCTGTTCTTATTTTCCCCATCATTCGTCTTATCCTGGTTGTTCTCGCCCTGGTCACCTTCGTCGTCCATCCGAGTCTCTTCCACATCGTCTTTCTTGGCCACGTCTTCTGTCTCGTCCATATCGCGTATCTTCCACGTCAATTCTTGGTAATTTCCCTCGATCTCTTGATGCATTTTATTCAAAATTTTGTACCTCAAGTTTTGATCCAGGTCTGTTAATAGCATAAGCAGTAGTGTGTCGGGCGCAAAGGTTGGTACCATATCCCCCGGAAGGGATGGTACTGACTCTTGCTTGTGTGCCATTATTTAACTGGGAGCAGACTATATCAAGTCTGACTTTTAATATTCTCAAATATTGTGCTTGTGTGTTCTTTAAGTCAATAAGGGGGTGGGGGCGGTTTCGCACATTATGTTACTAGTAGGCAGACATCAGGCAAAAGCTGGGAGAGCTGCATAATGGGGGCTAATTATGTCATATCCGATCTTATTGTATGAATTGCCGCATTTCTACCTAAAATTAGTAAACGGGGTGTATTTTAAGTACGATAGCTCCGAAGCTTGGCTACTTCAAATGCAGGCCATCTCAAACTCGTCAAGTTTCTATATGAACATGGAGCTAGTGTTGACGCCCGGGACCTCTGTGGGCGTACTTCTGTCATCCTTATTTCAGCACTATTAACATCAACTTGCCGTCTTATGCACCCATCTCTCTTCCCTAAGAGCGAGTGGAGATTGATACCCGACTACAAGTCGTTACTCCACTGAGGGGGGCTATGTGCAGATGCCAAGATGCCGGCCGTTTCAGCTGAGAATCGTGGCCCAATGATGGGTACTCTCGCTCAGCTTGGAAGGTCAGTGCGGTCGTCGCGAGACGGGGGGCGTTTCTCACCCGCTCTCACCCTGCTTCTCACCCTAACTATTGCGCACTCACCCTTCTCACCCCTTGTCGCGCGATGCTAAAGCGGCTCTCACCCGCTCTCACCCTGGCGGCACCCACCGAACTACTGGCCGCATTTAAGCCACACGCCGGTTAGTTAGTAGTATGGTGGGTGACCACATGCGAATCCTGACTGTTGTATGTTTTTGTTTTTATGTTTTTTTGTCATTCGTCAGGATGCCTGCTATTCAGCTCCGTGAGCACCAATGCGCCATTTACAATACACACCGAGGTCCTTTTACCCACTGCGAAGAAAGGTGTCTGCTCGCCCAATCCTGACTAGACTGAACCCATAACACCATGGTCGTAAATAGTAACCTATTATCATAGTGTGACCTAATAGGGTCTGTAAGGAGCTACTAAGCCTGATAATAAAGATCATAGGGTCTAGACCCAGTATTAGATCGGAATTTTAGACCCAAAACCTAACCTAACCTATTGAAGGTTGCATTTTGAAGATACAAGATTTCTTTCGCTATTACATTTTAAAGGTATAACTCATTCGATTACATGCTCTTTCTTTCACTGTGTGGCGTTTTATCATCTTGCATTATTCTTTTCGTGTCATGAGTCTATGAACATTTATAGATCATGGCTCTACTGGCCATTTACGAGCCTAGTCAGATAAATTAACCATGTTAAGGTAGAAAGTATCTACTTACTTGTGGATGTCGAAATATCAATTAATCTCAGTTTGAATAAGATGGGCTCCTCAGCAATGTTGATCAAGCTTACCTGGCTAGCCGGTTTACGGATAGGGTGGAAGTGAGTTTACAGATTGTGTAGATGGATATCAGGCAAGAGGCACTATTATCTTTGATACAGGCAGAATCGTATATATTACGAGTGCTAGAATACAAGGCAGACTAAGACCAGGCAGGTTGAATGTCAAGTTAGTAACTTATTTATTGGAGGTAGATAAGTTTGATTACTGTACAAAAAGACCAAAAGGCAGAGACAAATCGGGATACCCTGGAAATAGAAACTTTATTCGAGGTGTGAAGGGAAATTTATACAACCGTTCAACGAATTCACTGGGAATAATTTGAGACGCGAATAGCGTAACTATGGCAGGAATCACTCGGAATCATAGCCATAACAGAGGTAGCCGCCCTGTGTGTTCATCACCTTGCCGATAGTCGTGTTCGCCATGATGTTGAAAGAAGAGAGCTCGTAATGCAATGTTGCATTTTGCCAGCCACCTGCAGGCTCAGTGTTGGCAGTGTGATTAAGTGTAGGACCACTGATGTCATAAAGTCGGTTTATGGGATCCTGCTTCTGCCATAGCCACCAAATGCGATCAACGTACATGTGGTGCATAAAAAATATGGGATCTCCGGGGGAACTCTTGATATCCGCCATCTGATATAATTCGAGATTGGTTAGCAAGTAGCATCGGTAAAAAGAAAAGGAATGGCCATCAAAATGACAAGAGAAGTCGCAAAAAGAAAAATCACTTACCACCCCACCAATGTAGGTATGGATACCTTTGTGTGGAATGTTGGAAATGCAGTTCCACCAAGGGGAGTAGGTGTTGTATGAGTTGCACATTTCGAGGACTGTACTATTAGCATTGCTGATCGCCTCTTTGCTATTAAATGAGCGTCGCAGGCAGTAATCAGTATCCTCATCGCCAGGTCCAATATGCAGAGTATAATTGGCAAAACGGCCATCCTGGACGCAATTTCCAGATCCAGTTCCATTGCCTCCAAAGGCATCAGCTCCCCACATGGAAGATCCCCACATGTTTCCACTGTCTGCGTCTCTTACTTCATCCCACCAGCTAAAAAATATGTTAGAATCAGAATGAAAATAAACCGGGGGGGGGGGGAGGTATTCTCACGGAATAGAGCCTGTGTATCCGCATTCATCACGGAGTAGAGTCTCGTAGATATGCATATAGTAGCGATGCCAAGGAAGGAATTGGCCCTGGTACCGGGATTTTAGTTTTTTTTTACCGACACACAACAAGTGGAAACATACCACATGGTGAATGATATCAGCATAGGCCGTGTTTGTCATCCCACGGTGAAGTGCTTGGAGATCACTGAATCGGCTAGTGGTGGCAGCCAAACCAGACTTGGCCGGTTTGTCCATCAAACACTGAACGGCATCGAGAAATTCCGTCTGTTCATGCTTGGACAAATGACGCCACTCTTTACGGATAGTCATCTTCTCTTTTGTACACGTACCAGAGAAGTAGCCGGGGATCATCTCTTGGGCACTGGGACCGCTGGCAGTGCGTTCATGGAGACCTGAGTGGGAATAGGGAAAGGCACCAGCAGCCGCATTAGCAACCAGGCTAAGTACGGCTCCGAAAAGAAAAAGTTGCATATTGAGACGATGAGAAGACTTTTTAATGGAGAGACAAAAATGAGAGTTCTCAAGGGGAGGCTCCAGGCCAGGAAACCGAAGAAAAGTGAACGATAAAGAGATGGGCCATCAAATCGATACCGGGCCAAAATCGACATCTTTATAGTTGGTTCCAGTAGCTGCCCCCTTTCTCTTGCTGTAAGGAGTACGCCAGCGAAACAGTCATGCCAAGTGATGAAACGCACTATTCAGTATCCATTTTACCTGTACGGATCTTACGGATCTTAGAGCTAATTTTTCTCCTCAGCTTGGCGTGACACTAACTTGGTATTCCACGAGAACCGTAGCGATATTATAATTCGAGATTGTGTGATGCTGATCACTTACTATTTGGTCTGATAGAAATATAGCGTATCTGCGCATAAGCTCCAGGACACCCATTTTTTTCCTCTTGTGATAAGAGTAGCCTCTGCCATGGTACTTTTTAACCTTGCATTGCTGATCATGATTATGTACCGTTGCTTTCTATACTCCTTTTTCAGTCTTTATTTTCCCTCTTTACGTACCATGCTAGCTGCAAATCCAACTGTGATACATCTACATGAAGAGGATCATGGGAATCAATGAAATCTCACCATGCCAAGTTTATATTTTGATATGCACGGGAAACATAATCTGACAAAATAGAGCTGACGTGGCTAGAAAGTCCTTGGTCAAATTTGGAAATTTGAAACGCTCCCTATGACTTGCTATGGACTATCCCTTGAAGACTTCAAAGCTATCTCGTTCTTCCTTTCTATCCCATGGTCCGTGAACCTTGGTCCTCCTGTAGTCTTGTGTTTCATAGTTACCCCGAAATCGACCCAACCCAGAAGGTGTGCAGCTTATTTCGGGAATTTCGGTGATAACTTATATAAAGTGGCTTATTTTCTAGCCTGTGGCCCCGCTATACAATTTACGAAGTCTTGGCATTGAGGCTCGGAAGGCGCAAAGTTACATAGTAATTCTGGGCTCCACGATCCACGATAAACTGGCTTATTACTCGAGTTCTAAACCGATAATCTATTATTTTGTCTGTTTACATATCAGTCCTTATTAAAAGCTCACTGGAGGGAAGAGGATAGCCTTCAGATATTACAAAGACATTAGACTAAATAAATCAGTAATGCGAAGCTCCTGTCTATAGCTTATTATTCAAACATGATGACACCAGCACTTTCATCACGTCTAATTTTATGAGTCCACATGTATCCTGGCAGTGAAAAGATAAGAATTAGCGCGTGTTCTGGACGCTCCGGAAGCGACATGACGCGGCAACGCTTCCAATCCTTGGCAAGAACAAGCCGTCCCAGCGGAGTCTTCGGTCCTCCCAGCGGAGTTTCCGCACCCATTCTGGCTATTTGTACTCCATCTTTTCATGTAGTGCTTTCTTATCTAAAGTTTCTCATATAGTTTTCTACCACCATAGCATGAAATATTATGTTCGGCGTGCTGTCTCTTCTCGCTATCCGTGTAGTAATATTTGGATTTCCAGCAGGGATTTGTGATATCAAATACATAGAAGACTTACCAAGGCCCGTTGGCGCCATCAGAGTTTCATCGTGTTTCCGATTCCCGCCACATGGGCCCGCCGTCCCCATTATATTCCTCGATGGGCTTGGGCTGTGGGGACAAGCTTGGAACGAACTCAAATCCCGGGTAAAGTCAATCCCAGATGATATACGCCACGCCTTAAACATGACAAGTCATAAAATTTGTATGGATGCCGGCGAGCGCTTGAATAGCCGGTTTTTGCCTTGTTATCTCTCCACATTTGTGGTCCCAGCATCTTAATCTTGCTACCAGTGAAATATCAGGCATCCTACTTCAAGACGACTAGGTATCATCCACTGTAAGTGTAGCGCTTCGGGAAAAAGAAAGTTCATTTGATTCACACTGTTTATAAAGACATTGAATCCATGATATAATTCATATTATATCGTAGACTTGAGTGCATCTGTAGAAGGAGGGTTAGAGTGTCTAGTCTGTATGAAGATCTTTTGCATTCCCTCGCGCTTGTCAAAAGCTTCATAGACTTTCTCAATATCTTCAAGTCGAAGTCGATGGGTCACCATGTTGAGCGGGTTTATATCTCCCTTCTGGATGAGGTTCATGAGATGCTCCCAATACTTATGCACTGGAGCCTGGCCATTTCCAATGAGGCGTACACCAGTTTCCATCAAGGCACCGATATTGAAATGATTAGTCTGCAATAAGAAATTGTTAGTTTAGATGGTCGTTCTTGTCAAATATGTGCTAAAATCGAAAGAACTCACATATCCAGCGTATATGCCAGTAACGCCGACTCGCCCGAACGCCCGGACAGATGTAATCATCTCATTTAGAAGCTCAGACGTATCCGTCTCCATCCCGAGCATCATCTCAAAGTAGTGAGCCCATCCTTTTGCATACTCGCCAGCAGCACACTCAAGCGCAACGTCAAGACCTCTTGGTGCAATCTGCTTCAGCTGAGATGTCACAGACTCTCCTCGAGGTAGACTAGAAAAATCGAGAGTTTCAATCTTGGGCAGTTTCTCCTTCACGAATGCCAATCTCCAAGCGGCATCCCCGCCGTCGATGAGTATCACCCGACTAGCCCCATGAAGAAGGCTAAATTCAGCGCACATCTGCCCGATTGGCCCGGCACCCCAGATTCCGACGACATCACCCTTCTCAACACCAGTATCCACGACACAATGCCAGGATGTTGCCAAAACATCAGACACGTAGAGTGCTTTCTCATCTGGAACATCATCGGGTATCTGAAGTAGGTTGACATCTCCATATGGAACTCGGATGTACTCTGCCTGTCCACCAGCAAAGCCTCCAGTGAAATGAGAATACCCAAACATGCCTGCGAGAGATAAGCAAAGCTCATTGGTAAGTATCATGAAGACTTACCAGCTGTACGCTTTCCATACATCACATTCTCGATTTTGTTCTCGTTCGTTCTCTCGCACTGGGAGAACCGCTCATGGCGACAGTTGTTACAGTCGCCACAGGCAATAGGAAACGAGACGACCACGCGATCACCGATGCTAAGCTTCTTTGATTCGGGCCCAATGCTTTCCACTATACCGCAGCATTCGTGACCTAGTACATCCCCTTTTTGAAGTTGTGGAATGACTCCTTCGACATGTTTAGTATCTCATCATTTTGGTGCATTATGGGCTACACACCGTGATAAAGATGGAGATCGCTTCCACAGATTGTGCTTCCTGTCACCTTCACGATGACATCTCCTGGGTCAACGACTAAGGGTTTTGGCATTTGTACTGGTTGCTCGCATGAGTAAAATGGTTTCAATGACGATAGGAATCATGTAGAATATTTTTACCTAGTTTCACCTGGTTCTTCCCTTGCCAAGTGGTCGCTAGAATTTTGTTATTAGTTTCCGTGCCAGTCTCATTGTAGTTGCTGATATCCGTGGTAATGGAGGCATTATCATCATGGCCGATTATGCGCTCTACCAGGTTCGCAGCTTGTGAAAAGGCCATTATGATTTTTCAATTTGGCGAAAACGACCTCAAATTTGCTTCAAGATACCTGCCACTTTGATAGATTCGTTAAACCCGATTCTTTCATTCATTTATCGTAACAAACCCTTAATCTTCCCAGTTCTCTGGAAAAGACTGATATACTTTCTGACATCATCAGGGATGATGTTCTGACATCATCATGACCCAGCCAGGCTGTTCCCGAACACTAAACCAACGTCGAGAGACTTCAGGATCAAGAAATCTGGCAGAACAATTGGTTATAGTTCTTGAGTTCCTTGTTTTGTCGTGGCATTACTCTTTAGTGAATGTTAGATATTCACCTTCATTGGTCGGGAGGGGTTCCTTGGGGACTATGATGGTTAAACTGGGTTGTATTTTGGATCGTCGGGGACCAAGACGATCAGCTTGACAACTGTAGAAAGGGAGGGCTACAGAACAGGAAGCTCCAAACTTAACTTCCTAAGCATCTAGGACATTCCCTTGAGATGCAGGCTTTGTTGATGAAGTATATATTTCTTTCATATGGTCCTGCAATTACATACGACCATAGGGTGTGGAGAACAGGGCTTCCCGTCCGCTCAGCCGTACTTAAGCCACACGCCGGTTAGTTAGTAGTATGGTGGGTGACCACATGCGAATCCTGACTGTTGTATGTCCGTATTCACCGATTTTTTTGATTCGTTAGGGAAACTCTCCTTGCCGCCCTACTCTTCAGGCCCTTCAGGCCCTTCACCTGAACGCCCTGAACACCATTATTTTGCACCTGAATATCCTGCAGGCCCCTGAAGCGCTGACGTGGCCTTCCCCTCCCGTGCTGACCTTTCGATGCATGTGCGTTATCGTAGTCACAACTATTTGGTCTGGCCTTAACCGACTCATGTGACTGGTCACCCGGCAGTGGAAAGATGACAGTCTGTTACTACACGTGACCTTCAGGCTGCTTTCTTATCTCCTTCACTACGACGTCAACAATCCCCGACTAGGGAGTCTGATAAGCGATTCATATGTCAATCCCGCGGGCACTTGATATTCATTTTGTCTATAAGACATAACATATAATATGTTAAACGAATGTATTTATCGAAAAGATTGAAAGGCGTGTGCTTCAAATCGCGGTTTCTTTAGTTGATATATTTCATACCCCTTTTGCATAGGGAAACTTTGGGATGCCATAATGGAGAAATGGCTCCCATACTCACTCGCATCTTTACGCACTCGCAACGTGCTTTCCTTATTTATGCTAATAACCAACAAAATCATCATATGAAAGGTGCTCTTCCAAGCGACTTTCCCTGGCTTGCTGCGTCTTCACCGGAACAAGTCTCTCCAGTCCATCCAACTCCTCCTTTGATAAAAGCGAAAGCCTGTCCTCAAGGGACCCATTACCAAAGTGTTTTTGGTCAAGAAACGTCCAGTAGATCTCATCAAACATGAAACTCTTCTTTGCAGCAAGACAGAACCAAAAGAGCCCATTTTCCATTGACTGCGCCATCCTAATCGATAGTCGCTGAGACTCCTCCATCGCCTGTTTTTTTATCTGTTCGTCTTCGCACCACCGGAGGACCCTAAGAAAAAGCTGTAGACGTGGAGTATACCGGCATAGAAACAAATTCAAGTCTGCCTCCCAAGCCTCTGGGCTCTCAAAAAGTAGCCACCAAGGCGCAGTATAGGTGAATTCAACAGGCGCCACATATGTATATTCCCAGTCAATAACGCCGGTTACCGCAAAGTTTGGTCCTGAGACAAGGACATTCGATGGGCGTAAGTCATCGCAGTAAAGATGGAAAGGGCCAAAATGCTCTGCTGGAATTTTCCTAGCGATCTTTCTGAAAAGACAGCGAGAAATGTATTTTTTCCGGCAATCTAGTTCGTCATCCACGGCATCATTGCGTTGAATTTGAAGGTGTAGAAGCTGCTGTGCTGCAAATTCCTGGAAATACTCGCCGGCGGTTCGAAAGCTCCCCTCGGCAAATTCACCAGGGGGAAGGTTTCCAACGCGTACAAGCTCATTCATGTTCAAAGTCAATGGCCTTTTCACCACTTCCCACGCCCCTGACTTTTGAGCTAGAACCCCAATACGCGGGAAGACTGGTTTTGATAGCTCTAGCATAACCTGGGCCATGCCACGAAAAGCATGTTCAATATCCAAGCTAGATGGGCTTCGGAGGCGATTGGATAATAAGGTGCCCTCAACAAAGGTCATGACAATATATGGTCCACACCACCAACGACCTGCCCCAAGAACAAGGGGAACAGGAACCTTTGTTTGCTGATGGATAAACCTCATCACTGAGATTTCATTCCTAGTCTTCTCGGTGCGAAACCGAGAATCTGGATTTTTAGAAACGAACTAAATAGCATCCGGGACTAATAATCATAACCTGGGACACAAAGTCGAAATTTGGAATACATGCCAGTTTGTTCATCTACACAGACCGATATCATCTGACAAGCCAGGGCTTTATCATTAGGTGATAGGACTCTATAAGTATATTAGGTGATTATCCTTGAATTGGAATTTGACTTCATATTGAAATGACTGGGTTCTGTATGTATAGAGTCCAAATATGCCTTCCTTTGAGAATAGCTAGAGTTGTATTAAGAGAATAATCCGAATTGAAGGGACTGTATTGAGTGTGTGCGTATTTTGGTTATGCACCATAAGTCACTCAAGAATAATTTCCGTCTATTCGCCGGAATGGTATATTAAGATTGGATACTTCATATCCTGGAATTCCCTTTTGAGCAAATTTACATGTGCGGAATTGGCAAAAGTTACTTTTGTTCAGAAGTACAATTACCCACAGGTCGCAATTACCAAAAGTCACAATATTGGAAATTGCTTAGTGGCCACAATGAATGATATCAATAAATAAGGCAGCAGTCTGCATAAAAGAGGTTGCTTTACTCTAAATTGTGTCAAATATTAAGAGCAGTCATGTCAATTCCAAACCCATACTCAGGATCTATGCAGCACTATACGGAGGAGCATGACATCGCAGCTCCACTCATTGCATCTATACTTTAGGGTCATACGGACGAACAAAAACAAGCTATTCACCAGCTTGCCTCTTTGAATAACCAGATTCGGGCCAAGAATATTCGTTCTAAGATTCCCAAGGCTATTGGATGCATCGATATTCCTGCCTTCAAGGTGGCAGCTGAGATGCTAATTCAAGCGTCAAAGGCATTTGAGACTAATAAAGACACAAGTATATTTAAACAGGCCAAGCAAGACCTACATCAATGCATCAAGCTGGGTAAATTACCAAGGTCATAGAACATCCAATGGGAGGACTTTACAGATTTTCATGCCGCCCGAGTTGGTAAGGAGTATTGAAAGCTAGCAGAGCGAGACAGATACTAACCAAGCTTTAGGTGGACGAGGCGGACAGCTAGGGCCTACAGTTAATGCCTTCCAGGAATCCCAGTATGACAGAGGCTATCATGGGCAATCCTCCATTCCGCAACCTCAAGCGCTTTATCATGAGACATCTTCAGATGCATTCACTACCAATGGAGACGATTCCAACGTTACAGAAAATCAGAATCTAGATATAGAAGAAGATGCTTTGGAGAATGAAGACTATGATGAAGATAGTGAGGTGCAAGGCGGTGAATACTCCGATGAGGACAGTCAAGGAAATGATGACTTCGGCGAAGGTGACTCAGACTACACTGAGAGTGACTCGATTGGGGATGTCCTTGATGCAGATGTCCTTGAATTGACTTACGACACAGGACGTGGGCTGGACTGCATGGACCTGAGCCTCCTAAGAGGTCGAGCACAAACCCGATATGGCCTTCTTTTGAGCTCGGGATCTATTCTAGGTTGGCGGGATACCAGGGACGCAGGGTTAGTATCCATTATTGGGTACGAGTGCCGAGGTAAAAGAACTGCTCGTGTGAAGTGTCAGCGAGGTGAACAGAGGAATGAGAAAGAGCCTACGGGTGGAAGAGAGGACTATCTGACAGCAAAGATCCAGGGTGTAGGGTTAATAGCTTGGGTAGTGGATGAAAAGTCTATCTTCGACCCTATCCAATCACTTTACCCCACCCTCAACTCTACATACCCAAGTACGTTTGTTACAATTTTCTGGGCGGACAATACCTGGACATGGGAGTCCCGTGAAGTGTTTTGTTCTTTGATGGAAGATCTCAGCCCCTTTGAATCGAACGTTCTTTTATATTTCATGGCTATCTCTCAGGAGTCCGACTATCAGGAGGCCTTGACTGGTGAACGACCGAGATTTCCAAATCCATCATTCATGCCAGAACTGAGAGGAAATCCAATAGGATTGACTGCAACATCCAGCTAGAGGGAACTTATTTACCGTCTTCCAAGCTAGGGCTGCTTCATGTCACTCATTCTTATATTTCATCCACCATCCGTCATCATATAAATTTTGACTTTGCCATTTTTCTTTCAGTTTGTCCGATTGTGGGGTACTATGACCTCTCAGTGTGTTTTCAGCGCTTTCCGCATTAGTATCGTCTAGATTCAGGCCCGCGGAGCTTACCTCCATGGAAGCTCTTCTCTCTCTTTCTCCTCTCCATGTCCCATAACACATATACTGTTCCATGTGGTTTTTAGCTTTATAATATTTAGTCTTCTTCCCGCTTTTGTTCAAATAGGCGCTTTAATGAGTCTTAGTTGGCAAACAGACAAATTCTGTTACTATACTGAGGGCTACCATGATACGCCGGTATTGAGATAGATTGGGAATACAAATGGAAAACAACCTCAACTTCAATATGTACCTCCTGGAGCAGGTGTATCAGACCCAGACTTGTTATATATTTCTCTCTATTCCTTTCTACGCCAGTTTCTTATTGAAGTGTTTAACGCCCGAAGGATTCACGAAAGCATCCCCTAAGATGATGGCCTGACAGTGATGGCCAAACCTACGACGTGGAGTCCACTTGCTGTAAGAGGGAGAATGGAGAGGGAGAACAGTCACCCATATTACTGCCTTCTATCTTTTTTACTTCTATAGGAGTAGATAGATATTAATAGCTATCAAAGAGTATTACTAGAGGTAAAGAGACAGGATGAGGAAGACAGCAGATGAAGAGGACCTAGACAAGCAAGCACTGGAGCAAAAAAAGTTTTATTGATAATATTCTATTAAACTCCTGGCTAGTATTTATGTAAATCAGAAAGGCTATAGCAAACTGATATTTTATCGATTCTCAAGTAAGATGAAGATACAGTATATTCTCTTATCGAAAACTTAGATGAATCCAAATGATAGCGAAAAATAACTCCCGATCGCATAATCTGGATTTCAATATCCTGTCCAGCAAATTCGCTGGAAAGCCTTTCTGACTCCCACTGTCATTCCATAAATCCGCTCTTATATCTTCCTACTTGGAAGTAGATGATATACAGTCTCAAAAACATCCCTATTCGGTTTCGATTTCATGTTTGATGTCTTCTTCTTCGGAGTCCGATAAAGTCTTATATCTCTAGGGAATTAATTTATAAGACGCGTTTTGATTCATCTTTCTCCTCTTTTTCCTACTTACTGCTTGATTAGGTGGCCAGACAGAGTGAATGGTTTTCGTTCGGCCCCGCGAATGTCGCACAACGGTAATGCATACGCACAGTAGTCCCGACTTACGAGCGATTTTGGGAAAAGAACCCCATTTTGGTAAATAGAGATTTCCGTGAAGTTGAACTGAGATTCTAGTGGCCTTTAGCACTTAAATAAGACTCGTGCCCAAATAGCGCTTTTGCACCTTATCTACAATGCGCGCTCACTCCTTGATCCCATTGCGCAAATTCCCTATATCCGACTAACGCCGACGGCTCCTAAAATTTTCGCAGCACAATTTCAAAGGTCGACTAATATTCCGAGAAATGCAATTTTCCTGGTCACCAATATTATGCGCTCTCTAATATTATTGATTTTTAAAATTTCAGTTTGTTGATTTTCGGGCAAGTCCAATATTCCAATATCGAAATTTCAAGGCGTTTTCTCATTACAAGTCCTCTAAAATTCAAAGCGCTGAACATTATAAGTGTGTGAAGTTTATCCATCTTCAATATTCTTCGATATTCTCCTTGGGAAAAAATGTCTCTTTCCCACGAATTCACCTTTTAAGAAAGACAAACCTATTATAAGGGCAGAGCTAAGATATATTTATCACACTTTCAAATAGATAGTTCAGGACCTCGGACTATTCGGCATACCCATGTTGATCGGCTTGTCCAGCTCTTTGAATCTGAAGGATTCTCTCGGTTTAACCCTGAGAACTTTGTCAAGGTTTCAATCAATAGCAATATTCTCCAGCGAGCCTTGGCCAAGAATGGTCAAACAGAGGCGACTTTGCATGGTCCATTGGAGTTTTTAAATCTTCCAGACGACGTACGTCTCTATGTGCTACACGGAAATCACCGTCTTATTGCTGCCATTAAGAAGTCCATATAATAGTAGGTAGGAGAACTATATAGTGATGGTGAGATCATATACTTCAATAGATATATTCACAGTTACTGACGCTTAATAAGATATAGATTCTGAGATCGCACAAGAAATTCGGGAAGAGCACCCGAATACTCAGCCATATTGCGATGGTGATATATATCGCCACGTACGGCATTACGAAAGAGTGGGAGACGTGGACTCTAAGCTAAAATAGCGAGGCAGGTTCAGGAAAGGTATCCATCATAAGGTCGCCCGTATGGAAAAAGATTTCAAGAGAGTCAAGAGGGCCATCGATAACTTATTACCACTTCTGGGGCTATAGGGAGCGTTAAAGCTTTCCTATCTCGGTCGATGGTTATCACTAAAGTGCCCAGAGGTAGGTTGGTTTTGTAAGATGCTCTAAACTAGGCTAATAAGATAAGGAAATAATTCGATATTTAGGGTTCGTCCATCAACAGTGGGCTTTTATTATGGGTGATAATTCCGCCAGCCTTCTGGACTCTGATATAGTCGATGAGCTTAAGACTCTAATGCCTAGAATCTCTTTTCATAATAAGGCTGTAATCGAAGATAAAATAGAGAAACGCAAGATATTCCGTAATATAGAGTCAAATGAACAGTATATGCAGGTATTAGGTCGCATTATCAGAATTCGAGGGAGAATCTTATCATTCTATATATTCACTAGAGATTTTATATACTTTAAGGCATATATAGGGGCTCTTAAACCATTACAGCCTATTGACTCCAAGGAAACCATGTTTGAAGGTTTCACACGGAGTTACTTACGACATCAATCTCACGTCTTTGATGTCCAACTTACAGAAGATTCTTTCGAACCCTGAGACGGTAACACTCATAACGTGGCGCTTTATTATCAGTAGCTTTTTCTAGCTGTGATGCGTGACTTTCCAACTCTCACGAGCTTATTGCCATACCGTAACAATAGGAAAGTGAGGCCAAAGGAGTCTGGCTTTAGGCTTGAAAGGGATTTGAATCTAGCTTAGCTGGCCATAAGGCTCGGGTTCCAAAATGCCGTAATACTGGCCATTAATGAACAGGCTGGTTCGAATCGGTACCAAATTACCACAGAAGAATTCCTTTATCAGATTCAGCCTCGAGATAGGTACAATGCCAATACGGAGACTATAGAAGGTCTTACCAACTATATTTCCGAGGGCATTATAAATAACTGCGCAATACGTCCATCGCCCCAAGAGGCACGTCTTACTATAGACTTAGAGAAGCTGCTAAAAAAGCTCCGTTATAGTCGGCCTTCTTACAAGAACTATGAAAATGATCGGCAGTTTTTGTTTTTAGATATTATTCTTTAAGAAGATATCTCTAGATCACATACAACGTCCTTTGCTGTATAGCGTGATATCTTCTTTTCCTTCTTCGGTGGAAACTATCATAAAACCCAGGACTTCAATGAATATTTGTCTGCGGATAACCTAAGAGTGATTGATTCCCAAGAGGATTTATTCAATGCCAGTGAAGAATCGTCCCCAAGGGTCAGCCTTAGTACCACATCCTTACAACATGCAGGCGTTGATGGACCAGCCTACAATGATTCTGGTGAAGAGACTAAGGAGATAATTTATCGTGAGGATATCTCAGCAATGAATGAAGCATCTGAGAGTGACGACCAGCTCAAAGCTTTAGAGCAACATAGTCTAACGAGGGACTCTTTTGAGACATACTCCGTTAGTACCGGGACAAACTCAATCGCTAACGATAAAGAATTCACGGTACTTGACCAAAACACTTTGCTATCTGCCGTCATTCGGAATATTCTTTCTCAAACAAACGATATTCTACTCTACATCTAGCAAAACAGGCGGTACGCTCAGCTTTCGAGCAGCCCCGAAGACAAGCCTTTCTTTGATAGAGTAGTAAAAAAGCTAGCGAATCGCCAACAAGTTTTCATATCAACTTAGGGTAATCGTCTTCCCCATCTTATCATACTTAAAAACCTTTACAACTCTGCCATTAGCGAAAGGCTCATTTTAGTTGGACCAAAGGCAGATTCAGCTAGCTTAAGTGGGACTCTTATATCCCGAATACGGTAGGGAAATTTTCTTCATTTCATAGATAAGGGTTTTAATTTCGAAGATACAGGAATTTAACTTAAAAATCGATCAATCGTAATCATATAAAATCAAGCCTCGAATCTTCATAATAGGAACAACTAAGCAACCCTCGCCCGCTGCATAAGAAATGAAGATATCCTTACCAAGAATAAGTCAGTTTAGGCTTAAAAAAGTTAGGATATATATAGTATGACCGACCTATAGAAGAGCTTGGATTGTAGTATTCGCTGTTTTAGAAATGAATCCCTGTAAACGATCGGTGCATTAGGAAACACGCAAACCGCTACCTCGGAGCTCGGAAATAGTACACCTAGGCTCAACGATCTCATATAGCAAACGGCTAATGTATTTAATATCAAGCTGCTCAGATCCCTGATGTCGTTCAAATAGAGACGCTGCTATGTTTACTGTTTTGGAGGTCAGCGGTTTACGTATATAAATATAAGTATATGAACTATGCAGAAAGCCGCTAACCGATTTTTACACAACCCTTCGATGATATAAAGATATTATCAGACGTTAAAGCCGTATGGCAAACAGCCAAATCGCGGTGAATATACCAAAGCCCGTGTAAAAGCTATTAGATGCCTATTTTAGCCTGTGTGAAACGATGAATGGATACGAAGGCTTACCTCTTTAGATATGAATGCAAGCTCAGATTCCTTTAGTTGGATTCCAGACTGAAGTTGCTCTAATGAAAGTTCCATAAGCTCGTATATAAGGTATAGAGTCTTTGACTCTTCAAACGCGTCTAGAAGATTGACGATGTTTGGATGACTAATCAGTTGTAAATGACACGTTTTGTCGATCCCACTCTTTCTATATTGCTTAATAGGGGGAGGGATTTTGCGTGAGAAAGCAGTAGATTATAAAGCGACGAATAGAGAAGGAAGAACGCCATTGATTAAGGTAGCTAGCTTTGGGCATACGAGGTTTGTCGAATGGCTCCTGCGCGAGGGTGTGAAGCTTGAAGCAACAATGGGTAAAGGCGAAAGTGCTCTATAGGCGGCTTTATTAGGAGGACATTAGGACGTTGTTGAAATATTGCTTAGAGCTAGTGTAGCGGTGAATGCAAAGAGTGATTAATACGGCAATGCACTATAAGCTACTATATATGGTGGAAGTAGTGATATCGTACAGCTGCTCCTTGACGCTGGCGCCGATGTCAAGGCTTAGGGTGGTTATTTTGGCAATGCCCTATAGGCTGCTGGTGTATACGGGAAAAGTAGTGAGATTGTATAGATGCTCCTGGACGCTGGCGCCGATGTTAAGGCTTAGGGTGGTAAATATGGCAATGCCCTATAAGCTGCTGTGGCATACGGGAAAAGTAGTGAGATTGTGTAGATGCTCCTGGACGCTGGCGCCGATGTCAAGGCTTAGGGTGGTGATTACGGTAATGCCCTATAAGCTGCTGCATATAGTGGAAGTAGTGATGTCGTGCAGATGCTCCTAGACGCTGGCGCCGATGTTAAGGCTCAGGGCGGTCTATACGGCAGTGCCCTACAGGCTGCTGTTGTATACGGGAAAAGCAGTAAGATCGTGCAGATGCTCCTGGACGCAGGCGCCGATGTTAAGGCTTAGGGTGGTCATCTTGACATTGCACTACATGATGCTGCTGTATATGGTGGAAGCAGTGAGATTATGCAGATGCTCCTCGATGCCGGCGCCGATTTCAGGGCTCAGGGTGGTCAATACGGCAATGCCCTACAGGCTGCAGCATATGGTGGAAGCAGTGATATCGTGCAGCTACTCCTTGACGCTGGTGCTGATATCAAGGCTCAGGGTGGTAAATACAGTAATGCCCTACAAGCTGCGGCATATGGTGGAAGCAGTGATATCGTGTAGCTGCCCCTGGACGCTGGTGCTGATATTTAGGCTTAGGGTGGTGAATACGGCAATGCCCTATAAGCTGCTGCATATGGTGGAAGCAGTGATATCGTGCAGCTACTCCTTGACGCTGGTGCTGATATCAAGGCTCAGGGTGGTAAATACAGTAATGCCCTACAAGCTGCGGCATATGGTGGAAGCAGTGATATCGTGTAGCTGCCCCTGGACGCTGGTGCTGATATTTAGGCTTAGGGTGGTGAATACGGCAATGCCCTATAAGCTGCTGCATATGGTGGAAGCAGTGATATCGTGCAGCTGCTCCTGGACGCTGGTGCTGATATCAAGGCTTAGGGTGGTGAGTACGGCAATGCCCTATAAGCTGCTGCGTATGGTGGAAGAAGTGGGATCGTTCAGATGCTCCTGGACGCTGGCGCCGATTTCGAGGCTCAGGGTGGTTATTTTGGCAATACCCTACAGGCTGCGGCATATGGTGGAAGCAGTGATATCGTGTAGCTGCTCCTTGACGCTGGCGCCGATGTTAAGGCTCAGGGTGGTGAATACGGTAATGCCCTATAAGCTGCTGTATGTGGTTGGAGCAGTAAGATCGTGTAGATGCTCCTAGACGCTGGTGCCGATGTGAGGGCTCAGGGTGGTTTTTTTGGCAATACCCTACAGGCTGCGGTATATGGTGAAAGCAGTGATATCGTGCAGCTGCTCCTTGATGCTGGCGCCGATATTAAGGCTTAGGGTGGTCATTTTGGTAATGCCCTACAGGCTGCTGGTGTATACGGGAAAAGCAGTGAGATTGTGCAGATGCTCCTAGACGCTAGCGCCGATGTCAAGGCTCAGGGTGGTAAATACGGTAATGCCCTATAAGCTGCTGCATGTGGTGGAAGCAGTAAGATCGTGCAGCTGCTCCTTGACGCTGGCGCTGATGTTAAGGCTTAGGGTGGTAAATATGGTAATGCCCTATAAGCTGCTGTATGTGGTGGAAGTAGTAAGATCGTGCAACTGCTCCTTGACGCTGGCGCCGATGTTAAGGCTCAGGGTGGTAAATACGGTAATGCCCTATAAGCTACTATATATGGTGGAAGAAGTGGGATCGATTAGATGCTCCTAGACGCTGGCGCCGATGTTAACGCTCGATATAGTAAATATGGATCATCTCTCTTAGTAGCTGTTTATCAGGGCTATGCTGATCAAGTTTAGATGCTTCTTCACGCTGGCGCAAATGCGTTACTTATAGATGAGTTTGACCAGACTCCCCTTTATATTACCGCCTCGAAAAATAGGCTTAACCTTCTTAATCGATTCCTAGAGCTCCTCTCGCCTATTAATAACCGTAATAAGCTTTTACGAACTCCTATTTATGTAGCTATTTACCTCGGTTATATTAAATTTGCCATAAATCTTATTCACCTTAGTGCTAATCCTTCTCTTCTAGATGGTTATGGTAGAAATACCCTTAACTAGGTAGTTAGAAATGAAAGCCTGGTGCTTTAAATCTAAAACCATTACCCTTTAATTATTATGATGCCTGATAATATTTGAGAGCTTGCGGTTCGTTAATCAATCCTTTAAATCTGCGATACCCTTCTTCACTCTTAGCTGCGTTTCCTATGGCCACTCTTGCCGTAGTTGGGTCGATATCTATTGTTCGTTAGCGAAGTAGATAATACGTAATGTGTGTTTTAGCTGCATTTTTCTTAAGAGACTTCTATTCACACACCCGTATATAAGCCTAGGTGTGACCTTTGCATACGGTTCATTAACGACTCTCGCTTTGTGTGTAGAATCTGCGCCTATATGGATTTATGCTCGTCCTGCGTGCAGAAGTATCCCTTCTATAGTCGATTACACCCGACTTAAGAGCACAAGACTTTTGAAGTGTCATATGTGCTCGATTAACAATCTATGCTCACCACGTTAGCCTTAGAGAAGTTGAGATAACTCGTTGATTAGCTTTCTGCACTAAATACCCATAGAGGTGGGCAGGAGCCGTCACCTGATTCCGTGGCTGATCTACCGTCCAAAGTTACGGTATCTAAAAATGATAACTATTTTTTTTTTCGATGGCTCTTTTAAGCGCAATCTCAATACTCTGTCTCCTTTCGTTTGTATTTAAAGTAGTATTATTTAAATACTGGTATATCTTGAGCTAGTTGAATATATCCTTCAAGCTCGCCGTCTATAGCTTGTTATCATTAAATAACAATCGCTCTGGTATATATGTATCGCGCCCAGACTAATATATTCTGTATGAGGGCCATATTTATGAGATTAGTGAAGTGTGTTCCGCAAAAACCATTCATAGGGAAGTTGTTTAGGGGAGCGAAGAGGGAAAGTGGTATCGTATGTATATCAATTTCGTGTAAATTACAGCAAGGGAGGTCTCAGCGCGTTCTGTAAGATACAATTTCTATCTTTAGAATCGGGGATCGACACAATTGCTATATTTGGACCAGCGTGTTTCAAGCTAGGGTTTAGGAATGAAAGTCTAAGAGTGTAGAGGTAAATCTGATTTCGAATACCACTGTACAGTACTTTTAATGATGATTGAAGGATTATGAGAAAGTTTAATAAGCCCATGCCAGTAGGTTACCGGAAGGTACATCTGTAGGTTTACTGAAATGCGCATATATATTAGAAATATCCTGAAGTACTAAAGCTAAACTATCTAGATGTATTCTCCTTCTGGCGTTATAGCTATATTGAACTTTCCTGGAGCTTAGGCGAAGCCAAAAATACCAAAAACACAACATATTCCAATTATCATCGTTGCCCGGAATCGAAATTTAATCAAGTCACCATCATTGGATACTGCATTTCCTGTAGAACTTGGTGATGTGGAAGATTCCAAAACTGGCAAAGACGTGATCTTGCTGCTGTTCGGGCGAATCTTCGTAGGCGTGGTTATACTTTGAACGACGTTGACACTCATAATTGTGCTATAATGGACCTCGCTAGTATATAACTTAGAATGAGCTGAGGATGGAGAAGCACGAAATGGATGCATTGTTCGTGTTCTTGTAAGGGAATTCATTCCCTTGTAAGGGCCAACGGGAGTGTGTATTGCGCTGGTTGGAGTATTGGTTGCCAGCAACATAGACTTCCTGTATCGAGCCATAGTGTATGTGTATATGAGGGTTATCATACTAGTAAAGCTTATTGGAGTGACTGTTGGAGTGATCGTCTAAGCGTGGAATATGTTGCTGTGGCTATGTTTTCTAATATGTGGAAGAGTGACCGCCGTAACTAGAGAGGCTTGAAGATATATCAATTTAATGAAAAATAATATCATTAAAATTGAACCCTATGCTATATATGTAGATAGTATAGGTTAGAAGAAGTCTCTCGTAAGGATATTCTAAGGGTTTTAAATAAAGTCTTTGGATAAACTATAGTCTAGGAGAATGTCTATAAGCTACCTTTTGCTATTTATAACTTTGGTCCTCTTCTCCTTAGATCGAATATTGCGTAACGGAACATCAGCTAGCTATAATTTCCCCGATAGCCTTCCCAAAATAGCCCTAAAGCTACCAGTCGACCGAAAACATTCTATATATCAAATCTTGATAGTCCCCTTCGCTACAATTCATATTAGAATTAGATTCGATAATTCCAATGACAGAAGGACACTCACATCGTCTTTTCAATATACACATGGCACTGACGTATGTATAAAGAGATAAGAAAAGTGCCGTAAATAGTAGAACAAAAATCCCGGAGTGTTTATGCAACTGCACCTCGTCGCTTGTGATCACTATGGTCGTGGGCTGGCTTGGCTCCACTAATGGGACCCCTGCAGAACTGGTCTCGGCAGTAAGCACGGGGATATTCATCCAATTCAAATCTTTTGCTGCCAATGTCGCTTCGGCAGAGATTGTCTTTGAGGCATGGCAAAGGGCGTACGTAGTCCCCATTAAGTCGCATAATAGGTAGGCGGCACTGCCCTGTCAGTGATGTCAAAGAATGCACTGCACTTCTGACTCACGTTTTTGGGTTCACGTTATTAAGTTCCATATGGTGTGGCCCTGCAATCGCTGTCATACCTGCACCAGGAATGCCACATTCTCTGGCGTGAACACTTGTTGGACATGTGACCAAATAGGTGGTTGCAAAATCTCCCTTCAATATGTCAGGCCCCCTTTCTTGAGCTTATCAAAATCCAAGGGTGACAAACCTTGAACAGAACCTTCGCTTGCAAGTCATGGCCTTGAAACCCTGGTAGCAGCAAGTTTGCCATCTCAACCGCCGTTGTAACGGTAATGTAAAACATAATCAAAAGAATGAGGGATTTCATTTTGGTGTTATTTGGAGTAATTTGAAGGGTGAAAAAATAATAACCTCGGACTTAGTCGAGTTCCACGGGTTCTTAGTCACAGTACTTTCTTTTTTTTTGCAAGTTCAAGTTGACCAGATCCCCAGTGAAACAGCTTGATTGTTGCCTAAGTGAACAAGTTTAATCGGTCCTCGATACCTTCCAAGGCTTTCTGTCTACTCTCAAGTACTCAAGTGATACTAGACGTCGATCCAATGAACAGTACGCAGTACAGCGTGGGCCTCGTACTTTGAGACTTTGACGCATATCCTGGTAGACATGTCAATTTTTGATCCCCCTGCTCTTGCAAATGTTCCCCGACTGGACCCTCAGACCCTTCATGCGCAATACGAGGACTTATATAGGTGCTGGATTTTTCCACTTGAATTTTGTTTTCCCTTTCCAGATTAGTGCTCACTAAGTCGCCGCTTTTACTCACTAAGTAGATCTAAGCACGGCAGTAGATCTAAGCACGGCTTCCATAGTAACGTGCCTAATGTAGTAACGAGGGACTACCCCTAAGGGGATGTGTTAGAGCCTTGAAGGTGTGTAGAAGGGTGGTATTCTAAAGCTATAAAGACAGGTATCCTTATATGTACACAACAAAGCCAAGGGATTTAAGGGAAACCACAATCTAAAGAACATAAGATGATATAGAACTAATCAAAGTACAGGGACTAGGTTCCCCACTACAGTATATAAAAATATCGAACAAAAATCTACGAGCCGCTCACTCCTACCTCACCTAGACATTGCCGCTTTAACAGGGTAACCAGGGCAAGTCAGGTAACCAACTAACCCATCCAAGGTGATTCGCTTACCCCAGGTCGCTTATACTCACTCTAACCTTACCCATCCCTCCTCAAACCACACACTAGTTCTTTAACAGCTCACCAATAGAGTCAAAAATACGTCAAGCATAGAGAAATTCGAGGGTAGAAGGGGTAAGTAGTTCCACTGCTACCTACAGAGATTAGCAAGCAAAACCTAGGGGGTTCCCCTACTCCCACTTCTCGCAGCTATTAGAATTTCCAAATCTTTCTTTCTTGCTATTTCCAATTTCCTTATTTTTGGGTTACTTGGATACTCCGAAATCTTTATCTCGGCTGCTTTTTTAATCTCGCGGGGTTTATACTATTTCTACAATGGCCAAGCAAAGAGGCAAGGCAAAAGTTGACAAGAGTGCTTTTGCTAAAGCCAATGGCTATTTTCGTGGGGTAAACCGGGAAAAAAGACAGTATTCACAACGAAAACAAGTACTCTGATGATACAATCGAACTTCAAAACAGAGCCTTAGAAGAATACCAAAAGTATGCTTCTTTCACTCCATGTTGCTTAGATTCAATTCTAATCCTCGTTAGATAGATTACTGAAGAGGACGAGATCAGTGAAGACGAATGTCTTCAAAAAAGCAAAGCGTGACCTACGCTATAAGGTATTATACAAAAATTGACCTGCTTAACTGGCAAATTACTCACGGCTTGTTGGCATTAGTATTTGCCGACAGAGCTCTTTTTGATATTGATTCTCTTGAAGAATTAGAACGTTGGGAACAATAAGCCAATTCTAATACTGTGGAATTCAGCAGTAGCAAAAGAACCAATTATGCGGATGGTTACCAGATCTGGCGGCGCCTCTAAAGATCCCTTGACCCGTTACATATTTTGCCTTCTGTTTAGGACCATCGTTTGTAATGCAGGATACTTTGAGATTATTACAATCCATAGTTTACGTCGAGGCCTTGCAAATAAGATTGACAGTGAGTGGCATTCAAGATTGAAAAAATGAAGATGCTCATCATTTTACAGAGGTAGCAACAGAAGCAGAAAGGGGCCAGCTCCTAACACAGAAGGATCCGAATGTCTATGGCTAGAGCTATATTGATAATACTTTAGCTTTGAGTAGTATGTATGTCTTCCTTGGCGGAAAAATGCGCCTAGACCATATTAAGTACCTTCGAGACGTTGAAAATTATCGCGAGAAGGGTTAGGCAAGACGTCTGCCAGCCAAAAAGCATCATGCTCTTCAAAATGTTACTGATTTGTAAGAGCTTCAGCTGCAGTTTCAGTAGTTGGAATTAGAAGATCACGATCTATTTGAACTTAGTATTATGAAAAAAACGTGTGCAAATTCTCAAAAATCGCCTTGAAACCGATACTTTCAAGAAATACCGAGAGGCCTGAGTTCAAATCCACCTAGAAGGAAAAGTCATATCCAGAGGATATCGATTCCAAGTAGTGTTATGCAAAATGATGTATCACGTTGTCTTTTCATGATTCTTCCTGAACGTCAGCATCTCGCGAAGATGATTACCTCTGATAAGATCCTCTTTCACAATGAAACACTCTCTGTAGTTAGAGATCTGCTAGCATTATGCAAGCGAGATTATAATGTCTTCTTTCGACCTGGTGAAAAATCACCGAACGGTGTATGTCTGGCCGGGGACTGCAATATTGCCCTTGAAAAGTAAGCCAGCATTCCATATATATTGATAGAGCTTCTGCTGATGTTCTTAGATTGCCTTGACCGTAACGAAGCAATCACATTCAGGATTGCCGACTCCGCGAACTCTGTAATACATATAATTACGAAAAAAAGAAGTGAAATACTGTGATGAATGCTCCGATATCATCACAGGAAACCGATTGGAGGATTAATGTTAAGAACATCTTTCTTCAATCACTTCACAGCGTTGTGAGATAATCACCTATTGCGTTACGCTTATTCGACCAGGGTATTGTCCTCTGTGCCTGGGCAACGAGTCTCTGCTACCATCCCAACGTGTGAGACACTGGAAACCAAGCAATGATTTAAGAGCCCATGTACTAGAGGGTATAAGAAAGATGGAAGGCAAATATCCGTGTACCCATCCCATATGTTGTACAAATTGCGCCAGTGAAATCGACCTCTGTTACCATTTAAACGATATACATAGATTGCAGAAAGCAATCTGGGACAAGAAAGACATACTCGCCGGTGTTGTCAATGACCTGGTATCTGAAAATAATGACTGTAGAAGCAGCATAGGGAGCAACAGACAGTCTTCTCAGGATGAAGACATTAATGTAGAGATCAAACGGGAAAAACAAAATCAAAGGATATATCAAAAGTTAGTTGGGAGCCTGTGTTAATCTATTGGTAAGGGAAACCTTAGCTTGATTGTGAACCAGGTCATCAGACATTCCCTCCATAAGCTAACATTGAAAATAAATACAATCTATATACTCATGAGTCATGCGGAACCTTTTCATCGAGAAAGACTTGGTGAAAAATACCCGGGTGCGCATTCTAGAGCTATGCTGCCATATCGTGCACGTCGAGCTAATCGTCGAGCTAATGATCTGCGACGACAACATAGCATCCTCAATCCTTATTTTCCTTTATCTCCCAGGATGTATCATTGGTGGGTGGAAGATGAAAGTTCCAACTAACTTTTTATATATCTCTTTCTTTTTCTCTTGAAAGAAAATCTAAAGGTTGAAGGTGGTAAAGAACGAAAAAGAATTCATGGAGATCTCAAAATACACAGAAAAAAAGAACGTAACAAATATAATCAAGACTTAAAAAGTAAAAAGCAAGTTGTCTTCAACGTTCCAGGAGTAAGACTCCTTCAAGTCCTCACTGGAATTCTACAAAAGTAATAATGGACAGTATCATCAAAATGATTACTCTGTCCAAGAACTTCCACTCCATATTGCTGATATAATGGAAGACCTTGTTGTGTCGATATGAAGTACATCGGAATCTGGTCAATGGCAGCCTGGTTCATACCCCATTCGAACAACTTTCTTGCAATTCCTTGCCGTTGATACGTGGGATGGGTAGCCAGCAATCTCAGATCTAATTCATCAGAAAATCATCTTGCAATAACGTTTACTTCTCGCAATATCAATTAAACTCACACCAGTGATCATCAAGATTCTTCCAAATTAGTGGCCTGGCACTACTTATCTGCTGCTGGAACAGTTGACAGACATTGGCTCGAGCAGTAGACGGAAGAGGTGGACGCTTTAAATTGGGATATTCTTGAAGCCTTTCCAATTCACGATCATGTTTAATGTAGCTTTCTGGAGATAGCCAGAATGCCGCTGCTACTGTTCGGTCTTCTTGATCTGTATCGATCGCCTTCCACATAATTGAGCAAGGATTTGATCTCAAAAGGTGTTCTAGATTTCCCTCCTCATATTTGCGAGTTGAATCGGTATAAAGACCAGTTTTTAGATCAGGAGGAAAGCGTTCATCTTGGTCGATAGCACCAGACCGTGCGTGCGACATGATTTCAATTATATCGGGAATATCGGCCTGTGTGGCCCGTCTCATTTCGATTGGCATGACGTATAAATTTTAAACAAAATTTTTTTAAAGAGAAAAAATGAGTTAAAGTCTTGGAATAGTTTGTGGGAAGTAATCCAAAATTATGTGTAGTTTTCTGTTCAATGCTAATTTCTTGAAATGAGTCACTTTGCCTTTGACTCATTTTGATTTTTAACCCCCCCCCCCCTGTTACCTTATTGCGTGACTAGGGCCATACTTAGCTATGTTAGATTACCGTCGGCTCAAAGTATTTCTGCTATGTAACACTATATAGTGTAGTTTCCTATGTACCTACATCCCCGGGTAAATGGCTCAGATTAAAGGATTCTTGATAGGGTCTGCTCTCTCCCACCATAAATTTTGTTAATGAAAAATGCGAATCCATGCGAATCAACATATGATGTTTCTGTGAGTTCTGAATTAATAACCATGCATATTGAAATACAAGAAAATTCAACTAAGGAATCCAGAATTATATTTTATTTTGTATATCTCAATGAAGTAAAGTCTGAAAAGATCACAATTCTACTTTTGTGATATAGATTTAATCCAGGCTTCTAAGCCATTGTAGGCTTTACTCGAGTTAGCTAAACATCAATATATGTATAAATTCCAACGTAATTTTTAAGGATATATTCAAAGAGAGCCTCTTTTTCCTTTCAATTTCACATTGAAGTATCAGATTTTATCAGTAATATCTGGCAGTAAAATGCATACAATGGATCTGATAATGATAGTGCTAATAATTATTTACATTGATTCAAAGAGAATCAAGCGGGTTAAGTGGGGTGGAGTAAAAAAAGCCACGTGTTGGGTGAGCTCGCCCGCTCCCTCGCTTAACCCAAACCATAATATGATTAGCGCGCTGTATTTTTTAATACATATAAAGAAAATCTCGGATTTAGATATAAATTAGGTGAATTTGTTATATACTAGTAGATATCTCTTCCATAATTACTTCTTTCTTTAGTTATAAGGAAAAACACGGACTGACTTATAGATGTTATCGAAAATTGTGGATCTTTATGGAGTATCACTACCTGAGATTATAGATAGGAAAATTCCCATGGCAAAGGACATAAAACAAATAAATTTGATGGTTTTGAAAAGAATAGCGTGTAACCTGGGATTCATTCGTCTCTCTGAATAGTGCTTGATCTGAGCCCTACTAAGTAAACTTATAAAAATACGGACAACATAGCCTTGCTGCTATGCAGCGATTCTACCCCACCATGCGAAATTCCAGCTCCCCTGAAAGTAATGAAATTCCTCAGTGGTCATGTTTACTTTCAACGCCGTAATCAGCATACCAGGGGGCATCACGCTTGCGCGCGCCATAGTTGGACTCCTCCAGGGTGTCAATTTCAGAGACCTCATTGCCACGCTTGCGCGCGCCATAGTTGGACTCCTCCAGGGTGTCTATTTCAGAGACCTCATTGCCACGCTTGCGCGCGCCATAGTTGGACTCCTCCAGAGTGTCAATTTCAGAGATGCCCTCGGAGCGGCCGAGAACTATAGAACAATGAGCATCTTGTACAATTATATGCAAAAATGAATCTTACTTGGTGCAGCAATGGCACTTTGTAGCAAAGCTGCAAGAGCTGCAAGTTGGAAAACATTTCGAAGAAACATGTTGTCCGGATTGGTATTTAGAAGGCTTTAGTGTGTGAAAAAGTAAGAGTAGTATATTCTGAACGACAGCGGAAATCAAATTTCCTGTCGAAGTTCACTCTGGTGCCTCGTATATTTTGGAAGGGCTTCACTGCCTGATATATGTAGCATATCTAAAAGTCCTATCTAACGAGTCAAGCTACTCCTCTCCATTGACCGTAGTGTTTGCAACTAAACACACGGCACATGTATTGAGCTAGTAAAGAAGCCATACTCTCCAGAGTCTATAATAAACTATATCATGAACTCTTCTCAAGATAGATTTGGTCTAAAGTTTACTAGGTTCTAACAAGCTGTAAACAACTGCATCCTGAGGGATTGTAGAATTACAGTAAAAAGTTACAGTGCATTAATAGACTATTATTAAATGAGTCCTAAAACTACATGGTCCTAAAATTGCTCTCTCTGATACCTATGGTAGCTTCACTAGGCTGCCGGCGCCGTAACACTTCTTAGCTGAAAGCAGAACTTCATAGTTACTTGTCTTCTACACTGTTTTTATGGAGACTATACTTTTCTCTTCTTTGAGCGATTTTATTTAGTTACAATGAAAGTACTACTCTTATACACAAATGTAAAACAGAACTAGGACAAACATGGCAAATGATTGGGGATTTGAATGAGAAATTGCCGACCATTGAAATTCCAGTGAAAAACAGTCTGAAAACCGATTGAAAAATGTGGTCATGTGCCCCCTCAGAGGGCCATCTTGGCCATCTTGGCCTTAGTGGACGGCGCTAACCTCCTTAAACCGGACTAGTCTCGGAGACGCGTCGGCCATCCGTGTTCCAAATGACTCCAATCGGGATAAGATTAGGAATTCGAAACTCTCTTGTCATTTCATTGGATCATCTTATCCAGTCAGCAAGAAGGCTGATTGGCGGATATCTCATGCATAGTCCCCCGGGCCATACGCAAAGACAAGCTTTAGTGGATCGGCCAAGACCATACCATCCATGCCATCCATCGAAGGGATGGAGGTAGTCTACATTGGCTGCAGTGGTGTCGATAAGACTGACGTTTGTTAATACACAATATACAATACAGGGGGAGTCCCCTCAAATGATAGCTTACAATTGTTGGATGGTCATTTTGGAACCTATATGAGATTTAAAAAAACGAAAGATTAGGAAAAAAAGCTACTTAGATCTTCCTATCCTTATTGCTGGGAATTTCGACTTGGTAAGGCGCTTTGTCTCTTCTCAAAAATGTCTTCCTTGCCTAGAAAATCCAGTATCGACTCGTGCAGGCTCTCATGTGAATCCTGTGAGCTACTTGCGAATGACATCGAAGCAAACCTGTCCAACCACCCAAAGAGGTCGCCAGAAAATGGAGATGATGAAAGGAAAGAAAGGAGTTTTCTATTACACGGATTCTTATGGTCAAAATATCAATGGGTCCTCCTTGGACTCTGGATACTTTCGATCTTGTTATCAGTGCAGATAACACGGTGGGGAATGAGCACGGCAAACAATTATGAAATTGGGTTTTCTACCGATCTTCGTCAGTATTCGAGTCAGACAGCCACACTGAAAACTCCTGCTCACAATGGATCAGAACCAGCAATCGAAGCTATTGAACTCGAAACCGTACGTTTTACCGGCGATCTACTTATCGACCCTAATGGGACGATCTACCGCAACATTGAAGGCAAACAATACGTTAGAGAACCAAGTCCCGACATTGATAGTGCCTGGAGAGATATCATTCGTGGCACTGGAGTTGATTTAACAACCTCTGATGCAGAACGTGCGGGAGTGATCGGGAAAACATATCAAAAATCATCGGGTCACTACCTTGCAGGAATGCATATCTTTCACGAGTTGCACTGTCTCAACAAGCTTCGTAAAGCTTCACATCCAGATTACTATAATGACTACGATGGAGAAAGCTACGATTACTGGCGACAACACCTTGACCACTGCATTGATTCACTTCGGCAGACATTGATGTGTAATGGGGATATTTCACTAGTTACTGTGGACTGGATTGAGGCCAGGAACAGGACCGTGCCGGATTTAGATAATCTGCATACTTGTAGAAACTTTAGCAAGTTACAGGAATGGGCGTTGCGCCATAATGCTGAGGAACATCCAAACAACCACCCTACAGAGGATCAAAGAAAAGAAGCTTGGTTCAAGGAAATTCCTGCCTAGCTAGTTTCCTGCTTCTGAATAGAACAGTTTAGTTACTTCTTGATCAACCACAATCAATTCATTCTCTTTTTCTCACTAAAACTTTCTGAATTGTAATAGATTTCCACATGGCTATGAGTTCCCCGGCCATCGGAGCAGCTTTATCTCATCGCGGCTAACTTCTCTCCCTCGTAAACTGTCAGTCAACGACTCCCAGTCTACACATGCATGAACACTAGGGCTTTGAGCATCGAACTCTGGTACAATTTCCTCCATATCTTTACCATCCAAGTCTTTTGGCCACTTAAAAGTCTGCAGACTGGCATCGCCATGGCACATGGTACTCAATCTCAACATCTCAATGCAATGATCCGCATGCTCCTCAAGAAACCGTTTCTGAGAGTTGTCTATATCACCGTAATAATGCTCTCTGTAATTCCATTGACGCAATAATGCCAAACAGTGAATATCATGATAAAACCCCAGGCGACCCATGAAACCTCCGTTCGGCAAAGCAACGCTTTCCATATTGCTCCTGTCCAGCTCGTCTTTCTGGACCCTTATATTCATTGGGAGAGAGAATTCTCTCCATGCTGCATCGCGCTCTGGAGTGGGTGGTCCGGCCAAGCTTGTCGTGTGATTGCCTTTGCCGGCGAGTCTATTGAAGATCTGGGGAACGTAACTGATATTCAGATCGTCCAATGCAACAACAGATACAGGGTTTGACCTGAACAATCGCTCGACAGGTTTGTGATGCGAGAACCAAAAGAAGAATAAGAATAAAAGTGTGTAAAATGTGACGAGCAGACCATGAATGAGAAGTGGTCGTAATGTTGGATGCGGGGTGCTTTCCTTTGCTAGGGAAAGGTGAGGATCATCCTCATGCAAAAGACCGCAATTCTCATCCTTCGTATGGATTCCGTCGTCTTGTATCTCCATATCACGACAGAATTCATTGCTGCTTTCCCGTGAACATGTTTTCTGAATGTATGACATGGCTTGTGCGAGGGAGCTTGTTGACTGAGGGAATATTCAATTGCTTGTTTTTTTGTGTAATCAAAATATGACTAGATCTTCTCGAGACGCGAAGAAGGACGACTCCTCTTACCCTGACCTTGATTATGGCTAAATATTGGTTCTGTGCATCATGTGTTCTTCGGATTGTGTTTTCCCTTGTGTCATTTGGCTTCGTTGTGTACGTATACGGATACCTGTCTTTACAGCTTTAGAATACCACCCTTCTGCACACCTCCAACACACCCCCTTAGGGGTAGTCCCTCGTTACTACACCAAGCACGTTGGTGTTGGTTTGTTCGTTGTAACTGATTCGACCCGTGTATCCTAGAAAACACAGCCTTGTGGTGTTCCCCGCTTTAATGTCTAAAAGAATGTTTGCCCCTTTAAACTTCCTCCAATCCTAGATCCAACTTACTAGACTAAGTAGTAGTGGACTGTATTTCTCAAAACTTAGATATACACAAACTACAACTAGCCGAGCGTTACAGTGTAGGGTCGCAATCAATTGTCTCATATTAGCATAATACCGTTGACGACTTTTATCCACAAAATCCCCCAAGCCCAACAGGCTCTAAGCTAATGGATTTATCTTGAAATATATCTATCTTACAGCGATGATACGTTATCAAACCATTCCACCTCTAACAGGCCCCACATAATCGTTGCAATATTATGTGGGGCCTGTTATTGAACACGTTACGCTTCTAAGAAGATTTTACGCGAGTTCTCAATCCTCAATCCTGACAATTTTGATACCACGTACATAAGACTGGTGTTGAACAAATATTGATCATCCCCCTCCCCCCGAACCAAAGCTTAGAGTCATATACATACGTGGCAGTCATGCATTGAAGGTCTCCATCAAGACCATCCCGACAGCACTAATCACAAGAGTTACCCCACGCTATATATACAAGCATACCTTGTTACATTATTTTAGCGCCGTATTACGATTTTTGTGCTGGAAGGTATTTTTAAAGTAAAGGAAGGGGGTGGAGGGTAGATGTTCTGGCGATTGTATACGTAATTTTTATAAGCCACAATAGACTAAGCCAGCCGGCCCCCTGTTAGATGGCAAGCATACCGGACTTCTGAATTCAACTGGAAAGCGGTGCCCTCTGGCTTAGGGGACTTTTGTAGATTTAAAACTATAGATAGCCCTTTCGCTACCTTTCTTTACTTTACTCCACTTTACTCCACATCGGGGCGACCGTCGGGGGCCGAGGGGGCGGGGGAGCTGCAGTCTCCGAAGGGGCGGGCGAGCTGTATTCTCTTCCGTTATCTCTAGATATGCAGCTAATACTCCGTAATAATCACAGAAATCCGTAAAATTTCAGATACTAGACTCATGCTACGGGCGTACTCATGTAATTTGTCAAGTCAATAACATCCCATTTCAAATATCAAATACTAAAGATCTCCAGATATGCCCCAATTTCTTTCCGCTGCTAATGGCTGGTAATCTCATGAAATTGAGTAAGTACAGTCGTGGTGGTGGATTCATACCCTAACCCTCGCTTTTGGCGATATACAAGACCTGTATCTATTTATAGGAAACCATTAACTACTATTAGTACTCTATAGTAGTGCACGCCCTCGTTAGGAAAAATATGCGTCTTTTCTAATTTCCCCTAAAATATGTCTACAATAGAACTCTCAAGATTCTCATCTACTTACATCTCAATGCTCGACTTGGGCTTCTACAGAGAGCCTCTTCGGGTTAAGAATGAGGCCCCTAGGAAAGTTATTTGCCTCACGATCACTGACATTGATGGCATTACCACATACATGATACCGCAGACTTTCCCAGCTGTAATATTAGTTACTATTTCTCACTATTTTGTATTGTTATTTTGCTCGTTCTCAATGTCACATGTTGTTTACCAAGTACAGAAGTGGATACTTAGACTTAGGCTCTATGCTTATCAGCTCTTACTATGGAACCTGAAGCGTAGAGATAATTCCTTTCCTATTCCATATCTTAGGTTTCTACACGACAAGTTACATATACTGCCCTTACAAAAGAGGTAAACAGAGAGCTCTACTGGCTGTATAGCCGAGATTGCAACGTTTCATGCATGAGTGAAGATAGTGCATTTTTGCAACTGCACTCGCAATCAAGTCAATGATGCAATATTCCTTCAGATGTCGCCTAGCGGTCGGCTGTTGCAATCAAGCTTCTCCAGCCGCTAATTAGTCGTTATCCATCATATCACCTGCACGGGTCTTTCGTTCTAGGCTCAAGAACCGAGCGCACAGCTATAGTAGCGCACAATTTCTAAGTTAGCTCATTTACCTGTTGCAACGCTAATGCTCTTAGTGTGCAATTGAAATTTCCTGTCGTAAGAGCAATACAGAATCTTTTAATGATACTTCGGAAATTTTTTCTAAAACTACCCTGGGAAGCTAGCGGAGAGAGATGGCAGGAGCTGGATAAATCTCCTTAAGTCAAGACATTTCAGTTTCCTTTCAGTAAATAGCCTCTCCTCCTAATGTCTCTCAAATATACTTTTGGGAAATACTGTCCCCCTCAGCTGAAGTCATGCCATCGAACACTACCAAATACGAGCCTGTTCCAACCCAGGAACTTCCAATCACCTCTCTAGAGCATCATCGACAACGACAATTCTTACATCACAACAGAGGGGCTCTATGGTGGATTCTTCAGGCCCTCCTTTTGTCTGTATCTACGAGTCTATTGTTCGTTACCTGGAGAGTTGAGAAGCGTAATCGGACTGAAAGGTTACTGGAAACGGCCACTTGGTGTAAGTCAATGCTATATTCTCCACCCAAAGAACTGAATACGTGAATAAAATCCATCACTAAAACCATCTAGCTCCTGCATTATTGGATGTTGGAGAATATTCTGTTTCGAAGAATTTCAATGGCTCTCTTGATTTCCCATCGATCTACCGCGGTAACCCAAGCCCTGAGCTTGACTTGGCCTGGAAACGGCTCACAAAAAGTATGTTTTCTTCATTCTCCAAAAGTTTTCAGGGAGGTAACATATAGATGGCTTTATTTAATACTATATCACAGTAAGCCCGATAAATGTATCCGAAAGCGATGTGTGGAAAGTCGGGAAGAACGCCACCGAAGCCGCGAGACTACCCAAGGAGTTCGGAGGTGGATGGATGGGGGGCATTGAAGTTTTTTACCAACTTCATTGTTTGAGTATGCTCCGGCAGGGTTCGTATCTCTATATAGACTACTATAGAGAGGAAAATCCGGACTATTGGAACGCAACACACACTCCAATGCATCTTGGTGAGTCATCCGTTTAGCATAAAAAGCTTTACCCATGATCTTGCAACGCTTGGCTTTCCGTGATATTTGCTGACTTAAAGCTTTTGAATTAAAGATCATTGCATTGAGATGATCAGACAGAGTCTCATGTGCACTGCTGACCTCGGTCTCATGACGTATAATTTCGTCGAGTTTAGAGCAGAGGCTTGGCCAGATTTCAATACCCTTCACAAATGTAGGGACTTTGACAAGGTACATGATTGGATGTATGAAAGAGCTCTCCACAAGCCTAAAACAGCAGACACAAATTTCATCACAAAAACTGCCGGCTCATTTGTTTTGCCAACGCCTCCTTGATTGACCACCATGTGGAATTCTGGATACTAGGAGGAAAAGGCTACAGGTGGGGAATAATATGGTGATGAGGCATGGAGAAAGAAGGAAAGAAGATCTATGGGAGAGAGCTATCTAGGAACCTCAGACCAGGGCGGTAAAGCCCTGTTCGTCTGATACTGGATGATTACTTTTGAAGGACGAATGGATAGACACGGTATCAACCTATTATGGTTTTCTGAAACGTATAACTAAAGAATGTGTCATCCCCCCAGACATTCTCAACTTCGAGAAATGGCAAATATTCTACTCGCAAAGCGCGCTGAAGATGAGATTGAAACTATTGGCGAAAAATCGGTATATAACCTTATTGAACGCCGTGAGGAGCTTAAATCAATATTTGCAAGAAGATACAATCACCAGCGTGCAAAATGCGAGGATCCAAAGCTTATCGTGGTGGGCGTTAGTAGCTATGGTCGGTCTTTCCAAATGACTGAAGCGGATTGCTAGGGGCCAATGTGCACATATGTCGGTCCGTCCTCAGGTGCATACCCTGGAATTTGAACCAATACCGCAGGATACCTTGGAAATGCCGAGATCGCCTATATGAATGCCACAATGTCCAATAGTTATTCATATCTTGATGATTGCGGATCACATCAGTATGTCTGATGAACCAGAAAGTGATAACTACGCTAACAACTTCCGACAAAGATAGGCGACTGGGGCTGTGCCTGCGACCGTCAGACGTTCGTCTTCACCCATCCGAGAAAGACGAGTATCAATGGAACTTTAGTCCCGCAACCAGCCATCTGTTCGATAAACAACTCAGCGAGATGTCAACAAACATGTATATTCAATTATCGAGTAGTATAAAATGTGGAGACATTCAAGCAGTCCGCCATGAAGCACAATTCCCTACTGTGGTGGATATACAAAAGCCCCACCGTGATATCGAAAAGGAATTACAAGATGCCTTAGAAGTTATTGGAAGGCTAGAGAACGAAATTGAGGGTTACAGACACAGAGAAAGAACGTTGGCTACTCAAAATCGTCGCTTACGACAAATCTTTATCATTCACCTTAAAAAGGCTCAAAGAGTTGGCCGTTGTCTAGGTGAAACAGAGCGCCAGATTCGCGATTTCTTGAAAGTCACAGAGTTCAATAAATAAATTCAATGAGAATATTTTATGTAACTGCAAAGTTTCGCGTGTGCGTATCTTCCAAATCCCGAAAGCCTTCAGACGGTGGCCTTCTGATTCATATGGCCTTTGAGAAACTCGTTGCGGTACATTGAGTGTCTTTACCAACTGGAAATTGGCTATTTTACCGCTCTATTGGCCACTTGCCTTGGACAGTGCTCAGTAAAATTATCCATACGACTGTCTTTTATGGCCAAAGATACTCTTAAGTGCCTTCTGTTCTTTGTAGTGCCAAGCTAGCTCGTGACGAAGACGTCCAATTTCGTGCTGCAGTTTTGGAAGCTATCAAATTTATCACTCTTTGCTGTCTTGGAAGAAAGTGGCAAAAGCTCGTTGTTCACTCTTTATCTGCCGAAGTTAAGAATAATTTGATTAAGCAGGGTGACCAGTATCCCCTTCGAGTCTAGAGGGAAAATTCTATTAGAATAGCGGATTATGTTTCGACTGGAATAGAGGAAAAAGCTGTATATCTAATTTAAACTGAAATGATAGTAATGATAGTGAACAATCATTAAAAAAAAATACATCAATAAGTGGTACATAATGCAGTCCGTCGGCGGCTCGCCCACGGTAGCATCCTCTCAGTCATGGCGAAAGCTTGGTGGTGCTAGGATGGTTCTTTGACGTTGAGATTGTTGAGCGGCTGATGAAACTCGTTCGCGCGAAGAAGGTAAAGCCTCGAAATCGTCGTATGTTTGAGTTTGGGGATGCTGTATAGCCTACTATTGTCATTAATAAAGCGAGGCACAAGTATCTCAGCTATATTTAATCCACACCTGATCCAATGCTGGAATGTCATTATGTGTTTTGAATATCCAATGACGATCGGATTTGTCGATCAGTATGACCATCGCTCTCATACGGCAGAGAGAGCAAAGCTGGCGGATTTTTCGAAAGCAAGTCTTTCGACGTCGGCTTTCACCGGAACGATCCACACTTGCTTCCATAGATGAGAGTATAATCGTAAATTGAGAGACTGGCACAATCAAAAATCAAAGCTCGGTGGTAGTTGTGTACATTATATACTTTCCAACATCCAAAAATAGCAATCAGTAGAACAATACTCAGCCGTAAGCCTAGCGCGTCTACCATGACTGACATGAGCTTCTAGAGGACGAAGGGCGCTTACGTGCCCTTATGCTCTCTCGATATAAATAGAAAATCTATATATGCATCAGTTATTGTCGTAACGCCCACGAATCCCCAATTTTTACCATCGTTGATTACTAGTCTATGTTATTTTTAGTCTAGACCATAGATACCATAGTATAAGAATATCTTCAGATCTACAGGGGAATAATTGTGAATTTTCCAGGCCTAGACAGATATTCATCGTTATTTCGGCAAGATGAGTCTTAATGACCCCTCGACTTTGTATGCTATCATCATGGGTGGGCTATATCCTATTCCTGTTGCTTACGAATATCCGAATGGCACTCAGGCTTCTGAGAAGATGGTTATCTGTTCCAGCACGGCAAACAGTGTTCCTCACATTGAAGTATGCTGTATATCCGCTTGTTCTGAAGAAGTCAAGGGCATGGTTTCTGCTGCAAATCATCTATTGGTCGGGGAATATAGCCACCACTTTCATACGGACACATGATCTGGCTGATGTCAGGATTCGATCTGGGTACATGTCTATCATCAACTTGGCTCCTCTTTTCATGAGCGATCGACTCCAATTTCCAGCTGATCTTCTTGGAATTCCAGTTCAAACATTCATACAAATACATGGCACACTCGGCGTCATGTCATTCTTTCAGGGAGCACTACATGTGTCAATTGCAATACATCAAGTAGGGTGGCATCCAAGTCGAAATTTGCAACTGTACGGACTTTTGGTAAGCATTTATAGCAGTGCACATTCTGCCTTAGCTGAAATTTATCACTAAGGCAATTATTGGGATCTTCCTGTCATTGGCAACGATAATCCTCCAAATGTTTGCAAGAAAGCTGATGTCCAAATTTCACGGAATTTCTGCCTTTCTAGTCGGTATCACGGCTTTGTGCCACTTACAACAGTCACAGGATTTCTTAAAACTCTGCTTTCTAGTTTCCTGTTTATCGATTTCTCTCCTATCCATGATCCGGTTGATACTACTTGTTTTCCGAAATTGCAAATACCCGAAGATTGCATGTCACGCAGAGATTATTCGGATGAAAAAAGCCAATACTCTCCGAATTGTCATTCCCCTCAACCGACCATTCCGCGTTGAAGCTGGAATAATTGTCTATATTTGGATGCCTGGTGTGGGGCTCCGCTCAACCCTTGAAACATATTTCTCGCCAATATGTTGGTGGGATAACGACAAGAACGGCAATGCTACTAGTATCACACTCTTTGCCCGCAAAAGCAACGGCTTTACTCAAAGGTTAATGGACCATCGGAAAGACAATTTTCTAACATGGATTGATGGACCTTATGGTTCCCTAAGAAAGCTTGAGAGTTATAGTCGAGTCCTTTTGATTGCCACTGGTATTGGAATTATGCCAGTTCTTTCATATATTAGGCTAGCAGTCGAGAGCAATCAGCAAAATCGGACTCGCCGGGACATTTTTATCGTTTGGGAGATCGAAGACGAATGTAAGTAACTAACTACACCTTACTCTGTTGTATGAAAGTTTATAAAAATAGCAAATCTCGACTGGATCTATGACTGGATGGATGAACTCCTTAAGAAAGACAACGGATCTTATGTACGTACTCAGTATCCTATAGCCTGGTGCGAGCTAAGAAGATCAGAAACTTTGTTTCGCGCTGCATGTACCTTCAAAGCCAGATTGCAGGAAGATGGATGAAGCCTGGAATAGCAGCCATGGTAGAATTTTCAAAGTCTTCTCACCCATCCATGTCAAGGAAGCAATACCTGTCAACTTTTGGGCGACTGAAGGAAAAGCTTTGATAGCGGGTAAGTCATATACACCCCTCTTCTTGGAAATGGCTGAGTGATATATTTCTCTCAGTATCTGCCCACAAATCGATTGTCAATGGCGTTTTTGCAACAGTCCCTCACCAGATGAAGGACATAGTGCATCTTCTCGATTTACCACTCCCACCAACCAACGACTTTCAAAGAAGCTTTGCGCGAATTTTACACCCCACGAACGTCGAAGATATAGAGATGTATATCCCAGATCTTAAAACTGAAAACGATCGCGCTAGAGGCTCTAGTGACAATGATATATCAATGGCATCAGAGCAGTTGGAACGACGTTCACCCTAGTGGAAAGATCATGGCAGGCAGACTTCAGATGCTCCAAATTCGCATGTTACGAGATTGTAAATCGCTCACAAATGTCATTATAATGAAGGGAAGAGAAATAAGCTCCAAGATATAATAATTCCATAATTGAGTTTATGATCCGCTAAATACACCTTTATTGGTGACCTCACACAGTCAAGAGGAGCAAGAAGAGTTTAGTTTGGCCGCAACGGGTTACCTGTCGCTGCGGTCGTAGACCGTGGCGTCAGATAGGCCCCGTCCGCGCTCCCTTGAAGGGAGGCAATGTGTCTGTATTGTAGTGGATTCTATATACAGAGGGAAGGTGGGAGGGACAAAATTGACACTTGACTGCCTGAGAGATGACGAGCTACGAGCTACCCGCAGAGGCCATCAAATGACTCTCGTGAGGCAGTTGTAGGAGGAAGAGGCCCTCGGAAATGTCGGTGTAGATATCACGTGAGGCTACAGACATGGTGAGGCTACAGGCATTGTGAGGCAACCCCAATAAAACCACTCCCTTAAATTTCAATATCTGCCCACTTTCGCTTCTTGGGCGATTGCCGCCTAGGGCGCCAACAATGGATGTCAACGAGATGGTAAGTAAGCTCCTCCAGGCTTTCAAAGGATATGGAGCAGGCTGGATGCTTGCAGTCGAAGTCACTTTCGATGTTTTTTAAATGATCTTCAATATGGGAGTGCCACTGAGGTGCCGAGAGCACGAATTGAGACATTCTCTTTGACGGTTTCTCTCCCGTAGCACCCAGGCAAAATGGGCATAGCCCTGGCTTTATGGGTGCATTCCGAAAGGTAAGGGGATCACAACGGAGCAATTCACCCGGATTTTCAAGATGCTCTTGGCAATGATTCTCCCAATCTGATTCATTCGTAAACCATAGATCGCATTCGAAGCACATTTGTGCAAATCCATGGGTGGATTTGTAGCGTCTTGAGTAGCAACGATAGAGGTGTAGCCATTTTCGGTGATCTTTGAATCTAGTTTAAGTTAGTAATAGGAGGTAAACTATTCGCACGGAGGCACTACTCTTTGATCGACTTTCCACAGAGACAGGCTTTGTCTAAAGGGCTGAGGCTATCGCGGTATGCAACCGTGTGCGTTTCGCTACAGAGAGACTCCAACGCCTGTAGTATTCTTCTCCCATCTAAGCTCCGGAGGCTGACCTTGCCGAGTAATGCGTTAGCCAAGAAGTCTCGATGAGGCATCACCCTTCTCCTGTAGTGGAACATTGTTTCAGTGTAAATACTTCCATGTTGCTTTCCGGATTGCCTTTCAACCTTTCGGAGCTCTTTATTATAGAGGCCTCGTTTCTCGTTATATACCCTCTTCTGTTGAAGTTGGATCTTGTGCTTTTCTTCTGGCGTGGCCCCTGAGAGTTGCAAACTCAACTTTGCCATCATTCGGTCAAGATCACAAATATCTTCTCGGGCGAGAAACTCATATTCAGCTTTTGCAGGAAGAAGCTGTGATAATGACGAATTGCGGTAAAGACCCATCCCTCGACGATTCTGAATATGCTCTTGTCTGCTGGCAATTCCGAGATAGTTTGCTGGTCCATCCACCTCACTGAGAGGATGCGCGTAGGACTTTCCGTATGTGTCGCGATTGGTTTGCCCGGCGAATCTCATTCTTGCAGTCTCAGAATGGGTCTTGTCTATTTTATCATCAGGTATTTCGTGAATGTATAAATGAAACGAATTCGTACCTGCTTCCTGTAAAGCCCATCTTCGACACGCCCGAACAGTGATATTCAGCGTGTAGCCACTTCTATGACCAAGGTGGACTAAGGCCTTTCCGAAGGCGTCCGCTCCCCTGGCATGGCCTTTGAAATGATCCACGTTATGCTCCAGATATTGGCGAAAGACCGGCATATCTCTCATCTCTTCTCGGACATGAATCACCTCAAGAATTTTGTCCTCCAAAGGACCGACTCGCTCATACATTTCCACAGCATCTAGGATCTCGCTCACTGAACTGTAATTCCTAAAAGCTTTGTCTGCGCTTGCCATTGGTAAAAAGAATGTCAAAACATTGAGGAATATCGGCACATCCTCGGCGTACACTTCATAGAATGCGTGCTTGGGAATTGCCCATTTCGCCAATATCCTTTGACAAATTCTCTTTGGTAGGTGAGAACAAGCATTATCATACCATCCACAGTCTCAACGGTGAGTTCAAAATGCTGATGCAGTCAGCTTCAAGTATTAACCCGATTTCTTTCCCGAACACACCTTATAACAGGCAGCCAGCACGCGGGCTTCTAATTCGGCATCCTCGCTATCCACCCCGATATCTTGGGCCTTCTTTCTCCGAGCGGTTGATTCGTGGACCTCCCCTGTGCGTGCAGATGTAAAGCAATATAGAAGAATTGCGGCGCTTAGTTGAATCCTGGCCCGGTCGTTGGGATTTCCACGATACTCATGGTGGTCGCGACACCACAATTGAGTCATCAAGATAGTCAAATCATTCGGAGACACACCACCATCTTTGTTCATTTGCGCGGTCGAGAGAGGGATCTTTGCTTTTAGTTCTCCCAAGATGTACTACATATTATTAGCCCTGATGTTCTTGAAAATGCAGTGATACAGACCTCATTGATAGTAGTCCTACTGGCTTCTGGGAAGTTAAAGTTTCTTTCTCTCTTCATTCCAGTTGCGAATTGCCTAATAAAGCCTTTGATGGTCTCGACAGTGGGCCTTTCTTCGATCCGACCGTTCATGCCCTTAGCAATCCACTCAAGGAAAGCCCTACATGTTCTGATGTCCGGAGGGATGACGGCCTGTGGGTGTAACTTGACAAATCTAGGAGCACAATTTAGCCACTTGCTTCTCTGCTCTCAGGGCCGTGACTTACTTATCGAAAAGGAGCAATTTGTCACTATAACCAGATTCTGTTCGTGGAAGCACCGCCCGCTGGATTTCATTGTTACTATGCTCCCCAAAATCTACAACATTACCCACATAACTCAACGTTGGGTCATGCTGAGTACGCATCGTGACTTTCGTGAGAAGGAAGGCTAGAGAGATGAAAGAGGAAGAAAAAAATCGAGCACCTATGGCTTTTCCAGTCAGAGTGGGAAAATGTTACTTTTGCTGTCCGGGCTGAATATTCAGGTGAAGAATATTCAGGTGGGTGAAGATCCGCCGGATTTCCCTGAAGAGGGCTGAATAGAGCGGCGAGCCGCCCACGCCCGAATCGTGGGCGCTAGGTGACCATAACCTTAGACATGCTGTTGTATGTTTTTTGTACTTGATCTTAGTTTTTCGAAGAATCAGGTTGAATGCACCGGAGATTGGAATACCCTGAAGGTCTCTATCCTTACGGGGGCGTTATTTTAGTCATAATTGTTCATTCAGCCTGTGTCATCTGTTTTGAGAACTCACGAGTTTGGGGTCAACAATTCAATCAAGAAAGCAGTAAATGTTCCAATTTCTATCTTACAGTCATAAGCAAAAGAGAAAGAATTGGGAATTCGATATTCTCGCTTGGAAAAAGACTCTAGGTCACGTTCTGCTGCGGCTGAATTGATCGCAAGAAGCTGTTCAACTTCTTACTCCTGCTCTTTCGGTCAGCATGCAAGTGCACGGGGTGAAGAGTCCCATCACACGCGATTTGATGAGAGTTCAATCGGTTTCTCCCATCGAACAGGGTCACTGTTTGATGATAACAAAGCTTTTGAAGTTAAAGACAGATGTTTGAAATGGTCTGGAGATCAAAAAAGGTAATGCCAGTTGACATTATGTTTGAATGAATCAGCAGCACCCAGAAAATGGTCGAGTCCAACAGGCCGAGACGTGAATAACTCGGACTATCGAGATCAGTCGGAAAGTATTCGGCACGGATCATGAAAAGACATTATACTCGATTCGGAAGCTGATAGACGTGAGAATCACTGCAAACAAGAGCTTGAAGCAGTTGAGATTAGTGAGCGAATATATGAACCGGACCATCGCACTACACTGAAATTGATGGAGACTTTGAAAACTGCTTACCGGTTACGAAACATAGGCCCAGGTGCCCCTTGTAGAGTTGAACAGTGATTACAGCTAGCGATTCTGACGTTTCAGCATTCTTTCTCTAGCTCAACTTGCAAATATAGGAATTTCAGAAGGTATCATTGTAGTTCAGGTTTATGCTAGTCAGCCGTAAGAATCTGTGTTGGAATAGGAGATCGTGTAAATGAACGTGTAGCCCATCCCCCCCCTAAAACTATATTAAATGCCATAGATTCCAGCCTACCTAGTGAGCATGATACAACATTGAATGTTTGTATTCTAGTCTCTTGATATTTCCTAATCTCCGACCTTATCATTATACAGTGTATATTCGTCTCTAGAACTAGTCTCGGTGTAGGGCTGATAAATGCCCACAACATGGCCGGCCTGGCATTAACTTCGATATCCCTTCAATATTTCAAAATAATTTCAAATTGTGGCTCTTGATTTTGACTCTTAAAGGGCTAAGACGGTAGTGGGGCAATAGCTTCACCGGTATTTACTTCAATATAAGATGCGGAGAAGAATGGCGGCTATGACATACAAGATCGCACTTATCCTGCCCATTCAAAGAATGCAAAGAAAATCCTTGTCGAAATAGGAATAATTAGAGAGAAGATGGGTGGTTATGCTAGGATATACTAGGACGAGAGTGTTTGAGCACTTAGGTAGTCCTATAAAAATCCATGGATTTTCATGGCTGCTTAAACCATGAGATCCCTCATGTCCTCAAACTTGAAACAAATTGAATTATCTCCTTCCTCTTCCTCTCCACCTTCTCTTGATTCCCTTTCTCTCGACACGACCTGATAGTGCTCATTATGCCAAGTCACCTTTTGCTCAACCTTTCTTGAGAATCAATCCTGTCGTCCTCATCATCACCATCGCCACCACTCTATATTTCGGGTCAAAAAACGAACTGTACCAGTTTCATCAACTCAGACCAATCCATCACCATGACAAGACGGAAATTGAAGATCACTCTGCAAACCCGGCCCACATACAAAACCCGAGTATGTACATCTAGATATCTTACCGTCATACGGCTCGAGCCACATTCTAACCAAAACAACCGGCCATGTCTCCTCTAGAGTCACTCCCACCCGAGATCTGGTGCAAAATCATGGACAACATATTCACATTCGATCGCAATGAGATCTGTGGAACAGACGGAGATGTCATCACACCCCTCAACAACATCGGAGGTCTAAATTTCGCATCCATGACAACCCAGTACCGTGTACGAGGTTACATTTCTCGGAAATTCGGCGACAGAAAGCTCAACATCCTCCGCTCAGTTGCCAGAGACCCAACCGCCCCCAGCCGATTAGCATTTGCTGTCGTCATTGGGTGCGTCCTTACGAACAAGCCACTAAACCGGTGGACCCTTGTTCTTCCCACCGAATACGCAATTGAGCTTGCCAATATCCTGGCGGATGCGTTTATCGGCTGGGAGTTGGAATGCATTCAATGGGTCGAAAAAGGAAGTGTGAACCATCAATTCCGCGACTCTAAGTCCCTCATTACGGGGGCAGAGAGAATCATTGCGGCTAAATGTCGCACTGTTGCTTATTATGTACCCAAGACGTGGTACTCGTCGATTGCCTGGAATGAGCTTGAAGCGGAGTTGAAGGCGTGGGAGTTGTATTGGATGATTGATATGCTATCTCGGAGTGGAAAGGGGCCCAGGTTGTTTCTGCGAATGTCCAGCGTGAAAAGAGAGGGTCGTCTGTAATGCTACATAACGTTACATATTCCAAGGCTGGATGGAGGCCATCATTTGGGCTCTTTCTCACATGCTGCACAAAGGAAGTGAAGTGGTTTGCCAGGCAAGTTACTATGTATCTTAGATGCTCGCATTCGAGATATTGCAATTGTGTGAACTTGGGTCAAACCTGTTTGACATGTAACAACAAAAAACATAACCGAGTTGTTTGAAAATACTTGTTTCTGTCAGGCACCATCAAGCATGCATGTAGCAGCGAAACGAAATTGAAAATGGCATAAAATGGATAGAATGCAAAGAATGCAAAGCCTAGTGATTTATGATATCCATGCTGGTGCGCCTGACTACCTCGTTTTGGCAGGGCACGTGGCTGAAACTACATCTCCACATTTGAATCACTAGACCATATATCCTACAAATAGTCGTCATAATCCAAGTCTCTGCCAATAGCGCATGCGTCATCTGCCAAAGATACCGTCATCTCTTTCAACTTCGTGTACGAATCTAGTGTACACTCCTTGACTGAACCTGGAATTGCATGGCCTTGTCAAGACTGCGTTACGAATCTTGACTATATCGCTATGACTGGAGATCTGCAGGGGCTTACAGTTGAATGATAAGCGGTAGATTTTTGCTCAATGTTGATATTGAGATTACTGGCAGCTCGAAAGCTGCCGTCTACAACAAAACACATTTCAAGAAGACGAGTCTGCCTGGATTGTGCTATCTGATGACAAGAAAAGAAATAAACCTCGTAAAATTCCTCTTTCCCGGTACACGCCACTAAGGCCTGATTCCATCGTTTCCATATCGACTTTCTTGTCTGATTCGATTCGCATCCACCGCAAGCCTATACACGTCTCAAGCAACAGATTTCCAGAAGGGACAGCTTGAGCGAAGTGGCCACATGTCTCGGGTTTCAGCACCAAAACATGGTTTTCAGCTTTCTTTTTTGGAACGTTTTTTGGTTGTCTCACAAAAGAAAGGAACCTGGAAAAAGGAACATCCCCCTTGGAGAACAAAATGCCATGAATGCATGAGAATTGGTCATAAGGATCGTTGGGCATGATGTCCCAGAAACTAGCACACATGAATGACACAACATGGTTTAGAAAATGAAAGATGAAAAATAGACCTAAAAAGAGGGCCTTCAAGAATTGGAACACAGCAAGGTTCTACTACCACGGTACGCCAGGCTTCGCGGATCTGAATCTAACGGAGACAAGAAGAGATGATGCAGAGGCGACAGACATTAGACTGAGAAGTCGCGCAGAATGGGAAAGGGGGTCATTGGTATTGGGCAGGTTGGTTGAGAAAATGCCAATCAAATAGCGTACTTCCGAGTCCATTCGCGGGCAGTCGCCTCGTACCGTGGGCGGTCCGTCTTGTAGACATGGGCGATCTCAGGCACAAGCGGGTCATCGGGGTTGGGGTCTGTGAGCATTGAGCAGATCGAAAGCAGCACTAAGTGGAAATTAGTACAGGTTGTTCCCTCGCAGGAATATGGGTAATAGGCGTCAAACCTTTCGAAATTGTCAGAGCAGGGCTCCACTGATCACGCAGAATGTCGAGACAGATGCTGCCGTTCGAGTTGATGTTGGGGTGGTAAATGCGGGTGGTGAAGTTGACCTTCGGGGGCTTGAACGGGTAGTCGGTAGGGAAGTTGATGTTGAGGAAGAAAACACCTCCGGAGTAAGGTGAGTCACCCTAATGAAGAATAGTATTAGCATGCATGTATTTTGAGGTCAACCATGTTCCACCAGCGGTGAGTGGCCATTCAGCCCCGTTCCCCTCCGACCGTGTTTAACAAGGCATTTGACAGTTGATAGAAGGATTTCCAACTTACAGGACCCATAATAGTTGCTTGCCAGTGGAACTGTAAAGCGAAAGAGAGCACATATCAGTTATCCATTAAATATATATATTCCATCACTTCGAAGTGATCTGCAAGGCACTTTGAGCCCCGCCACACGATAAGACTTGATTTATTCAGGGCGGCGGCGACCAGGCAAATAATGCGAATAAGCGAAGGAAGGGGGATCATACCAGATCATCTCCAATGGGTCCGGCGGAGCAAGAGGAGGGGGGATCCCTGTGATACCAGTTAGTCTTTATTCTCGACAGTTCTCGCTCCAAAGGATGCTTACCGTCCGAGATCAGTGAGTTCCTTGTTAATGCGCTTGAGAGCCATGTCGACGGTTGAGAGGTGATATGGGGAGAGAGAGAAGGCTAGAGGGGGTCAGCGGGATAATGAGGGGAGCGGACCTTGTTCCACGTACGGTTACGTCTTTGTGTGGAAAAGAAGAATGAGAATGAGAAAGAATAAAAGAGGGGAAAAGTGGTGCGGGTGGGCTGGGTTCGGTATTACCAATACACGCCACGATATGACACATCGAGAATTGGCCGGGTAATATTGATCAGGTTACAAGGACCTTCGTAGGGCTGGTTTTGGGCTGGTTTTTTTTGTTTTTGCTCCTTGTATTAAAGTGGCAAGTGGCTAATTCCTGATTCATAATATATTTTTTCTTTCTATTTCATTCATATTCTTTTGATACTCGCTTATAAGATCCTGATAGATTCCCTATATGATAGTCTGGTTCTTCCGATTCCTTGGTATTCAAGAATACATTACCTTGGTAATAGAAACTGCCCCTCGATGATGTCACGTGCGGGTGAGGCGCCCGCCGTCTCGAAAAGGAAGGTGCACATTAGGATGTTTATATCACTTAATGATCTCTCATATATATAGAGCTTGACCAATTTACATTCTTATTTATACAGCCATTTAGACGAAGGCCTGCTTGCCCGTAATAGCCCGACCCAGAATCAAAGCTGTGTTTGAAAAAAAAAAAAAAACAATTAGTCTCGCAAACCCAAGTCAAAAATAGTTGGGCACTTACCATGAATATCACTTTGACCCTCATAAGTTTGCACTACAAACAGGTTGGCCACATGACGTCCAATGTGGTACTCGTCGCTGGCAGCGTTACCGCCAAATACCTCTTGCAGACTGTAGTATGTTAGTATATAGACCCCGGTTTCAGAAGCAAGCGAGAAAAAAACATACATTCGGGAATTCTGTAGCGCACGATCACAGTTCTGACGCTTGATCATCGAGATCATCTCTGGGGTGGCTTTACCAGCGTCCTTAAGACGAGCCACCTGCACAGCCGCCAGCGTACCGTAAGCAGCATCCGTCGCCGCATCAGCCAGCTTCTTCTGAACAAGCTGATACTTGGCCAGAGGGTTACCCTTGAACTGCTTGCGCTCAAGACTGTAATCACGTGCACGGGTAATGCAGTCTTCCAATGCACCCATGCTACCAAAGGCGATTCCCAGACGCGCGCTGTTCAGGCATGTAAACGGACCCGTGAGACCCTCAACATCGGGCAGCATATTCTCCACACCGACGGGGCAATTATCCATATGGATCATGCCCGTGATGGATGCGCGCAGCGCAGTCTTATTCTTGATAGCGGGAGTCTCATAAGTACCGGGTGGGCACTTAGATCGCTCAACCACGAACCCGCGAATCTTGCCGGTAGACTCGAGCTTAGCCCACACGAGCGCCAGGTCCGCAATGGGCGAGTTAGTGATCCAGGTCTTGCTACCGGTCAAAAGGTACACGCCCTTCTGGGTAGGGTGCTCGCGCGCAACGGTCTCCATGGATCCGGGATCGGAGCCATGATTGGGCTCCGTCAGCCCAAAGCAGCCAGAAACCTTGCCAGATGCCAGTCCGGGTAGAAACCGCTCCTTCATTTCCTCTGTGCCAAATTCATAGATACCTGTCATGGCAAGAGAGCTCTGCACCGACATGCCCGACCGGTATCCACTGTCAACTCGTTCCACTTCTTTGGTGATCAGGCCGGAGGCGACGGTGCTCACACCGGCGCAGCCATAGCCCTCAATTGAGGCACCTAGCAGGCCGAGTTCACCCATCTCTTCGAGGATTCGGCGGTCATAGTCTTCGTTGCGGTAGGCCTCTGTCGGAAAGTAGTGTCAGATCGTCCCATAGCAGGAGTTGAGGTTGCCAAATGAACGAACCGAGAACCCGTGGCATTAATTTTTCCTGGCAGTATTGTCGTGCCGTATCCTGAATTGCCAGCTCCTCTTCTGTGAACAGCTCCGCTGCAGCAAGGGGATCCTCCCAATTGAACACGGCGGACGAAGATGCATAGCGACGGCTAGCGGTGGGGCGACCAGCCTGTAGAGAGCGTGCTGCTACACGCAAAAGCGAGCGATTCAACATTTTGTCAGAAGAAGAAAAAAGAAAACTCCTGACAAAGGGCAATCAATTGACAAGGGAGTGGATGGTTGCGTGTGATATCAAGAAAGTTGTTGCGGGGGAGCTTCCATCAAATATGCACTAGTGGCGGCGAACCTCGGCAACCAGTGGGCCACAAATCACCGAGTATGGGAATGATGTTAATGTATAGCTTCGACATTGGAATGGACTAAATTCACGCCGAATTTATAAAAGCGTCCTACTTAATGTCAGTTTATGATTCGACAGTGCCTCCGAGCTACGGAGAAAACGGTCAGGGCTTGTGTATCAACTCGGTGTTATTCGGTCGTTTTGGTTAAGTGGACTCGGGCTCGGGCTCGGCATTGCAATCTATGCCTATTGGATAGGTTTATCCGCAATGTTGTATGAAGAGGTGGATACACACTCAATGTGATCTAATTCATCTAATGGCTATGTTCATCTGCCGGTATAGTATTATGTACAAGAATGAGTTAGTAGAACAGGTTGGAGAGTATACCCTACGCCGGCATCTGGCTCTGAAGGAAATCGAAAACTCCGGTAGGGAAGTAGTCTTCATCGAATCCCCAAAGATCTGCCATCATCGGATCTATTGACCCTTCAGACAGGCCGGACTCGGGCTTGCTCGTGACCACAGGCTCGAATACGTTACCGCGCTCGGCAGACAAGGGCGCGACTCCCAAGAGCGGTGGGGGGTGATTCAATATTGTATCGCGTTCACCCAAGATTTGAGCTCCTGGGATAATGACCGGCTTAAAGAGCGACGGTGTTTCCTGCGGGGTCGGTCCCAGAGACTTATGGCCACCATTGCGCTTCTCCCACTCTTCCAGTCCAGTGAGCATCTTCCGAAGCCCACGCGCAATATGGTGGCTCAGGTGACGCTCGCTAGCCCGCTGGCTGCAGGAGACCATCAGTTCGATAATCCTTCCAACTAGGACCTGCACATAACCGATATCTACTAGCAAGCCTGCTGAGGCAATTGAGTTGTTTTGGCTCTGTCCTCCTGAGTTTGGGCCATTAGAACACGCCTTGGCCGCGATCTTTAATAGGAACACGGCGGCGAAAGTGATCATGCTGTGGAGATACAGCGGAATACCAACTAAAGCCCGCTGGATATCCCGCTCGTCCAGGACAACCTTGAGGGTAGCGATTGCCGACTCGATGGCGATATTGGCGCGCTTTCTGCGCTCCGGTGACATGACTTTTGAAGAGGTCGAAGAGTGGTAGGTACGCAAAGCAACCGAGTTCAATTGCAGCCGAGAAAAATGGTAGTGCATGTAGACAGCTTTGTAAGGATATGCACCAACATGTCGACTCCCAGCTAATGAATGAGTTAACAACAACACTTGGAAACACTTGGGTATAGGATACAATATGCTTACCAAGACGGGGCAGCCATGCTGATTTCCAATCGCTCAAGTCTACGTCAAACTGGTCGATCTTGGGGAATTCACTTTCAGGTACTTCGAGATCAACGTCAGGGCCAAATGAAAAATAAATACGGGTAAGAATGATAAACAGATCAACTTGGCTGTGCAGTCGAAGGTCTCCTTGTGATACTGATGCTGACTGTGTGAAGTTATTATGTTGAGTGATACTGGCATCCTCATGGATGATTGGTGGCCGGCCATATGCGATAGAGAAATGATGCTCGAGCGTCTATGGCCTGTTAGTTTCTCGGGCGATATTTAAGAGTCATGGTGCAACTTACGTATAGTAGATACCAAAGACGAGCTTGTTCTTTGTGCTCTGGAGAACCCTGGATAGCCTTGCGATAGAATTGATGCAAGTTGCGCTCTGTGGCAATTCGCACCGCATAGCCAGAGAGTTTCCAACTAACATCTGCCAGCCAAAATGCCCCGATACATAGAGCGCGAATATCATCCAGGGTGTGGTGATGTCCCAGCATCGACTCCGATGCTAGTTTCGCAAACTCAGTATAGCACGTATCAAATGTACGTTCCTTGGAAGGCAAGTGAAGCGCTGTCACGGCTAGAATAGCCGCAGACAGCATGGAAGAAGACTTTCTTGCGGCAGTCAAATCCTTATGTGCCAACAATGCGCCATCCCAAAGGTAACGATTGAGTACCTGGTCGAAGTGGTAGAACAGTTCTTCCGCTTCTTGTAGATCTACCACACCACGGGAGATGAAATCAGTCGCCAACGCCTGATCAGGCGCATAGTCATGCCCAGGTGAGCCCTCGCGATTTTCACTCAACTGTGTCACTTCATAAAGAGTCCCCATTGGGGCAGTCACCAATGAAGTGGCCGAGGTCTCCTCGCGATCCATGGAGTACTGTGGCTGGTGCTGCGAGAAAGCATAATTTGAAGAGCTTGATCCCGTGCCTGAACCAGCAGTATTTTCCATCGCTCTATTCCTGCCATGATTTCCAAAGATATGTCCAGTCTCATCTACCGACACAGTCGACTCTTTCCGGCGACTCTTCTTCGAGGGCGTCTCGATCGATCTACCCCCGGCTTGATAGTATGATAGCTCCGGCAATTGAGCCTTCCTAAGCAGGTCTGTCATTGCTAACTCAATCACGGTCTTCCACCTAAGCATTGGAAAAATTTAGCAATTCACTAGCCTTTATTCCGCAATATAAAAACTTGGTAACAAAAACTTACTCAGCCTCATCCTCCAAGAGTGTTTGCAGACTCTTGTTTACAACACAATCCAGACTCATGCGACGACATCGTGAACATTCCGACTCACCTGCCTTCATGTCGCAGCGAACTTTGTGCCGCTTACATTCTGTACATGCACGAATCCGCCGAGAGATCTTCGGGATATGTGCTTGCCGCGAATCCTCCGGAGTGAAGCCGCCTTGCGGAGAAGCGGATGAAGTATCATCATTGGCCTCAAACTGAATGCGATTCCGCTTCATGCTGTGATGTTGACTCAACCTCTCCGCATGGGCGACTCCGGGGAAGAGAGCGGGGTCGAGGGTTCTCGACCGAATAGTGTTGTCGCCTGAGGCATTAGTGGGTCTAGAGTCTTGGTCACGTGTAAATATCCATATGATGTCACATGATTGGCTAACTATTCACGCTAGTCTTTACTTGGCTTAATTATGATGCGTAGGCGCGTTTTACCACTAAACGCGTCTCGGTTCTTTTACTGAATTCTCAAAAAACCATCACTCTTGAAAGCGATATATCCAAATATTGCCATCACCCATCAAAATGGGTATTAAACGTGGGTTCATCATTTCCACACATGCTTAATATCTTTGCTGACCATATGATAGACCTATTCCAAGTGATCTCCGAGAATGCGCCCGATGCAATCAAGACGGGAGAGATCAAGAACCACTTTGGCCGCAAGGTTGCAATTGTATGTCAAATATCTGCAGAGCTTTCTTCATTCACATTCAAGTTATCAATGGCTGATCTATTCGGTTTCTACAGGATGCGTGCGTCACCCCCGACCCCCGAAGCTACCTCCACTGACATTTCCGTAGATCTATGAGCATCTACAGTTTTCTCATCGCCGTGCGGTCAGAGGGTCAGCAGCTTACAAATGAGAGTGGTGAGACTACGTCACACTTGATGGGCATGTTTTACCGAACCCTGCGAATGGTCGACAATGGCATTAAGCCTCTATACGTATTCGATGGTGCCCCACCGAAGCTGAAGTCCGGCGAGCTGGCAAAGCGTGGCGCACGCAAGGCCGAAGCCCACGAAGCCCATGAAGAGGCCAAGGAGACCGGTACCGCGGAAGATATTGAGAAGTTCTCGCGACGTACTGTGCGAGTCACGCGCGAACACAATGCAGAGTGCAAACAGCTTCTGAAGCTCATGGGTATTCCGTACATCGATGCGCCCACCGAGGCTGAAGCCCAATGCGCAACCCTGGCGCGTGCGGGTAAGGTCTATGCCGCTGCATCGGAGGATATGGATACCTTATGCTTTGAGTCCCCCATTCTGTTGAGACACTTGACGTTCAGTGAGCAGAGGAAAGAGCCTATTCAGGAGATTCACTTGGATCGGGTGCTGGAAGGTCTTCAGATGGATCGCACCCAGGTAAGTTCCGTTCAATGTGACTTTTTTCAGAATTACGGCTCATCCAGTTGCATTATAGTTTATTGATCTTTGTATTCTGCTGGGTTGTGACTACCTTGAGCCCATTCCCAAGGTCGGGCCCTCGACTGCCCTCGCTTTGATCCGTGAGCACGGTAGCCTAGAGAAAGTACTGGAGTTCATGGAGAAAGACCCGAAGAAGAAATTTGTGGTCCCAGAAGATTGGCCTTACCAAGATGCACGCGACCTGTTTGTCTCTCCGGACGTGCACGATGCAGAGCACCCCTCCTGTGATTTCAAGTGGGAAGCCCCGAACGTGGATGGGTTGATTCAGTATCTGGTCACTGACAAGGGATTCAACGAGGACCGCGTACGTAACGGTGCGGCACGGCTGACGAAGAACCTAAAGAGCGCGCAGCAGTCACGTTTGGAGGGTTTCTTCAAGCCGAGGGAACGCACCGAGGACGAGAAGGCCAGTCTTAAGCGAAAGCACGAGGAGAAGGTCCTAAAACAGAAAAAGCAGAAGAAGGACGATGCCAAGGCGAAGAAAGACGCAAAGGCCAAGCCGCGTGGTGCAGGCTAGTTTCCCTGCAAAGCAGAATTATGGGTGATTTTGATTTTCTTGTATTTTACGCAGATGATCATCTCTTGATTCGATCTTCTACGACCTTGGCGCTGGCGTTGCAGGGCTCTTGTCTTTTCTGTGCGGGTTTCTTACATTCTGATCTTGACATGCGGGTGGCATCGTTAACTTGGCCTTGGCCATGGCATGGACTAGCATATCATACCCCAAAAAAGAATAAATTTTTATGATATTGAAGTTAATCCCGTAGTATTTTATTTACTTCAGTTGGTAGATATGGCATTTTTGCCTGAAGGGGTCTAGGATCAGGAAATATCGGTGAAGCAAGGGACCTGATTATTCTCGCTTTTCTACTGATCCTCACATCCACACGGAATAATTTACTTCAAATTATGTAAATTATAAATATTTGCCCCGCTACCGACACTTTGCGCAATCTTGTCTTTGTACAGGACGTGTTGGTTGCGCGATAGGTGGAGTCCATTCTGGGTGCAGTTGTATAGATCGCCGCAGGCTAAGCGAGATGAACCAGTCCGCAGATGAAGTACAACAAGTGATCTCCACCAAGAATGTTGCAACAACATTTAATAGATCACAGGATATTTGGACCAACGACTCAAACACATATTTCTAGTTCATTTTCTCGGTAGAGGTCAATAGGGCAAAGGATCAAGGCCATGTGTGGGGAATGCCTTGATTCGATGCCGTTGCAACGGATCGGACCAACTTCTCGATCCTCTCTCCACGTTGATTTATGGAACCCCTTCTCGCATGTAAGAATAACCAAGATCTTATCCTAGATAATTTTTTTTATTTGGCTTGTCTATTTCGAACTTATACCTATGTTGAGGATGGGTTTTTGCTCGGGTCAGTGCCTGATGTGAATCCACCGAACCCATTGGTCGGATGCACGTAGATCAGTGAGCGCGTTAGTCCCGAGGTCAGGATCAAGGGAGATCAGTGGAAATCACTCTAAGCCTTCTTTCCATTGGCTGTGTGTTGATCATCATAGTCACGAGTTAATGTTTGCATATATAGTCTGTTGCCAGAGATATATAATGTCGACATTGTTAGACAAATCCTCCGTTTGCCACTTCAGGAGACACAAACCTCCAAGATATACTAGTATAATTTTTATATATATTTTCATGTTATACTATAATAGTATCAAATAGTAGGAATGAAAATAAATATAATCATATTACGGTTATACTGATGAAACAAATAAATATCTGTGATAACTAGCCTGATGCGGAGTTGAAATGGGGTTACGATAGAGCAGACCAAGTTAGGGTTTGCAAAATACGGACAAAACGAAAAGATCAGATCAAACTGAACACACAAGTACAAACCAGCGTGAATCAAGTCTAGGAATCATCGAGTCCCAAGTGAAAGTGTACCATGGGCCAACGCCACAGCACACCCAGACTTGAGCGGGGCGCTGCATGACAAGACACCTCGTGACGCTGCAGGTCCGTCAAGGCCCAAGCAAGGGAGACGAAGCTTATGGCGATAAAGTATCCGTTGCATAAAGAAGTATATCCTGTTGCTGGACATGAACCATCTCAAATGGAACGTGTTCCACGCGACTTTGATTGCCGTTTGCAGAATAATCTATTCTTACTCAGAGACGCGGACAGGAGGATCAAATTCCATACCCCAGCTTGCCTTTCCAAAACAGTAAGAAGAGGGGATGATCTCTCCGGTCGCGCTGGAATGTCGAATTTCTAATTTAGTTTATTATTCCCATGTCCCACAAGGCATGGATTGGATCCACAAGATAGGACCTACAAACAGAGACTGAAAAAAGGTGCAGATGCGCGATTTCTTTCGAATCAGAGGCTGTTTTGTTTGCGCTTGGACTTGATGCACGATCTCGAGTAGTTTTAAGGCTAGTCCTAGGGCCGAGAAATGGATTGTCCCCTCCGCCATCTGGGAGAATGCGCAAGCAAGTTAAAACCATATGGGAACCATAGTAGCAAAAAGCAGTTCCAAAATGTTCATAATCTTCTCGAGTCTTTCGGTAGACCAACTCACCAGTTCTATATCGTAAAATCATACCAGTCGAATTTCCTTAACAAAGGAAAGAGATAAATGAAGAATCAAATAGGAAAGAAATAAAATGTCAAGTAAATCTGGGGGTTTGGGGGGGAGAGATGGAAGGGTGATCTTGTGTCAACACTGGGCCGCCTATAAATCACGGATGCCCCGCCTGCCCTTCCCAATCCCCTTCTGCTTTTCTTCTGTTTCTCACACCACTCTTCAAACTGACGCATCGGATATTCAAGTACTTCCTTCTATTAATCTTAAACTTTTAACCTCTTTCTATCTCCAACATGCCTCCCAAGAAAGCTACCGCCGCCGCCAAGAAGGCTGCTCCTGCTGCCCACACCTCCTACCGTGGTAAGTTTTGTCTGATCTTCAATCACCACAACATCGCGCAAAAATGTTGTGGGTACCTCCTGTGTCGCCGAAAAATACTGATTCCATCCATATAGATATGATCAAGGATGCTATTGTGAACGTGAGTAGATCACCTTCATCCGTCTTGTTGTGATGGCGGGTCGCGCGCCCGACCGTAACACGTCCAACCATTGGGCACGCACAACCACCACTTCCAAGTGGGATCAGATGTATATCTTTCTGTTCATTACTGACTGGTCCTTTGGAAAATAGCTGAAAGAGCGCAATGGTTCCAGGTATGTATTTGCGTTTTCCCATCGGCGCGACCATGACTGCTTTGGTCGCGTCTTTGCTCTCTGCTCCGCAACCAGTTATCTAACTGAACTTCCTCCTTTTAGCCGCCAGGCCATTAAGAAGTATGTGTCGGCGAACAACAAAATCACTTTTGCGTCCCAGAGTGCCTTTGATGCCCAGTTCAACAAGGCTATCAAGTCTGGTGTCGAGAAGGGCGAGTTCACCCAGCCCAAGGGTAAGTCTTTTCTTTGCGCTTTTGCGCATTCATACTCCCTGTCCCCCATTCATGTGTGCTTGCATATTCCAAGATGGTCCTTGCTGTACCTTTTATCATTTTATGGATTGCTGACGCGTTCGTATTTCAGGCCCCTCTGGACCTCTGAAGCTGGCAAAAAAGGAAGCCAAGCCTGCCGCTAAGCCTGCTGCTAAGCCCGCTACTAAGCCTGCCGCTAAGCCCGCTGCGAAGGCTACTAAGGCTGCTCCCAAGGTAAGTCAAGTGCTCTTGTTCAAGATATCTCCTATACTCACCGTTCACAGAAGGCTGCTCCCAAGGCCGCTGCTGCCAAGAAGGCCGCTCCAAAGAAGGCTGCTACCACCAAGGTTACCAAGACCACTGCTAAGAAGCCTGTTGCCAAGAAGGCTGCTGCTAAGCCCAAGGCTAACTCTGGCAAGGCTCGCAAGACCAAGACCCCTTCCACTGCCGTATGTTCTAGCTCCCTCTTCATTCGATATTGCAGTCGAGTAACCAAATTTTCCAGGCTCCCGCAATTGTTGAGCAACCCAAGATCCTCGGCAAGACCAAGTCCGGTCGCATCACCAAGTCCACCAATGCGCCGCCGCCAACCAAGGCTCCCGCTAAGAAGCGCGCGGGCAAGAAATAGAGGATGTTTGGTCTATTTTGATCCGACGATACCCTCTCATTTCACGTGCGCTCTTCCCGAGAGGGTCATCAGGATCCCTTTTTGTTTATTCTCTTCCTATGTAATTTCTTTCCCTCGATCCGTTTGATCTGGTGGTTCGGAATGGGTTTGCTTTGTGCTTTTCTGGGATATCTCTGTTATGATGGTTTGTTTTTATGTTATCTGGTTTCACGTCGAAGGGAACGGCGTCTTGTGGTGGGTGCTCGGGGGAATTATTTTGTTCATTTGTTCATCCATATCGGATCTCATGAAGACCGTGGAATTGGAATTTTTTTCGATCCGAAACGTCTACTCCTGTACCAGGCAATATTACAGTATTACCTGTTCATTATTCATTATCGTAAGGCCATATCTATGAGATGAATGTTCAGCTTGATTAGGGCCTGTAGCTTAATCCCGCAGGTTGAAACGGGCTACCGCCGTTGCTGCGGGAATGCGTATGAGAACACTGCGCCACAAATTCACGGAAATTGGATCTATAAAATTTGCCACCGAATCAGTAAACAATATGGCTTGGCTGTGAAGGTATTGTACGATTTAAGTAGTACCTCGTAGAAATATTAATGTTTTGATGTTTATTTTCATCCGATCTAGAATTGTCACATGCTCATATCTTATATTATCTCAGCCATAAAAGGATACAATGGACTTGATTTGATTCAAGTTGAAAAGGGAACTCCGTATAGTTAGGGTCAAATGTCACTCAGGCATCGATGTGACTTCCACGAGTGGAGTGGGCTATTTTTGGAATTACGATGGAATGAGTCCATTCAGGGGGAAAATACGGAGATAAACAACCCTGACCTAACGAAGCTAGTCCTAATGAAACGAAGACCCTATGTATCTTGGTACGGAGTACACAGGGACTCAGGGATTATAACCATGTACAAGTATAAGCATAAGCATAAGCACATGGGATATGATCAAATACGGTGTACGGAAGTACGACGTCACTCTTCTTCTCCTTGCAGATGAGAGGGGTTTGGCCATGATGTGCTCAGACCTTGCATCTTTGTGTATGTAATTTGAACCTTGGAAGCGAATGGTTCAGCAAGTTTTTTAAGTGAATTGAATGACTTGAATGATTTGAAGGTTTTGGACTATATGATAAGATTTCTGTTTTCTGTTTACTGTGTGTAGCTGAACAGTGGAGTCGTACAACCCGTAACTACGACACGCAAGTTTCCCTTTACTTCTTTTCTCGCCCCCCGATTATCTCAATCTTTCACTTTTCCAATCTTTTACTTGTTTTTTCCCCTTTTACGGGGGATTAATGTTAATCTGAAAATTTCCATCAAATTCTGCCTCCCGGGTCGCATTGCGCTAAGAGAAAACGTGAGACAAATCAGAAGCCTGGCCCTGTCCACTCTTTCTCCGAACTGCTTCAAACCTCCCCCCCCCTTCCTCTCGCTCTTATCCGCTGGAACACGGTCCGGTTTTCAACTTCCCTACCCCCCCACCAATAAGGGATAATTTCGTCACTTCGGGTTGCCGGTCTACGCAGACCTCACGTCACCCCGTTCCCCTGCGAAAGGCCACCAAAAAAAAGGATCATCCAAAAAACCATGCCGTCCTTCTCCAACGACGCATATCCATCGGCAACCGCAACAACAACGGCAACGGCCACCCATCCTCGCTCGTTTGATTCGCCTCGCAAGTCCCACGACAAATCTTCCGTTGGTAACACCTTCCTGTGGACCAACTGGCCTCACCCACCCAACGGCGACGCGACACACGACCCCATTCAGAATGACCGGCCACTGTTCACAAATCTGAAGAACGGCAGTGCCTACTCGCTGAATGGCCGATCGAGCATCGGTTCCTACACGCGCGAGATGCCGCACTCCATGGACGGCAGCGTGCACTCGCTAGGAAACGGGTCCGCCAGAGACCCCCGGGATGCTGCCCGGCCGTCCGCAATGCTGGACCGGAAGTCATCGGACACTGGACCTGGAGCAGGCTCCATGACAGCTTCGATGTCAAACCAACCGGTCAATGGTACAGCGGTCAACGGCCGTCACCCGGTCCAGGGAAAGCCTATGGTCAATGGCGATATCCCACGACCATCTGACGAACCCCCCATGTCAGACCGGGCAATCAGCCCCTCGACCTCATTATTACAGATTCCAAACTCGGAAGACTCAGGCCGCCTCTCCCCAGAGCCAGATCGGTTGATCCCAGGCCCGCGACCTAGTCAACACCGTTACTCCTCCCCTCCCGTACCGGTACCGTCCATGATCGATGCCGCCTCCGCACCAGAATCCCAACAATCCAGCATGCGACACCGGCACTCGCTGCAGGTTCCACGCACCCCGAGCGTTCGTCGGAATAGTAAAGATCAGAATGAGGATACCGCCTTTAGCAGTGGTCGGTTGTCCCCCACCGTGGGCGGCAATCGACGCACATCCCTTGGCCTAATTCGTCGGGCCACAAAGTCACAGTCGGAGCCGCCTCTGGATGAGGCACCCCAGGATGAGGATGCGGCCAGGTGGGCGGAAGCAATCAAACAAAAGCGCGCTTCGCGACGACGGCGCGAAGACGAAGACGATGAACGAGTCATTGTCGGCACCAAGGTTGACCAGAACCATGTCAACTACGTTACGGCGTACAACATGTTAACGGGAATTCGCTTCACTGTGTCGCGCATCAACGCAAAGATGGACCGGGAACTTACTCCGGCGGACTTTGACGCCAAGCACAAGTTCTCCTTTGATATGTATGTTTTGAATTTAAGACATTGGGATCTGTTGTTTCATGAACCTCACTGACCGCAACAGTACCGGAAACGAGTTGATTCCATCAGCCAAATACGATTTCAAATTTAAAGACTACGCCCCCTGGGTCTTCCGACGACTTCGAGCCAAGTTCCGCCTCGATCCTGCCGATTATCTGATGTCCCTCACTAGCAAATATATCTTGTCCGAACTCGGCTCGCCAGGTAAAAGTGGTAGTTTCTTCTACTTCTCGCGTGATTACAAGTACATCATCAAAACCATCCACCACGCCGAACACAAGCTCCTCCGCAAGATCTTGCCAGAGTACTACCGACACGTGGAGAAGAATCCCAACACTTTGATTTCGCAATTTTATGGGTTGCACCGTGTCAAGATGGCATATGGTCGCAAGATCCATTTTGTTGTGATGAACAACTTGTTCCCCCCCCACCGAGATATCCACCAAACGTTCGATCTGAAGGGCTCAACGATTGGTCGGGATCTGCAGGAGTCAGACCTCGAGCGGAATCCACGCGCGACAATGAAAGACCTGAATTGGGTTCGAAGGAATCGTCACCTGCAATGTGGACCCACTAAACGAGACTTCTTCATTGAGCAGCTGAAACGGGATGTGGAATTGCTTAAAAGACTGAAGATAATGGATTATTCCCTACTGGTAGGAATCCATGATACTGAACGGGGCAATGAAGAGAAATTACGAGACAAAACCCTTCAAGTCTTCCAGCCTGGTGGAGATCGTGAGGAGGACTCCACCCCGAATATGCTAATGCGAACACCCTCAAAACTGGAGAATGAGCGTAAAGCCCGAGAGCTTCGCATGCTAATTAAACGCGAGCGACCTGTGCCCTTGGACAAGGCGGCTGCTAAGATGCCGGAAGAAATACTGGATGAGCGCAAATACCACGTCTTCTATGCCGATGATGGAGGATTCCGAGCTACCCATGAGAATGGCAGTCCTGGTGAAGAAATCTATTACCTGGGAATCATTGATTGTCTAACTCATGTAAGTCGGCTTCGCCAACTACAATGCTGACTAGCAAAGCTAACGATCTCGCACAGTATGGAACCATCAAAAAATTCGAAAATTTCTTCAAGGGTCTTTCCCACGACCGGACTCAAATTTCCCCCATTCCACCAGAGGGATACGGCGATCGCTTTATTAATTTCGTCAAAGGCATCACCATGTCAAAGGAAGAAGCGGAGCGCCGACGAGAGTCTCAAGTATCGGCTCGCCCATCAGGAGATAACAGGCAATCACGGTCATCTTCTGTGGAGCGAACAATGCAGTTAGCCGAGAAGGAGGCGGCAAAGGATGTTTCTGTCACACACCCCCGAACCTTGGCCACGGTGTGGGACCCTGCAGATGCTGCAGGCCCCGGTCCGACTTCGACTCTTCCAATTGTGGACGAGGCGGGTGAGGCCAGCAGCTTAGGTGGCCACAGCTCACACAGTCGACATGGCCGTCCTGCTACTGACAAGGAACTCCCTCCTGCTCCATTCGATGAGCCCCCAGCGCCTCCCAGCAAAGGAAAGGAAATTGACCGGGGATAAAGAACAATTGTCAGCCTAGCTTGGCGGTAGATTGATCCTATCTTTGTGTTCGGAGTCTTGCATTGACTCTTTCCTGGTTTTTCGTCTCTAATCTTGTTTTGCATTCAGCGAGATATCCCCCTTGTTACTCGATAGACCATTTGCTTCTCCAACCCGACTCTGACGAGTCTGGCGAGGAGCCCTCCTCTTTTGCCTTTGGATTTCGTCGCACCACCTTGCATGCTTTCGCTAGAAACTGCTGATCTTCACGAGTGATATGTGTATATTTGCCACCTGGTTCTGTCTCGCCTTCAGCTTCTTCTCAAGTTTCTCAATTGTCTGTGTTGTTGAGAACAACACTTCCGTGTGCTCTTCTCGGGAGCTTATCGATTCCCTAGCACCAGCTCTCCTTTTTACCTCTGCAAGTATTTCTATCTTGCAGTTTGCACTACGATCTACAGTGTACCACCACATGACCTCCTTTCACTGATTGAACGATTCAGTCACCCTTTCACGTTCTCTCTATCAACCTTGATGATCTTCAAACATGGTCACCGATGATGTTTTTTTTTTGTTCCCGTCCACTGTGTCCTCGCATCACAGTTTCCAACACAAGAACCCTCATTTTGGCTCTGTCTACCAACCAGATCTTGTTCATGGCAGGGTCTGTCTATTGACCGCCGGCCTAGAATCCACAAAATGTACGGCCGGAAAGCGACTACATGATTGAATTGTCACCCGCAACTCATTAGCGGACTTCAATTCCACTTCCATCTCCTTTCTTTTCTTTTCCTTTTTGTCTCAGTCTTTTTCTGCTCCAAACCCATACCCTGTACCAATCACTATACCATTTGTCTTAAATGATCTTGACCGCGTCGTCTCTATTCTATTTGTTTCCAAGATCCAGATTAGCAGAGCGCCAGCGTGGGAAAGTTTTGATTTCCTCTATTCTTTTTGTCTTTTGTCTCCTTGAGAACCCTTTTCTTTTTTCCCCTTGTCCAACCTTTCCGCTTCAAGTTAATAAATCATAGATCACGAGTAAGGTCGTGCCCATTTGTACACCTACTCGTCTTCAGCGTGCCCGGACTCTACTCACGTCTTGTGGAGAAAGAGAATTCACGGGTTTCAGATCTGACTAGGTCTTTGTATCGGTCTTTCAGTAACTAGATAGTAATTAGATAGATAATAAATATCAAACTGACAGTTTAAGTCTTTGACACGTCCATGACAAGGACAACGGTGCTAGGGTGTATATTTCAGTAGTATAGTACCGAGGTGCAGATTGACAGGAGACTTGATGAAAATGAATTCTCAATCACTTGATTCATTTGTAAGGCATAACTATCTGACTGTTGTATTTGAGAATCCCCAGGTAATAAGAATGGGGGAAAGGAATGAAACGCCAGTCACCGCCGAAGTCACCCATTCACGAACAGAAAAGTAAAAAAAGTCAAACTAAAACAGGTGAATTCGTTGTCGAGTAGCCCGGTATCCTGTGCTCGAGGATGTGAATGAAATGAAACCCGATGGAGAAAGCCATGGACCCTGGATGAAGGGAAAAAAGATATCGGAGAGGAAGAGATTAAGGACAAGAAAAGTCAGCCCATTGAAAACGCCAGGTGAATCTTCATCTGTTTCTCACAGGCAAGACTGTTGGTTTAAGCGTCCAGAGATGGGTCAACATAAAAGAAATGGATATTGTTTGGTGGGTACATGAAAAAGGGTTCCAGGGGCCCAAGGGTTCAAGATGGAGATTGCGGGGAAAGGGTCAAACGAGGACAGGGAATGAGGTTCACTTTACTCAGATCTGCCTTGAGTGACCTTGGCAGCCTGAATGGCCGTCATCTTCTGCAGCCAGCCCTGAGTAGGCTGTGGCTTCTTGACGGTGCGGAGGTCATCGGTCGAGAAACCCGAGATGCGCATGTTGTAGTTGCGCTCCAGGACTAGCTGAATGTCGCGGATCTCGAGGGTGGAAGACGGGCGCAACTTGGCGAGGCGGCAAGCCTGGGTGATCACATCATCGACAAAGTCATCTGCCATCGAGAGTACGAACTAATGAGGAGTGGGGTCAGTTTGTTGATCGTTTTTCTTATGGGGCCTTCTTTACCTCTTCAGCATCAGGAGTGAGAATCTCTCCTTCGCCACCACCAGTAACCTGGCGGACAAGGATATCGAGCATTTTCTTGCTCAGCACATGCTGACCTTCACCTTCAAGGACGTAACCGGGGTGCTTTTGAATCGCAGGTTGGCTCATCATACCGCCCATATTACTATGGTTAGGGCCACCAGTAAGAGTGGGGCGAGAGGGAGGCATCGAGACTGGTTCAGGTGTGGAGGGGTTAAGGTTTTTGGGGATGTGCATGTTAATGGTACGAGCAGAAGCCTCAGTTGATCGGTTAGCAAGGTAACCTGGTGGATGTGTTTGCTGATTTGAAGCGGCCTGGTTCATATTTGGCTGTTGCTGTTGCTGCTGCTGTTGCTGCTGTTGATTTTGGTTCGTGTTGTAGCTCTGAGCTGCCTGCTGCATGGCTGCCTGATGCGACAGAGGTCGAGGTGGTCCTTGATTGACAGGCTGAGAGCTTGTCGGGGTGGGGGTAGACCCGTCTGGGTTAGGAGTCTGGCTGAAAGTGACTTGACCCCCTGGTCCTGGAGTCCCTTGATGCGATGGAGGCTGAGGCCGCTGAGTTGGAGGCGGCACATTTGATAAAGCGGGAGTGCCACTGGCCGATGAAGGCGCCTGTCCAGGCTGCGAGGTCGACGGAGACATTGCAGTTTGCCCAGCTTGATTACGAGCCGCACTCACTGCAGAGTTGATGGTGTGGGGAGCCGGGGTGGGAGCTTGTCCAGGCATGCTAGTCACGGCAGCAGCGGCAGCATTACCTGCCTGGGGGTTAGGTGCCGCTTGAGTCACGGCAGGGGGAGCAGGGGCGGCCTGAGTTACTGCTGCAGTGGTGCCTTGCCCCGGTTGGCTCATCTGGGGGTTCTGTGACGACTGCATTTTAAAGCTCTCTTGCTGCTCCTTAAACTTGTTAAGGAAGTCGCTACCCTCCCGGAACAGTTTTTCAGCTGCCAGCTGCCGATTCTTAAACTCCTGCACCTCCTCCTGCGACATATTGGACTGCGCCTGGCGCTGCGAATATTGCTGGCGCAAATCTGCCAGCCGCGCGCGCCCAACCTCCTGCTTCTGAAGCGCAATTCCATATCGCAATCGTGCCTCGGGAATCCATGTCTGGACTTGTTCTTGTGTGACGTTTGGTGGGAGGTAAAAGTTGAGTGAGTTGACCTTGGCCTGGATCTGCGGCAACAGCTGGTTGAGAGTCTGCGGGTTGTTTGACTGGGTTCGCTGAACTGGCTGACCCTGCTGGCCCTGCTGAACTGGCTGACCCTGCTGGACTGGCTGACCCTGCTGACCCTGCTGAACCTGCTGGCCCTGCTGTGAAGCTACCTGGGCCTGAGCCTGAGCCTGAGCCTGGGCTTGAACCTGGGCTTGTTGTTGCTGCTGCTGATGTTGCTGGAGTGCCTGCTGACGGTTTTGCTGGAACATCCGCATACCCTTCATCAAGTTCTGCGACAACTGCGAGAGTTTGATCTGGGCATTCTGGTATTCGTGGCTTTGAGGATCACGCGTGTTCAGCTGTTCCCAGAAGCTACGAACGAGCTGAGCGTGCTGGGCTTTTTGGGCTTCGTTCAGATGTGGTAGTTTCTGCACTTGATCGGTTCGAATAAGATTGGAGTGTTGTTGCGCAGGCGGCTGGCCCATAGGCTGGCCCGCCTGGCCTTGCGACCCGTCCATCTCGGGAATAGCGAATACTCGGCAACCGATAAATCCAACGGGAGTCGAAGAGGACGCTTAGTTCGAGGTATGGGCGAACAGAATATCTGGAATAATGAAATTCGGACAAAAGTTATCCGGTGCTCTGCTGTCGAGACGCGTGCAAATCGGATGTATGGCACTTCGAGGAGATTGAGATGGCGGGTGGGATGGATGAGCCTTGGGGTGAAGTCGGCGGTGAGTCTTGGCATCCGGGCGACTACAGCACATCTTGAGATATAGCAGACAATGGATATCGGCGAAAAGGTCAAAACGTGATTAAATAACACAGTATTGAAATAATGAATTAGAAAATCAAAGTTACAATAGTGTTTATAAAATCGTGATATTTGTCTGTTTAACGCCGTAGTCTTATATTCAAGTCATTATAGCTTGCAGGCCTAGGGCATCATCTATGGACCTATTATGGCCAGACTCTGGGTACTTCTATCGATAGCATGACACATATGTATGTTTAGCATTTCGACATTTTCAACCAACAAGTCTGATGTAGATTTCCAATTACTTATTATTGGTGCCTGGTTAAAGGAGGGCCCAAACTAAACTATTAGAACATGTGAGTGGATAATACTGTTGAATGGAACCGAGCAAAATTTCAAGAGGTATGGGAATAAATGAAACTCATATATATATTATGTGAGAACACTACTTCAGTATATAGTATTAATTCTCAAAGGTCTTATTCGGAAATATTCATAAGATCATATGTATACATCATCACCGGCCACTCAAGGGGTATCATCACAACTCCCACGTTGAAGAGAAGAATTTGGGCCAGAGTTAGCCTGGGACAGAAGAGATATGCCCCATCACAGATGATCTAAGGCAGAATCATAGCTCGCAGATATAGCGTCATGTGCCCAGCTTATTATGCAAAGAGCTGCATCTTTCCGTGATGCATGATTTCCTGCTTTTCAGATGAGACTGGTTTCACACAGTTCGTATTCATCAATACAGTAAAGATGATCAGAACAATGCATCATGGTTTCTAGAGCCGAGGAGACCAGATATCTGGCTAAGCTCTGCCTTAAAAAAGGTATGAAAGCCGGATCTATTTCAATCCATCAAGATGCGGCCCACGAGAGTGAAACAAGGTTGGATCCAATTCAATAACTGGATTGGATCGGATCTCTTTGTTTCAGCCCATAAGACCGCCAAGGTCCCGCTCCATACCGGTGACACGATCCTCCAGGACTCGCTTCCTTCGTTCCAAGTCTCTGATCTCGGCTAGCTCTTGCTCGATTTCCTCATCGGTAACACCGGGTACATCTGGCTGCGTTACAACTGCAGGGGAAAAATCATCTTCGTCATCATAGGAGGAGCGTATCTGCTCTAGTTCAGCGGTATTTTTAGCAACGCGGTCTTCCAATCGGGCCACAGACTCGGCAATCATTTCGTGGCGGTAGCGCAAGTTGGCAATTTTTTCCTGTGCTCCCGGAACAGGACTAGTTATCAGATTAGCGAAGTATCGATAACAAAAAGCTGCGACATGAACTGACTAGACGTTGCATAGAATCTCCGCACCGCGAAGTAGAACTTCAATGTTTACCTCCCCCCGAGGCCCCCGAGTGGATGTGCCTGTAGACCGTTTGATCTCTTCCATCATGTCCGATCCTAATACACGCGCTACTGCCGACTGGCTGCGATTGTTTCGTGCGGTGTAGATTCGAGTGGCCATGGATTCGTTCTCGGACTCGGCGGAGAAGGTTGTCCCGCGTCGTGTCGCACGCCGTGACCCATGAGCCTTAGCAGATGGATCTACTTGAAACAGGGCTCGTTCATGGGCTTCGGTGTCCCGGATTAAGGCGGTGATATCATGAGAGCCCAGTAACGCGTTTGTGAAGATGCGGGGCCTAGGGAACCTAGTGGAGACAAGTTAATTAAGAACAGTTCCAACAAAATTAAATGTAGACGAACGGCAGTTCCGCGATCGCATTGGAGGACAATGCGATCTGTTCAAGGTGGGAATCGAGAAGGGACATGGTTTATGTTGTGTGGGTTGTATAGAGAGGAAGTTCTGATTGTTTTGAAGATTACTCCATAGTACGGAGTAGCTACCGGCTTTAACACCTCAGGCACCAAATTTCCAAATTGCCAAGCGATGAATTTAATATCATGTAGAAGGACTATAAGTTTGTTTTCTTCTTCTTTTTTTCTTTGTTTATATATATGTATATAATTTATTTTCTTATAATTTGCTTTCTCTGATTTTCTGTTTAGAATCTAGCACCTGATCACCATATCTAACGACCGGATTCTGCATGATTCTTGCCTTAAGTCTGGCCGTAAGCTCCCCCCTGACTAAGCACGCCTCTGGTCTTGCGCCCGTCCTCAGTCTCTTGACATCACATCCCCCATCCACCTCATCCGTCGCTCTGCTGCTTGTCTCCATCATTTTTCTATCCCTTCGCTGCTCATTGATCTTCCATTAGTTTATTTGGTTCTCCTTTTCATTCAGTGATTCTCTACCGCCCTTTCCCCCTACCTATCTTAGCTTGGGTACTGCTCAGCTGAGCTCAATAGCTTGGAAAAGATGCCGGCCGAAAGGCGTTCACTTCGATCAAACAACAAATCTGACGCTTCTTCATCTGCTAACGGTGAAAAGGCACGTTCGAACTCCCAGAGCTCGAGTGCCAAGGACAAGGCCGCGCCGACTACCCGCGCCGCCGCCAACAAGGCCAAAGCAGCCCCGGCTAAGAAAGGCGCCTCCAAGGGCGCGAACAACGGAATGGAGGAGAATGACCAGTCACACATCAACGGGTCCAAGTCGACTGAGAATGGTGTGAATGGCTCTGAAGATGTTGAGATGGGAGAGGATACGGCAGGTGCGCCTAAATCCTCATTCAACGCCCGCAAGGACCGGAATGGTGACGAGAAGATGACTGTTGTAGTGCCCCCAACCAAGGGTTCGAGATCATCCAACAAGGCAGGACAGACCAAGGACGAGGATGTGACGATGGAAGGTTCGGAGAATGATGATGCTGAGCTTGAGACTGACCCAAAGACCAAAGCCATCCAAGGTGGGTGCTATCCCCATCCATCCCAACTTAGAAAGCCCTCTAGCTAATGACACAATTCTTCTTCCGGATGACAGACATCAAGACCAACTTCACCTTGCTCGACCGAGCCGTGGCCCACTTTGATCCCCGATTCAGCCTACGTGTCCTACGCTCCATATCGTCGATGCGGAAATACATCACCCCGGAGCTCCTCGCCGAGGTGATCGTGGAGACATACCCAGAATCCAGTGAGGCGGCGTCGTTCTTACTCGAGGCCATTGACCAGGCTGGTGCTTTTGAGAATGTCCAGGAAACCTCAAACATGGAGGTGGACTCGGAGAAGAATAAGGTAGCACCGAAGGAGATACTACCCGAGGTGGACGCGTACTTGTCTATCCTGGTACAGATCTATCTATTCGACCAGCGACAAATCCAGAAAGGTGCCGAGTTTTCCACCGCCCTGATTGAACGTCTTCGGACCTTGAACCGCCGCACCCTGGACTCACTCGCCGCTCGTGTGTACTTTTATTATTCTCTATTCTTTGAGCAGATTGCTCCCCTTCCCCCATCTCCTGCAGCTACCGTCACCACCATTCGGCAAACTTTGTTGACAGCTCTGCGGACATCTGTTCTCCGGAAGGATGTGGACACACAGGCTACCGTCATGACTCTGCTGCTCCGCAACTACCTGTCAACTTCTCATATCACCCAGGCAGATCTTTTGATCTCGCATAACCGCTTCCCCGCTGCTGCTTCCAACAACCAGATTGCCCGGTATTTATACTACCTCGGTCGTATCCGTGCCATTCAACTGCAGTATACAGAGGCCCACAGCCATCTGATCGGTGCCACTCGCAAGTCTCCCACCAGCCACAGTGCCCGTGGATTTTACCAGGCCTCTCACAAGCTGCTCGTTGTTGTGGAACTCTTGATGGGTGACATCCCGGACCGTGCAGTCTTCCGCCAGCCTGCCCTTGACAAGGCCATGCATCCATACTTGCTGCTTACGCAGGCTGTCAGCGTTGGAGACCTGGACGGCTTTGTGAATATCGTCAACACCCACAGCTCTACCTTCCGGAAGGACGGTACCTACACTTTGATCCTTCGCCTGCGCCAGAACGTGATTAAGACTGGTATCCGTATGATGTCTCTATCTTACTCGCGTATTTCCCTACGGGATATCTGTCTTCGCCTGGGCCTTGATAGTGAGGAGTCTGCTGAATACATTGTGGCCAAGGCCATCCGTGATGGTGTTATCGAGGCCACGTTGGATCACGAGCACGGTTTCATGAAGAGCAAGGAGGTTGGTGATATCTACGCCACCCGGGAACCTGGCGAGGCGTTCCACGAGCGCATTCGCGCCTGTCTTACTCTTCACGATGAAAGTGTCAAGGTATTACCCACCCTATGATCCTTACTTCTAGATCGATTCTAATCACCCTTTTCTATTTCTAGGCGATGCGCTTCCCCATGAACCAGCACCGGTTGGAGTTGAAGAGTGCCCAAGAGGCAAGAGAGCGAGAGCGTGAGTTGGCCAAAGAGATCCAGGAAGGAGACATGGACGATGAGGATGCTGGCGGTGATTTCGATACCATCTAAGCATGATGGGCCCTCGTAATTGATACAGCATTTCTTCCGCACTGGCCCCACCTACATGGTTTCTACCTCGTAGCGGCCTTCTTCAACTTATGTGTTAATTGTCTGCGATTTCGATTTTCTTTCGCTTTCTTTGTGGTGGATGTGTACGAAGGGGAATTAGCAGGGTTAAGATGGCCGGCGCAATTTTCCGTGTCTCTTATACTGGAATTATTCTCTCGCATAAGATTCTGGATTAGCCCTAGACAGGGAAGTTCCTCATCTGTAGAGTACTAGTAGCGTACATGCATATAGAAAACCTATGCTTGGTTCAGGCTGCGCTTCATTTTTCCAGCGAATTCATTGGTAACGATCGGGATGAGACAAGCCAATCCGTAGTACCAAGTGAGTTGTTGGTCCGTGTCGGCCCGAGAGCTCGAAATCTTCCCGCAAGATTATTCCCTGCGGATCCTTGTACCCTCCCAAACAGCAAACCTATGCATGAGCGTCAAACACTACAATTGTTAAATGTTCTGCACTTGATTCATTTACAACAAACTTTTCAGAGCCCTGCATTGAGCATGCGAGCTCGTACTGTTTCGGCCACCGGGCTGACACTCACGCGACCGTCCTCAACCTCCGTGTGCTCTCAATGCCTCCATGAAGACCTCCTCTCGTCCTATACCCTCATTCAATCCCGAAAATACCACCCAACCCGTCGGAAGGATGCTTCACCATTTGGTGCTGCCGTGTCAGCTGCGCAGGCCATCTTCAAGGGAATGCCAAAGGCACCCCCGGGCATCTCAGTCGACCCATTACGCATGGTTGGCAAGGAATTGAAGTTTCTCAGCAAGAACATCCGCCAATTGCTAGGATCAGGTCATCCGGCCTTGGATAAGGTGGCTAAATACTATACACACAGCGAGGGCAAGCACATGCGGCCGATGCTCGTCCTGCTCATGTCCCAGGCGACAGCATTGGACCCTCGCAAGCAAACCAATCCCGCCAGCCCGAGCCCTGTCGATAACCCGCTCAGCTCACCATCAATTCTTGACGACTCCAATCCAAGCATTAATCCCCTCGTGTCGCAGAGTTCCGAGGGCAACTACAACTTTGCTGGTGACGACAATATCCTCCCTTCACAGCGCCGTCTAGCTGAGATCACCGAACTTATTCATACTGCCTCCCTCCTTCACGACGATGTTATCGATAACGCCGTAACCCGTCGCGCTAACAGCTCGGCCAACTTAGCCTTCGGAAACAAGATGGCGGTGCTGGCAGGTGATTTCTTGCTCGGCCGTGCTTCTGTGGCTTTGGCTCGGCTGCGCGACCCCGAAGTCACCGAGCTCATGGCTACTGTGATCGCCAACCTAGTGGAGGGCGAGTTCATGCAGTTGAAAAATACGGCCCAGGACGAGGCCAATCCGCAATACACCGATGAGACTTTGGCCTACTACCTGCAGAAGACCTATCTGAAGACTGCCAGTCTGATCAGCAAGTCGTGCCGTTCTGCCGCTGTCCTTGGTCGCAGTGCCCCTGAGGTTATTGAGGCCTCCTACGCGTATGGTCGTAACCTGGGCCTGGCTTTCCAGCTGGTTGATGATTTGCTGGACTACACCGTTACCGAGGCCGAGCTAGGCAAAGCTTCCGGAGCTGATTTGGAGCTGGGTTTGGCTACTGCCCCATTGCTGTTTGCTTGGAAAAGCAACCCTGAACTAGGACCTTTGGTTGGCCGCAAGTTCCGTGAGGAAGGTGATGTGCAGAGGGTAAGTTCTGGTTCTTTTCTCTCTTTTTTTTTAACCATGATTTGCTGGCTTTGATGCTAATTATGAGTAATCAGGCCCGTGAGATCGTCTACCGCAGCGATGGTGTGGAGCAAACGCGACGCTTGGCCCAGGAATACGCCGACAAGGCGGTCGAGGCTATCAGCGACTTCCCTGATTGCGAGGCCAAGACAGGGCTGATCGACATGTGCGACAAGACCATGCGGCGGCGAAAGTAAATGGAGGTGATGCACCTTGGAAGGACTGTACCCTTTTTGTAAACATATATATATATTTCTTTGACTGGTTTCCCTCTTTTCTTTGTTCGGACTTTCACTCAAGTGCTTCGAGAGTACATGTATACCTAGATATCTTAGATGCGCGGGTTCCAGACAACTTGGGACTGTTTGGTTGGATATGCAGGATATAGGGAGTTGATCTCTTGGATAACGGAAATAATAGATGGAAATTTCTATTTCAATGAAATTTTAATGGTATCAAATATATTAATACTTTTACAAGGTTGGATCGTTGCTATTCTATGTAGGGCCGTTCCTGACAGCTGGTCGGATCCTGCGGGGCACTGGAACTTGGTAACCTCCGTCATATGTGGAAGCTACAACTCCACTCCTCTTCTATTCTGCTGTTCATTCAAATTCTTCCTCCCCCATCGCACTCTTTTTATTTTGTTTTATCACTCTGGAGCCGGTCTCTCATTGTTTCTATCAAAGTCAACTTCTTCGCAGTTCCTTGTCTTTTCCCCTCAAATTATGGAGATCTCGGCCTGTCTGTATTGATCGACCTGTTTCCCGATGGGTTCGCTCGGCAGCTTCCTCATTGTTTACGTGCTTGGGGGACTCACCTTCGTCCCGCTAGTCCTGTCACTGGTGCTACTTTTCGCCTACTTGGCCTTTCCGGATGCTCCGTCGTCGCAGCAGATCAGCACCCAAGCTTCCGATGCGATCCGTCAGTCCGCCGATGACGACTATAGCTTGAAGTCCGGAACAGATCAGCTGGCGGAAGAGTTCCACCGAACGCATGACTCAGATGTTGCCGCTGGTTACTTTGCTGTTTGTCGCGAATATGTACCTGGAGGTGTCAATGGGAAACCGCCAGAGAGAACGACTCCGGCCGGAGAGGTCGTTGCTGCTGAAAGCCCTAGCGTTTATCAGGCCATGTATCGCAGTTTGTTTGATCGGAAGCAGGCGCCTAGTATTGAACCCGCTAAGTCGAATGGGAAGAATACCAAGCGGGCACGGAATGTCTTTTACATCGTTCTTCGGTATGCGATCCACCCTATCAAAGATGAGTTACTTAGGGATATGCTGACAACCGGGGTTTGGCCACTAGGCATGGCCATTTGATGCTTTACGATGATGCAAATCAGGTTGAGGTTCGATATGTGATCTCCCTTGCGCATCATGCTGTGTCTATTTTTGGCGGCGAAGGGGAGATTCCCGAGGGTGAGCTGTGGATCAAGAGGAACGCTATCTGTCTGTCGCGGCGACTGGAGTCGCTTGGAGACCTTGGTGGACCGACACCACCATTTTACCTCTTCTCGGAAAACCTGTCTGAAAAAGAGGATTTTTATTTCGCCATGCTTCAGAATCAGACCAAGATAGGGAATTCTGCGGATCGTCCACCCAAACATCAGGAGTTTGATGTGAAGCACATTGTCACCTTGGTTCAACGCCTTCACTCATCTGAAGAACAGTTACAGACCCGATGGATCAATGCCTTCCTCGGTCGAATGTTTCTGGCTCTTTATCGTACACCCGAGATGGAGGAATTCCTACGAAGTAAAATTACGAAGAAAATCTCTCGTGTGAATAAGCCGAACTTTATCAGCAAGATCGCCTTGCAGAGGATCGACATGGGTGAAGGGGCCCCGTTCATCACCAATCCCCGACTAAAGGATTTAACAGCCGATGGCAACTGCTGCATCGAAGCAGATGTCCAATACACAGGAAATTTTCGTGTCGAAATCTCAGCCACAGTTCGCATTGATCTAGGTCCTCGATTCAAGGCTAGAGAAGTTGATATCGTGCTGGCAGTCGTGCTCAAGAAATTGGAGGGTCATCTTCTGGTCCGCTTCAAACCTCCACCAAGCAATCGCTTCTGGATGTCCTTTGAAACAATGCCGCAGATGTCGATGGACATCCAGCCCATCGTCAGCTCAAAGCAAATTACCTTCAGCCCCATATTGCGCACCATCGAGAGCAAGATCCGTGAAGTGATGGCAGAGAGCATTGTTCTACCATTCTGGGATGATGTCCCTTTCTTGAACACGGTGGGACAGACATTCCGCGGGGGTATCTGGGAACGAGAAGTGCCTGACCACAGTGATGAGACAGAGATTCCTGATGAATCTGGTGATCCTCTAGCGACGCCAAAGAATGCCCACGCTGATGCGATCGAGGTCCTGAAAGTCAAGGATGATCGGACGATGAGCACGTCTGCTCTTCCTGATTCTGGCTCCCCTAAGGTAAAATCACGCAGAGGGCCGAAGTCGGTATCTTCAGAATCAAGCATCAAAAATTCGACAGCAACATCAACAGGCATCGAAAGATCTGATAATACCCCTTTGCCTCGTGCCATTCGGTCTCAGACCTTCTCTCACGCAGCAGATCCTGTGGTGACAGCGGACAATGCCAATTTCAACAAAGCCGCATCCGACACCAAGGGTGACGAGAAGAGCAGCGCAACTAGCGCTATGATTGAAATCTCAAATCGCTCCCCGCCTGTGTCTCCGCAGAAAACCCCGAACGGTTCCCCGCCTACTGACGGTCTCTTGATTCCTGAGAGTGTCGTTCACAGTCGCGGATCCTCAATCGCAGAGTCTCTGGATGGCTTGAACTTCTCCAATGACCATGTTAATAACTTTGCTCGCTTCGAGAGTAGGCCTATTGCTCGAAAACGCAGCTCTCAAGGCAGTTCTACCACCTCTCTTGTCAGTGAGAAACCACGTCGCAGCACGATGGAGACTTTAACCAAGTCAATTACAAATACCTTCGAGGACAAGGCCGGGACCATCAATATCGGAACGACTGCAGCTGCGGCGAAAAAATGGAGCTGGGGTGTCTTTGGCAAAGGCGAATCGAATATGCACCAGGAAACAACCAAGTCTTCCGTAGGTACCCCTGAACAGCCTATTGGACGAGGGCATCCCCATCCCCCACCTGGCGCCCCCTTACCTCGTCCGGACAAATTTGCCCTGAAGAGAAACTCCACTTCAAGTACTCTCCCCAAGCGGAAGCCTGTAGCACCAGTCCTACCGCCTAGGCAGCCAGGCGCAGGAAGTTTTCGACCTGTACCGCCACCACCCTTGCCTCGCAGAAAACCGATTCCCCTTGGCATGCGCTCTGAAGGAGTAGATGAGTTGCTCGTGGTGCAAGCACCTCAAGATTCTGCACCAAATAGTCCAGTTGGGGGCGAACTGGACACGGATGAGGGCTCAACTGTGCCATTCTTTCCCTCGAGCGAGAAGTCATCTATATCAGGCCTAGCTGAGACGGAGTCACACTGGGAAGATGAGGATAAACAAGATGCTCGGTCTGTCCAATCTGTTGACCCGAACGAGTCTTCCCCGTCTCAAAACCAAGACGTTGCATCATACTCAGGACCAGTGGAAGTTCCAACGACATGAGCGACTGTTATCCTTTATATTGGCTGGTGTATATGGTAGCAGGCCCACCCGGTCCAGGTCTCGATTAAACAAGTGGTTTCGCTTTTTTACTTCGTAATTTGGCGTCATGGTTTTGCTTTGGGTTGCGGGAAATCTGCAGGACAGATGCTTCCGCTGATCCTTGGGGTCAATGTATATAGAAACCACCGGTATGTTTCTTGGAGGGATTGGCGCTTGTAGTGGAAATCTTCATAAGCAATAAAATTACTGCTATCTTATAATTGTTAACGGGATATGTAGTTTCCAATATTATTGTCCAACTACTAGTACTGTTGGACTGGTGACACCTAAATCTGCTGCCTGATGTTGAACTACGTACGTGGGTATACTTCTAGTAATATGGTTCTATGGCAAGGGGGGCTTAGGCGTCGCCAAGACTGACAGGCGCCAGCTTTCCCCAACGTCATTGCGCTCCACGTGCGGAACCCCGAACTTCTTCTCTCTATCTGACTTCCCCCGGCGCATAATATCTAATAGGTGCTGCCCGGACTCAGGATCTGCTATTCAGCTGTTCTCTTCTCTGATACCCCCTGAACCCGCATTGCACCTCAACCCAAAATGAGTCGGTAAGCGGGACTCGGTGCGGTGTCCTCGCGACACCCCCCTCCCCCTGTCCCTCCAAGAACTTACAATAACCCCAATCGCATAGGACGGAGGCCGATTTGGCCATCAACATCCGAAAGGCCACTAGCATTGGTATGTACTCGATCTCCGTGGGTATTAGGTAGAAAGTTGGCGGCTACCGCCGGAAAGGAGAAGGTGACCAGAAGGCTAACTATTGATTGCTGCGATAGAGGAAACCGCGCCGAAACGTATGTCTTGTTCCACACGAAGAAACAGATCACGCTCGATCAATCGCCCTGTTCGACTTGACTGACTTTCCCTTTTCGCTGCATAGGAAAACATGTGCGGAGTTGTATTGTGTACACGTGGGACCACAAGTCGTCAGCGGCCTTTTGGGCTGGCATGAAAGTGTATGTGGGATCGTTGGAGCTCAAGAGACAAGTGCTATGGAGTTTCTTAGAGCCCTTGGCTAATTCTATTCTTTTGGCGCTGCAGTCAGCCTGTTCTCGCCGACGAGGTCCAGACGTTCAAGGCCCTCATTACCATCCACAAGGTCCTCCAAGAAGGCCATCCGATTGTTGTTCGGGAAGCTCAACAACATGCCAATTGGATTGATAGTCTGATGCGAGGAGTCGGAGGCGATGGTGTCCGAGGTATGGCATTGCACATAAGACGGAGCAATTTTGTGGTGTGACGGTATTGACGATATTGGATAGGATATGCTCCATTGATTCGCGAATACGTCTTCTTCCTCGAGTCGAAGTTGAATTTCCACCGCAACCACCCCGAATTCAACGGTATGTCGTTTCGCATGGATCGAATTGATCACGGACGATCGGCTGACGGACACAGGCTTGTTTGAGTACGAGGAGTATATCAGTTTGAAAACGATCAATGATCCAAATGAAGGGTGCGCATGAACCCTGTTCTGGATCTGGAAATCAATGCTGATCCATCTGCAGCTACGAGACCATTACCGATCTCATGACCTTACAGGACCAGATCGATTCTTTCCAGAAGCTGATATTCTCCAACTTTCAGTCGGGCACGAATAATGAGTGCCGTATTTCTGCGCTGGTGCCTCTCGTGCAGGAGAGCTATGGTATTTACAAGTTCATTACCAGCATGTTGAGAGCCATGCACACAAGTATGTTTCGTTTTCATTGCTATCCCGCAACTTCATGTGTTGACTGTTTTTCTTCCTACAGCAACTGGAGATGACGAGGCGCTTGAGCCACTCCGTGGTCGTTATGATGCCCAGCACCACCGTCTCGTTCGCTTCTACTACGAATGTTCCAACTTGCGCTACCTCACCAGCTTGATCACCATCCCCAAGCTGCCTCAGGACCCCCCGGGCCTTCTCGGAGAGGACGATGAACGTCCTGCCCTACCCCGACGCCCGGCGAAAGAGATCGAAGCGCAACCGTCGCCACCCCCCAAGACGGCTGCTGAGCCAGAGCCCATAAATGATTTCTGGACAAACGAGGCTAAGCGCCAACAAGAAGAATATGAGGCAGAACAAGCTCGTCTCCAGCAACAATGGGAGCAGCAGCAGCGGGAGCAGATGCGTGCCCAGCAGGAGGCCCAGGCGAACTTTGAGGCGGAACAGGCGCGGCAACTTCGAGCACAACAAGAGGCACAAGAGCAGCTTCTCCGGGACCAATATTCAACACAAACCCAGGGCCGCTTGGCAGAGCTGGAGCAAGAGAACCTGAATGCCCGTGCTCAGTACGAACGGGACCAGCTGATGCTCCAGCAGTACGACCGACGTGTGAAAGATTTGGAGGGACAGATGAATCAATTGAATTCGAATCTCAACTTGCAGAGCGCCTCCAAGGATGAGCAGATTCGCGCTCTACAAGAGCAGGTGAACACTTGGCGGTCGAAGTATGAAGCCTTGGCCAAGCTCTACTCGCAGTTGCGACAGGAGCATCTGGATCTCTTGCAGACTACTAAGAGCCTTAAACTCAAGGCAGCCTCAGCGCAGGAAGCTATTGACCGCCGCGAGAAGTTGGAGCGCGAACTGAAGACCAAGAACCTGGAGCTGGCGGATATGATCCGTGAGCGTGATCGTGCCCTGCACGACCGGGACCGCCTGACTGGTACGAACAAGGATGAGTTGGAGAAGATTAAGCGCGAGCTTCGTATGGCGCTTGAGCGAGCTGAGAATGCCGAGCGATCCAAGGGCACGGAGATTTCCACTTTGTTGTCCAAGTATAACCGTGAGATGGCTGATTTGGAAGAGGCTCTCAGAGTGAGTTTTCTGCCATGGGCAGGATTTGATCCTAGAACTAACTGGTATAGCACAAAACCCGAGCCCTTGATGAAGTCTCCAACCGCAAGTCGGAGTGGGATGGAGATCACGAGCTATCTCTTCGTGAGAAGGATGAAGAGATCGAAGTTTACAAGTCCGGCATGGAGCAGGCTCTGATGGAGTTGGAGGAGCTTCGGCTGGTAAGAACAGTCTCTTAATCGTATTGGTACCTTTACGCTAACCAGCCTTATGATACAGAGCCAAGGTGACACCGACCATGCATTGGACAGCCAGATTGACACGGTTCTCCTCGGCACCGTGGCCAAGATCAACGACATCATTGATTCTGTGCTACAGGCTGGTGTGCAGCGTGTGGATGATTCTTTATACGAGCTTGACTCCTCTATGCAAGCCGGTAACCAGAATGCGTCGCCGCCTTACGTGCTATCACAGATTGAGAAGGCCTCTGCGTCGGCCACAGAGTTCTCCACTGCATTCAACAACTTCATTGCAGACGGCCCTAACAGCCCTCATGCGGAAATCATCCGCACAGTGTCCGTCTTTTCTGGATCTGTAGCTGACACCCTGAGCAACACAAAGGGATTGTCCCGCTTCGCCAATGACGATAAGAGCTCCGATCAGCTCTTTAATGCTGCCCGTAAATCAGCACAGGCGACCGTGCGCTTTTTCCGTGGTCTGCAGTCATTCCGCCTTGAGGGCATGGAGCCACTGCAGAAGACTGATGTTGTCATCAACAACAATTTAGAAGTGCAGCGGGATCTCCAGTCGCTATCCAAGCTGGTTGAATCCTTCTCACCTAAGAGCAGCAAGATCAATACTAACGGCGATTTGGGAGACCTTGTGGATCAAGAGCTGAACCGGGCAGCTGATGCTATTGAGGCTGCTGCCCAGCGTTTGGCCAAGCTGAAGAACAAGCCCCGTGACGGCTACTCGACTTACGAGCTACGTATCAACGACGCTATCTTGGCGGCTGCTATTGCCGTGACCAATGCCATCGCTGAGCTGATCAAGGCTGCCACGGAGACGCAGCAGGAGATTGTGCGTGAGGGCCGTGGAAGCTCTTCCCGCACAGCTTTCTACAAGAAAAACAACCGCTGGACCGAGGGTCTCATCTCTGCTGCCAAGGCAGTTGCTACTTCTACTAACACCCTGATTGAGACCGCCGATGGAGTTATCTCAGGTCGCAACTCTCCTGAGCAGCTTATCGTGGCTTCCAACGATGTTGCTGCTAGTACTGCACAGCTGGTGGCTGCCAGTCGTGTCAAGGCCACATTCATGAGCAAGACCCAGGACCGATTGGAGACAGCCAGCAAGGCTGTGGGTGCTGCATGCCGTGCCCTGGTGCGCCAGGTGCAGGACATCATCAAGGAGAAGCACAGCGGCGACAACGACGCGGAAGATTACGCGACGCTGAGCTCGCACGAATTCAAGGTGCGCGAGATGGAGCAACAGGTATGTTTTCCGATTCCCTTTCTCTTCACCCCACGTGCAGTATCTAATTTGTCTTGTTCTTCAAGGTCGAAATCCTTCAGCTCGAGAACAACCTCGCCCGTGCCCGCACCCGCCTTGGCGAGATGCGCAAGATCTCGTACCAAGAAGAATAAACCCCCTGCACATTTTCATTTCCTTTCCCGTGGGCTTGGTTTTTTACCTCGATTGTGTATATTTTGAAATCATCTGGGAGACCACTCTCCTTCCACAGTCCACAGTGTGTCATCCTTTCTGCCAGTAGCTAGTGATTAGCGGATATAACTGCAGTCTTTGTTTGCCGATCGGATCCGTTCCTCTTCCTTAAATCCATTATCCATCCCGATAATCATGCAAAGCCCGTAAGTAATGGAGCCCGATTCCCGATCCCTGTCGATAGTCGAACACATCATCAACGCCACCAAGTTTACCGTTCCTTATCATTTCACATATGCACGGGAACACCAATCACCAAGCCGCAAAGAAACCTCGAGTCGAGTCCTCTTTCATTTATGGTAAGCGAACGCCATCTCGAATCCCTTGGCGCCCCAAATCAAATATCCGGAACAAAGAAAACTACCGCGAACGGGGCTGAATAAGCAGGTCGAGGTTGAGCCATCGAACTCCCCGGATCCACATTATTTTAGGTCCAGTGGGTCCCGGACCCACGGACCCGCAGCTTGGCACGGGGGCACAAAGAAAACTCGACGTCAGCTATCACACCGTACAAAGCAGCGAGTATCTGGGAGGTTGAAACAAAGAGACTCTACGTAGGTAAACTCGAGTCTGGACTTGCAGTGTACATGTCATGATTCAGATATGGACTTGGAAGTAATGCCATGCTGTTCGAGGGTAAATCGAGTGGTATCAACAACATGGGAGGGTTACTAAGCACCAGGACACTAGAGAAAGTATGGAATTTCAGACCTAAGGTATGCTAAAATAATTCGTTCGTGGGATGTTTGAGATTCATGTGGACCATCGATGTACTGTGAGTGGACGAATAGTCGATGGCATCCCAGATGATAGAGAGGAGACATTCAACTAGACAAGAGAGTAACCGAAAGACGGAAACCCGAGGAGGCGAACTGCTAGCCACATATCCCGAGGAGCAACGCAGGATCAAACGCGAAAGGGGATAATGATATGGGATTGTGGCAAATCAAACGTAATGGCTCAAAAACAATCAAATGGCGAAACCTTTGGGGGACAGTGCAAGTCCCTGACGCCGGAGAGTTATTGAGATGAACTCAGAGAAGAGGAGGACTCGTGGCAGGGATGCTAGTCCATGGTTCCCAGGCAGTGAGATAAGGAAATCCTCGCGCAATTTCCTCAACGGTACGGTTCTCCCGCTCGCTCTTCTCCTCCGCCATGCGAAGCTCGAAATCAGTTGTGTACACCAAGTCTTCGATGGGATCCATATCCTCATCAGGGTTGTCATAGAGGTCTTCAAGTGTAAACTCTTCATACGGACCATTCATCAAAGCCCCTTCGTCGGACAGAAGCCAATAAAGCGGATCGATGCTTTCACCACCGTGCTGAATAGCCATGAGATCGGTCTTATCCTTGAGAGAAACGGGCCACATGGAGTCCCGCTTCTGAGAGCCAATGTAGCCAGGGATCGTGGTACAAAAATCAATGATCTGATACAATGTAACGGCTTCATTTGGGAGAGCGAAGGTAATCCTGGGCGTGATTTGGCTCAGCGAAAAAGTTTCACTTCCTGCAACCTCATTAATCGTCCAACCGACGTGATCCATGTAAGCCTGGGGACGAGGAAAGTTGAACAATTGCTTAGTCAACCTGATAAAATAGGACAAACTCTGGTCACTAAGCTCAAAGTGCTCACGCAGCTTAGAATAAGCCATCGAAAGGAGCGACCACTGCGGCTTGAATTTGTCGCAAGTCCACATGTAGCCGATCAGAGGAGACTTCGTCTTCTGGGGGATTTTCGGGAATAGAGGTGCCAGGTACGCTTCAATAATGTCAATTTAAACCTCAATATTCAGGATTTAATGAAACTCACTGCGAAAGGACATGAAACCGTTGAGATTCTTCGTTCTTTTGGGAGGTCGCTGGGTAGGCCATCCGGCTGGTCCCCATGCTTCCACATATTGATGGAGTTCATTGGGCATTATCTGCTCTTGTTTGTTGCTGTCAGGATAGAGGTCAACTTCAAACCGCCCCTCCAAGATAACAAAGCGTGGTCCATCGGGAATAAAGAGCGGCCGACAAAAGAATTGGAAGGGAATTCCCCCAATAACGTCGCGAGCAAATTGTTCCATAGTTTGCTGACTTTCATTCCAAATCGAGAGGATTCGGACCGCTCGCCAGAACGGAATTGTAGTCAAGTAGGCATAGAGCAACACGACTGTCGCCGGCCATTTGGCGCAAAATACAGTGGGCATTTTGCGGCGAGGGTTGAATGGTGTGCGGGAAAGCGTGGAGGAGAACAAACAGTTCGGCTTTCGAAATGAAAGCAAACTGCCGCACAAGGCAATAGATAATTGTCAGGAAGCTTGACTTGAAATGAAAAAGAGGCGAGGCAACAGGCCTCCGAAAGAAGAGAGTTGTAGGGAACGGAAAGGCTGGAACAGAAGAATGAGGGAGGGACAAGGTGGGGAGGGAAGAGGCGGAGAGAAAAGAGAGATGAGGAAGAAGGAGAAAGGAAGAAAGGAGGAGAGGCAATACAAAGCTTTTGTAAACAAAGGGGAAAGTGAAGTGAAGTGGGGCAGCTTTGAGCAGTGGGCAGTGGGCAGTGGGCAGTGAGCAGCAGGCAGTGGTCATGTTCCAAATGGGTAATTGTCAACAAAGTTTGGCCATTACGGTGATGGGTGCCTGATTGTCTGAAGCCATTAGCATTATCTACTGCTAGGACTGATGAAGTTTTGAAGTCACAGTGGGCGGCATTTGATGTATCTTGGGCTTGACTCGATCCACAGAATCTTAGGTGCTGTTCCAGTTATCGACCCCTGTCTCAGACTTGACTTTCTACAAAAAGAGATCACTCTCAACTCCGAATCTACAAGTACTGGACTACTCAGCTTAAGAAGATATTTTTTCTAAGATTAACTAAAGTAGTGTAAGTAGTGTAACGTGCATGCCACGTGGGGGGTGATCGTCATTTCCTTAGTAGCCCGCAGTATGCTCCACTACGTGATCCACCCTCGACACTGCTTATTTTGAGAACCAGAAAAATCATCATCAACAAAAGGTTTAATGTATGCTATTCTAACAATATTAATTTTAAAAAGTAAAATAAAATATACATTATAGAACAAACCTCCAAGGAGTGGAATGCGCAGGGCTGCTGGGTGCATCGAGTCCCAACGGGTACATACAACTGAGCCAGGGGGTACTTCTTCTAGGTAAAAATCTGGTGTTGACTATCCCGCTAATTCCTTTGTCATTCACTTCATACCACATACAGTAGCAAGTGAAAAGTCTAGCCATACTTTCCATCTGTTGTATGTGTCATTCGCAGTAGGTCACAGGAGGTTTTCCCTATGCAGCTAATTAGTTTTGTCATGAACCATAGCCTGTCGATATCCAGCCCCAATTGAAATTATATTAATCGAGTACGTCGAATTGAAGTACACATTCATAATCATAGGTAACTAAAGTGGAGTTGGATAGAATAGAATAAAATAGAATAAAATAAAATAATCTTATTGAGAAAATGGGCTTCTTGTTACTGGTAGAGAAAAATTTGACCTCTATGTGTCATGCCCATCATGATTCCAGCTGGGAGGACCCATTCCAGTCACTGGCCCAGATAAATGTTGGACAGCGCCATTGTGTCCCTTTTTCCTTCTCGCCGTTGGGCCCGAGGGGTCGGGGACAGATCCAGAATGCTCGACCGCAGTTCATGCCAGGCTTTTTAGTAGTTAGACTGATGCAGGGCTCTTTATGTGAGTCGCATCGAGGAACGGGCTTCTTGGTGAAGAGCTTGGACCAGTCCTCTTTACTGACGATCGGATCGATCACCGTACTATCGTCCAATCTGCTGGGTGAAGACAGCATCGGTGGTTCCTGTGTGCTTGCAGCAGGAGTATTAGGTATAGACTCGGTAGTCTGAGCAGGTTCAGCCATACTGCTATCGCGAAAGGTACTAATCCTGGGTGACGATTTCCCTGTATCAGGATTAGATGAATTTGTGGGTGACTGAGATACTGCACTGCTTTCAACAGTCTTGGGCTTGAAAAATCCCTTGAGTGTTTTCTGCCCGACTGTCGAGGCGGGGGATGAGGATGCGTTAGATTTTGAGCGTTTGGCAGGGACAGTTGATGGTAGTGGTGGTCTTTTTCGAGGCATGGAATTTGAAGCTGAGATATCACCTGCCGCAGCAAACCGACTAGCTGACTCGTTTTGGCTGGGTGCCAGTGATGCTTGCTTGATGCCTATAGCCGCGGTGGGCTTCTCGACAACACTAGCCGTAGACGGTGACCGGGACTGCATGCTAGGTGGTTTGCGAGCAAACATATCCTTGATGCTGCGCCGCTTATCAACATCGAACTCTGGAAGCAGACGTCCTGATGTGGACAGAAGGTAGCAGTTCGAATATTCTTTCTGGCGCTCGCCCCCTTCGAACACCCCTGGCGGGTTCATGATATCATGGATAGGAACCATATTTCCATTATGCAGCACTTGTTCCTTGAAAATAGCATAGACGGGGCAATGATCAGATCCCTAAAAATTTCAAAAGTTAGCTCACAATTCATGTCGCTTCCGGCATTCAGGACGTACCATGAGGCCTTCCTGGATATCTGAACCTGAAAACCATTCCCGCATCTCCAGGCTACACAACACGTAATCAATTCTTGCACCATAATTTCCAGGCCTGGTATTGAGCCTGGTATCCCAGCAAGTGTACATCCCCGCTCGATTCGGGTGAAAAGATCGGCAGATATCATGTAGGACCGGCTGCTCCTTGAAGTTGTCCCGATCGCCAACCACCACACCATCAGCCAGTAATGCGTTAAATAATCTCCGAGGTGGGCTGGTGATATACTCTTCTTCAGTAGTGGTACCCTTGCGAATGCCCTCCAGTGCATGTGCAGAGTCGATCGGTGCCTTGGCGATGTTGATATCCCCAGTAACAAAAACCTTCTTCCCCATGGACACAAGATTACGAACCCGAGCGTCTAAAGCATTGAGAAAATCGATACGAAAAGAATCACGGCTCTCATCCCGGTATGCAGGGCAATAAGTTCCGATAAGAACAAAAGCTGGAAACTCCAGAACAACGCATCGTCCTTCGGAGTCCAGAGTTGCAGCATCGGTTCGTTCCTCAGACGTTGTGTCCTGACTGTCCTCTGAATAGCTCTGCTCGGATTCCAAAGCAGGCCCTTGAAGCTGTTCTAACGTAGGATATCCGCCAATTCGTTGCTCTTCTGGCATGTCACGGAAGGCCACTGACGAGTTTGGTGGACAAAGTACCCCTGTGATGCCTTCTTCGGCCCTGATTGGCGCACAGGTGGCATTGCGTGTATAAATCACCACACCAGAATATCCTACTAGGAGTTAATTATACCACAAAAAATACAGAGATGTGACTTGCCCTTCTTGAACTTGGGGAGGCTGAAATAGCAGTCCCACCCTGGCACCAGGACCATGTCATCTCGCAAATCCTTGCGCTGAATCTTGGTCTCCTGAAACACAACAATGTCGGATTCGAGGATCTCAAACATGGACTATTTCTTGTCAGAATGAACCTTAGATTTTTGAGATCAACAACATCTCCTTACTTCGAAAGTGCGGGTCCCTCTCCATGGTTCATAGGAGAATGGATTTCTTCTCACATCAGTCACCATCAACATAAATCCATCAAAGTAACCATGCCTACCGAATCCCATTAACTGTAGTACAAAATTAGTGCTTAAAATATAAAGCGGAGACAAACAGCTTACCATTCCATGTCGTGATGCGAAACCCCATAATCAACCGATATCAGAAGGGCAAAGAGTGCACTTTCAGTCGCGTCTCTCAGACTTCTTAGACCCAAACTGACCTCAGTAACCAGCTTCACAAAGAAAGAGTGGGTTGAGCGCAACCAAATAATGTCTCTCCTTCAGATGCAGCTATATATCACGTGACACACACACACACACAAGTGACATCAGGTTACATAATCACCGGGGGATCACGGGACCTCAAACCACTCAAACGGCTTGGATTTCAACCGTACGACATCTCGCCCGAATCCCCTCTCCTCTCTCCAATTCCACACTCACAACCACCACAATGTTCTCCCGCAACATTGCTCGTCTGAGCCAGCGTGCCGCACCGATCCGCTCGGCTACCCAGCGCCGCTTCAACAGCGCCGAGGCCAAGCCCTCTTGGATCGCCGACAACGAGTTCAACCGTGAGCGTGCTGCTGTCAAGCACCACGCCGCTTCCACCAGCGGTTTGTGACCCCGATCTGAGCTCCTACCCATGGCTCTACATGAATTACACACAGTTCTGAATGGTTTGGGTGGCTTTTACTAACTCAATGGCTTTGTAGACCTCTGGCGCAAGCTTTCGATCTTGTACGTTTTCTCCGGAAAGAGCGGCCCAACCTATACAATTGATCATGTTTGAATGCCAGGTCAGCTAATCATTATCTGCAGCGCTGTCATCCCCTGCCTGATCGGTGGTGGCATCAACGCCTACACACTCTGGAACGAGCACTGGGAGCACTGGGACCACATGCCCGCTCTTGAGGAGCGTACCGAGTACCCTTACCAGAACATCCGCACCAAGAACTACCCCTGGGGTGACGGTGACAAGGTAAGTAGGATTTATTGGGCTGCGATGTTGTTAAATCAAAGGTAGATTGCTAACGTTTCCCACAGACCATCTTGTAAGTTCCAATCTCTACGGATCCGATGGCCGTATATCGCTGGCACACGCAAAGCACATACTCGACTTGCCGCCAGTCGATTTGTATGAACTCTGGAACCATAACTAACTAACTATTCACAGCTGGAACTCGGATGTCAACTACCACAACAAGGACAAGGCTACCTAAGCTCATCCCCTCAACACCGACCACAACTCCGAAGCTCGAGGACCGAGCCTGTCGATGCGTACCTGAAAGAGGATGTTTGGCTGCAAGTTTACATGTATATCTACTGCCGTAGTGTTTCACGGGACTTTAGACCCGCGAAAGGTTGGAGCTTAGACTCTGGTGACTGAATGAAGTGAAGCTCGTCGTACCCCGTCATTGGTGCTATTTCATTTGTCAACCCTGTGTATACCTAGATCCAATACAATTGGTTTGGGATATCTATTTGAAGCTATTCATGTGTAGACTCGGAAAGTGATAGTCCAACTGGCTGCAGCAACTGCCAAAGGTCAAGGTTTACTTCCACCAAGCCTGTCCAGGTGCTGGACTTGAAAGACGTACAACATTGTAAAAACAGGATACCTGTTACGCAAGATGCACTGGTTCAGTGAAACCATGGCTCGATCAGCTCCAACAGTGCCACGTACTAAAAATACATAGACGGAATTAAAATCAGCATTAGCGTCAGCTTTCAGTTCCCCTCCGCCTCCTAAGGTCCAGATATTTGGCAGCATAATCATTGGCCAAGACCGGATCACCCGTGAGATGCATAACAGTCGCCTTTTTAGCCATCATCTCCGTCTGTCCAAGGATATCCTCGATCTCCTCATACGAATCATAGGCAGAGTCGATATAGCCAATCGCACGGTTCACATACTCCTTCCTGGTGGGTATACTCTCCTTCCCGAGACGGGCCCACAGCTCACCGGCGGTACCCATATTCGCATCAACGAGCAGCGAGTATGCGCGAGCTATCAGCGCAGAGTCGTCGCTCTCAAGGATTTGGGGCATGATACTCTCCACGAGTTCAACTGTAGCCTTAAACTCTCGTAGGCTGAGAAGCACAGCGGCGAGGGTGCAAATGGCTTCCCAGAGATCGAAGAGAACTTTTGAGCGGTGGGCGATGCTTGCAGCGCGCATGGCGAGCGAGAATCCACGCTCTGCGTGGCCGGATTTCTCAAGGATGCGAGCTTTTAAGCAGAGAATTTTTATTTGGGAGTGGACATCGAAGTTTTCCGGTTGCATGGAGTTGGCGGCTTGTTCGACCATTCGAAGCGCACGACCATGGTCACCCTGGCGGATTGTGAATTCAATTTTGTGGAAGGCGAGGAGGAGGCGGAGATCGAAGTCTTGTAGTTGGACGGCCTCAAGTTGGGAGAAAATATGTTCCACTGCTACTTTGTCGTCGCTGGGAGTTATTAGAGCTTGTGTCGTATTGCAAGGTTACTTATCGTAGGACTCACCGGCAGATTTGCCGTTTCAGCTGGAGGATACCAGAGTAGTATGTCCAAGCATTGTTGTATTTAATGGCTCGGAGTCGTTCGGGTTCGATATTGTTCATCCGCGCGAAGGCTTCTTTGTAGTTGCCTTTTTGTGCCAGCTGCAAGATGTGGTTAGCTTGTTATGCAGCCAGGAGGACGAGGGTGGGGACAGTATACAATTTGGCAATTTCTGAAGGTGATTTTGACATAATCGTCGTATGGGTGCCCTTCTGTATAGCACTCGCTGAAGATTTCGGTATTCAGCCAAGCCAGGTGGGTAGCGCCTGGTTTATGAATGTTAGCCGTGACTCAGAAGATTGATGCTAGATCACATAGCTAGATCACATACCTATCCGAGCATACATAGCGCTCTGCAGTGCCATGTACGCCCCTGTGGGGGTCGACAAGTTTTTTGTCACGTTGACATGAGAAGCTCGCACAAACGATTCGACAATCGACGCAAGACTCTCGCCCTGAAAAGCATCAACATACACGACCTGGCAAAGTATTCTGTGGGCAATAGCTTACCTGCTGCATTTCTAGCTTAGCCTCACTCAGCAATGTAGTACTCATGAGTGACCACATGTCAGTCTCCTTCGATTTGGCCTTGAGGAAAGCAAGGCCCTCTTTCTCATTACCCAGCATACCACTATTATGCACCTCTCGCATTTGCTCGGGAAACGCCTTGCCAAAATGATAAAGCCAGCTCATGCAGAAGTTAAGACAGTTCATATCATGAGACTCGCGAGCAATAGCGACAGCTTCTTGCACGGCGGAGATAGCTTCGTTGAAGCATTCGAAGTCCGCCTGAATAATAGCCAGATTTAATAGGGCAAATTGATACGCGCTGCGGTCTTGATTGTTGTGCATGGTGTAATCGAAGTATCGATGCAGATTGTCAAAGGCAGATGTATAGTCGCCAGCTCGCCAGGCATCAAGATATCTAAGTATGTTAGCAACCTTGAAATAATATGTACCCCTTTGGTCACTTACTCAAGGTAGTACATCAGTACAGGGACAGATGACTCCGAAGTCATGATGCGCTTTAGCTGTGCTCGCATTTCGTCTGGCACTCTACCTCCCAGCCCTGTTCTGATCAGCATATGATACTCCCGAAATATACGTTGTGAACGAATAGCCCTTGCATACTTTGTAGTTCTCCGATCTGGAACTCCACCAGACGCTCTGCATCCTTTACACCGACCACACCTTCGTCCCTTTCCTCATCTTCAATATTGCCATAAACCACCTGAGAAAGGTAGCTGGTAGAGTCCAGGCCTTGATCAAAGAGATTAACATCGACTGGATCATGATTGTCAGACGGATTTCTCCGCGCATAGGCATGATACGTCGGCAAACGGTACCTCACAAAGCCAGACCATAGCTTGACCGAGTCATGGAATTGTAACCGAGTGTATTCAAGGTAGGCTCTGCGCACAAACGCACCAAGTGGTGAGCTGCGAGACAGTCGCATGCCCTCAGTCTCCGGAGCAAGGCCATTGTCTCGATCCTGGAGTAATTGTTCACGCGTCTTGGTAAGTAGGGTCGACAGATGATTGGAAAAGAACCACTCGAGTGCATCGAGGGAATCAAGCGACCAGAGCTTTTTGAGAAATAGATCCCAGATTGTTCGACCCGGGACAGAGGATTCATGGCCCGATAGCACTTCCTCCAACTCGGCGATGCTGGGAAGGTAGTGTTTCTCCCATTGCTTATCGGCGGGATCTAGAGGAAACAGACCCGCGGTCAGGAACGAGAGCACATGGATGGCGGATGAGTTGGGGACGAAGCCATCCGTATAGACGGTTATCAGGCACAGTAGAGAGATCCTCCACGGTGTCAGATAGCGTGTCATGATTAGGAACGATCCATCATTGTCACACTTTCGAGAGATGATTTGATTCAATCCGATCCAAGGGCGCGTTTGAATGTTGATAAGGCGCGATAAGGTGCCTGAGGCATAAACGGTGTGCCCCGCCAAAAAATGATTTGAGTGACGCATTTACACTTACCAACTTTCATTGAACTCAATTACACTCTCCATCATGACGGAAGCTTTGACGACCACTGATTTACAAGGCGCATTGCCTCTTGTTGCTCGTGGCAAGGTCCGCGACCTTTACGAAGTCGACGACAAGACCCTGCTCTTCGTTGCGACTGATCGTATCTCCGCCTACGATGTGATCATGGAGAACGTATGACTTGCACACTGAGAAGCCGGATGAATACAAATTATATATACTGAAGGTTTCATTCTAGGGCATCCCCAACAAAGGCGTTCTCCTCACCCTTTGCACGAAGACCTGGTTCAAAATCCTCTCCGACACCGTCCCCGGACTGCGCACCCACTTCCTCACCCTCGATCTCCCTTCCCAGATTCCTGCTTCGCTCAAGCCAGTGCTGCAGAACCGGGCGATGCAAGTGCGCAAACTGCGTATCCTCCCCATTGAGGCCATTGTCCGTGGATACATCACCGGCTCCGCCTGGAAGGAATACCAGAAGTCCGGTACTGTGCACGGAATCCCCGTCCCTGCTGGACTGAAGGAGAGCGAGGCATTCCCTAATGGTCCGATCTACACTCCCAGTACCAAGGCGGAGCAGGGCGAGCATGATGAGAACATCCATCCGGATCAGGGTATGTTATTCTGTCGATACTGGTTCAATAACGGTATCAATTTTGATCTTGGGAATGTTCGAGCTAACTGGGAGTACTAGCTACCGCCATCCTTGGCGAGCCATACGCCTCGAAAGTTGCCGACTTGGCCGTTCAGCTGTACAAGGCCGCTCACGCTTATGCGCTTGAGCGCGGTGTGATCATCGCCGACACCAAGTTCGAGTTTGGTGTTGACGAGGAGACAAACGAGGTTGTCCTAGCTGATGAGGTTCTGACACCAGACTCCTCCCGGTTCTGGCCTAAGGACTCGTATGTCATTGGGCAGGGCCAGTCGAGCTTCGACAAGCAGTACTTGCGGGACTGGTTGGTTTCCGAGGGTCTTAAGGGTAAGGAGGGTGTCCGGATGACCGAGGAGGTTGTTCAGGAGACCGCTGCTAAGTATAAGGAGGCTTGGGAGAAGATCACCGGTGGTAATTAGGACAGAAGATTTCTGATGACCGTACTATCTTCGTGTTTATATCAAAAAAATAAGTGAAATCTTACATGTAGACATTTTTGAAGAACATTCAAGAACGATGAAAGGAGACTTGAAAACGTCACGACCAGATGTAGATACTCTGCCTATTCCAAGAGGCGCGGAAAGATAAAATTCATCGGGGGTTAAATGTACAATTTGTGACGGCGAGATACTGCAGAACAGATCACTCCTCCCACTCCGACCGGAGACCCTTCAGACCCTTTTCTTTTGTCTCGGTCTTCTTCGGGCTCTGCGTCTCAGCTCGATGCGGGGAGTCAATCCAAGCAGACTGAACACCTTCATCGAGCGGCAATGCGTCTGCGCCGCAGATCCGACGCTCTTCCTCGATATCTGCCTCGCCCATGCCATTAGTAGCCCAGATTTTGTGAATACGCAAATCATAGGGCCCTTCGATACGATCCGTGAGACCGATACCAATACTCTTTACCCGCTGGCGAATGATAGAAGTCTGTGGCTCGACTACATATCCGTGATTCGTTCGGACAAATGCGTTAAATGGTAAAAGTACCGTCTCCCAGCCTGTTGATCCGGAGGTAGTTGTGCTAGAAGCCGAGGATATGATGGATTCAGGGGGAATGTCGGAAAGCGCCGAGGGAATGCCCTTGGGGTACAATTCTTCCACTGCCTCGGCGTCTTCAGATGACTTCGCGTGCAATGCTTGATCTAAGATTGGCGAGCTGTCTTGCATGCGGTGGTGTCGGGTATATAATCGGTGTTGGTGAATATCGGTCTCAACGACAGACTCTGTCTGGATGTTCACGGTGTATCGGCGGCCGTCGGATTTGATGCGGAGCGCGAGATAGGCATATGGATCGACGTCCCAGAAGAGACGGCCAAAGAGCCAGAGGCCGCGGTCTTTGTTGCGGAATGCGGCATATCCTGTTCGTACCCCGACGCGATTAGTATCCTGCCTGTAGTGAAGCTGGGCCAGTGAGACATACCAGTCCGCTCTACGCGCCAATTTTCTGGGAGCTTTGTAGAAATGCTGCCATGGAAGCGAACGTGGGCCGGTGTGTTGGAGGAGGGGTCTGCTGGTTCGTAGTCTAGCTCGGCGGTGCTGAAACCACCGACGGCGCGATCGGCGAAAGTCTTGCAGTCGGAGACGGTTCGCTCATCTTCAAAATTGAGAAGGGTGTATGGTTTGGTAGGAGTGTGGAGGGCCTCTGTGTTCCAGGCTATAATGGGTCGGTTAGTTTTTTGGTAGCTATGGGGGAATCCAGGGCCGTACCGATCTTCGAGAGGCGGCCAAATTCCTCGGCGCTGCGCCTGAAGAAGTTGCCTTGCGCAGCTAGACACCGAGTGGGAATCATTTCTCTCCCGTGGTCACGTTTGAGAGGTTCAATGTGGACAGAGAGAGTTTGAAGAGAAAGCTTCAGGATGATGTCGAGTTCCCGAGGTGGCGTGAAACTTAAAGAGCGCCGATCACCCGCGATAAGATGTCTCCGTCATGAGCAACTTATACTACAATGTCACGGTATTTTGGAATGAATTTACATTCACCACTCATTGGATCCCATTTTCACATCTGCCTTGCAATACTACAGTTCATCAGTCGGGTTTCAAGGTTCCTGAGGTCTTTGCTATATCTATTGCCTTCTTGAGGCAATAGGTGTCGATTAGGGCTCTATATCTTGATGACTTAAAAGTACTACTCTCTCATCATTTAGCGATTATATCTGTTTAACATGAATTTTCCACACCAGCAAAAGCCAGGTTTGATTATTGTTGCCATAAAGTCTCTGACTCTCCGTGAACGTATAGGGCTAACGTAGGTAAAAGTTACGCACATAGAGCGTCATGCATCTGTGATGAGAAGAGATTATTACTTTAACCGAGACCGGCCGAGTCTAAACCTGGATACTCTTGGACCATAAAGCTACACATTCAGATTCCCAAGGTTCAATCAGTAGATACATAGGTCGACCTCCGATGACAGTCCTAGCGAGTTCCGATACCAAAAACGGCACGGACTAACTGTAATTTATTGATTTACCTTACAGTTTCTGGTTCAACTGTGTGTGTTAGTCTTTTCCTGGGTGCTTGGTTCCTGGATATACTTTGTTTGTGAGTCAAAGCAACCTGTACCTAATGGTTAGACCCGGATGTAGCCATGGTAGCTTGCCTTCATCACATTTTCCAGTGGTAAGCGGTCCAAAAAAGCGACTTAGTACTGTCCTGATGCAATTTGTGTGTTGAAAATGCTTGCGGAGGTGGGTGGGTGATATATTCTTTCGTTCCTATACACACTTCCACCATTCCTTGTCTATACATCTATTGCTTTTGTTCACCCAACCTAATCTTTATCATCGACAGACCAAGCATCGATATAAACATACTAATTGAATATATAACTCACCATGACTATCCAGGCCATGGAGCCTGATTTCGAGAACAAGTATCCTCGTCGTGTGGATCGCCTGCAGGAGGAGCCATCGGCCAAGAATGCTCAGGGACTGTTTCCTCCAGATGCTTGTATCTTTGTTGGAAAGTAAGTACATCTCTCGCCGCCTGAGAAGTATTCTGCTCACTGCTTTCTCTTAGTCTGTCTACGAAGGTCGCGGCAGAGGAAATGACTGAAAGCTTGAAGAAGGCATTCACCGTGTATGGACCGTGTCATGTTAAAATCAAGCAGGATAAGAAGAAAGGTCTACCAGGTGCATTTGTGCAGTTTGAGGTAAGTCGTATTATCACGCTCCATGCTCTTCAGATGCTGAGGATTTACGCTCCATAGAAAGTAGAACACGCCAATGCTGCACTGGGCCCTAACGCACGCATTACTCTACACGATCGGTGGCTGCGAATCGAAAGAGCCAAAGGAAGACGTAAGCACCTTGCCAGTTCTTCTCCTTTTTTTCTGTTTTTCATAGTTTTCCTCTTTTCGTCGCTATTTCCCAGTTTGATTCTAACTGGAAGGAAGGAACCGCTTGCCTTGGTCTCCGGTCTGGTGCCCCCATCACAGCCCAAGATGTCTCTTCTGCTCTGAGAGACCGAGGTCCTTTAGAAGTCTACTCCATCGAGTCATACTCCACTGGGCCTCAAACATGGACTTTCATTTGTAAAGTCACATTTGCCTACGTCGATGACTGTAGAGACGCGATCAAGGTAAGATCCCCTCTGGCCTCAGGCAACAGGAGATGCATACTCATGTCGATGTTACTAGTTGTTCCAGAAAGATCCCAACTATTTTCTGACTCTTCTGGATATGGAGAGCAACCCTTCTCAGAACATGGGGGGTAGGCTTTCTCTTCGCGCGAGACCCTATGTTTCATCTCAAGGGCGTAACAACAATCACAACGGTTCTCCGCGGTACAACAGAACATATCGCAACGGACCCAACAGGGGTGGCTATCGTGGATTTCCCAAGTATCATGATTCACCGTTTCAGCCAGAGAATTCACCTCCATCTCACCCACGCGGAGAGTTTCCTCCTCATTTACTCCCTGGTCCACCTTACTGGATCAACGGCATGCCCTACAACAATGAACCATATCCATCATTATATCATCCGCCACCACAGCACCCAAGTAACGGCTTGAGCAACCATCAATTTATTCCCAACAATCACCCAGGATTTGATCCTCCACACCTAGTCCCTCCTCCATATGTCTACAACACTGGCATCCCCCACGGGCCTTTGATCGTCAACGGTCAGCTATCGTATGGGAGTAATAGCCCAGCATTTTATCGTGAAATGTGCACCCCCGAGAGTGGTTTTATGAGCACACCTTCTAGCGTTGCTAGTCAGGATGGCAGCTACTTTACAACACAAACCTATACTGAGCCTTGTATGGCCCCCCAGAGAGACCTGGCTCCACCTCTCAATAGAATCAAAGTATCGCTGCCAACAGCGAAGGTTGAAGAGACCGAAGAAGAAGTTCCCGAATGCGAAGGGATAGAAAAGCTGCTTGAGCAAAAGGAGCCAGAGAAACCACCAAGGCTGATTCGCATCTACGATTCTGATACAGAGTCCGACGAGGAAGGGGAGGAATACAGAGGTCTCACGCGAAAGCTTGAGCTCGAAGACGCAAACCACCTTGTTCCAGCCTTCAAACAAGTCAAAGGAGAAGAAGAAGAAGAAGAAGGAAAGAAAATGGACGTTCAAGAACGACGCGAATCACAAAATACAGAGGTAACCTCAGATTCGGGACCTCTATCCGCGGATCAGAGATCCACACCCAGCCATTCACGTTCACGTTCTCGATCTTGCTCTCCTCTTTCTCGTACTGCAGTATCTGTGCATTCCAGAGATTTGAGAGACTCTGATCAAGAAGTGCATGTTACGCCCAAGAAGACAGTGGCGGAAATTGTACGATCCGTGTTGCCGACTCTGGAATCAGATATCGATGAGAGGTTGATACAAGAGGTTATCCTGGAGGAGGAAGAAAGAATGAAGCAGGAGAGAGCTATGAAGAAGAAACAGAAACCAACAGTTGACCGTGGGTCCAGCAAGTCCAGCACTTCACGGAGCTGTTCGTTGACCAGGTCTTGTTCGTCAAAGTCCATTTGAAGACAAGCAACATGTGGTGTGCCACTATGCTATGTTTTATTTGATACCTATGTTTGCGGTTTTGTTTTATATCGTGTCAGAGGTTCTATTATCAATTTTCGACTTGCGTTGTACTTTAGTCGATTGTTTCATATTTGTTCAGTACTTGTTTTGCCAGTTGCAGTTTTAGGATATTGACTCAGGTATCTTTCTTGCAGAAGATTGAATACAAAATGTTCATTTTAATGCACGTGGCTTTGGTATACTTGGGTATTACCGCGGTTTCAAAATATAAAATTTGTCGCTTCAAAGTGCGTTCCGTCCAGGCGGGTGAATAGATGATTTCTAAAATATAGGTACAGTGGACAAGGAATTGATTGTAAAGTCTAATTCAGGGGAATCCAATCGCAATTAAAAAGCGAATACATCTCTATGGGCAGAACCCAAACGTAAAAAGAAACAAAAGCAAACAACCATTTTGACATCTTAGTTGCGCTCGAAGTAGCCCTGAGTCTCGAGCATGAGGATGATCTCGTGCACGATGCTGCGGACAGTCTGCTTGGAGGCGTCGACAGTGAGGTTGGCGTTGGTGGGAACCTCATAGGGGTCATCGACACCAGTGAAGCCCTTAATCTCACCACGACGGGCACGCGCGTAAATGCCACGCTTGTCGGTCTTCTCGCAGTACTCGAGGGGAGTAGCGACGTGGACGAGGAAGAACTGGCCGGCCTGGGAGACGGCATCCTTGGCGTACTTGCGGGAGCGCTCGTAGGGAGCAATGGGGGCAGCGATAACGGCGGCACCGGCGCGGGTCAGCTCAGAAGCGACAAAGGAGATGCGCTGGATGTTGGTGTGGCGGTCCTCGGCGGTGAAGCCCAGCTCGGAGGAGAGCTCGTGACGAACGGTGTCACCCAGCAGCAGGGAGACAGAGCGGCCGCCTTGCTGGTTGAGGGTCACCTGCAGAGCGCGGGCAATGGCATCCTTGCCGGAGTTCATGTAACCGGTCAGGAAGATGGTGAAACCCTGGCTGGCGCGGGGAGGGTTGGACTCGCGCAGGATCTTGACGACCTCGGGGTAAGAGAACCACTCGGGGATGTGAGCGCCGGAGCGCAGGCGGCGGCGCAGCTCAGTGCCGGAGATGTTCAGGGTCTTGACACCCTGGGGAACCTGGTCGACGGGACGGTACTCATCGGAGTCGGGCAGGTAGGTGACCATCTGGAACTCGACGACCTCGATGCCGAGCTCGTCCTTGTACTTCTCGACAGCGTGCTGAGCGTCGTAAGGACCGTAGAAGTCCTCACCCTTGGAGTTGCTACCGGGACCGGCGTGGTCACGACCAACAATGAAGTGAGTGGCACCGTGGTTCTTACGGATGATGGCGTGCCAGATGGCCTCACGGGGACCACCCATACGCATGGCCAGACCAAGCAGACCCAGGACGGCCATGCCGTTAGGGTAGCTGGGCAGGAGGGCCTGGTAGGCACGGACACGGGTGAAGTGGTCAATGTCACCGGGCTTGGTGAGACCGACAACGGGGTGGATCAGAACATTGGCCTGGCGGGAGCGAGCAGCGCGAACTGTCAGCTCACGGTGAGCACGGTGCATGGGGTTACGGGTCTGGAAAGCGACAACGCGGGACCAGCCCAGCTTGTCAAAGTGAACGCGGAGTTCGGCGGGAGTGTCTGAAGATACGGGTTAGATCAATGGCGCAAATAAAAAATAATTGCAACCGAAGAAACTTACAGCGAAGAGCGACATAGTCGTAGTGGTTCAGCTTGTTGACAGCGTCAATCTTACCACCAATGTAGAACTCCTGAGCGGTCTCGTTCAGGTACTTGATGGCAGGGTGCTCAGGGTCACCACCGAAGACAAGCTTACCCTCCTTGGTCCTAAAAGGGAACATCCACGTCAGCCCTGCCCCACCAAAAGTACGACCCTTGATCCCTCATATTGCGTAAAAATATTTGCCGTTAAGGCCGCCACTCATATCCAGAGTCAAAAGAAAGGGGGGAGGGGATCCGCTTGAAACAACCCATCACCAAAAGTACCCAGCAAAGAAATCTAAGCCAGAAAATTTTGAATAACCGGTTTGTCTCGGAGTGCGATCGGCAGTAAATGCGGCGAAATCGGAGATCTCGCTCCGCAATGCCCCAGTATTATTGCCCGAAAGATGAAAAGACGAGAAAACGAGAAAATATTGACAAACTCACTTGTCGGGGCGGTAAATGTCGTCAATGGTCAAGATGGCCAGGTTGCGGTCGTCACGGAAATCGCGCAGGGTGATGCGGGCACCGGGTTGCAACTTGTTCTCGTCGATGGTCTGCTTGCTGACGTCGAGGGTAATGGGCATGGAGAAGACATTGCCATCAGCAAGGCGGCAGTCCTCACAGACACTATGCAAGAGTTAGATATTGCGTGATTGCATTCCAATGGCATCATTTCTAGGCATACCCGTTGTAATCGGTCTCATTCATGAATCCTATGGGCGGTGAGATTGAATATTAGCCATTTTACCCCTCCAATGCAAGGTTTCCCCCTCCACGAGGGAATTGGAATTGGAAATGCAACTCACCCTCCAGAGGAGAGAAACCACCGTTCATGATCAACTCAAGATCACACAGCTGGCGCTCAGTGAGCACAACGGAGGGGAGAGTCTCAGCCTCAGCGATAAGCTGCTCCTGGCGAGGAGCATCGCGGGCAATCAGGTCCTTGAGGACACCACCGTGAGGAGCGTTGGCCATGTTTGTATAATAAAGGGTATATAAACAGAAGAACAAGAAAACGAGGAAACCCCCAAGGTAATATACAGGAAGAAAAAGTGGAGGGAAAGGGGAAAAAATCAGCCGTTTATGGCTAACCAAGCTTCGGTGTCGTACGTCTCCCAGTGACAATCATGGCCTGGACAAGTCGTCATGTGGATCCCTGGAGTCTTGGCTGCGCCGCATCATCCAGACAGAACGCGAACCAGGGGAAATCGGGATTATCAATTCCTCTTTCATGTTTCGCATTTATCACTTTTTATTCCTCCTATTTCTTTTATTCTCTTAACTTCTTACAATGTGCCTTGGTCAGGATCTCATATCGGGGTTTGGGGTTCCACGGTTTCATCTAACCCTTCTAGTATCGGTCCGCAGTACCGAGTCTATACTGTATACTTTATACCGGAGAAAGTATATATATATGACCAATTGGCCTCCCACATACAATTCTGAATGGTATGGAGTATTTCTATGACCATACACTGTGTTGGTGGGATTCACTGCTTTCCTGGACTCCCGCGGAGATCGGGCCCCGTACTCGTTTACAGCGGGGATTATCTCCTTTCCCTGATTTTCAGGGGGCGGCAATTACGGAGTACGGGCGACGTGGACTTTTATATAGTCTCTACTCAGCCTCCAGGTGACGAACTCTCCCCTGATTTCCCCTGGAATTGATATGTATCTTCATGATTATATATCGTTTCTATATACTTCGTCAATAGCTGGCGCGTCTTCCCACGTGACCATCACGCAACCTCCGCCAAAAATGTCGTGATTTGAAGTGCCAAGCACTGGTGGGTTCCACCTTTAACTGTGTCCACGGGTATTTACGCGTTTTTTAGAACCATGCTCTACATCAAAATTGATCCAGTAATTTGTCATCTACGTAATCTGTAAGTTTCCAGGGCTCACTTCATGCATTATGGAGTAGACCCTGAGTCCCTGAATCGAAAACTTGACACAATGCATGTAGTTGTATGGTATCTGCTATATGTACATGTAAAAATCAACATTTGAAACACTTGAACCTATCCCTCACTCCAAGCTTGAATAGAACGAACTCCGTGAGAAACTTGGAATATCGATGTTGACGCTCCTTCACCCTGTGGTGATTGTCTTGTTGGCAAAGTCTAATCCATACCATCCTAAGATTTCCACAGCCGGGTGTGCCGCCGAATTGTACTCATCAATCAGGTACGTCTGGATCTCAGACTCCGATTGCTGCGCCAAGTCAAACGACCCGGTCTTTTCTAGAATGTAAAGTACCGCCACCTGCGAGAACTCCACGACGCCTGAGGGGACGCTGGTGGCCGTGGCAGAGGCTGTAGATGTGGTTCCGGTCCCGGTTGCCGTGGGTGAACTGGTGGTGGTCGCGGTGGAGTCAGTCTCGGTGGACGCAGACCGGGCATTCCCACTATCGTAATAGATACCATTGGCGGTGGCCGTTGCGCGCGCATGCATCACGTGCGAAACACCTGTTGAACCAACCAACAGAGAAGGGGTTTCGGTTGTCGTTTCGTCGTGGATATCTGAAGTTTCGGTTTCGGTTTCGGTTCCATTTTCGACTGGGAGTGTAATGGCGCGACGCGCATTGTCGCTGCTACCGCGCTTCACCTTGCTGAAGGCGACCAGGTCGTTCTCGGTCTGACAGGTAACATTGCTCAGGCTGAAGAGAGCCATGATGGTGATGGCGTCAAGTTCGATGCCGAACTTCGAGTCTGACTGATCCAGTAAAGTGGGGATGGAGCTACCCATCGTCGCGTTCTTGCTGATGCTACCGTTGTCAACTTCTGCTGAGACGCAGGTGCTGTCTCCCAGAATGCTGCACTGGACACCTGTATATCCATCTGAGCATACGCAGGAACATTCGGAGCCGCTCGATACACTGACACCGCCGTTGTGGCACGGTGTTGTGTGCGCGCAGGATTTATCGGCTGCGTTCTCGTTGGGCACAGCGACCAAGAAGACCGGGAGCAGAATTGCAAGAACGACGACGACGAAGATGACGATGCAGAGGATGATGAACCACTTTCGGGGCATACCACAGCATTGACGCTTGGCCTTTGGGGTCTCGGGGGTGTCGTCATGAGAAGCGAGAGGCTCGACATTACGTAGATTAGAACGACCGAAGAACACGGGCCAGGAGCTGTGTCCATCGGGAGTCGGGTTTGGGAATGATGCCAGGATATCGGACAGAGATCCGGAGTTGCGTCCCCGATGTCCTGGATACAGTCAGCCTTGACGTCTTATACTAATGGTTTCCACGGCACTCACCTAGCTCTCTAAAGTCTGCACCTGCAGCCACGAGGTCAGATCGGCTGGCGGTCTTCCCGTGGTCCAGATTCGAAGCCAGTCGAGTCGCACGTCGAATGAGATCTGACAAGCTCGAAAGACTTCCACGGGACTCCGCAACCCGCACAGCATTCATGTCCAGACGCGGAGGCTTGCGACCATTCGGCCTCTTGTCACTCAACGTTGGCGCAGCCTGAGGTAGGCCCTCGAGTTCTTTTTCCAGGGCACCACGGTACGTATGATCCTCCTGCCTTGCGAAACGGGGCTTCTCAGGGTCGACGCAAGATTCTCCAGACAGCGAAGAGATCGATCCCCGACGCACCGGGCTGGGTGTGCGAATTGTTGTGGGGGTTGCATTCACTACCCTAAGTTTTCCTGTCGCAGCTGTTCCTGCTGCAATAGCCCGACTGGACTCCTCTGCTGCGCGCACAGTTGTGATATCAGGCATATCAGGAATTGACACTTCGGAGGGCGGATTCGACTTCATGATCGTGCGCATCGTCGGCTTCTGCCTCTTGCCAACGCTGACACTTCGCACTGGGTTCGCCTCTTCTTCATGTTCGTTTTTACCAGTCTCCTCTTCCTCTTCCTCCTCGGAAGACTCGTCGTCGAGGTATCCTTCCAGGATCTCCGATGCACCGGGCCCAGATCCCCAGCTATATGGCATCGCTCGACTGGAGGCGAAAGATCCCAGTGTATGGCGGGGGTCGGGAATTTCCTCTATAATCGGGGACACAGAAGACGCACGAGCTCGACTTCGCCGTGAGCCTGCAGGAATCACATTCAAACCAGCAGGTGGGCGTCGTGGTTGAGCTGGTGGTAAAGGTGGCTCCCGAGGCAGAACCGGAGCCAAACCGGACGACGAAGAAAGAGAGTAAGTTGAGTGCCTAAAAAGGTCGTCCGTTGTAATCGACATGCGAGAAGTCCCACCCACGGTACTTGTCGGACTGGCGGAGCCATCGCTGGTCAACGGGCGCGGCGGCTGCAGCTGGTTGTGCGGGTTTGGAAGCGAAAATGATCTCGCCCCCCGTGTTGGGTAAGGATACGGGTTTGCATAAAGGGCTACACTGGGCGCAGAGCCTTCGCCACTTCGTACAGAGTAGATCGATGGCGAGGGGATTTGCATAGGCATTTCACTAGGGCGTGGGGGCCTAAGTGGCGGGGGCCCTCGAGGCGCCATGAAGCGCGGGTTTTGGGGGTTGAGCGGCTGAGGCTCTAGGCCTGAGGCTGGGAGTGGCCACTGTGTCTGGTGAGCAGCCTTCCTAACTGGTGGAGGAGGCGGTGGTCTTGAGACTGGTGGTGCTGCTTGTGTTGGTCGTACTCCAGCTTCCAGCAACTGACGCGCTCGCTTGACAGAGCCTGACCGGCGTGGTTCAGTTCCCGATGATTCCGGGCTTGGCCCTTGATCGGCTTGACTTGAGGGATTCATTGGTCCCTTGGTTTAGCTATCAAATTGCAGGCGGGTGGCTCGTATTGCGGATATGCAGCTAGGGCTTACTATGGCATCAAGTGGACCTCGATATAGTCCGAGCACCACGATTGCGACAGTATGGAGGTGAGTAAAATGATGAATTTGCTCGATTCCCTGATCGAGCAATGGAAAGAATGTATAGAAAGACGCGAGATGAGTGAATGGTGCCGTTGGGAGTAGTGAATTCTACAGTGACTGCCTCAGCAGTCTACCGAGAATGATAAGCTTGAACCACTGGTTCAAAGCCTCAAAGATCTATAAACGAATGGAAGGGCAATCAATGCCTCTCTGAAATGGAAAATGTGTCAGGGCGTGTCCAGAGGCATATCATTACGGAACTGGGGGGGCTTACAGTTGAAAGGATTTGAAGGTACAAGACTGAACGAGAGGAGATCGCAGATATCAAACCAGCGATGTTTCAAAAAAAGAGCCTGGCGCATATTGTTCTTAGCTATCATCAGATTGTCAACACCCCAGATTGACTTACATCAAAAGAAAGGAAGAAAAAAGAGTGGAAGAGCTTCCAGCTCCCTTCACAAAGTCGCTATCAAAGAAAAAGGAGGGAAAAGGGAAACACAATGAGAATGTTTGGAAACCCCAGCCTCATCCCCCCCCAGTTTTAGATTAAGACCTCGTTTGAGAAAAGCCAAGTGGATCTGTATCACTTTGGGAATCAAATTAATTTGGTCCAGTATCTGTTGCAATCTAAGTACTCCGTACTCCTTGATAAAGGTCACATGGTCTGGGTGTCAGGTGTGATCCGATAGAACCAATCACATTCCACACTAAGTAGAAGAAGGTGATGGCCAGACCTGAAAATTGAAGATGAATGAAAGGCGAACAGGACCGAGCGCAATCCTTGACAGATCTCGACGGTCACAGTGGGGTTAATTCCAAGCCTTCTCCGACGCTACGTCTCATATTGAGGGTCAATCCCGGTTATTCTGCATATGTGGAAAAAGTACGGAGTACCCACGGAGTGCACAGAAAACAAAGACAAATTATTCAGGAGTACTCGGTATAAGACGTATATACGTACGTAGCTAATTTAAAAATCTATCTCAGTTGGCATTATGTACCTATGTATGCAACCAGGGGGCCTCGGATAATTTAGCCCGAAGGTGAAACAGTCTAACGGTTAGGAGAAGCGGACCCGGTAAAGGAGCATTGGGCTTTTTGAAAATTAATATACAGAGTAAAGGGAATTTAAAGCCGATGTGAGCTATGTAAAGGAGCTGTAGAAGCAGGTTGAAAAGGGTTCTCAGATTTACCCTTCAAGCTTCATTCGTACTTTATTGATTTTGTCCTCTAGTGCGCGCATCTTCACCACCACAGCCGCCAATGCCGGTACCTGGTTTTGAATAGTATCGGTGAAGGACTTTTGGGCAGTGCGTAATGATGGCGGCACTAGAATCCCGTACCAGTATATAGGATCATTTGGTCTAGACTTCTTGAGGGCCTTGGACTCAGGCTTGGAAGCGGTGGAGTCCTCAACTGGTGAATCATCTGCCGTTGTGCCATTGACTTGTAATTCTTCCTTTTCCTCAACTTGATCTTCGGGCAGGTGGATCCGAGTGTACTTGATATCGAAATGATGCTCGTCATTGTGCAACGGGGAATTGCTAGTTTCTGTGGAATTCGTGGGTTCATTCTCTGGTCCCTCCTGGATCGAACTGTTGCGACATGTCAACAAATAGTCAGACCTAACGGTTTCATCAAGGATGACATACATTCGTCCGGTCGCTTTCATTCGTTCATCATAATAGTCGGCACCATATCGTCGGCCAGGAGGACAAGTGTAGTTTGCGTGGGCAAGGGCGAGAAATCCCTAATCAATGGGATTAGCTGTGCGCAGTAACAACCCCAAACAACAGATTTTCTCATACCGAGGACAACTGCTTCGCGAGCACTGACTGTAGTTCCTGCTGCTGATCAAGCAAGTGCAAGTACTGTTCAAGAAGAGTATCCAAGGACTCGAGTAACTCCGATGAAGCTTCCGGGGACTCTGCGGACTTCCTCTCTACCTCAGGAGCCTCTGACCCTGGTCGCGATGTAGGAGGCGTAGGTATCTGCGACATAATGAACAATTGAAGAAGAAGATCAATGAACCAATAGATTATCAACGAAGAATGTGATGTTCGCAAATATGTTTGGGGGAGGAAGAACCGTTGGAGCAGGGAGCTCGGCCCTGGTTAACTCCGTCATTGGCGACTCCGAACGCAAAAGAATTTCCCGCCCTGCGACTTTGTCCGAGACCACAACTCTCTTCGCTCTTCACCCCTTTCCATCTCTGACTAGGAACTACTGCTGTGCTGCTTCCGACGAAACATTTGGCGTCTATCGAGTTTGTTCGATATCGTTAATTCGCCCCAGATCGCTCTGTGATATCTCCGGAGCCCGAACCGCCACCTTCGTCAACGCCATATAAACCCTGCTGTTGCGCACGGCATTCATCGCTACAAGCTTCCTCAGCAACCCCTTCAATTAAATTGACAATAAAAACACACCTCTTGCGATTCTCCTTCGACAAGCAAGCCTGTCAGTGAGACAGATATCTTGGGACGCGAAGACGCCGATATCTAACAATCAAATAGTCCGACAGTTCGCACTTGCCCTGACTATTGTCTGTCTATTCCCCAACAACATATACTATTTCAGTTCTCTGCTTCCCATATTTCATCATGTCTGTCGCCAACTTGCATCGTGAAACCGGCTTCCAGGTGCGGTCTCTGGTAAGTCATACCCAGTGGTGTTCGGCCAACAGCAAACCAAGTCCCTGTGTCTATCTCGGTTGTCTAGATTTAACTAACGTTGCCATTTCATTGGGCTAGTTCCGTTCTCTGATGCGCCAGTCGACTCAGTTCTCCAACTACAACTTCCGGGAATACGCCATTCGCAAGACGCGTGACTCATTCCGCGAGCACCAAAATGAGACTGAAGATCGCCGGATACAGGAGCTGATCCAGAGTGGCCTACAGGACCTACGCTTGCTGAAGGTTCGTTGATATATTTCTATCCTTTGGGGCGGGAACTAGGATGATTTCCATGTTGCGGTGCATTCTGCTTCCTTGACGCCCCCAGGTTTCGTTGTTATACTCATATAAATCATACTAACGTCCATTGCAGAGGCAAACAACAATCAGCCAGTTCTACCAGATGGATAAATTGGTGGTGGAGGGCCAGAAGACAGTAAGCGCTTCCAACTAATGGAGGTCGAGCTACTCGGCTAATACCTAATGCTCTCCAGGGCAAGGAGACCGGCGAACATGGAGGCATTGTTCGTCAGAAGGACGATGGGTATGTTTTCTAGTCAGATTGCTTGAATTCCTGTTTTTAAACTAATACATATTAGCTGGAATTAACCAACATGTATCGAATGCAAGTATTTCAAAGCCTTTCATCGCGTTGAAATAAGTACTCCATTATTGCCAGATCGGAGGGATATTGGATTTGATTATTCTCCCTGTATTATAGTACACGCGTTGTCTTTGGAGGCAAATTCATTTACCCCCAGTACCAGAATAGAAATTATGCCTATCCACTTTACCATCATTCGAGGATCTCGAACATATCGTTCTATTGTAATCAGGAGGATGCTGTGAGTATAATCACGTGATGATACTCCCTTATGATGAGACCCCGACATTGGTAAACGCGCCGAAAGCAACTCCGCTCCCCATCAACGTCTTTTTCCCTCCTCCGCCTTCCACGCCGGCCTTTGCTTGTAGTTGGTTAGATATTTTCTGATTCTTGTGGGGGTAGAGTACCCCAAAGCCGGTCATTATGCCATCGACTGTAAGTCTTTATTGCGACCGCAATGCTCCCATTCCAGGATCCTGTGCAAGTTATAACCTCTGCGAAGCAAAGCTATCAAGCAATTGCCAATCAAAGGGTTCAACACTCGATAATTCAGGTATACTGAACATGCTTATAGTTCCGGTCTTCGCGTTCCGGCCGACAGCTCGACGGTAACCGACGAACCGGCCAAATCGACCACGATGTCTTCGAAGGACTGCCCGTTCGTCGCTGGTCACGTCAACCACACACTTATTCTCAGGTGCCTAAGACTGAGGACTCCGAGTTTACAGTCCAAGGACCCGGTGGCACTGCTATGCTGCCGGAGCTAGCAATGCCACGAGACAGTCAGCTCTTAGGCGCAAGCAGTCGCGCCCTCTTGCGCGCCGCTCGTGCTGGGTGCATCTACATTCACCAAAACGCTCGCGCCCCCGATGAAGATGATAAGACAGCTGTGGATGGTGAGGAAGGCATCGGTGGTGCTCATTTGGCGGATCGTGCCTTTACCAGCCGCAAATGGATGACGCTTCCTAAGCACCTGGAGCCTGCGGAGGTGGAGTTTTTGGCGAAGAGACGATCTGGCCTGCCATCGCTTTATGGTGGTGCGACATCTGTCGATGGGTCTGGGCCCGGTCCCATGAGACGCACCAAGTTCAAGAAGACAGACCCTGAGACAGGAAAGATCTCTATCTATGAAGCTTGGGTTCCGGAGGGACATCGCATTGAAGGCGAGATCACTGGCGATGTTCAGGCCATTGTTCAGCATAGTGCTGTGCCTGTTAATGCCGAGATGCCTGCACCTGGCACAGTTGTGGAAGGTGTTGGTATTGTTAATTCAGAGGGTGTCGTGGTTGCCGAAGCTGGTTCGGCTTCTGTAATGACCCCACCCAAGAGACGACCTCCGCCACCAAAGCGCAAGGGCAAGGGCATTGGAAAGGGTAGAAAGAAGAAGGTCATGTTTGCTCCAGGAGAAGGTGCCGATGCTGCGACTGTACATGGGGTCTCGGCTGGTGCAAACTCCGGTGGTGGTGCTCCTAGCGAAGGACAGGATGCTTCACAAATGTCAATTGATCAGTCTGGTCAAGATGATGATGATGAAGATGGTGACGATGGCGATGACAGTGATGAGGGAGACGAGTCTATGATTGACGCGAAAACTCCGGAAACCCCACAAGCGCTATCTGTCACCCAGTCTGAAGACCAGCCTACAGTTGATACTCTGGCTGACTCGAAGGATGTCGAAATGTCCGACGCAACCTTCGAACCGCAATCTCATGTTTCAGAACCTTCTGCGGGACAAGAAGTGGTTCCACAACTATCAGCAATACCCAAGGTACCGCAAGCTGAACCTGCTTTTACTGCACCCGGTTCTACTGCCCAAATAGCTGGAACGACCGCACCCGAACAACCCAGCGATATTGATAACCAACCCACCGGTGCTGGGTCACTAGATCCTCCCGTAGCGTTATATCAGCCCGAGGCTCTATCTCACTTGGCATCGGAAGGGGTGTCTAGGGAGGAGCCTCTAGCTCTTGGGCCCACTCCAGCTGCCAAAGCAGACACTACCATTGACTCTCTTGCAGAAGGCCCCGTCTCAGAGCCAGTTCAGGTGGCAGCTGAGATCTCAGCAACCGACTTCAAGGAGTCCCGGACTCCTTCTGAAATCACATCGGCATCTATTGGTCTTGATAAAACTGTTGAGGGGGTTCCTTCGAAGCCGTGGAATGAGCCGGAGTCAGAAAATATTTCAGCGGAAACGTCATGGTCAAGACTATCCGAGAAGCCTTTCGAGACATCTATCCCACCCCCTGCTGAATATCAGGATACAGAACCTGCTCCGGTTTTAAATGACACGGAGAACACCAAGAAAGACCTTTCCGGTGGACCAGAGTCAGGCCTTGACTCTATAGAGCCAAAGGAAGATGTGGAAATGGGCGATGCTCCCTCCGAACCCCAACAATCAATTCAACCTGAGGAGCCTATTGCAACCGAAGCTCCTGCAAATACCGCATCCCCTTCAACATTAGAAGCCCAGGCCCCTACCGATGAGGCTCCTGGGCTCTCTCCTCTGGAGCCAGCCGCTGGAAACTCGATAATCAAGGAAGAATTTACAAGTACAGAGATTCAACCAGAGGAGCTAGTTGAGAAATCACCACCCAGACCAACTGAACAGGTTGCTCAGCAGGTGCCTTCACCCGCAGAATTACAAGCAGAAGAACCTGCACCTGCACCTGCACCTGCACTCGAAGAGAAAAAAGATGACATAGAGCCGCAAGCTGCCCCAGCTCCGGAATTTACGTAATTTCAATCATCTACCATATGAAACGTTACATGATATTAGCCTGTATGCGATTCTGTGGTTTCTCTTTTCTATTGAATTCATGATGTATGTATTCTCGGTTCTTACGGCGTGATTGGGGTAGTTTCTGCAGTCGACATGACTGAAACGGGCGTCCTTTTCGAATGGTTGTAATATAATTTTTCGAGTGGAAATGATTCTGATATTTTTACACCTCTTAAACCTTTCGAAGTTTTTGGGACAGTTCGTATATATTAATGAATCACGAACTATCTCCGGGGCTTCTAGGTCTATCCTTCTTTTCCCCCCTCTAGCATAACACTGACTGTCTTGGGACTAGGGACTACGGAGTACATATATACTGTATTCTTAATATCCAGCAGTCAGATAAATCCATCTGGTACTGGGGCTAGACGGCCCGAAAGTGTTGAATTTCAAGGTTTCTATCTACCCCAGCTACCCACAAACCAATAACATCTCTTAATAAGAGGCACACAGACAGCACCATTCTTGCTCCCAGGGATACTATGCCAGCAGCGAACCTATCCGTAGCAAATCAATCCATTTCGTGACCATGGCGCAGATGAAGAAGACCAACAAAAGTTCGATCAAGTGGGGATAAATAGATAATGAATAATATGGGGAAGAAAAACAAATAAAAGAATATCGGGAAGACAGGGATCGAAACAAAAGTCAGCGTACCAAGGACTCAAAAATTAAGCCAAACGCCATCTCAGGTGCCAGGTAACGCAACGGAAGAATGCCGGGCAAGGGTAATTAGCTAATAGACACAAAACAATATGGGGAAGGGGAAGAAGAGATTCAAGATATTGTTAAGATAGGCCAGTGGGTCAGCGACAACAGCTCAGGGAACTCGGCATCTAGCCTGAGAGGTTCGAGAGACCATAGAGGTCCCTGGAGGGTACCAAATTGTCCAGCCCAGGGCACTTTTATTTTGTGACGCCTTTCATCGTTCGGACAACACTACGGGCTGCGCTCTTCATGCTGCTGCCCAGGCTTTTGCCCTTGGTAGTCTTTCCAGGGCTCTTAAGAGTGCCCTTAGCCTGGGAGGCAGGCATCTTGGCTTTGATAAGGCTCTTGGTGGGTGGTTTTCTCGCGACGGGCTTGCGGGATGTTTTTGTCTCGGCTTTTGATGCTTTGGCTTTCACAGGTGACTTGGCTGGAGAATTGGTCGGAGACCTGGCTCCCTTTGCAGCGTTGGCGAGGATTTTCTTCTTGGTTTCAGCAGAAGGCCGCTTGAGCTGGTTGGTTTTTCCAGCTGACGAAGTGGCCGTCTTTGCCTTCACAGATGCTGTCTTCCGTTGTGAGCCGTTGATGGCAGCCTTGACCCTCGACGTTGCTTTGACTGTGGGCAGCTTGACCTGCTTTTTTTCTATACTTTTCTTGGCTGAACCACCCCTTGTGGAAGTGGTGGTAGTCTTCTTAGTGGTTGTCTTGCCGCGCGCAGTCGTGACCTTGGTTGCAACTCTCTTGATACCAGCTTTGATTGATTTCGTATTGAGCAGCTTGCGCTTCTTTGCTTGAGTTGTTGCAGTTCCAGCCGTTGAGTCACGCTTTCGCTTCGTACCCGCAGTCTTGGTGATATTAACACTAGCAGCCTCTGCTTTGGCACGCTGGTCTTTTTCTTTCGGTCGAGGTCCAAGGATGCCGCGACAATTTGGTGCTCCACAGCGGCATTGCTGGACATTTTTGTTGGAATATGGGCTGAAAACAAGTCAGTAAGAGCGATTCAAGCATTTCCAAGGTAAACACACTCAAAGTTGTAGTCATAACTCAGCTCATCCCCAGTCATGATACCTCGGTCTCCTGCAAATAGAGCCATGCGTGGCTTTCCGCCAACTGTCCATTTCTCCATTCGACAATTGGGCTGACAGGAGTGGTTGACAAATCGAGCAATGGAACCTCGTGTGGCGTCAATTATCATGTTCTGGTCGAAATACATCAAATAATAACACTAACTACCAGTTAGCTGCACCGCAATACAATGTTCTCAATCAGTCTCTTACCTCGTTGTTCTTATACACATTCCTCATTCTCCTTTCACACTCAAATTGAGTAATGATTTCTCCGGTATATTCCACAATAATCTGATTTGGCTCGAAAGAACGGTTACTACGCACACCGTATCCTCGATCTTCAGTTTTGATAACTTCGACACCAATATTGTACTTGCCGCCGGCCTTTGTTCGGGCCTTGAGCTCGCTGAAGTTTCGGTTGCCGCATTCTGCACCCAATCGGCAATTGCCATTGTCACACTCGTAGAACATATAGCGATTTTGACAATTTTCATCACAGCCAGTGATCTCATCACACATGCAAGTAGACAATTCTACTTTTTTGTTTGCTCTCCATTCGCTGGCAGCATCACCCACGAAGACATCTAAACATAGTGATTAGCTCTAGCCCTCGGAAAAACAAATGTCGTATCAAACCATACTCTTATTAGTCTTTCGCCACTCGTCCGGTTTCGGTTGACCCGGCGGGAGTGGGGAGAAAATGTCAAATGGAAGAAGATAATCCCTCTCGGTCTTTATGAGACGAGCTCCAGCAAATATTGGCATGGGAAGATGGCGTCGTTTTCTGATGATGTCGAAGCTAGTTTTCTCTGAATTCTTGCTCTTCCGTTGCTTCGGGGGAGAACTGCTTGCCTCTTGTCCACTGTATAACCCACGGTCCAACCATACCTTAGGCTTATACTTGGGAACAGGCGGGGCTGTGGGCTCCTCGGAGGGCGATCCATCCTTAGGCTTCAAATTCGAGAGATCACTCTCGGATACCCGTCGCTTTTTGTTAACAGGTTCTGCTGCCAGTGCTGGCCCTTCCTCCTTGGCCGGTGCAAGATGTCGGGGACGAAGGCTGGCACGTCGACTAACCTCTTTGCCCTTGTCATCTAAATCTCTCGATCGTTTACCTAGTACACTGCTGGCTCGTTCCAGAAATACTGAAGCTTTGTCCAATAGGCTAGCACGAGTCGATCGTCGTAGTGATTGGCGAGAATTGTTATCGGAGGTTGCCTTCGCCGTGGCTGATGCCTTCTCATCCTGGACCAAGGCCTTTGCAACGCTTTTTCGTAGAGCCCGCTGTTGAAGTGACATATTCGTATTATCGGACTGTGATTCCTGTGATGATTTCGAAATGGGCGTAAAGGGGGCCACTGAGTGGTCTTCGATCAAGCTATCATCGGTAGACAGGGTCGAGTCGGTCTGCAAAGTTGACTGCATCACGGCAATACTGTGCCTGAGCCCGGATCGCGAGCGCTTTGCCCTGGCTAGACTATCGACATATGCTTGGCTTGATGAGTTGATGGTGTCATCCTTCTTGACCGGGGTATTCTCAAGCGCCTCGGTGGCCCGCAACGATGCGCGTACTACTCGTGTTGATCTCCGCCGCTGTGTCGGTTGCTCCTCGTTCAACGCGTTCTCATTGTTGCTTGAAGTCTCGGAACGGCTGGCCTCTGGTGTGAGGAGCTGCTCTGGAACGTCGAGGCTCATCGAATCGTCGGGGGTGTCGTGTGTGGCAGGGACGTCAGCAACAGCGGGAGTTGCGGACACGGCCAGGCGGGAGGTTCGGCGCGTCATGTTGGACAGAAGATCCGCAGTTTGGGAGAAAGACAATCCACCCAGCGAGATCGTCCTTCTCAAGATGGGGGTGAGTGAACAGTCGGGACGGGGAATATCAGGGGTGGAAAGGTTGGAAGATCAGCAGCCGCGCTCTTATCAATTGAGGGCGAACGGGGATGTCTGACGCGTGCAACACCCACACCCAACTTTCCAACGAAAATTGCTAAGAATCTAATCAAGGGCGAACTAAGAAAGGAGTTTGGTATATGACATGACAAGGAATGCTTAAATTCCTCATAGATCTCGCCCCCGCAGTATAAGATTTTACGCGTGATTTATGGAATCCGGTGTGATTTCTATGGCCAATTCGTACAGGCATTCGTCTTATTCACACGAAACGCCCAATTTTTCTTCACAATTTCAGACCGATTATTCAGGAGGGAGGCTCAAAATTAAATGGAATCGATTGGTAGAGGACAGATGGGACGTCGGACATTCAAGACTGAAAGAGTATCCTTTGGTTCAGAAGAAAACGGAGACAAAAAGGAAATAGAAGGATAACAAAGCTTCCAGAGAGTGTCAATGACATGATAATGCCTCGCCAGGGGTAACGTTGAAGGTAATTATGACAGAAAGGGTATGAGTATAGCAATTAGAACAGTAGGATGGGAGACATAGCCCAACAAAAATGGTATGTGATCAAGAAATGAAATCGTGGCATCTTCGCGGGTCATAAGAGGGGGGGAAATTGGAACATTGCTTTTTTTGTGGCGACAGTTCCTATTGATGGGGACCAACCTCTTGCATCTCAATCGCCGACTGAGACTCAATATCACGGTGGACGAGGTATTTTCGCTTTTGCATGGCATAGCGCTGGTCACCCTCTTCATATGGCTGCTTAAATTGCATGTAAGAAGGAGGACGAGGCCGTCCTAGGATGGATATCCAGTTTGTGAGAACATTGCCTTGGGTGAATGGCCGATGGCGATCTGCCTTGGCAAACTTGTGGGAGTTGAGGTACTCTCGGGTAGTTTCACCCCGACCGGTCAGAAACAGGTGATAGATCCAGAGTGATAATGGGTAAGGTGTGGCAATGGCAGCATAAATGAACATTGCAAAGGGTACTCGCCATTTCGAAATTGAAGCCCCGAAGGAAATATTCTCACGCGACATGTAGACCAGAATGTGTGCCAAGCTCGCACCGAGCAGGAACAGACCCAGTAAGGTGCCCCAGCTGACAAAAGCGAAGAAATAACGGTAGTTGCGACGACCAACACAGTTGTTCAGCCAAACACAGTGGTGATCGAGTGTCTCCACACAGTTATCACAAACACGGCAGTGGTAGCACCGAGGTGGCCTCCAAATACTGCAGGTCTTGCAGTACTTCACAGGAACATCCATAGCTGCAGACTCCGAGGTGGCAAGCTTCACCATAACCCAATCATTCGTTGGTGGTCCAAGAGCTAATGGATCAATCGTTGGATTTGTCGTGGGCATAGGATGGACGTTTCGAGGCATGATACCAGGGTCAACAACGGATGCATGTACAAAAGAAGAAAAGCAGACATAGAAAACATATGCAAAAACGACGGGTATGGCGGGAGAGATGTTGTGCCATAGCCAAGGAGCTGAGAACCCAAAGAACAGGGCCGATGGAACAACTAACAGAAATCCCGTAAGAATATTGATAGGTTTGTCTCTTGAGTTCTGGAGTCGACCACCGCCACAGAAAAACGTGTTGCCAACAAAATACTCGTAATTCTTGCCTATGTTACCCCTTGGCAATTGTTGCTTCTTGATATCTGCAGGTCCGGGAGAAGACCCAGCGGATGAAAGACGTGAATGGCCACGGGGATCATGTCCGCTTTGAGCAGGTCCCTTGTTCTGCAATGACAAGAAGGAGAGTGATGACTTTGGAGGCACGTCTTGTGGATTGTGTATACTGTAGTTCACGTCCAGATTCAAGTGTTCCGGACGCTTTTTGCCATGCTGATCTCGGTCTCGTAGAAGTCGCACGCTCTCGCCAAGGCTTCGAATTGTTGTATTGCCTATGGGGCTAGCATTTGAGGTATTTCGATCAGGGATAATCGGATCTGTAAACTCTGTACCCCGCGAGGGTGGGGGCTCCATATCTACCGGAGAAAGCGATGCCGGTTGATAGGTGCTGTTTGAAATCAGGCTACTTCTATTTTGACTCGTGTGGTCTCTCCACTCGTCGGTCGATGACACCGTTCCTTTGGTCATGGGTCTAGTACCTCGGTGCGCCTGTAGTCGTTGTGAACTCATCGGACGGAAAAATGCCGAGGCAGTTAAAGAGGGAATGTGTGTCCTGCTCAGTCGGCTGCCCGAGCTTCCTGGTCTGCTTGTCACTGAGTTTCTGGTGGGAGGTGGACCACGCCGAGAGGCCGAAGGACGTTGCTGCTGGAGGGGCGGCGGTGGTGATGTAAAGGATTGTGAGTTCTCGCCGTCTTCAGAGGTCATATCTGTCACTCGCGAGGAGATTCCTCCCACTGAGGGAGGCCGTGGAATACCCAGAGTATGTTTCTGGGCCGCGTGTTGATTCATGTCGCCAGTTTCGGGGCGGTCTGTGGAGTTCGCCATGGTTCATAAACCCGGGGAAGATCACAATAGATGATATTAGCAGACTGCGCGTGCGCTCTTCTTCTTCCACGCTTATAGCCAAAACAAGCGAGTTGCGCAATAAATCGCGGTGAACTGAAGGTTGGTGAAGCTCTGCGGAGCTAAAGTGAATCAAGAAAAGAACGACAGTTGGGTGGATAAAGGATTTAAGGAGAGACTGGAGGATGCATTCAAGGTCCTGTCAGATGATTAGCATGCGTTCCTGGCTCAATGTATGTACGCGTCTGGAAATCCGGGGGAAAGGATCGGAGAACCCCCTGGTCGAGATAAAAGGCCCATAAAATAGGTACAACGCACCTCTGTGATAGTGTAGTGCAATTTAAATCTGCAGATCACGGAATATTAAGATTCAATCACATCACTCCCAGTGTAAATCAACAGGAGGATGGTCAAAGCCAGGAGTTCAACGACCGCGACCAGCACTGCTGTTCAATTGAGTCCCAAAGTTTGAAGAGCTCAAACTACACGCTGACTCATCTATTCCCTCACGTGACCTGGGAACATCATTCGATGCTCACGATTCTCTCGCACCACCGTTTCCAGCACTCCGCTTTAACCCCCCATCCACACACGACCCGCTCCCACCATGTCTTCTATCGCTGCGATGGCTTCCCGCCGGGCTCTGGCTCGCCAGCCCATCTTCCGTGCTCCCCCGCGCCGCTTCATGTCCTCCAAGGTCGAGGAGGCCAGCCTTGACAAGGCTCCCAAGCGTGACCCCGAGCTCTACGTACGGATATTCGGCTGCCATTGACCTGTCCCAAGCCTTTTAGTCTAATTGATTTTCCTACAGGTTCTCCTCGGTATCATGTCCGGTGCTTTCCTCGGTGCTGGCTGGTAATCACCCCCTCCCCGCGCCTGATACCCGACCTTCCGAAGCTCCTTGTGACGTTATGGTGGCTAACCGCCACCCGTTCATTGTGACAACAACCAACCGATCGAGGAGTTTCGCATGCAGTGTGATAAATAAATTCGAAATTGCAGATGGCTGACCCGGCTATGCGCGACTTAACAGGTACTTCGGCTCCAAGCCCACCTCCGTCACCTCCGAAAGCAACGTCCGTATCGGCGAGAGCTCCATGCCCTGGCACGCTACTTCCGAGGATGGCAAGATCTACAAGTATCAGTACCACCCCAACGGTGACAAGAGCCAGCCTCTCCGCGCCGCTCCCAGCGCTCTGAACACCGTCATTGTTCCCAATGTCACCCTGCCCGAGGTATGCAGCCCCTCTGGCCTTTCTGTGCCTACGCTACATTTCCCTGTGGTATATCTGCCACTTTTGGGGACCTTTGTGTTGGGCACTTTTTCTTTAGCATTGCTTACTAACTGGTGTCATCTGATAGGACCTCCACGAGAAGTTCAACAAGTACGGCAAGGAGGAGTGGGACTACTAAATTTCTTGGTGGAGCCCCATTAAAAGATGTGAGAGCGAATTGCCGTTTTGGCGGCTAAATGCTGTATACTAGTGAAGAATTGGGGAGATTTGGTGGCCTTGGACTTGCTTGCGATTACCAGAGATTTGTGCATAGTATTCCGTGTTCGTAAAGAGAATCAAATTACAATCTGTTTCTTTTTCTTATTTCAATAGTCTCATTTAAAGGTGCCTTTAAAGGTTCTCCAAGATTCGTTTGCATAGCCTCAGGCTCTGGGGGTTGATATAAATATGAAGGTGCTCAAGTGCTATTTCAAATCGATCAGAAAGCTTAAAAGTCGAAGTCTTGTAGACCTTGGGATAAACATACATATATATACATTATCCAAATGTAACTAGACAAAAGTACAGCACTGTTTCATAGCTGAACTGGCAGTTCCCGATTTCACCCGCCCCGCGGGGTTTACCTTGTGTGCAATTCAAAGGTTACATACCTACGACATACAGTATAGGATAAAGTATATGTAAGCCTCTAGGCAGGTAGTAACCACATATATGCTGTAAAATAACATCATACTAGCTTTTGTCAGTGTGAAATATAATAATTTAGCTGCGTCAATGCAAACGTAATATGCAAACTATGTACTAGTATATATTCGTGGTACGTGTAACGTACATACATGTATGTCCAAGCCGTAGGGCATATCTCCTGGGAATTGTAGTAGGTCGCTTCAACCTTGGAATTTATGTACATAGAAGGCTGACACTTCCGAGTCTATTCAACCTACGGTCCACTACCTGGGCAGCTCAGTGACTGCTCGTTGGAAACCTGATTCTTGAAGCGCTTTTAACCTTCCGAGGTCGAACTCAATGCTTCAAGTTCCAAAGATTGTTTCTGTCGAGATTTCGTTGAATTGCATAAATGATGCACATGTAAAAATAACTCTTCAACATGTGCTGAAATTTCAAGGAAACCATCCTTGGAACACACCTGAATGTGGAATTCTGGAAGCTCATGGGTTATATAAACCTTCCCCAAGCAACGTTGGAACTGCCAAGGCTGAAGATGAAGATGAACATGATATTGATGTATATAGTCTATGTATTCAAAATAGGTGCCTACTATGCAAATATTACCTACTAGCAGTTACTACTCAAGTTACCTAGGCAAGTAGTACCTAGACAGTGGGTATGAAATACACTTGAGTAGACCTCAAACATACGTAGATGCTTATGCTAAAATAAAAGCATTATAGTAAACTTGAAAACATTGAACAGGTACCTAGTACTAGGTAGCAAATATGGGAATGACTGTCTCGAAAAAGATTCATGATACATCTTAAGAAGTTTTGAGGAGCATACTCCAAACTCTTCATCTCTGCAGTTTCACACAGGCAACAGTAATTACAGCACAGTAGCGTCGTTTCCTTCACTAGCAGGTTTCGCCTCAGGGGAACTAGACCCCTCGACCGATCGTTCGTTTCCCTGAGCAATGGACGCAGGTCTCTCCGGTGGGATCGAGTCCTCAGGGCTTTTACCAGTCTCAGGATTTTGGCCCTCAACATCTGGGTGCGGGGGTGCGAGTTGACCGTCCACAATGGGAACCTCGTGCGCGTGCTCGAGACGGGACTTTGATTCCCAGCGGGTCTCGAACTTGACCTTGCCGTCGGCGCGAAGGGAGGCGACAAGATCCTCTGGCAGGACATTCCCGTGTTGATCACGGTACTCCACGCGGGCCATAGAGCCAGCGAGTTTGGGAGACGTGACAGCAGGTTCCTCTGTTTGGTGAGTGGCCTCCGGGTCTTGGACTGGAGGCTGTTGAACCTGTTGGGGTTGCTCAGGCTCCTTGAGTTGCTCCTGTTGCACTTGAGGGGGAGGAGCATAAACTGATGTTGTCGGGATGGCTTGGTTCGGAATAGGGATCTCAGAGTGGTATTGGCTGAGCTATTGTCGAAAAATTTGGAAGTCAGTCATGCATTTCGGTGATTTCACTCAAGATCCTCGACGCGGAGGTCTCCAATCTGGAACACTTACGTCGGTATGGAACCTCTCGCAATCAAAGTCCCAAGTACTCAGGAGCTTGGCCTTGTAACAGGCACTCTTTGTCCAAGGGTTGCCGTAGATCAGGGGCGAGTAGAGGGTGAAAACAGCAATGCTAAGGAGCACGAATCCAGTCATAATAGTCTTTCCAATACCAGGTCGCGAGGCGAGACCAAAGCTCTTGACACGATTAAAGACAAAGTCGAACTGTTGACAGAGGACCATAATTGCAAAGTAGAGGGCCGGGAGGTAATGGTGCAAGAAAAGCTGGCGGGCCATCAGGTAAAATGGGAAGTAGTGGAAGAACCATCCCAGAACACTGGTGCCAACTTCGTAGTCAAAGCGCTTCCACGAGACATGGCGGTAGTCGTTGCAGCTGCGCTGCCAACGAATGACCGCAATAGCCTTGAAAACAAGATAGATGCCAATGGCAGCGGTGGAAGACCACCAGATGAGGGGGTTACCAAGCAGGTAGACCTGACGAGCTTCCTTGGTCCAAAAATTGATACCGCGAAGCAGAGTAGGCCATGATGGAGGACGAGAGTCCCAAGCGTGGGACTCCACCAAACCAGCGTTAGTGGTCCACATTACCTTCTGCAGCTCCCAGAACTTACCCAGGAAACCTGGGTTGCGATAGTTTACTCGTTCGGCATCGTCTGGCATCATAGGGTGCGAGTTTGACTCAATGTACCAAACACTGTTGGGCAGAGTACCGGCACGGGCACAGGTGACCTCTTGCTGCTCAAATCCCCAGTCTGGAAGCTTCACCTTGTGGGAGAACAGTACGCAGCCAGTCATGACATGAACCAGCCTGAACTTGGTCTGAATAGTGCGAACACGCTTCTTGGATACGTCTCCCTCAGACATTGAGGGGACAATCTCTACCTTGAAGAGATCGTTGGCATCTCCAGAGAAACCTTCATATCCATAGGCCGAGACCTCGAATTGCCAGTCTGCCTCTGTCACCGGGGGACGCTCGTCGTGAGAGTGAATGCGCCGGTGAGTAAGCAAATGGTACAGCTTGATGACAGCTCCATCCTCGATAAAGCTATCGGTAGCAGTCAGGTTGTCCCAGGCGAATGCGCCTGGGATCTCTCCATAGGGACCTAAGGGCTGGGTCTGGTTCTCCAAAAGGAAGACGTTATTCTCATCCTTGTGGGGGTAGAGCGTAATTTGCTGTTGCTTGCTACCAGTCGGGTACATGTGGTTGTGAGAGTGCAGATAGCCACCCTGGGTGTTCAGGTGACGAATGCTAACACGGGATCCGAAGGACACATCCGCCGGCACATCTTGCATCGACTTGGAATTTAGGGTAGCCTGGAACTCCGAGGACATGAAACCGTCACCCTCGCCAGGGTTAACCAGACAAGTGAAGTGAATCGCGAACATCGCAACATAAAATCCAAGCGGAAGCACGATCAGACAGAAGGCGCGGGAGAACAGGTGCTTGAACCATAATCGGGGTGTGACAGTGTTCGCGTCTCCAAGGACCACCCACAGCTGAAGAGCCGTGAGAGATCCAACCCAGGCCATGGTGAATAGTCCAACCCATTTGACACTGAGAGTGGCACCCAGGGAGATACCTGTTGCGGCTAGCCAAAACCACCAGGGACCTCGGAAAGCATAAGCAGGACCCAATTCTTGTTGATTTGAGAAGCATGTAAATGCCAGAGCAGTTAGGGCTGTAAAGAAGACGAGCGGGGAGTCCAGAAGAATCAGGCGGGATTGGGTGGTCAGCGCGTTGTCTAGAGTTGTGGTTAATATGTATGCTATTTCATGGAGGCTTCACAATTCTTACCGAAAATCACAACGCTAGCACCCATGACGGCGGTCGAAGACCGACAACCGCTGGCCTTGAGTGTAAGGAACATCAGCGAGACTGTTAGAACACCCATAATCGCTGGCAGCATGCGCATGGCGACATAGGGAACGCCGGGCTCAAGGTAGTCTTTGCCAATGTCCTTGAAATCAAATTCTCCATCAAAGCCAGCTAGCCATCCGGCGAGCGTAAGCAGCATCTTGGCCAGAGGCGGGTGCACATCCATAAAAAACTTTCCCTTGATATATTTGCTGGCGAATCCACCGAAGCTGTTCAGTGGGACCATCCATTAGTATACATTTCTCTGTAGGCTGGTCTGGTGGGAGAGGGATCGAAACATACTGGACTTCATCAAATACAACACTTGTGGGTTGATAGATACGGTATAACCGTACGAAGGCGCCAATCAGGGTCACCAGCACGAGGAGTGTATAGTCGGAGGCGGGGAGGTTCAGAATATCATTGTTCTTGACGCCATCAGATGCATAGCTTTTGGGTTGGGGTTGCACCGGTTTGCGGTTTTTGGGTCGCGGCGAGCGACTGGGAGAGCGACGGCCACGGCTTTGCGGCCGCACAGCCAGAGTGTCCTTGGCTTTCTGACCCATTGTCACGATCTCCGCCAAAGCACGAGGTATGAGGGCGCAGGAAACCGGAGGAAGTGAGGGACCGGGTTAATCGAAGCAAAGTTGAAACAAAGAGAAAAAAAGGGAAAAAGAGGAGTTGAGTCGGATAGCGATTCAATCGCGGACAGATTTATGAAGTTCGAAGTTGAAAAAAGTAACTGTTGACAGCTTTGCTGCAGCTCTCAACAGCCCGTCACCACAGAAGGCGAACGAATTAATGATCGTAGATGGTCAAAAGAAAAGACCCCATGACAGGGTCCAAAGTAAATCGAAAAAAAAGAAAAGAATATATAGAAAAAAGAAAAGGACGAGGATGAGGGAATGGACGAAAGCAGAGAAGAGAGAGGCCAGATCGACCGGGGCGGGAGTGTGGACAAGAGAAAGCGGCCCCTTAAACTTCAGCCTCTAGAACCGAGGAGTATATTAGTCTGCTATTTTCTATGTTACCTTTAATTAGAATGATAGAGTATATTAATTGGACTTGTGTATGAGTACTAATCTATAAGATTCAATATAAATTTGAAAATTGTAAATAATCAGTCAATATACAAACCACAAACTACAAAGTACATGTGATTGATGAATGCGGGTTGATCAGGCGCAAACAAAGAAACTGCTTACCCAATCAAGTCCGGAGTTAGTTAGACAGCACCGCCACTCAGTGTAAGCCACTCAAGGTGTGGCTGGTGGCTAACAAGAGTAGTCAGCAACTTCATGAGGCCAAAAAGGACTCCCCGGTTTTATCACTTCTTCCCATCGTCGTCGCCATGGAATCCTCAAATGGAAATACTCCTTTATCGGAGGATATGAATAAGCCTCCTGAGGGCTTGGTGCGTCCTCCCAAGGATATTCAAGGTGTGTGTTAGCTTCTCAAACACGCGACAAGAATCCAGCTAATCTTTTAACAGCTATCGTCGAGAAGACCGCCGGCTACGTTGCTCGAAATGGACCGGTCTTTGAAGGTATGGGTCATGAGAGAAATAGACCCCCCATGGGCACGGGTCCGATATACTAATTTTTGCTTATGTAGATCGTGTCCGTGACAAGGAAAAGAATAACCCGAAATTCTCCTTCCTCAACGCCGGCGATGCCTACGCGCCATTTTATCAATGGCGTCTGACAGAGATCAAAGACGGCCGAGGGACATCAATTGCTGCGGGACGAGCGGGCGAGGCTACTGCTGCCGCTGAACCTGAAATGCCCAAGGGCCCCCCCGAGCCGCCCGCATTCCATTTCTCTGCGCGCATGCCAATTAGCCATGCGCAGGATCTTGAGGTGGTCAAACTCACTGCACTATTTGTCGCCAAACGAGGCAAATCCTGGTTGACCGCACTTTCGCAACGGGAAGCACGGAACCCTCAATTTGAGTTCTTACGACCCTTCAATAGTCTCCACCAGTTTTTCACCCGGCTGGTCGATCAGTACACCATTCTGCTGCGACAAGAAGGCATTGATGAAACAACTACAGAGAAGAAGCGCATTGAGGAATTGGAGAACAGCGTGAAGAACAAGTACCATGTTCTGGAGCGCGCCAAGCAGCGCGCCGAGTGGGTGAAGCATCAAGAGCTACAGAAACAAGAGAAGGAAGAATTAGAGGAGCAAGAACGAATCGAGTATGCTCAGATTGACTGGCACGACTTTGTGGTCGTGGAGACAGTCGTGTTTACCGAGAGCGACGAGCACGATGATTTGCCGCCCCCGACTTCGCTCAATGACCTGCAGTCTGCTTCATTGGAACAGAAAGCCGCCATGTCTCTTAACCCACTGCGCATTGAAGAGGCCATGCCCACTGATCTCGATGCTCCCACCTACTACAACGCCTCTCCCGCCCAGCCCCAGCCCGTTTACGCACCGCAACCCTCCGTTTCCCCATACCCAGCACAATTCCAAGCCCCATACCCACAACCCGCAGTGGACTACAATGCACAGTACCCACATGCACTACCGATTCAAGCGCAGCAAGCCCGTCCTGAAATTCCAGCCCCAGCCCCAGCTCCAGCTGTCCCGGGTCAACCCGCTATACGCATTCGCTCCGATTATGTCCCACGTGCCCAGGCCCGTCGCCAACAAGGTGCCACCGCAATCTGCCCGAACTGCCATCAGCAGATCCCCGTTGCGGAGCTGGACGAGCATGTTCGTATCGAGCTTCTTGACCCGCGGTGGAAGGAACAGCGCGCCAAGCAAGAGGCGCGTAGTGCCACCACCAATCTTTCTACTGCCGACGTTGTCAATAATCTCAAGCGACTGGCCAGTCAACGCAGCGATGTCTTCGACTCTTCGCTTGCACCTGGTATGGACCCCGAGGAAGAAGCTCGCCGCAAGCGTATGGCTCTTGGTGGTGGTCTGCCAGATGCCCCGCTTCCTCCTGGCGTTGGTGCAATCCCGGGTCAGCCCATTGGTCCCCCTGGTGTGCACAACCCTCAAAATATGAATATTGAAGACCAGATCCGACAAATTCATCAACGGGCCCGGCAATGATTTGATGTCTGATTCGATTAAGGCTGCGGTATTCCCAGTTCTTTTGCTTCTACTTATTCCTTTGCATCGGGAGTTTCAGGGCGTCTTCTCATTTAGGCCGATTGGGAGGGGATGTTGGATGATGTGCGTTTTTGTATAATAGCCTTATCATTTTTAACGCAATTAAAATATCCCTTGACGAATTGAAGTGGATGTGTTTATCTCAGGAGTAAACTTTTAACACTTTTGCAAATCATTGATTTTGTAACCCCGAATGTTTCGCTTAAGACAGTTTTAGAACCAGGTTGAACGGCTGTCAAAGTATGGATTGAAATCAAACATTCTTGAAGTGTCATCTATTTTCTGAAGGTCGCAACAAACCAGAGAATGCAACGGCAAAAACATCAAAGCCAAACGCCAAGGAAGATAGATGAAGCATGGGTAGCCATTATTTGTGTGGGATTGTTCTGCGCAAGCAGAAACCAAGACACTTGCGTCCAACGATGCAATGCAAGTGATAAGTGCAGCCAATGTTGGCAACACAGGGGAAACAAGACATTATGTATACATGATAAGAATAGGGTAATAATAATACATGGGGGAAGCAGCCTGCTTCAAATCAAAAGGGATATCGACGATGGGCGTGGAAATGCAACGAGGATCAAGATGAAGGTCGTACGGGTCGAGCTGGATAATTAAAATCGTAGCCAGCATTGCTGTGGGATCTATCAGTGTTTTGCCAAAATATGCCCAAATGTGGGACCGAGGGAAATGCGTCAAGCGGGTCATAAAAGAAGCACAAGCAGTCATAGGTAACCACTATGTGCCACCTATGGTTTATTGGGTATTTTGGCCAGTAACTTCAGTGCTTTGTTCTTCATGCACTGTTGGGGTCCGAGCTTCCTCGGACTCAGTAAATTCGGTCTCTGCAATTGCATTGGCTTCTTCGTAGACGCTCATGTCGGAATCAACAGAGCCTCGTCTCGGAGGCACATCAGAGGTGGAGTCATCAATGTTCTTGGCCTGCAAGCTATGAGGCTCAGGCGTTCCGGGCTTTGCCATGTCAAAATCAGGGAGAGAGGGAGCAAAAATGCTGGAATCTCTCTGGCTCCGGGTAGACTCAAACGAACCAGACATATCATATGGCTTAGATTCAACGAGAGTATTATCAGTAGGGTGAAGGAGACCAGTTTCGTAAGTCTTTTCCGAGACGTCCAAGTTCGATTCTGTGCTTTCCGCCTCAGCTTCAGGCTCAGCAACCCGTCGGACTAGTGGAACAATCCCACCCGCAATCCGAGACCAGAACATCCGCTCTCTGAGCCGAACAGTTTCTTCCCAGATGTCCTTCTCCTCCTCATGATCACCAGCCTTTAGATGTCCATCAAGAATCAGTCGCAGATACCCAGTGAACTCACAGCACGAACGAATTCGTTCCAAGCACTGAACACACAACGAGTATCGCTGGGCTGTCTCACTCTCCGATGTTCGGAACCGGTGGGTTCTTTCATTTTGAGGCCCTGGTCTGCGCTCGCCACAGACGGTGCAGGGGAACTCATATTTCTTTGTCGTGTTTGGCATTGGCTCCACCACCAAAGTTCCTTCGCAGATGCCGCTGATGACAGTCCGGCGAGTAAGCCATGAAATTCCTGGGGCCAAGTCAAGTCGCAAAGTAGGCTCGATATCTTCCATGAGCACCCGCTTGTAGAATCGAGTGTCTTTCAAAGGGATATGCGAGCCCAGTTGAGACGCCAAGCTACTTGGAGAGCCCGCAACGCCCTTCGTAGGTGAGTTGTTCGCAGATGCTGAGCCAGAGCCAAAGCCAGCTAAGCTCATCACATTCAAGCCTGCATATGAGCCACTACCAGCGCGACTAGGCGGCTTAGAGCTCCGTGAAAGGGTGAGAAGCTCTCGGAAGTCATCATAGGCTTGCAGATCAGTGCGGCACACCATCCGAAGAATCTCTGGGAAATTACACGAGGCGCCTGGAATATGTTCCTCCGGGTTACATGGGCGTGCGGCAACATGGTTCGGCGCAGGTTCATGCGTGGCCCCTTGCATTTTAGAGAGCCCTGAAGGAGATGAAGGTGCAGTGGACGCCGCGCGATAGTCAACGTCATCCTTGGATATGTGCATTCCTTGCATGACCGACTTGAGTTCTGCTAGCTGATCCTGATGCGATGCGAGGAGCAGCTCAGTGTCTTTAATCTGGGATCGCAATTGCTCATTCTTCTTTTCAACCGCTTCCCTCTCGATCTTGGCCGCAGCAACCATCTAAAATAATCAGTCCGTGCTTGGAAACGAAATGCAGGCACTGGATCAAGAAATTCTTACCCTGTTCGCCTCCTGGAAAAGATCTGCGGTGAGTGCCTCGAGTTCTTGCTCGATTGTCTTCTTCCCTTTCTCGACAATCGCTCGTTGCGTCCTCTCCTCCGCTAGCGCAGTTCGCAATTGGAGGATCTCACGGTCCGAATCGCTCTTTTTGATGTAGACTTGCTCATCGATGTCGCGTCGGTATTTTTCATTCTGAAATTCCAAAGCTTGTACCTTGCCCTGGGCCTGTTCCAGCTCCTGGCGCGTGGCACCTAGACTGTCATCCAACTGTGTTTGGTTGTTAATCGCCTGAATCAGTTTCACACTTAGTGCTGCGACCTCGTTGCTTAGATCGGGGTGGTGGGTTGATGACGTTGACGGTGAAACCTCCGCTTTGATAGCCAACCGAGGATCCTGCAAGGTGTTGAAACTGTCTTCCTCGTACCTGGCCAATGGGGAGTTGGAGCAACTTCTGGAAACTGTTTCGGAAAGATCGGTGGTGGATTTGGCCTTGGTGACAGTCTTGTCGGGGGAGAGCCCTCGGTACTCTGAGGACAGCGACCGCTTGTGAGCGTGACGAGGAATCATGGTCGAAGTAGATGGAGGCAAGAGTTTATTATGGTGGTATGTCTGGAAGGCAATCAGACTGTCATCACTGTTAGCGACCATCCGATTCGACTGATATTCTCTCCAATGCTTGGAGACTTACTCCATGATGGGTGACGTAAACGGCGTCGAAGGAATGTGAGATGAATGACCAGATTTTGATCGTTCCCAACAGATTGAAACAAAACTCAAATATCACACCCTGAGAGCGCTTTGGTCAACGAGGCACCTGAGCCATTCACACGGGTCAATAAATAATTGGAGTTTTGAGGTCCCCGCGAGTGATCGAAGCGAACGGGAGTTCGGGCGGAGCGGAAGATGGCGGTCCCGGGTGGAGAAACGCGAATATGGTGAAAGGACCGACAAAAAGGAGAGTGAAGAAGAGAAGAAGAGTAGGAGGAAGAACTGGGATAGAATTTCCCCTGGCGGATAGAAAGGTCAAAGTCGATCGGGGTAGGAAGAGGCGAATAAGTTCCCAGCTTAGTCATTAACGCCTATCACACCCGGAAGCAGGTGATCAAGAGTATAAACGTGACGAATCGATTTCTTTTGTATTTTTTTGTTTTTATTTGTCTCAATGATATCTCTGTTACGGAGTACGAATTACATATCTTTGACTTTGTATTCTTCATAGGATAGGTACAGCCCGAACCGTGTGGGTTTCCCCCGATCGAACTATGTCCTTTCAACAAACTTTTCCGTGCCAAATAGTCTGTGGCACCTAACCCGGATGCTACAAGCTGATCGCGCACTGTTGACAATCTACTAGTTTTTCAGTCTAACAATTTTGAAGGAAATTTTACCCGTGGACTTTGCCCCCGCTAGTTAGCTGAAAGGCTAAACGATGAAGGAAAAGAGGGGGCGCAGCACGTAATCTCCCCAGCACTTTGGACGCGTCGTTATCTCCCTTACGGGTTAAAAGTTTACGCCATAATGGGAATGGTTTATCTTTTAATTTTATGCTTCTTATGTACAAAGTACACCTGAGAAGATCAATTCATCACATACGACCTGACCAAGACATCTGTACATAGTAGTATTTACTCACGGAATCGGTATCCACCAGGTACGCTGCGGACTCCAATTCCGACAAAGAACAAAGTGCAAAATGAACACAACACGAAATTGATGAGAACATATTGAACAGTAGTTCCAAGATCTCCATATCCAGATAAGACATAATATATACAATAATGGCCTGTCAACCCCGCGTGGCAGCCTCAGGCGGACCAAGTGGGGTTACCAAATCAATCTTCTCCGACTCTCTCGGGAACTTAACGTCGTCTTATAACATAACTACTCTGTCCACGTGCATCACTCAGTATGGCAGACTCTGAGTTGGAGGAGGTAAGAGTCACTTCGAGATGTACGGGGTCAAATGCTTAAATAGGTACCAGATCAGGCGAGCTCGGCTTGCACAGCTTCAACAGGGCGGTCCCCGCGGAGGACCCAGCCAAGAAGGTGGCCAGGATGAACAGCGCAAGTAAGTCCATTCTCCTTCTGTGCAGAAACTCAATTGGGGCTGAACAACTATGTGTTAGGCAAGCTGAATGTAGGTAACCATCTAAACTTCCATCTTTTGCTCCCGGCTCTCCGCTCGAAATACACCTACACTCTACACACATCATGAACCAACAATCTTCTGACATGAATAAAACTACTAGCTGAACGCCGCGCCTCCATTCTGAGCCAGATTCTCGAACCCGCCGCTGCAGACCGTCTTGGTCGTATCCGTCTCGTTAAGGAATCGCGCGCAAACGACATCGAGAGCCGACTCATCATGCTGGCCCAGACTGGCCAGCTGCGACAGAAAGTCTCTGAGGACCAACTCAAAGAGCTACTTAACGCTGTTGCCGAGAACCAGCGCAAGGAAGAGGAGGAGCACAAGATCGTGATTACCCGCCGCAAAGGCGGCTGGGACGATGACGATGATCTGTTTGACCTATAAGAGCTAGATTGTAACTTGTCCATCATGTTTCTTTCCATTTAATACTTGGGTACTACCTTACGGTTGCGTCGCTTATTCTCGCAGGCCTTCTTGGCTTTATCAAAATCCACAGGTGTTCCGGTCTGTTTACTCGTCTGATATGACGGTGTTCCAAATTCCATTTTCGTGGTGAAGATATTTATACAACTGAAAAGCGACCATCGTACATAAATCCACTGCAGAGCAGTTGATCAGAGGAACCTCATGCGACGTGTTCACTCCGACATAACCTGTGCTTTCTCCTTCTCTCGTTTTTGTTGCTCTCGAACCATCTTTCGAATGTCCCTTAGATCAGGCGGGCGCTCGATATTTAGCTCCGCCCTCAGCTCATCAACGTCCTTCTCTAACACCTCCTCCCAGTATACATTAATCAACTCCTTGCTTGCAAGTCCACTCCGCACCGCCCACGGCAAATGCAGCGACAGGAACCGCTCTTTCTCAGCGGGCTTCATTTTGACAAACGCGAACAGACTTAAGCCTGTCATTGGGAGGAGCGTGTTCAAGAACTCCAACGCCTTCAATGCCAGCTCGCCCTCCACGAAGATGGGTAGTCCCGTCACTGCGTGGTAAAAATCGTGACATTCCCTGTACCGCTGCATGACGTAGGCGCATTCTTCATCATCTATGTAGTGTACTTGGTCCCGGGTGTCTGGTGATACCCCTTCGCGGTCAAGCCATTTAGCATATGTTCGGCCGACGGAGTTCTCGGGGAGGGTGCTCAGTTTGGAAAGTTGGAGAGTGTTGGAGGTGATGCGGGGACGGTCACGGAGGATACGGCGGCCTGTTGGATCAGAAAGCATGGCATTTCTGAGACGGTAGATGAAATAAGGGGTTGCAGTTGCCTCGCCGAGAGCTGCAATTAGGTCTAAAACTATGTGTCAGTGATTATGGTTGCTTTGAAGTATATTGCGGCGGAGATTCAGTTGAATGAGCTTGGAAAGCAAAAGCTTCCAGATAAACAGTGGTAGGTACATACCTGCTCTGCGGGGATTTATCAGAGACCCAATTGCTGAGCCTACAGCTAGCGCACCTCGCTCAATGGTTGTCAATGGGACATGTCCGGGATAGTTTGGAGGTGGACGGTTGAGAACGGAGAAAGGGCGCAACGATGTGGTGGGTTTGGGAACTGAAATGACCAGTCTTTGAGGGTTGAAAGCTCCACGCCTCCCAAGAACCGACATGGTAAGTCTCAATGCCAAAATAATACCAGCTTTGAGCTTCTGCAGGATGTCAATTCAAGATGATCGTACGACAATCGGGAAGGTAGCGCATCAGGTTCTTATCGGCTGCCGTACCAGCCTGATAATCGATAAGCGATAAGCATGTTATCGATAAAAAACATTACTATCTGATCTGCACGAAACACTTGTGGGGTTTGACACTCCATTGAACATTGATCTTGGAGGATTATGGTCATTCTTCTTCAGCAATGAAAGTGCAGCTTGTAACCATTACCAATTTGTCTTTTACTTCACTGAACACCTGGTTTGTTTCCCATGGTCCCCGTGCTTTCAGGGTTGTTACGTATATATTCTGAAAACCCGAAGATCTACAGAATTGCTCGGCAAGGGCTTTCAAGGAACACGCTGAAATGGATCCCAACTACCTGCCCGGTACGGACCATGACGCTTTCACCGAATGGGCTCTGTCCCAAGGTGTGATTGCCGATGCAGTCACACCGGCTCGTTTCCCAGGGCGTGGTCTAGGAATGATGGCTACGCGCACAATCAAGGCAAGATGCAGTAAGCACTGGAAGCTGCCCCAAATACTAACCAAATCTGTCTATGGATATAGAAAGGCGAAGCTGTGGTTCAAGTCCCTACCAATATTATCTTCACAATCGACCAAGTACCCCAGCTCTTCAGGTCACAGTTCCCCGAAGGCACAGCCGTGCAGTCAATCATAGCGGCGTTCTTGACTCATGGCAGAGAGGAAGAGCTTGAAAAATACCAGCTATGGTTTAAAGCCTGGCCCACGCGCCAAGACTTCGAAGACAGTCTGCCCTTGCTATGGCCAGGAGAACTAGGTGGCCTCACTTGGCCAGACAGTGAACCCACCACTGATTCTGTTTCCATTCCCAATGTACTCCCGCCTTGCATCAACGGGCAATGGAATTCCATTGAGAAAGGCCCTCGGACCAAAAAATATGAAACTGAGCACCAGGATCTGGAACCGCAGCAGGAAAAACGGCTACGCAAAGCGTGGTCTGATGTTATTTCGGTCCTCCCAGAGACTGACTGGCAGAGTTTCTCTTACCACTGGCTTATTCTCAATACCAGAAGCTTCTACTGGGTTGGTCCTAATCAGGAACCGCCAGAAAATCGGAATGATGCTATGGCTTTGTTGCCCTTTGCGGACTATTTCAATCATTCGGATGTCGAGGTATGTGATCCCTGAGCATGCTATGTTTTTTTTCAATCTGACACGTTCGATTGCGGTACAGTGCGATGTGAAGTTTGATGAAAATGAATATACTCTTCGAGCAACAGAGGACTATGAAAAGGGTGATGAGGTGTACATGAGTTACGGGAGTCATCCAAACGATTTCCTCTTGGCTGAATGTAAGCCTCGTTCACATATTGTAGATGACATATCAAAAACTAAGCTGATTTCCTTTTCTTTCAGATGGTTTCATTCTCGAGAAGAACACTTCAGATTGCATCTACCTCGACGACATTGTCTTCCGTGACATTAACAGCTCAGACAAGCAGGAAGAGCTATGGCTTAACCAATATTACGGGTTTGTTCTCAGATTAATAATGACTTTGGCATATGAATCCCCGTCCACTAATATTTCACAGTGAATATCAAGTCACCGCAGAGGGGGTTTGTTACCGCACTGAGGTTGCAGCGTGTCTAATGTACATGAAAGAGGAAGATTGGAGGGGTTATGTTTTGGAGGGTTCCACTGAGGGTGTCAATGCCCGCAAGTCGGAAACCATCATCAAGGGTTGGCTGCACACGTATGCTAGGGAGGCGGATGAAACAATAAGCGCAATAAGGGTAGCTCTTGAGTCCAACGCAGTGGTTCAAAAACACCACCAAAAGGCAGAGACGTTATTGCGCCGATGGGAACAGATTAAAACCATCTGTGAGCGTGCCTCTGAAGCGACCGTATTAGATAGCTGATCAAAATACTTGCTTAAATGGAAGCCTCCACGTGAGTGGTTTTTTTTGCAAAGATAATGCCGACGGGGCAAGCAAAGTATTCGCTTGGGATTCGATCATTTCCCCTTGGTGCTTGTAATTTGATCGGCAAACTCACTGACCGAAGGGACGCCGTCAATATCAAGTGGAATAGAGGCATTGCCTCTTCGTTGATGTACAATCATCTTGGATTTGACCATTAGTCCCACCAAGTAGTTTAACGTGCATTGGATACCCAGTTCCTCCCCCCGACGCACAATCCAGCCGTTCATATGATCGATTTCAGTTTCAGACCCTGATCTCACATCTTGAAGCATTGAACTGGTGTTCTTTGAGGTAGCACTGGCAATATTCATGGTGATTCGCCGCAGGCGTTCTGGAGAGAATCGCTCTTCGATACCGGGAACTCCTCGAAGCTCAGGAAGAGCGTAAATCACGCTAGAGATTTCGAATAGAAGCAAGCGCATGATTCGGGTTATGTCAAAGATGTAGAGTAGCTCGCCGTTTGTGCAATCATTAAGTGCCGTGAGGGGATTGATGAGGCAATTCGCTGCTAGCTTCTCGAGCTGATATTGAAGTAGGGCAGCAGGTGTTTCGGCCGTAGCAACCAAAGACGGAGTCAGGGTCAACAGACGCAAAATATATTTTGTGGTGGGTGCCCAATGGGTATCTTCCTCGGCCAGAAGCGCCGGAGTTTCTTCTGTAACAACCGGCGCGAAGATCATCGTGCCAACACCGCGATGGGAAATCTGAAATTTATCAAGCCTGCTCAGACCGTGACTGACGATCCCTTGTACATAATTCGGACGATTTTCTGGATCCGGAAATAGCGAACGATTGAGCATTTCAACAACTCCCATGCCATTTTGCACCAGGACAATAGTTGAGTCTTTCGTCAGTCGGTGTCTGACAGCCTTGATAGCTGTTTTTGTTATGCTGGCCTTAGAAGCGACAATCAAACACTCAATGTGCTCATAGTTTACATCGGTCGAGATATCCTCAACCTGATCAAGGGGAATTTCTGACTCGACGTTTTCTTTGTCTTCATCTTTCAAGACTTCATGCCATATACCATTGGATAAGACCTCAACATCAAATCCAGTCTTAATGTCATCCAATCCGTTGTACTGGATGGCAATGCTCTTTTTTTTGCGGCGAAAGGACTGGTAGACCGCCCAACTGTGCAGAAGCAATGTGATAGGTGGCCGGGATTGTCTGGAGGCGAGGGCATGTGCAATGAAACTTCCAACATTTCCAATACCGAGAATATGTACTCGTCCGGACAATGGGGCTTTTGCAGTCTCACGAGAGGCCTCCTCCGCATCTTGCATCCAAGTTGATGCGTATCGTATTATCGGCCTTTCACTGATTTGTAAGCGAGATTGGTGACATATGTCCAAAAGCCCACTCCGCCATAGCGGGCGGCGGATAAGTAAGTGAAACACTTTGACAGTGTGTCGGGGGAGGTTCCCCGAATAGGTGCCGGGGGTTCGAGGATGGGTAGTTGACAGGTAATTTCGGCCCCGAGTGTAGTAGGTGATTTGGTCGCAACTTAGTTTCGCATTTTAAATGTAAGAACTCCAAAGACACTCCGTATTATCTTGCCAAAAAGCTTGATGGCGTGCCTGGTGAGAAATTCAGGTCGCGCGCTTGACATGCAGAAAAGTGATGCATGAACGATCCAGGCCGCGAAGCTCCACCGCCCGCAGCCACCGCCTCAGTTGCACCGGCCTTAATTTTTCTTGTCTTGTCGCTCCACTTCTACTACATACACCAACCTACACCATGGATTCAGCAAGTTTATTGCCGCTGCTGGAGCAGCTTGATGACCAGGTGGATGACTTGGAAGAGCTTCTTGAGCCACTCCTCGGTCAATCCTTGTCTAAATCTGCCAAAAATTTGCCGGTGATGGACAAAGCGAAACTTCATGTTCTAGTCACCTTCATCCTAGAGTCTCTACTTTTTTGTATGTTTTGATCCAAACGCGCAGATGAACTTATTCTAATATATATCTAGCCTATTTGAAACTTCATGGCGCCAACGCGAATCAACATCCCGTGTTCCGGGAGCTCACCCGAGTGAAACAATACTTTGCGAAGATCAAGGCACTGGAAACTGAACCCGAACAACGAAAGATGACACTTGATAAAGGGGCTGCAGGCCGATTTGTTAAGCATGCTCTTGTGGGTTACAATCTTACTCAGGTACATGGACTGCCCACTAATGATATCTAGTCTGGAAATGACAAGCACGACCTGGAACGGGCAGAAAGAGAGGCCAAAGAGAAGGCACGCGCTGCTGTCAAGGCTGCTCGGATAGCCAAAAAGATGGCTGCAGAAGCACAGAATTCTGCAGCCCAAAATGAGGGTGCCTCCAGTACGGCACCATCGACCGCACCGTCCACCGCCGACTCCGACATCGATTCTGATAACGAGACGAATGACGACGCTCAGGCAAGTCGATCCAACAAAGAGAAAAACAACATTCAAAAGAAAAAGGTGCAGAAGATCAAGGGTAAAACCAAGAAGATACGAAAGCTCAACAAAGCTGAGCGCAACGACGAGAAGAAAGAACGACGACAGAAGAAGGAGATGATTCGCAAAGCCCAAAAAGAAGCATGAAACGGACATCCTCAATATCGTCCTTGCAAGGTCCAGCTTGTGCCATCCTTGCCAATTTCGTGTCTTCTCAAAATTTGTATATCATGATTTAGATACCCAACAAGCCCATTTAACCGCGACCGCTTTACTCTGTACCTGGCAGTATAATTCCGTTAATGCCCGTTAATGTCCGCTCCACGTGATGGATATTCGGCTTACATAACCATTTACAACCAATCAAAATAACTATGTATCTAGAATGTGATCGGAGTCTGCCTTGTTCGCCGACTGACTCAGCTTCTAGCTTCTTCCAGTCTCCACTTGGAATCCTTATATCTACTCTTCTTTTTTTTGCCAACCATCGAGAGACTCAGTAAACCACCCGTTACTACCCACACACATCACAATGCCTCGCCAACAACGTCGTGCCGCTCCCACCCCTGCGCGCAGCGCTCCTTCTCGCCCTACCGCTGCTCCTGCCCGTCCGGCCGCCCCCTCTGCCCAGCAGCAGGCGCCTCACTCGACTGCCGCCGCTCCCCAGCAGGCTCCTCCTATGCAGATGCAGGCTCCTCCCCAGCAAAGCGCCGGCCCTGGTCTTTTCGGCCAGATGGCCTCAACCGCCGCGTAAGTAAACCTCCAAAATCCAGCCCGGTTTTTTCCGGCTTCAACCTGGGTGAACGGACTATATATGCAGTTTTTCGCCAAAACCAGAAAGCACCGCTGACATGTTTGTTTTTGGTTCATAGTGGTGTCGCAGTCGGTTCCTCCATCGGCCACGCCATCGGTGGCTTCTTCGGCGGTGGCTCCAGCGCCCCCGCCGAGGCCCAGCAGGCTCCCCCTCCTGCCCAGTCGCAGGGCATGGACAGCGGTCTGTGGCAGAGCAGCGCTACCAACCAGTCCTGGGAGAACCCCGCCTGTGAGGCCAACGTTCGTGACTTCCGCAACTGTATGGATGAGAACAATGGCAACATCGGCATTTGCGGTTGGTACATGGACCAGCTGGTAAATTTTCCCCGTTCCCCCCCCCTTTACATATTGTGATAGCTAAAAAAAATTATAGAAGGCTTGCCAGGCTGCGGCTAAGCAGTACTAATCGTTTCCCGATGGGAATGCATAGTCGGTCTTTTTAATGCGCTTTTCTCATCTGAATCTCCCTACCGGATGTAATCATTCTGCATCGCGACTCTGATATCGCGCTTTTGTACTCTATACCATCTCTCCTCGAGTTTATATCAAATTAGGGATTTGTTCTCTCGGTCTTGAGCATATGGCAAATACGTCCACTCGTGGCCACTTAAGACAAATCAATACCCATTCAAATGATTCCATTCAAGTAAATGCTATGTTGACAACGGAGCCCCAGTTCAATATGTTGATCATCGAATGGGGAAGACCGACTTATGAAGCTGTGCTAAAGCTACTGCTGCCTGGTGTACAAATTGACAGAACTCAATTCCTATTAAGATACAGTGTCCATAAATATATTCGAATGCAATTCACGAACGCCCATCAAAAACTCATGGCTTGCTCAGTATTCAATCATTCTTCCTATCCTGATCGCGTGGCTGAAAATTCAACTTTCAAATAATTAGCCGTAAGAAGTGCAGGGCCATTAAAGTAACATACCTGGTTTCCATTATAGAATTGACTGTCTTTCCGGTCATTCTGCTGATCTCTGAGCGTCCGAATATTGAGTCCCGTATTGCGTGCCCGAGTGTTCTCTGAGGACGCAGATGCAGATGCGGGGCTCGATGATCCACTCCTATCTGCGGCTGGGGCAGTCGGCCCATATCCAATGAGGGAACCAACGAGGCCCGTAGCCGTGCTTGCAGCAGAGGAAACGACATTGTAGACGGCTGAGATACCCCGAACAGGTAAGCTCGATCCTGCACCAGAATATGCATCTGTATATGATGAAACAGGAACCATAACCAGGGTAGCAGTTGAGCCCAGTCCCAAGTCCTTGAGGGATTGTGACTCCTCAGAAACGGAGAGTGTTCGGCTAGGAAGAGGCGTCAAGATATGCTTAAGATTGTATGGGCGTTGTTCAGTTCCCATTTTCCCATCCAGCCAGGGACGCACATCGCTGCGAATTGTTTGTGTAGGCGAAAAGCTGGACCGGACAGAACTTCCATCGAATAGTCGCACTTGAAGTCGAAATTGACTTGGGGGTGCGCGGGGAACCGGTGGCTGTGGCTTAGGCTCTTCACGAGAGGGAGTAGCTTTCTTGCCGGTGTCAGTTTGCTTGGTCTTTGGCGGTACCTTGTCTGTCTGTACTCTTCTGGCGGTTGGTTCCTTTTGCTCCTTTTCTGGCGCTTGGCGCTTCGGTGATACTCGCTTCTCGGGCTGCGCATTATTTGTATTAACTTCCCCAGTAATTTTGTCCTCATAGGGTTTAGGCGGAGTGGGAGAGGAAGCCACACGGGCATTTTGTGGTGTCGGGTATGTTGGGAGTTGTGTCGGTGTGACATTTGTAACATTTGTAACTGGCGATAAACCAGGAGGACTCGAGGCCTCGACCTCACTGTTTTCGCCAGCAGCAGTGCGGATCTGCGATTGCTGAGAAGGCTCTGAAGGAGTTTGGCCGTTCACAGCTATTAAAAGCCGACTTTGAAAGATAGCCTTTGTGATGTCAGGTACAAGGTACTCCTTTAACGTGCCATTGCTGCCACCCCAACTCGTCAGCTTGGGCCATATGATCGCAAAAGCCATTTATGTGGACATACTGTATAACGATGACCGTCGGAAATTTGACGATAGGGCAAATTGAAGTCAAGAACCCGGCTTCCTGGGATCCGGCGGTAATACGTAATGCAACTGCTTTGGCGTCAAGTGTTTGCGCAATCTAGAAGAGTGATCAACTAACGGTCCGGCACTGGGATAATAGATCTGAGAAGCAGTGGAATATACCTCTTCGCCGGCAAAGTACTCTTCCTCCCACGTCAGGCTCATCTGGGTGTCGTCTGTACATGTACCCCAATTAGGTGGTTGGCTCTCTTGCATGCGGGGAATCACTGACCTCGAACGAAGCAAACAACGGCTTTGGTTTCCCTCAGGGCGAGAGCAATACCATCCTGGAGACTACCTTGGTAAAAGCCAGTCATCATTGCATGCCGAGAATGAATAATATGTAAATCGAACAAGTGCTTAGTAGCAAGTCAACAGTCGTGGCAATGCGGAGAACAGCAACAATCAGCTGAAGCCGCAGCGGGTGACCGCCTAGATCGAGAATCTCCGAACCAAAATCCGGCCTAGTTGACTATCTTTCCCCCGATCAGCGATCAAAATCTATTTCACCTTTGCTCAATTGAACAGCCTCACAAATTTTGCTGTCCAACATGCGACCTATTTTCTCGTTCTTGCAGAGAACGCCTCCCACAGCTTGGACTCTGCCCACCCGGGTGGTCCGAAACACCAACGCGACTTCTAAGTTGGACTCAATCTGCACTACATGTCACCTGCAACAAAGGCGCAACTTCACCAAAACTCGGGAGCTCACTGAGAGTCTCTTGGATGTCGACAACCCAGCGAAACTTGTGCGGGTCAACCAGAAACATGGACCGGGACTCATTATTCTTGGTATGTTGCGTTCTGACACTGGCTTCTTACACTTTGGAAATTCTCAATGCAACGCAATTTTTGCTGACAAGCGTTTTGCATGTAGCATTGATTCCGATTATCTCTTTCGGCCTGGGATGCTGGCAGGTTCAGCGATTGGACCAGAAAACCAAGCTTGTTGCCAAATTCGAGGATCGTCTGGTTAGGCCTCCTCTCCCGCTCCCGCCGCGCATCGATCCAGAAGCCATTACCGAATTCGATTACCGTCGCGTGTATGCCACAGGTCACTTTCGACATGATAAGGAGATGCTTATTGGACCTCGCATGTGGGAAGGAGAAGACGGATTTATGGTTGTGACTCCCCTCGAGCGTGACGACGGCCAGAGCACGGTCCTCGTGAATCGGGGCTGGATCTCTAAGAAGATGGTCGATCAAAAGGATCGGCCCGATGGTCTACCAGAAGGCGAAGTTACGGTAGAGGGATTGCTACGGGAGCCGTGGAAAAAGAACATGTTTACGCCGGATAACAAGCCTCTGGAAGGGAAGTTCTACTTCCCCGATATCGAGCAGATGGCTGAGCTGAGTGGGAGCCAACCTGTGTGGATTGAGAGCACTATGGGTATGTGTCTTGGCTTTTAACTGCTGGTATGTGCCAGGGACTAAATACATCGCAGTGCCTGATCTTCTTGAGTCGTATGACCGCCTGGCCAAGGGTATGCCTCTTGGCCGCGCTGCGGAGGTCAATTTGAGAAACAATCACGCGCAGTACATCTTCACATGGTAAGTACACATATTTTCTGCCTTGGGGATTTTGAGCTTCTCGAACATATCACTCATCCTTCTCAGGTACGGACTGTCTTTGGCGACATCCATCATGATGTGGATGCTTATTCGGAAGAAGCCTAACGAGGCCTTGCGGCGAGTTCGCCAGAACAAGAACTGGTAATTGGCCAATGGCTGGTATCTCATATTTGACGCATTTCCCATCGGTGTTTGGAGTTTTGTTTGATAGGTTTAGCATCGGTGCGATACACTCACGGAGGCATAGCCAGTCTCATATCTTGCTGGAGCTCCTTAGGTAAATACTTTTGCGCCAAGGAAAACATGGTTGTTGAGTTGTTGATAAGGCGTTGTCTGAGGGGCAGTCAGCACAATTGTTCCCAAGTTGGGTATGCATCTAGCAAAACCTACCTTTTCATGAGCATGGTGACATCACTTTCGTCAATCGTCTTTCTTCCCGCATGTTTAGAGTATCCTGCCAGGTCAGTACTGGCTTGCTCGAAGAACCACGAAGACGCCTGCTCAATGGCAGCCATTGCAGCTTTGTCGAGGCGTGTTTTTGACCCCGCTCTCGTGCGCGCAAAACGTGTGGCTAGCTTCTTGACCACACCGATAGGTAGATTTGGAACAGGAATTCCGTGTCTAGAAAGCTTCTTCTCCTTGCTCTGCACAGGCAGGCCCTCGTCTCGCAGGCCACCGCCAATCATACCGGGGCTCTGGCTTCGGGAAGCAGGCTGTGCGAGATCGAAGCCGTCAAAGCCCATAAAGTCACCACCAGCGTCATCGCCATCATCCGAGGGAAATGACCGAGCGATTGGATGAATATCCGGCGCAGACAACTCGAATCCGTCCATATCGCCTAGATGCTCATCCCCTGGGTCATCGATTGGAGCTGCAGGCGGAGATGGAAAATCGAGATCAAAATGGAACCGGCCGAGGTCCTCTGTCTCTCCACTATTTGTAATATTAGCCCATTCCGTAGCATGGAAATTACCAGTTCATAACAACTTACCCTCGGTCAAATTCACCCCCACTAACCATTGTATCATCTTGAACGTCATATTCACCCACAATACCCGTCTCGTCTCCGTCATCAGAGTCGCTTTCTAATTGGATAGCTTCGAAATTCTCACTGGGTCTTCCAGTGCCGGGCATCATGGAAAGTCGTTGCCGGTCTCGAATGGCAAGATCTCGAGGGTACTCGACGGATCGATATGTGATATCTTCATCATCAAAAGCTAAAGACATCCTAGGTGGCGGCGTCTCGGAGGCCGCTTCCTCACTCCCATACTCGCTCTCCTGGATAGGCAACGAAAGCCGGGGCGGGTCAACCACTGGCTCATTGTCTAGCTCCTCAATTTCGTCCTTGGGCCTCTCAATGGGTTGTAGTTCTTCTTGCGGTGATGATTCAATTGGGCGAGATATCGGCGCAAGCGTTCTACCCAAGTTTCTCAAGATATCAAACGTCGTCTCCCGTTGTACCTTGCCACTGCGCCGCCGGTCTCGACCAGGAGTGTTTATAGCGCGCTGCTGTCGTGCGCGCAGTCCATACGGCGTTGCAGGAGCCCCCACAGCTCGAGCTCGGGGGGTAAACCGAGAAGCAGACCGCTGGGCGGATGGAGTAGCGGCGGTAACGAGGCGACTAGGCGTGAGTGGATATCGCGTATGGCTCGGTAGGCGCTGAAGCTGAGGGGAAAATCAATGAAATTTTCTGAAGTTATTTTGTAGCAGCTTCACTTACTCCTGTTCCTTTTGTGTCTCCCGATGGGGTGTGAGTCTCATCATTCGAATTGCGCGTTGACCGACGGCCACGCGGATTCGGGGTCGACATTCTCTCCTGGGTCCTATTGAAGAATGCAATTAAACCATGGGATTCAAAAAAGCCGAATCATCAAGGCAGAATAGTAGTATTGGCATAAAATTATTTCAAGTAGACTGGACGAGGTCTTGAAGCGTTTGAAGCGCGTCGGCCATAACAATGCGGGCCTGCGTTTAATTGGTTGGACACATTCCTTATCGATAAGAATCCGCTGACTTATCTGCGGATTTTCCTCCGGACTTTTTTTTTGCAATGAACCTGATATTACAGTTACAAGTATAAACCAATTGTAAAATTTTCCCACGATGACTGAAGCTCCCGCACAAAAAGGGCTGTCCGCCAAGTTGGACAAGAAGCGCAAGAGACAAGCCGATGATTCTACCAAGCAAGACAAGCCCGACACAGCGCCTGCAGCAGCCCCGACTACCTCGGCTGATGGTCCAAGCAAGAAGAAGCGCAAGAACAAAAAGAAGCAGCCTCAGCAGGATGATAACGCGCAGGATCGCAAGAACGGCATAGACGAGTCCATTGGAAGAATGGACGGGAAGCTGCTGGCCGATTACTTTGCGCAGAGGGCACAGAAGCTGGATAAGGAATTGTCCGCAGTGGAACTGAACGATCTTTCTGTCTCAGGTGTGTACTCGTACCGTCGTCATGATGTGATCACAAATATTAATGAGTTGCAGATTCCACATTCCTCGATACGTCTGCCTACGCCGAGCCCAGAACCCTGGAGAAGCTTCCTGAATTTCTCAAGACATTTAGCCCCAAGGGTTTGGACTTGTCGAAGTCATCGGAGCAGAAGGGTACCCCTCATACACTTGTGATTACGGGCGCTGGCCTTAGAGCAGCAGACATCGTGAGGTACGATAACAACGGATCAACTTGGGGCCAATTAGGATCAATGCTAACACGGTGTCATATAGAGCCCTTCGTTCTTTCCAAACCAAGGAATCTATTGTCGGTAAACTTTTCGCAAAGCATATCAAATTGGATGAAGCGAAGCAGTTTCTCCAACGTGCGCAGTACGGTTTCCCCAATATGATTCTATGCCTCATCGTATTACGTGTTTAGCTGACGACTCTTTAGGATGGGTATTGGCATCGGCACGCCCACTCGAGTCGCTGATTTGGTCGAATCTGGTAAGTTCCCCTCAATCATGAAATCCCAAGGCCGTCATTCATCTTGGATTCATAGGCGATTTGAAATTGAATGAGCTGCAACGCATCGTTATTGATGGATCGCATATCGACCAAAAGCAGCGCGGTATTTTCGACATGAAGGACACCCATTTCCCCCTGCTAAAGCTCCTTACTCGACCCGAACTGCGTGAGCGGTATGCGGCTAAGAAGAACAAGACGCAGATCTTGATATTCTGATATCTTTTTGTCACATTTCCATCTGGCGGGCGCTCAAAAATATAGACGGGTATTCTATGTCATGAAAACAGAGCTTATAGCTCCTCTTCAATGAATATTCCCTACTAAAATATGTAATCGCGTATAACATGAATCTTGTAGAAGCAGATTACCGAATTAGGCTGCAAACCTGTTATCGGCTCACCGCTCTTTTGATCGCCGGCAGAAAATGATTTTCTTTTCCGTCTCCGCCCAATTTTTTCGAGTGCTACGCTTTCTTTTTACATTCCTCAATTACAACTTTTATACCTCAATTATCTTCAAAATGGGTGACAAGAAGCGCAAGGCTACTGACAATGCCGAGGAGGCGAGTGATCCTCAATGGGATCAGAAGCTGAAGCAGGCGAAGAAGGAAAAGAGCAAGACAGAGAAGACGGAACGGAAAGAAAAAGACAAGGCAGAGAAGAAGGAACGGAAGGAGAAGAAGCGCAAGCTCGCCGAGGCTGAGGCTGAGCCTACTGATGAGATGAATGTTGACGAGAAGGAAGAAAAGAAAGAAAAGAAGGAAAAGAAAGAGAAGAAGGAGAAGAAGGAAAAGAAGGAGAAGAAGGAGAAGAAGGACAAGAAGGAAGAGAAGGAAGAGAAGGACGAGAAGCCCGAGGATAGCGACAAGAAGGAAAAGAAGGAAAAGAAGGACAAGAAGAAGAAGGAGAAGAAGGAGCAGGCCGCCGAGGACGAAACCAATGCCAATGCTGAAGGGCAGGAGCAGCCCGAGCAGACTGAGGAAGCTGCTCAAGAAAAGAACTCTCGATTCATCTGCTTTGTCGGTAAGTGATCATCGAGGTCCAAGATCCGAGTCAAGAATTTCCAGCTAAGACTTCAATTCACAGGCAACCTTCCCTTCTCCGCAAACACCGAGTCCGTCACAAAACACTTTGAGAAGAACCCGCCAGCTAGTGTGCGCGTCGCCACCAACAAGGATGACTCCAAGAACCGAAGCCGCGGCTTTGCATTCATCGAATTTGACAACTACGATCGCATGAAGACCTGTCTCCAGCTATACCACCATTCCATGTTCGACGACGGAAAGTACCCACCTCGTCGCATCAATGTTGAGTTGACGTAAGTTTAATCCTGTGCATATGAACCGAATATTGTGCGCCGCAAGCATGAATGTGCGCTGCTAGACCATGTTCGATCAAATTTGCTAATATGCTTTTACAATATAGTGCTGGTGGCGGTGGTGCCAAGTCCGATCACCGCAAGGCGAAGATCCAGGCTAAGAACGAAAAGCTGAACGAGGAGCGCTGGCGCAAGGCACAGGAAGCCAAGAAGAACGAAAACAGGAATGATAGGAAGGCCAAGCATGCTGCGCCTAAGGGTCCCACTGGTGCCAATGCGGTTGGTGGTGATGCTGCCGGTGATGATGACAGATTTGCCGGTGTGCACCCCAGTCGTCGGGGCCAGTTGTGGTAGATGGTGTTGATGGGGATACTAGAGCTACTTGTTGGGTAGCTGGCTGTCCTTTGCATTTATTGTCTCTTGAGTTCCGAGTCCCTTTTCTTTTGTTGTACATCCTGGGATGAGGTCTGAAAAGCCTTGCTGTGTTTTGTTTTTTCATGTTTCCATAGACGATACCAATTCCCGTCTTCTGTGCATAGTGGAATGCAATGAACATTTCCAATCTATTTGCTCCCGATTCTGCAGCATGCTACTCCAGGTATTCCAAGGTCGTCAAGAATTAGATCACCAGAGTTAAGGGGAGCACAGGAACCAAATACAACACATAAGATACTTGAAATGGCTATTCTATAGATCCGAACGAACGATGCTATCGCCAAGAAACGAACTTGGTTGCCCCCAATAGAAGAGAAATAGAAAAAAACAAGAGAACAAGTCAATGGATTCATCAAAAAAGACCTTCACGAAAGCCTCAGGCTACCCGGACGCCGTATTAACTATATATTACTCATTATAGCATACGAGAAAAGAGGCAGACGGCCATGCACAACATCTACAAAATCTGGCATTTGTTCTTGCGTCCAGATTTCGCGAGAGGACGCGGGTTGAGAACAGCGCTGTATGAGAGATTAGTTCTTTGGGATCCACAAGGCCGAAAGCTGGATTTCCATTCACATACCGGATGGCTTCGTCGAAAACGCTCTTCAGGTTACGCTGCGTCAGAGCAGAGCACTCCAAGTACTTATGTGCGCGGATCTCCTTGGCCACGGTCAAGGCCTGTTCGTAAGAGACGGGCTCCATCTTGCGAGCTCGGAGGGCTTCAGCAGTCGCGCGGTCGTCTCTCAGATCGAGCTTGGTGCCGACAAGGATAATGGGGACGCTAGGGGCATGGTGGTCGATCTCTGGGTACCACTAGAGAGTTGCGAGCCTGTTGTCAGCCGTGTGCTGGAGAGGGGAAGTGATGAACTCCTTAGGAGCTCAGGGCACCGGGGGAGACTGTCATACCTTGGCTTTCACGTTATCGAAGGAAGGAGGGCTGACAATCGAGAAACAGATCAAGAAGACATCGGTTTGGGGGTAGGATAACGGTCTGAGGCGGTCGTAATCTTCTTGTCCGGCGGTATCCCACAGTCCCAAGCTGATCGGCCGGCCGTCGACCATCACGCTGGCAGTGTAGTTGTCAAACCTGTACAGCTGGGATCAGCAACTCCTCTTGCAAGTTGTAGAATCAGAGCCAAGGGGGAAGAAATACACGGTCGGGATGTACTCCCCGGGAAAGGCATTCGTTGTGTACGAGATCAAAAGACATGTCTGAAAGGTAGAATAATCCTGTCAATATTTGCATCGCGACAGGAGCTGGAGGGGGTTTTGTATAATACTGACTTTACCGACGGCACCGTCACCAGTCACCACGCACTATATTCTCCAATTAGTCGTCTGTTTGGCCGAAGTGGGAAGATCAGAGATTCGATGGCTAACCTTCAGCGATTGAGTAGCCGGGCCCGTCGCCATGGTGAAAGTATGTACACGGAAAAGGAGAGCGATAAGGGCGCGGGTTATAGAGAGCGAGTACCCCAAACAGTGCGGTATCTGGTGAAATTTATGGTGAGCTTCAGGGGAGCCGATGTTGAAGCTAGGGGAAAGAGGGGGAGGAAAAGGGTGTGGAGACCACCAGAGTCGCAAAGGAATGAGGGGCGAACATAGAAGCTTACCTAGATAGAGCAAAGAGACTCAAAAAAAATATAAAAAATAAATAAAAAAGTGGGGAGAAGTATAAAGAGGAAAGAAATTAAGAAGCAGAAGAAGAATACGATGAATGGATTCAGCTAAGCCTAATGCTAGGAAAGTAAAAACACCTTTTGGATGGTTCATTTTCTCCACATTAAATGTTGACCATTTTCAGCTTTGATATATACATCTTTCATCTATCATGTTTCAAAGACTCTCTTCTACGCTTTTTATAGAAAGATCATTGGACTAATGGACAAGTGCCCTATTACTTTCCCAAGTGTTGATGGCCCCCAATTGGTTTGACTGCTTCCCGCCATGCACCAATCGCATAGGTTAAAGATCACGGGCGAAACCCTAGACAAGGAACGCTATTTATATCCCACGGAGTATCCATTTCTTCTTTACAGTCGCGACACTCCTCGTGAACCCGAGAATGTTCCAGCGCGTAGCTCCCAGGGTCTTTCAGATAAGTCGGGAATCTTGGCAGCAAAGTCTTTGAAATAGGGGGCTTTGACATGGGCCTGGACTGCCGCTTGGTTCTGATATCTTGGTTTCAGGTCAGTCACGGGATTCCGAAAGTGGGTCACATGGTCTACCTCTCAATAATCACGATCTCATTCTTCTCCTGGACTTGGAAAGCATAGTAGAGAAGAGTATTGGGTTCATTCTCTTGCACCTTCTTAACCAATTCAGTAACAAGGGTAGCAACCTATGAGAGATTAGATTTGCGATTCAAAAGAAGTAGAGACCCTGACCTCTTGGAACTTCTCAGGCTTCGGGTGAAGCACTGCAGCAACGTTGAGTTCTTCTGACATGATGAACAGAATGACTGGGAGATGTGGGCTGTCAGGAATAACTATGTGTGGGGGACCAGGACTATAAGTACAAACTGCGGAGAAGAAGCTCTTGACCTCGGGCCATTAGCATGTGGGTCTCTGAGGCTGCTTTTACCGATCTATATATGGCTTAGTAATCATTTGACGATGGACTCCGCTTTTAAAAGAGTCACATGATATAACGTTAAAGATAATCTATTATCCAAGTATAGGTTACGTGGATATCCAAGTGACTACGTATATTCACAATACCGAGTACTTCGTACATAGAACAAATTTGAATGTTTCCAAGGTTATTAAAGCAGTTTCTAACCAATCAAACCTTGGAACCCATTTCAATTGTGGCTGAGTTGTGCCTGAGACTAAACCACAACCACCATTTTGGCTTTGGGCAGGCGGCAGCATTCCTATGGTCTGACCTCATTGATCTCCAACTCCCCACTGCCAAGCCCAACCCAGGTGTCATCGTGGTTTTCCTAAACTCTCCTTTTTTAAATTAACCCCCTCCCCCTTCCGTCTGGGACTCTTTTAGCTTTCAATAATGTCCGACCCGGTTCCCCCAGAACCTGTCGCTTTGCCTACCTTGGGTGATGCACCCCCGAGCAGCGCCGGTCGCTCGTCCGCCCACGTCCACGAAGCGCCCGTTGAGCAGCCTGTCATTTCCGACGAGCTCAAAGCGCGTCTTGACAAGGTGATCTACTCAGAGGTGAGTATTTTAGAAAGCCATATCATTTAAAAGGAAGCGCATTCAGAATCCCCTGCTAATTCGGACGCATACAGATTGGCATCACCACTCTCCTTGCTCGGTTGAAGCAGAGTGTAGCCTCCGCCAAAGTTCGTTACGCCCCAATGACCAGACAATCGACCGACACTCGACAGACACTAACCTATCTAAACAGGAATTCTCTACATTTTTGAAGAAACGCGGGGCATTGGAGGATGAACATGCTCAGGGGCTTCGGAAGCTGTCCAAAGCTGTGAACGATGCCGCGCTCCGCACCGATAACCGCCAAGGAACCTACAGTTCCAGCTACAAGGACATCCAACGACTCCACGAGCGCATGGCGGAATGTGGCTTACAATTTGCCGTCTCTCTCCACCAGATGTCCGATGATTTGCAAGAGCTATCCACCAATATTGAACGCGGGCGCAAGCAGTGGAAGCAGACAGGATTGGCTGCGGAGAAGCGAGTCGTGGATGCGGAATCCCAAGCCGAGAAGGCAAAGGTCAAGTACGACTCATTCGCGGAACAGTATGACCGTGTCCGCACGGGTGACAAGCATGGCGGCAAGTTTGGTTTAAAGGGTCACAAGTCCGCTGCTCAGCATGAGGAGGATCTGTTGCGAAAGGTTCAACATGCGGATGCGGATTATGCCGCCAAGGTTCAGGCAGCACAGGCGGCTCGCCAGGAATTGGTCGCTACCCACCGGCCTCAGGCCGTGCATAATCTCCAGCAGCTGATTGCAGAGTGTGACTCGGGCTTGACTCTGCAACAGCAGAAGTTTGGTATGTGATCGTTCTGTTCCATCAAGGGATACTACATGTGACATTTATTAACCCGCCTTAGCTACTTTCAACGAGAAGCTCTTGCTGGGCCAGGGACTCTGCGTGAGCCCTATCAAGACCGAAATGAACGGGTCAATTGCGCCTAAGAGCCTTGCGGAAGTCATTCGCCAGGTGGACAATCAGAAAGACTTGCACGACTTTATTTTGACCCATGAGGGAAACCCTGGTGCCGTTTCTGGTCCAGAGGTCCAATACCAGCGCCACCCTGTACGTTGCACCAACTAGTTTCTTGTTCGACCCTTACTAATGATCATCTAGACTCTTGGTGGCGGACCAGCTGCATCCTCACAACCGAGCCTTCAAGCCAAGCGACAGTCCTCTATTCCAACAGCATTCTCCCAACAAAACGTCTCTTCCCCGAGTCCTCAACTCGGTGGGAGTACCGAGCGATTCCAGCAGCCACCCTACCCAACACAAGGGGAATCTCCTGCGCCTCCGCCGGCTCCGCCTCTTTATCCTTCGGGGCCACCATCTCACGAACCTCCCCCGATGGCCACTGTGCCAATGAGCACTGCGCCAATGGGCACTGCGCCAATGATGCATCCACCGCCAATGGATAAAACTAATCTGCCGCCTCTGAAGCCTGTATTCGGATTATCTTTGGATGACCTCTATGCCCGGGATGGGACTGCAGTGCCGTTCCTTGTGTATCAATGTTTTCAGGCCATTGAACTCTTTGGTCTGGATCTGGAGGGCATCTATCGACTATCGGGCAGTGCCAATCATATTAACCACATGAAAGCGTTATTCGACAATGGTAAGGACTTCAGTTCAATCACAAGGTAGATGTTATGACTTGTGCTGATGATTCTCAAGACTCGTCACAGATCGACCTTACAAATCCGGAGAACTTCTTTCACGATGTTAACAGTGTCGCTGGACTTGTGAAACAGTTTTTCCGAGATCTTCCTGATCCTTTGTTCACAGCTCAATACTACACCCAGTTCATCGAGGCTGCCCGTAAGTTATAAACCCTGCAAGCTGCTACTCACCTTGATTGTACCTGACTCCCAAAACTTAGGCGTCGATGACGATACACAACGCCGGGATCAATTGCATGCTCTTATCAATAGCTTGCCCGATGCTCACTACGCCACCCTGCGGGCTATTATATTGGTAAGCTAACCACACTCGTTGACTTATCAATGGTCGATGCTGATATTCCCACAGCACCTCAATAAGGTCCAGGAACACTCTTCACAGAACCGCATGAACGCTGGCAACATTGCCATCTGCTTTGGGTAAGTTCCTGCGAATCTTAGTCTTCTACTTTGACTGATGCCAAGTCTACAGACCAACATTAATGGGCGCCAACTCCGGTGGCAACATTGCCGACGCTGGCTGGCAAGTCCGCGTCATCGAGACAATCCTCAACAACACTTTCCAGATCTTCGACGACGATTAGATTACTCGAAATTGAGGGATAATAATGGTTCTTGTGCTTGGTGCTGTCTGGATGAACGACTCATAATGCAGATTTCCGAATTCCCAGCACCGCAGCTGACTTGTTCCGTTCTTGGTAGCATGGTCAGACCTACTGGCGTTTCGCTGCCATGCCTTTTAGAAACAACATTGCAGCGCGCTAATTGTTTGCATTCTCATGTACATATACATCTTTAGTCTTGGATGCGCTTCTCATGGAAAAGGCATCTTATCATCATGCCCGTTCAAAGTCAAACTGGTAGAAACTGCGGATGCTGCGGACGGGAGGATTGATAGAACTTGTGCAAGCGACTAAAACCCTGTAGGTACTACATATTAACTCGAAAATTATTCTTGGAAAATGTAAATGCAATTGTGTCATTCTTTCTAATTTGGCATTTTCATCGCTGTTCCCGCAGAGTATGCCGATTTGCTTATCCCCAAAATTGAAAGGAACATGAAGCTATTCAATGAAATGCATGGCAAATTGATCCTAGCCTACCCCAAATACCATTGAAACGCGGGGGCATGAAGATGTAAACAAATGTGTATATAATACATGAGGAGCGTCATGATACGAGCACCAGGCAAACATGTTGAGTCCCATTTGAAATCAAATACGCAGGACCGAGACCAAGAAATTTAAAATAGAATCGGAACCCTCGATCAACGAGATACCATAATGCGGTATGACCAATATGTAGTATGCATCGTATCTGGCACCGAAAAAAGAGTTCGCCGAAGGACGCCAAAGACTGGAAAAAACACAACACCAAACATGGTAAAAGAGAAAGAATTCGTGGACAATGAAAGCGCTGTATGAACGAGTCCAGAACGAGGTTGCTTGAACGAGGTGAAAAAATTGGTGGAGTATGAGGGCTTCGTTCAAAGTCGAATGCGTCGGGCATCAAAGTAGCCCAGATTTACAGCGGTGTCGTTGACACCTACAAAAGGTGCCGCGTCTTCCAAAAGTTCCCAAGGACGGTTTGGATATGGCCCAACAGTGCGTCCACGTTGTTGAAGACGAAGCCGATTCGCCGTAGAGCTGATTCTTTCACCTGCACCAGCATGGGGATTTGGGTGCATAGTGGCGGGTTGTGACGAATGAGCAGGACCAGTAGTAGGAGCAGGGAAATTGGATGTTGGGGTAGATCCTGCAGCTGGGGATGGTGCCGGTGCCGATTGAACAAGTTGGGGCATTGCAGAGTCTCCCATCGGACCTAGAAGGTAAAGAAATCGGTCGTCGCTCTGCAAACCAAGCATTGAGCACTTCTCCCTCAGGAAGCGGCAGCAGTGATGTCTTATTTCGTCGGGGAACACGTCAATTAAAGACGCAGCAACGTCTAGGGCATGGGTTTGCAACAAAATGCCCGGACAAGGGTGATAATTTTCAGACGATCCCGCACGGGGAAAATAGTCTGCACCTGGAAAAAGACGTAGGGCATCGCTGGGAAAGCGAGAGAGCGCTATGCAGAATATGGAGACCAACAACCTAGATGGCTCATGGGAGACATTGACTCTAGAACCGGGTGGCTGTACGAACGAGGTACGGTGTATAACGACCATCCTCAGTAGAGCCGAAAACCAGAAGGCAAGAGAGCGCTCGAAGTTCGCCCGCCCTTGAATAGGTATGCCACCAGATCGATCATCGCTTTGCACGGTGAGGATCTTCTGCAAAAGGCTCTCCATTTTCTCCACGAGGACAGAAACAACCCAGGGAGTTGCAGTATCGGAGATGTTACCGGCAAGCTCCTCAATGATCCTGATGTACAATTTGGCGGTTTCGAAGGATGCTAAGCTTTGTGAGGCTGCCAAAGGATTACTCGGTGATTCTCCCAGTACTGGAATAGAGAAAAGTTCTTTTTCTGCATGTTCGCGAATCTGGCGAACGGCATCTGGGCTCATGAGCGCGACAAGATCCACCCAGTGAAAGTTATGAGCGCGAGTATTGGCTACAACGGTTTTGAACATTGCGTTTGCGATACCGTTCCGATCTTCATTCCCTGAGTCTTGGTGAAATAGAATCTGAAGCTTCAATTGACAGAAGGGGAGAGAAAAGTCGTCGGTGGTGTTGGCCAGCTTGTCGACTTGCGAAATGACAGATGAGGTCTCTTTTTGTAGGTCGCCGCCTAGCAAGGTGTCGAGTGCTGTTCGGAGCATACCAATGGCGTTCGGGTACCGATTGACGAGCTTCTTCATGCAACTCTGCTCCACGCAGCCGGGGTTTCGCACGAGAAGTTCACGCAAAATCATCACAAGAGAAGCTTGCCGGTCTTTGTTGCGTACATCGTTCATGTCGACAGCTGAGGCGGCGTCGCCGACGATTTCAAGAACCTCGTCAAAGCTCTTGGCCAAAAACTCCTGCTGTGACAGGTGGTATCGGTAGGAGATCAGATCACGGAACCTGTCTTTAGTTGGAGGAGAATATATATCGGAGTATCTGTCTTCTGGTGGGACGGCAAGAGCAAGATCAACAAGTTCGTCTGGCAGATTTTCGGAGTTGGGGAGTGGAGATGTGGAGTAACTAAGCCTTCTCACAAGGGCCAGGAAAGATGGAATTGCAACACATCCAACCCCGATAAGAGAGGGAAGTACACGTAGCAGAGTGGAACGATCAGAGGACCGTAGATGGATGCAGACCCAGCGAATCAATATCCCATCAAAATGCTTTGGCTGAAAGGATCGCAACTGCGCCAAGTACTGACAAGTATCGTTTGCTGACAACTTCGCCTTACCGAGTTGAGATTCCAACTGCTTAGTCAAGGTGTGGAATATGGTATCCAGCGTGGGCTCATCCATCACATTCCCGGACAGTAAAAGATGATCTAACTTCTCTCGGAACAAAGAAACTGTATCGCCAAAAGAGTCGGGGATGTGGTCGGAGACTGGAGATGATGCGGCCAAAATAGCCTTGTTTCCCAGACGCGCAAGGTCTTGACGAAGGATCAGAACTGTGTTGCATTCACGAGGAATACGCAAACCAAGTTCGATCAACGAAAACATCAAATCCAGACTCGGTGTACTGAATCGTTTGATGATAGCGTATGTATCAATCAGCTTACGGAACAGATCCGAGGTTGCTCCCATCACGCTGAGTGAGTCAAAGTGATAATTTGTGGTATCGGCAACCGATGCAAGAACAACACAATCATTAGAGGTTGAAGCACACTTCAAAACATCCGCTAACATGGAGACATCCTCAAGGGTTTCGAGAATCTCACGGACAATGTAAAATTCATCCGGTGTAAGTATTGACACTGACGGGACACCACCAACAAGAAATGATGGTCGGATGGTTGAACCAGTGACATCGCGAGAATGTTCAGCAACGCTCCGTCGGAGCCACTGACCTATATCCGCCTTCACAGCCCAGGTCAGATCAATGGAGGTCATATCGATTGACAATGAGTTAGACGTCATTTCATTCTGAGAAAGTACACCAAAAATCCCGGGGAGACGTCGGCAGATTGCTTGTTTCAAATGGGCAGTCACAATAGATTCATGTTCAGCAGAGAATCCAGTACGGGCCAGTAAGGTGCTACGTAGATTGCCAACATGGTCAGGGAGACGGCCAACAGGAAGCTGTGCTATCAATGCAATATCGAAATGACAATCGGGCATTGATTTCTGGTAGGAAGAGACATGGCTTGTGACATCTTTGGCCATTAGCCACTGCAGATATCGACCCACGGAGAAAGTTTGCGATCTGACAAGCTCAGAGATTGTATGGTATACATTCTCCATGTCCGACTTCTTGGTACGTCCAGTTTGGGTAAGGAAAGTGAGGATATGATCATCAATATCTACCCCCGCGGCCTTCCATTTTCGCAACAGACGAGCACCAGCGTAAACTCGATAAGTCCCGTGACGGAATGGAGTGGAAAGCCATTCAAGCAACTTCGAGACCAAGACCGCTCTATCATCAACGGCTTCCAAACACGCAGACGAGACTGAATTGATGTCGTATCCAGAGAGAATCGAATCAAGAAGGCGGATAATGCGTTGGTTCGGGGAGCGCTGCGGCGTTTGTTTAGGATGGCTAGGCCTCTGTACTCGTGCATTACGTTCGATGAGGTTTTGCAACAGGGCTCGGTCGACGTGGTCTGTGAGATCAAGACACGAGATTACCAGGCTTTTGTATTTTTCCCATGAATTTGGTAAAAGCAATGATGAAGTATGTCCCCGAACCATTTTCTTTATAAAACGGGAAAGTCGCTCAATCAGGGGGTTGAAGGGTTCTCGCTTGGCCTCTGTAGCCTGACGCAATTTATCGAGCAAAAGTTCGGCCAGCCGTCGTCCTCTGCGTCGATACCGCATGATGTTGTTCCAGTAAATATTAAGCATCAAAAGCCAGACAGGAATCGTGCCAATTGCTGCGCCTTCGAAGGAAGACAGGAACCACTCGATGAAGTGATCGTGATCGAGGAGATTCTCAAAAAACAAGCGGGCAGTCAATTCAACTGCATAGGTCATCTTTGGTTTCCAGTCAGAGGACTTGGGTGCGCTGAATACAGCTTCAGTAAATTGCTGAACGTTCGTCGTCCAGTCTCGCACCCATTTCGCTTCCAACCCCACAGTCAGAGCACCGCTCGTTCCCTTCCGCTTGAAGGCGCGAATTTCATTGGCACCGACACACTTTGCCAGCCAAACTGCCCGTGCAACCGGAATCCACTTTCCCAGGCATTGGTCCAGAAGGCCTTTACCTCGGATACCATGAGGAATGGTTCGGCTCAGCCGGCGCAATGGCACGGATGGATTTGCAAGATCTCGAAGCCAGGTCTCTCGCTTATTATCGGTGAGCGTCACTCTCGGTGGTGGCTTGAAACTAGATGGTGCATGAACGGTATTGTGGTTTTGACGTTTCTCCAGTGCAGCAGAAAAGACGGTCGAGAGCATTTGGAGCCCTGTGCGGTGTTTCAATTGTCCATACAATGCAGGTCGAGCGGTGTTGGATTCGTTTTGGGAGACCTGGGTTCGACTATAATAGCCTTGTTTCGCTGCTTGCTCATTCAATACATCCTCTGGGTGGTTCCCGGTCCATGGAGTGAAATCCGCGACTTCTGACAATATCTATTAGCGATGTTTCCATGGCTTGGCAATGAATCCACTTACTTTCACCTTGAATTGCCGGGGCCACAGAAGGGATCACAATACGAAATGGGGTGGTTTGAACTTTCTTATCCGCGGATGTTTCCCGGCTTGAACCTCCGTCTAGTAGATGGGAAGGGGAATCACTCCAAGGCTGGGTAGGGAGTGGGGGTGGTGATGATGGTCGAGATCCCGCCGCACTACCTGGAATTTCTGACATGACCGCCTGGAAAGACCACATGGGTCGGCCACGCCACGACGGCTGGGACCGTGAACTGGCGCTGGCCGGTGTATTCCTCGCATCTCCACCTTTAGCGGATGAACCTGCATCGCTAGCCTTGGATGCACCCGATATATCCAATCTTGGTCGTTTGGGTGGGGGTTCCTTATCGTTCGGATCATATGTGTTGATGGTCAGGTCGACCACGGCCGATTGGGTTGCGTGGGTTGCGTGGGTTGCGTGTGTTTGCGATTGCAGCTGGGACTGCGACTGGGACGGCAGCAAGGGCGTTTGTGAGGTCACCGACGAGGGGTCATATTGAGTAGGCATTTGTACCAAGTCGACTCTTCCGGAGCCACTATTGAGTGGTCGCATCGGGTGGCCCCATGGTTGGCCGCCGGCAGAAGAATGCGGTATCATCTTAGGCTCATCGTGTACCGTCCGAAGGCTGTATCGTTTGAATCATGCGGACCCAGATTGAACAGTGAGTACCGAGATTTATTTATTGAGAGAATCCGAGTATCGATGCGAAAGGCGTTGGATCTGACCTATCGGTAGCAATTCGATGTTGGCAGAGATGGCGGTAAGTTTGGTGAATAGGGTAGGTTGAGGGATCGAGGAATCGGAGGGCGGTAAAAGAGTTCGCCTCGAAAACTTGAGTAAGAAAGGTTGATTATATATGGAACAATTTAATCCTCAAGTTCAAATGTTCGAGGGGAGGTGAGAGATCAAGGTGTTTATGGAGGAAGATAACGTAAGTCACGGGCCAAATCAGCAGTCTCCGTCCTCCTCCGTGGCCTCAGGGATCCACCTAAATGACCGGGATCGACGGCTTTTGCTAACATTATCCACAAGAATGGAGCCCTTTTTCTTTATTTGTTTTAAAGATACTGTACTAATACAAAAATACGATAGCAATCTAATCTTTTGTCTCCTTTTTAGCCGAGTTGCCGAGTTATCAACAATTGACCCCTTATATTTGGTAGTCAACTCATAATGTTCATATTTTCATACTTACTAGTAGATATTTTCTGTTAACCCCATGAAATCAAGATTTTCCGGTTCAGCGGAACCGGTCCCGTCGCATCCCCCTGCCCGAATCAGCCCATCCCCTCATACGGTGTCAATGGATCATTATGCCATCGAGAATGGATTGTTCAAATGTTTTTTTTTCTTTTTGTGTATGAAATTCAACTTTGACGCCCCATGTAAGCACGAGAATCATATCAAACCCGTAGGTTTGCCCTTCAGCCGCCTTATCTCTCCGAGGCGTCCACATTCCGTATCAGCCCACAGTCGGGTCACTACAGGAGATCTATCATATGGTGTGCTGTTGTTATACGTGGGTCAGCGCCCAGTGATACGATAACAGTTCCGGAAATCTTTATATTTTGTCACTGCACTTCGTAGGGAGTAACCATTTGCCGTTCGATTTGCCCTCTGAAATACTATACTCTGGATTTCTCACGATCTCTCCATGTTTCAGACCACGAGAAGCTCGAGCTAGAATTAGATGTCAGTCACGGTTGGATACAAGGAGAACTAGAAGCGATGTGCAATCTCACCGATCTGCATATGCATTCTGTAGACCCAATTCCGTGCTCTCACCGACCCTATATGAGCCAATGAGATCGTCAGGTGGCCCGAATTTAGAGATCATTCCATGCAGTGGTCCGATGCCCGAACACGTACTCCAAATGTTAAAGATGGAAACACCTAAAGCAACACAAATAGATCAATCACTATTCCGACGCTGGTAAAGTTCGATCTACACATGGAGATACGGATATGGACATCTCTCCTAACGCGCAAACTCCCCACGGTTCGGGTCTAGCCCGGGGGGTTGGGCTTGGCACCGGGGAATGGGGAACTGTGCCTCGAGACTTTTGACATCTCTCCCATCATCAATCAATCCATCAACCCACCATGGCGTCAAACAAGGATATGCGGAGGGCTGATCTCGGTGTGTTTTTTTGTCACGTTATTTTCTCTTTCCTGAATCCAGGCTAATCCCTAATCCCTCTGCAGTGATCCCCTACGTCGACCCCCCGAAGAGCGGCAATGAAGCCGACATGTCCAGTACGTCGCGCCATCAACTACCAGCAATCACACCCTTCGGTTGAATACAGTGGAATCTGATAGGGTCATGCAACAGGCACCATGTCGAGCACAATGCCCATGGCGGCAGTAAGTGAATGAAACTCGACTTTGAAGCAATGACACGTTGACACGTTCACTAGATGTTCACCCGGAACAGGTGAGGCACCTCCGCAGATTCACGAGTCATGGCATGCGATTTTTCTAACTTGGATCTCGACATTATTCAGAATGATTGGATGGTATGCCAAAAGCCTCGTGATTGTTAGTATATGCCTCTAATATTGTCACAGGGTGGCTTTCGTCTTCTCACTCCAGGGCTGGCTTGCTGAGTCTCCTGACCAAAAAAAGACTGCCGCGACTCCAGCATATATGTCGGTTCTTATGTCATGTACGTTTCCCTCCTCCCTTGCCTAGTTTTTTGGTAGCCCGATAACTAACCCAGTTTTTGTTAGTGATGGCACTCGTTGTTGTATGCCCCCCTGTGATCACTTGCTTGGCGATTATATATTAACCTACCTCTCCAGACCTATTTCCCCCTCTTCTTGCCTCCCCAGGCGAAAAATGCTCCCGCCGCTGCTATGCCGTCGGCCTAGAGTCGACTCTTGTGACACCTGCAAACCCTCAACTACATTTGGCCCCCACCCGTGATATCTGGACTTTCAGACTTGGAATAAAGTTCTGATCTAGATCTGGATTAAGACCAGTGAATGGTCTTTTGGTTGTGCAATTGATAGTGTCCAGTTCACACTGTACTGATACCCGGTTGGATATTGCTCATTGTAATCATAAATTAATTTTTATCAATCTTTTCATGATTAGACATGTCTGTAGGCTAGCCCACCAATCATCCATACTGTTGTGTAAAAGGGGTGGGTAGAGTGGCGACTTCACTGTTTTGTGATAGCAGTCAGTGCCTGGGAGGGGCAATCGCTGAGTCACACACCGCCTTCCCCACGACGTGACTCTCATAAACTCTTCCCGCTCAGTACTCTCTATTTCTTCCACCCTTACAGCACTCCAATCTCTCCTCTCTTCATACGCACACCCTTGCGATCACTTAACTTCCCAGAGATATTGAATCTCATTTCCAACTACATTTATCAAAACCGCTTTTAAGGACCATTTCTGAAAAAAGGCCGAGTTTATGTCCATCGAAAACCTCAAGACCTTCGGTAAGTCGGTCGCCACCACCCCCTCCTATAGCAGCGACCGGGCGTTTGTCTGAAATATATCACCGTCGACCCTTTAATTTGGGGCCCGATGATATGAAAAGTCGATGGCACTCTTCCACGTCGCTGGCTGTCCGTTGTGGTGCTTTAAATGCCCCATGATCGCCATCGAGAGTGCTGGTGGGGTAACGATTTTGTTCTGGACCAAGGCTGACACCATTTTACGCAGACCCCTTCGCCGACGTCGACGAAGAGAACGGTGGAAAGAATAACGCGAAGACTGAAAACTACGTTCATATTCGCATTCAGCGTATGTTTATCCATCCTACCTTATCACCATCTCCTGTTCCCATTATCGTCATGGCTACCGCATTTCATACAAATCCCACATCTCACTAACAACTTTTGTGATACAGAGCGCAATGGTCGCAAGACCCTGACTACCTGCCAGGGTCTCCCGGACAAGTATGACCAGAAGAAAATCTTGAAGCGCATGAAGAAGATTTACGGTTTGTTTCTTGCCATGAACCGATATTCGCTTGCATCGGACGCTGACTGTTAACTAGCATGCAATGGAAACATCGTCAAGGACGATGAGATGGGTGAGGTGATTCAGCTTCAAGGCGATCAGCGTAAGGATGTCTATGACTTCCTGACCAAGCCCAAGCCCCCCAAGGAACTGGTTAAGGCTGCCGAGGAGGAGGATAGCTTCAAGAAGCTCCGAGGCTATGGCATGGCCATGAAGGTCAAGGTCAAGGTATGACTTTTCTCTGCTCTTTAACTTTTTCACCTCTGACTATTCTACAGGTCCACGGATTCTAAGCCAGTCACCATACCTCGTTCTGGTCCTTCCTTCCAAGTCTAGGTTGCCCTGTAGACGGCGGAATAGAGACATTCCATAAACCCATCACTGGCGAGCCGTACGCATCCCAGATTCATCAATGGCGAAATGTCCTGTCTCCTCTCCGTCCCTGTGTGCCTGGCATGTTAGACTCGGACTGTTATTGTCCTGCGCCTGAATTTTTCTTTCGACGTGCACGCGTCCTCATATTCGACCGGCGTGTCATTTTTCTAGCTAGGACAAGGATCACGATGGAACGAGGCGTTGGAGATACCCATATCTGCTTAAGCGGACCCAGATTTATTTTCGTCAATTTCAATTCTGTTTTCCATTCATTTGCTTTTTTACTTACGTACGGGATTTGCCGATCACGCCTTGCATCATCGCCTGATCGACTTCGCCAAGGAGATTTGGAGGTAGGAGAGTGGTGTATTGATCTCCTTAATCGGTCCCTACCTATTTTCTTATCATTCCTACTGATCCCCTCATTGCGCTGTTGCCCTGATTGTGTCCTTTAGTTTATTGTGTATTGACAAAGAATATGAAATATTCATTGCATCTTTGACTAGTAAATCTCCTGTCAAGTTACATTCCGGTGATTTTACGAGTATAGAATAACAGGATCCGAGTCAAAAGAAGATGTATTAGATCTATCAAAGATCAGTGGAATCTAAGAAAAAGGACTGCCCAATGAGGCATCAGGGGTTGCCACGCTAAGTCGAGTCCGGAAGGAATCAGCATGGAAATCCCGAAAAGTACATTTCCACCCTAAATTCTTATCTGCAAATGAAAAGGTGTTGGTGGGCTCCCATTTTCATGCCGCAGAAAAGAAATATGACAAGCGAATAAAGAACACCGAAAGGTAATCGAAGCTATAATTCTCCACCAGGAACACGGTCGTTCGCGACTCGCATGCGTAGAAATATTGCAACGGCCCAGTCCCATAGCTTTCGTGTAATGATAAAGACAGGAACCTCCGGTTCGTTCTCTCGAGTCAGATGAAGTTGCATCAATAGCGAGGACATGCTGACGAAGCTAGCAACAGATACGACAAACAGAGAGGCTGCGGTTTCACGTTTGATGGTTGCGTGGTTTTGTGTTGCATGGTACACAAAAGTAAGGGTCTGTAGTCATAATATGTCAGCATTAGTCGATATAACGGGTATGGATACACTGTTGGTGGTAGGAAACGTCATACGGTGGTTATTGAGATCCAGGCTGGTAGGAGACATCGAGGATCAGAGGATGCACCAGAAAGATAGAGAACCCAAGAAGTTATGTATGCAATTAAGCCGTTTGTTGTCAAAAGACGAATGACAACCGCCGGTGGGGTGTAATTCAGAAGCCTGCTCGAGCCACCGATATTAGCAAAAGAGATCTTGAGTAGAAGCAGTCTCTGAGAATATTTATACTGACCATCGAGACATCATACAATCTGCAAAGAAATAAGAAAGGTATGCGGATGCGCAGCACTAGTGAATCGAATGTTAGCTTGGACATATAACCTAGTCACTCTAAAATCCCCGCAGACCAGGCGTGTTACTCCACAGACATGACTTTAACATACCCACATAATGGCCAATGCCACTTCAGTCACCCGAAATCTCCTCTCAACATCCCAATCCTGTCCCACACTTCCGATAATCGCCGCCGCCCATCCTTCCCGTCCCATTCCCGGCCGAATGTGTAGTAGCTCAGCCAGAAAGGTGAAGGCGCACCGCAACCCCCACCATGCAGCAGGGAGTGTACTCAGGGCCCGACAAACCAACAGAGGAATATGCCATCTGCGGTCTACCCCTAGAATCACAGCCACCCGGGGGTGGAGCGGTGAAGAAGCAGCCTGACCAGCATCGCTGCTGAGTGGGGTATGGGATGTAGAGGAGGTCGAGGACGGCGAAGCCGCTGGAGACACTGCTGGAGCCACTTCTTTAGCGAATTGCCCCGATAGAGACGAGACTGGGGGCTGAAGAAGTTCTGTCGGAAGGGTTGATCGCGGGAGATTCAAGTCTGACTCGCTAAGTTTTTGGGCGGGGAGGGAGTAGGGCGGAGGAGAGGCATTACGTCGAGGAGCCAGCCTTTGAACACAGTTACGGCATATGCGGCCGCCACGCAAGCCCTAAAATGGGCACAAGGGTATAGGATTGCCGGGATATCGAGTTCGAGCGAGTTCGTAGCCCGGAGCGTTGCTGTCGTCGTCCCCCAGGCGGCTGATTTGCGGAAACAAAGGAAAGTGTGTCGGTATTTGAAGAAAGTAAAATTTCTGCCAGAACAGCCTGTACAGAATAAACACCAAGCAGGACAAATGTGATTAGAACAAGAAGAGTGGGGAGAGAAAAGAAGAGTAAGTGGGGACCTGTGCTCTCTGAAGCAGCTTCCCGTACCTTGAGAACGCGGAGAGCGACACGTGACCTGCGGATTTTATCCTTCCTGCGCGGACTTTCACGGCAGACACACCCAAGTTTCCCAGTCGCAGCTCGCCATGGCGTCCTCACTACGCCTGCCTGCTAGCAGCTTTGCTAGCGCCACACGTCCAAGCTCCGTGATCGCACAGACTTTTACCCCGGCTTCGCATCAATACCGACCATTTTGCCAATCCTCTCAGCGATGGGCATACAAGAGCACCAACTTCTCGCCCAAGGCCCCCACAGGTCCTTCGATGAAGACTCGGCAAAAAGAACTCATGACTGGTCAATTACCTAGTGATATTGGAATTTTGCCGGGAACCTTTGTCCGGCCGCTGTGGAGGGATCTGCCTTCGGTTTTCAAGAGCCCGCGGGATCGGTGGAACATGGAATGGGTTTCGTTGAAGAGCTGGTTCCAGAACTTCATAAGGTGGGTGATACATGCAATCTCCGGTCGTCTGAAAATGCTCTTATGGTATCGAGGTGCCTTTCATGATGAATGTCGGAGCGTTTGATTGCAGCAATTGGACACCAGCTAAGATTCTCGACAGTTTGGTCACTTATTGCAAGAGGATCAACAATATCCCCTTGATGTTGAAAGAGCGGCGGAAGATTGGGCGCCTTTTGTATGGCGATATGTACACTGCCTTTGCAGGGTAAGCTACTGCATTCTAGCCCGTTTCCCCACCTTCTAAACACATATCTTACACCTACTCTTTAGAGGTGATATCTCCGGCATTCGTCGTATTTGTGGTGAAGGTCTTGCCAAAAATCTCTCCTCACAGATTGAAGGCCGACCCAAGAACCAGCAAGTGACCTGGAACCTTGTCAAATGGGTTCGAGGACCAAGCACATTTTTTACCGGTATCCGTGTTATGTCAGACCGCGCAACCCAAATTCCCGAAGTTCCCAACTCGGGTATTCGCCAGATCGTCCTGCGTATGACCTCCCGACAGTCCATGTCCAAAACCACAAAGGGTTCGAACGCAGAAGTTACTGGGGTCCCTGCCAAAGAGCAAACCTGCGTGGAACACTTTGTCATCCAGGAGATTCGCTGGAACGGCAAGAGCACCGGATGGCGGGCCTGGGGCCATGTCACACCCACAGATCTGGAAACCGTTTATAGCGACCCTGCCTTCGCCCCGGGGCTGACCGCTTTGGAGCGGTTGGAGGGTATGAAGAAGACCATGGGCCAGTGATTGTCTGACCCAGGTTAAGATAGCAAGGCGAAAGCCTTGTGATTCTACTCGCAATGGAAAAGTTTCACGCCGAAAATCCTGGATGAATCGTCCTGGAGAAACTTATGCTGGTCAAGATCCATTCCACCTATATTTTTGCAAAGCCAGCAACTTGTATCAAAATTATTGCACCTGTCGTCACATCACACTTGGCTTCACCTCTCTATTGTCAGTATGCATCTCTTTTCTCCAAGTTTCTTTCTCGCCACCCTGCGCAGCTGTATATCTTATTCTTGGTCTTCTTGGCCCTCTTGTTCTTTCAAATTTGCCAGCAAGCTAGTGATATAGAGCATCTATCATATTGTGTACCATAGTCAAACGTGAATTTCAAATTCAAACTCCAAGGTTTACATTCCGCACTCCCATTGGAGTTCTGAATGTTGGCATCAGTGCCAAACATTTAGGGTATGATGAAAATACTGCTGTGTCCCACCTCACTAATATATGGATAGTAGTCTCCATATCTGGAATATGTTATTTGGTGCCGAGGCGGCCTGTCCCTCCAACATCAGTGTTTGAAATAAGTGAGTGGTCTTTCGCGCAAATAGTCCAGGATCATTTTCAAAAAAGAACTGTGTATGTAGTTATTGTATATGAGGTACAGTCTATTCTAAAAGCATGTCCAAATGTCGTACCTAATCGTATAAATCTTTACACCTTCAATGATTCCATCGAGCTGGCAGGTGATCTCGATTGCTTAATAGGTCGATTGAATAGCATCGCCACGCCCACCAATGCCTTTCCAAGAGCGCAAAGTAAAATTGGAAAATTTGAGTTAATCTCGCGCTGCGCAAAAGCACCAACGAAACAACCGGCCGTCAGCATAATGAGGAACATAACTCGCCGATTGCGCAGCCGATTCTTCAGCTTTCCTAAATCCGGATCTATCACCACATCTATAAAGGCAGCTGTGGCCATAGCTGTTGTAATCTCCGTAATCTTCAACGAACGGCTCATAGCAACCTGTCCACCGGATGAAAAAGCCAGCAACGCAATCACAGACAAAGCAGCAGGTCCATCCCGCTTGATGGGCCACCGATGTTGGATGATTAGCGCCCCGAAAACACACAAGGTTTGAATGAGATTGCTAAGTAATAACCACAAGCGTCGCCGCACACCAACATAGTTCCCGAGCTGGCCCATGATAAAGCCCCCCGCCAAGAAAAGACTCAGACTGACACCAATATTGGGGAAGCTGTATGCGTTTCGGGTCAATCCCGCGACGCCGATTGCGAGGAAGAGTGTGTTGCCTGTTTGGTTGGAAGCGAAGCAGGAGTAGTCGGGCCAGGCAGCGGCATCTTGGATTCCTGTTGCGAAAGAGAGCATCAGGAGCTCGCACTCGAGGAGTAGATCTTCGCGAATATCTTCCATTAGGAATTGGTAAAGGCGGGATTTCTGGCGATCCTCGGTTTTGGGAAGGGTGCGTGACATTTTGGTGCACACTTTTGATACTCGCGATTTTTAGCCCATGTGACCATGCGGTTCGGATTTTCAACTTTTCGGAGGCATAGATATTGAAACTCACTTGAATCCAGAATGTCAGCCATTAGATGCGTTGTGGGTCAGTCGATTTAAGCCGCTTGCGGAAGTATGGCTATAGCCAGCCCCAAAACCAAAACACTGGTTCACCACTGCGAAGGTCCAGTAATGGGATGCGCTTCCTGTATAAATGGAAAGACTGGAACCCTTTCTTAGCCTTATTAAATGTCTGACATTCCAAGCTGACGTAGTCCATGGTGGGCGAAGGCCCGAAGGGGATGTGGAATTCCGAGACTATAATTCGAGGGGAGATCGACCACGCGAATGGAGATCGACCAAAATCCAATTTCTGAAACATGCAATGACTTCTAAGATCTTGCTTAGATGAAGAAGACAGTATGGCGGGATGACGTGGCTATGTGGCCGATCGGTCATGTTGATGCATTGTTGATCTGAGAATTCAACTAGATCTCCCAACTCCAAGCCAATCATGTCCCAACCTGGATATCTACCACTTGAGCTATGATAGGATACATATAGAAGATGGGATTGGAAGAAAGTGTTTATATGCCTTGGAAAACATGATAAACGATGGTAACACAATAATAAATCGAGTTACTTGGTACATACATATATTTTAAAGTTAGGGAAGTAGCATATTTAAATATCAGGCACAGAGTCAATATGGTTTGAACCAGCGGATTCTACCTCTATGACCAAGGATACTCTCACTAAATATTTGAGATGTGCGCATCATATTGTGAATCATCTAGGTACATAAATATGATTATTTCAGAATAGGCTGACAATGAAGCACCCCGCATTCATATGAAGTAAAATATCAATCTTAGAAACAGAAAATCCTGATATTCGGGTATAGGATTCACTGAAGGACTCACTTGCCCTATTTTGTTCCAAATTGGGAAGTTGCCATCATCTTCATAAGCAAACTACTCCATTGAAGTTCATATCTCACTTTGTCTTCCCCTCTTCTTCCATCTTCCTCCCGCCACCCTTTTCGTTTTGTTCTGTTTTTTCTCATCAACCCAATACCCCATCATTGCTTTTCATAGGATCTGAATTTTTCTTCCTGCCACACGCTTATTTCAGTGACTCGGAGTCATTTTCACCATGCCAACCAAAGAATTTCGTATTGACTTGCAAGAGGCCTGCCTTCCGGGGCAATTCTTGCATCTGAGCAAAGTGATTCCTGGAGAATATGATGGCTCTATTGCTTTTGACTTTCACGATCTTGAATCAGATGTCATATTGGAGTTCCAAGTCGTGATCTCTGGTGAGTCGATCCCCAATACCCGGTATGGTAGGTGGACCCGGCACTGACTATGAGCCCCAGACCCTTCTGACTACCCCATAGACCACAGTTTTGTGGTATTCTCATCATCCGATAATATTATTCCAACAATCACCAAATCCTTTGAACGGGCTCAGGATAGGGGCAGCTTCACCGGTATCTCCATCAACGCCATTTTAATCATCCTTGACCGTAAGATCCACAATGCACTTCGAGACCAGAAATCCCAATCACCTGGACATTCAGGCCATGGAGATGATTTCAACGACAGTGATGGAAGCCTGAGCGACTATGAGGAATTTTCTGATGATGAACAAATATTTAATCTGCCTCCTCGAAAAGAAACCAGACTTTTACATAAGCTTCGAGATGACCTGCACCTTGCCAAAGCGGCAGGGTTCAAAGTTGGGTATCTGGGAAGCAAAACAGGGCCAATTATTTTGTCCATCGCTCGCCGCATGTCAAAATTTGACATTTCAGAGGAGGCTATGCAAGCATGGGATTTGCAGTCTTCAGAGTATCTCGTGCTTTTGATTAGGTATCCAAACGGTTATCAGGATATTCAAGGAATCTTGGAAGCGGATCGATCTGCGATCTCATACGTTCAAATGCGGATCGGACTTTGTGACTCTTACAAGCCATCGTGCTTCAATGCCGCTCTCCTTGCCTTTCAAGCACCTCCGCCATCATCGAAAACGACAAAAAGTTCTTCAAAGCCATCCTCACCGGGGACAAATTTCAACTTCAGGCCGATGTTTATTGGGCCTCAGATCAACAAACTTCTGAACGAGCGGCTACTGGGAATCATGAATTTCCGCAAGAGGTTCAATCTTTCATGGACGGGTGCAGAATTTCTCTTCCACGCCAGCCAAGGCAAGGGCACCAGAGTGGAAGACGCGAGCGACCCTCAGTTCCAATTGCAAGATACCTGGGTTACGCCCCCTCCAAGTGTTCTGACCTCTGACCATTACTTGGACACGGGGTTCGAAACGACCAGAACTTCATTTCCCCTAGTTGCTATTCAGTTCACTCTTCGTCACTTTGTTAGATGCACGGAGTTTTGTCTTGTATGCCACTGCAAGACCTTTGACAGCTTTGAGGCCCTCAAACCATATGTCTGCTCCAAAGGACTGTGCCTCTTCCAATACATGAACTTTGGAATGGGTCCCAACTTGGAACATGATATTAGGAAACAGCCGAATGTCGTTGACTTGCTTGTGTCTCTTGCTTACGCCAGAGCAAAGGCGGGTCTTCTTGAAGATTTCCCAACCGGCCTAGGAATCCAGGTTCCTGACCAAGAAATATTTCCCGTCCAAAAGAGGCCAGCAGAGTCCCCGCAGCTCTCAAATTACCGCAGTGGTCTACTAAAAACAGACTCAATGACACTGTTCTGCCAAGAAAGTGGAGCCAAAACCGGCGATTGGATTTTTTTAATTCGCACAGTGACTGATTTGACGAGTGGTTGGCATTGTAGGGTTCAGGCTGCCGACGAGGCCCTACAGACTATTTCTCTGTCGCAGCCAATTGCTTCAGGAAGAGTCGGTAAACTTGCTGATACTTTGGGCGAAACCGCAGAGGTGGACTTCGTTCGATACGACACCAATTTCGATAATTTGAGTCCTCAAAAGAAGCAGATCGTTGTTTTATGCTTGTTGGAAACACTGCCGAGTATCGACAGGATGTCCCAGTTCCTGGGATCCTCAGATTCTGGAAATAGTCTATCATCATGGCGCGAGCGAATAACCCCTGCTGCACTTGACATGCTCCGGTGGATCGTTGCATCCAACCGATCCTGTATCCTCCAAGACGACGAGAATCCAAACCACTTAGTGAGGGAAATGCCGGGCTTCATGCAGTTTCGGATTGTACAAGGAGCTCCGGACAAGGAACAGCGATTTGTTCAGGCCGTTAAGTCAGTATCTATGATTACAAGTCCAAAGCACCCGACCTTTTTTGCCTGGCATGGCAGTCCAGTATGCAACTGGCACAGCATTTTGCGAGAAGGACTCAATTTCGACAAAATAGCCAATGGCAGAGCATGCGGGAATGGAGTTTATTTTTCAAGTCGTTGCAGTACTTCAATAAGCTATAGCAATCAGCGTGACATGATCCCTTGCAAATGGCCACGGAGCAAACTCAACATGCAAAATGTTTTATCCCTGAATGAATTGGTCAACAGCACAGCGGACTTTGTCTGTACAAACCCGCACTATGCTGTCGGACAGTTGGACTGGATTCAACTGAGATATCTGTTTGTAGGAAGCTCCAATGCACTGCCGACTGATCAAATTGCGAACCATATCATATGCTATGATCAAGACCCCAAGCATAAGGCATTTGGCTCAAGTAGCAAGCCAGTCATGATACCTCTTTCCGCAGTCAGCAGTCGACGGCGTGAAATGCTCGGTATTTCAGCCCCGACATCGTCAAAAAAACGGTCTTTAATACGCCCAGCGTCTTTTCAGGCCCTAAAGTCCCCGGAGTTGACGGAAAGCTCGGCTGTTGATGAAATTTACGATGATTGTGCGAGCGTTTTAACAGCAACCACCGACCTCAACATATTGTTATCCGATGCTGGGACAGAGGATGACGATGTCACAGCCATGAGCTTGATAGATGCTGTACCCAGAGGGAAATCGCAGCTAGAAACGCCTCCTCGTGGTACTGACTTTGTTCCGGGAACTCTGAGCTCAAGTGACCTTCCGCTGATCCCACCACCACGGTACGCAACAACCAATGCCACCAAGCAAATCCAGAGACGCCTGCAATTCGTGCTGAAAATCCAGAAGGAAGAAGTTTCGGAAGATCTTGGATGGCATCTTGATCCGAATCTGATCACGACTGTGTATCAGTGGATCGTGGAGTTACATAGCTTTGACTCTGCTTTGCCCTTGGCGCAAGACCTCAAAACAGCCAAAATCAATAGTATTGTTCTCGAGCTACGATTCCCACCTGAGTTTCCCATGAGTCCACCGTTCATTCGAGTTGTTCGCCCCCGTTTCTTGGAGTTTGCAGCCGGCGGAGGCGGTCATGTGACTGCTGGTGGAGCAATGTGCATGGAACTGTTGACAAACACGGGCTGGTCACCTGCTGTTTCCATGGACAATGTTTTATTGCAAGTTCGTCTCGCGCTTAGCAGCACAGAGCCTCGGCCAGCACGACTGGCCAAACATCATCGGAGGGATTACGGAATTGGTGAGGCTGTAGAGGCCTTCAGGAGAGCTTGTTTGAACCACGGGTGGCAAGTTCCCAGTGCTATGCTGGAGCATATTTCAATTTCGGGCTAAGCGTGTTCTTTTCCCCCTGTCATCTACAAGGTCAATTTCAATCAAGTTTCTCGATTTCAATCAAATTTCTCAATTTGAGCCACTAAAATCTTCCGCAAAATCCAAGATGACACTAGCGTTAGAAATGGGGTTGGTCCCTGAAAGATCCAGCCAATTAACCGAGGACGGATGGACCCCTACCCTGAGCATATCAGGCATAGCTTCAAGACTTGGCAGTCTAGACGAGATTGTAATCCATTCCGTTCACCAGTCACGAGCGATGATTTCGTTTAGTCCCCACGATAAAAAGGGTTGCACCGCAAATCACAAACGCTACTAGTGCTTAGCAGAGAGCCTCTTTAGCCCCCAAATGGCTTTCGTATAAAGGCATCGGTGGCGCTGTTTTGCGGGGCAACCTACTCTCGTTTTTGTCCTTCCTTTCTTACTCTCTTTTTTTTTGCTGGGCTTCCGGCCGACCCGCCCCATCATGTTTGGGAATACTTGGGGAATAGCGTCGGCTATCACTCTTTTCGCCGGCGCGACCGCTGCCATTGATCTTGACATCAATAATGAGCGTAAGCTTCCCTGCGTTTCACAGCCCTGGTGCCGAATAAAACTCTGACCTGTTACTAGAGTCCGTCAAGAACGCGGCTCGCACGGCCGCGTACGGCGCCATGTCTTACTACAAGGGAAATCTGACCGGCCACATCCCCGGCGCGTTCCCCGCCAAATGGTGGGAAGGCAGCGTCCTGTTCGATACCATGATTCACTACTGGTATCTGACCGGCGACGATTCGAACAACCCGGCCGTGATCCAGGGAATGAACTGGCAAAGTGGCGACAACAATGACTACATGACTGCAAATTATAGCTCGTTTATTGGCAATGATGATCAATCGCCTTGGGGGCTTGCGGCGATGACCGCTGCGGAGTTTGACTTGCCACAGACGTCTTCAGAGGCCTCATGGGCGACCAAGGCAGCGGCCGTGTTCAACTCTCAGGCGGCCCGCTGGGATGACGCCACGTGTGGTGGTGGACTACGGTGGCAGATTTACACATACGAGGGCACCGGCTACAACATGAAGAACGCACTTTCCAATGGCGAATTCTTTGAGCTTGCTGCCCGCCTGGCCCGGTACACGGGTAACACGACCTATTCCGACTGGGCTGAGAAGATCTGGGACTGGAGTTCTTCCTCCCCGCTTTTGAACAATGAGACCTGGTCTGTCTCTGATTCTACAGATGTCGAGAACGGCTGTGCGACTGAGGATAACATCCAGTGGTCGCTAAATTATGGTACATACGTCACCGGTGCAGCTTATATGTATAATTTGGTAAGGCAGTGGCTTTCTCCTAGATTTCGGTACAACTCTGACAACCCATAGACCAACGGTGGCTCGAAGTGGAAACTGGGCGTAGATGGGCTACTGAACACTAGTCTCTCTACTTTTTTCCCTGCAAAATACGGCAGAGAGATCATAGAAGAATTGGTATGTGAAGGGAGTGAGAACTGCAACAACAACGAGATTCTCTTCAAGGGAATTTTCATGCGTGACCTCGCCCTGATAACTACCGTCGCGCCACACACGATGGATGACATTCTTCCACGTCTACAGGGCTCTGCAGAGGCAGCTGCAGAGGCTTGCACCGGCGGTTCAAATAACACCTGTGGTATACAATGGTACAAGAAGCAATATGACGGCTCGAGTGGAATGGAACAAGAGATCAGCGCAGCTAGTGTGTTCACAGCAAATCTGGTTGCTTTTGGTAATAAGACTCCAGCTATACAGTCTGGAGGTGCCAATGCAACTTCCACGAACACGACCAGCACAGCTTCTGGAAATCAGACTGCTTCTACTGCTTCGGGTACTTTGACCAATAGTGCAAGCATGCTTTTTGCTGGACCGTTGGCTGTTACTGCTGCTGTAGTGGCTGGTATTATGGTCGTTTTCTGAGCCTTACATTGGCAATATCATTCATTTTCCGAACATGAAGTCATGTGGAGTTGGTCAAGAGCTAGCTATATTTGTTAGGTCGAAGCATCCATCTCCACCGGAATGGATGTGAAAGAGAGCTGGTTGGCTAATATGTTCTTACCCCAACAGTCTCTCCACACGGGGTTAATAATCCGGGGCTGGCGTGGATCTCCGATAACTCCGGGATATTGTTTTATCGGGCGACTGCATATAATCAATAATCGAAAAAATGTCATTCTTTCACATCCATACACAATTACGCTTGAGGTTTTCCCTATGACTTTTGCTATCAATCGAATTGATCACAAAAATTATAGCCAATCAATAAAGTTACAAGTCTAGATTCTTCTCTGATAAGGAAATCTTCTAGAGCCGCGGATCAGCGCGGACCTGCAGACACGCGCGGTCTCCCATGGGTCATACCATATTGAGTTTGGGCTGAAGGGCTTAGTTCCCGAGTTTCCACTATCAATAGCAAGACATCCGATTCTCCATTTCTCCGAGGTTTACTTCCTTACCAAATCTCGGTGTATTACCGTATCACTCGCCTCCCGGTGAGAGATAATCTTTACATAGGACGATTTGATGAAGAAAGAGATAAGTGAGGTGGACCCACAGATCCACCATGACCCATTCCTTTCAATAGAGATAGGAACAGGCTCCTATTCGGATAGATGACCCGATGGGTGGCAAACTTTAGATATAAATGCAGAGGTCACTGAGACCTAATACTCCTAATATCCTACAGTAATATCCGAACATATGCAGTGTACGGAGGAGCCGGATCTAGCATGATTAGGAAGGTCGACTAACCCCATTGCCATAAGTGGATTAGATGAACCAATGACTAGTAGAAGAGCAAGGATTAAGCTCTGGAAAGAGCCAAGCCCTATGGGTCCATACTCAAACACTTAATTCCCCTGATTTATGCAATGATTGGTCAATACTACCGTCTTCGGTGGAATGAACCAATCAAAATACTAGCACGTTATCACCTTCCATTCCATTACTCCAAATCTCATTACGTTAAACCACAACATGTACAAGCCTGTCTTTCCCCCGCGTCGATCGAAACGGGCGTGGAGTACATGTTCGGGCGGAAAGTCATCTTCGAGTGTCGTCACGTCAGGTTCTTATTTGGAGACTTGCGCTCCTTTTCTGATCCTTTCTTTTTCTTTTTCTTCTTCTTTTTCTTCATTGTCTTTGTCTTATTCATCACTTCACATCCATCATGGATGATCCCTCACTCAAAGATTATGTCGATGGCCATAATGATGATGCGCAGTTGGCCCAGATGGGTCATAAATCCGAGTTGAAGCGTCAATTTTCATTATTGTATGTTGTTCCACGATTCATATTGCTCAATTGCGATTCTAATTTCAATGTTCACAGGTCCATGTTGGGTCTTGCATTTGCAATTCTGAATGTACGAATCTTCTGATCGAGAACCACCTATATCTGGATTTGGGTAGTAGGCTAATGATTCAAAAAAGTCATGGACTGCTTTGTCTACCAGTTTGTCACTTAGTCTGCCGTCGGGTGGCAGTACTAGCGTTGTCTGGGGTAATGCGCCCTTCCCGGTTTTCGATGGCACCATGCTGACAACACCATGCAGGTCTGATCACCGCCGGTATTTGCAACCTATGCATGTCCGCCTCCCTCGCCGAGTTCCTTTCCGCCTATCCTACGTAAGATACCCCCTGTGAACCCATCTTGTGTACTTAGAAATTGGAACTAATAGAGTAAACAGAGCTGGAGGTCAATACCACTGGGTGGCTGTGATTTCCTGGCAGAAGTGGATGCCTATTCTGTCGTGGATTACCGGCTGGGTGAATTGCGCTGGATGGGTCGCGCTGGTCGCTACCGGTGGTCTGCTGGGCAGTCAGCTAGTTGTTGGAGTTATTTCGCTGATGCACTCGGTACTCATACCTTTGACTTGGTTGAGCCTTTGTCCTGAAACTAACAATTCTCATAGGACTATGTGTCTCAGCGGTGGCACCAATTCCTGATCTACGTCGGCTACAATATTGCGGCATTCCTCATTAATGCCTTTGGCAACAGCATTTTGCCTTACTTCAACAAGGCCGCATGTAAGATATCATTAAATCGACTACTTTTGATAAAAATGCTGACTCCTTCCAAGTTATCTGGTCGCTCGCTGGCTTCACTGTGATCTGCATCACGGTTCTGGCTTGCGCCTCACCAGACTTCAACTCTGGAGACTTTGTTTTCCGCGAGTTTCTCAACACGACTGGCTGTATGTGGATTTACTCGGGATGCCTGAACTCTTTCACTAACATTCATTCCAGGGCCCGATGGCATTGCCTGGCTCCTTGGCGTACGTTTCGAAACAAAATTCTGTGTATTCCATTCTAACATGTCAACAGCTTCTGCAAGGAGGACTTGGTGTCACTGGATTTGTGAGTAAATACACTTGCTGATATCACTGCATTGATGCTGACTATGGAAACAGGATGGTGTTGCGCACATGATCGAAGGTAACATGAGAACGATTTGATCGCCAAGGATAAGGCTGACGAGTCGCAGAAATCCCCAACCCCTCAGTGGAGGGTCCCAAGATCATGATCGCATGTGTCGGTATTGGCACAGTGACTGGTACTATCTTCCTTGTCGTTTTGCTGTTCGTGGCTGGCAGTATCACGGAGGTCATCGAATCTTCTGCAGGTCCGCTTTTGGCTATCCTGTACCACGCAACTTCCAACAAAGCCGGCGCCATCTGTCTGTTGATGTAGGATATCTCACCTGAAACTTTTTCTTTGAAGAATCCAGTGCTTACATCTTTTAGCTTCCCTCTTGTCTGCATGCTGTTCGCCACTACTGCTATCATGACGACTAGTAGTCGCATGTGCTATGCGTTTGCACGGTATGCCCGCTAGAGCTCCTCAAATTGGCTCTTGCTAATAATTTTCCAGTGACGGTGGTTTGCCTGCGTCGCGTTTCTTTTCCAGAATCCACCCCGGGTTGAAGGTCCCTCTCAACACACTCTACCTCAACTTCGTTTTGGTAGTCATCTTCGGCCTGATCTTCCTCGGATCTTCTAGCGCATTCAATGCTATTATATCGGCTTCGGTGGTCCTTTTGGATCTTGCCTACGGTATCCCGATCGCGATCAACTGTATTCGAGGACGTAACACACTTCCCGAGAGATCCTTCGTTCTTCCCAATGTCCTCGGCTGGGTGCTGAACATCGTAAGAATTCAGGAAGATTCCTCAATGATACCGTCCGACTAACAGCTGTGACAGATTTCGTTGGTATATGTCGCTCTCACCACTGTGCTATTCCTCTTCCCTCCAGACCTACCTGCCACTGGCAGCAATATGAGTATGTTCGGATCGCATTGTCTCTGAAAGACGAAAGCTAATTGACCTTTAGACTACTGTGTGGCCGCTTTTGGTATCGTCTTTATAATTTCTACGATCACCTGGTTTGTCGACGGTCGCAAGAACTATGTTGGTCCCCGGATCGAGGTGGAGGTCCTCTCTGGACAAGTCGGTGATCAGCCACAGCAACCGATCCCAATGGTGGAACAGAAGAAATAAAAGTCCATAGATAGCTTAGATCGCTTTCATTTACTATTCATAAGAATAGTATACTTTACCAATGTATTATTCTCACCATTTCTGCCTTCAAAGCCTCCTTATGTAATTGATTTGGACAACACGTGACACAATTTCAATTACGTCACGATTATGTGCCTGAATGCCTGAACGCATGATCTTCCCAACAATCCATAGCGGATCCCACGATTTAACCTACAATTGTAGACAACAGCCTGCGATCCGAAAACTGTGATCTTTTTTGTGATTCGCTTGCTACCGAAGGTGTGACAATCAAGGATACAGCCTACCGTCAAGCACGCGTTTCCGCCATTGGACACACATTTTCTCAACAAACTGAACAGACATCAACCCACCAACATGCTGTCAGTCTCATTGCCTTCTCTAAGGTCACTCCTACCTTTCCCCAGAGGAAAGAAGGTAATCGACCTACCACCTGTGAAGATCCATGATATCGAAGCGCCAGAAAAGCATGCACGGGCATTGAAGTACTTGCTGAAATTGAATCATGCAAACTATGCCATCTTATACAACCACCGAAGGTTCCATAATCATGCACCCCATGTTTGTAACCAATTCCACTTTATCTCTCTGTAAAAATTTGGTTATGGCTAACCTTTCTCTAGCTTCTTGGTGCAGCGTTCCTGCTGGGCGCTGATGCAGATGACCTAAACCGACTCTATGAGTCCGAGTCAAAGTTATTGGACGCATGGGAAGACTCACCTGCCGAGGTGACTGATGAAGACTGGAGAAATTACCTAGGTCATAGAGAGTATGTACTATGCAGACTGCTCTGGCAAATTTTGCAACACGCGGTACTAACGGGATTGAGCAGATATGAAAAAGCATTTGTGGATTACTACGAAGATGAACTCGTTCGACTCAGCTACGATTGGAAAGAAGTCATTAACCAGTACCTGTTCTCTGGCGACCAACCCATTTTCAACTCAATTCTTGCAGATCGTATGATCCCTTAATTTTGCTGCTTGGCGGGAGTTGAGTACTAACATGCACATAGTGGGCCATCCCCTCATCCATCTCGCGTACGCCTATGAGATAAATAGCCGTGAAGTTGCAATCGAGGCACTGGGTTTGGCCTCTGTGTGTTACAATAGCACGCACAAGTACCTAGACGACCCGGTCTACTCACAAATCGAGCCGTCATACCAAACAACATCCCTCTTTGAAGTTCTTGATAAAGTTCGCTCCGACAAGCATTTCAACGACCTCCCTACTACGCCAGATCATCACAACCTCCTGAACACCCATGAGGCCTCTGTATTAAATCACTGGAACGCCTGGAAAATCGAGAACCCGATGGAACAGTTCCGCGAGAGTCAAAAGCTCGCCGCCGTACTTTTCAGTGCAACTCATGGAACCCAGAAGTACGATTTCTTCCTCGTACACATCTTAACTACCAGTCATGCAGTTCGCGTGCTACTACCGCTGATTCCGCCAAAATTCCAGATCCCGCTTCTGCGGCAGTGGTGGTTAATGACGCTCACCACGTTTATTGGCCAGCACCGGCGAGAGATTGACTTGGAACGGGTGAGCAGTTACGATATTGAAGGACGAGACTGGAAATGGACCGCGAGTCAGGCGATAAATGGTGAGAATTCGACAGATGTTCATTATCTCAAGGCTATTCATTCGTTGGAAGAAATGGCCTCGACTTGGGGAGACCAGGACAACTTCTATCTGAAGGCGGCTGTTCAATTTGTAGATGAATTTAGTGGATGGGGTTTTGTATGAACACATATTGTCTTAAACAGTTCTATTTTGAATTTAATTCTAAGATATCAATGTCCCTTGCATATTTGTTTACAGCCTCCACCAGCAGCCTTCGCGATCAATTGTACGTCTGGATCGTCCACAATAAGTGCTTTTCTTTGACTTGACACTGCGGCTATAGCTCTAAGGCATTAATAAGGCCCCACCTCGGGCAAGATCCACAGCTTCCCGTCTTAAAGCACAAAGTGGCACCCAAATCTCAACGGTTCCATAACTCAGTTGGTTAGAGTGTGGTGCTAATAACGCCAAAGTCGAGGGTTCGACCCCCTCTGGAACCATTAGAACTGGTCTTTCCAGATTTCTTTTTTGTCTTTTTTGTTTATTTCTCATTCATTTTTGTCCATCATTTCATCATTTTCACGTGACCGCATTTGCGCTGTTTGTCTTCGGGGACCGCGCTAGCGCGCTGATTCCCCATCTGCTTTCACTTGTTCAGATCGCATGATCCAGTAATTGACGGATCCAGATTTGTCAGTGGACATGTCCAAGGTACAACTGCAAACAGATGCAGATGTATCCCTCTATCTCCACGCCGAACTACTTCCCAACATCCGTCAAATAACCCTCTACATCTCCATTCCTCGGAACCTAGCTCTCGATGCGATTCGGCCACAGATACAGCTTTCAGATTCTCGCAAGGCAGTTACTGTCTCTTTGCCAGAACCTCTCCAAAATGTGACGGAGACGATCAAGCTTCCAGCGCGTGTCAGCGATGCCACTCGCCGGATATTGAACACCAATAGCTGTCCAACGCAACAACCCACAGACGCGAGCCATGACTACTCGTTTAGAATGCAGATCGACCCGACTGACCCGGTTCTTATGCCGAAAGACGAATTAATCGATGACCATGTGCCCTGGACGGCGGCCGACATGTCGACTTTGACTCGCATTCGATGCCGTGCTTGTGGCGCTCAGTTCCTGGATGCCACAGGCCCTTCAAATACACGAGTCGAGAAACATAACCGCGCCTGTGGGTGGACGTGGAAGGATCTACCGAGCGGAAATTGGGCTGAGATGATGGACTTTTGGCACTGCCATAAGCCGGATCCCCACGAGGAAGACTCCAAACCCGAAGCCAACGCTGCGCTTCGGATCGAGGAGCAGAATGCCCAGATCAAAGGATACGGAGCCGGTAGTCGTGTTGAAGCGATCCCTGGAACTGTCCTTATCGACGTGGCTACATTCTTGCTTGCCGAATCAGACTGCGTGGGATTGAAAAAGGTAAGAAAGTCTACTGTAATCACTAACCCCGCACGCTTTATTTCCCATATTCCTATGCACAGTTATCTTTTCTTTTTGACTTGGGCAACTTAGAAGGAGACCATTTCGTTCAATGTTGTGGCCTTCGATACTATTGCCCTATATCGATACCCAGCCTTTCCGGACCCAGGCTGGTAGGTAAGCGGTTCAACCTTTGTCAAACCCTTGCGGCGCAGTCATCCTCTCCTGTTAGATGGATTTCGTTCTTCATTGGCTACTGTCTTGGGCTTGTTCTCGCTTCCATCTGACCAGGGCTTCTTCGCACCCTTCTATCTTCAATGATTGTTTGGGGCTGCCTTTCCCAGAGACGTGGGACTGGCGTGCAGACGGAAAGTCACAAATCTTGTCAAAAGCTAGCATTTCTATTGCCCCAATTTGAACTTCAAATGATTCCTTCCAAAATAATCTCGATTCCACGTATTCATCAGCTTCACATGCTGACATGTTGTGTCCATAGGGAAACGAAGAGGAAACAGTATCAAATCCTGCGGCATCTCAACAAAGAACCCTAGACTGCATCGCCTGCAACGCAATTATCGGCATGGAGGACCCCTCTGCAAATGGATGGCGCCTCCTGAAAGCGAACGTATCCCTAAACACAAACGATGAAATGGCCGAAGACCAATGGCAAAGCTACCCAGGCGAACTCATTGTCGCAGCTCAACTCCTAGAACTGATTGATCGCGAAAGCGCACGAAGATTCGTTGTCCACCGTGGACAGAAAAATGGACTATTAGTAAGTCCGCGTTTCTCACCATACTCTGCATCTCACTAACTCAATCATTAGCTTTGGGTCTTCAATCCCGATCTTCGCTATTCCAACTCTAATTCAGGATACAGTGTTAATGCTCAGAAAGCAATGAAAGTCCTTTTCCAGACGTTGGATGACGTTGATTCGATCCTGAATCGTGACATGGGTAGACCATCTCCACTGTCTGTTGAGGAGCTGGAACTCCCCTCGATGATTTTCGAAGCATTATCCAATGCACTGGTTCATAGCAATCAGATGTTGCCCATCTCAGCGAGACGTTTCAATGAGTGGACGGTTGGACTCCTGGATCGATATAGTCGAGATGTACGAAAATGAATGACTGGACTGATATCTAGTCCTCCTCAAGTATTAATACACTAGAGGCTTTCCGCCGCGCTTTTTGCGCGGCGCCTACTTGAGTGTTAGACCACACCTCCTACTATATCTCCTGCTCAGTCTCCTACTTGGTCTCCTATTCGGTATCTTACCCAGTATTCTACCTCTTTCGTATCGTATTAATCAAATGGCCAAAGGGCTCTCCAGATTCATAAATAGCGGAACAGAAAAGAAAAAGAAAAAAGAGAAGAGAGGAGAAGAGAAGAGAAATGCAGTGGAAGGAGAAGGGAAAAAAAGCAAAAATCTGGTGGTGGTTTCGAACGTATGTCCAAAAAATCTATAGTGTACCCAAGCAATAGAGTGGTAAATTGATGAGTGTGAGAGAAAGGGTAAATCCAAACAATTCCTTGCGTTTCTTCAAAGGCCGATGGACAGATAATGAACGTTGTTTCAATTTAGTATATACTTGTAGACAGTTATGCATTATTCGCTCCTCAGCCCTCGAACGGCGTCTCATAGGGCTGCTCAGCCTGTGGTGTCAAACGGGCAATGTGTCGTCTCTGACCATCCTCCCAGTCAAACACAGCAGAGTGGCAAGCCAAACGATTCTGCGATAGTCAGTATATCAGTTATATCAAAGAAAGACGAGGCAACTCACATCCCAAACCACAACCGTACCAGCCTTCCAACGAATACGAGTCTGTAGATCCTGCGAAAGAGCAATATGATCGAACAAGAACTTGAGCAGGTAATCAGACTCCTCCTTCTTATATCCAACAATATACCGAGTGACTAATCCACTATATTAGCATATCCTCAATCAAGCAAAGAAACAGAAAAAGAAAAAGAAAAGAAACTCACACTGCGGATTCACATAAAGAGCCTTCTCCCCAGTAACAGGATGCGTCCTCACAATAGGATGCTCCGAAACCACCGGATCCCGTCTCGCAATCCCACCCCCTTCCAAACTAGCCCTCACCTGCTCAGCCCCCGAATGCACAGCCCTCAACCCATGCAAGCGTTTCCGGAATTCCGGCGAAAGACGCTTATACGCTTGTACCATATCCCCGAAAAGAGTATCCCCGCCCGTCTCCGGCCCATCAAGCACATACAAAAAGGTAGTACCCGGCGGCTGCTTCTCAAAAGTCACATCACTGTGCCAGGTTATAGTGTTTGTGCGTTGTTCGAGGAACTTTCCACCTGTGCGATCGTCCGCGCCTCGGAAGACAAGATGGACTTCTGGGAAGCCTTTCGGAGCGCCGGATGTTTGGTGGATGTGGTGGCGACCGAAATAGCCCACGTAGTCGACTGCTTCTTGGATGGGGAGGGAGGCGAAGTCTTGGTCGCGGAATGCTGGTTTTATTAGTTGGCTGTTTTGTGCTTGTGGTTCGGATAGGTACGTACCGACGACTCGGCGCTGAGCGACGAAGAGTGCGAGTTGGTCTTTGCCTGCTTGGGAGAGCTTGCTTAGTTGTATGCCCTTGACTTCGGTGCCGATGAAGGGTGTTATGTTGTCAATTTCGGCTTGGCCTTTTGGGAAGAGGTCGGGGAAGTTGGGGTCTGCGTCTTTGCCGTGATCGTAGTGCTCAAAGAGGGTTAGAGGTGGGTATCTGGGATTGTTAGGAATTGATAGTCTTGTTTGAATTCGGTTGTTGGGTTGTGTACCTTTCGGTTTCGTTGTCCCATACGGGAAGATAGTTGGGGAATGACACTGGGGCGATTTTGTCTGTTCCATTGAGCTCTTTCTCTTTTTCAATCTTGTATCCGATCAAGTTTTCCTTGTTGTGGCCTGTGTCGCTCTTGAGGGGTACGGTGAATGTTGCGGAGCGAAGTCCGACGGTCTCGGTGACTGAAGGTGCCATTTCCTATGTCCACTGGCTTAATGATATTACGGGCTCTGGAGATACCTAGATAGGATATGTATAAGTGTTGTTAAATCAATTCTAATTCTTTGCAGCAGAACTATCACACTATATACTCCACACAGTCGGAAGCTTGCCGATGAAGATTGCACCATGACTGCGGGGTTCACAAATCGAACGAATCAAGACATCAAAAGATTAAAGTGTCATCAATGTAGCAAGTCAATGCGGAGATTCACAATGAAACGTTGAAAACCTTGACGTGGGCATTTCCCTGAGTCCAATTCTCGTTATGGCCTTAGTAAATGGCGTGCGAAGTATGGCGTGCGTCCATGAAATATCTGATTCGTGGACCAAGTGTTATCTGATTGCGTGCAAGATACAAGTGGAAATCACGGTTGTAGATCTGGGGTTGGTTGTCTATCAATGGCAAGTTTACTTGGATATTCCTCCCATTTCCCGTCATCGCGATTGGATATGACGTGATATACAACTTGTGTTGCGCGACAAAATGCCGACTTTTCGGCTTGCAACTTTTGACTTGGACTATATTAGCTGGCATAATTTCTATTTATGTTCTAGGAGCAATTATGCGCGAATTTTCCAAAATCCCTTAATCAGAAAGGTCGGTTTGTCCTTACGGGTAAAAGTAAGGCAGTTGATGGTGAATCGTCTGAATCGCTTTCTTAACACTTATGTACATAGTAAGTTTTGTGCTAAACGTGGCCTTGATTAAGTGGGGCCTAAAACCGCGCTGCTACTCGTTCAAGTAAACGTCAGTTTATTCGCTTTTGCGTGATTTGGACAAAGTCCTAGCATTTAACGCCACGAACGTCCAAGGTTTACACACTCACTAAGGCTAAAAATGCCGACTTGAAAGTCAGCTATATGTGATTGTCCATTACATGTTATGGATTGAGAGGAAAATAGTGTCTGTAGATGTAAACATTGTTTGTAGACCTCATTTAAATCCACCGTGTGATAAGAACACAAGGACAAACATCAATCAAATGTAAAATACCAAGATTCGCCTCCATGTTTTTGAAAGTGGAACTGCATTGCCATGAGGTCGGTAAGAATGCGCCATGCATCTCTAATTCCCTCGTATAAGCTTGCAATCTAAGCCGAGTCAAATGTACGAAATGGCGTGATAGACGGCCACAAAGGCTTCAGGCTCTGCCAACCTAAATTATTTCCTAAGCCTTATAGGACCTTAAGTCCCTCTTTCTAGGTATATAGTGCAGTTCTAAATCTCTCCCCGATCACTATCTCCAATATCAACCGAAGGTCCTACAATATGGCCATCGAGGAGGTAAACAAGTCCGGGCTTGAGGCTTCGGACTATGATTCCAAGGACAAGATCCAGATCAAGTCCAGAAATGATTCTTCGGCTTCGTCGACTGACGATCGACGTGGCATTGTTAAGAATGTTGATTGTGCTTTTGACACTACAGAGGACCCCCGATTTTATAAACCCATTGAAAGCTATGAGGGCTATCATCGATGGGACCCTGAGTTTGAATGGACGGAAGCTGAAGAGAAGGCAGTGGTCCGAAAGGTATGGCTGACATCTTGACTTCTTATGACCTCGCTAATCGCTACATCTAGATCGATTGGCGAATCTGTACATTTGCCTGCGTTACCTTTTTTGCTCTCCAGCTCGATCGTGGAAATGTCGTTCAAGCCACCTCCGACAACATGCTGGGAGACCTAGGCATGACAACGAACAACTACAACACTGGTCAAACAATTTTCCTGGTGACTTTTCTTTTCGCGGAATTGCCATCTCAGTTGATCTCTAAATGGGTCGGTCCCGACCGCTGGATCCCAGTTCAAATGGTCTCCTGGAGTTTGATTGCGGCTTGTCAAGCTTTTGTGAAGGACAAAAGTAGCTACTATGCCTGCAGAGCGTTGCTCGGTCTGTTAGAAGGTGGATTGTAAGGGAAACTCGAACCGGTTTGATGACCACTGCTAACTCACCGCAGCATCCCGGACACGATTCTTTTCCTGTCATTTTGGTACAAGACCGCGGAACTGCCCATTCGTCTGAGCTATTTCTGGATGGCCTACCAGCTCACTTCAATCGTCAGCGCATTTCTTGCATACGGATTCCTACACATTCATAACGCGGACGGTACGGGTGGCTGGCGATACATGTTCGCCTTCGAGGGCCTCATCACCGGCGTCATTGGAATCATCGCTGCATTCTGGATGCCCGCCTCTCCGACACAGACCGCCGGCCGGTTCCGCGGTAAAGAGGGCTGGTTCAACGAGCACGAAGAGAAGATCATGGTTAACCGTATCCTGCGCGACGATCCCAGCAAAGGAGGCATGCACAACCGCCAGCCGGTGACTCCGAAGATGCTCTGGACCGCTCTCAAGGATTACGACATGTGGATCGTTTACCTACTAGGTCTGACTTGGATGATTCCCACCATCCCCTCCGCCAGTTACATCAGTCTGGAACTAAAATCGCTCGGCTTCAGTACTTTCCACACCAACCTATTGACTATCCCGGCCTATGTGATTTTCATCTTGAACCTGCTCTGGATTACCTGGGTGTCTGAAAGGTTCAACCAGCGCTTCCTCCTTGGTGTCGTTGCCCAGTTCTGGGCCCTGATCCTCTTGATCGCGCTGGAAGTGCTTCCGAACGATGCTAGCGCCTGGGTGCGATGGATTCTGATCGTCCTGCTTATCGCCATGCCATACGTGCATGCGATCATTGTCGCGATCGCCTCACGTAATGCCGGTACTGTGAGAACGCGGACGGTTGCTACTGCGCTGTATAACATGTCGGTGCAGGTCAGCAACATCATCGGTAACAATGTCTACCAGGCTAAGGACAAGCCATACTACCGCACTGGCAATGCTGTGTTGATCGCTCTTTGTATTTGGAGTGCCCTGTTATTCATTGCAGCCAAGTTATACTACGTGCGGCGAAACAAGTATGTTCTATCCGACTATGATGCCTGTGATCTCTGGTACTAATGATTATCAGGCAAAACGCTGCAATTTGGGACAACATGTCTAGCGAAGAGAGGGAACGCTATGTCGTTGAAAATGCCCACCTAGGCAACAAGAGGTACGTTTATTGTTCGTTCAGCATGACAATGACAAGGTGCTAATTTGTTTTTGCAGAGTCGATTTCCGCTTCGTCCACTAGAATACTCTATAGAAGTAGAATATATTTCCTTTCAACATCAATATCGAAGTCTACTGCCCATCTACACTTTACGGATCTTTCCTGCAGGTACATCCGCTCGACCTGCACCAAAGGTCTCTTTTACATCCCTGGCATTTTTAGTATTGTCTTTTGATATATCTGTCATTGAGCCATTGAATGAGATGAGTATTTAGACCTGAGTAGTACGCGCTAAGCGCGGTAACTCTCTATTCCCACTCAAAGAGGGGTAGTCCAAGTAGAGACGTGTTGTAAGCCCCGTACTAGACGCTCACTTTCATAGCAAGTTCCCATCGAATATTTCTCCATTTCCAGTTTCGTTTCCTACTAGTAGCGAAAAAAAGTTACAGTAAGAGCCATGACGTCAACTCCGCGTGAAAGACAAAAGTACTATGCGAGGGAAAAAGTACGACACGGATGACAGATTCTAGAAGAAATGATAGACCGCTAAAAATGTTAAAAAGAACATCGATATTTCACGTATATAGAACCGATGGCTAACAAGAAACTCCGAGAAAAGGAAATCATATCATAACTCATAGAATCACCGAACTCCATTCCCCGTCCATTTCCCAGTCCATTTCATTCCATTCCTTCCCAACCATGCTTGCATAGCGATCAGGCGTCCCGTGTGAGAGCCGCTATTGGTGGTGTCGATCAAAATGAAGAGATTGATAGAGCAGCGCCTCGGAAAAACTCGGCAAATGTACATCTAGAAGTCACGAGCTTATGCTCGATGGATGTTGATGATCAAAGACAATTATATACCATCATGCGCATGGTGTTGCACAGACATGGCAACTTTTGCCAGGAATCACCCATACTTCTTGGCCCTTGGCTTGACAGTTTGGGCACCGGACGCCAGGCATCTGGATCACATTAAATAAGGTCTCAAAAGTACAAGTATACACGAACCTTGTTGACTGCTGGGGAGCTCGAGCCCTTCACGATAGATGGAGACATTTCAGCGTAGTTGGGAAGGTGGAAAGGGTGAAAGTTGATTTGATTTAAATTTGGATTTGGTTATGAGAGGCTGAACTTGGACTTGGAATTGATTGAAGAATCCGAATCAGGTTGGAAGACAGTTCTTATAAGGAACAGGGACAAAGAGAGACAAGGATCGATCGAAACTAAAGGGAAATCCAGAAAATAGCAAAACACAATACGGTGAGTCGCGATTCGGAAGTTCCCGTATTGTATGAAAAAGCTTCTCGACGATCGATCCATTCCAGCTGAAGGATTTTTTGAAAAAAACCTTGAAGTAAAACGCCACAATAGGAAACCAATGATATGCATGTTCCCGAGGTAATCCGAGTTTGAAGTTCGCCAATGTTGGCTATTATGTGGGGGTGAAGATGTGATTAAACCATACAGGAGATAGATCAAACGGGTCAAAGCATCAAATATGGTACAAAAGTGATGTATCATTTCCAGATCAAAAGGATGTTTTTGGGAATCATTTTTACGAGTCATTTTCGATTCTTCCCGATTATTGGTTCATCTCCCCCTTTTTCATATTTACGGCTACATGCATAGCTGTCAGCAAACTCTACTTTGTCAAAAGCTCAAAGACCACTCTAATTTATATTTTATTTTTTCATATTATTTACTTGAAAATCAATTCGTGGAAGTGATCGAAGATGGGTACGGATTTACTCGGTAGCCCTATCACTAGAATCGGAGTATTTACCGTTCTGCTTAGCCGTCATGTTGATCAATCTGATGTATGGTACTTGGCGGTGATCTTTATCTCTTTTGACTAAGTAAACGAAAACTTGATGCTTTTGGCTTAGTGACTTCGCTTTCAATTTCTTGATTCTTTTAACAACATCCCTGCATACTAGACACGGAGATGGCGCGCATCATGCAGGATAACTTTCTTGTTTGCTTATATGCAGTCCTAGTGGAGTCGTCACACTGTCTGATTATCCACGTTCCAAATCAAACATACTACAGTCCCAGTTCGGATGAGAATTCACTTGTTGTTTAAACTACTAACTAATTTGCGGTCATGACCTTATTCACCCCCCTACATCTCGTAATGGATTCCAGGCCAACTAAATCATACCACATACCTCCTCACATCATATCAATGATCTTCAATATTTGCATAGAATCTTTGGGCTGCCTTCTGGAATATGATCACACCCGCCATGTAGCTTTGTCTGCAGTTGGCAAGTGATCTCCCGACCATGGTCCGTGGTTCCCAGATGAAAATAACTCCTCCTTGCATGCCTCACTCGGGCCTTCCTCCGCCCATCTGATCTCTGAAAACGAGAATCTCGAATCGATTCTTGAATCCTGAATCTCCCCCGATCGCAATCGAAATCGGTTAATCGATCGGGGTGCACAGAACCGACCACGTCGCACATATGCGCGCGACAAAGGCCGAACAGTTGGTCATACTCGGTGTTTGACGACTTGGACGTGCGTCGCTGTATCTGGATGTCCTTTTGTCAGAGATTATGCGAGTCCACATTGGTTTGTGGCGCACCACATCCTGTTCCAGGCTGCGTCTGAAGAGCTTTATTCGGAGGCCCTTGTTTCTTCTTTTCTTTTTCTTTTTCTTTTTCATTTTCTTCTTTCTTTTCCTTGTCTTTTTCTTTCCTACAGCATACAGAGAATGGACTATGTTATGCAACGGCACGGCATGGACGCCTGAATTCCCTCGCCCAACCTCTTATTATCCGGGAGTGTGGCAAAAATGATTTGAAAAAGACCTATCATGCTGTCGTTGTTTCATTACTTGGCTGTGTCCTCCGTATGACTAGGAAATATGCTTTGTGATCCGCACTAATAGTACACCGCCGGCCTTCCCTCCGATGCTATTTTGCAGGTGAATAAATCGATATCCCTCTCGTAGCTGGTCAAGACGGATACATGTCCACGCCGCCAAGGAGTCTCGGCCAAATTCGTCGTCCTTGATTTTGAAACTAGCAGAATTTGAAAAGTCAGCCGATGTGCATTGCCGATAACGAATGTCTCAAAAAACAAATGCAAATGCAAATGCGGGGAAGTTGGGAATGTTGGGGATGTTGAACGGCGCTGCAGGTTTTCCCAAGGCAACGATGCATCGTCACACAGAAGGTATCGGCAGCTCCCAAATAGGGCGAGCGGGTTCCACTGAAGAACTGCAAGTAGCCAGCCCACATGAACCGTTGTACAGATGCACGAAAGGCGACGTGCATCGAGTGTGAGGGGGAAAGCAAATGCAAATGCAGCCGAGAATAGCAGAATGGGCAACCAAGGAGTAAGGGGAAAACCAACCGGACGAAACTGAGCTCTTCAACAATACCCATTACAGTGGGGAAAACCAACGCCTGCGCCTCGAAATCAGGATTTCTACCCGACGCCGTCTTCGTCTTACGTCGATAACTACTCTTATCCGTGTCATCGCTCGCATCGTCCCGATCCGCAGCCACAGGACCCTCGGGCTCCTCGACGTGCAGTTGGCAAACGACGTAAGGCTGGAATCCCTTTTCGGAGTGATTCTGCGGAAGCGCAAGATCCTGCCCTGCAAAGACCTCGATTTTCAATTCGACATTCGCGCGCGTGATCGTGTCTGTGGGGCCTTCCGAGCTGCGATACCCTGATGGCTTTTGGACCCAGCCTGGAGTGCCAGCGAACATGCCGTGGTTTAGCATCATGCCCTTGTCGAGACTTTGCCAGTTCAGCGCTACTAGCTGAGCTCCGCGGCGCCAGTGGAAGGCGGGGTCGAGGTTCGAGGATGTTACGCGGAGTGCGTAGGGATAGATTCGCATGAGTGAGCAGCGGTTGTGTTCGAATAAGGCGTCGCGGTAGTTGATGTGTGCTTCGCGGGCGGCCTTTTCAGATAGGGAGAAGACGTGGACGGGGAGTTTCGCCTCTATGGAAAGCATCAGTATGTGTTCCGATACGGCTGTTATTGCTCTTACCTGGCTGGTCGAAGTGACTGAAATGATATGCCGGTGTGTACACAGCTAGCTGGGCTAGAGCATCCAGAACCTTGGAGGGCTTCGCGGGCTTTTGACCCTCCACAGACGGATCACTGCCTTCGTCTGAAGGCTCAGACGCGTCTAGCTCGGCTTTGACGTCTGCTCGTGGCAGAGGCGTGGACTTGGTCTTGATCAAGATCTTCCTCTTCAGTTCAGCTAACGTGGGTAATTTATCAGCTTTCACGTCCGAAGGAATTTCCACCAGAAGACCCTTCCAAGCTTCATGGACAATATCAACCATCATCTGCTGCTGCTCCAAGCAAGCGTGGACTTCGAAACTAATAATCACAGGTAGATCACTGTTCACAAACGCAGCATCACGGATCGCATAACAGATATCGCGAAAGGGTGTCCCCTTGGTCAGAGTGTGTCCGTGCAAAACACGAGGCTCCCCAAGCACAGGAGCAGTCTCATCATCAACACTGGCATCTGCAGACCTGGAGCTCTCCCGATGCCATTTTTCTTCGAGAAGCTCCTTCGCAGCCTTCTCCTCACTCCCGATCTTAGACATGATAGTCTCCTTCAGTCTCGACTTGAGAGTAGATTTCTTCCCTTCATTATCCGACGAATCACTGTCCTCATTCGAATCTGCTTCGGCAGGTTCCCCATCCCAAACATCGATTTCAACAGATCGACAACCATTTAGAAGTACCTAGGAATAATCAACAAGGGTCTCATCCTCATCCTCCATAATGCCCATACATACCAACGTATAGGCACTCGCCGCAGAATCACTATAAAGCTGGTTTCCAGTCAAATAAGTATTATGACTAGACGAGATATAATAATCAGAAATAGGAGCTGAGATATCCAACTCCTTGGCTGGTCCCAGGGCACAAGAAATGGGATCTTTCATAAAGGCACGGAAGGCATCCAGCGAGCTCAACGGATCAACTCCATCTCCATCTCCCACAGTCCCGTCTCGCTGGATATGATTTAGAAAATCGTCCTTTGAGATATTATGTGTAGTGAGAGACTCGTAGATCTTCTGGAGATGCGTATCGACTGTAGAGTGGAATGCGTCTAGAGGTGCCTCTTTCTCTGCAGAGCGGAGGGATAGATGACGCGCTCGCTCAACAAGCTTGTCGACTTTCTGCATGATTGCAGTTTCCGATATGACAAATTACTTCAGGATGTTGAATGCGATAGCCTTGCACGGCTTCACCGAGCTTTGATTTCTGGTGGGGGTGTAAGCTTGACCTTGCGAGCTTATTGGTACGTTGGTACTTGGAAAGATGCCCCGCAGTACTAACGTAGGGAATGTTGACCTCCGGATTCAAGGCTGATGGCGGACGATTGGAAGCTGTAGATCATAGAACAGCTTTAGAGGATTGGAAATAATTCAAGAAAAGGAGGCGAAAAGATGCGACACGTGTGCCCCTTGATCGACTCTCCACTTTCTTAAGTGGCTCCATTCTGACCGCTTGGCATTGTGTAGGGCTGGAATTGGGATATTCCTGGTTTATGGTTTTTGGTTGTATGTCATCGATTCAGTCTGACTTGATCCCCTGTATAAGACGGCCGAAAGAGGCTAGAGCTTCGTTTCAGTCTTAGTTTAGTTGCTAACCGACTAGTCAGTTAGTTGATCTTTGCTGAGAAATCCAAATCAATACAGAGTTCCATCTCATTCTATGCTCCTTGCTTCACAATACTGAGCCCCTCAAACTTCTCAAGATCATTGCTGAGAATAACCAATCCAATCAATAACCATGTCCAACACCGAGCCCGTCCACTTCTTCGACATCACCTCCACCCTCCCAGGTCCGTACCCCGCAAATCCAGGCCAATGGATGTAAACTGCTTAACAAGACCCAGGTGCATACAAATCATGGTCCCCAAATACCCTCAAAGTGCGAACGGTGCTTAACTTCAAGAAAATCCCCTACACCCAAAGCTGGATCTCTTACCCGGACATCGCGCCCTTGATCAAAGGGTTCGGCCTCAAAGCCAACGATGTCGGATACGCATACACCCTCCCCGCAATTACCCACGGGTCCCTGATCTCAACCTCAAACCCGCACGGAGCATTGATGGACTCGCTTCCTATTGTCGAGCATCTGGACCGCGTTTTCCCCGACCGTCCGCTCTTCCCCTCTGGCGATGCGAGCTATGCGCTGTTTCTTGCGGTTCAGAAACTTATCTCCGGCCTGGGACCGGCGATCGGCTCGCTGATTATTCCCACTGTGCCAAATCACCTTGACCCTCGGGGGCAGGAGTATTTTGTGCGGACGCGGACTGAGACGTATGGGAAGCCGTTGGCGGAGGTTCGGGCGGAGGGAGAGAGACAGATTGCGGAGATTTGGGAGAGTGCTGAGAAGTCGTGTGAGCCGTTGATTAAGATGCTGAAGGGGAGAGAGGGGAAGAAGGGTGCTTTCTTTGAAGGGGAGACGGCTGGTTATGCAGATTTGTTCTTCGTATCCTGGGTGGCGTTTTTCCATCGATTTGATCGCCAGTTCTGGGAGAAGTTGATGGGGCTCGGGGATGGCGAGTTTCGGGCTTTGTGGGATGCTTGCTTGCCCTGGCTGGAGGGGCAGGGTGAGGAGAAGGATTGGCCGATCCCGAGTGCTTGAAGCTGAGGTTAGAACGTCAATAGAAGATAGTGGAACTGGAGTGATGTGTGAATCAAATATCATTGAATATATAGCACAATGGAGAAATCAAATCGACGTAATAATACATGCCGGGGGGAAGGACCTGTTCTATGCGTCCACCGCGGCAATGGGAATAGACGAGCTATTCCAGTCAAACACCGCTTCCAAATGACGAGCCCGCTTCTTCAAAGACCAATGGTCGACGCCTATAGAGAAACAAATACACTCAATCGGTTTACAGGCCACGCAGGAAGTTGGATTCCTTAATGGCCTTCCGCCGGGCTTGGCGAGCACTCCTGGTAACCTCGGTACGCTGGTCCGCACTCTCGGTGGCATCGGTAATTCCGATTTCGGGAAGTCCGTCACGGTTGTATGGCGCTGGTGTAATGTCGTGGGCGTGGTGATGGGCAGGAATTTTGGGCGGGAGGACACCAACGCGGGCGGCGAGCTTCTTCTCGTAACGCTTGCGTTGCTTCTTGTTCAAGGCTGGAAAATGTCAGTCTGGGAAGGCACAAAATGCATGATAGGTCAACGCACTGCTAGGGTCAACTCCGCCCTTTTCAGCCTTGGCTGACTTGCTTGAATCACCCAAGAGATCCCACAACCAGTCAGGGTACTCCGAGTCCTCCTTCGCAACGATATCAGGCTTGTTCTTGAAGTAGTTCAGGCCGTTCATCTTAGTACCGACAGGACAGCTGCTCGGTGGGCGCTCGACGACGGGCTTTGTGGCAGCACCAGGCTGCACGTCAATGTGGACAGTCTCTGGGGTGCTCAACGGCTGGGAAACACCGGGGGTGGCAGAGGAGATGGCGGAGGGGGTGGTGACATCTCCGACCGAGGGCTGGCGGGGACTGGGAGGAGATGAGGGATTGACGGGAGGGTTGGTGCCTTTATCGCTGTAGAATCGAAATTGGCTGCGAATCAGAGGCAGCTGGCGTGCTGGTGATGATGTCCATGCCAGGGCTTGTTGCTGTGGTAGCCGAGACAGCATGCTCGTTCTGCAGCTTCTGCAAATCATTGCGGTAATTAAAAGTGACCTCGGCGATGTGTACTGGGATCAATGTGAGCAATAATCGCAATGTTGCTGGCGCGGAGACTCAATCAGAAAACTTGCGGCGCGGATCAGATGCCAAGCCGGAGGGGTCACGTGGCTCACCAACCTTGACAAAGTTAACAATCCCAATATTCTTCAATCTCAATTATCTACATTCCCATTTGAAGTACAATAATTTATCCTCTACTCGCTTATTCAATCATCTCGCAGTCTCAAATGGCTTCGAAGAAAGCAGCAGCTACGTTAAATAGGATGGATTGGAGGCGCGGAAATCGATTAATATGAAGTAATGGGGAATCTCAAACAATCTCGTACCTACATCGCAGAGTCTCCGAAGACCTGGAAAAGGGATTCACAGTGCAAGGTGCAACGCAAATACAAAACAAACTCCAATACACGTTCTGTAATAACGCAATGGTATCAATAACAAAAAACCTCGGGACAAATAAAATCGGGATATCAAAGAAGAACAGAAACAGACCGCAAGCCCAGAAATATAGCCCGAGTCCTCCAGGTAGATCAAAATCAACTCCAAAATTAAAAAAATCCTGGCAAATTCTGGTAACATGAAAATTATGAAGATAGACCACTGACATCCAAGAAATTGCAAATGTCCTGACAAGCATCCCTCAGTGATTTCTCTGTCTTCCACTGAAGCTCATCTTGAGATCGATCGACAACTGCGACGCATGATCCCACATCACCAGCACGGCGATCTGCAGCCCGCCTGGGAAGGGTTTTTGAGGTGACAGCCTCCATTGTGTTGGCCACCTCTAGTACAGAGTGTCCAGATCCAGTGCCCAGGTTAAAAGTGCGGAAGTTTTCACTAAGTTGACCGTCGTTGGCAGCCCTGAGGGCCGCAATGTGACCCTGAGCCAAATCAGTGACATGGATGAAATCTCGGACAGCCGTGCCATCTTTCGTCTCCCAGTCGGTTCCAAACATTGACAACTCCGCATACTGGCCTGTCATCACTTTGACAACCACGGGAAGCAGGTTTGTTGGGGTTTGCCGCGGGTCTTCTCCCAAAAGGCCAGACGGGTCACAGCCAACAGGATTGAAGTATCGTAGAGCGACAATGGTCCATTCCGGATCAGAAGTAGCGATATCTGCTAAAATGGCCTCGCCAAACCATTTGGTGCGTCCGTATGGGTTGGTGATGCCTTTGCATCCTGGTTGAAGAATCTTTACTGCTCCTGTGTTGTCGGTATGGACTTCCTTCTTGTGAACACAAAGCTCCTCTTTCAGCGGCAGGCCTGAAGTAGCCAGAGTGCCGTATACGGTGGCAGATGAGGAAAAGACGAATGTCTTGATGCCGAAATCCCCAAGCATTGCTGCAAAGTCAATCAGGCCGCTCACGTTGTTGGCATAATACTTCAATGGGTTCCGGATGCTCTCCTCCACAGCCTTGTATGCGGCAAAATGAATGACGCCTGCAATCCTCGACTTTGCCATGCCCCATCTTGATGGAACCTGGAATTCCTCTAGCAGAGATTGAAGAGCTGATGTGTCTCGATAGTCATGAGCGTGTAGTCGCAATGATGGCATTTTTGTTCCATTCTCCTCGTGAAATTTGCGAGCAAGGAGATCGATGCGTTCAAAAACGTTCTCAAAAGCGTTGCTCAGGTTGTCAACGACAATCACATTATAATTAGCCTTGAGCAATTCCAATGTCGTGTGGCTTCCAATGAAGCCTAGCCCACCCGTAACGAGAATGTACGGGCTTTCAGTGGGGAGTCTCTGCAACAACTCATTAAAATGGTCGAAGAGGTCTGAGGCTTGTGTTGCTGGAGTGTCCACATAATCTGGAGAATCACCCTCCACAGGAGTACTTGTGTCTGATTGACGGCGGCTGTCCATGGTGAACAAAAATGAACTGAAGGGTTAGGCAAGACAGACAAGGCCTTAAGACGCGCCAGAAGGAAACCTTTGCCAATGCAGAGGATCAGTCCAAAAAAGCTTCTATGACCTTAAAGGAATATTGAAAGGCACCTGAGAGACAACCACGGGAGATTTATACTGCGAGGGGAGAACCCTTGTCGCCCCACTGGTCCAGATTCTTTTTCGCGCTATCCTGGGCCTGACAAAAAGGTGATCCCTGTCAGCGCAATAAAGAAATTCACCGAGCATAAGCCACAGGAAAAAGAGACATTAATGACAATTATGGCAATTATGGACCAAGAGAATAAATGGGGGCGGACGGGACGTGGACCAAGTAGCAGGCAGACAGACTCCCCGTGGACAGTGGGCCAGATGTGCGGCTGGGACCTATGTTCTCCAGGGCCCGATTGCCCTAAAAGCATCCACTACGTCAAGGCTTTAAATGGAGCTAATAATCTTGGAAATTGGGATTGACCTTGCATATCTCATGGTTGAGAGTTGAGCGACGAGAGTCGAGACACTCGTTCTAAAAGCCGTGCAGGACGCTAGTGGCTAGAGGGAAACAAAAGTTCTGCATTAAACGCATTTAGTACGGAGTACATGGTAAAATAATTTTATGTGAGTTCGCTCCCTGTTCTTGATCTATATACCTACTAGGTATTCTCGTAACTTATTTCACGCATGTGGTTCTTATTCATCCCAACTATATAGAACATTGAAAGCACGTGAGCAAAATGGCCCAAATCAGTAATCTTCAGCCGCTAGCTGTTATGAACTATCGTCGATTCATCCCTTTCTAGTCACAATCGATTGATCAAAATGGGTCTCAGAGTCATCGTTCCACTCTACGTATACCCTAGCCCTGGGGCCTGGTCTCCGCTGGAAGATGTGTATGTTTGACCTTTCCCTATTTGGCCTATGACCCTTGGCCCCTCTCCCCGATTCTAAAAAAAAAGAATCTGCACCTCCAAGCCACTGGTAACTTGCCACGGAATCCAAGGATTCTGATGTTTGGGCTCCAATGGTCCCATGTCACAAAAGTGTTGAAATTTGCCGGTCGCAAAAAAGGAAAGAAACTTGAAAAACCTGTTACTGAATGCCATTCAGGATTTCAGCCCACCCAAATGTCAATTTTATCATCGTAATCAATCCTGGTAACGGCCCAGGGCCAAACGACTTACCCGATGCCAATTACACAAGTGCAATCCCGAGGCTTTCTTCTCACGCCAATGTACGACTTCTAGGCTATGTGCATACCTCATACACAACCCGCAATGCCGCTGCAGTCTATAGGGATATAAAAACCTATGCTGAGTGGCCGACTCATTCTGGCAATCCCGATTTGGCCGTTCGGGGTATATTCTTCGATGAGACACCACAGCAATACAGTGTCCACTCTTTCGCTTACTTGCAAAATTTGACCCAACTGACCAAGGGCCTAAACGGGCTTGGCTCCAATCCCTATGTGAGTAGCATCTTTTTCCATCCAGTTACGTCCACTCTGGTTGTCGTTCGCCTTGCATCCCTGTCCTTTCCTTCCAATATCCCCATTTTCCACGGGGCCCCTCTGCTGCATTGAAGAGCTGCGCATCGTATCTACGAAGTATGCCAGTCATTGTTTTTTTCCCGGGTCGCGGTCTCCGATCCATACTGTCTATCAATTACCTCTTATGGGATTTCTAGGCGAAGATCTTTCAACATCTGCAGAGCTAATGCAAATGTCATGACCAGGTCGTCCATAATCCAGGGGCCGTTCCGGACTCCCGATACATGTCTACTGCAGACTCGACTGTCGTGTTCGAGGAGACTTATAGCACCTTCCAGGAGCGGCATGGGGCGGGCCTGCTTATGCCAATCCGGGACAACGATCGTACCCAACGCGCTGTTTTAATCCACTCCGTGCCGGAAGGCGTAGAGGGGTCGGAACTTCGCCATCTGGTTCAGAAGGTCCGCAAGGTTGCCGATGAGGTTTTCATCACCCACCTTAGCACCGATTACTATGCTAGCTTTGGGTCGAAGTGGGCCGAGTTTGTCGATCTGATGTCGGCCGATTTTGTATGAGCAATGTCATGGATGATTTAAATACTCAGTACAAATACCGGAGTTTATTATCAGCTGATTATTTAAGAAAACAATTAAAGTTTCGGATACGTATGTATCTCAATGATCGCCTTCATATGCTGAAGCCCTGGAGTGATTGAATTGTGGACGTATCGAGGTCCGGCTCGGGGGATAGAAATTTTCCTGTGGAGTATTCTCACCCCTCCTGTTTCCCTGCCGCAAAGCTAAAAACTAGTTGCATGTTCAGAGAGTAGAAGGCAAAAAAGTAAATAAATCAAATCGCGGTCCAGTTTGCCCGTTTTGGCCGTGTGGGCCGGGACGGTATAGGCGTAATTTTCATTAATTTGAATTTGATTCCGTGAACATTCATCTAGACATAGAATCACTGGAGAATCCCAAGTCATTCCAAGGTTGAGGTTCTAGCCAACGCACTGAGCAAAACTCTATGTAGACATATGAGCGCCCCCGGCCGAACCCAACTTCCGTGGGAGGCGATGATCAAGATGGTGCAATGTGCCGACCTTATTGACAAGTTATGTTAATATAGCCCAGGTCTTTCAGTATGCAGGACTTCTGTCCCACAAAATTGCAACGCTATGTTAGTCCCCCAATCAAGATAACCCTCTTCTTCTACCAGACCCATAGTGATAATCACGCCTAGATCTCAGTGAGACATGCAGGATCACTCCAACGCTCTACGATCAAAAACCGGATCTTCGAGGTCCGATCGCGAGTCGAAACATTCATTCAAACCGACCGAATCCAATTGAAAGGGCACGATGGGACTTGATCAGGATCTTTGCTGAGTTACCGCCAGGATGGATACCAGAGCCCCCGCCATGATATCACAGGAATGCAGCGGGACATTGGAATCCCGTCCTGCATATCCCTACCTAACCATTCGGACAAAAGGCATTTCAAGGCTCACGTCAATGTTACACGACAGTCCGTCCCTGCTGATATATTGCATGTACTTGCGATCCACGATCCCGGTCTTCTTGAGTGGCGGAAGCCACACCCTCGTGGAAAATCATAGCTAATTGACAAAAAGGGAAATAATCTTTGTATATCGATTCGATTCAAGAGTTTTCGATCTACAGCGAGCCGAAACCTACTCCAGGATGGTTCGGTACGGAAAACAAACAAACAAATTAAGCAAGAGTATTGCACATCTTTCAGGGTAGCCGAAGGTACAGAGTAGTAGAAGTGAGTGCATTGGGTTAAAACCCGCTCTTGATCCCTAAGATTACGAGTCCCCCCTTACTAGTAAAATTAGCGCCCGTGGTGGCCTCTTCTAGTCCTTCCGGCTGAGGGCAAACCTATACGGAGATAGTACCTGTAGTGACCCCGTGTCCACTGGCACGCTAGTTGAGATGGCTTGTCCAGGGTAATCCATTAAACGACCCTTGATTATCTCGAACTTCTTAGCAATTGGAAGTAAAAGCAACCAGATAACAAGCCACATATCAAAGTTGAGCGATTGACCGGTGTGGCGAGTTCTAGAGGTGCTTGGCAAAGACAAACAACCCGAGCAGGCCAAGGACCTCGCTTAAGCATTTTTTTCTCTCCCCGGCCCCATATGTAACCAGTGGATATCGACAAAGAGGATTGACAGTTTGGGTAATGATCGTCCAAGGTTCAAACAAAGAGGATGCACTGGAGCCCTCATCGGTTCCCCGAATCCCTGATCATTTCTGCTCCACCGGAAATATCCATGGTTCGCGTGTAGGAGCCGGGCAGATCCGCTCGGGGGTTCGGTACGCGCCGAGCTAGAGCTCTCGAGAACTTTCAACTCTGCCATGCAGGTTTCTTTTCTTTTCTTTTTATGCTTTCGATATGGGATTGATCAACCAAGTTCGGAGAGTGTGATTCATAGCCCAGATCACTTTCAAGATGTGATCCGTCGGGATCCACTCATCGCGGCTTCGTTTCGGCTTAGACGGGAGGATGTCTCCGCTAATCCAATTTTTTCTCATCAGACCCAGACTCAGCCAGACCTATGAGCTCACCTGGGTCTGTCGGGTGAAATTCCTTTTCCACTGCTGTAGTTGAGTGGTACAGAGACGAGGGTCGCGTAGAGGGTTCGCCCCCAAGCTAGTTTTTTAGCTTCTCCTCAGCCCCTGCATCTCGGAAAATTCCTTGGTTTCGGAGAATGTCGTGGAACGCAGAAGCATGAGTATACGTCAAGATTAGTATATTAATACTCCGATGACTCGAATTTCTGATGTATCTTGATCCACTAGTCAATATAAAGATGGACAGATCAAGTTGCGTTGAAAGTTGCCGATTTATGGAAAGTAAAAATTACTAGCCCAAGCATGGAGTCCATGTGCCTAGGCTGTAATGTAAACCCGGCAAGAATGCTGTGCACTAATGCATCCTCACCCAGAGTCGCAGAAACCCCTCAAAACTTGACCAATGTGCTGTAAGAGGAATACAGCGCTCCTAGTTTGCCAATAACGCCAAGGATCGCATGTTGACCTATGTAAGCATTCGGGTCCGGCATAGGTCAGGTCTACTCTGGTCTCGATCCACCTGCTTGATTTACTGAAGTGGCACAGTCATCAGCATATAAATATTTGCATTAAGAATTATGTTACATGGTTATCATATACAAATATCAACAGTATTCGACCCAGTTATCCAGGTCCATATTCTTGATCACAGTTGAAAAGTTCCGAGAATTGGCCGCGTTGCAAACCGAATTCCTTTGTTTCGTTGACACATTATTGTCATTGTTGGTATCATCACCTTTCGGATATTCGATATGGAAGACCGGTTTGCTGGCATTAACAAACGCCGAGTAGAGATCGCACTCTTCATAGACAGCACATTGCTCATTAACCGACCATTGCATCTTGTCCATGACCGAGCCAATAATGTCGCCGCCGTTCTTCAGTCCAATCGATAGGTTCCGATCATGCGCCTGCGAGGCAAGCCACTTCACATAGCTGATTGCGTCGTCTTGAGTCAATCCGAGGCCGTTTTTGTTATTATATCCATCGATATTATCCGGATCAACACCATCACATCCCTTTGCCTGCGCCAAATCCAGACGTTGTCGCATGATATTTCGCACGTTTTGCGAGTTTGTGTTGAGCCATTTTTCGCCAGGCCAGTCATCGAGACTGTCTCCAAGATCTGATGTCTTGAATTCGTTGGCATCTTGGCGCCATTTCTCGTAGGTGCCTGCGGAGAAATAGCAGATTACCTTGCGGTCCATTTCTTGAAGTTTTGTGATTGTTGAGTTTGGGCTGTCGAACAGGTCGATGTCGTAGATGTCTGCGTCCACTGTGGTGTCGTTCAGGGCGTAGAGAAGCTCGATCTGCCATTTGATTCCTACTCCTGGTTGCCAGATCGATGTCGTATTCCCTCCGGTTGTTCCATTACCGTTTCCAGTGCCAGTGCCAGCGCCAGTACCACTTCCACTTCCACTTCCACTGGTGTTGCCGCTTCCCTCATTCCCTCCACTATGTTTCAATCCAATTCCGAGGCCGACCCCAAGTCCGATACCGAGAGCGACAATAAGAAGGCCAAAAGAGCCGAATACGAGAAGCTTCTTTTTGGCAGACCAGCCCATCCAGCCTCCTTTTGCTGACATGTCGCATAAGCCCGCTTCAAGCAGGTACCAGATGAAGGTCTTGCTGGTCGTAATGGCCCAAGTCGTACATTAAATAATGGGCAAATGTATAAGACCAGGGTCCAGAGGAAATAGACATCTTTTAGCTCAAAAAGAAATTCAGGGTCCAAGGTGTAGCCAGGCCACAGGGCTAGGGGCGGTGGCTGAGGCGCAGCTTCAGGATTGGTCTGTTTCAACTCCTAACCATACTCCGAGAGATTTCAATGTGGAGACTGGCGCCTCGGTGTTCGATAGAAAGAGAAATAGCGGGGCGAGGGGTTTGATTGGATGGGGAGGAAAAGTCGGAGAAGGAAATTTGAATTCTGGCAGCCTAAATTCCTAAGCGCCATGATCAGCCACAAGGGGTTCACGAACGCCTCTTGATGTGGTAGCAGATGTCAGGGCCCGAGGTTTGTGCACCCAAGGAAGAGAATAGGGTTGGGAATTAAGGTGGAACCGATGAACATGATCATCGTCAGATTTTGGTACAGGCAATGTAATTTCTGGTTAAGCATACAAACGATAAGGCGAGCTTGGCAGCGAGAACCCCACCCTAAGCCTGGGTAAAGGTCTAGGCGTCATTAGTTCAACTTCCAGTTCAATCCTTCTAATTCTGACGGCTATAACAGCGGAAAGAAGTGGCGACATGCATATCGGTTCCAAAACTCAGACTCATATCTTCCAGACCTGGGCCAAGAACAGACGACAATTCGCTCTACGCAAAATGAGCCAGTGTTACTTTGACTTCAGCCTTCAGCCCGAACTTACCAGGATTTCACAATTTAAGGGAAATCAAGCCGAGATCAGTCCTCCTTTCGGGGACCGGGGTATAAGTAATCCCCGAACACGACAAGACCCTAGATTCTTCAATTAGACTAATAGCCAGCACCACTGAAATCACGATGTTAATCAATTGGACGTCAAAAGGACCGAAATGTAGGATAAATAATCGGGTCAAATCCTGCGGGTGATGTTAAAAACGACCAATGAAAAAGGGTCTGAAATGCATGTGCTGGCAAGCCGTCAAGTGTAGTCAGTCCTTCGAGACTCGTTTGCAGTTGATTTGAGGACAACAAGGAAATTTGAAGACAGGTAACTTTAGTTTCATGTAATCTTCGAATGTCTTAGTCTTGCGATGTAATCGAGGCTGGAAGTGCCAGGGCTATCTATCTGTCCATTTGGGGAGATCGCGTGGTTTGGACCACGTTCCACACTTTACTTGGGCATGTGAAGTCAGGGAACTTGGGGAGATGGAACCCAAAGTCCCCCAAATCTGCAGGTAAAAAGTATCATCTTCTCCGGCTCACTTTCAATGTTCTTCATACAATACGACGTTGTCTGTCGGTTCTTGTTCGGCATCGTCGCAATCTAGCTTTTCAAAAGTTTCCAGATGCCTAGAAGCTGTAGCCCTTCAGGAGGCAAATGGCGTCTGTAAGTTCGGAATGTTAGACGGTGCGATATTCCACGCGAACATGTCACCCAGTTGCTGTCCGACGACTCATATATAGAAACCTGTAGAGATGTACTGCCGGTGATGAACCACCGACACCCACCTAAAAATATTGGGTGTGACAAGCTATGATGGTCGTCCTGTCCCGTAGCTTTCCAATGAAGTTCGCCGCAGCTGGGATAGAACCCATAACCACCGGCCAAGTAGTAATTGATGTTCAATAATTTTCGTGAATGTTTTCTCCAGCGTATCAAGTCTGTTGAATATTACCAAGAAGTTTGTAGGTGCCGATATCGAGATATAGTATCCGGTGCTCACATCTTTACTGTCTGTGCGGAGGCTCGATGTGGGACATGCCTGGGTGGTTTTCATAACTCGGAACCTGCTTGCATAAGTATGCCTACACAAAGTATCCGAAAGGTTTGCCTTACCAGCGAAGATGAAACAACAATTCTGCAATGATTATGGTCAGCACAGGTTCCCGTCATTCTCTTTCCCTCAAGACAGTTGATGCATAGTTTCCAGACTCGGACCAGCAAAACTCTGCCCTAGTAACAGCTTGCAGAAAAAACAAACGTTCGCGTCTGTCCTTGAGGGTCAAATGGCCATCTGCGAGTGTCCCCGTCCAATATACTCTCCGGTGTTGTCCTTTCAGGCGATCGTAGTACCCCTTTAGTATTCTGAGATGCGTTCTTCATGGTTGCGTGTGGCTTCGCATGGATCGAAATAGCGCGTCCCTACAAAGAATCATGTACATGAGCGCAGGATACTTAATTCCGCCACAGCCCATAACCCAAATGCAAATGGGTACTTCGTTTGGCCCGAGGTATCTCGATCCACATCTGCCGGGATATTAAGTCAAAGGCGCCGTCATATTTGTTATTCTGATAGGAGATCTGGCAGACACGAGAATGGGATGACTCCGTGCGAGTTCGAGAAGCCGGGCGGAGCGAAGCGAGGCAGAAGATTCAAACTTACTGGAGTCGGGCAGCAAAAGGATTCTTATCGGTAGGAGGAGGGGATGATGAAAGCCAAAGAAGATGCAGCAACAGGATCCGTAGTAGACACTGACTTTCAGCGATGACTGACTCTCATCGATGAAGAATCGAACCACATGATGGCCTGGGTAAACGTGGTACAATGGAGTCAGCTTGAAAAGTGGAAAGTGACATTGTACCGCTTTTTCCTACCAAGAATGCAATTAGCAAGGAGTAGAAAACCAGAAAAATGAAGAGAAAAAAAGACAAGGTGAATTTCAAGTTCTTTTTCGGGCGGTTCTTTACTCGATCAACAAGGCAGACCAACGGCTCAGCCACGTGTCGCCCATTTTTAGCAGACCAATCTACAGTTTACGGTTTGAAAAATTTCGCTTACCGTAGAAGTTGCGATGGCACATATTCTTCCGATTTACTGTCTTGAGATCCTGCTCTTGTCCTGAAACCCCCTGATTACTTTGCAACTCTCTTGTGGAGAGCCATTGCTGTATCACCAGAGCGGAAGACGGCACTAAACGTTCGAATGTGTCAGCTAGAATCATTCCGTCGGTTCAGCTAGAGTCGGCTAGTTACATAATTTGCCTCTCAAGAGGTATTTCGGGCATCCTTGCCCAATGTGAGCATATTGATGCCTGTGTGGATCCCGATCTTGCCTCAGGTGGAGCTTCCACATAGAAATCCTATGGTATTTCATCTCTTCCAATTGTAGAGAAATTATTAGATTAATTCATAGTGTGAAGCAGAACTTCAATCAGGAGAAAAGCAATCGCCAGGAGATGTTAAATGTCGTCTCAAGAGGTTCATATCAGAGTAAGGCTAATCGTAGCGAAAGACAACCATTGTAGAGAAAAAAATGTTTCGAACTTCTTTAAATCCATTATACTCTCCCGCTACTTTTGCCACTAATGCGGGATTGGGCAGACCAGCCTACGTTGTACATGCAGGTCAACCCATTTTTCTTTACAGTGGAGCAGTCTAGGACGGATTACATTGAGAATTAGTCTAAATCGTCATGTACGAGCCACTTGAGTGAAGTTTCCATGGACCTTAAACACGAAGGTTTCGAATGTTCCTCAAGAACTCTTTGTATATTTCTCCTCAAGACTAAGCAAAATCTAGAATACACAGCATAGGGTTTACATTAGGTTGCTGGATGGTATACACGGCTTATAGTTTCCCGGTGCTTTCCCGTCGGAATATCTTACCCGTTGAGTCCCTTTACTTTGTCTGATGGCACCATTGGTTGACGAATTTTCCTGGTGGAGCACAATAACTATACTTTAAAGGGCCATCGGTAGACATGAGGCTTGCATACGCGACAATAGCCCCTGACACTAAGAGTAATTGTGCATCTAACCTCAAAGAAGAAGGTGATCGTGCTTACGATCTACAAGGCGTGGATTGATTAGCCCGATTGAACCCGTAGCCTCCATCATACAGTGAGTCGACATACACATGCACGCCACCCGGCAGTTGAATAGATACGTGTCACCGCATATAGAAGTAGAATCCATGAAAACAGAAGCCCATGTGACGAGAACACTGGTCCTTAAAGCATCGCGGTTTTAGTTTCGATTGATTCCATTGAAATTAAAATCATCTAGATCTACTTAGCATTCCATGGGACGGAGTACGAGGTACAGAGTCTCCGCCCCCACCGCGGATGCCAATGGTAGCGGTTTCGGCTAAAATCCATGTCTCCACTTTGACACTTCAGTCAGCCACTAAGGGACGTCTTTAATACCCCGTGGTACTTCCACTGGTCCTCATTGCCGGGGGAGTTTACAATACTAATCCATCCGTTAAAATTTAAAGGAAATCAGATTCCAATTTCTGATTCTTCTGATTCAGGGGAGAGAACCTGGAACGCCACATATTGCTAAATATCCCTAGGCTTTGCCAAATTCGAGCCAGGAATAAGCAACGTGCCATGGATTCCGATTGGTAAGAAACCTTGAGTGTTTTTTCTTCGGTAGGTATCCGATCTCGCTGCTAATTTAATGCGTGTCGATAATTCTTTCCTTCTATGGCTAGGCTCTAGAGCAAGCTTCGTCATTGGAATACCTAATAGAATATTATATTTCTAACTTCAAACGGTTAGCACTGGACCCAGTCACTCTTTGTATGATATTGAAAAGTAAATAGTACGGAGACAGCCGTTGGTTCCAGTCTGGCCCATGTATTGCTAACGGTCAGATCTAATTTTTTTCCCTCAAATAAACGGATTATCCAATCCTTTATTTGCCGTTGGCCAATTTCATCATTTTTCTACCTCTCTATAATCTTAAGGAAATGGAAGATCCGAGTCTATGGCTTCATCTATTCCTTTCAGCTGTGCTCGTCCTACTGGGCGGGGCCTTTTCGGGCTTGACGATCGCCTTGATGACTCAAGATGAAGTTTATCTCCGAGTTATTGAACTATCCGGCGATGCCATCGATCAACAGAACGCCAAAAAGGTCCTTGCGCTTCTGAGCCGAGGAAAACACTGGATACTGGTGGCCCTTTTACTCGGCAATGCCATCACTAGTGAGGCCCTGCCCGTTGTTCTTGATCAATTCCTTGATGGTGGGGCCGCAGTACTGATAAGTACCGCTCTGGTTGTGGTATTCAGCGACATTATCCCGCAATCTGCTTGCGCCCGCCACGCACTCAAAGTCGGTGCAAATATGGTACCTTATGTTTCAATATTTATGAACATTATTTCTCCAATCGCTTGGCCCATTGCCAAATTGCTCGATGTTCTCGTTGGAGACCACGACCTCACGGGATACAAGAGACCCGGGCTCAAGGCGCTCATTTCTCTTCATTCAGTACTGGGGCAACCCGACGATCGTCTCAACTCTGACGAAGTGAAAATTATTCATGGTGCCCTTGGAATGATTGAAAAAACAGTGACACACATCATGACGCCCATGGAAGATATATTCTCTCTGCCCGCCGATGCATTCTTGGACGAATACACAATGGATCGGATTAGGGCCCAAGGATATTCCCGGATTCTCGTTCACGCTCCCGATAACCGCATGGATATTGTCGGCGTGTTACTTGCAAAGAGTCTGATCAAATACAACCCCAAGCTGTGCAAAAGGGTGTGCGAATTCGACTGGTTTCCAATTCCCGTCATTCACTCCAGGACGACCTGTCTAAATGTTCTCAAAATCTTTCAGGAAGGAACATACCATATGGTCATTGTCAGTCAGAAAGAGAGAAATCTGGTTCTTGGAATAGTCACGCGAGAGGATATCCTTGAAGAGTTGATCGGCGAAGATATCTTGGACGAGTTTGACAACAGATCCAACAGAGCCACCAAGATAACGCGTCGAATGAATCTCCTCCCTACACCCAGGACCTCAACTGAGACGATTGTCGAAAAACCTCCCATAATCGCCGTATCCGCACCAGAGAGCGAAGTGATCGATGCTTGGGTGAAAAAAACTACTCTCCCTCCGAAATACGGCTCCGTTGATTATTTCAACTCTGCACCTCAATGGAAATATATCCAGAGCTATCTTGCACAAACACGGAAAAAGCGACAAATCGAGACAGTTACAAAACCTTTGGAAACACCATACGGGACGATATCATGACCTCGGGAGGTCTGTCCTTTTTCGGCTTATGAGTGTTCTCATACCTGCCAGCAAACCCATAAAGATCCACCGACACACCCAGAGAAGCAACTCTACGATAACTTCAATGCTGGGTGTTGGGACTCGCTTCCCAACCACACTTCCACTCGTGAAGAGTATTCAAATGTTGGAACACATTCAGCATGAGCTGCTGGTCACCCGTTGACCAAAATAATACTTTGGACGGCTGCACAGAAGCCCAGTTCAGACGACATTATCTGGCTCAAGTTCCCAAGGATATAAGTCAGTTAACATGGCTCGGGTGGTGCCAATGCTCCTGAAAACAAGCCACTGTCCTTGGTGCCACGCAAATGGCTCCGATTTAACGTCCTCGAGCCCTGGCTCAATAGCTAAACATGACCAAGAGTCTGGAAGACAGAGTCTTGACAGTACATGCAGGGCCATGTGAAGAGTGCTCATAGGCTGTCATTCTATGATCACAAAGTGCATAAATATAACAATTCGATCGTGATATTCCGATCGACAAGTCGGCCAGGGTTCTCATCCCGGCAGTTATTTTACAACGTTACGATAATTATATTTCCAAAATTGTATCATGCCGTTCTTGAGTAGCCAAGCAAAGTAAATGACGACAGAATGGGTACTCCATCCCATGAAGCTTAAATATGATTTGTAACCATCGAACAGCTGGACGCTCAAGGTAGAAGGAACCAAAAAATAACAATTATCGTGAGAATCCTGCCCCGAAAACGCAACGAAACTATTCCAATTGAAGTTTCAATCGCTCCTGATATCGTTGGCCCCTGATTTCAAGTGGGTCCTGACGCAGTCGGTCACACCGGCCCGGTGTCATGCATGCTTTGATCTGCAACGGCTCTTCAAACGGGGTTTTTCCAAGAAAGTATAGTCAAATCCAAAGATAAGAACGATTCCAAGCCTGGGGTACCTCGGAAGCTGGGAATTTGCCGAAACAAGGTGTCGGAGGAGCCGCAACACAACCCCGCGAACGACCCCACTCATCTTGGAAAATTTGAGGTCCGCCATCATCATTTTCGCCTCATCTTTGCGCATTGGCAATCATGAATACTTTGCTTGGCAACCACGAACGATAAAATAATCTGGAAAGGCGGTCGCCCTATCTAGGTCCCTTCTACTATCTTGGCCGAGACAGATCGAGTGGCTCGGGGAATTGAGGCCCGAGGGTTTCAATTTTGAAAATCTGGATAGCTTCAGATGTTTGCTTTCGTGATATATTTTGAACCTCGAACGTGATAATTCTGGCGGCGGTGTATTCATTCCACCGTAAAGTGTTCAAAATGGGACCTGTATACCAGCAGGTCAGAATTTGAAGGCTTCTAATCTGGTTTATACACCCAGTACGACTTTTGCGGATATCCGGACAAATCCAATTCACCTTGGAAAAATGGCCGAGATTCTCCCTGTACACCCTGTAGGATGGGGTGGAATGAAAAACCACTGGTGGCAATTTGTGAGTTTTCTTTGGCCTTTGAATGCGCCGGGAGTGGTACTGACAAGTCGAAGTTCATCATTGGAGTGTTGCTCGCGTGTATCATCTCCGGGTGTGTATATATTCTCTGGTCTGTGATCAAGAGGATTCATAAATATTACAAGGTGAATATGCCATATAGATGGACTGAATTTATTGAAAGTTTCATTGGGACTTTTATCTAATCTGGGGCCTTTCATAGTCGAAACCACCCGCCGATGTTATACCTCTCAGGGCTTTGGAATGTCTTGAAAAATTAGCCCTCGAGGACTTCGGGCTTATTGGTGGTCGATCTGAAGGCCACAGGCCATCGTCCTTTGGAGTATACCTTGGAAGCTTCGACGACCCTTTAACAAAATCCCAAGAGCGGCTTTTTAAGTGGGATATTTTAGTCCTGGATCCATTTCAACGCGGCGTGGTGGAAGCTATTGGCAGACAACAAGTTTTCGCACTCGGCAGGCTCGATCTCACACAGCTTATCTCTCCGCAAGATGATACTATGACAATCATTGAAAAGATCAAGACTGCTTTGAACATCAAGTTTCGTAATACCGCATTCTCTGGGGTGCTTTTTTCTAACTGGGAAGGCATGTTTACTCTTTCCGTGGAGCAAAAACTATTTGAAACCATCGATACTCTTGGTTTAGCGGTTTATCTGGAAACACAGCCACCGGAATTCTTGCAAAATAGAAGTTCTCTGCAAAGCGGTGCAGTATCAGGTCTGGTCATTCAGAATGCCAGTATCTTGCCCTCGGGCGAGAAGCGTGACTATTTTCAGATGGCCAATCTCCAACCAACCATCAAGGCTTGTGTTTCCGAGGCTTGCATGAGAAACTTTGTTGTCCTTCTCTGGGAAACAGTGAGCGATGATGTATTTCTGTCCAATGCTGTTGTTCGAAGGTCGCTTCAGTGGTCCAACTTCTACAGTGCGATTCCATTCATAGGCACTGAGTCTGCTCTTCGACGTTCTGACTTGGCCGTACCAATCATCGAGCCACTTCCGGCTTTTGGTTGGTTGAAAGAAGCGGAGGTAATGAAGACTCATGATATTTGGCGGTCAAATGTCGGCGTGAGTTCACCCTCCGATGATCAAACAGGCTGGGTCATTCTTCAACTTCTCTTCCCTTCAATCAAGGGGTTCCTTAAATCCACCACCTCCGAACGAAAATCCTCGGAGCCAACGTGGCCCATTTCGGATCCCCCAGACTGGCTCATGCACGTGAAATCACATGGGAATCCATTATCTGTTTCGACATCTGGGCAAGATTTCAATTATCTTGGCTGTTTCCCCTTGGGCTCAAATCCAAACACACTTGACTTTACTGAAATTCTCCAATCACAGCAACGTTTGAAAAGTCTGGGTCTTCTTGATCCCATTCCCACCGCACAGATCAAGAAGATCGGAACAGATCTTGGCAAATTTCACGCGGCTCTTGCAATCTCAAATGAGGATGCCCAGCTTGTCGCCTCCATCAAACAAATTTCTGATCTGGCGTCTAAAAATGGATTGCGCGTGAATTCTGCATTGGATTCGGGTCTTAGAAAGAATGAAGACTCTCGGTTTTGGGCTGTTTATCAAATCGAAAATGACGAATGTGAAATTTTCATCTCCAAGAACGCACAGGGTCTGACCGGGACCATTCTTCATACCTTCTTGGCTGCAAAAGGATTCTCTCGTCATGCATGTTTGGAAGCGGAAACCGCATTCGCGAGATGGTCGAACGATCTTCCTTCAGAAATCGGTCTTCCTCGCCGGCTGATTCAGGATATTGACAATCTCTGTCCAGAAGAAAGAATAATATTACTCCAGCACCTATCAATTAATGACTCTCAGGGTCACATGTCGGACGCAATAGCGTCTTATATTCGCACAAGGCTAATGGATGCCCCCTCCTTAGCTCAACTCAAGGAAATCAACACCATTCGGTACCTCGAACAATCTGTCTCCGCGGAAGGTCTTGTCGAGAGCCGAATTGGCTGGTACAGAGACCAAGGCTGCAAACATGCCTCTTTCGAAGCTTCTGTGAATCTCTTCCATCAGGTTGATCAGGTGTTCACTGAAATTTTAAGAAACCACAGAGAAGATGATCTTGCTATCATAACGAAAGGACTCAGTGAACTGTTCCGAGACAGCCACGTTGATCCATATGTTGATATGATAGCTTTGGCGCTATTCTGTACCGCGAGAAAGGGCGCCTTCGATGAAATTTACACTGAAGTGACAGACCGCAACCCCCTACTCAACAACCAGCCAGATCAGGCCGCTTCATTTGCTGAATCATTTGCACTTGGTTCCCGGTGCGAGGCATACTTTGATGTTTCCCCTAGTACCTTTGGAAAGCTGCTCTCCGATCGATTTCGGACACATTACAATGTCCACCAGCCTCCTAATTGGATCAACGGGGCACCGGAACTTGCGACCGCATATGCTGGAGCCCAGATCGATGTTGATCCTGATGAGAAATCGAAGCCGATAAGACCCTACCAGCGATTTACGTTCTTAGGTGTATTTGCCATCCCCGCATTGATCGACATCGTTCTCCTCAGTATCATCGGACGAGGCTTATACTTGTCTGCCTATATGACAAATGAAGAGCAAGGCAGTGCCACTGTAGCCTTGATGATTTCCCTGCTCTTATCTGGGGCAATTGGTACATGGATTGCATGTGGAGGCCCATACTACCTCATATCCATGGCCTTTGCTGCTGCGAACATGTTTGTTCTCATCCGCTTGATTGCCGGTATCGCTTTCACTGTGGCTGGGGGTTTAATTGGTTTCGTAGCCATTTCTGCTGTCAAAACACCTCGTGCTGGTATTGTTTTCTATCTTTACCTTGTCGCTCTGACAGTCTATTTCTCGACATTTGCTTGTCTCGCAAGCTTCAGCTACCCAGGATCCACATTCCTCTCCGGTCGCAAGGCAATTTTCATGTGTATACCGATTTTGTTTTTGTCTCCAATTATCACGACATTTGTCGGAAACGACTCGGCTATTTACATTGCTGTCTTATACCTCTGTATCGGCGTGTTGCTTCTCTGCCTGCGGTCCACGGCCTCCAAGTGGATGACATGGTATCAATCCATTCGACGGACTGACGACAATGAAATCCGCAAATGGTACATTGCTACCTATGGTAATAATAACGAAAAAGTCTTGAGCAACATGCCTGATCCGGGTGCACTCAAGTTGGCGAGAGAAGCTTTATTGGGGGATGTCACGTCGGAGAGATCCCGTAATTTTGTCTCCCGATCAACGACGGATCAATTCGTTAAGGAACTAGCCCGGGATTGGGAGTCCACCAACTTCCTTTTAGACTGGTATTGCCGATATGCAGATGTTCCAAAGCCCATCCCGTTCAGTTCAAGCTGGAATATTCAAGCCAAAGTTGCAATGGAGACCCTGCGCAGTTCTCAGAAAGGGCTACGACTGCACAACGCATTTGTTCACTGGCGTCAATCAAGCAATGACATCGGTTGTGGTGTTTTATATTTTGTGGTCGCTCTCCTTGACAAATGGACGCAATTACTGTGCCGGGGCCACCTCCTTGGCTTGACTGGGCCTTTGACTGATATCAATCGCAAAGCAGCTGGCTTTGCATTAGCTTATTACCTGATCGGCGCTATTCTGATTGATACCAAAGCACAGGAGATTCACGAGACCATTGGCGGTCAAAAGCCCACTGCGATCAAGACAGACGACGACATCCACGCCTCACAAAAGAGAGTAGTGCGGTTCCGACGGAAAATTTACGGACAGACCCTTTTCCAATTTTTGCTGTGGCATGTCTGGAGTCTTGCAGTCTCTACTGCCCTCCTGTGGACATTCGAAACCTCTGTGGAAGGGATGATCGTTTTCTTTGCCTACGTTCTTTCTTACACAGGTCTCATCTGGTACCAATATACCAAGATATTCGCTGGACCGTACGCTCTGAAACCACTTATAGTTGGAACATGCATGGGATTCCCAGTTGGAATCGCTCTCAAAGTCTGCCTTCCCGATTTCAGTTACTCAGAGATCGTTGGCCTTGGAGTTGCGACTTGGTCTGCTGCTTTGTTGTCCTTCTGGAGCGCAAGGTTGGGTATGCCTCCCAAGAGCTTGTCTCTTGTGAGACTCGGAAAGACCTTTCACGCATTTACTGCTCCCTGGGCAGATCCTGAGTGGTCCCAGCAAGAGCTGCAGAGTTTATTTGACTCGATCTTACTCTTACCTGAGGATGATCGATTTGGTCTTGACCCGATGGCCCACCCGGCAGTCGAGATTAAAAGCGTACTTTTATCTCACCAAAGATCGGCCCGGGTAGAGGATGCCTTCCCAAATTCGAAGGCTATTGTCGATGAAATCGTCTCCAGTTGGAACACAGGAGAAATCTATGTCGAACTAGTTCCGTATGACTCCATTGGTCCTGGAATTCGAGCTTTAAGCTGCAAAGTTGAAGACCAACTCCTAATATTCATCGGCGTTAACGGTCTACATGATCAGCAACTTGATGTTCCCACCAATTGCAGAATTATTGCAGAGACTTTGATTCATTCTTTTGTCGAGATGACCATGGGTATCTCTCACGAGCACGCAGCGCTGGCCGAGGTAATTGTCTCCGAGGGTCTACCACAGACCATGGCTGCACAACTCCGTGGGGAAACAAAAACCTCCACCCCTAAGAATTGGGCTAAGAAAGTGCTCCTCAAACACCTTTGTTTCGGATTGGAGCCAGATATCCACTGGGATAATTTGTCTATTGGGGTTCGAACCGCATTGCTGGGCCGCTGCCTGAGCCAGCCTTGTAGCCTCTCTCTGAGCCAGCAGCAAGGTCTCAAAGAAAGCCTTTCCAAGTTTGGCACCGATGATCTCGATGTTCACATCGCAAGATGCAATCTCGGGGTGGGCACAGCGATCAACATCTTTGAATACTCTCAACGTGAAAAAGGGAAGGCAAGCTTTGCAGGTGATTCGAAGACTCCAGAATATATCCAATATTTGTCCCGAGGTCTCCCAACGTTAGTCTCTTTGGTCTGCTCTCCGTTCAGCTTTATCTATAATAAGCTTGGCTTGATCAACAAATTCATTGTCATTGCCTTGGTTGCTGATCCTGAGTTCCAGAGGGAATTTGATCACGTCACTGAACCCTTACCAGTGGCTTTTCGCGTGCCAACAGTATTTGTTTTGAACATGTTCTGGGTTTATTCCAAGGCCGTCCAGGACTTCTGTCTCTCCTATTTCTTATTTCACGGTCGTAAGAACGTGGAGCGACTGTGGGAGGAGAGCACAGGTGTCACTATCCACATTAAGAAAAGCCGATTCATCATTCAAGGCCTTGATGGAACTTTGACAGCCTTCAGACATGAAAGTCACGATGGTGTCTTCAAAATTTATCAGTATGTGGGCAACCACAGGACCCAGCCCGAGGACGAGAAGGCGCTCAAGTTCCTCAGCACTTATACGGATGAGATGCTGCTTCTCAGAAAGCAGGAGTTTAAAGATGGAATGCTGCTCAAGGAATACCATTTTGACCACCAAACGCCCTCAAAGAAGGGTGTCAAACTTGGCAAAGCTGCAGCTATCCGCATTCCAATTGGACGACGTTGCGTGCAGGGCGAGAACAATTTCAAAAGCGTTCAATACAACCGGAAGGGTCTCATCGAAGCTGGCTCGTACATGAAAGATGGCAGCCTTGTCCGATTCATGTATCATTATCGAAAAAACCCTAGATTTGGGGACGAGCTCCTCCGTGCTGAATTCGTCATGCCTCACATATCTTGCGAGGTTTTTTGGTGCGCTGCTCCTCGTCGCCATGCCGAGAACGTTGATCAATGGATCCCCCATTCAAGACCAACTAAGGCAAAATTCATGCAAGGTGCCACTGTATTCGAAAGTCGTTGGGCGTACGATCACAAATTTCATCCCACAATCGTCACCACTGTCAATGGAACAAATGTGAAAACACCTCCTATGATTGAACATGATCTCTTTGGTGTCCTCTCCAAGCCGAAAAACACAAGCTTTATCCACGATGATCCCTTTTTACACTGTGACAGTTTGAAGCCGAATGCTATCCTTCGGGTGTTGGGGCTGACAAAGAAGCGTTTCACTGCTTCAACATCTCGGGCTCGCTCTTTGATGTGGAAAGCGTGGAAAGAGCGTGACGAATTTGATGGAGTAATGCTTCGGTGGATGGATGATCGCATTCTGCGGCGAGATAGAGTCCTTGCCCCTTATTGGCGCAGTCGTGACTGGGGAAATCTCGATGCGGCCAAGGAATACTTGACTCTTCATGCAGATAGTATCATGGCTAGTGCAGATATGGATGGTGATATCTCCAGCTGGACGCCGCTGGCAGTCAAAATGAGCGATCTTTTCAGCTTTGGACCTGGTGGCGATGCCGTTCTCACAACGCAATCGGAGGAATTTGCTTCCGACAGCGATAGTGCCCTTCATGTCATGGCAGCCGACACTGGCACATGGCCCAATGAAGGTGGAGGCGTTTCTGCCTGTCGACGTGATATGGTCAATTCGTTGCGCACCATCAGGTGGCATATGCTTTGTGAATCGGCGAACGACTTTGGTATCCCAAAGCATCAGACCGAGCAAAATGTTCAGTCTCTGAAGATCATCCCACTCTGGGGATTGGATTTCCTCACTCCAACTCATGGTCTATTCCACAACAAGTTGGACTCGGAGGTGGACAATGTTTCTAGGACAAGCGAGTTTGACATCCGAATGAACTTCATTCCGATTCTGGCGGCACTGGTGAAAGGAGCACGAGCGGTGCATCTTTCCATGGCTGATGTCCACCAAGCTACCAGGGCACTTGTCAATCTCAACACATACTTTCAAGAGTCGCGTCACTGGTCTCAGGTCTGGAACAGTGAGCTTGTCAAACAGACTTGGCGTGACCTTTGGCTCACTCAAGAAATGCCAAATGTGACCCCTTCCACAGAATGGTTCAACACAGAGCTTCCAACTTTGCCATCTTTGGACGTTGCTCTCGAGCTATGGTACCGGTATCTTTTCATTTTCTCCATTCCAGTTCCTGAAAAGATTCCCGATGTTTTCCAGGCCTCACATCACAGCGTGAGCGCTTCATATGGCGTGGTATGTAAGATCAAGAAAAAATGTACTCTGCAAATCTGGGATCACGCTATCGCCTGGCGAGAAACGAATCTCTGCCTCTCATCTGCGCTATCAAAGCTTTCACCATTTGTGCGAAATGCTCTCCTTGGTCTGATACGCATCACATCCGTTCTGGTCCTTCACCACGCGGATGTCATTCTTTCATGTGCAGATTTCTTCAACCCAGGCTGGGAGGTAGAGATTGGAACCTGCCAGGGAAAAATTGAGCATCGTAACAAGTTCCGCCGCAAGGTAGACCCTGTCGTCAATGGTATCACGGACATGCAGAAATTCACCCCGGTGAATGAAATCAAAACCCAGCGCCCGACTGTGACGATGTTGTCTCATGTCTGGTATGCCAAGGACATCAAGACTGCTCTGCTTGCTGCCGATATCATCATCAACCAGTGGAAGTTTGATGATTACCACCTTGACATCTACGGAGCCATTGACAAGGCTCCAACTTACTCAACAGAGTGTCAAGAAATAATCGCTTCAAAAAGTCTCCGTGGCCGTGTTACTTTGCGCGGTACTGCAGATCCCATGAAAGTATTGGAAAAAACATGGCTGTTCCTGAACTCATCCCTCTCTGAAGGTTTACCCCTTGCGCTTGGCGAAGCAGCTTTGACCGGTGCACCCGTTGTCTGTACCGACGTGGGTGCTTCACTCCGCGTACTTAGCGACCCAGATGACTTTTCTCGTTTTAGTGCAGTGGTCGCACCGAATGACGCTCTCGCCCTGGCAAAAGCTCAAATTTCTTTATTGGCCCTTCTGGGTGAATGGAGTCAATACAGTGGAGATGGTGAGCCTGCGCCAATTCTTACCTCATCACCTACCCCTGAAGAGGTCGTGAAAATCACCCGTCGCATGTATGATAAAAGCCAGCAGCGTCGTGAATTAGGCATGAAGACTCGTCAGATTGTGCAAAAGTCCTTCAGCGGTGCCCGATATCTCCGAGAACACGAACAGATGTTGTGGATTGGCAAATCTACCACAACAATGGCAAACCGTACAATGGCGATGAATGACCTGGAAATTATCGACGAGGAAATCATCACCACTCCACTGAAGGCGATTACCGATATATCACTCGCCGGCCGCAATCTACCGCCATTCTACGATGTAGCTCTTAGTTCGAGCAGTTCTCCCGACGATATTGAGCCTCTCAGTCGTCTGCCCGGTTTTTTCCCACGTCAATTCAGATTCCCAATCAGGAATAACTCTGGTAGAGAACCAGCCACAACGCTGATGCCGCCTCGGAGCTTTAGGTCATCTCTGTCTAGTCAGCTTCGGTCACAGTCCCACGCAGCCACTGTGTCAGATGCAGGTCGCGAGCAATTGTATGGTCTGCGGCGGGAGGATTTGATGCAGTTCCGAAGCGCGGATGTCAGTTTGATTATGAGCCAGGATTTCCTACGCTCCGGTATGCTTTGGAGTGGCTAGACTAACTCCTCTATTTGTTTTGTGTTCTTTTCTCTTATAGCCTGTGGTCAGAATCTAGAACTTCACTAAGAATATCTTCCTTATTAGTTTATAGGCTGCAAATTTTTAGGACATCACTTTCGCCGGATCTCTTCATACGATAGGTAGCTGTACTAGAAGGCAGAGGACAAGTAGAGCTGATGGTATAACTATTGGTTATTCAAAAAGTTTCCTAAGACCAATGCTAGCTGCTGCAAGAGTTCAGGCTCCAAAGTGTACATACGGTGCCCACAAAAGGGGGAAACGCATCCACTTCGAACGTATCTCCATCATTGCCTTGTGTGCCGCTACCGCCACGGCCCTGTTGTGGGCCTCTTCCTCCATCGTCTGCTTCAAATGCCCATAGAATCCCCTTGCCATCTTCTCGCAGGCATCATCGTCCGTCTGCCACATTGATGCGATGACGTGACTGAATCCCGCCACCTGAAATCCACTAGCCAGATGAATCACCTCGTCCACCATCCGTCCAGGCCTGATCTCGGCTGTCGAGCAGGCTGACAGGTACGCTATTCTCGCTCTTTTCAGATCGAGGTCGAAGATATCCTGCACACTAAGATCATCCACCCTTGTTACTCCTCCGTGGCATTCCTGCAACAAAAGACGGCTTTTGAAGGGATCGTTGTAGTCGGATACTCCATGACCAGCAAAGTGAAGCATGTCGCATTGAGCCAATTTCTCACGCACCATCTTGGCATGAGGCTGATGAAGCATGTGAATTGAAAAAGCCGACCGTGTAGCCATCTTAATGGCCGCCTCTTCGCTCTCTACCCCGGGAAGATCCCTTTCACCTGGCGTTGTGGGCATTGTCACCACCAACAGCTTTGGTGTGTTACCGGGGGCATTAACACTCATTGCTCCCATTTCCCTCGCATGTGCGAGAGCTTTGATTGTGGGAGTGTAAGAGGAGATGGCCCAAGAAAGCGTGTTCTCTGTTGATCCATCTGAATGAATCCCAGCGGCGTGAAAAGGCAAATGATAAGCGCTCCCGATGCCAATCCACCAAATGCTAGGAAGTTTGCCTGGGTCAGGCTTTTGCATGCTCTGGACTTCCAGTAGAATAATTTCCACACAGTTTGACCACAGCCATCGCAAGAATTCTAGATATCGTTTGTTCTTTTTGCCCCTTTCTTGTGGATTGCGGTATGTTGTCAGCTCCTGGTTCAGCCATTTCTTCGTGTCTTCATCTGTCAACTGAGGCAGTCTGACTGATTTCACAGCAGACTGGCTGACAATGATGGCATCGCTTCGGATGTCCGTCACGTTGACTACCACAATTGGCCCTTCTGTGGCCTGCTTCTTCAGCTCGTCCAGCGTTGGCCCGAGGAGGAACCGTTCAAATCCTTCAAGCCGTCTGATAATAGAAATGGTTTCTTCCAGTTCCTTCACTGCCTCTAGGCGCCTTGTCATTCTATGTCGTCGTACATCCAAATCTTTATCTTCATTCACTGGCATGTTCACTTCGCTCCGGAGTCTATCAAAGGCCGCTGCCTTTTCTGGATGGGACTGGCTCAATGCTGAAATATCACTTCGATCGTCCATCAAAAGGCCTACAATTACTCCACGGCCAAGCTCTACTAAATTTAGAGCTTCAATTGCGTCACCGTTGCATTGCAGCGAAAGGGAACAGGCATTCCCAGCAAGGCCAGAAAATCGCGAGGCAATAATCCGCTGATCGTCGCGACTCAAGGAACGGTTATTCATTCTGGAAAGCATATCTATCGCTTCAATTGCGATTTTCCGGGCTCCGAACCAGTCACGTCGTTGTTTCAATAATCTGATGGCTTCGAGGGCCGAATCGACCCGAATGAATGGCATACCAGTTCGGCAGTCCCAGGCTTGTCGGAAACATTGCAGCAGCTGTTCCTGATGCTCTGCTCTGGGTGACAGAGACAGAAATCTTCCAAGATTGTGAGAAAGGGATGCAAACTGTGAACTGTCTTGTTTGGGGATATTCACTGCCTTCTGTGCTTTTTTGATTGCTTCTTCTAGATATTCCATCCTGCCGATACTCTCGAATCGACTCTTGAGCACGATACTTAGATTGTTCAGTTGCCCTGCAAAGCTTGGATGGCCTTGTGGGGTAAGATTAATCGCCTGTTGCGAGTATTGTATTGATTTTTCGAGGTCTTCCATCTTGCATGTTCTCTCAAATCGATGGCTAAGATTAGTGCCCAGCATTGACAGATTCCCTGCGAGGTTTGGATTACCCTGTGGAGTGATATCCACAGCTTCCTGCATGCGCTGTATCGACTCTTCCAGATCTTCCATCCTCCCTATTCTATCAAATCGCTTTCGAAGCTGATTGCCGAGAACTTGGAGATATACCGCAAGTCTTGGATGGCCTTGTGGAGTAATATCCACTGCCTTCTGTGTGCTTCGTATTGATTCTTCTAGGTCTTCCATCCTACCGACCATAACGAATCGATCTAGAAGGTGTTGGCCTAGATCGCATAAACAATCTGCGAGGTCTGGATGATCTGGTGGAGTGATATTCACTGCACGCTGTGTGCATCCGATGGACTCTTCTAGGTCCTCTATACTGCCCGTCCTTTTGAATCGATCCATAAGCTTGAGACCAAGATGGCGTAAAGACAGCGCGAGGTTTTTGTGGTCCTGTGGAGTGATATTGACCGCTTGCTGTGTTCGTCGAATGGCCTCTTCTGAGTCTTCAATCCTGCCTGTCCACTCAAATCGTCTTTGAAGTAGAACAGCAAGGTTGCATAGATGTGAAGCGAGTTCCGGATGTTTATTTGGAGTGATATTCACTGCCTTCTGTGTGTGTCGGATCGCTGCCTCTAAGTTTTCCATCAACCCTTGACACTCAAACTTTGAATGAAATAGAATCCCAAGATTGCTTAGGTTGATAGCGAGTCTCAGTTGATTTCCTGATGTGATATCCACTGCCTGCTGCATCAATCGTATTGATTCATCAAGGTCCTCTATTCTGCCTGTGAGGTCAAATCGATTCTTAAGCTGACTGCTTAAGATCTCCAGATGATTTGCTAGACTTGGATGGCCCCGTGGAGTGGTTTTCACTGCTTGTTGTAAATATCGAATTGATGCCTCAAGGTCTTCCATCCTCCCTGTCTTCCAAAATTGATCGAAACGCTTTTTACCAAGATTATTGAGAAGCATTGCGAGGCTCAGAATATCGTCTGGAAAAGTATGCACTTCCCTCTGCATGCGCCTTTGGAGCTCCAGACTTGTGCGGGGACTCAGGTCAGTCGATATCTTCAGATGGATTTCTTTTACAAAGTTCATCCATCCAGGGAACTGTAAATTAATGAGTGCTAGCTGTTCTGGAAAGTTTTTTTTTTTATCATACCTGTGTTCGTGCCCAGATAGCAAGCCGATCACCTTCTTCGATAAGGGGAAGAACGCGACTACCACTGCCATTGCTGCCATCTCGAGTCCATGTGATGGTGTGATGTTGCCAGTCCCATTGAATTGCGTTCTTGGCAATCAATACACTTCTCACTGCTGGTTTCGCATTTGAACCCTCGCCCTTCTCTCCGGGAATGTCTTTAAAATACAAACCCTGCTCCTGGAACACCTTTCCGAAATCATCTGGGCTCGACTTGGAAGACATCTCATCAAGTAGATTTTGCAGATCCGGGTTTGCATCCTCCATCCAGGACCCCAGAATAGACACCTCAAACCAAGACCAGACTCCACCCTGCGGGTTGGTACACCATCCTTGGTCATGACTGGTAATATCGAATTGGACGATAGAGATGTTTGCCGGAAGTGGATTCGAGACGAGATATAACCCAGTCCATCTGGTTGAAGCTGATGGTGCCGGTAGTGGCGGTGATGTCATCATCTGAGTTCGCGTACCATATGAATGTAGGCTCATCGAGCCTTTTGGGGATGCCATCTGTGGATGAAGATATTGTTCAACTGCTGTGTCCCAGATCAGGGAGTGTGATGAATAATATTACGGTCTCGGGCGTCGATTAGTATGACTGTTGGAAAGAGTGCCCCGGCTGCTGGCTACTTCCCAGTCTCGTTTCCAGTGGGTGGCTTAGCTTTCCCTGCAACACGGGTCCAGGTTTCTAACCGAATGCTTGTTAAAGCCCCTCCACCACCAAAATACTTTTATTGGTCCGTCAGACAGATGCCTTGACGGGGGTCAATGCAAAGCGGCAGAAAGGGAGTGTCGATCTCAGGAACCCCGCATAGCGGGAGCGAATCAGAACCAATAACAGGGACGTGTTTGCAAATTGCGGCAGATATGTAGTTTTGCGCAGCGAGTAAGTTACGTGGGACGGGCCCATTGGCTGCTGTGAACTGTTACCTGACATGATCCGGGACTTTTAAACACGGGCGTGGCGCAGGGGGTTGTATGTCGTACGTCCATAAAAATGGGTAAATCCCCATGAAGCTTCAACCATGCCCCAATCTAAATTTTGCATGAGATGCAGTCAACACTCATCTGTCGTACTTTTTTGTCTCGCGAGTCGATACGTCTCGGGCGCTTCGTTCGGAATATAGATGAACCTCAAGCAGACTTCCTCGATGCGGAGTTGGATATTCCTCGGAATTCTGTTATCGTCAAATCCCACCTGCATTTTGAAGAAGTACAACAAAATTTGCAAGATAAGTCTTTTACTGCCACGTTATCAAGTTTAGTGTCGGCCTCTCGCAGCAAGTACAATCATGCGAGTACTCAGGTCAGCACTGAACAAGTCAAGACCTATCAACTTAGCAATTCCGGGTCGTGGTTCAGGTCAACGCTCAAATCAGAGGCTGTCCGTGAATGGATCAAAGACGCCATTGACATGGGTGATGACATCTTCGTCATAGTGGGATACCACACAATGACGGATGCAAGGATCATCGAGGGTGTGGTGGACGCAGCCGATGCGTCTGCTTGGCTTCAACTTCCCGTGGGAGAAGCGCTCCTCGCAGCCGGTGTTGTAGCCCCATTGGGAGATCTGGTGGACCCCGGGTTTGGAGTCAATAATTGCAGCCAACGGGGTGTTCTCAGACGGTTTGTGGCAGTCGGCGAGCAGGTCTGTGCAGTGCAGTATCGCAAAGTCCGCTTCAAGTGGTTTTCGAGTCGCGACTTGGACAAAGTCTCACTAGAGAAGAACAATCGGTGGAAGGTGTATTGGAATGTACGAGGTCAGGAGATTGGTGCAAACGATGTGGTGGAAGTAGACCTACAAGAGGAGTTGGAGTTGGAGGACGACAGCCATGAACGACATGCGTTTAGCACGGAGCAATTTCTGATATGAGATATCTGTCAACTAGTTGCATCTTGATTGGATGACGAGCCATGGTATATGGAGCATAATTGCCTTATTATCCAGCGCACTTTGAACTATACTATACTAAAAGCCACCATTGAACGACTTCCAAAAGGGATTATAACGTTTGCGCGTGGCTAACTTAGTTCGATATTATATATATCCTCGAACCCTATTGAAATGAATATCCATCACTGTGTCTATTCTTCAGTACTTTTCTTCACAGCCAATGACGGGTCGGCAGGGCCAGCGCTCATGACAATAGAGTACACTATCACGGCCACGGAGCAAGATGAGTCACGGTCTACACATGCAACCCTCATTCTTTCCGGCGATCGCTTTTCCCCAAGATTTATTGAAGACGCCAGTGACCTCGTGCGGAGACCTACTAGGCCTTAAATAACCTAGGATAAAACTCAATCATCGACGGTAACAGATTGACCAGATCTACTTACATAAGTGGTAAATACTATCTTTCCATAAGGAATAAGGATTCGACCATCACGCCACCTACTCAGATTGGAATGTTTATCCTCAGAGTAAGCTCAGTACCAAAGCGAGAAAAGTGTATAAACGCGCGGACTAGGCCAGAATTGGTGAGGAAGTAGCCCGGCAGATGAGTATCTAGAAGGATAATAAGACCCGGCAAATACTCGACCGACTTAAGGAAAAGCTTATATCACTGACGGCCTAGGCGGTCGACCTGTTCACGCCTGTTACTCCCGAATATTATACTCTGAGTACTAGTTTGTACTAGACCTTAAGGTTTAATAACTCGAAGTAATTAGAGGTATATAAATAGCCCAGGTTCTTGGGAACCTAGGTGAACATTAAATTATTGACTATCGGATTAGTTAGATGGTCAAAGGGCTCTCCAAGCTTATATGTAGAGTAAGAGAAAGGGAAAAAAGTAAAAGCATTCGAACGTGTGCTAAACATTTCACGGTGTACCCAACCAAGAGAGGCGTTGATATGTATATCTCTCTCTATCTTTCTTCTTTCTCCATTCCTGGCGAAATACAGGTCTTGTCTGCTTCGTCTGTTCCCATGCTACCATGTAACACCTTTCTTCGCCTGGCCGACTGCTGGATCCAGTTGTCGACGCCAATAAATGTACACGCACTCAGCGCTGCAACTTGATGTGGCAGTGACAGATCCTGCGCCTCAGCCGCAGCAACGCACATTATAATCAATACCCCTCTCCATCCTTGGAAAGTCGGCGCGTAAACATCAGCAATGTTAAAATCTCGAATTTTCTTAACTCCTATCATTTTCAAGGAAAGTCAATCCAGGCTTTAGATTGCGACTCCAAAACCATGGCACGTTCAACTTTGAGCACTTTAGACAACTCTGATCTTTACACCGTCGGATGGATCGCCGCTCTCCCCATAGAGCGTGCCGCAGCGACTGCAATGCTTGATGACCGCCACAATACACCGTGTGACTTCATCCAACATCCTTCCGACACGAACTCATACACCTGGGGCAAGATGGGAGAGCATAACGTCGTGATTGCCTCGCTCCCCGCTGGCCTATATGGCATAGCCTCCGCAGCGAATACGGCATCAAGCCTTCTCTCATCATTGCCTCACATTCGAATCGGCCTGCTAGTAGGGATTGGTGGCGGTATCTCTCAGCCTGACCAGGGTCGAGATATTCGACTTGGCGACATTGTCGTCAGCCAGCCACAGGGAACAACTGGTGGAGTAATTCAGTATGACCTTAAGAAGGCGATCGCAGGTCAAAAGCAGGATCGGAAAGACTTTCTTAGTATGCCCCCACAAGTCCTCCTCCAAGCACTTGGAGCTCTGCAAGCAGACCACGAACTAGAGGAATCTATGGTGCCCGAATTTCTGAGTGCTATGCCGCGAAAATCCTCCCGGACCGCCAGTGGCACTAAGAAAAACGACGGGTATTCACATCAAGGATTCGAAAACGACAGGCTTTTCAGGTCATCATACATTCACACGGGTGGACATGACTGTCATGGCTGTGATTCGACAGAAGAGGTAGAGCGTGATGAGCGGGACACCGCCGACCCAGAAATTCACTATGGGATTATTGCGTCTGGAAACACATTGGTCAAGGATGCCGCCACGAGAGACAAGATTGTGGATGATGTCGGTGAGGAATGTATCTGCTTCGAGATGGAAGCCGCTGGCCTGATGAATTCCTTTCCATGTCTCGTTATCAGGGGGATTTGCGATTATGCCGATTCACACAAGAATGATCGGTGGCAACGATATGCCTCTGCTACCGCTGCTGCCTATGGAAAAGAGCTCCTCAGTTATGTTCCTGTGAGGGGACTCCAACAGACACGGAGGGCTCTTGATGTGCTTAAATCTAGTTGGTCTCCTTCTCTTCGGTGACTTCTCTTCTTCGGCTTATATTTCTCAAGTGAATCAAAATATCCAAAGTCTCCACGTTCTAGCAAGTGATACAAGAGAAAGGTTAGAGAATCTCAAGTCAAGCGGTCACTTTGATGCCATCCAAAAGTGGCTTTCACCGTCTGATACGTCAATCAATCTCAACGAGGCGCTGAAAAAACGACAAGAGGGAACTGGCTCCTGGTTCCTCAAATGTGAGCCTTTCCAAGAGTGGAAAACAGGGAAAAATCAGTCTCTATGGCTACATGGGATCCCCGGTTGTGGGAAACCGATTCTTAGTGCCACGACTATTGACCATCTCAACCAGACAGCTACAGCTGAGTCTTCATCTGTCATACTTGACTTCTTCTTCGACTTCACAGATACCGATAAGCAGTCACTGAATAAGCTTATTCGATCCCTCATCTCACAGCTTTACTCGAGATGCCCGGATTCCCGATTGGAGCTGGATGAAGTATTTTCATCTCACGGAAATGGCAACCGTCAGCCAACAGAAAAAGCACTTTTCGAAGTATTCTCGACAATGCTGAATCAAATCAAAACTGTGCAAATTGTCATTGATGCCCTTGATGAATGTGTCACTAGGAAAGATCTACTCCTTTGGATAGAAGGTCTCATCAGCCTAAAACATTCAGGCCTCTACCTTCTCGTTACCAGTCGAAGGGAGGAAGAAATTGAGTCAGGACTACAGCACTTTATCCATGATGGGGGTATCATTCCCCTTCAGCAAGATCTGGTTAACGCTGATATTCGCACGTATGTCCATCAACGACTATTGGATGGCCGTGGGTTCGAGAGGTGGTCCTCACATCCAGATGTGCAGAGAAAGATTGAGATTGAATTGATGCTGAAAGCCAATGAAATGTAAGACGAATTTTGGTTATGGAAGTTTGGGATGTTCCAGTTAACTCACACAAATGCAAGCATAGGTTCAGATGGGCTGCATGTCAACTTGATGTTTTACAGGATTGTATAAATATCGAGCTGCTTGAGAAGTCGCTACAGCGTCTGCCCAAGACACTAGAGGAGACCTACGGCAGGATCTTGGCCGGCATAAGCGAAAGCCACAGAGAGTACGCAGTGAGGCTCCTGCAGTTTTTGACATACTCAGAGCGACCTCTGACGATTGAGGAAGCTGTTGACGTTATGGCCATCAACTTAAATCGAGATCCCTCATTTGATCCCGCCCGGAGAATGCCAAACCCTCGAGAGATTGTGAGATTTTGCTCGAGCCTCGCCTCTATTGTTGAAAGAGAAAGTGTACAGAAACCGTGGGAAACCCCAGATAGGGTCGTGGTGGTGGAGCTTCAGTTGGCGCATTTCTCGGTTCAGCAATACTTAAAATCCAGTGGGATTCAAAGTAGCTTCCCAAAAGATGCCACTGAGAACGGTGCGGCGTTTCAAAAGGAGATGCATGAAATGACTGCAAGAGGTCTAATCACAAGAACATGCCTTGCATATTTGTCTCATCCAGACCACCAAAAAACCTTCGAAGAAATCCGAACAGAGTTTCCATTCGTGCGTTACTCTGCTCAACTTTGGATTGACCATGCAATTGTCACAGAGACAGAGAAAGTGGTGGAGCAAAGCATCATAGAATTTTTCCTACCACAGAGCCAAGCATTCAGGGTATGGTGTAAATTATTTGATCGACATCTAATTAATAGACCCACGATAACTCCGATATATTGTGCATCTTTAGTTGGTCTTCAACATGCGACACGACTGCTCCTTGATGCCGGCGCTGATATCAACGCACAGGGAGGAGCCCTCGGCAATGCACTCCAGGCTGCCTCATTCAGAGGTAATATTACGATCGTGCAGCTGCTCCTTGATGCTGGCGCCGATGTCAACGCACAGGGAGGAAAATATGGCAGTGCACTCCAATCTGCGTCATCTGGAGGTCATATGGACATTGTGCAACTGCTTCTAGACGCCGGCGCTGAGTACAACCAGGAGAATTGGGACTCAAACGACTCTTCATTCAAATTTTAGTTTGAGGCCTGGGCCTCCAATGTTCGGAGACTGCAATTCGTTCTTCGAACAATTAAACATTGGAGGTTCAATTCCGCGGGACGCCCACTGAAGGTTCAATCGTCTGTAGATACTCGCATAATATACCTAGCAAACATTTGGCGACGTTCAATGTTTGGATCCAATCTACTCCTCTATTTCTTGGGTACACGCGGACTTTGGGACACACGTTCGAAACCTCTAGCCCTTGATCTTTTTTTTTCTCTTTTTCTCTTCGCGTTTCTTCTCTTCTCTTTCTATCCAGCTATATGAATTTGGAGAGGTCTATGACTATTTAATAATCCGGTAGGAAAGAAGGTAGTATACTAGGCAGGCGACCGGGTACTATGCGAGTAGGAGACTGAGTAGGATACCAGATAGGATACTGAGTGGGAAATATAGTAGGACCCCATATGGTATATTATGTATAACACCTAGGTAGGCGTGGCGGAAAGCCTCTAGTTACCTAGAACATGCACTCACATGGAGACCATCAGGGATCTCAGTAGCTGCCAGTGGGACACATATCTGTACCCCTATATGCCGGTTCATCCAAGGTTCAAATCCTCCAGCCAACTATGGGATTTTGAGTAGCGAAGACTTGATGTCCAGAAACTGGTCACAGTTAGGGGTATTCGAGTAGTAAAGAGCGGGATTTGAATGAACGTCATGTATCAATGCGAAAAAAATCCCGAAATAGTATATTTATAGAAAAGAAGCGATCATGTATCGCGGCACACGTGGTATAAAATCTACAGCTTAGATCCCCAAGCAAAGAAACCAGATGACAGTGAGCGCTTGGCTTTGTTCCATACCGAATCCTCTTCCGGCTTCGGGTTCGCAATGCGATGCCACTCGCCATTGAACGCATTAATGAGCCAGCTAGAAAGGCCTATCGAGACTGTCAGTGATTTATATAATCAAACGAAAGAAAATCAACTTACGTTCATAGACCATAGTATGCCCATTGTGGAAGACAATGCTGTGGTCGGAGTCGGGGTAGATCTGCATGTCGTAATTGTCGATATTCGCCAAGTCCAGCTTGTCGATGAGAGTGAGAGTGTTTTGCAGATGGACGTTGTCGTCCGAATTACCATGCATGATCAGGAATCGCACGTTTTCGCCCAGGGACTGGACATCAGTGATGGATGAGTTCGCGTAGCCTGATGGATTGTGCTGAGGTGTGTGCATGTAGCGTTCGGTGTAGATCGAATCTTTAGGAATGATTGTTAGTACACGTCCTAAAAATCTGCCAACATCACTCACCATAGTACATCCAGTTAGTCACGGGTGCTACGGCCATGCCATACTGGAATGTTTGGCCTGCATCCTGCTCAAGAACCTTGAGAGTCATGAAGCCACCGAAACTCCAACCCCAGATTGCCATGCGGGTTTCGTCCACGTAGTCTTTGGCTGCGTAGATCTTAGCGGCTTCGATCTGATCGTGAGCTTCATAATGGCCAAGGTTGCCGCGGACAATGCACCGCGCTTTGCGTCCAATCAATCCCGTTCCTCGGCCATCTACAGTAACCACAATGTATCCCAGGCTGGAGGCGACGTAGGACTGAAAATCGACAGTGAACTTGCGGTCCACGTATTGAGAGCCGGGGCCACCGTATAGGTAGAAAAGAACAGGGTACTTCTTGGCCGGATTGAAATGCGGGGGACGGCGTTCGACGACTTGGAGGGTGTAACCGTCTATGGTCACATTGGTATAGATTTCTGCTGGGAGCGCATAGTCTTCAACCATCTGAGTAAGTTTGGTGTTTTCTTCAATCACAGTCTCGTATTCGAGTTTGTCTCCCAGGGTGTTTATAATAGCTTGCCATGGCACTGCGGGTCCCTTGGAGCTGAGGAGAGCGTATCCAGAGCCCTCAGAGAAAGAGATCTCATAGTATCCCGCTTTGGATGTATCGGTCAATGGACGAAGATCAGATCCATCCAGTTTCACTTGGTAAACATGACGCTGGGTTGGTGCCTCCTTTGCCGCGATGAAGTACACAATATTCCTCTTCAAGTCGACGGCGGATGGTGCCGCCACCACCTCCCAGTCTCCCTTTGTGAGCATTGTAGGTTCGGTACTATCTAGAGGTGAGAAGTAGGCTAGATGGTCATAGCCTTCATGGATCACAGTATCAATATATCCGTCTTGCGGCCGGCCATTTGCAGGGTCAGCAGGGATGAAACGTGTGGACTGTGAGGGCTCGACCCAGCCCCCGTCAAGAGCGGCAACATCTTCTGAACGAACAACCTTTCCTGTTCGTGCCTTGGTGTCTACCAAGAAGATCTTCACCACGTCACTCTCACGGTTGGTCTCTCGGATAAGCACCTTGCCCTCGGACGCCCAAATAACTTCGATTATGATACGATCGTGGTCTTGGAAGTCCTCTGGCATGTCAACTCCAAAAACCTCAGCTCGATCCACATCATAGAACTCCAAGCGGACCACTGGGTTCGGGCTGCCGGCCTTTGGATACTTGATTTGTCGAACTTCCGGGTAGTTTTCAAGTCCAGGAAGCGGCTTTTTGCCTGAAGGACGAGAGAGATAATACTGAACAGGAAATTCAGGAACTTCAGCCTCCTCAGTCCGTAAGAAAGCAAGAAACTTGCCGTCACGCGACCACCAGGTTCCCGAATTGCCCGAGAAAACCTCTTCCTCATACACCCAATCCGGAACACCGTAGAAGAGATCTTTATTTCCATCCTTCGTGATCGGAATCACCTGATAACTGGACAGCTTGCGCAAGTAAAGATTGTTATCACGAACGAAGACAACAGCATCAGACTGGGGCGACCAAACAGCCAGCTGCACCCGGTCGCTCAAGTTACTCGGGTCCAACGGCTCGGCTGTTTGGGTTGCAACGTCGAAGATCCAGTATTTTCCATAGAATGAGTGTCGCCAGTTAGACTGCAGAGAGGAGGCGACCAAAACCTTCTCCATATTCGGACTTGGCCATGTCTTCGACGGGGTAACAAAATCATTGTCCACGGTGAAATGACCCTTCTTCATCAACACCCTGGTCTTGAGACTGCCACTACCATCCTTGCGACTGCGAATGTCCTCCACACGTAGGTATCCATCTCCACTTTCCCCACGCTCAACTAGAAGACCATCCTCGCCATTTGGACCGGCAATCCACGAGATAGCATGTGACTGCGCGGCCCATTGTCCCGTCAAAACCTGCTCCAATGTCACCGGCCTTCCGTAGCTTGTACCACCCGTTGCGGAATCCGGATCGTGTACGGAGACCGTAGAAACAGAAGACAGAGCGGACGCCGCGGGTCTTTTCTGAGCGAGGAAGAGCACGAATGCGAGGACCCAGCCACCGATGCAGAGGATGCCGAGTAGCCAGAGGACCCGACGCATACGATTGCTCGATGTAGTTTGTTTCTTATTGCGAGAGAGGAAAGGTTCGTCGGATCCGGGCTCGGCGCCATCTTCGATATCGCGGTATCGTTCGTCGTCCCCCTCCCTGTCGGCCGCGGCCAACAGTTCTTGCTTGTGTGCTTCCATGAATGAGGCCGAGGCGACCGAGAGTCCGGAGTCGGATGATGCGTGTGATTCGATTGAGGCAGTCCGTTGTCTTGTTAGCGGGACCGCTTCAGGGGTATCTTCATTCTCGAGCTTCCCCATGATCGATGATAACAGCTCGGGGTTCTGAAGTTCCTCGGGATCTTATCAGGGAAGTGTGGATCCGTGGGGACAAAGTAGCAACTCCCGAGACACGAAGCGGCAATGCCAAATCAAGTCGTGATCATTTAATAGAAAGGAATTGAATGATTATAATTCAGTGACAGCGACCATTGGGTGCACAGAGAAAGAAAGGAAGACAGAAATCTTAGGGGACAAAGATGAATTGGTCTATTGGACCCCATTTCGGGACTAGCGTCAAATCGAATGGCATCAAATCAAATCAATGGGGCCAGAAGACTGAAATAGATTCGGAGAAATTACATCCACGACCTATGTCATTTAAGTTGCAGCTTTTATGAAGTCGTCAAGCAATTCATCTATCATAACACATTTCTCAAGTTCTCCGGGGCCTAAATGACCAGCATAGAAGATCCTCCAGGAATCTAAATAATTAGATAACGATGAAAGCCTCCAGGGCCAGAAAGAAAAAATATGCAAATGCAAATGCAATCCCCTAGAATCATCACCGCTCCACAGCTTGTCTAACCCATTCAACCAAACCCATCCACTCTGGGGGCAAATTTCCAGCAAAATGTTGGATCACGCCGTGAACCAATCGCTTCCCTGATTCTCGAGCGAACCATTTCCGTGATGATAGATGCTTATCCAGGCCGTGGAACAAGACAAAGATAAGTGCCATCCATTCGCCTTGTTTGACAAGGTTCATGAACTCCTCACTGACTCTGATTGGCCAGACCAGGCTCCCTTGCCCAGATGGCCAGCATTCCAGACTCTGTAGCAGCAGCTTATATGTGTCTCGGTAGATATTCAATTGTGGCCCTGCAATACCTTCAATAAATGGGCGCAAGGTGTGGAATTTCTGTAAAATTTCCCTATCATTCAACTTAGCCCCCGTTGAAATTGAAACTGTTTTCTGATTAGTGCTCACATGTGTAGTTCCACTATATCCGGATCCTCACTAGTTTTCATTTGATAGTCAGCCTCAAATCAAGTTCCAATCAAAAATACCAGGGAAATTCGTACTTCGCTCGAGCAATAGCAAGTCTATTATTCCCATCCTGATAAATCCAAGAATCAAGCCAAGCCCGCTCCGTGCCATGGAACATCTGCATCCATAAGAACGCAGCTCCGCTAAGAATCGACCGAAGAGTCATAATCTCGCCCAGCGGGTCAACAGGTGTCTCATCACGACAAACATCCGGATATGCAGTGACCAGAATAAGAATAATAGCGGAGCACATGAACGATGCCTCGATATTTTGTGGATTGGTGACCAGTTCATGCCGCAAGCCCGCCGTCGCGTGCGTCTGATATGTCAACGCAGTCTCCAGCCATGTAGGAATCTCATCCGCGTCGATCTGTTCCGATGCCAGATGGAGAGCAGACACAGCAAGCAGGCTGTCCATAACATAGTCGTGACAAACAGCAAACTGAGGAATTTTCCCATTCCAGAAGCGTCGATCTTCATCGTCTTTGGCTATTGAAGGAAGAGTTGACTCGCATGCCTTGTAGAAGAGTTGCATCTCCTGCAGACGTGGAAGTCGTATAAACTCATCTGAGGAGATGCTAGACTGCGACGAAGATCTGTCTGATATTGAATTCTTAGAGTTCGTATTGGCTGAAGCTGGTCTTCTTCTGGGTCTAGGTGCTACGTATATGCAATCTAGCCCGCGTCGAATACAGAGGCTGCATGTTGGGCGTTTCTCATCGCACTATCAGCAATATTAGCCATGGATGATAGTGTTGGAAAGGGACTTCACGATAGTTTTATTGTTTTCTCACCTTGACATGTCGCTCTTTACATTGGATGCAGCCCCGCCTGGACTTAGTATGGCAACGGCGTGGCATATTGGTATGAGGTTGGAGACACGCATTCAGCGCGGGGATGGAGAATACATCAGTTTTGCAGATTTACATCAACTGGGACCATTGGGGGCTATGGGGGCCAGAAGTTCATCTCGATAACGTGGATGAAACTCCGGTGTGGGGTACATTTTATATTTGAAGTCTATAAGCCACAAGTATCATCCAAAAAAAATATGTCCAGAGTCTTTTAGAGTGAGCTATCGCTACTATCACATATGTGTAAGACTAGCACAGCACTAGTGTTAGTCGAAATTGAGAAGGATTCATCTAGATGCTAGAGGATTGAAGCCCCAGGTTTGGTCTGCCTTTAGGGTAACGATCGACGTCGATCAAACCGGGGGCCAAAACTATCTTTAAATAGATCTCAGATATACTAATATGTACTAGTTACTGCATGGTATGTATTTAAATTGCCTGTTATAGTAGGTGACCGGAAACCTAAACCTAATATCTACATCCATTGAATCGTTGCTGCCTACATTGTGAGTTCTCACGTAATCGAGACATCAAAGGTCAAGGAATGTAACATTACGGGTACAGCTTCATGGAAATTGCCTATAATTTCTTGCTTAATTCAGTGGACCATATTAGCTGAGTTGGATGCTGGTAGAAAATAGTCACTGGTCTACCATGGGCTGAAGTAAAGCCATCCAGTGCATACTGTGGCTCACCAGGGCTCACGGGTTGACTCCAGATGCCCGCTCAAGACCAAGGCTCAAGACTGTACGATTCTTACAATATTCATGGAAGAACACAGCCATTTAATCGAGAGTGAGACCAACATTCTGGTGTACATAATGATCATCGCTTCATAAAGAACAATTTGATCGAACCACATAGCAAACATCACGTATCTTTCACACTTTCAGGCCTCCCATCGAACGCTTCAATGTGCAATTTCTCAAGAACCAATTTGTAAATCTCTCAATCTTTCCTCCAAGTCTTGCGCACGCGTCACTCCACCGACCGCTTGATGATGTTGACCACCTACGGCCGATCCACACTCGGGGCATCTCGATAATTGCATGGCACCTCCACACTCGCCGATCGTAAATGGATGTCCATTTTCGCAGTAGTACCAGTGTCCGGTTCCTCGAAATTCTGTCGCCATAGCTGCAAGAACAGCCATGCGCTCTTCATTGGTCACCGGGGTATAGAATGTATCCCCACCAATCATGGTCTTGGTGCCCTCAATTTCATCTAAAAGACCGCGTGTCTGCCCAGGGTGCATATCGCAAAGCCGCTGGGCCTCTTCAATAGCAGCATTAGCCTGCGTTAACAGAGTCTCGGCTTGAGTCGGTTCTTTCACGTTTCGTCGCTCGAAGGCACATAATTGAGCGAGAAAAATATTGCCTTCGGTTCGTTGAAAGATGCGATGCGAGTTTGTTGCGTCGTCAATGAGTCGTTGACATTCTTCCCTGTTCTCGTTGAGGTTGACATGTAGGACTCCTGAGTCTGTGCCGGCGCGGACAAGCTTCTTCATGGAGAAGAAATCACCGAGGAGAGCCGTGTCCAATCGAAGTAGTAGCGAGGTAGCTTGTATTTGGCCCTTTGTTTGAAGGACGTTTTCATCAAAAACGAACTGGCCGGATGTCTTCTTGCGTCGACGTGCGTCTTCGACCATATTGTGGACTTGGCTGAATGGCTGCTCTTCCATCTTCACGCGTGCTTGATAATCTACTATGCTGCGCCGAAGACTTAATATTTCTTTCCAACGCCGCTTGTCCCTTTTATTGACCAAGCTGCTCATCAACAAAACTTGGTCCCCGGGTGGCCCCTGCAGTTTAATGTCGATGCCGGCGTGAAAAACCCTTGCGGCTGTGGTCGCAGCTCCTTCGCATTTCTGCAGTTTAGACAGGACATCTGGTAGCTCCTGGGCCAGTGGCACATATTGCTGATTCAAATACAAGATGAACTTCTTCGTCGCTTCGTCTAATAGAGCACGTCTCACCAGTCGTCCGTAACGAGATAGGCTGCGCAATGAACCTCGACATGTTGCACATGTTCGAATGTCGTCGATAGCAAATGGTTCCGAAGATGACGAGATTGAGATTGGCTTGTCCATGTCATCCAAAACGTAATGCTTTTTGAGGTCCATTTGCGCGTCCATACTTTCAATGGTCATGAAGTGACCACACTGAGGGAAGATGCACGGGTTCTTCATTAGATCAATGTCGCGGTATGGCTCCCCTAGGATAAAGTCGACCGGCGTATCTTTGACTTCGTCGGATCCACAAGTCTGACAGAACTGCTCAGGGGGGCAGGCTTCACCGCACACGGATGGACATTGGTGACCACAGGGTAACATCTTTTCGCATCGTAGCGAGCACGGGGTATGATCGCAAGGTGCGGCACAAGGCATGGTGCAAGAGCTGTGCGGACATGAAGAAAGGCATCGAGAAACTGCACAAGGGGCACATGGCTCAGAGCACTTTTGCGGGCATCGAGAGTGGCCGCATTGTACATCACAAGGCGAGGAACACGGCGGGCACGCATTCTTTCCGTGACATTCGGCACTACATCCATGGGCACATGTGGAGTATGGTCGCCCACACTTCTGTATACAGGTTTCGTGGTCGATTGTTGGGCCCTCGGGTGTGCGTTTGATACAATTCAAGCAGAGATGCTTGCAATCATGCCCACATGGTAACACTGTCTTGCAGATACATTTGCATTCGTAATCGAGACTTTCAACATCAACATGGCAGGCAACGGTGGCAGTGTGGTTGCAATGCGGAATCTTCTTTGCAACAAGAATTGGGCACTTGACAGTGCTAATGTCTTGAGATTGCCAGCACGGGAGAGATGTCATTTTATGACCACAAGGAAGAGTTCGGTTGGCATCAAAAACGGAGATTTGGCATTTATTCGGGCAGACGTCCCCACAGAGCTTCGGGCACGGATGTGTACAGCCCTTTCTTGGTCGAGGACAAGGCTCCGAGCAATAGACGGCCTTGTGCAGCATATCAGAATGACACTTTTGCTTGCATGGGTGTCCACATTGGAGACGCTTTCCACATTGAAGACTGCAGCCTCCTTCCGGTGAGAACTGAACAAAGTCTTCCGGCTCTATCACTGCAATTCGAGTTTCTGGATGACGAGGGCAGCTCAGTTCCAGATGAGGTCCGATATTGCCGTCGTTTTCCAAAATTTCAAGGACTTTTCCCCACATCTCAACACCTCTAGAAGTCTCTGAATTTCCAATGATGTACATCCCGTGTTTTGCGCGAGACAAAAGGACGTTGATTCGGTTCGGTGTACGAAGGAAACCACAGCGGTTCTGGCTGTTGCTTCTCACCAGAGATATTACCACAACCTTTGCCTCCTCACCTTGAAAGTTATCAACGGTTGCTACTCTGAGGGTCTGGAGAAGTGTAGATCTAGTGGTGGTTGTCTTTTCCGTCTGAGTTTCATCGCCTTCGAATCCGGCATTTTCCAGGTCTTCCTGGTCTCTTTCTCCCAACGTGATAGCAAATGACCCGGCAAGCTTTCGACGCATTTTATGGAGTTGGCCAAGATAGGGCGTAAGAATAGCAATTTCTCCACTTTGATAGACTCCTTGGCTGATGAGGTGATTTATCAAGGCCACTGTTAGATCTATTTCATGATCGTTCCAGTGCGATGTTGCCAGTGGATCCTGGCTCGACGCGCCACCCTCTGGATGGCGATGATCAAGCCAGAAAAGCCGTTTTCTCATTCCAGCTACCTCTGGATACTCGGAAACCGAAGGCTCATCTTGCAACCGTGGGTATAAAGTTTCGCGAATGAGGCGGGAAATTGATGGAAACATTCGTCTTTGAGTTTCCAGGGTGCAGAATGGTATCTGAACGCCGACCTCATCGTCGGGCTCCACAAGCCTTTCAAACAGCGATCGGTCCATTGCGTATTGTTTTCCTTCATTACTCTCGCGAGAAAGTCCATAATTCTGGATCTGAGGTCGGAGCTGCTGATGGTCACCGATGAGTATGAGGTGCTCGACTGATGGCAACAATGATGTGAGCAAGTGAGCTTCTAAAACCTCTCCCGCTTCTTCACAAATGAGAACTCTCGATCTCAATCTCCGCAGCATGTTGAGATTGCGAGCTAATCCTGTTGTTGTCACGCCGATAATATCCGCGTCCCGAAGACATCGAAGATCCAATTCGTCGCGTATCTTATCATAGAAAGCCTTGGTTTCTTGATGAGCAGATAGAAGCACTTGCGCTCGGGAATGTGCGTTGGCTTTTTGATTCTCGATCCAATAGTCATAGAGAACTTCTCGTTCTTTGGCTGTCATTGTGTGGACATGGACATCCATGAGCTTCTCAATGGTACGTGGCGGATCTTTGCTTGACTTGCCGCCCCTCAACCAAGACCGTATTACATCACGGGCATCGCCTTTGTTCTGCATCTCGAATCCATCTTCATCAGTGCCAAATAGCTGCAAGTAATGAATGGTGTAATTGCTCTGAAGGTAAAACTTCAAGCTTATTTCTGAGCCGCATGCATTCAGGTGAAGTTTCTGAAATGATTCTCCATAAGAATCGAACTTGTTCTGCGATTCCCACGCGTCCCTCTTCTCTGGTCGTGTCTTTTCGATATTACGAACAACGGTTCGAAGATTGAGTGGCTGCAGACGGTCTGATTTGGATTGAGAGCCAATGCGGATTATCTGAGAAGTAATACCATGGTCCAAAACATCTTCCAGTAGCTGATCAAGGGCATGATTTGTGTAGCACACGCATATGATGGGCCCTAGCCCTTTGCCGATTTTCTTCTTATTTGCCAGCAGAACTTTGATCAGAGCCACTCCAGTGTAGCTTTTGCCAGTACCTGGTGGGCCTTGAATCAATCCAATCCGCCGCTGTAGGGTGCTGACCAGTGCCTGCGCTTGTGCATTGTCGAGGGTAGAGTGTGTTTGAAGTCTCTCCATGTCAACTGTCTGGGAATGCTGCACTTGAAGGCTAGAACCATCATTCATCAGGCATTTCAAGTCGAAGCTGAATCCCAAGGCGGTCGCGTAAACTGGCGGAGGTACATCCTCCAAGAGCGACAGTGAATTGACATCCTGGGGAGCAAGGAATTCTGACATCGAAAAATCCGTGGCCTTTTGCATCTTTTGAAGAGCGATCAAGGTCGGTTGGAAAGAAGGCAAAAGGATGCCAGGAAACTCCACAAGCGAGACTGAGAGGCTCTTCTTTGAGGTCTGTAGATCGAGAATGTACTGCCAATTATTTTCTGTGCACTCCACGAGTTCCAGAATGATGGAGGCCTTTTTCTCGTTCTCGGAGAGAGATCCAGACATCTTCTCCTTGGTAACTGTGGATGCTTTAGATCCTCCACTAGATCGGTCGGGTGTAGATACTATGCAAAATATCGCAAAGCCTCTTGGATCTAAGAGACATACGAGAGCACTTGCCTGGAGCCGCTTTGAGAGTCCCCACCATTCCTTCCTCTTCTTGTCGTTCATTCCTCGCGTGTTCAGTGGCTGCATAAATTCAACGAGGAATTGCATCCCCGAGTACCGATGCAGATCCACGCTTTGTACAGTGACATTCTGGTATACATGCGTTCTCGTTTGGGCTTTCCGGCCGTTAGGGTGTGCACCCGGCTGAAGCTCCGTATGTATAACATCTCGAAGCTGGCCAATGGTGTCTTCCCTAAGAAGTCGGAAGTTCCTATCCAGCAGCCCGGCAATTCCATTCAGATGCCATTGACGAGGATCCTTGGGGGGCAAATATTCTGAACGAGAGCTGGATATCTCATCAAATGTTGGCATGATGTTGATTTTGCAGATATCTGCATGGTCGTTGTCATGGCGGCCACCGGGTGGGTCTCGTTGGGTGACAAACGCCACTGTCTTTTGGCTTGATTCGAGTTTCTTCAGCGTCCCTGATAATTTTGGCAAAGAGAGTCCAATATCAAGCTGTCGCTGGAGACGCTCCAGATATTGGTATGACTGATGAATGGAGCTTCCGCTATCCAGGGCATGAATTGTCGTGAGAATTTCCGCAAATCGTTGTGCCACTGGCTTCAAAGGCTCTTGGACGAAGGCGGTTGAGTTCAGCTCAACTACCTTAGAGAAGACTTGTAGAGATATTTCAAGGTACAGGACTGCCGCATTTCTATCCCTGTCTAGCTCTAGACTCACAGTTTCCGAGAGAAATTCCAAGAAAGGCTTTCCCCGGCGACCATTGGGCCCGAATATGCAGTTGAATATCGTAACGACAGCTTGCTCCAGAACCAAAGACGAGATGACTTCAGGATAGGTGATAAGTTCCAAGAATGGAAGAATCCTCTGGAAAGTCGTACTCTTTGTGGCATTTGGTAGAGAAGAGAAGTCCGCTCCAATCAGCTCCTGGATCTTTCTCAGGCCGCTTTCATTGGAAAGAAGCCGAATCACATTTTGTAAGGTGCTTTCGTCAACCTCGATGAGCCTTCTAGCCTCCATAAAGAATGGACCTAGTCCTGGCCCCAAAGGATAATTGGCAGATGCTTTCCTCCTCCATTGTCCAAACTCGCCAGATTGTTCGGGCTTGCGATCTTTCTGGCCTTGGTTATCGGTTAAAGGCTGAGACGCGTTTTGGGGAGCAACATGCTCGAATCGACAGGGATTGAATCGGCAGGAACCATGCTTGGCAAAGTCGCGACAGATTCTTTAGTGGTCAATATAGTGCAGTTCTAGGACCAATATATAACAGGCGTACTTACTTTTTGGCCATTTCAAAGTTGTATCCAGCTACTGTTTAGGCGTGTTGATATGTTCAATGTTATTCTGATAGCGAAAGCTTGTCTGTTGAATGATATCTTGATAAAATGGTTGACAAGAGGCAGAGGATTGCCCGTATAAGTATTTGTCTGTTTAGTCGCCTCAGGTATCAACATGCATTATCTACGACGAGGCTGAGTTGCCGTATGCACATTGGCGGAATAACTGCAGTGAACTGAACGATATGTCTGCATCACTGCGTAGCCCACCAAACAGCATATGTGGGGGTCACTGTACATGCAGGACGCGTTCAGCTGTACCGGAACGGACCGCGCCTCATCAATGTCTATCAATCAATTGGATGTGCACCAAAGTTCGATATGGGCGTATATTTTCCGGATCCAAGATGAGCCTACATGTGGGGTTTCACTACGCGCTGATCTAGAATTGCCCAACACTGCGCACATATGCATGCTTTGCTGCGCATCAAGTCTGGCCAATCAGAATAGTTAGAATAAACAGTGCAGTTGACTTCCAAGTTCCAACTTCCGCAATTTGCCTCAGGAGTCAGCCGCAATTCCGTATGGTACTTTTGATGCACTACTATGTGTAATCAACATGAGAACCGAATTAGGTAGGCCGATGCCAGTCACTGAAAACAAGTCAATTTGACATAATTGTCTACTCAGACTCAGTCTCCTGCTTGTTTTCTTGCACTTGTGCTCGGTTTCTGGCAGGGGTAGATTGTATTGAACTCATCGTCCGTAGTAGGGCATGCCAATGAGCCGTATCTACCTTATCATGCGCAATTCATAGCCAATGAAATCATGTATTGGGTCTCTATTCCAGATACCTTTTAGGTAGCTGGAGCCTGATTCTATCCGTTGTTCTCTAGTCACTAGCGCCAAACATTGGAGGACATTCTAATAGGGCGTATTTTCACGTTTGCCACGATAAAATCCAGCCTCGCATGCATGCAGACTCGGAGGCGAAGCCGTATGCGCTGTCGTATCTTGATTCCCATGCGCGGGGTCTCTATGGTGAGATCCGGTGTCTATCTACGTACGAGATACCTGGTGGCTCATCCGTGCAAATTTAATTTAGAGGTCAGATCTAGAAGTCTTCTATCAAAATGGATATTTTTTTGTTGGTAATTACTCGTTGCAATCACATTGCATTTCATCATACAACCCTGTGCCGTGTGAAAGTTTTACCGCGACAGAGCAATGTCATCAATTCTCATGATCATCTTCACGGTCTCAGCAGCCAACTCAATGGCGCTGGTGCTGACTAGCAGAGGCTGCAGGATGTTCTCCTCGGTGATATCATCCTTGACACCTCCACTGCGAATGCTGACACCAGCGTTGTGCTGGCCCTGGGCGTGGCGATGACGCAATTCAGTGACGACCTTAATCGAGTTCAAACCAGCGTTCTCGGCAAGAGTGGTAGGAATAACCTCCATGGCATCGGCAAAGGCCTTCCAGCAGATAGACTCGGTACCCGTGAGCTCACGAGCCCGCATGGCAAGAGTGTGGGCCACCTCGACCTCAGGAGCACCACCACCGGCAATTAAGGCACGCTTCTTGACGAGACAGCGGATGACACAAAGAGCATCGTGCAGGGATCGCTCGGCCTCGTCCAGAATCAGGTGGTTGGCGCCGCGGGCGACAATCGACACAGTTTGGTTGGTGGGGGTGGTGGTGGGGGACTTGATGCCGGTGATCTTGACGTAACGGGCACCCGAAGCCTGGACCTCCTCGACAAGGTCGGCAGTACCAAGCTTGTCCTCAGTGAAAGAGTCGACGTTGGCAACGGGCTTGCAGCCAAGGGACTTGCACAAGAACTCAACCTCATCACGCTCGATATCCTTGATGGCGAGAATCTTCAGACGAGACAGGAAGTGCAGGGAAAGGTCGTTGACGGCGTCACGCAGAATAGACTTCTGAATCAAAAGCACGTTACACTTGGTCTTTTGAATCTTCTTAACCATGTTGAGCAGGTACTGGCGCTCCTCCTTCAGAATCTTGTCCATCTGGCGGTAGTCGTTCACAACGATCTGGTTCTCCATCTAGAAAGTAGTCAGCATCGATTTCATGCCAAATTTCAGGGTCGAGAGGCGTACGTCAGGCTTGGGCGGGCTCAGTTGGAATTGAATGAGACCTATCCGGGCCTTCTCAATTCTTGTCGGACCACCACTGCTCTTGATGACGGGCTGATTCAACACCAAACCATCAATCATCTCACTGTCTTCAATAGTACCGCCGACCTTCTTCACAATACGGATGTTTCGCAAGTCAACGTTCTCAGCGGTCTTCTGGTCTACAACCTTCAACACGGAGTCAACGGCCATGGGACCCAGCAAACCGGAGTGCTGGGAGACAATCTTCGAGGAGAGGGAGGTTGAGGCAGCTTGGAGGAGGGTAGCGCGATCGGACAGGTTGATAGGGCGGGACATGTTGGTGAGGATCTCGACGGCAGCATTGGCAGCACGCTGGAATGACTCGGAAATGACGGTGGGGTGGATGCCCTTGGATAGCAAACGCTCAGCAGCGCCGAGCAGACTGCCAGCAATGACAACAACCGAGGTTGTTCCATCACCAGCCTCAACATCCTGTGCAGCACTGAGATCGACCAGCATACGGGCAGCGGGGTGCATCACGCTCATATCCTTCAACATGGTGTTTCCATCGTTGGTCTGCGGGGGTTAGTCGGGGAGGTCACGGAAAGGAATTGGGCGGCTGGCATACGATAATAGTGTTTCCCTTGGGTGTTTGGATCTATACATTCATTAGTATCATGCCAACTGGGAGCAATTATGGTGGACCTACCATCTTATCCATACCCCTGGGTCCCAATGACTGTCACCTCGTTAGCCCCTCATCTCCGTAAATCGTGTTTTGAATATGCATACTGTTCGAATAGCATCGGCGACGGCTAGAAACAAAGTATTAGTATGATAGATGTTGAATGAAAGGACTGAATGACATACCCCGAGCTGCCATAATGTTGGAGGTCCGCACGGCCATAGGCTTCTCCTTGTCCTGCTCGCCATCAGAATTTAGTCCACACACAAGAGTTTCGCAGGTCGCACCTTAAAGGAGCTGTTGGCACCATTTCCAGGAACCAATGCGGTCGCCATCTTGAAGGTTGATATCAAAAAGCAACCTATGTAAAAACAATAAACAGGGGAAGTCGAATTGCGGTGGTGGAGTGAACACACAGAAATTCTGCGAGGTTCTGGGGCGGTGATGAAGCTTGGCACTGATTAGTGAGTTGAGCTCGGCCACCGCAGCTCTGCTACATCACCATCACCATCCTATTCCTTTATACCATCCACCTCCAAATTTCTGCCGATTCAGCATCATTCGACTTTTCCTCTTGCCTCACTTGCTTTCTCTAGCTATCTCCCGTCTTTTGTCTCGATCCTAGGTTCTCAGCCCGAGGCTGTCAACACCTCTCAGTATGCCTAGCGCCACGGGACAGAACTGGGAGAAGTACCAGAAGAACTTCGCAGATGACGAAGAGCCAGAGAAGAAGATCACACCTCTCACAGATGAGTAAGTGCTTATGGTTGTTTGGGATCACAAAGATTGCTGTCAAGTCATGCCCAGTGATGGATCGCTAACTTCTTGCCCCCAGTGACATCGCAGTACTCAAGACTTACGGCGCGGCGCCCTACGCAAAGGCGCTTCAGAAGCTCGAGAAGGATATCAAGGATAAGCAAGCAAGCGTGAACGAAAAGATTGGTGTGAAGGTGATTATTTATCCAGCTATCTCGATCCCTTGAACCGACCGAAGCTCATACACGCTCCAGGAATCCGACACCGGTCTCGCCCCGCCACACCTTTGGGATGTTGCTGCCGATCGACAACGGATGGCCGAGGAGCAACCGCTGCAAGTGGCCCGGTGCACAAAGATTATCCAGGATGAAAAGGACTCGGACAAGAGCAAATATGTCATCAACGTCAAACAGATTGCCAAGTTTGTGGTCAACCTAGGAGAGCGCGTGAGTCCGACAGATATTGAGGAGGGTATGCGAGTCGGGTATGTTCATCTCCACCTGGGTACAATGCTACGGAAGTGCTGATGAGTTTAGTGTCGACCGGAATAAGTACCAGATTATGCTGCCGCTCCCGCCCAAGATCGACCCCACAGTGACAATGATGACTGTCGAAGATAAGCCCGACGTGACCTATGGCGACGTGGGTGGCTGCAAAGAACAAATTGAGAAGCTACGAGAGGTCGTAGAGATGCCGTTGCTATCACCAGAGCGGTTCGTGAACTTGGGTATTGACCCGCCCAAGGGTGCTTTGCTTTACGGTCCTCCCGGTACCGGTAAGACTCTTTGCGCTCGTGCTGTAGCCAATCGAACCGATGCTACATTCATCCGTGTCATCGGAAGTGAGTTGGTACAGAAGTACGTTGGTGAGGGTGCTCGCATGGTCCGTGAGCTCTTTGAGATGGCTCGAACAAAGAAGGCCTGTATCATTTTCTTCGACGAAATTGACGCCGTCGGTGGAGCTCGTTTCGATGACGGTGCCGGTGGTGATAACGAAGTCCAGCGAACCATGCTGGAACTTATTACCCAGCTGGATGGTTTCGACGCCCGTGGTAACATCAAGGTCATGTTTGCCACTAACCGACCATCTACACTGGACCCGGCGCTGATGCGTCCTGGTCGTATTGATCGAAAGATCGAGTTCTCTCTCCCTGACGTTGAGGGCCGTGCCAACATTCTGCGTATTCACGCCAAGAGCATGTCTGTCGAGCGGGACATTCGATGGGAGCTGATTTCACGACTATGCCCTAACGCAACTGGTGCGGAGCTGCGCAGTGTTGCGACCGAGGCTGGTATGTTTGCCATCCGTGCCCGACGGAAGGTTGCGACCGAAAAGGATTTCTTGGCATCGGTAGAGAAGGTGATCAAGGGCAACCTGAAGTTCAACTCGACTGCCACATACATGCAGTACAACTAGATCACTGGGCTTGTTCTGGCATGGGCATGGTGCATAGGCTTGTACGATCACTCCAGTTTTCTTTTTGCATGTTGGTTTGGGGCATTTACCCTTGACCGTGTGAACGAATCTATAATCTTCCATACTTATTATTTTTCCGTAAACAGCTACAGCATACACTAGTAGTTTGTTTAGCCTCGTACATCCAGATCCACCCGATCGCCATACATAAGCGTGATGAATGCCGATATCTCGGTGCCGGAGAAACCAGATCCCGTTATTGTGGGAAGATCGTATATCCGGGGAAAGGGATGAGAAGACACATCGGCTAATGGATTGTAGCAAGAATGATAGTGCTCAGCATGTAGAAGGCAAATGAAAAGTGCCTAAATCGAATGGATCAGGTGTAACATGATCGATCTATCATCAACATCCCCATTAGCCTACTTTTACATAGAATAGTCCTGATAGTTCATGATCATAAAGCTGGATCTACGAAAACGAGGTCACGTGTCACCCGGCAGCCCGAGGCAAGTGACGGCGCACGAAAATGAGCAGGACCCGATTCAGCCAATCACAGCGCGTTCAATTGTAAAAAGCTGGAGATTATGTCAGCACCAACTGCCATCCGCAAGCCGAATTCCATCGCCGAAGTTGCCCTGTTCTCGTAAGGAAGTTCTTCCACCTCTCCCTCTACCAATATCAATCTCCACCGTGATACCGGTGTATACTCTTCTTTCGGGTGTTTAGGGAGTTTCTTCTCTTCAGACCCGTCATCATGAGCTCTATAAGCTTGCGGAGCTTGGCTCCCGCCTCCAAGGTTAGTAGCCGACTTGCGATGATGATTTTCGGCCCGGGTGCGATGGATGAACTGACCGAGTTGTTTACGAACTGCAGGTTTCCCGTGTCTTGCGGAACCAGAGACGCCTTTTCTCCTCATCGCGGCCTGCTTGTATGCATTGAGAACCCTTCAATTCGATCACGTCACGTCCTAATCACTAACCGCATCGACAGCCATGATCTGGGCCCCCCAGGCGCTGCGCGCCAAGGCTGCCGAAGGCTACATCTCTCAGAAGTACCCCGTCATTGTAAGCCGATACCGCCGCAGAAGGTCAATTGATCTAAGAGATGAGATTCTGACTGTTGCAGGACCACGAGTACGATGCCGTTGTCGTTGGTGCCGGTGGTGCCGGTCTCCGTGCTGCCTTCGGTCTGGCCGAAGCTGGTTTCAACACTGCCTGTGTTTCTAAGCTTTTCCCTACTCGCTCTCACACTGTTGCTGCCCAGGGTGGTATTAACGCTGCCCTTGGAAAGTAGGTTTCTCCCCCAAAGCTTCGCTTAGACGAGGATTTTACCCCGGATCGGCAACTAATTGAACTACAGCATGCACGAGGATGACTGGAGATGGCACATGTACGACACCGTTAAGGGTTCCGATTGGCTTGGTGACCAGGATGCGATTCACTACATGACCCGTGAGGCTCCCGCCTCCGTCCGCGAGCTGGAGGGATACGGTTGCCCCTTCTCCCGTACCGAGGATGGTCGCATTTACCAGCGTGCTTTCGGTGGTCAGTCCAGAGATTTCGGCAAGGGTGGTCAGGCTTACCGTTGCGCCGCCGCCGCTGACCGTACCGGTCACGCTCTGCTGCACACTCTCTACGGCCAGTCTCTGCGCCACAACACCAACTACTTCATCGAGTACTTCGCCCTCGATCTCCTGATGGAGAACGGTGAGTGCCGTGGTATCATCGCTTACAACCAGGAGGACGGTACCATCCACCGTTTCAAGGCTCACCACACCGTTCTGGCCACTGGTGGATACGGACGTGCCTACTTCTCTTGCACTTCCGCTCACACTTGCACTGGTGACGGTATGGCCATGGTTGCCCGTGCTGGTCTCCCCAACCAGGATCTGGAGTTCGTCCAGTTCCACCCCACTGGTATCTACGGTGCCGGATGTCTGATCACTGAGGGTTCGCGTGGTGAGGGTGGTTACCTGCTCAACTCCGAGGGTGAGCGTTTCATGGAGCGTTACGCTCCTACCGCCAAGGATCTGGCTTCCCGTGACGTTGTCTCCCGTTCCATGACCCTGGAGATCCGTGAGGGCCGTGGTGTCGGTCCCGACAAGGACCACATCTACCTCCAGCTGAGCCACTTGCCCGCTGAGCTGCTGCACGAGCGTCTGCCCGGTATTTCCGAGACTGCTTCCATCTTCGCTGGTGTCGATGTCACCAAGCAGCCCATCCCCGTCCTGCCCACTGTCCACTACAACATGGGTGGTATCCCCACCAAGTACACCGGTGAGGTCATTGACGTTGATGCGAACGGTAACGACAAGGTCGTTCCTGGTCTGTACGCCTGTGGTGAGGCCGCCTGTGTGTCCGTCCACGGTGCCAACCGTCTGGGTGCCAACTCCCTGCTCGATCTGATCGTCTTCGGTCGTGCCGTGTCCCACCGTGTCCGTGACACTGCCTCCCCTGGCAAGCCCCACAAGCCCCTGGCTTCCGACGCCGGTGCTCAGTCCATCCAGGACCTTGACTTCGCTCGCAACGCCGATGGTCCCAAGTCCACCTTCGAGGTCCGCAACGCCATGCAGAGAGCCATGCAGACTGATGTCAGTGTGTTCCGTACCCAGGAGTCCCTGGATGAGGGTGTCCAGAAGGTCACCGAGATCGACACCTGGTACAACCAGGTCGGTACCAAGGACCGCAGCATGATCTGGAACTCGGATCTTGTTGAGACCCTTGAGCTCCGCAACCTGTTGACTTGCGCGTATGTATCCCTTTCCCGATTTTCCACCATGTAGTAAAAAACTAACCTTCTTAATAGTACCCAAACCGCCACTGCCGCCGCCAACCGCAAGGAGTCTCGTGGTGCTCACGCCCGTGAGGACTACCCCGAGCGTGACGATGTCAACTGGATGAAGCACTCCCTCACCTGGCAGAAGGAGGCCCACGGCAAGGTCGAGCTGGGCTACCGTGCCGTTGAGGCCAACACTCTGGATGCGGCCGAGTGCAAGCCTGTTCCCCCCTTCAAGCGTACTTACTAAACACCTTATCTCTGGGAGGAGTTGAAAGATACCACATCCTGGGATTATTTGGTTCCAAGGTGACTAGTGTGGTATCGACGGAGGAATCCACGAAAAGAGCATGTTTCTTGTTTTGTTATTTTACCATCCTGTATAGCCATATTTCCTATTTTCTTTTAACTTACAGGCGAAGAGAGTTGGTGTACTGAGTGCTTTTCCTCAGTTTGTCTGATACACTGGAATTTCCTTTTAATCGGTTCTCTATCTTTGCTCCATATGTAATGTAGACTCTTTTCCTCCGTGTAAGCTCAGTGTCGTAACAGACGAGATTTCCACTTGATGCTCGCCGTCATGGAAACAGGCATACAAACATTAGTACATGAACTTGAATGTTTGTCCTTGAAGTGAATGTGACTACTGTCTGCTGTTTTGTTTGCTGTTTGCTGTTTGCCGTTTGCTGTTTGCCGTTTGCTGTTTGCCGTTTGCTGTTTGATTCCGACGAACCAGATAGGCATAAGTCGTCCCTCACTATAAAAGCGTTCATCTTCCTCTCTTTGTCTTCTTCCTTCTTCACACCTCCAGTCTCCGCATTTTCCCACTCTTGGTCTCTCTGCTTGGTATGTTTCCCAACCGCTTGTTCCTTTTGTGGATTCCCAACTTCACTTTCTCGTTTGCCAGTTGATCATACGATGGGGCTACATGGGGGAGTTAGTGAACGAGGGATGGTCTGTGTGGTAACAAAGACTGGTCGTGTTCCTTTCCGAGTGATGATATTTACCGCGAATAACCTTTCATGAATAACGTCAAAATATGGGACGTGAAATCTGAATTCCGGGTTCGTCCTAGGGCTTTGGATTAGCTCTTCGTATTTTACATCGCAATCTCAAAGTCTGACGGAAAACTTCCCAAATATAAATCTTTTTTTAGTGTCTTTTGTTCTTGTTCTGTTCTTTGTTCCCGTTCATGTTCATACATGTTCATGTTACTCCTGAAATTGTCCTCGGTGTTCAGTTAGTTTTTGGTCTTGGTCTTGGCCTTACGGTGGAAGAGATCCATTTTGTTCACCCTACCTACTATTGGTAGTGGTTCTGCTTGGGTATCAGTTGAATTTCCGAGTCAAGTATTTACCATCAAGATATGATTCTCTTCGGGTCCATTTGTTCAGGTTGATCCGTAGTGCGTCCTTGGGGTTCTTCAAATTAGGTGTAGGCATCGCTTCGAATTTGGAAAACAAAGAAACAACCCAGTCTTCCGCCACCTTCAAAGCCACTTTGTGGAAGTTCGAGCCAAATGCGAAATAACAATCCCTGCAGTGTATGATTCCCTCTTACCTTATCTTGATTCCTTTCCCTTCCCTACTGTTTACCCGCTTCGTTTCCTGCTTGTTACTCGTTACCGCGCTTCACCATGGATTTGATGGATCACTTGTTTCCACGGGCAGACACAACATGTACTGGCGATAAACTGTGGTATGTTTGCACCGCTGGCGACTACAAAGGTTGTTGTTCAAGCAATCCGTGTACATCGGGTGTATGCCCAGACGATGATTCCACCTCGTCTACGACGACCACAACTACCAAGTCCTCGAGCACTTCCAGTCCATCGTCAACCTCAACAAGCTCAAGCTCAAGCTCCAGCACTACAAGCACGACTTTGGTAGCTCAAGTATCCCCGTCTTCCACTTCGATCATCGGAGGTACTAGCTCGAGTTCAACTTCTATCACATCTGCGACATCTACAAGCTCGTCAACTTCACCCTCAACATCCATCTCCAACAACCACGGCGCCATAAATGGCGGAGTCGTCGGAGGCATATTAGCCTTGCTTATTGCGGTACTCCTCCTCTTCCTCTGGAGGCGCAGAAGCCGCATGAAAGCAGCCCAATGCCGCACCATCGACCCTGGTCCATTTGGCCAACCGTCACATCCCAGCGGCCCCGGCAGCCCAACTTTGTACATGAAACGGCTAAATAAAGTCAATGGCAACCGTGAGTCCCAAATCCCACACCTAAATAACAAAAAAATGCATTAATCTTCTTCCAGGCTCTCTCTACCCACACCTCGAGCCCTCGTTCGTAGACTCCAACAACGATACAATGATGTCCACCCTAACATGTCACCCTGATAAATCAACAACAAGCCTCAGTCTAGTCAATGGACACGCCAAACCAATGACCATTGTCACTCCCAACATCCCCTCAACTGAGCTCCTCGCTTCCATCCCCAACCGACCAGGCTACACGCCTGAGCTCCCAGATTCAACGTTCCAGCGCATGAGAGCCGAGCTCCCTTCCGACTCATCAAGAGATCTTATCAATCAGCCCCTGGATCAACGACGAGGTATCTTGCTCTACCAACGAACCGTATCTGGGCCCTCAAGCCCTCTTAAGGATTCCCTGGCCGCCTCGGTATCATCTTCGCCGAGAAATACACATGAAAGCCCAAAATCCAGCTCCGGGTCCGGAGATTCTACATCAGGTTCTTCCCCACCTAGCAGAATGAGTCCCAAATTAATGGCGCGCAACACGGCACGACGACTAGTTACCGAAGAGGGAGTCGTTATGGGTGCGAATCTGGATCGGTATTCTGGGGATCCTCGCGAAGATGGCGAGGTTTCTATTAGGGATTGGAACAAGAATGATCATGGAAACCGTGAGGAAGCGGATAAGGGAAAAGAGAACTCGTGGCATTCGCAACATTTCATGAGTTTTATGGACTTTGGGAATTCGATTACGGATTCTCGTGGTGAATCTGGTGCATCATCTCTTGTTTCTCCTCCTGTGTCGCCTCCTGTTTCCCATTCTGTTTCTTCGCCTGTTTCTCCACCTCTGTCTGTTGGGAATAAGGTTGTGGATGGAGCTTTTATGGATTCTGGTCCTCTTTCGCCGACTACGAGTGAGGTCCCGCCTGCCTATATTGCTGGAGAAGCGGAGTTTGAGGTGAATGGGGAGAGGAAGACGCCAGCTGTGACAATGGGGTTGGGGGTCAGGAGACTCGGTTGATTTCTCTGTTTTTTCTTCCGCTAATTTTTCCTTTGCTCGTGACATCGTTTTAGAAACCTCATGTTCATCAGCGCGTCAGAATTGATTTATGCTTCAAGCCTTTTTGAATATGTAATACGTGGTGCATTATGATGGGAATTCCAGACAATGCTCCATGTACCCCCTCAATCCTTTAGGCACACGTCTAACCAGATCAGAAATTTACCTATAGCTGCGAGTCAAGTACCCGACTAGATCATGATTCCTATAGCTTATCCAGATAGCTTACTATAAACGTAAGTGTATACATCTACCTTTTGAAAGTGCATTATAGCCAGCGTGGAGTAGTGTATACGCAAGTGGAAGAAGTGATGTGAACCGAAAAAATTATATCTGTTTTGAATCTAACCAAAATAGCTCAACCGCTGGTACTTTTCATGATATATGCTGCACAGAATAACTCCATCTACTACTATTTCAAGTAGATCTACAGCAACTTTCTCAACACGGCAGTCTGCTCAATAACAGCCCGCTTGCTGCAGCCACCAATGGCATCTTTCAGCTCGACGGCACGCTCATAGTCGAGACAAGTCTGCACATCCGCATCGAAGCGAGGATCCAGACCCTGAAGCTGTTCCAGGGTGAGGGTGTCCATGGGAACGTTGGTGCTCTCAGCAAGCTGGACCACGCGGCCGGAAATGTGGTGGCCCTCACGGAAGGGAACGCCCTTGCGGACGAGGTAGTCAGCGATCTCGGTGGCCAGCATCTCCGGTGCCAAGGCAGCAATCATCTTCTCGGGGTTGACAGTCAAGGTGGACAGCACACCAGTTGCGATCAGGATGCTGTCGCTGACAGTCTTGATGTGGTCAAGCAGAGGCTCGATGCTTTCCTGCAGATCCTTGTTGTAGGTAGTGGGCAGACCCTTGATGGTCATCATCAGACCGGCCATCTGACCGAAAGCACGGCCAGACTTTCCACGGAGAAGCTCCAAGCTGTCAGCGTTCTTCTTCTGGGGCATCAGCGAAGAGCCAGTGGAGTACGCATCGGACAGGCGCACGAAACCGAACTCCAGACTGCTGTAGATGATCAAATCTTCAGCCCAGCGGGAGATCTTGAGCATGAAAGAGCTACCCCACTGCATGGTCTCCATAGCAAAGTCACGGTCACCAACAGCGTTCATCGAGTTGTACAGCAGGTCGTCGAAGCCCAGCTCCTTGGCCACAGCCTCACGGTCAATGTTGAAGGGGTTACCCGCCAGAGCACCACAGCCCAGAGGACTCCGGTTAACACGACGGATCACCTCACGCAGACGCTGCAGCTCGCTGGCGAACGCAGTAGCGTGCGACAGCATCCAGTGAGACCAGCGGACAGGCTGGGCCTTCTGCAGGTGGGTGTAACCAGGCATGATGTAGTCAATCTCCTTCTCGGCACGGGCAATGGAGACCTTGACAAGATCACAGAGCTGTTGGTCCAGGATACGCAGCTCATCACGCAGCCACAAGCGCATATCGGTAGCGACCTGCTCATTGCGGGAGCGGCCAGTGTGCAGCTTGCCACCAATCTCCTTGCCGATAATCTCACCGAGACGGCGCTCGTTGGCAGTGTGAATATCCTCGTCGTTGGGCTTGGCCTCGAAGGTGTTTGTGCGCCACTCCTCCGCGATCACCTTGAAGCCGCGCTCGATCTCGGCGAACTCGTGGGGTGTAAGGATGCCATTGTTCTTATTGGCGCGGGCGAAGGCAATAGAGCCGGCGATATCCTGCTTCCACATGATGCGGTCATAGGGCAGAGACTCGTTGTACTTCACCATAAGGGGGTCGAGGCCCTCTGGTCATTTTTTGTTAGAGTGAGTCAATGCGAGATTGGAGGTGGGGGAATTGGCGGGGTTGAGAGGGAACTTACGGGTGAAACGACCTCCCCAAAGCATGTTCTCGGCGACAGCCTTGTTGTTGCTCATTATGGCGATATGGAAATTGGTCAATTGGTCTGGAATTGGAGATGTTTAGAGAGAAGGAAGACGAGGAAGGGCGAGTTGGCCGATAATTATGTTCAACCCCGATCATCGGAACGCTAAGCCTCTTTGGGGGATCGACGTACTTGAGTCAACTATGACTCAAGACAGCGAGAGGCTCAATGTTATTTTCAATAATTTGACGAAGAATGCATGTTATCTACTAGGTTGGAAGGGATCAAATATGTAATAGAAGTTTATACATTGTCATATTTGATTTTTGACTCCAACAAACGATGATTTCTTTGGTTCAATATGTTCTCAAATCCTTATCTAACAAATGGACGAATCAACGGGAGATCTTGAGACAGACCGTCATACCCAGGTTTCAACTATATGCGTACTGTATTAGGTGACCTTTGCCTATATGCGATCAAGGCTTGGAATGTACCTAGGTAATGATCAAATCGAACGATTGGGATATTCTAGTCGAACCCAACATTGAAGTATATATATCTCTTATCCCGAGGTCGATTACTTAGATACCCGACAGTCTGAAGGCGATGGAAATACATAGGGCACGCTCGAGGTACTAGCATAAGGTTATGCGATCTAAATCCTCCCTCAAGTAGGTGCAACAACCCAATCCTGGGTGCTTTGAACTGTGCATGATGCTTGGATGTTCCGCGTGATGGTCAATGTGAACGACGAGACCCAAGCAACATTGAACTATTGGTCCGCCACACTTTGGGTATTGCAAGTTCATCCCTGTACATGTATCAACTCTAATCAATTCATAACTGTGTTTATATGCAATATGTATAATGTCTATTTACGCTCTAGGAATTCATAGTTCCAACACTCCGAGGTTTGAACTTGCATGTGAGGTGATCTTCAATCACAAAGCTCAATCACCACCCACATCACGATTGTCAAAACCTCACCACCAACCTTCTCCATAACCCTCCGACTAGCCTTATTGGCCTGCGCAACCTCAGTATGCACCCAAGCAGTCGTCTTCTGTCGCAGCTTCTCATCCATGAATCCAAGCCTATCAGCCCCAAACACCCCATCAGGATCCATACCCCTTCGCATAGTCTCCTTCGACAAGCAAAGCGCAAGACCCTTCCCCCGATGCTCAGGCTCAACATGCAAAGTAGCCAAAGGCCCATCAAGACCCAGAAAAGCCCACGCAATAGGCATTTCATCTTCCTCACCAGACCCAGCAGACTCATCACAATAAATCGCCACACCAGGCATAGTAGACAGTTGCGCCCTAGATCTAGGAATACTAGTCCGACTCTGCACAAGATCCAAATGCTCATCCAAAACCCCTACCCGTCCCTTCCCATCATGATACCGATATCCATCCGGCAACGGGATCTCCGCCCCATCCCGCACCGTAAACGCATCCCTCGAAAAGAAATACTTGTTATACGGCGGATTATCATACCGATGTACCTTCAACCCAGGCAAGAGCACCGGACTGGCATCAGCATCAGGGACCGGAAAAACGCCCGACTCCAAAAGCAACGTAAACAACCCCGTATGCAAAGTCCCAATAAGAAAAGCCTTCGGATCCGGCGCAGGAATCAAGGGAACGCCATTCGGCGACTGCGTCGCAGCTGGCTGTCCATAGTCAGCTGGCAGGGAGGCAAGGTACTCTGGTAACAAATTTGCTTTGATATAGGCTAGCAGAGCCAATAGTTGGGCACGGGCCAGATCCAGAAAAGCAGGGGAGGCCGTGTGGAGAGTGGCTACTACATAATTGGGACCGGGACTGGCGTGATTGTTTTCCGCTTCCCTTTCCGCCTCCGGTGGGCCGGGACTGGGACAGGGACACCCGTCACTAGGGGTGACAGGGGGGGCTGGGGCTGAACCGATCGGCTGGATTGATGTGTGCTCCGCTTCAAGGCTGGAGTAGATGATGATCTGGGTTTCGCGGCCCCGGAAGAGATCCACTCGCGCAGCCAGCCATGGCCTGTCAGGGGATGGGGAGGCTGATTGGGGGAATGTGACTAAGATCTTGGCAGTGGGTGCTGGGTAGGCAATTCCATGTTGAATACGGCGCAGAAGTGCCGATGAGAGCGGTAAATGAGATGCTAGATGGGGAAGGAGGGTTGTTCCCTTGTCATCGTGTTCGTAAATGTGAACAGGGTCATGGGGTTGGGCCATGTTGTTTTTTTTGCTCTTTAAAATTTCGATTTGGGCGACGATGATTCCCGAGAACCTGGTTACGGAGAACTTGATATATCACAATTGGGCTTGTGTGTGTATTTCGTGACCCTGACGATCGGAACCTTCAGCTCAGCCCAGGAATAATCTTGGGGAAACTATTGAAGTGGGCGAAATATGGAATTGACATGTTAAGATCTGAGTCACCGGGTCAAGTGGAGTAAAACATATCACGACTTTAACTAAACCCAAGTAGGTAATTTTTGAAATCTTCTAGATTAATTCCGATAAATGATTACCCATAGTTAATATATCAAGTATTTGTCACGCTGGTCTGTGCCTGTGGCGGTGCGGCACTATTGATTCTGACAGGGGATCCGCCTGACGATCACTTGTGCATTGGCGCGCGGGTTCAAAGGCGATCATTTGGTACTAAATTGTCTATGATCCAGTACTACGGGTTTATCTTGGATGATGTATGTGAAAATGAATGTAAATGATAGTCAACGCCTAGACTACTTGCAAGTCTGCAACGCCGGAAGTTGGAACTATACCCTCAACAAATTTCCCATCTTTTATCCTGTGCCAAACAAAGGAAAAGAGTGGATGAAACCCAAAGTAGTCATATCTCATAAGTGTGGGGTCTCCCCCTTTCCTTCACCAGGGGCTCCGGGCCCCCACCATCCAATCTTCCATGGCCAGCCATTCACTCCACCGGGCCTCTGCTGCCCGAATTTCCTCCTCAGAAGGGTCCCGCAGTGGACGCAAGAAGGGAGTTTGCTCATCGGGTAGCATATCGTAAGCCGTCTTGGTTTCCGCCCATCCACTACTCTTAGCCGTGAAAAGGTAGTTGATACGCTCTTGCTTGTAAATGCAACCCACTCCCGCCTCCCAGTCATCACCGAAGAATGCTTGCATCGTAACAGGGGAGTCTTGCGCCGTGACAATCAAGCGCCGAACATAAGGTCGAAGGGAAATATACGGAGACTCCTGAGTAGATAGAGTCGCCTCTGAAGGGCGCTGGAATGGTAGACGAATATTGATAAAGGCTGCTACGGATTGAACCGTGGGAGTATTTTGACTGCCGAGGAAATATTGCATGCATTTTTTGTAGTGCGGGTACCAGCCAGTGGGGTCCACACGGCCAAACTCTCCATCAGATACGATGGATTGAGTTTCCGGGTAGCTAACAACCTCGGAAGGTGCGCGCCTATCGGAGGTGCGTTCAGTCTCGCGCTCAACAGATCCTAATGGAGGGTGTCTCAGAATAAGGTAAACAGGAGGAGAGGGGGAAAGCAAAAAGAAAAGTAGTCGCTCACCTCGAGCGAGACGCTCGCGAGAATAAGGATCGCAGAGATCCATGTGTGGAGAGTTTTCCCAGCACTCTCTTCCTGAACCGTGCATGCTGAGTGACATGATCGTTTTTCGACATGTATGGGAGGGAAATAGTTAAAAATAAGTTATGTAATAGAAGTCTTCAGGTTAAGGGATAGAAGTATTCAGGTCTGGAAAAAAGTAAAGTAGGAGGGAGTATGGGTCTTATAGATCCCCGCAGCGGGCAGGCCGAGGCCAAGCATCGGTGTGATGCCACAAACTATCACATCTGGGAGATCAAGGGCGGACTAGTTCGGGGTTGACGGGAGTGGAGTCAAGAAGCTATAGTACGACAAATTGAGTCAAGCCACAGATCTGTAGCTTGAGCCACATCACTAGCCACATCGGTCTTGTCCGTGGCTAGTGTGGAGCAAGGGGAAAAGTGTGGCGGTGTGTTCACCAGGTGGAGTCCGACAAAGAGACTGTCGCTTTGACCTCCTTTCACCCTCGGATCGGATCCCAGTTTAGTGTCCCAATAGTCTGACTAAATCCACTAATTACATGATTTGGAAGACTTGATCATATATGAGATCATTACCTTTGGGAGCTCATTTATTCACTGTGAACGATGTGAACCGTGTACATGAGGAGAGTCTAGAACGTACAGTAAAACTCGGTCTTCGCAACGATTAATTGTGACATTCTTCATGCCCCCACCTGGCAGGCAAAACCTACAGAAAAGCTTCCAAGGTTTAATCAAGATATGTAATCATGTAATCTTGATCCGAAATCAAATCGGATGTGTTCGGCCGATCGACCTAAAATCCCATTGATCGACCAATCTTGCCCTACTCTCTATTACGTAGTAGGATTGAATATTTTCATTCTAGAAATTGAATGCCGGATCCATAACATTTAATCTGTATAATTTAATCTCAAGTGTGACGTGGTTCCTGAAAAAATAAAAACGTGGCAGAGAAGCTGCAAGGGGGAAAAGAACGAGGTAGCGAGACAGGCAGCGAGGAATGTGGTTTACATGTTTACGTTTACAGGGATGATCCAATAAAATATAATATAAATAATAATTTAAAGGTTCGTATCCATCTGACTCGGCCACTCCGATCGGGAAAATCGTCGATGATGGGGGTCCTGAGCGTATTCGAACCAATGATCGGACTCCGTTTACTTCTACCTAATCCCACTATGGTCCGCCATATCTCGCAACTAGTTAGTAGATGTAAATCAGTCTGACGTCTGAACCCTGTTAATTTATCCCCGCTGAGATGCTCTGAATTTAAATGTGCGCCCTGCCTGCATCTCAACATCTCAAGTGCATATTTAACATTCGACCACGTTTAATCCCTTGGATTCATCCCTTGACGTCCTTGTCTGAACACCTTCGCTATTCTTCTACACACACGCTTATATACGCATATACACACACACTCATTCATCATGTACAAAACCAACTATGATATCTACGTACGTGATACCTTTGGACATAACGTCAGGCTTCAGCTAATTTTTCTTAGAAGTGCGAAAGCATCGACAGCAGACGTTCACCAGTGTCGCCACCACCGGATGAGCTGCTCTCCCCGTTAGCAACGCTTTACCCGCATGTTGTAGCCATGCAGCCGCAGTACAACCACAATAGCTGCACCTTCACCGGTTACCGCCACACAGAGTACTGGGCTGCAGCCTACCCTACACAGCCCTTAGATGAGACCGCATCGTTAAGACGACGAGGCAGTGGTATGTGTACTCTCCCTTTTCTTTGCTTTGTACATCCATACTAACAATCACCTAGAACAACCATGTCGCCGCCTTGTATCTAGGCTCCGTCGCTTCCTCAACCGGGACGACTTAAAACATCGTCGACGATCCGAGGCCACGACCAGCACTACAACGACACTCTCTTGATCTTTTTTTTACATCTCGACCTACATGACCATATCTTTCAACCGTCTTTTATTCTGTGCGAAGGACATTCGATCAGACTAGCATCTTTCTTTTGTTAGGGCTTCTATCCACTTTATTTTTCATTCATCAAGCGACGGGTTAGCAAGGCGTTTACGGATACAAGGCTGGATCTTCAATTTTCCAATGTGAATCTCACAAGAGAACAATACCATGTACATAACTAGAATTTTCTACAAATACAACATACTCCAACATAGCATTCCCCACCGCCTCATTCCACAAAAAGCTACACCCCAAAGTCCAGACTCCATAGCCGATGAGAAGCCAATTCTAGCCCAATCCATGGATCTACCTCTGGAAACACCTCCAACTGGAATCCCTCAACTCAAACGTGCCTCACATGTCGTCCTCAAACCTTATGACACGCAGCGGCCCCTGCGTAGATCAAACTAGACCAAGCCCCAAACAGAAAAAGATCAACCTTTGTCCCCGCACCCCAAACCCAAACCCAAGTCATGGAGTGGCTAGTATATGCACAATGATACCAGCCCACAGGAACTATTAGAATTAGAATTAGGCTCTTATCCTGATTTCCCATCTTTTTTTCTAATTGGCTTCCCCATTCCAATCATAATCCAATTAACTCTGCATTCCCCCGATGAAACAGGGAAAAGAAAGGCCAGAAACAGGACTTTTAACCTTACTCGCAAGTAATGAATGTTCGAAGGATCCAATAATCGAAAATGATTTCATATTTCTTATCTCATATTCATATTCTGCATGTATGGGGGATTACTGACCCCCCCTACTAACCGCCTCGTTCACCACGCACACCGTGCAGAGGCCCGACCCGCGCAAATCAATAGTGCAACTCGTCCCCTCGTTTCATGGGTAAAGAGATAATGTATTTGAGATAATGAACAATGACCCCTGATAGGGAAGGGATGATGGTGCAACATGGACTTCGACTTGGGCAGCGCTGTGGATATTGAATAATTTCATTGCCTGAGATAGCATATTTCCACGGCAATGATTTGACTTTCGTATGCAAGTTGCTAGATGACCATGGATGATGTGCCATACTATTGACCACCATTGCAATTCCAGTTCCGATTCCAATTCTCTACGTAGAGAAGATCACGATCACAGCACAGATCGATCGACTCGATCCCGATCTGGGCTAGAATCTAGAGTCTAGGATTCAAGAGAGGATCATGGGTTACAGTGGTCGCATGGTAGGAGAACGTGGGTGTAGTGTATACCCATGCTAATGCAGAAACCTTCTCAGAAACAAAGAATTAAGGCATTCCTGCATCCCGGGAACGGGAATCGGATCCTGGCGGCACTTGTGAACCTGGATCCTGGGAATTCACGAGTCATGTGGCGCACCGTTCAAGTGGAGTAGGGCGGTCGGCATTCGGAGACGGCGAGTACCTTTTTTTTTTCTCTCTTTCTTACTTTTTCGTCATTGGGGTCCACTGTGGGTTTCAGTGCATGGGGGTTTGTCGGTTACATCGGCAGCTATTCTTGGTGTTTGGAGGGTGTAGATCTTTTCTTTTCTTTTCTTCTTGATTTGAATTTAAATTAAATTAATCTTTATATTAGGTGCTATGGTGTGATATTGATGCATACTGAATCCTACCCTATGGAAAGCCTTATGGAAAGAGGATTATCTTGTCACGGCGAAGATGGATGTTTATTTTTGAGAAATTGGAATTGTAAAGTTACAGTCTGATCAGAGCACAGTCTCACCTGGATGCCCCTTGACTTCTGAGAAACCTACGGTACAACATCTCATGGATTTCATTCTACACATGCACTCTCCTCTAAAGCTCATCATAGAACGTGAAAAGGGTATAAATTCAAGGTTAAAATCACATGACATCCAACCTTAGATTGGATATAATCCTAAACTCCATTACTCCAGAGTGATGAATCACTCGATATCAGACACTTCCCCACTTTTTGTCGGCAGTGGCTAAACGATGGTCAAATACCCCGTCTTTCGGACTAAGTGGAAGATGCCAGACGATTAATTATCCATCAAAATTGAAGACAAGGGGAAGGAAGGTCAAGGGCGTATTAAGCAGGTCCGAGGTAAAAAAAAATCAAAGGAAAAATAAAACGCACATCATGATCCGTCGTGTTCCATCAAAGTCGTACTTCATATCAAGGCATTGCATGTCGTCCTCTCCGGATATGGGAATACCGAGTCATTCTTAGGCCAGACTCGCAGATCCAGCCGCTGCTGTACCCCAACGTAGTCGTCTAAGGCCACCTCGAACTGCCTCTTGGCCACATGCCGCTGAGGAACGAGCACTGGGGACACTACCATCCCCCATCATGCCCATCTCGGTTCGGCCAACCTCTCGGCCAAGCATATAGCCCGCAGAAAAGCTGATGGCCGAGAATAAGACGACCACGCCAGCACTGATAACCCAGGTCATAACTGTGGGGCTGACAGGGGCAGTCGAATCCGTAAGGCTCGCACGCCGGCTCTTCTTAGACGTGGAACTCCGATCCTTGGGGGAGGTGGACCGTCGTTTGGTCTTGCCAGATGGCGCAGATGGTGGCATGGGGGAGCGAGGATCACGACGAAGTGGTTCAATCGAGGGACTAGCCTCTGCAAATCGTGGTGAGGGAGCGTGGTCATCGTCGCTGTCTTCTCCCATGGCAACAGACTCGCCAACAAGTCGGAATGAGGATGGTTGGACAGGGCGAGAAGGAGTGGACGCTTGAGGCCGTTGGTTCTCTGGCTTGGGGAGACCACGAGCGGCAGCTGCACATGACAAAAGGGTAGATAGACTGGCTCGAAGGGCAGCATCATGATCCGCATGATGAGAAGGTGATATCATGTTATAGGGACTGTGCTGAGACTGCGGAGATCGGCGAGACTGCCGGCCAGAAGGATATGATTCTCGCCGAATAGCAGTGCGGTGACTCGCGTTAGATAAGACACTGGGTTGAGACCGGCGGGACTCGCTTGGGCGAGTCCAGGAGGGATCACTGGTGAGTGGTGGGTGGCTAAAGACGTTCGGTTGGGGGACAAATGGCGATGGACTAATTCCCATCCCTAACGCAGTAGAAGTGTCGTCTTCATCATCACTAGAAGCTGCGTCGGACTGGATCGAGGGCACCGATCGTGGAGCATGCAGAGTTGGACGACGGATCTCCTCGTTGGAGCTGCTCATGTTTGGGTCGGGATCACTTTCACTCTCCTCGTATTCCTCTTGACTGCTGCTTGCCAAGCTCGCCTCACACGATGAATAGTCAACATGAGCGGTGGCTACCGCTGCGAGATGCTGCATGCGCCGTCGCCGACGACGGTGTTGATACATGCCAGCCCCTTCGGGTTCCACCCGAAGACCGGTTGTGATAATATCCTCGTTTGTGGCGGCCGAGGATAGTGATGAAGATGATGGCTGGGATGAAACATCGATCCATGAATCTATGTAATACCGCAGTGAGTACATGGTAGGTGAATGATGGGGCGCAACGGAATATACATGGTTTAAACTCGATCGGCAGGAGAGATCGTGCAGGGCAAAGCTTATAAAAGGGCCTCTTAACATACCTTCAGATCTCATGGGTGCTGCACCGGACGGGCGGGGCTGACCATGTTCTCGCGGCTGGCCATCGCGCATCAGTTGACTTGCGGCTCTAGGTTCGCGCACCTGACCCAGAGGGTCGCAGTGGTTTGGCTGCATGGCCACAGAGATGTCAAAGGAAAGCAGAAAGCAGGGAAAAGTGGTCTTTTGAATGATATTTTAGAAGGAGATGGATCAGGCCACCCGGTGTCAGGAGCGGTCAAGCGTGGGGAAGGTCAAACAATGAGGATCTTATCAGTGTGGGGATGGATGATCTAACCCATCACTGATGCCCAACCGCTTTGTTTTCTTCTTTCAACCCTCCAGGTAGTCCTCAAGGAACCAAAGAGAGAATATCCGACGCAGGAAACAAGAAAGGACTGCTATACTTAATAGCAGGATAGAGAACAAAGAAAGGGGGATATGAGCTGAAGATAGGATGATGAGGTGATCAGCCGACTGAACAGGTGATCTGCAGCCCGTGACGGAAGCCACCGATTAGAGTAAGGGCGGAGTTTAAGAAGATAGAGTGGTGAAATTTTTATGGGAAAAAGGGTAGATATATGTAGGGGAGAGTGATGAGTTAGATAGCAATAATAAATCTAGTTGAATAAGTATACTTTGGATTAAAGTGCATTTCAAAGAAAGCCACGCTATGATGCAGACCACGTTGGAACGAAAAGATGGGGAACAGGAGCGGTGACAGGTGGCAGTACCTGCAACATCACACGGAACGGTTGGGTCACGAGAGTGCCAATCCTCGTAATTCGACGAGATCAGTATGATCCTAAACGTGCAGAGATATTGAAATTGGCACCAAATTTTGAGAATGCTCGCGGAAGCAATTACCGTGATAGTTGCATTGACAGAATTGGAGGAAGTTGATATCCCCGAACTAGTAGCTGTCGCTGTATCGAATCCTGAAGTCATTCCCACCACCGGCATGGTGTGGGTGTCGAAGAAGCTAGCGCCACTGATAGTACTCAATCCAGGTCCTCCCGTATCTTGGGTGCAATATTCCAAGGATGAAGAAGCCGATGTATCATAAGCGCACCCAAGGGAGAATGTCCCGTTGATGAAGAGTTGGTAATCCTCAGCTCAATGATGGTGGATACTCAGGCTACTTACGCTTGATCCGCTGTCCACGACAGGGCGCGACCGTAGAGGGAGAATCGACAACCGGCTTCATCTTTGTGATACGATTTAATGGGAAGTTTTCAGGGCTTGCCCATATGTGGCCAAACCCCCCAAGAGAACGAATGTAATGACAAGCGAAACATGCAAGTTTTCATCCAATGGATATTACCTGGGAAGAAAGGAAATGATTAAAGATCCAAGATGCTCAGGCTTGGGCTCACGAGACAAATAACAGACAAAACGTTGGAAGCGGGGATAGGTTGGAGTATCTTGCTATCACAATGGCATCACTATGCAAGGGAACAAGAAACTACGGAATGACTGGAGAGGATGTTAACAGTAGCAAATTACAGTGAATTCATCACGAACTACATAAGAAATAAAACCCTATAGAATCATACAAACTTTTTGAACATCCAGGGCCTCCCAGAGGCCTATTGACACCAAGAAATGGCAAAATGCAAATCAGGAACATGCTTAGAAGGTAACCTTGGTACCCTTGAACTCAGGGATGCTGCCCTTGGCCTTGTTGAGGCCACCACCGAAGCCGCCACGGCCACCGCCACGGCCGCCGAAGCCACCACGGTCACCGAAGCCACCGCGGCCACGGCCACCGCCACCGCGGGGACCACCACGGCCACCACGACCACCACCGCGGCCACCGAAGCCACCACGGTCACCGCCAGCAGGGCGGGGAGTGCTGAAGTCGAGGCGGAGGGTACGGCCATCGATCTCGGTACCAGCCAGCTGGGTGTGAGCGTTCTGGGCCTCCTCGACGGAGGAGTACTGGACGTATCCGAAGCCCTTGGGGCGACCGGACTCGGGGTCAGTGGGCAGGCGGATGCCAAGGATGCTGCCCTGGGCGGCGAAGACATCACGCAGAGCATCCTCGGAAGCGCTGAAGGGCAGGTTACCAACGAACAGGGTGTCGGAGGCAGGGCTGGTCTGGTCACCGTAGGCACTGGCACGGGCCTGGACACGGTCACCACCCTGGTTGTTCTGGCGGGCAGTGGCGTAGTCGAGGTTGATGGTACGGCCGTCAAGCTCAATACCCTTCTTAGCATCGAAGGCCTTGACGGCATCCTCAATGTTGGCGAACTCGGCGTAACCGAATCCGCGGGAGCGGCCAGACTCACGGTCAGTGACAACACGGCAAGAAACCTCACCGAACTCGGAGAACTCGCGCTGGAGCCACTCCTCATCGACGTTCCAGGACAGGTTGCCGACGAACAGGTTGGCGGAAGCACCCTCGGGAACCTCAGTCTTGGTCTTCTTAGCAGGGGCCTCGACCTCGTCATCAGCCTTGCGCTTCTTGGAAACCTTGGCGGTGTCCTCGCTGGCCTCAGACTCGGACTCGGAGTCAGAGCTGTCAGAGTCAGAGTCGGAAGACTCCTATAGATGCAAAATATTAGCAGTTGTAAGTGAGAACAGACAGGAAAAGTATCATACCTTCTTGGCGGGAGTCTCATCGGACTCAGACTCGCTGTCGCTGGAGTCGGAGTCAGACTCCTCCTCAGCGACCTTCTTGGCGGGCTTCTCCTCCTCAGACTCAGAGTCGGAGGACTCAGACTCGGAGGAAGACTCAACCTTCTTCTCGGCCTTCTTAGCGACCTTCTCAGCCTTCTTGGGAGCAGGCTTCTCATCCTCGCTCTCGCTCTCACTGCTGGAAGAGCCATCCTTCATCTCCTCATCGCTGTCGGAGGACTCGGAGGAAGACTCCTCCTTCTTGGCAACAACCTTCTTGGCCTCCTTCTTGGCAGGCTTCTCATCCTCGGACTCGCTGGAGCTGGAGGAAGACTCCTCGCTCTCAGACTCAGACTCGGACTCGGAGCTGCTGGGGGTAGGCTCCTTCTTCTTGTTCTTCTTGGACTTCTCGTCCTTGGCGGCGACCTTCTTGGTGACCTTGGCAGGGGAAGCCTTGGACTCCTTGACCTTGGTCACGGTCTTGGTGGGCTTCTCAGCCTTGGATGAAACCTTGGTCTTCGACATTTTGGATCTGTAAAAGAGAGGAGAAGTTAGCAGTTGTCATCAAGATCGGGTTCCATTTTCACATATCCCACGTACAGTGGTCACAAAAATTGACGAAGTGCTTTGGTTTTGTGCGGCGGAGCCAACTAATCCCTCAATAAGCACCCGTGTTTTGGATGTGTAACAATGTGATAACCCTCAGGAAAATGGAAAGAAAGCCAGGAGTGACTGATCACAGCTGGTAGATGCCCTCAAGTAACCCACAACGGACAGAGTTCAAGCCCACAGAGACCGACCGACGTATGCAACTATGATACGCAACCCACGAGGAAATGAAATCCCACAGAGCCCACGAGATAGATATGCGATATGACAAGCCCACAGCCCTCGATGTGTTAAAAGCCCACAGATGTCCTGTTGAAGTACTTTGGTTCAAAGTACAAAGTACCACCCACACAGTTGTGTCAGTTTGGGGAGAAGGGGAAAGGGAGAACGTACAGTTTAACCTTGTTATTAGAGTATCAAGGTAGAAAAATGCTAGCACAGATGAAATGTGATAGCAAAGGGAGAAAGGGGGGAAGGAGGATGGATGAAGAAGAAAGAAAAAAAAGAAGAGGCGTTGCTGGGCAAGCTCTCTGATAAGAAAAAAAAATTTCAAAATTTTTTCCGACGCGGGCAGAAAGGTCCTCCGCCTGCTAGATGAAGTTAGCTCAGGCACTGACCGCAAATTTCAACTGCTGATATAAGCAGTGCTGGATCCACTCTCTGGACCAAGTGGAGATTTCGATTGTCCCATCAGAATGCACCCTATGGGTACCTTATAGTATTATGTAATCAACCCGGCACTCCCTCGCTGGCCTGTAGCTGGCTTGGTCATAGATAGTAGGTACATTTCCTTTTTTACGACTTCTTGTAGCTCTGAACCCACACGTTACACTGCAATTGATCTCACCTCTACATACATGGGCTGTGCCTAACTTCTCATCCGGCCTGCTTCAAAATGGCCCCCCCAACTCCCTCCTCCCATCGCCCGCGCAAGAAGAGAAAGACCCCCACGGCTCCCGGCTCCAACAACAATCTCATATTAGATACCGGAGATGGAAAGCAGTCGCCAGCATTTCCACTGGTATCATTCCTGTGGGCCGCACGAGCCGGCGTCTCACAATGGCTGATCCTGCCACTTACCCTCATGGCTGTCGGTCTCTTCCGATGGGCCGTCAGCCTATGGGGCTACTCAGGTATGAGGCGGCAATTGTTCCTGCAATTGGGGATTGTACTGAGAATGAATAGGCTTCCAAGTGCCTCCTATGCACGGTGACTTTGAAGCGCAACGACACTGGATGGAGATAACCGCCCACTTGCCCATGCCCAAGTGGTACCTTTACGACTTGCAATATTGGGGCCTCGATTACCCCCCATTGACCGCATACCATAGTTGGCTGCTTGGAAAGATGTATGTTGTTCCTCGCTATCAATCTAAGATAGGCTATAGCTGACCGATAAGTGGTACCGCGATTGAGCCGGCTTGGTTCGCACTCGACGAATCCCGCGGTTTTGAGCACCCCGACCTAAAGGTTTACATGCGCGCAACCGTCGTGGTCTCTGAATACCTTATCTATATTCCAGCAGTTGTCAACTTTCTTCGCCGTTATACCCGCATGCATGGCGTTCATGCCTGGTCTGCCTCCATCGCCCTCGTCGCAATTCTACTCCAACCGGCGACCATCCTGATTGACCATGGCCACTTCCAATACAACACGGTGATGCTGGGATTGATGGTTGCAAGCTTGGATGCGATCATGGCTGGGCGCATGCTCTGGGCCTGTATCTTCTTCGTCGGCGCCCTCGGGTTTAAGCAAATGGCTCTGTACTATGCGCCAGTCATGTTCGCCTATCTTCTGGGTGTTTGTGTCTTCCCACGGATCAATATCCCAAGGCTTATCAACATTTCCCTCATGACTCTCGCTGCATTCGCTCTACTATTCGCCCCACTCTTGCTCAGCGCCACAACTATGGAGGCCCGGAAGGAATTTGCGTCCGCGGCACAGCCTCCTTTATTGCAGTCGCTTCCAATTACTCTGGACAAGTCTTCTGTGGTGTATGCAGTCCTGTTCCAGCTCACGCAAACTGTTCACCGAATTTTCCCTTTCGCGCGTGGCCTGTTTGAGGACAAGGTTGCCAATGCCTGGTGTGCGATCCATACCTTCTATAAGCTGCATCGGTTCGATACTTCCTTGCTCCAACGGGCGTCTCTTGGTGCCACACTGGGCTCGATTATTGTTCCGTGTGGTATTATTTTCAGACACCCCCGAGCTTCCCTATTGCTCCCTGCTTTGTCCTGTGTCGCGTGGGGTTTCTTCCTGTTTTCTTTCCAGGTGCATGAAAAGAGTGTTCTTCTTCCTCTTCTTCCCATGACCCTATCGCTTGCTGGTGATGGCGGATTGAGTAAAGAGAACCGCGCCTGGGTTGGCTGGGCTAACGTTCTTGGCTCGTGGACTATGTTCCCTCTTCTAAAGCGTGAAGAGCTCCGGGTGCCTTACGCCGTCATTACCCTGCTGTGGGCTTATCTTCTCGGACTGCCCCCACTCTCCCTTGAGACCTATCGAAGCCGTTCATCCCCGGAAGACCCCACCTCGAACTTTGAGTTGAACAATTTCACCAAACTCTTACACATTCTGTTCTATATCGTCATGGCTGGTTGGCATGGCGGTGAAGCCTTCGTGCCTCCTCCTGCTGGCAAACCGGACCTGTGGGTAGTGCTCAACGCACTCATAGGCGCTGGCGGGTTCGGAATTGCCTACCTGTGGTGTATGTGGAAGTTGGTTACACAGTGCCGTCAAATTGACCGCCAAGGAGCCGAAGAAGAAAGTCGAAAGAAGAAGCAGTGATTTGCTGAGCGGTGGCTATTTAGTCCTTCATATATACCCAATTGTAATTCCCTCAGGGGATAAAGATAAAGTGTTGTCAAAACATGTGAATTCGTTTTGATTAAGTAGCTTTAGGACTCTTTTTGTCAGTATCCGAGGAGGTGAGATGCTTTATATTCATGATCTAACCAATTGGATTCCGATTCCAAATTGGAGCGCGCAATTTGGCCCGGTGATACAGTACATCCAATGATGCCAAACAAAAGAAACTCCGTCCGGTAAATGCTATGATACAGAGGTAGTATAATACAACACGGCAAGAGCAGCCATGGATATCTGCCTTGCCCCATCTAACCTGAAGGTTCCCTAGTTAGACCTTGAAGCCAAAGCCAGCCATGCAGCTCTTGTACTGGTCGATCGTCGACTGGCATTCCTTCTCGGGATTATCGGATTTGGAGAACAGCATACAGTCGTCCCGTGCTGTCTTCTCTGTCTTGCAGACGCAGCAGGGCTACATTGGAGTAAGGATAGGAGTTAGCGCATCGGGTATTCCTTGGTCGCCGGTGAAACCATCTCGAGGCGTACCTTGGGCTTTTCGGTTTGAGCAGGCTGTTGGGACTGCGCCTCGGTCGGTGCGGGAGCGTTCTTTTCTGTAAAGGGTAATTGTTAGCATGCTTCGATGCTAGGTTTATCGCCTTGACGTGGACCCTTGCGCATGGCGCATGTCGGGTGTGTCGCGCGGATGGAGGGTAGAGTCCATTAGGACTTACCAGGGGAGGAACCGGAGAGCCACGACATTTTGCAAAAGATTGTATGTGTTTTTAAGGATTGAAGGGGATCAAGAGATTTATAGAGGCCTTGAACGAGGATGGACATGAAATAACTTAGTTGGATGTCGACATTATTAATGCATGCGTAAATGGTCACTACAGACCGCCGTAGGGTTTTTTTTCTGTTATCGAACAATAACAATGCGGCGGCTTTTGCATTTCGCCTCCCTTTTTCTCAGACTTTCCCCTTCCTTTAGAGTCGCATTGATTTCTTGCTTCTAGACTCCGTTCAATTTTCTACGGTGTTCTTTTTTCATATATTCTTTATCATCCCCAATCCTTCGATCTTTCACTCCTAATCCACTACCCCGCCATGGCCCCTCCTAAGATCTTCTCGCTCGATGGCAAAAGCCTCAAGCTCGACACTGCAGAGGACATCGAGGCTCATATCAAGCCTCTGACTGAGAGCACCGACTACACCGAGATTCATTTCGGTGGTAACACCCTCGGAATTGGCGCCTCCGAGCGTCTTGCTGCTGTCCTCGCAACCCAGAAGAGCCTTGAAGTCGCTGACTTGGCCGATATCTTCACCTCCCGTCTCCTGTCCGAGATTCCTCCCGCTCTCAAGGCTCTTCTTGATGCCATTCTCGAGATCCCGACTGCCCACACCATCAACCTCTCCGACAATGCCTTCGGTCTCAACACTCAGGCCCCCCTGGTCGATTTCTTGGCCAAGCACATCCCTCTACGCCACCTGATCCTGAACAACAATGGTCTGGGTCCCGCTGCCGGAACCCTGATTGCTGATGCTCTCAGCAAGCTCGCCGAGCGCAAGGAGGAGGCTCGCAAGGAGGGCAAGGAGGTTCCTCCTCTGGAGAGCATTGTTTGCGGTCGCAACCGCCTGGAGAACGGCAGTATGGAGGCTTTCGCTCGTGCCTATGAGAAGCACGCTGCCGGCCTGAAGTCCGTCAAGATGACTCAGAATGGAATTCGCCAGGAGGGTATCGCACACCTGTTGAAGAACGGCCTTTCTCACGCCCAGGGCCTTGAGGTTTTGGATCTGCAGGACAACACTTTCACCATCATGGGCTCTAATGCTCTTGCTAGTGTTTTGGGAGGCTGGGAGTCTCTGCGTGAGCTGGCCGTTGGTGACTGTCTGCTTTCTGCTCGTGGTGGCGTGAAGGTCGCCCAGGCTCTTGCCGCCAACAAGAACCAGAAGCTGCAGACCTTGCGTCTTCAGTACAATGAGATGAAGGCTGATAGTGTCAAGGCTTTTACCCACGCAGCTAAGACCGCCCTGCCCAGTTTACGCCGTGTTGAGCTGAACGGCAACATTTTCTCGGATGAGGATGTGAACATTACTGCACTCAAAGAGCTCTTGGAGGCCCGCCAGGAAGAGCACGGTACCGATGATGATGATGAAGATACCTGGGGCGTTGATGAGCTGGATGAGCTCGAGTCCGAGGACGAGGAAGAGGAGGAGGAGGAGGAAGAAGAAGAGGAGGAAGAGGAGGCCAAGGCTGAGAAGGAACTCAAGAATGCTGACCTTGCTGAGGAGGAGGAGGTTGCTCAGAAGTCGGACAAGGATGTCGATGCCTTGGCTGATGTTCTGGGTAAGACTGGCATCTAGATCCGCTGACAAGATATACTGGACTAGCACCACTTTAGTCTCAGTAGTTTTTTCTTTGACGCAATCTGGAGTCAACTGCCCTTTGGCTGTGCCAACCACCCGCCGTGCACGGCTCGCGTGCTTCCGGACGAAGCGGTTGATGTCTGCGCCCACGGTCTTCCCACCGGCTCATGAGGCCCTGATTGACGACATTGATGCCACATTTCCCTGCAAAAGCCACTTTTCCCATATACCCCCGTTGACGATGATGACTGCACATAATTACCTGTTGCTCTCAACACCATATGCATAGCTACTCTGATCTCTTTGAAGAATACAGAAAGTAAAATGAGATAGAAACCAATATACCCCTATGCGGGTTATTGTATTTGAGACCTTCAATTCAATGTGATCAAATTAAAATATAAATAGTATCCTCATCCTTGATCGTTCATTATCTAGTTCTGTGAGAAATTTCCCAATTAGGAAGCCACGTCTTGGCAAACCTCGGAGCTTCCATTTCTTCCTCTTCACAACTTTCCTCTTAAGACGCGCTCACATCTAGGATCCAACTACTCTCACCCTACTCGTCTTACTTGAGTTAGCCGCCTAGTCACATCAGCCTCTACCATCTGGCTGAGATCTCAGAGTAAGTGCCCGCGCTATCCCGCCCCTCTCAGCCTGTCCCGCGCAGTGTCTATACACAGGACTCCAGCAATCGCAAAACAGATCTCAATCGGCGCATTCGGTTTCTCTGCCTCTATGAAAAACCTCCATTACACAGTGACAAAAATTATCAAAGTGGGATGGTGGGCGTGTGAACTGAGATGTCTTGGATTCGGTTGCGCAGCTTGTCCAGGACTACAGGAAGAAAAAAAAAACCATTCTGTGACCTGGATACGTCTGCTTGATGTGCTTCCTGGGTTTTCTTCATGATGCGCACCTTCCGCCATCTGACTGTGACCAGTTCTCGCTTGTTCACAGCTCCCACTGCAATTTGTAATCGCCAACCTTTCGAAGCACAAGTCACTAATAAATTTATTTTCCAGGCTGTGACAGGATCCAAAATCTACCGAGCGGCTTTCGTTTCACATTCCCTCCATCCGACTTGATCACACTTCACATTTATCGTAACCACACACCCCCGCGGTCATGGACGCCAAAGAAATTGAAGCCAAGGCCAAGGCTTTGGGCAAGGCTTCGGGACAGGAAGAGTCAGCGACAGTGATTCTCGGACTGCTCAAGGAATTGCAAACAGGCATCCGAGCCACGGAAGATTTGCTTCGACGGACTAAAATTGGTGTCGTTGTCAACCGGTTCAAGCAAAGCAAGGCTCCGGAGGTGGCCCGGCTGGCAAGTGAGATTGTTTCGAAGTGGCGCAATGAGGTCAACAAGCAAAAACAGGGTGGTGGATCAGCAGCAAGTCGGGCTTCCAATTCCCCAAGGCCACCACAGAATGGCACTGGATCATCTACACCCGCCAGCGCTACCCCATCTGATAAGGCGTCGAAGTTGTCAGTGCCGCCAGACAAGCGCACCTGGAAGGCAGATGGAGTGGACATCAACGTTACATCAAGCAAGGTGCGAGACAGCTGCACTGGGCTCATGTACGATGGACTTTGTCTGGGAACGACTGAGTCGCCCAAGACGGTTTTGGCAAAGGCATGCGCTGTGGAAAAGGCAGCACACACCTACCTCGGACCCGAGGTCAAGCCGGAGTACAAGGAGAAAATTCGCAGTCTATTCCAGAACTTGAAGAACAAGTCAAACCCTATGCTTCGAGTACGCGTGCTGAGTGGAGAAATCTCACCGGATAAATTCGTGCGCATGAGCAGTGATGAGCTGCGATCTGAACAGCAGCGTGAGGCCGACGAGGCCATCAAGAAGAAGAACATGAATGATGCCATGGTTGCTCAGGGAGAGCGCAGTATCAGTACCAGCTTGCAATGCGGCAAGTGTGGTCAACGCAAGGTTACATACACCGAAGCCCAGACCCGTGCTGCTGATGAACCGATGACACTATTCTGCACGTGTGTGGTCTGCGGTAAATCATGGCGGCAGTGATTTGAGATCTATTTAAGGGTGAGATGTATTTTACTGGGGCCTGGTGTTCTTTGATTCGGTTCTATCTTTACTATTTTTTACCTGTCTATGTCACTGGAGTTGTTTCTTTTGCGGCCTTTCCATGGAAAGGTAGGATCTTTCCAGGCACCGAGTGATTGAGTGAAGAGAACTTCACCAAAGCATTGAACTATTCATTTTAAAACAAATAAAATTATTCACGTCATTGTTATGTAAGTCTGAACATCAGATCAACCTCATCCTTGAAACTGCATCTCTACGAACGCCTGCAAATTCTCGAGATGACTCTCCGATCACCCTTGATTGACCCCATAAAATCGCTCCTGACTGCTCTCACAATTAACTCCATCTCAACCATAACTTCGACCTTCACCACCCAACCCGCTCCGATTGTCCACGAACATGGCCTCCCACAGTTGGCCCCCTTCCTCGGCCGTACCTTCACAGGTATAGACGGCGGAGAGGGAATTCCTGAATATTTCAAGATCATAATGACAACTTTGGATATCCGATCCATGGCTTTCGAACACGAGTCCAATTGGCTTGTTGACGAGACTAATATGGCAGTTTGTCTCCGTGGCACTGCTACGTTCATCTGGCGGGAGACAGGTCAATCATGGGATGAGACTTTCATCTATCGCATTGCCGTTGCAGAGGATGAAAGTAATGATGAGGCCAAGCAGGGTCGATTATTGGTTTCCGAGTACAAGGTTTGGGCGGATACAGGGGCAGCCTTTCTTGCTCGCATTGGGAGATTACACTGATCTCTTCCTTTCATTGTCTCAAGTCTTTCATACGAACAATCACTTTCCCTCAACAGTCTCCCAATCAATCCAACTAACATCCCCAAACACACCCTTCTGATTCTGAAAGACAAGCTCAGGAGTAGAATACTTTTCATACTCACTCTTCGTAAGCAAAGTATCAATCGCGCCTTCCACCCTAGCCGTCCGATTGAATCCCGGCCCATAAGCCTGATACTCCGCCATAAGCGTAATCCCCTCCTCAAAGCGATCAACTCCACTTGAAATCCAATGAGTATACCCTGCAGGCAAGATACTTCCATCTTCCCACGTATTCGCAAAGATAGATCGATGCTCCGAATTCCACGGCCGACCCAGCGAGCATTTACCCTTGATAACAGGTGCGATGGACGAATTCACTGCAGCAACGTTGCTATCAACGATGTAAACCCCGTATTTATTCTCAAAGGTTGTGTTCGTTCCTTTCCAAGCCGTGATTCCACCTCCACAGCTTCGGAGTCTGATATCGGATGATTGTATCCAAGCCGTGCCGAACCCGTAGAGGAAATCCGTTTGCCCTGCTATGACGCTTTTGTAGAAGTAGGCGTTTCCGAGTTTTCCAATGTAGATCTGTATCACCAGATCAAGTCAGTCAATCAATCAATCAATCAATCCCATTGTCCATGGTTCAATCCAGTTTCATCTCCAACATACCGTATCCTGATAAGAATAGAAACCACAATAATAGAAACCCCCATTCGCACGACTGAAACTCAAAGCCGCAGCCGGACCATCCGAATAAGGCTTATAAGCATTATCAAAATCCACATTGTACACCCTGAAATCGCGATTGCCAAACGGCGTGTCATCCGGGACCGCAAATCCCGTCGTGCCCGAACCAACGAGACTCGCATTCAACGTAGGCGCCACGACCATCACGCTAAACCACACATTATCCAGGGCTGCGGTGGTATTGCTGTTCGCCGCATTAAAGGAGACAGTCACTCTGTTGCTGGAGGGGTCTGTGGCAGCGTCTGTTTCGCCGAGGAGAGTGATCGGTCCTGCGCGGGTGATGTTTAATTGTTCGGAGTAGGTGCCTTCCAGGATGAGGATTGTTTGCGTTGAGGCGTCGTTCGGAAGGGAGTTGATGGCGCTTTGGATTGTGGTGAATTTCGCACGAGGGTCGGTTGGCGAGACGATGATTGTGCCTTCGGGACAGTTTTGGGCTGAGCGTTGGCATGCTATTCGGTTTGAGGTTGAGAGTGAGGGTTTGGCTACGGCGATAGCGTGGACTTGGTTTGTTTGGGCTAGGAGGCCTAGAAGGGGGAGGAAGAGAGGTTTGAGATGCATTTTGTTTAACTGATTTGATTTAGGTCTAGTATATGACCATCGCTGAACAGGAAACGGAACAGGAATGCAGAAATAACACTCTTTATACTACGGAGATCCAGAATAGCGTGCTGCAAGGTCAATGCCATAACGGCACAGACGGAAAATCTTGGAACTCGAGACATACTAACAAAGACTAGTAGATTGGATAATATGGGCTATGGTGGAAATCTCCGCATTTCCCCACGAAGCTGGGAGTTGAAGAAGCTTGTTCTCCCCGCGTGGTGGATAATCTAGCCGGGGAAATCTGAAGGTTGGGGTTGAGAACGGAGAATTGGGCTTCCACCTGTAGGAAGCGTAGGAAGCGTGGATGGGACTAGCATTTACGGGGGTGAATGGCGGGGACCGGGTCAGGGGTACAATGAAAATGTGGGACAAGACATTGTAGGGCAAGTCAGGGACTTGATGATCAATGTAGTGTTACTGAATTTACAAAGAAAGAAGAAGATTTGATTAGAACCCTTGTGATTGATGATGTACCACTATTAACGGCATACATACACGCAGAGAAAGTAAACTCGACTCTATCGACTGCAATAGCATAACAGAGATCAAGGGGGTAAATGAAACACACAAAAGTCTATAATACGGTAGAAAGGGGAGAAAAAAAGAAACACGGAAACCCGGTCTCCTTTTTCCCACGGCATGCATGTCCAGATAGGTGGCAACAACATTGTGAGTATGTAGCAAGGGGATCAGAAAGAGAATAAGGAAATTAATTGATCTCGTCCAGTATCGAGCTCAGAAATTATGTCGGGGGCGAGTAATTTACTCGTCCTCCTCAACATCCTCAACGCGAGCACCAAGGGTGTAGCGAGAGTTGCCCTCACGGTCAGTCGAGTGCTCGATGGCCAGCTTGGAAAGGTGGGCAATCATGTTCTCGATCTGGGTATCAGCCTTAGAGCGGGTCTTGCGGCCAAGGGTGTCCAGAGCGGGGATGATGGTGAGGATGTAGTAGACAACGGCAATGATGACGGTGACACCAATGGAGTAACCCCAGACGACAACGGCGGTGACAATGTCAATGTTGTTGTTGTGGGAGAATCCGTAGGCAGCAGGGTCGTGGGGGTGGGTCTGGTTCCAGTCACCCAACCATCCGAAGACAGCGAAGAGAGTGGCAAGAACATCGACAATGAAGATGGCAATAACCAACTGCCACGAGGGCCAGGTCTTACCACCACGGGTAACGAAGATCAACCAGTTCTCAGTCAGGGCAACCTCAAGGAAGAGGATCTCCTGGGGAGAACCCCAGTTCTGGATGATACCACCGTCGGACAGGAACATGGAAGCACGAACAATCCAGGTAGCGGCAGCGAGGAGAACACCGAGGACGATGGAGATGACCCAGATCTTGGGCAACTGCCACTCGACGGGGCGGGCCTCGAAGTGAGCGTTATCGTAAGCAACGGCAATGGTGGCAAGATCGGCGAAGAGGGCGATGAAGACAATCAGGTCAGAGCGGATGGTCTCCTCGATGATAAGCATGGAAGTAACCAGGTAGATCTCGAGGTGGAGACACAGAGCAATACGGTACTGAATGTAAGCCTTCATGCGCTGGAAAATCTGGCGGGCAAGCTTGATAGCATCGACAATGGTGGAAAGACCGGGGGCAAGGAAGACAATATCGGCGGCAGCCTGGGCAGCCTCAGTGGAACCCTCAACGGCAATACCACAGTCAGCCTTCTTCAGGGAGGGAGCATCGTTAACACCGTCACCAGTCATGGCAGTCAAGTGACCACGCTGCTGGAGCATCTCAACGACCTGGTACTTGTGCTCGGGGAAGACCTCAGCGAAACCGTCAGCCTTCTCAACGAGGTCGTGCTGGGCGGAACCAGCGAGACCACCGTGGATCAGACGCTCAGAGTCGTAAACCTTGGTACCAAGAGCAAGCATCTTGCAAGTCTCCTTAGCGATAGCGATAGCGTCACCAGTAAGCATCTTGACGGAAAGACCAAGAACCTGGGCCTCAGCGATGGTGTGGGCGGTATCCTCACGAGGGGGGTCGAACATGGGGTACATGCCCAGAAGCTGCCAGGGCTCACCCTCCTTCTGGACGGCGACACCGAGAGAACGGAAACCACGGCGAGCGAACTCGGAAGCCTTGTCACGGTAGAGCTTGGCCTCCTCGGGGGAGCACTCGGACATGTTGAGGATAGCCTTGGGGGCACCCTTGGCACAGATGTAACGGACACCATCGCAAGTGCAGACAGTGGTAATACGCTTGGAGACAGGGTCGAAGGGAGTGTACTTCTCGGTAACCCAGTTGCGGGAGAGAATCTCACGGGCCTTGGGGTAGCGGCGCAGGGTAAGGACGGTGACCTTGTCAATGGGGTCGAGGTTCTTGATGTTGTGGGAAGAGGCAATGGCAGCGACAGCGAACATCCAGTTGACATCAACACCCTCAGAGACGTAGGGCTCACGGATGGACAGCTGGTTAGCAGTGAGGGTACCGGTCTTGTCAGAGCACAGAATGTCGACACCAGCGAGGGACTCAATGGCAGTGAGCTTCTGGACAATAGCCTTCTGCTCGGCGAGGTAGGCAGCACCGACAGCGAGAGTGGTGGTGGTAACAACGGGAAGACCGACGGGAACACCGATGATCAGGAGAATCAGGGTCCAGTGGAGCAGGTTGTTGTCGGAGTTCTCAGGGGTGGCGATCTTCAGGTGACGGTAGAAACCACCGATCCAGGCAGCGAGAATCCAGAACATGACGAGAACGAGCAGGGAGGTACCAATGTTGTCCATGACAGCCTTGAAGTGACCCTGGTCCTTGGCACCCTGCACAAGAGCGGCGGTCTTACCAACGAAAGACTGGCGAGCAGTGGCAGTGACAATACCGTAGGCCTTGCCACGCTTGCAACCGGTGGTGTAGTAACAGGTGTCGGCCATGTACTTGTCGACGGCGAGAGACTCACCAGTGATAGCGGACTGATCACAGGCAATGAGAGAAACACCGGCGTGGGCCTCACGGCGCTCGTCCTCGTCCTCATCATCGTCCTTCTCCTTCAGGGTGTCGTCCTGAGAGGTGACCAGGAACTCCTTGTAGTTCTCGAACATCTCGGGCTTCTCGTAATCACAGATGAGGCGGACATCGGCAGGAATAACCTGACCCTCCTCAACGATAACAATATCACCAGTAACCAGTTCACGGGCGAGGATCTCCTCCTCTTGACCGTTGCGGACGACGGTAGCACGCATAGCAATATCACCCTTGAGGGAAGCGACGACATCGGCAGCCTGCTTCTCCTGGTACCAACCGACAACAGCGTTAAGCAACAGAATACCACAGATAACACCCAAATCGATCCAGTCACGCAGACCAGCAGCGAGAAGGACAGCAAGTTCCATAACTAAGTGGAGAAGAAACGCGTTAGAATGGACCATACACGCGTCAATTGAACGGATCTCAGAGCAAATCGATACTCACCATACAGAATAGGACCACGGAAGTAACCAATGAACTGGATGAAGATGTTGGTCTTCTCAGTGACCAACTCGTTCCAGCCACACTTCTTGCGACGGGGCTCGATGTCACTGGAGTTCAGACCAGCACGGAGATCGGTCTCCAGCCAGTCCTCGGGGGCCTGCCAGTCACCAGCGACACCATCATCCTGCTTGCCGAACTTGTACCAGGGCTTCTTGCCCTGCTTGGCGGAAAGCGCAGCAGCGCTGGAAGTAGAACCACGACGACCATCGCGGGCAGTCGAGATGTAGCGGTTGAGAGCCGAGTACTCGTCGAGGTTTCCGCCGTCGTTGACATCAGTTTGGCGCTCATGGCGCTCACCGTTCTCCACGTCGACAGCATAGGAGATCCTCCGCTCGGAAGCCACGTTGTTGGACGCCATTGTTGCTGCGTCGGCTCACAAAGCCTTTCGGAACCCAAACAATATGAGCTGATGCAGACACACACAGGCAGGGAGTATGACACGAGACGGAATGTTCCTATGGAGAAAGAGAAAAGAAGAAAGGAGTGTGGGTGAGGAAGAGGGACTACTTTATAATACGGGGGGGGACAATGAGTGGAGGATGGCAAACGAGTAAGAGCAGGAAGCAAAGTGGGTTCGAAGTGGATAATGTCCGTGTTGAGAGAAAAATGGAAAAAAAAGAATTAAAAATTGGAAAAAAAGACTGGAGTAATTTGAAAAATATAAAAAATAATCCAAATAGGACAGAAAGCGGATTAGCCCAGTATTTGGGCTGTTAGCAGGGAACCTGAAATCCCGTGTTTTGCTCTGAAGGCTATAGAGTACCTGGTAGCTGGTTGCTGGGGGATTAGAGTGTACTGTGACCCACTTTGGTATCTGTTTTTTTCTCTGTTTTTTTTGGTTTTGGTTTTTATGATTTGGTGATTTTCCATGTTTTGAATTTTTTGAATTTTTCTGGTTTTGTCTCTAGCTTTTTTATTCGATTTCTTCTGGTTTTCTGGTTTCTTCTGTATCTTCTGTATCTTCTCACTTTGACCCTGTCCTTATCCTGTGGTCTACTGTTCAATTGACTGAAATAATATATCGCGATATCGGAGGACAGGTATAATATAATACCTATGATCAAGTGGAGAGCTTAAGCTAGCTTTGGGACGCGTAGTCAGAAAAGAAAATTTCTTCCTGTATTGTACGGTACCGAACCATCAATTGCGACCGGCACTGATCTGCCGAGTCCGACCATTCAGCAGTATCAATCGGTACCCATTACAATCTTTGTTAGTGCCGAGTGCAGTTTCCCTGTCTGCGACCAGCTTCACTATGCGCGATTTTTTTAACAGCAAGTAATTTCCTTCTACCCCAAGACCAATTGTCCCCCAAAAGATAAAATAAAAAACTGCGGCGTAGAAGTCGACAAAGATGTAATTAATTCCTAGAGAATTAAGGAATTCAGAAACAGGATAAAACTTAATATCAAAAACAATGTAGGTATATCGCATGTTTTCGTGGAATAACAAAATCCCTTGCAGGAGAGACAATCTCAAGACAAAGTCCGAGGAGATGGCAAAACCACAGTACCTGGTACCTCTTTCCACTCCATACTACATCCGGTTCTGGTACTTCCAATTGCGGGTCAACATCAAAAAGAACAGAAGATCAGGGAAAAAAAAATCTCTTCTAACTGTCTATCTGACTGACGATTATTCCGTCCTACCCGATCACTCAGTAGCAAGGGGCGCCGCAAGCAGCCAAGACCATCCAGATATGTATGCCAATGTTGTAAAGATTCCCCCAGCATACCACGGGCCAGAGTACCACTCTAGTAACAAAAAATTCAGTAGCCAGTACTAGTATGGTAGTAGATCGGGTAAATTGGGGTCCAGCCAAACGTCTCATTATGTCATAGGCTGTCAACTTTGGGGATTCCTTATTCACACGGCCTATTCCTTATGGCCACTGTCTCGCCCAAGCTGCCCCCTTCGTATCTCACCAACCATGGTCGATCGCTAATGGCTAGGGCCCCTGGCTCTCGTGGAGATGTCCTGTCCCCAGAAGCGTCATTTAATTCGGCGCTCTTGACTGGCCCGTCAGACCGTGAAGGTACTCCACTCATTAAATCGCCTAGTGCACGACTGAGCTGGCATGGATCGAATCACCGGGCGCAGGACCGACGATGATTTCATCGATTACTGATCGGCGACTCGGATTTTTCCCAAAGCGATGTACTTTCTCGGCCTGTGAGACGGGCGCGGGGCGTTGGATGAAATCGGTTTAGTCTTGAGGCCTTCAATCATGAACACTTGTGTATTTTGGGCTGATTATCATGGATCAACGCGATAGATTGGTGAGTTTTCCGAGGCGAAGAAGCGATAGTCACATCCTTGAGTAATAGCACGGTTATCACGGATCTTTGGGATCTCTTTTTATCTCTTATTTTTATCATGTAGTTTGAGGATCGTCAGATGTGCGTGATTACTTCTGTCTTGTCCCGTCTAACAGGGATTAATCCCGGTTTCTGGATGCAAGCTTTCCGGGGAGCACGGGATGCTCGAAATTGTATAGAGCGTTCGCTGGATCTCGAATTCCTGCAGGCGGATTGGTTCAATCTGCATGGCCAGCCCAACAGGTTTTCAGAGGATGCACCCCGGGTTTTTTACTTAAGGGTAGTTCCCCAGCCAATCCATCAATGCTACTTAGGTATAGAGATATAGAATCTGGTAAATGTCCGCGCCGGAATATTACCATGCAATTGTATATTCCTAGGTAATGTCAGTGCTATTGCATATATAATGCCTAGTTCAATCGCTCCCCATATCTACACTACATATAAATCTCATGCCATATGTATACACCTATACAATATATCACCTTCTTTGGTTCACGATTCATTGTTCGCATTCGTATAGCCTTTCCAACATCACGGATAAAATTTGAATGTAACATTTCATAGCACAAAAACATCTAGGCCTATCCGAGTAGGTTATCCCCCGGCGCTTCCCGCGGCTGACGTGCCATAAACAATTTGAAGCTAAATAATCTACACTGGGAGCGAATTGAGACTATCAGAATAAACCGGAATACATTGGGACGGAAGCGAAATTAACCACGATAACGACTGGAAGTCGGCAAGCAAAGCTCCAAGCTCCAACAAGAGACCAGCTAACTCAGAACTACCAAGCTCGACTCCGTACAAGCCGCTGGCGCTCCTCAAATCTCAAACATTCCCAAGCCTCTAAAACATAGACCAATGAATCATTGGGGCCAAACCCGGGAAACCGACCGTACTCACGATAGTGGAGACCTAGTGTGGGTGGGCTAAGCTCTTTCACCGAATCAAAGACAGACGGGATATCCCCGAAAATTGACTAACGACGCGAGACGTACTTGAAGAGACTAGCAGCGCTTCGTCCCCCTGAAGCCCCGTGCGGGCGACTCACCCATGCTCATTTCGGTGCTAATTGAGTTACGATTAGAATCCCGGGGGATTCTCGCCCGTTTTTACCCATGAAAACACGTCAGCCAAGGCTGAATTTCGATTCGATCCTGGGGTTGTTTTGGTCGCTTTCTTGCGCCAGATTTGATTTCTATCACTGATTTCTACGGAGCACATGCATGAAGCCCCTTTTTTTTATGGGGAGTTTATGTGGTTCTATAACGGACCCTCCGAAGTTTTAGCTGCAGAGTGGAGAGCTGTACTCCGTACATGCAGCGAAGTTGAATTGGCGCAAAGGGAAACATCGAAAAAAACCCGCATTACACAGTTTCCCCAACGCGACCCATGGAACCAGATTACATCTGAGACGGCGTAGGAGGTGAATTATGTTTATATACTTTTCCAAGATTTGATATAAAGTAAAGAGAACCCTGGATAGACCGAAGTAGATTGAATCCATGTAAATGTAGATGTGGCTGGATTTGCTACCATGCAGATAAGTCGAGTGCGATCTACGGAGTACAAAGTACATGCAAAGAAGACACGGTCTAGCCCCTAATATACACAAGATATCACGATCGGCCAACTGTGCTTCCTGTTTTCTGTCACATCTCACGTGTACAGCCAAAAGTAAAGTTAGCCATCTGATGTGTCTCGGGAATTTCGGTCAGCCTTTCGGGGCGAGCGCCGCTGATGTCGTCTGGGTTTCTGGGGGAAGAGCACGGGGCATGCAACAAAATGCCTCAGTTGTTTGCCACGAGCAGTAAAGTAAAGAAAACCTAAAGGAATTGCCACCACAAAGGACGGTGTAGAAGGATCTTGTCGCGTGTCAATTTACTTCCCCAGTCAAGTGGGACTTTAGCAGGGGCAAGTACCTACTGCAAAGAGAAATAGTTTATTTCCATTTATCATTCGAATTGATCATTATGCCGGAATCCACTTGAGGGATATTTCCAAGGCGGTGAAAGAGTGGAAGCGGTGCGTGTCCCTAAGGCGAAAATGCTTTTCTCCATCTTCTTCTAGAAGCCTTCTCTTCCGATCGGTTCCATGGTTATGCAGCTACAAGGATTATGGTTACCCGTCCAGCCAAAAAAACTCAATGGAAAATTCTGATGGTTACATATTCGATATTCTCGGGCAATCGGCACCTTCAATTTACGAAAAAAGATAAGAGTGAATCTCTAACGTCATGACAGCTTATCATGCCGTTTTCGCTGCTATACCAGACGTGGATTGACCCCGAGTTATGTAATTGTACCATAAACCAATATTACGCTGGATGCGGGTACCTTTATGAGACCATTTGGTCTTGACTTTATTGTATTTTTTATGTATTTTCCGTATTTCTCGTATTTCCTCTAATCTTTCTTAGTCTAAAATTCGGGCCGTTCTACCAATCAGACCATGCTAAACTAGCTGAGTCAGCCAATCTGCCGTCTTCCGTTCTTTGCCGGAAAAAGTAGGGTTGCAATTTTGACGCTATTCCCAATATTCTACCCATATGTAGATAAATTAGAAAGCTTGACTTCTTGACACGGGTCACCCCAAGGTCCAGGCAAAAGGAATTGCGATAACATACATAATAATAATGTATTGGTATAATTTTCACATCTTACACGCCAAGGGGAAATATTTGATCGCCGCTAGACGGGAAACCCATACCATCGCTTCTTGGCTTCCACCTCGAGGCCGTGTACCTTACAGTAGCGGGATAGCAGCTCCGCCATTTCCAGCAATCAGAAGTCACAATTGTTCTAAAAGAGGGTCTTCATTTGAATCAAACCCTCACCGGTGGGCCAGAGGAGCATCGTGAAGGGGAAAGCTGCCCCACTAGGCGATCGCCCTGCCAAATCGTTTCTTTACTTAGATTACCATTTTCGCGTACCGTCGGCCGTTCTGCCCTGTAGCGCCGACTGGCGTTTTTTTGTCCCGATCTTGAGGCATTTTTGACTTGCAGTAGTCCCATACAGGGTTCAGGAAATGAACAACT